GGGCATTGACAGGTTACGAGCTATGCGACACGAGAGCGGAAGGCGCATCTCTGCATTGGCGACGAGTTGGTAATCGCGACATGCAGCATCGTGAGGAACTTTGGGAAGGCAGCATGGTGTGCTAGCGCGCGACAGATCTTCGAAATCGCGGTGAGGCTTTAAGTAGCAAAGGCCGATCTTTTGTGTCGCATCGCTACGTTTCGAGCAAGTTGATTGTCATGACAACAGGGGCCGAACGTGCGATCAGAAAGAAAATGGAGAAAGGGTAAGGTCTTGCAGTGGGCAACATGCATGCGCCGTTCCGCAATCGTGGCTTGCGACAAGCGCAGGTACGCTGCAGGAACGCCAGAGTCGTGACAGGTCAGATCGCGACTGCTTCCCGTATGCACGCGCGGCGATCGCAAAGACTTCCCTGATGGAAGTGGCGGAGAGACTGCGATTGCCTCATGCGGTGGACTTCGCGAAAAGCTGCTATTGCCTCGCAGCGACGCATCATCTCGCTTCGACTGGTATGTGACTGCAGTCGCTGCCTCGCGTCTGCTCGAACCCGTGTGGTTGACGGTGCGACCGAAGCGTGGCTCGCCGCTTCCTTGACAAAGCAAATTCCCAGCCCGATGGATATCCACACAACAAGCGAAACCAATACTGTGCTGTCTCGTCGCCGTCGTCACCCCGGGTCGGGACGTTGACAATACCGGAGATGGATCTATACTATTCCAGGCTCGTACTCTGTCTTGCTTCTGTGGGTCTTGCTTGACATATCGACAGGCCCGTATCCTCGTTCGTCCAGCCGCAGCCTGTCTCCTCTTACGTTACTTCGATCTGTCTAAGGGACTTTCACGTCTTTGTTTACTCCATATGACTTGCCATGGCGATGTCCGGGACCGGTCAAGCTACATATGCAAGAACGCGCGTGTCAGTCTTGTCTGCGGCAACGGATGCCGATTTCACAACGAATGACATGTCTTCAGCGCCTACAGGCCACTCTAAAATATTCGCCAACTGCAAGAAGAGGTGGCTGGTATCAAGATGATCGACATTGCAAGCAGCGGCCCGCTACAGACGACACTCTTCAAGCCCGTAATGCGGGCACGTCTCCGTCGACTGGGGAGTGTTGGCCGGATCTGCGACAATGAGCCGTGCTTGAGATACTGCGACACTGAGAAAGAGTGGTGACAGGGCAATGGTAGCCAGTCTCCATGCTGCCATCGTCTCCGGTCAGCTTCCTGGAACCTTTAGGACTTCATCGGTGACATCGATCAAGGCACTGCTGCTTGCCCCTGTTTGCTTCAACTTGATGCCCACGCTGCGCCCGTTGCTTCAAGCCAGACTCGTCGTTTCGTGAGCTCTTCGCAACTCTTCCTTGCTCGCTTCGTCACGCTCAGTCAATCTAGCTTGTCTTGCTGCTGTTCCCTGTAATCGCTGCTTCTTGCTGGCTTGTCTATACTCGCCACTCTGACTTGCCTGTATCTTCGTGGCATCTCGCTTCTACTACACACGCCAGAGTCGCCCTTCTCAAATGTGCTGTTGCTGTTTGTCCAGCTCCGTGTTCAAGTTTTCTGCTCGTCCGGCCCTCTGACTCTCGCTGGAAAGTCAACAATCACCTCAAACACCAGCTCTGCTTGAACGAAGCCTCAGCTTCGATACTTTCAATCCTCGAGCTCACCTTCTACACGAGACTTCGCATCAGGCTATTGCAAAATCTTCCGACGCACGCCCCAAAGCAACGGCCATCTTGTCTTCTCACCACTGCCTCTTCGTTTGTTCCACTTCACAAATATGAGCACTCAACCCTCCGACTTGCAGCAATGCAGTAAGCCCTATCTTAGTCGTAATCAGCCTCTGGCAGCCTTTTGGGAGCCTTATATCACAGCCTTGAATCCCAAGCACATCATTTCACAGTCCGAATTGTCACGAACAATCAATCGCGTTCAAGTTCATTCTCACACAGCCGAAGATTCCCAGTGTGACAACTCATGCAGAATCGACAAGTTGAAGACCAACCATGGCGGCCATGGAGATTGTGAGCACGTGTGTAATGTAAGGTTGGAAAACAGATACCAGGACTCGACATCAACAGTGAGCTTGTTCATCCCTAACGATGTCAACAGATACCTCCTGGACAAAGTATAGCCGTGCTCCATCTTTCGTAAGGTACGCCTACAAGTGTGAGGNNGACTGCATGAATCGCACCACCAATGCCCTCACCTGCCATGAGACCAGCTGCTACCGTGGCCCCAAAGGCAGCGAAAGTATAGGGATATTTCTTGTGCCATATACGTGCCAGGCAGCTGCCCATCAACATGGCCGTAGCATAGATAGTGCTCGGAAGCAGGAAGGCAAGGCTGACGATCATCATGTTTGGCGAGTATTTACTTGCACATTGCCATGCGCCAGTCAAGACACAGTTTCTGATCAATACAGAAGTGATCCCGAATAGAGCGAAGACTATGCTGAACGTTTTGGAACTCTCGGGTATCGTGAAATCAGGCTCTGTCACTGCCACTGCCACAGCTCGCCAGGCTGACACTGAAGGCGCCGCGAACGGACAGGATTCTGGAGATTCGATCAGGATGCAAGGATATGCGGTTGCGAAAAGCACAAATATGGCAGGAGCAAGAAAGACAGCCATCAGTGTACCAATGCTCTGGGCATACCATTGCAACTTTGAGGAAGTGCGCAGCAGGAAGCCCACTCGAAAGTCTCCTGTAAGATCTGTTTGTATGGTCAACTCACTCCTTTCTTGAACTCTCTGGACTGCATTACCTGCCGCTTGGTTTGCTCCGATACTTGCTAACGCTCCACCAATGAGATTGAGTCTCTGGGCTTGAAGGATGGACCAGCCTTCACCTTTAGTGGTTGCACCGAGCACTACCTGTGATGCTTTGGAAGCAGCGGTCAATGGTGTGATATCTGTGGCACAAGTCAGAAAGAATTAAAGGTTGAAACAAGAGTTTCTACAAACCTGTGGCCCCNNAGTCGACTGGACTGCCAAGAATGAGAAGAAGAAGGCCAGGAACATGGCAAGCAAGACTTCTGATAGAGGCATGTTAAACCTGTATTTCAAGACGATGCAAGCCATCACCAACGTGAGAACCAAACCCGGAAGCCACATCCAGAGCCTGATTCGCTCTTGGGACAAAACTTTGTCATTGCACTCGTCATTGAAGTGCATACGATGAGAGGCTTTTTCCCTCCTTGGCCAGATATGCAAGGTCATTCTGTACAAAGCTTTCGCTGAGATTAGAAGGAGACGCCATTGACAAGCANNATCTCTACGTATCTGATCAGTCCAGACCACTGAGGAGTTCATTTGATGCTCTATACCTGTGAATGAAACAGCAATCATGCACGCGATGCCAGGCCACAACAGCCAATACCGTGGACTAGGGTGGTCGGGTGAAGCAAACTCTGGAGAAAGGCTGTGGTACGAGATTAGATCTTCCCATAAAAGATTCGAAGATGCAGGCTTCCCGAAGGCGATGCTTTTGCTGACTAACAAGGGCCCGATTACACCNCCTGTGTCCCGTTAGCACACAGTTTATAAAAGCAATCTTTGCTAAACTCACCAAGCCAGGAAACTGCCCGCGACAAAGGACACAGCCACGTTCATACCTACGAGCATGCCTGAGCCGATGAATGCAGGGCTCCACTCAATATACCATCCCCAGCTTTCGAAAGCCAGTGCATATTCTGAGCCTGTCAGCAGATAGAGCCAGGTAAATGGATGCCAGTCNCTGTCAACCATTAGCATCTGCTCTGCAACGATACACGGGACATTTCGTACCCATAGAATGCCAATAGCAAACTGCGACACCAATCGAGACAACATAGCCCAGCAGAATGCAGCTGATAGCGACTTCATCTTCTGCCTCGCCAACTTGGCTCCTCCAGATGCCATGTGCATGCTGCGAATAGTAGTGGCCGTAGCAAAAGAGGATGGGAAGATGAGCTGAAGATCGCGAGCGGCATGAATGACGAAAAATTCTCTCAATGGAGTAGCGAAGAACAGCCCAAAGTATGCACCAATGGCTGTCAGCGTTGTTATCTGCCAGAAATCTTGTAACGGTGTGGTTAGCAGTTTCAACTGATATAGAGCAGGCATGGCTGAGACGAAAACATTGCTCAGACCTCCTGCTGCTGTTGCTACAGTCTGTACAATGTTATTCNNTGCAGATGATCGGTCAGAACGTGGTAGAGGTGTTGTTCGAGACATGCGATCTACCTCTTGAGTACCAAATTCTTCTCCGAGAAATGGAATGTGAGCAAAATGCTTTGCACATGACTTTAGTAGGACAAATCCCACGACTGANCTAATTATCGTGTCAGATACTGTCTTGAGGAGCAATATCTTGCCTGATCGTACACCAAAGATGTTTGCGCCTGCAGTCCACCCTGACTTGAGACCGAGATAAATGTTGGAAGCATTGACGAGGCCCCCGCATAAAAGACCAACAATTACCGCTCGTACTGTGAGGATACTATCGCGCTCGTGCGGGAGATTGTCGAATGGAACGAAGGGGTCGCTGTCATCGGATAAGGTCGCTTGCGGACCGCCTTGGGGTACTTCTTTCGAGGTCATCTCGTCAGGTGAGAGTAAAGGATCGATCTGAGCCTCGAGACATGTCTCGTCTGCGTGACTGTATGACATTGACATGGCAATGGGTAACGCGATCAACGATGAGCTCTGTGATGTTGAGGGGGGAATTGATGTAGTGGATGAGATCAGACGGCCACAGTGACTGACTGCATGCAGATGATTGAGTTTGGTCTCCGTGGCAGACGTCACGATGTATATAGATAAGGTCTCAACACCGTGCATATGCAAGGTAAGATTATCCTGCAGCTCACTTCCTCTCTTATCGCTAGCGACGAGCGTACCCCGCACAGCCATTGGGACCTGATTTCACGACACAGACAATACTCCAGCAACCAAGAACTCTGTGTACATGGTCAAGCTGGATGTCTATCTGTAGCCCATGTACCAAGGATGGTCTCCTCTAAAGCTCTCGCGCAATGCAATTTCTCTCAGAGTGGGAAACCACTAACGAATTAGTCTGAGACAACAACAGTATACAAACCACACATTTACTCACCGGCGTCCCAAGTCCACTTGCTGGGTCCCAACCTTTTACAGCGAGAAACCCTGTTGTGTTGCAACCGAAATTGGATCCAGAAATCACGTCTTTGAACGCTGTAGCACCTCTCGAATACAGGAGCGGGTTCAGAAATCCTAGAGAAGGGCGTCCCACTGCGAGAAGGGCATCATTTACAAGCGCCACAATAGCAGCGAACGTGGGTGCAGATGCGCTGGTTCCGTCTTGCAAATGTGCCACGCCATTCCACATGACCACATAATGATAGCCAACTGCTGAAACATCGGGATAGCCTCTACCTTGGGCGTTAAAGTAGGGTTTCAGCTCGGAATCCAGTCCGCGAACATACTCTTCGACATGTCCCTCCTGGTAGCTTGGCCTGGAGAAGTAATTGCTGAAGCCTCCGCCTGAAACAAACCCTCCTCGAGCGTCGAACGCTACAACTTCTGGCCCCACCAGTCGTGTGGCACCCACCGCAGTTACATAGGGGCATGAAGCAGGGAACATCGGACGAAAGTGCGTAGAATTGTTCTTGTCGTAACAACGGTCTTCCCGACCAACGCCGTGATCGCCGCTTGCGAAGACAACAGAGATTCCTCGTGCTCCAAGCTGTGCGAGTTCGTTGCACACTCTCCTTGCGTACGCTTCCGGGACAGTGTGTTCCTCATCGGCGTACGAGATTGTCATGACTGGCGGCAAATCCTCTTGACCCATCACAAAGTGGAGCCACTCCAGGTATGGCTCGTTGTCTCCGGAGGTCTCGTAGAGGGGCTTTCCACCAACGTTGTATGCCGTTACTGGAGTCGGGAAGCCTACGCCGATGACGGTCTGGATATCGAGAGCACCTTCAAAGTCCATGAAACTCTCAAGTTGTTGGGCATCTAGTTGAGTCTGCTGATCTCTTCCAGCATTCACGATCTCTGTTCCAAATGTCCTTGCTACGTTTGCTGCTGCAGCATCTTTTCGATAGAGTCTGAGGAATGCATCAAGGTCTGAACGGTTGTTTGACTGCCCATTAAAGTTGACTATGCCAATTCCGTTCTTTTGAGAGTTTTGGTACTCATATCCGATTATACCGTACAAGGTGCGGATGCAAAACGGCGAGACAGCGAGCCTGTTACAGGCCTGCTTGACTGTGGGAAACTCAGGAAAGTCTTGCTGGTCGGGGATATCGATGTGTCCACGATCCAGTAGGTCCTCCTCCACCATCTCGCGGTATGTTGGCAGCCTTCCTTCCTGGAACCATTGAGGAGATTGTGGCTCGGCTCTCTTGGCTTGGGGGTTCTGATAGAAGAAGGAGGTCGTTGGCTGGATAGTGTCAATGTGATCGTGAAGATAATCTGGTAACGACCAGCGAGTTGTGCGGATCAGCATTCCTTTGCTCCCTTGGTGCTCATAGTTGTGGTATGTTGCGTTGAGCATTCTCTGGATTGTTCGTACCGGCAAGCGAGCTGTCATCCAATCCTGACTTGGGCTGCTGGTATAGTTGATTGCAAAAGTGTCCAGCCATTGAGACACAAGTCTGATAGTGTCTTCGGCGGGTTTGATTAGATGTCGGATCTGGTCCGGAGTCAGATGCTGTCCATAATGAGGGTGATGTGGGTCTGCAGCTGTCGATCGATCTTCAGTACTATGTGCCTTAGTTGGTGGCTTTTGATGGACCATACCTCGATCAAGTCGATGATGTAAGTCTGCGATGTTACCCTGTTTCAGCGCTATCCGCAGATTGAGGTGTTGCTCATGGTGAGGCACTCCGACTCTCTGCCATTCGGCGGGAGGAATATGATGCTCCTTTACTATAAGATCCGAATAGATCTGCTTAGCGAGACCAAAACGGACTATCGAGACTGCGAATAGGACTGATATCAAAGATAGCATCGCTTCGTGTCAAACACAGGTCGAATACCGAATCGAAAACGAGAAGATTTTTCAAATGTGTATTGGAACTCTGCACTGCCGTTTCGACCCTCTCAGATCTCCAAAGTCTCATGGTTAGTGCGGGCGAGGAATCTTACTCAGTCGAGACTCTTGTTCCGCGACGTCGTAGTGCGCGTTCCGAGCTAATGCACTGTCACAATCGGCTACCCCACCTTGCATCCTTGAATCCTACGGAGATATCTTATCCTGCCCGATTACCTTGCATACGGGACATCGCGTGTGATTGTGTATCTGAAGACCATCGAAGCACAGTTTATAACGAAACTGAGCCATCGTTGAGCACTTTACCGTAATATCTCTTGTCAAAATACTTTTTGATCAGTGCTTCAGTCTGGTACATACGATGATGTTTTTCTGGGCATTGATAGGTTTATTCTCTTCACTTGTCCTCTCAGAGCCTGTACAATACTGTAAATATGGCTCAGCAGGCGGAGAGATCGATTTTTGCATGGGCATGCTGCTTCACAGCAATATCTCCACGCATGCAAATGACCTCTATCTTACCATGAGCGTCACAAGGCCAAACAACAGCTCTCTTGGGTGGACTGCCATAGGTCTAGGAGAGAAGATGGAAGGCTCATTGATGTTCATCATATACGGCGATCCGACTTCTGGTGAGAAGCCTATTGTCAGCATCCGAAAATCGACTGGTCATCATCAACCCACTCTCGTTCAACAGAATGACATGAATGGAGCCGATCTCCGGGTCATACGCTCAGACTGGTTCTTCACGTCACCCACTTCAAGCTCTGCTATGGTGTCCGTAATCTGCTATTCGTGCCACTTGTGGCCAGGCACAGTTGTCTCTGACACATCGCGCTCACAACCTTGGATCTGGGCCTGGAACCCCTCACAGGAATTCGACGTCTACGCTTACGATGCTCATCTGAAGATGCATGCACATCACGCTGGCAAGGGGGGATGGGGTAACTTCTACGTTGACATGCCGCGGTCGCTCAACACATGGCACAACCAACCGAGCTTCCCACCAATACTGTCCGGGGTGGCTTCTCTGGGTACTAGTGATAACTCTGGGATCTCAATCGGCTGGGTAAGCCATAATCCTCTCCTGCATTCACATGGGATCATCATGTGTACCGCATTTCTTCTGCTGTTTCCTGCCGGAGTTGTGGCTATGCGCAGTGGCTCGAAGAAGAGCTTCAAATATCACTGGATCATCCAAGCATCTGCATCGGTGATGGCTGTCATCGGCGGTCTTTTGGGTCTTTTCCTTGGACGAAACATTGACACACTTCACCAATTCCTCGGAATCCTCGTTACATCACTTCTGGGAACCCAGGGCATCTTGGGATGGCGTCACCACGTGATTTTCGTCCGGGTGTACCATCGAACGTGGTGGAGCCATGCGCATATCTGGCTAGGAAGGCTTCTAATGGCTGGTGGATGGCTCAATGTCATGACAGGTTTGATACTTCGGGGTTATTCAGGTCTTTGTCTAGGTGCAATGGGAGCGTTAATTGGTACTGAAGTGCTTGTCATGGGAGGCTGGCTCTACTGGAAAGCCAATGGCAAAGCGAAGAAGCTTAGCGATGATGGAAAGAACTACTTCGCTGTCGGAGATGACGAGTATGAGGATGAGACGTCTACTCTCGATGGACAGGACGAAGAGGTAAAGTCGCCTCTAAATCAGTCGTGAATATGAAAATAAACCTTCCGAGATGTCGAAACTATGATGTCGTCAATTCTTGTCTTGTGCAACTGCTCTATGTAAAATCTTGAAGCTGTTCGTCCCTGGCACAATGCTTGGTGGTTTCGGCCCTACTCGGCAGGAATGGTAGGCGAGGGTCAGTCAGGGTGTCTCCCGCATCCACTTACTCGATTGTCTCAAACTGCCGTATCTCGACAATCACTTGCTCTAGAGATATTCTGAGACTTGCATATTCTTGCCAGTTATATACTACGTACTTGAAAAGACCTTTCACCACTAATACTGAGGTTATCATATTGCCTTAAAGTTCTAGGGCTCATATGAGTCTGGGTGGAGAAACGCCCCACGTTGTCGGCAAAGCCATTCGAAGGGGAGGATCAACACTCATCTTACTGAAAGAGACGTGGGCAACATACGATCGATTGCTTGATACTAATCTCTCATAATCGGTGTGAAGGTTGGATACTTGGACATAATCCAGTCGCTCTCCCAGTTTGCTCTCTCTCAGCTTATCCAACATGCTAAGGTGGCAGCATATGTACCTCTTCATGGTCGCCGTCATGGACAGGCTCACCTTGTGGATAAGCTGGTCCCAACGTCGGGTGGATCAAAAGTCCTGGCTCATACATGTTGACTGCTCTCTGCTTCGACCAATCGGCGAGTGCATTCCAGTTGACGCAGGCATGCTCAGTTGCATTCGCTGAAGGCTGCCTTGAGCCTGCGTGCCACGAATACGTCACCAAACCAACATCACCGTGGCAGAGTGCAAATTTTCGAAGTGTGCTCAAACAGTGTTCTGTGTATATGGTCAGAAACAACTGGCATTCGGATATGTAGGGAGACAACATTACCACTGTGAACAAGATTCTTGTGACGTCGATTGTCATCGAGACCGGGCCAATAGATCTCCTGATAGAGATATTTATGCAGCCATCGCTATGCCACCACAACTATTAGCATAAGCCGAGTTGGCACAGTGTTCCAGGATGGCATACTACGCAATGAATCTCGTGGTAGACGTTTAGGGTGCCCAGGTAACCCGATCCATCTGGTAGGCTGACTGCATTCTCAAGTCTGTCGAAGTGTTTCACGTCTTGTTCCGAGATGCGAATATTCATATCTGCCAGAAGAGATCAGCAAATGCCAACACACTTCGAAAAGTGTAAGCATACTCTTCAACAGCCCATCCCATGCTTGCTCGAGTGCAGGTCTTGGAGTCCCAACAAAGCTTTCTTCCAGCCCATCACCAGCGGGCCATGGTCCCACATTCCACTCGATAGCCTCATTCGCCGGAGCTATTCACCCCATTAGTCAGTATGGGCCATGCCAAAGAGAACTCCCGAGGAACTTACAGTACAAAAGGCTTCTGCTTGACCATTGATGTGTCATGAGATAAGAGAGAGCAAACATTAGGGAATAGGTCGCAAATAGTGTGAAGTGGGCAAGCAACGCCCATCCATGTCTGCGCCAGAATGGTTTCGACCGGTAAGGTTGCGAGATACCACCAAGTAGTCCATCGTGGTCCGCTATTCTCGAATCATTCTCAACCGATCTTCGCCAGGGAGGATGGTGAGGGCGTATCCTCCAAGGACAATTTCTCGAACAAAGCCATAAGTGGTAGATGTCTGGGAGTGCAACTGACTGTGAACATGACTGAATACCTCCCAGACATCTCCAAGTTTTGCGCATTCTTCGCGCCGTTCCGCCACGAGTCGTGGCTGTGACATTGCATAGTCATTGGAGGATTCGACTATGTTTCACCACCTTCCTGACTCGCTTACGCCGCATATGCAATGTCAACTGTTGATGATGGCTGCGATCTGACTCCGAGTATTCTGCAGCGCATATGCGGACTTCAACCGACAGCGCAGAACAGATGTATGGTAACTGGATCTGGTAGTGAACCACGACAATGCATGGAATCCTCTTCCGCCATCGCACTGCAGCCAATCAAACGTGAATGCCAACGCTTTCAGTGCTGTGAGCATACTACAACAGTGACTAGGTTCATTGGTATGACCTTCTGAGGGGACTAGAGACATGAGGAAGAAAGATATAAGCCCATGCCAACAGCACGTATTACGGTCTCACAGCACTGAGCAGCATCATCCTAATCACTCCATAATCCCATCTCTCCATCCAGTATTCTGTCGTTCAGAGACTTCTCGTTCCAGCTCCATCCAATATGAAGCAGTCTGTACTCATCGCTTTGGTGCCTTTCTTCGTCGCCTTCTCGGCAGCAGCTCCTGTTGCACCCAGTAAGTCAACTTGGTCGAACATTCGAAATCTTCAAAACGTTACTGATCAACAGATGCTGCATCTTTGATTCCTCGTGCAAGTGCCGATGAGGCTACTGCATATGTCGTTGACAAACGCTCCTCCGCGGACGAAGCTACTGCGTATGTCGTGGACAAGCGCTCGTCTGCAGACGAGGCCACCGCCTACGTCGTTGATAAACGCTCTTCGGCTGATGAAGCCACTGCCTATGTTGTCGACAAGGCAAAGCGTTCCTCTGCTGATGAGGCCACCGCCTATGTGGTCGACAAGGCAAAGCGCTCGTCCGCAGACGAAGCAACCGCTTATGTTGTGGACAAGCGCTCTTCTGCCGACGAGGCCACCGCCTACGTTGTTGACAAACGCTCTTCAGCTGATGAAGCTACTGCCTATGTTGTCGACAAGGCAAAGCGTTCCTCTGCCGATGAGGCCACCGCCTACGTTGTTGACAAGCGCTCGTCCGCAGATGAGGCTACTGCCTACGTAGTCGACAAACGCTCTTCTGCGGACGAGGCGACGGCCTACGTGGTTGACAAGCGTTCTTCGGCCGATGAAGCGACTGCTTACGTCGTTGACAAGCGATCCTCTGCCGACGAGGCCACTGCGTAGTAAGTTGGGCCTGAGTGCATTTCTTACACGGTACTGATTCTGATTAGCGTGGTTGACAAGCGTTCGTCTGCCGATGAGGCTACTGCCTATGTCGTCGATAAGGCTAAGCGCTCTTCTGCTGACGAAGCCACGGCCTACATTGTCGACAAGTAAACGGCGCTGGAATGATTTGACGAAGGTTATGATTTCGATGTGATGGTCTCGCTCCTTTTGTCCGTCGCTGGTTCTCGAGTGGAGGGTCTGGGTATATGTCGGTACTCGTTGCCATAGACATAGTCTTTGCTTGCGTATAGTCCGAGGTTGTCAGAGAGTATAGGAACGCGAAGTTATTTCCAGATCCTCTTGTCTCCAAACGACGTGAAGCACTAGGCGATCTGAGCGCCACGGCTGATTCCGATGACCATGATGACAATGGTAATGAGAGTGTAAGAATCCAGATGTATCAAGACAACCTATTGTTGAGTAAGTCAGTGTGTCGACTTGACCGCTTCAAGCCCCAGTTACAAAGTTTCCCTAGATTGACGCGCTTTGTAAACACAGCATACCACTTCTATTCACAAACAACGAATGAAGGGCTTAGACTGATCGAAGAAATATATGTTTGAAAGCTCGATTCTGCAAAGGGCCCTATGATCGTCGACCAATCAACAAGTACAAAAACGCAAACACGATCTGTGAGTTCTCTGCAGGACGTACATCCATAGCATTGCCTAGCTCAGTCAACAAGCACCAAGTTTCTGTCGCCTGAGGGTATCGTCAGTTACGTGGTTCCTCACAATGTAATCATAACGGATACCTGTTCTCTGAAGACTCTCTTGTTCTCCTTCACAGTCTGACGGTTGCCCTCGACAGAGAGCAGCAATTCGAGTTGCTGCAGAGTCTCATCCTTGTTATCTCCCTTCAAGTCTCTGATCGTGAGAGAGCTCATCTCCTCAAGAACTATGTCCTCGGCACTCTTCATGATACCTTCGCGAAAACCTTGTGATTCTTGAGGATCCCACTCTCTTGACACTCTGCGTAGTGTACCCAAAAGCCTTTGCAGCCTTCGCTTCTTAGACAAAGTCTGAGTTGCAGACAGAGATGAGCCAGACGGAAACACTGATTCGTAGTACAGAGCCATCATCGACTCTATGCTGTCGAATCCTGCCTCATCGATAGCATCGAGCACCTTCTCAAGGCGTGATACTTCGTCGTGTCTGACGACAGGAGCTTCATGGCAGGTTGCGAAAGGGAAGGGCAATGCTGATGAATCTGAAGGTGCGTATGTTGCGTCGCTGACAGTCGTAACGGCAGCAGTCATCGAGACATTCGGAAGTGCTTCCTCCAGCGACGAGCCATCGATAGGTAGCAGCAATGATTGAGTGTTCAGATGATCGTTAATCTCAGGGGTGAGAAGGCCCGTCTGTATGACGTCCCACCTTGGCGAGGAGCTTGACTCAGCGGATGACGATGCAACAGCGGTGCCAAGCTGCGGCATCTCGAAGTCCTGAGCACTATCGTAAAGATGTGGATTCATGCAAGTAGCATAGCTTGAGGCCGACTGTGGGAGAATCACATCTTCGGGGATCGGTGAGATTGGTTGATCGACAAAGTTGCTCTCATCCGATGAAACAGCTTGAACTGGGGGTATATCATCGTAGAGGGTACCAAGCATAAGCTCTGGAGCAGACGGAAACAGATTTTCTAGAGTGGTTTGTTCAGTTGTCTGGTACGACATAAAAGTATCGTTGCTGATGTGGGGAGGCCGCCAGTGCTGTCATGATTCGCCATCACCACATCAGGAGCCAGACTCTCTTGATCAGTGCAAGTACTCAGTACAAGAGGTATCGATGAGTCTTGTATGGCATTGTTTCTATTGTGGTGTCGGACAACAGGAGAAAAGCCTGTGGTGCTCGGCATTGATAGAGTCTCCTTCTGGAATTGGTCTTCGGTCCGCAGGTCGTGGGACTGGATCCCGCTGTTCTGGCGGACCGTACCGCTGGTGGTGTAAGATTGGGTACGTGCTTGTCCGATCTGGACCCTTGAGGTGTCCTGGCCTTGGCCCATAAAGGAAGCATTTCGAAGGTTTGTTTCTAGGCTGTCGTCAGTAACGATGCAGTTATCACTAAAGTTCCATGATCAGGTACTCTCTCGATGTTTCCGTTGCGCAATGCGATTCCGGGTCCGCGCTTTGGTAATTGTTTCATGCTCTATGTCCAAAATCACTCTTGGCAGCTGTTGAGACGTTTCTGTTGACCAGATCGACTGGTTCGCTTCCAAATACCTCTGAACTGTCTCTTGGTTGCTCGACATCATGTGTCGTGATCAAGCATCTCCGTGACGGGACGGGCAGACCCATATAGTTCCATACTCCGAAGGATTCAACCGGTGTGTTCTGCGCTTAATTTCCCAGTCTCCACCAGGGTTCGCGTACGTAAACTGCCGACATGAGTTTGAGTTCGCTGTTCGGACTTTGCAGGTATAGTTTGGAAGGATTGCAGACTCGTCTAAGTAGGAACGCAAGGCTTATCTTCATGGTCTGCAATCACTCATTGGTGTATCACAACGGCGCTGACAAGTTCCAGACCTGGATGACCGGAAGAAGAACAAGCATCGTGCTTGTTGCATCAAGGGGCGGGGGCCGGTTTCATCTGTTTAGCGCTTAGAAAGGAGCCAAGTAAGCCTTTGGCGTGCTGCAAGCCGAGCTCCTTCAAGTCTGGGAGCGTGTTTCTGGTTGTGGTCCTGAGACCTTACCTCGAAGTACATTGGCCACAATCGAAACAGATAAGCAAATTTGTATTAGTTGATTGATGCACCTTTTACAGTGCATGACGCACAAAGTCGCACCAATCAAAGTGAGTCTAGATAGTCACCTTATCTGCACAACCGAGAGGGGTTTCGGTGTTCCGGTGGAGATAAAGCCCAGCTCGGCCGAAGGCCTCCGCCCGACAATGAACAACATCGGACAGAGCGCGATATAACAACCTTCAACCGCTTGTTCTACCTGGATGCATCTACTCTACTGAGTGAGTGAGCTGGCTTTCACTACCATCCCATCCACAATTGATACCTCCAACCATGGCAGCCCCTACACACTCGACCATTGGCATCTCACCCGATGATGAGAAAGGTGCGCGTAAACCGCTTTCGAAAGATGCAGACCTGGAAAAGACGCCCGTCGAATATGCCACCCCGACCGACGGAACTGTTTCCGAAGTATCGCAAGAGCCGTCGGATCCATTGCTCGTATGCCCATCTCCATCCCATGAGTGAGGCTTTGCTAATTCAACTCACCCAGGTAACATGGGATGAGGCTGAAGATCCAGCAAATCCATACAACTGGCCTGCTTGGAGAAAATGGACTGTCACCCTCTTGACCTCTTGTGGAGGTTTGGTGACCTTGATGACAGGGACGATGATGGCTCCTGCCCTTGGCCAGATCTCCAGAGATTTGCATACCACGGAATCCACAACGCAAATGACTCTATCTATCTACGTTTTGAGCTTTGCATTCGGTCCAATGGTGCTTGCCCCCATGACGGAGGTGTTTGGCAGGAAGCCAGTCTGGCTTGTCTCTGGCTGCTTTTACATTCTCTGGAACACGGTCTGTGGCTTCTCACACAGCAATGGTCTGATGATCGCCAGTCGATTCTTTGCAGGCTTAGGTGCAAGTGCAGAGTTTGCGGTATGATAGATGCCTCACGATCTTGACTCAGAAGCTGACAAGTACAGGTTACCAATCCTGTGTTGAGCGACTGTTGGTTGCCCGAGCAGCGAGGGCATTCGTTCTCCATCTCAACCTTCATTCCCCTCCTCGGGCCTGCGATCGGACCCATCCTCGGCGGCTTCATCAGTGCCTCGGTAGGCTGGCGATGGTTGTTCTGGGTCCTATCGATCTTTGATGGTGTACTGATGATCTGCACTTTCATCATGTTTCCCGAAACCCACGCCGGCACCATCCTCGGTCGCAAAGCCAAAGCACTCCGAGAGCAAACGGGAGAACAATACTACACAGAGTACGATCAAGGCAATTTAGCACTGTCCAAGAGGCTTGCCATTAGTCTGACACGCCCTTGCCGTCTATTGCTCACCCAACCTATCATTCAATTGATGTCCTTGTTTCTTGCTTACAACTTCGGCATTCTCTACATCGTCCTCTCTACGTTCGCTACCCTATGGACTGAGCGTTACGGCCAATCACTCGGTGACTCCGGATTGCACTACATCGCTCTCGCTATTGGCTACACAGTCGCAGCCCAGGTTGGTGCAAGGATCACCGATCGCGTATGGAAACACCTCAAAGCACGTGCAAAAGGCGAGACGCAGCCAGAGTATCGCGTGCCACTAATGTTTCCAGGCGCCATTATAATTCCGATCGGCCTGTTCTGGTATGGATGGACAGCACAGAAGAAGTTGATCTGGATTCTTCCGGACATCGGTATCGCCATATTTGGCTGCGGTATCATCATTGGCACTCAAGCAATGCAGGCCTATGTCATGGATTCTTTCCGTAAACACGTTGCCAGTGCCAGCGCAGCCAGTCAGCTATTGCGTAGCATCACGGGCTTCGCGTTTCCTCTGTTCGCTCCGAGTCTGTATGACAAACTGGGTTACGGCTGGGGAAACAGTCTTTTGGCCTTTATCTTCATTGGCATTGGCATTCCTGCCCCTTTGATCCTATGGAAGTATGGCGCCAGACTCAGGGCAATGGGGAAACCCCAATGGTAAAGTACGAGCATAGAACGATGGATCGAAACCACGATGGAAATCTGCCTTTACATGTCTCTCCAGTGGTAGTTGAGCGTCTTACCAGTCCATACAACCACAAACAGATACACAATGTGTCTTCACTAGAAGTACAAGCATATTATCAGAGGAGTGCATAACTTCACAGAAGTAGCTTCCAGTTCAGCTTGATACAGATGGCTACCTCGCGTGATTACCCAATCAATTCAGAACCTCCATTGATCCTATCTTCTGCAACCTTATCAATTTGATGTCGTGACATTGAGGAGAATAGACATTGTGCATTCCACGACTATCTGTGATCAGACTTCATTGCACATACCACGGCTGCTGACTTCGGTATCGTGTACCAAGAGCAAGCTGTTTCAAAGCTGGGAACCACTGAAGGATGAGAGTCAGTCAGGGAGTTTTACTCGAACATCACGGCCGCGACTTACTGGAGTTCCCCAGCCACTTGCTGGATCCCAACCAGCAGTAGCTGGAAAGCCTGTACCATTACATCCCTTGTTACTTCCCGAGATGATATCTCGGAATCCTTGATCAGACATTCCCGCTTCCCAGATTAATGGATTCAGGAACCCCAGTGCTGGTCGCCCAGCAGCAAGCAGAGCATCGTTCAAGAGTGCGACGATGGCAGCGAAGGTCGGGGCACTGGCACTCGTACCATCGACCAGATGTTTGGTGCCATTCCAGACGATGGCGTATTGGTAACCTTGTGCGCTGACATCAGGGTACGCAGCACCGCCTCGCTCGAACATGCCTGAATGTTGCTCGCCTAAGGCACCCAGATACTTCTCTACGGCAGCATCTTGCCATGCAGGACGCTTAAAGTAGTGAGAGAAGCCACCGCCAGATACGAAACGCTTAGCATCGTGGATGGCCACAACCTCGGGTTCGATACCCATGGTTGCTCCCACGCTCGTCACATATGGACAGCAGTCTGGGAAACTGGTCAAGAACTCTGGGGTTTCGGCTGAGCCATCGTTGTGGTTTGTGTGACAGGTACCATCGCGGCCTACGCCCGAGTCTCCAGATCCGAAAATCACAGTGACACCACGGGCACCCAACTGCGCAAAAGAGTTGCACACACGTCTGGCATATGCTTCTGGGAGGGTGCGCTCGATGTCACCGTAGCTTGTGCTGATGACTCTCGGTAGCTCTTCGTCTGGCAGAGCGAGGACATGTTGGAGCCAGATGAGATACGGCTCGTTCGTGTTGTTTTGTGCAAAAGCGGTTGGTTTGAAGGGGGGAGGTACACCGAGCGTGGTGAAGATGGTCAAAGGTGTAGGCCAGGCCAGTCCCAACATGACTTGTGCATCAAGGTTGCCCTCCTTGCCTTTTCCATGTTTCAGCTGATCAGGATCAGCTGGAGATTGTTGATTGACACCGCCAGCAATCAGCACGTCGGTAAAGTTCCAAGCATCATGAGGAATATCCGGACGATATTGGNNAGACATGAAAAGGGCTATATCGGATCGGTTGTTGAATTGATGCAGGTAGTTTGTGAGAGCCATTGAGTTTCTGTCTGCAGCTTGGATTTCGTAGTCATCGAAGCCATACAGAGTTCGAAGACATGTCGGTGTAATTTCGCTGGCATTACAGGCTTTTGCAGTCTTGTTGAGCTGGGACTTTCTNTCTCGCGCCTGTACGGCCGCTGGGGCATGATTCTCATATCTAAGCGCTACTACATTCTGGCTTTGCGCTTTCGCAGACGCACCAAAGTACGAAGTGGTTGGTTGAATGCAATCGATATGATCGTGTAGATGTTTTGGTAAGGACCATTCGTTAGTGCGAACAACCGCGACGTCTTGGTCCTGAAAGATTTGGTACTCTGTGGCCAGCAAATCTTCTATCCTTTGGACTGTGAGATTGAGCGACACCCAATCCCGGCTGGGAGAGAAACTGAGCCCATCTTCTGAGATACCGTTTTCTGCCAACCATTCCAGAACGAACTCGATACTCTGCTCTTGGGGTGAGATGAGGTTGCTAATCTCGGATACACTCAAATACTGTCCATATCGAGGATGAGATGGCGAGGAGATCTGATGAAGCTGTTGCTCCAGTTTTGGAAACCCTTGTTGCCTCAGCCCAATGTGCATCTCGATCTCGTGATCTGGCGATGCTCTTCCCCTGCGAGCCCAGATATCAGGGGCATGATGTGACTCTTTGACACCATAAACAGAGCGAGAGCTGAGTCCTGCATCAACGACCAGAGCAACAGTACACAGACAGTAGTAATCGAGAAGTCGAACCATCGTGAGGGACTTGGATGTGATTCAGCAGAGTTCTGGCAACCGATCTCATGAGCATTGCGCTCCAAATGGTAAACCATGTCGCAGTTTTGGTTCTGGCATCGAAAGTGATGGGCTCACGATGATTGGTTGTTGTACTTTTCGCGGGCTCCAGGTTCGTAATGTGACTCCGCATTAGCGCTTCATGCGTGGTCAGAATCCGTTCAACCACGACCTTCTCCAGGTTACCCTGATCCTGCAAGATATCTCTTATCGCGATTGAAACTTCGTTCGTCCATTGTATGCATGGTAAACCTTGTCTTTATGCGGTGTCATTTTTTTGGTTCCGAGTCGCCTTTTGATACAGGTCATGATTCGGGATATATCCCGCTTCTTGCGAACTTCACACCTAACCTCCAAACACAACTTGAACCATGCCTTCATTGCCTTGGGGTCAAGTAAAAGCGCGTTATCAAATGCGGATTACGCCAAAGTTTCAGCAAGTCAATCTCGCTCGCGTTCCTCATTTTCTTCGGATTCACAGCAATCGGGAGAGGATGACGGTCCGCTACTAGAGAAGGAACTGGCTTCCATCCGACGCAAAGCCTCACTCTGGTATCGTTACTGGCGAATGATAGTTGCTCACATACTGTTGCTCTTTATCTACATCGTCGTGCTTACAGCGGTTGTGGCTAAGTCTAGCAAACGCTGCCGGCAAGGTCCAAAACTGGTATTTTGTGAGTCAAACTTGCTCGAACGTTCTTGAGGGATCTTCAATACTGACAAATAGTAGCACCCGCTTTGGAGGCTCTAGAGTGGGAAGAATACAAATTCAAAGAGAACTCACAAGAACATGGACCCTTTCTGGGTTCCCAAGGCCAGAGGTCGATCAGAACTGGGACAAACTTCTGGAAGGTGATTAGCTCCATATCAACGCCGAGTACTAAGACTGATGATATGCAGCTGAGAATATCATGCTTGAGCCCGAGGTGATGCGGCACTATGGTCGTGAGGAACTAGGTGTCGCTATCCCTGAAGGTGGAGGGTTCATCGGCACATTGAATGTGTATCATGAATGTGAGTAGAGAAGAACAGGCTTTGGTCCAGAGATTGAGATTGACACATTTTTCCTCCTAGTACATTGCATTGTAAGTTTCTGACAGAGCAGACTCATCAACCAGCAAACTTACCACAATCAGAAACGCATCTACCAATACACATATCCAGAGTGAGTATAGCCTTGCCGACGTGTCAGCTCAATCACTGACAACTGAAAGCTATTACTGGAACGAACTCGACGACAACCAACGCGAGATCAATCGTCTACATAATGGTCAGTCACGGTTCTGCAACTTTCTCAATACGACTTGCTAAACCTTACAGAACACTGTCTCGACTTTCTTCGTCAGGCCGCGATGTGCCATGCTGACCTCGGACTGATTACCTTCCAATGGTCGCCCGACAGTCTCGTGCCAGTTGCTAACGCGACTACGCACCAGTGTGCCAACTGGGACAAGATCGACGCTTGGACCCGTGCAAGGACAGTCGACATGATGAAGCCTGGTTGGCTTGTACACCCAACGAAAGGTATGTTGTACGACTTTTGAGCCTTCTCATCTGACGACTTCATACCAGGTCCCGCGTTCCCTATTGGTGAAGGTTATAAACTTGGTGCCATGAAGAAGCCTCAGGACAACAACATCCACTTGGCTGGACACGAGGGTCACGGACACTGAAAACATGTATTTCGACTTGCAATAGCGACCTTGCCTGAGCAGTTGGAATTTAGAGACAGAACTGTGAGAAATTTCTTTTCACGATGTTGAGACTAGTGAAATAGTTGTTGAATGATTCAAGAGTGACAAATCTGTGAGTGGCACCTCTATACATGTTTCTGCGCAAGGGTGATGTTTGTACCTTTGGCTGGTGTATTGCCACAACGCTGCTCGCCTACATAATTCATTCACAAACAAGGTTACGCGGGCGCTTGGATGTAAGATCGTGAAGGGATGACAGAACTTTGTGAAACTTTTCAATCCGGAGAGCAATAAGAAATACCCAGCGTGTGATGGCGGTCGGAATATGCTACCTGGCATTGCTACCTAGTTTCTATCTCGCTCTCTCACACCTTCTCTGACCGTGGATCTGCCGAGTCCATACGTCTCAGGGACTGTCCAATTTCTCCAAGTCCCAGGTCTTTGGCGAGTATATCGGCCGCCTTCTCGCCAACAAGTAACGCTGTGTTGTTGGTGTTTGCACCGACATTACCAGGGCAGATGGAAAGATCACACAACTTCAAGCCAGTGACTCCATATACATTCAGGTTGGCATCGACGACTCCTCCCTTGTCGCGCGGTGCCATGCGACATGTTCCTAGCGAATGCCAAGTTGTGTTCACGTTGTCGCGTACGTGCTTTTCGATGGCTTCATCATCTTCGGCGCTGTATTCAATCTCCGGAAGGTTGTTTCGATCTTCTTGCGATGAGAATTTTGCAACGGGACCATCCTGCAACGCGGCTTTGCTACCTACAGGGAACTTGGGATGTCCAAAGTCCAGTTCACCGCTGTATGCATAGGTCCTGCGATAGATCTCGCGCTGCTTCTTGTACGCCCAGATTTGCTTCTGAACGTCTGCTTCTGCTTTGAAGAATCCAGTGTTGAAGCTCGCAGGTGTCGTGACATCCTTCGAGGTGATATGAATATCTCCGCGAGAATAAGGGTAAGCAGTGTATGCACCCATCGTACAGTACTGCTGTGGCTCGCCGTCTTCGCGTTGAGGCAGGACTTTGTGGTCTCCTAGGAAGCTCTGGACGACACCAGTCAACATAACAGGCCTGGTCGGGCGGTCTCTGAAATCTCTGTTCCAGTGTTCCTTGAAGTTTGGGCCCATGGCTTCGATCTCTTTGTCTGTGGGTCTGATCTTGGAGCAAACGTCGATACCGTTCCACCCGAGCATCGGGTCCTGGTTCTGAATGGCTTCACCAAAGTCTTTGCGGCCACTGAGCAACCCATCAAGGGACTCTGAAGGTTTCAGGGAGGTCTTGTAGGGGTAGAGGACCAGATGGTGATCCTGATAATGCTCTCCAACATCTGGCAGATCGCTCAACACCGGGATATTGAGTTTCTCGAGAACTTCCTTGCTCCCAACGCCAGATCTTTCGAGGATGGATGGCGTGCCGAGCGCTCCGGCAGAAACGACGACCATTCTTCTTGCGGTAACCTGGAAGGGACCGGTGCTGTTGACGCCACCCACTGGTTGTGATGATGGTGTTGGAACATACTCGATACCGTTCGCTCGATTGTTTTCGTCGAAAGTCACTCGGTTCACCTTGCTGTTAAGCAAGAGGTGTAAATTCGGGTAGTCGCCAGATTGCATCAGAGGATGGATATACGCATGTGCAGCATCCTGGCGCTTGCCTTCGGGGNNGGAGATGTACTTGGCCCATTTNCTGTGGATTGATCAGAAGGTGGAGGATAGCAGCGACCTACACGCCAGACTTACCGAGAAGACACCAACTCCCTTGAGGCCTCTGATATCCTTGTGGAGATCCTGCGCATCGGCTGTGACCTCATGACCAGTTGCAATGGAAGCATTGAGCACATCTTGCGCCGCTTCTTCTTGGAAATACGTTCCGTTCGAGACGTGAACTGGACCTTCGTGTCCGTGCAGTGACTGATCGATGTCTGGATCTGTGAGATGGTAGGTTTCAAGCNNTGTGGCGATGAGCATATGTTCTCTAAGCGGGGTGTCATGTGGATGTCTCACCCTCTTCATCAATGGTAGAAGATCCTTTGCAGCCCAACCTTCAGTCTCCCAGTCGTCAAAGTCCACTCCTTGTGCGCGAGTATACATCATGAAATTGATGGAACTTCCTCCTCCCAGAATGCCACCGCTAGGGACTATGGCTTTACGGCCGTTGAGGGCTTCTTCGGGATTCGCTTCGTAGAATAATGCTGTCTGAGAACCTGGAGCCAAGTGGACGAGATACATGGCTGGATTGACGACAGTCGGATCGTTGTAGTTGTTCTTGCCCCCCTCGACAAGAAGAATGGAGAGGCTAGAATCCGCCGCAGCTAGACGACCAGCGGCCACGCATGCTGCAGTGCCACCACTATCATTGATCAGCACCGCAATGGAACAGCGAATTCATTGTGTATACCCTGCAAAGATGACATCGTATTGGCGGCCCTCGACGTGAGTAGTCATGATATTGATGCGCTTTCTCTTCTTGTGTCTTGATCACCACCAAGTCTAGAGTGATCTCAAATTTGAGGACCAAAATCACTGCAGGATGCGTAACGGTCTGGATTTATGTTTCTCTGACCCCGCCCGATGGAAGCGCTTCATTTGTGAGAGGAACCGAGGCCGGCCATGACTTGGCATTCATTCGGGCCTATGGCGCGTCCACGGTACCGTATATAGACACGGAGGAAGGTCTGAACAAGTCAAGTCTGAAGCTAATCATGCATACCAAGTGATCCTTCTTGCTCTAGTGGGACTTTCACGATCGACCTGACGAGCATTAATTCAATGATCGCCTACGGGGTGTGATTCGACATTGGAAAGTGCCATTACAATGTTTTGTGACCTCTATTCTCGAGTCCAAGACTGACGTCGTATGAGGAGTTATCGGCATAGAACGAGCGTCGTACACACTATTGCACCTCGTGATGGAAACGATTCATGTACAAGAGCGGGGTTAAGCTTTGTACATAATGAGCAAGGGGATGGACCCTTTCCCCACTCCTTCGGCAGTGTGCGAGTAATGTGCGGGGTGGTCATCAGGATGATATTTCCTTTCCGGGACAACGGAGAGTGACCTGCAGATTCCGCTAGGACCATCCTTGATCGGAAGGATCACCTTGATGGGCAGCATGAAACCAAACCAGGTTTCGCGAAGAATGTAATAAATGATATGAGAAGCCGCTGCGGCGCTGGTTTGACGGTTCTTTGAAGCGACAAAACGCCAACGAATGCTGGCACAGAGGGAGGATCCTTCTCCCTACTTGTGTACCCCGAGCTCGGTCTCATCGACACTCAAGCAAGAGTCCACTCTATCAGCAATTGACTCAGAAAATCTCCGTTTGCCTAGGCCCTGGAGGCACCATTTGAGCTCGGACACACAGTTCATTTAGCAACAGGCACAAGACAAAAGAAACACAAGAGATGAAACATGCAGCATGAGTCGTCAGTGGTCACGACTCACGACGAGGCTTCGAGTTTTGAATATAAGTCGCTCCAAGCAAAGATGAGCCAGCCCCACACCGAACTTGCGCTAGTGGTTTATGTTTCTTGGATCCCTTGGACCTCTGTGCTCCTTCCTTCGCTTTTGCAATACGCCAGCTGGCAAAATAATCAACAACACTGACTCAATATAACGTTGTCTGGACCGTTTGATGCCAGCCTTCACAGCCACACCGGACACGTCAACTTTTGCAAGATGGCCACCAACGAACAAGAAGCGGCCGAGGCTGCATTCGTAGAAAGGATGAGGAACTTCGTTGCGCCAAACCCTTCTCCTCGCAACCCACGCATCAGCAGAGAATCTAGCTTTGCGGACATGATCGAGGAAGGCTACCAAGCCGATGGCCACAAGACATGGGGCTACGTGATCTATCGCACGACGTACGAAAGCGACGCAGATTGGGTGGACTTCATGCAGCGCCTACGATGGTGGACCATAGACACTATGGAGATTTTCAATGGTCAGGATGTCCTAGACCGCATGACATGGACCATCTTCGACGACCGCGAGCGCTTTGACCGCGCAGACACGGCAGCCATTCGTCGCCACTTTCGCGCATGGGCCGAGACAGCTGTTCAAACCGAGCAACAGTCTAACGATGCCCCTCTGGTTAGTGAGGGCCGCTCGCCACGCTACAGATACTGCATACAAGTCGATGCAGACGCGCTCCACTCCTGCGTGCACGGCGGTCCGCCGCCGCCTGATTGTGAGCTTGAGCAGGTGGGCTGGCTGAAGGTTATTGACAAAAACTGGCTCCCGCGCCATGAGGATCCGAGATTTGCTGGGAGGCGGCCGGCTCCTCACGCGTACGACTTTGAGCCCATCGATGGCGTGACAGAAGAGCACGTCGGTTGGCTCAAATGTCCGCTGTCGGCCGCCATGACCGAGTACTACTATATGTTTCTCGACCTTAATGGATGGACGCTTGTGTATCAACGACCGCCTAAAGTGATCGGGTATTGATGGGACCATGTGCGCTTTCTACTGCTTGAAGTCAAGCGATCTTGACAGCAGAGTTTTGCAAGATGTTTTGGAAAGTGCTCTCATCATGGTCACGCATGAGTAATGGGAAAGCCCAGCTTGGTGAAGGAGAGGGCTCGAGGTTCGTGACGTCAACGAGATCTGGCGGGGGATGTTGGTCGATCCAGCAGATGGCGACAGTCTGAATCAACTGGAAAACCGCATGTCGGGATTGGAACACTTGCAGTGGTGAATCAAGCTACCTGACATGAGCAAGTTACAGGTGGGGAAATGTGTCGAATATTGAAGAGCCTGGAACACTTCCATCGCATGCAAAGCATGTTTTTGGAACTCAGCATTTATTGAATACCTAATAACAGACTCCGAAGGCCTTTTGACATCCCCTTCCGCACCAGGCATCACTGCCTCCACACCAGCCATAAATACTGCAGCAGCTATTGTATGGGCAGTATTTGTTACCAAAAGAAGGTCCACAACGCAAGTCGGTACTGATATCGTTGTACGCTGTTGCCGTCGCGACAACGGTAGATGTGGAGACAACTGTCTGAGTAGTGGGAACAATCTGAGTGGAGGTTGTAGAGACGGTAGCAGTGCCAGTCGCAACCTGGGAACAAGCCAGAGAGATTGAAGCGGGCTCCCAAGAGATGATGGAGGCAGGAGTTGTGTTGGCGCGTTTTGCGAGCTCAGTTGTCTCGGTGGCGGCAGCAGTTGCAATCTCAGTGGCCGCTGCGGTCGAGGCAGTTGATGACAATGTTGCGTCCATGGTGATGGTAGTCAGAGGTGCGTTCATCGCCTCAGTCAAGTTGGGGAAGATCTGAATCAATTCGAGAAGTTCAGCACCGGTAGGCAGAGCGAGTCCATAGTCATTGACAACAACATCGCGCTTGAAGCGACGGTGTGGGTGGGAGATGCTTTGATGATGATTAGTCATTTTTCAGGTAGAAATCGGCGCCTTGCTTACTATGAAGTCGAAGTGGCAGTGATGGTGACAGTCGAAGTCGTCAAGCTTGTGCTGGTGGAAACTGTGGAGAATGAGGCTGTGGATGTCGGTGCAGAGTATCCGATGTATGAGGTACAGAAATCGGCGCCCTGAGACTGGAGGTATGAAATGTCGTTGGGACAGACCGGGATACCTGGCGAGGCATTGTTCGAGTAGATGAAACTGTAGCCTGGGGTGTAGGTAGTAGAACCAGAAGTTGTGTGCTATATCATATTAGTTAAACTGGTTGCACATCAGGAGAGCTTTTGCATAACTCACATCAACGGTAGCGTATGACTTGTCCCAAGTCTGCGAATAGATGGCACAGTACTGTCCCTTGGGATTGCCATTCTGCGCCATCATATAGGTGGAGAAGAACTTGCAAATCTGAGGCTTGCCACTGGCGGGAGGGTTTGCAATGTTGTATTGGTTCTGCGAGTTGCAAACAGCAGCGCAGAGCGAAGGATCGAAGTAGCTGTTGGTCAGAAGCTTGGAGCCCATGTAGGTATCCTTGCCATTGCAATCGAGAGGGGCGTCGAGAGAGAAGTCACCGACAGCAATGCCAGTGAAGCCCTGTACAGTTGGCACAGCACTTTTCATGTAACCATTGGATCCTGCAATGACCACATGGAACTTGTTGCGCCATTGGCCCTTATTCTTGACATTGGCAGCAGCAACATAGCCTCCCCAGAAGACACAGCGAATTGTTGTGGTGGAAGCAGGGTTGGGACAAGCATCTGCAGGTTCGACCGTTGGATCACGTTCGAAGAAGATGTTTATGCCTGTGCAACCACGGATGTTGTCGCATTTGGAAGCGCAGGCTTGAACATCGTACGAAGCCAAGTTGGTAAAGCCGAGGTAGCCGTACGAGTTGCTGCTGCCCTGAAGGTTGGTGAAAGTGTTGTAGTAGCCGTTGGGGGTTACGGCATTGTTGGCAGCACCGGACAAGTCGGTTGAGCTCAGAAAGGCCGTATCGGTATCAGGGCTCGGGACAGGACCAGATCCCAAAGGTTGTGAAGCGCAGGCCGACCTGGCAGACAGATCACGCTTCAAGGCCTGAACAGGAAGTGCAGAGGCGGTAGCTTGAGCTGTTGCTTGCGCAAGATCGTAGGTGACACTCTCTGCAGTAGGACCAAGGGGAATTGAAGCAGTGGTGATATCAGGAACTGAGTTGAGAAGGTCAAAGTCGAGTTCCTGGCGTGCAACCAGTGGGGAAGCTCCGGCAAGGACTGCAAAGGCAGAAACGAAAGCAGTGCTTGACTTCATTGTGGAGCGAGTTCAGCGTCTGCTTGATATGAGAATGAGAATGCTGAGTTGATGATGCCTGGATTGCGTGCTGCGTACTCTGTCTTATATGTCTTCTGCACCAGTCTCTTCATATCATGGCACTCGCCTGACTCCAGGCATATGTTCTGTGCTATTGCTCGCGCATCATTCCAGACTTCGACACGAGTGTCACTAGCAAGAGGAGATTGCTATAACGGCCAGCTGAACATCTGAACTCTGAAAGTTCATGATCATATTCCATTGTCGGCGAGGCAGACGGACTGTGCACTCTTGAGCCAAGCAGCAGCTGAAGTCTCATATGGACGTGCGAGGTTGAAGTGGCTGGGCCAGTCCTGCTGTCACTTCGCTTACGCGAAACGGTCTCTCGTAGAAGAAGTTTGGTAAAAGTGCACGCGCCGACCCGGGTCCGTGCCGTGCCCTGTCGTAGAGCGGTGAAGAAAAACGAAGTTTGTCAAAAGTTCTCAGCCGCACTCAGGGGAAGGCGCTTGGACTACGGGAAAAGTTCGGCAACAGAAGAAGAGGCAATCTCTTGCTCCATTCGACTCGAGTGCATGCGCAAGGCCAAAAGTAGCATGGCTTCGGGGCAAGTCCAGACTGTTCCAATGCTGTTTCTAGAAAGTCGTCCGAATAAAGTATGGTAAATGTAATCTCCTGGCTCGAACCAAAGGTCGTACGTTCAACTGATTAGTAGTGTATGTTTGCAGTCCATGTACATTACTCTCAGCGCGAGGCAGAACTGTATCTCCCGAGGCACATATGGTTTGTGATGGAGAACGCGATCAGCACACTTCTCAACCTCGAATGTCCATCGTGACCGGCTTCGGATTCTTCGAGGCTGATAAACAAGACACGAGCAAAAATCAGAGATCCCTACCCATCAGACCCCGATACCTCTCCACAGTCCCAGGTCTGGGGTCCACAATTGACGCACAAAGAAGCAAGAGCCTTTAAGTAGTGGCCAGAATTCAGACACGACAACCGACAGGGCAACGCGCATATATCCGGGGTAGTGATTGGCAGGTGGCGGACCTCGTGGAGGCTGATCTCCAATCTTCCAATCGAAGTGGACGTCAACAGCCCAAATCCAAGGTTCGACATCAGCCGTTTGATGGAGAAGAGAGTTAACAGCCTTTATATCGGCAACAAGAATCATGTTTGTTCGGAGGCCAGGCGGCACAATGTCATCCCCGCAAAGGTCATTGTAGTAGCTATGAGTTAGAATGATCAGCTTGGTCCGCATATCATCGAAGACAGAGATTCACATGACTTACAACACCGCGCCGTGCCAGCCCGTGCCATTCAGATCCTCATCCTCCACATTCATAGTCATCAACTTGTCGGCGATGCTTTGGCCACCCTGACTCTCTTCCAGACTTCGGTCCAAGTACTCCTGGAAAGCTGTATTCCAACGGGTCCAAGCGTCCTCATCGCTGTAGTCCAACCGTACCAGAACGAAGCCAAAGTCATTATAGCCTGCCTCCTGAACCACTTGCATTACAGCATCGACATCGGGCTTGGGCACTATCTGTTTTGCCGTAGACAGGATGTTCGGTACATCAGGATTGGCAAGAGACTTGGTGCGTTCGTCGGCCAGCCATTTGCGCATGCGTTGTTGGGTCACGGCACATTCAGTAGCATCTTCTGGCAACAGCGTGTCGGGTTTAAAGCGCGGAAGTACTGGGGGTAGCTTCAGGCGCTCTCGTTCCAGCCGTGTGACCTCATCCATGCGCGCTCCAAAGATTATGTCCTGAGCTGCGGGCGATGATACAGTCATCGGCGAGATCAGATGAAGTGTCTGTCGAGCATGAGCGGGAATCGCATCCATGACAGTAACAAACGTACCGAGTAGTTTGCTGTGGTGAAAGTGACCCACCCATCTCATAGAGGTCACGGACCTCCTTTGCTCCGTTGTCATCGTCCCTCAAAGTATTCGCAGCCATGGCAACATTCTCGATGGAGATTCGAAAACCTGTAACTTCGTATGGCTCTTCGAAGTCGACATAGACCAGAGATACGCCATTAGCTTTCCAGTCTTCATCATGCGCTGCCAGGAAACCGAACGGAAAGTATTCCAGCTTGTCCGCTTGAGTTGTGCAGTAGTGGATGTGGACGTCAACGATTCCACTAAGCGTCTGCTGTTGTGTCTCCAATTCGGCAGCGCGTTGTGCGAGGAAGATCTCATGGGGTTCGTTGCCAATGATGTTGTCCTTGTTGATCACAGCCACGAGGCCATCGGAATCATGTTCGGGAATGCCTGCCAGATTGTAGACTGCAAATGGGAGGAATTCGGCGCCTCGAACCTCACTGAGCGGCGCGATCTTGGGTGCAAATTTTGGAACAAGAAGTTGATGTGAAGCAGACATAATATGCCGAGTGTGGTGTGTGAGGTCAAATTGCACGCGGCTCTAGTATAGTGAGACGTCGTTGGACGGTGATCAAGGGACGTTGGAGGAATCCTGGATTCTGCTTCCGGGGTGATCCCGGACCTGCGATTTATTTGTCTTGCCAGTGGAAGATGTGCAAGCAAGGTAAGTGCAGACGAGCTTGTCGCAGCGATCGCTTCACATGCTCTTTCCAATGCTGCTCGATCACGAAGGTGTTTTCTCTGTGGGCGAATGAGATTCACACATTACTAACTCTGTCAAACACGCATCGTACAGTACAAGAAGGTCAAAAATGTCACCAACACCTTGCTTCCCAGCCTTGGGCGCCACGCTTTTCATCAGTCATATCGTACAACCTCATTCTGAGGCATCCTCACAGTTTCACCAGTTCCTCAACTCACTACTTGGGGAAAGCCTTGCCAGCACCCTCAAGGGTCTTTTCCTCATAAGCTCCAATCTGAGCACCAGCATTAGCGGCATCACCAGTGAGTTGACCGTCAATGCTGTCGCCGTTGTCCTTGACAATGCTTGCAAGGTCATCCTCATGAGCAGCCGAGAGCACGTTGGCAGCTCCATTGGAGATCTTGTCAGCCTGGCGCTTTCTAAGGATAGACTTGCCAACATTCTCAAGAGTGGACTCCTCGGCGCTGCCGACTTGAGCTCCAGCATTGGCGGCAGCACTAGTCAATTCACCATCGACATTGTCGCCAATGGTCTTCTCGGGACCGGCAACTGCGTCAAACTTGGCGGCGGTGAGCACGTCGGAAAGGCCGTTGGCGATCTTGTCGGCCTGGCGTCTGGCCTTGGGGCCCTTTGGTGGAGGTGGTGGGGGAGCAGCGCCGCTGCCACCAGTAGTGGTGGACGAAGAGGTACCACCGAGTGCAGAAGCGACGTTGTCCTCAGCGTTCTCAACGCCATAGCCTACACCATTGTCGGTGCTGCTGAGAACTGAGTTGCAAGCAGCGCCTTCACCAGCCAATTGGCGACGGGTGACCTTGCTGATTGTAGATGCGACGTTGTCTGTTGGTTTGTCAGCACAGCACTGGATCTCGAAAGGTCACGACCAACCTTCGGCATTCTCAACACCGTAGCCGACTCCATTGTCAGTGCTGCTCAAGACAGAGTCGCAAGCAGAGCCTTCTCCAGCAAGCTGAGGAACTGGGGCTGCAAGAGCAGTGAAGGCCTGGAATGCGGCCAGGAGGAGAAGTGTCTTCTGAATCGAAGGCATCTTTCGACTCGATCAAGAATTGGAGAAGAAAGGTGAGACTGTGAGGACGGAGGCTGTTCTGTTGGTATTGGTTTTGTTGTTCTTGCTGGATAATTGTGGTAAGTGCGAGGCTACGTCTGATATTTATATGCGCAGAACTCCATAGTGGACCTCAGCTCCTATGCCAGCCCGTGGTATAGCATCATCGCCATCACTTTCGTAGGATTAGGGCAGGAAAAGGTAGTGATCCTGTGTGATGACCCTTTATGGTTCATACCCGTGTAGATCTGCTTACATTTGGCTTGAGGCTTGTTCATGCTTCCCCAAAGGCTCGGCCGAAAGCCTATACCTCGTATGACGCGGGATGCTGGTCTACAGTAACTCTTCCCGTGTGATATGGCGGCTGAATCTCTGGAGAGGTCGACTCATTCGACTTGACTCATGAATTTCGCGAGCAGCGTTCGCCAGGAGTTGCTACCTGCTGACCTCTCCTGGACTTCGTTAAAAATTCATGATCATCGTTCACGCAGCCGTCATCTGTCAGTAAGTGTCCACGAGCAATGAGCACGTGTCGATAGACGACAGAAACTGAAGATCTCAAGCTATACCACGTTGGACATGAGATAGGGCTGTTCTTGTTCACTGCTGCGAGACGCCTGCAATTCAAGGCATACTGAACTGATGTTCCGATTTTCCGTGCCCATACGCTCAGATGCAGACGTCGAGTCTCATAACGATGCAACGTGAACCCGCCAGTATAGGAGTGAGGACTCCGGCTAGTCGTGCTTGGTGTGGCTGCAATACAGTATCTTCCATCGCAAGATGAAGTCAGAGGCGTTGTCTTGGCGTCCCTGAGGAGTGAACATAGTCGTTGCCGGAGCTGAGCCTGCAGGCTGACGACAATCGCGGGCATGAGGGTCTGGTCCCTTGCTGGAGGGGTGGGCTTGATTTGTGTATACCGGAGAGCTTAAACAAAAGTCAAGCACGTACAAGCAAGCGGAAAGTGCTTGGCGTTACGGTGGAGGCGCTTTTGGTGGCTTGAAGGAGCCGCCAATCCCTCGATATAGCGGCAAGCGAGGGGACTTTCTCACAACTCACAACAACCATACTTTCCGCGGCGTCGACAGTCCGAAAGCATTCAATGCATATCGCCCTGAGGAGTCACAGCTGACAGTGATGCAGGGGAGCTGAAATACAATCGTCGCTCATTGGTTGGCTCTCGGAAAACCATGTCTTGTGTTGAGAATAATACGAAAAGGGCTGAAGGATGAGCTCTGCTACCATGCAGCGTAGATCTTGGAGGTTAATCCTTTCGAAAGATGGCGGTAATAATACCTGAGCGTCATGTCGAAAATCATGAGTGCATCACAAAGCAAGCATGCGCGAAAGTGACGCCCTCACAATCGCATGCAACAGGCCGACGCGCTGCCGGGTCATGCCTTCATCAATCAACAGTCGAAGTGTCAAAGTCATCTGTCAGGAAGACCGGCTCTCTATTCACACAGGCATGTTCATGCACTTGATATAGCTCAAGTTGGTGCTCATGCAAATTTTGAAACAAACAAACATGTCAGATGAAGATTGCAAATGTGCGTCATGTCTGCGCGCGCCTGTTTCCATTTTGTCGGACTTTACACAAGATTGAGATTTCGGAACCTGGCATCACATCATCTCCTTGTTCGGAGTACATACGATCAGCTCGGTAAAAATTTCCATGGAAATAGCTGCAAATTCTCTACTAGACATCTACAACTGGTCCTGCCACTTGTATGCCGGCTTGAAGCCGATCTCCTTCTTGGCCTTGTCAATAGAAAGCAAGGTATCGTTGGGGCCTGAGGTAGCATTGTACTTGACACCAGGGAAGGCCTTCTTGACGAGTTCGTCATTCGATTGTCTCATGCAGGTATCCTCAGCGGCAATCAGGTACTGATGATGACCCTTGGTCTTGCTGTCCAGCGACTTGGAAACGGCTTGACCACCATCTCTGGCGTCAATGTATCCCCAGCAGTTCCAGTATCTCTTCATCGGGTCGTCTTGCCAGGATTCAAAGGTCTTGTACTCCTCTGGAAGCATGACGTTGCTGAATCTCAGCGAGATGATCTTGACTTCGGGGTCCCATCTTGCGTATTGCTCTGCCAGTGTCTCGCCGACCAACTTTGACAATGAGTATGCCGACTCTGGTCTTCTCTCATGCTCTTCTGTGATAGGCAGCGACTCAGGCATATGAGGGTCGAAGGGGATGCCGATGAGTGTTTCGGAGGATGCAAGGACGATGTTCTTGATCTTGAGCTTGCGACAAGCTTCGAGAACGTTGTATGTGCTCATCGTGTTGGTACGGAACTGTCTAGAGCTGTTGGTCTGGCCAGGGNNGGAGGGTATGGCGGCCAAATGGACGACGGCGTCGATGCCGTTGTATGCCATGTCCNNTAAAAGTTGTCAATGGCTGCTGAGAACGATCGAGATACCAAAGCTGCTTACGGTTGTGAGGAATGTCTCGATCACAGCTCCCATGTCCTCGAGGTCGATCTCTACCAGGCGGTATGCGCCTCCGAGACCTGACTTGCCATCCTCGCTGATACCAGGAGGGCGACGAGTGTCGACCGAGATGACCTCCCAACCCTCATCAGCGAGATATCTGACTGTTGAGCGACCGAGCTTGCCACTGCCGCCAGTGACGATGACTCTGCGCTTGTTCTCTCCTCTCTTTGCTTCGCCAAGAGCGAGCTTGTCTGTGAATGATGCTGGAGGACTCATGTTAAACGTTGATGATTGCGACGACGAAGATGTGGACGGCTCGACTGCATATAAGTCCTTCAGCAAGAATTATCGCCGGCGTGAAGACCGATGCTTATGTCATGAATGCATTCTTCCACCTTCAGCCGCATGTTCATCTTGCCCTTGGAGTCGGTAGTTACACTCGGTGTATCTCTCAGCGAGCGAATCACGTCGCCGTGGTGGCATTCTCCAGGTGGAGATCTCCTCCACCGCCCGCATCTATGACCCGCGTCTCCACAAAAGCGACTTTACCCGGTGATCGCTTGGCTGTAGCTTGTTTGACAGACAGGGCCACGACCTATGCATCTCCGAGAGTGTCTTGACAGTCTTCTTCGAATTGGTAACTGCGATGTGAAGCTTGCTATGCTACAAAGCTTTCGCTTCCTCTGGTTCCAAGAAAACCTCCTTGTATCATCCTTTGCTCAACTACAAAGCGTCACATTAGAGAGATGGGCCGGGTGCACGGACCTCCTCAGAGATGATGTTGATGGCACCCTGCCTGCTCTGTATCATATCAATCATGAGTACATCCGTCTTCCAATTATCATGATTCTTCCTTTTGGTGTAGAACAACCATGCCGAAACTAACCCAACTTACGAACCCAACATCAAAATACAGTCTACTGAAGTTTCGAACATCCACTTCTCACATGTCTATCATGCCGCAGATTTGCGTTGATAAACCCTCACACATGTTGTCAAGCATAGTACATAGATTTGTAGCCTGAGTGAGATCAATTCTATGTTCAGAGGCATCCATGCACTACTACCAGCCATCGCAAACGACAGATATGCCATGCTCCAAATCGCGATTGCAGGCATGTCGTACTTGTTCTTGGGTGCGAAGAATTCCTCCTAAATGCCAAGACCATTGATGGCAACTTGACGCCATCGGGTCACCCTAGCTCTCTGTGACTATGCGATATGGTGGATGCGTCGACGGGCATGAGAATTATTGGCGCTACTTCCGTTACAGCCCCGTCAAGGTATTGGAAGGAAGTTTCACACATCATCTATCTTGTAACATCTTGTGTACGATGCCAGCCACGAAGCCAGGGGCAGACCCCAGTCAGACAAAAAAAAAATGCAATCAAACCCGACCTGAGAGACACTCTGTAATATGGTCGCTTCATCTCGCGACTGCCCGAACAATTATCATCGCCCGGAGCTCACAGTGGTTTGCGACTCTTTTGGTGCTTGCGGGGCTCCAACGTATTCGGCAAAGACTTTACCCGATACATGCCTTGTGATTAGGGTTTCATGAACTAACTACACTCACGCTTGTCGTCACGCATGCCTGTATACACGTCTGCGGGGTTGGGCACTCTGTAACCATTGATCTATCGTCAGGGCTTTCTTTAGGGCTTCGGTTATCATTTCGAACACCCGATCATGACCTCGGCCATAATGTGGCAGACCACTATTTGAGCTGACAAGAATCCTCAGGTCATTGACCAGTAAACGCAAACTGAAGTCATGTTGCTCCAGACATTTGCGGCTTCGATCATCGTGAGCTTGGCTCATGCTTCATTCACACCTTCTTCCGATGGCTTGACAGTTAACACCACCAGTGGACAGCTCCGTGGATTTGTCAACCAAACATCCCCTGATGTTCGTCAATTCCTCGGCGTCCCTTATGCTCAACCACCAGTGGGGCCTCTACGATTCGCTCCACCACAGGACGCAGTCTTCAAGCAACAGATCATCAACGCAACCGCCCTTCCCAACTCATGCATGCAGCAATTCTCCAATGGCTCAACCATCTATACTGCTTACGAAACTGAGTTTCTGATCAGTGGTGGACAATCAGAAGATTGCCTCTACCTCTCTATATGGACACCCTCGGTGACTGGCATCGATGCCAATGGCTCTCCCTTACCCGTCTTCCTCTACATACCAGGAGGCGGATTCACCAGTGGAGGCCAGAACTCGATGTACAAGATTCCAGACAAGTGGGTACAAAGAACTCAGTCACATATTGTGGTCATCATGAAGTAAGTCCCGAAGTACGACGCTCATGGTACAATTTCTGACTACAGATNNAGTTACCGAGTCAACGTTTTCGGTTTTCCCAATGCTGCTGCCTTGACGCATCAGAATCTCGGACTGCTTGATCAGCGTAAAGCGTGAGTCAGTACTATTCCCTGATCCTGGCCCGTGCTCATCCTGAACAGCGTCGAGTGGACTCATCGAAACATTGCTCAATTTGGCGGGGATCCTGATAGGATTACTCTCTGGGGCCAGTCGGCTGGCGGAGCAAGTGTTGCCAACTACCCCTACGCTTTTGCAGATGAGCCCATCGTGGCAGGTTTGATTGCTGACTCAGGGGCTACTGGTATCATCGCAAAATCTGATCCTACGCACTCCAACTTTACCGCGCTGGCTGGTATGGTTGGATGCGGCAACATGAATGCATCGGCCGAGCTTGAATGCGTCCGCAGTGTTGATTCAACGGTGTTGGAGAACGCTCTCTCGAATTACGTTATCAGCAAGAAGTCGCCTACAATCTCGTTTACTCCTTCTGACGACAACATCACAGTCTTTACCAACTACACTGATCGCATTATTCATGGGCACCTTGCGAAGCTAGTAAGTTCGACCTCTTGGTCACTTTCGAGTTAACGTATACTAATGAACACATATAGCNCACTGATCACTGGATCAAACACCAACGAGGGAGCTGGGTTTATACCTTTCACACCATCTGGTCCTGGTAACACGACTCTTGTCAATACTACCTTGTCTATCATTGCCTGCCCTGTGGCACAAGATGTCGCTCGCCGCAATCTCTTTCCATCGGACTACCCTACCTATCGCTATCTTTACACTGGGAACTTCAGCAACATTTCACCTGTTTCTTGGTTCGGGGCATATCATAGCGCCGAGCTTCCCTTGCTGTTCGGCACACATGATGAGTACGGCCCTGGCAACTCTACCAGTTTCGAATTCGCGGTGAGTCAAACGATGGAGGCTTTGTGGTTGAGCTTCGCGGTAAATCCAGCTGCTGGTCCCAAGAGATTTAACAGCTCTGATGGTGGTTACTTTGCTTGGCCGCAATTCAGTCAAAATTCAAGCAATCTTGTTGTGTTTGCAGAAGGAGGCCNNAAGCTTTCGAGTGCGGGCCTTCGAGTGGACAATTCTTGCGGGCTTTGATCATGCGGAGGGTGTAAATGGTCAAACATTTGAAATCTCATTCTGTGCACCAGGTTCTTGTCAAAACTGGGAGACTGAAGTCTGAAAGACGAACAGCCTAAGTACGTACAGCAAATATGCCATAGGAAGAAGCTAGAGCCTAAAACATCAGCACGCTGTCTTGGAAATTACCAGTTCAACTGTGACTTCCAGTACTTGAGGACATCCACGTCAAGAACATTGATGTGCACTTAGGGGCTAACCTAGACCAGATATTATTGGAGAATCAAGCTCGAGAGAAACATGCGAAATGGGCATCGAATCTCGATCGCTCATGGTTCGTACATGACATAGTTTATAAATGTAGTCTGAACTAGCCCTAACCAACCATGTCTCAATTGGCCTCCGACCCCTGGGCACCACACTTCTCGGAACAGTAGTACTCCATCNNTGAGCACCATAGATCAGTCAAGCTCGACAACAACATGCAGGAAAGACCATTCACCTCGTCAACACCGATATGCCACCCAGCAGAATTGCACTGAAGACCATCCTGATTGAACATTGGCAGATGGACCTGCGATCACGTGAACCGATACTTACAANNAATTCAATCTTCACACTTGTCCCACTGACTGTCGCCAGTGTTACGTTGCTTGTAGTAGTCACAGGCACATTGCGTTGCCTTGGTGTCGATCTCGTAGTTCTCCTGCCAATTGTAGCTAACACTCCATGCAGTTCCACCTACTGGAGATGAAGTTCTGCCAGTCACGCAGACAGCAGAGTTGTGGACTTTTGCATCGACCCTGTGTGATGATAGTTGTCAGAAAATGCTTCGAAAGGTCATGATCGATTGAAGATTTATACCCNNGTGGGTCAAAGCAGCAACCAACAAATAGCACAAGATGGTCTTCATTATGTTGGAAGAAGACGAGGAACGGTGAAGAAGCGCAGTGAAGTGTGAAGAAGCGCAGTGAAGTGTGAAGGATGGAAGGATGATTTGGAGAGTGACCATCCGGCAGTATGCGCCAACGATCCTACATATATTCTCACTGCTGGACCGACAAGTTTCTTGTTGAGCATTTTGAATACCTCGAGGAGTCAACATAAGCGATGATAGATGATGGATTCGTGTTCAAACTCTGACTTAGCTTGGAAGCCATCTTGGTTGAGCACCTAACGAACTTGGCGGTTTGATCTTGAGCTCGGTCGTGGTGTGACCATCTTGGTACATCCTGTCGCCTCAAGCGTGGTGTTGCCCGAATACGTGCCTCGATCGTGAGCCCATCAGTAGAGTTGAATCGACCTTCGAGTGTATCGAACAATCCACCTTGCTATAGCCATGCGAGTGCAGATGATGCCAATCTCGACCTGTCATTTTTGTCGTGCACAGAACGCTACAACACCACATCTCGGAGCTCCATTCATACAACCGTCGGTACTGCTTTCACAGTGCATAGACTCTAGGGCATCTGATATGGTTAGAATGGTGCGACCGTATCTCACTAACTGCATGATCAACACTGCCTCGATACAATGCCTGGTCGTTCCGTAGCGCAGATCGGAGCTGATTGACATGAGGTTCCTTGAAACCCCAGCGTCGCCTCATTTTCCCCAGATCACGTCCCGGCCCGAATAGGACACTCCACGTTGGTGTTTGCGGCCACTAAGGCATCAAAGTCTAATCATCCTAGTGTGTTTCGGATGCTCGTATCTGCCATTCAACCTCTTCAGCATGGCCAGGATCCTTCGATATAGCAGTATACCATGCTTGGCAACACTCAACATGCCTCAAGCCGTGAGCACTCAGAATGTCACTGGAGGACTTTGCTTGATGCTTGGGTCAGATATAGGAGGCAGTGCCTGACTGTGCAAGTCTTTGCTATCGTCAAACATCAATCGTCTGATCTGACTTCACTTCACTTCCTGCGAAAATGATCTCCTCCCTTGTTCTCATCTCTTATGCGCTGTCTGCATTGGCATCTCCAGTCAATCTCCATGATGGAGGTGTTAGTAATGGTACCTTGTCTGAAGACATCATGATTTTGAACAAGCATGGTGCATGTAAGTCTCATCCTTTGGCTGAGCTTCCTCAAAATTCAGACTCTCGAACTGACTTCATCCACAGTCGAGACTATCAAGCAGAACGATTGGCTCAATTCGCTCAAGGCTGCCGGAGTCCTCCTCGAGAAATCCACAGTCGATGAGGCTCACGTCAATGGCACTGCTGTACCCATCGGCAACTTTTCGACCAACGGTACCCTGAGCAAGCGTCAAGCAAGCTGCGACAGTACCTACGCAATCATCACAGACACCACTCAGCGCTTCGTCGACTGGGATGTCCAAATGTCGCCCGTTGTCTGCGGCGTTGGTGACATGGACATCGATGTCATGAAAGGANTGTCAGTGCATCAGATTCGTGTCTCCATTCAGCTTTTGACAATTCTTCCAGATATGGTCGCGAACTCCGTCACTGTCAGTGGAGGTGTTAACCCAACACTCATTGCCGACAAGTTGACCGCACAATTTGGCGTCAGTTTCAGTCGTACCTGGACCACGCAGGACTCGATCACGACCAAAGGTACAGTCAAGGACGGCGACTGCGGTGTCATGATCACCAGACCTCTTGTCACACGTCGTTATGGCCGGACTATGCAAGGCTGTCCTGGTAGCTACAAGCAGATCGGTACTTGGATGGCTGACCAACATGGCGAGGGAAGTTATGCAGGAATTGATTGGGTTTCTGGTGCTATCTCTATGTGCAGCAAGAAGCAAGCCGCACCTCCTCTTACCCGCTGCCATGGTGCCGGCGAGTTTGTGTAAGCACGATAATTCGTGGACGGTGGAGGTGTATGAGGTCGAGTGGAAGTCAAGGTGCAGGTGGTCAGGGACTGTGTGTTAGCCATGGATCGACCCTTTGAGTTGCACCACCTATGACTGTTGGTGATGTGGGATATCAGAAATGACTGTGGCTGTTTTATTACTCTTGTCCAAGCTCTCGAAGAGTAGATCAGATGAAGATGTGGTAGAAGAGACAAGTTGTTTGTAGGTTGCCATTTGCGGCTGTCAGTTCTATCCAGCACACTTATGTTGAGGCATTGAACTCGTCATCAGTAAATTCCTCAGGTACCAGCCCACATGGTATAGAAGTATCAAGGACAGCTTTGTTAGAGAAGTATCATACTGACTTGTCAGTAGTTGCCGGTCTACAGTATCATGTCATTTGTCGCATACTGTTGTTGGCTCATGATCCCTCCATTCCTGCCCTAGGGCCCCGATCGTCCCGAAGCCCTGCGAGTCGTCGATGTATGCTATGGTCATTCTCGTACGTACGTCCGGCTGATCCATGGTATACGAGCAGGACAAGATCAAGGCGCAGATCAGACTGTTGTGTGATATTGCCCTGTCTAATGAGCGATTCATGCCTGCCAAGTTGACAGCTGAGATGGCGATCGCAATGTGTAAGCATCAGAGATTGTCAAGATTTCGATTCGCTCTGCTAATTCCACTGAAAGGTGGCGAACGCTTCACCGACCGTAAAGAGCAATATCAATTGCTCTCAACCCTTGTGGGAACTGAGGAACACATCGCATGGCCATTCCTGAAGTTCCAGGAGTTGGTGAAACAACAATGGGGCAGGGCATGATAGCCGCTAAGAGCAACATGAACCTGGTTCTGGAACCTACATATGCAGCTTGCCAGTTCATGTCGTTGGCAATGGCCGACTCGCAATGAGAGGGCTCGAAAGGCACAAAGATACAAGAGATCTCTAGATCATCTTGGGGAGTTGAGCTTGCGACTTCGGAGGACTGCCGCCATAGCGTAACTGCGTCGCATACGATCAAGTTTTTCTCCGGTCGTCGTTCGGGTCAAATTCAAAGCATATCGTTAGCATACGAAGCTGTTGATATGGATTGAGCCATGGACTGTGCGCTGGACTAGGTTGTAACGCTGCTGTTTTGCGAATACGAGATCTTATACGTGTATTCGAGAACCCACCGACTTTCATTGGCCGCAGATCTCTTTTGCTTGTGCTGCGCGTAGTGAACACTGTTATGCTCATAGAAAAGTATCCAGGTTATCACTCGCAAACTGCAAAACCACCTCTAACTTGATTGATAGTCTGGCACCCGCCAAAGACGAGACTCGTCACTCATGAGAGGTAAATGGCTTTGCGTCTTGTGTCTTCGGGATTGGCTTCGTTGGAGAGATAGCTACCTATATGGTTTAGCATGCGCAGAGATCCATCAGTCTATTCTGGGGGTCGCACGACGCGAGATGTTAGAGTTGGCCAAGGGTGTCAAATAACGGAAAAGGAAGATAACTAGACATCCAACGTGAGATATCGTGTAAACGCATGTCAGACTCTTCGTTGTCATCTTACGACAGCCGTATTCACGCGCCGGCTTGACACGCTAGAACTTTCACTCACACCTGTCATCGTTGTTCGTCCCGAAGACCAAGATATATCCGTGTCCGACTGTCGCGTGGGGTTGTCTTCTAGCACAATAGGTGCTATTTCGGCTGCTAAATTTACAATTCGGCAAACAAATGCATCGGTGCCCGAGAGGATTATGACAAACAAGCAGGGTGCTATGTTCAACAATGCTCGCGAATATCGAGCCTAGTGCAAACTCCAAAGCTGTTGGAAGGTGCGATTAGCGGCGTTGCACATGATTAGCTCTGTTGACAGCGGTGGAGACTTCCTCAATGACAGCAACAACACCCGAACCTCGAAGCCTTGCAATGTCACTCCTTCCTGAATTGGCTCATGCACACGAATGTCATTGGAAATCGATAGAAGTTGAAGTTTCGAACTTTCCTCAAGACTCGAAGATCCGGAGCCAAGCGAGAACGCATGTCTTGAGATCCTTTGTAGATCTTTTTCTTCCTATAGCCATGCCGACGCGTCGTTCGGTATCTCGAGCCGGGTGCCGAAAGCGAATATGGAGATTTCATTTGGGTCATCCCCAGATATGCTGTCCTTCTCCCACATCTCGATCAGAACTCTTCGACAACATTTCAAGCACCTCACAATTGCAAAGATCAGTTGGACCTTAGAGAGGCATATCGTGCTCCAACACTCACTTTTCATGTCGCATGGTAAAATTTCGACTCTGGCTGGTCTCGGCAAAGGACGACGTTGCTTGCGGCCGAACAAGTTCAAGCCGTTGTCAACGTCCTCTAGTTTTTGAGGATGTGGTTTCACTCAACCTGCTTTGGTCAGCGATATTTGCTGTGTCCCGCGGTCAATCGATGGAATTTGACCACGACATCCACAGATAAGGTCGAAAGTCCTAGAGTTCTAACGACGACGGCAATAGCTGTTTCTATCTGCGCCTATCTGGTCCGCTCCAGGAACACTCGGCTCAAGTTGATATTGTCGATTTATGATGCCTTGTGTCGCGCCAAGAGACGGTGATAGGGCTACTCACCAATAGTCGCATCCTCTCGATTCGTACATCATGTCTCAAATCCTTTGCAATATCTCTCTCCTTTGACACACATGTTACCGTTCAAGGCAAACATGACCTCGGCTTCGTTGCAGGAATCGCGCTGATTTGATTTTTCCATCGAATATCCAGCCTTCTTTCCCGACTGTGATTGAAGCTTCTTCGCTTGCTCCCTGTTCGGTTCACGGCAGAAAACCATAATCCCTGTCAACAGTCTCATCTACCCCTGCCTGGGATCAGAAACATCACGAGGTCGTTCGACTTGGTGGATTTTGTGTACGCGAAGGTGGCTCAAGCCACATACATACGTCTGTCAACCTTGGAACACGTTCTAGGATCCGTTTCAGGTCGTACCGAACACATATAGACGGTCCAGACACCTCGAGCCTGGAATCTGTCATACCATTCTTTTTCTGTCCTTTCAGTCGAGATCTCAGAACTCCCACAGCACCTATACACCTTGAGCACAATCCTTGCCAACCATCACAGGATATAGCGCTGGTCCGAACTACTCATTTGATGTCTGTTACTCTCATTACCTGAAATCATGGATCGTTCAGAAGGCTCATCGCTATCTCGCGATGCCGTCATGCTCACCAAGGAGTATTTGGCACAAGACCTGGTACCATCAATACTTGGTGTCACTGGTGTCTTCTGCTTCCTCTCTCTTATCATTGTGTCGCTCCGTCTGTATGCACGCGCATTCATGGTACGGCGCTTAGGTTGGGAGGATCTTCTGATCTTCATCACGGGACTTTTCGTTCTTGGATGCTGGATCTGCTTTGTCGGCGAGTCGAAGACTGGAGTTCTCGGTCGACACATGGAGACCGTCACGATACCGCAATATGAACGTTTCTTGTTGTGGACATTCCCGCACCAACTCTTCCTATCGCTCGGTGTTGGCACATTCAAGTGCAGTGTTGGCTTCTTTCTGATTCGAGTTGGTACGAGGAGATGGGGTCGATGGGTCTTGTATGGTCTGATGANNGTAAGTCGAGAACTTGGTTGTATCATTCGTGACTTTTGACTGATTGATGCAGCTTTCATCACAATCTGCTCCCTCGTATATGCTTCGACACTCTTCTGGGCGTGTATTCCTCTTCGAGCCAACTGGCATCTGGACGAGCAGAAGGATGCAAAGATGATCTCGACCAAGGTGTGGATGGGTCTCGCGATGTGGAACAGCATCTCGAACATGCTGACGGACAGCATCTTGGCTCTCTGGCCCATGCCACTCGTGCTCAGAATGAGGGTGTCAACATTCAAGAAGGCCGCGCTTGTAGCCGCATTGAGCCTGGGTTGGTTGGCAGTCGTGTGCGGAGCAGTCAAGACGTGGGCCATGTGGAACTATTTCAGCGTCACAGACAAGTACTACAAGGACCAGTACTTTNTCTGGAGCTTCCTCGAGTTGAGTGTTGGAACCATTGCAGCATCGGTGCCCTTACTGCAGCCTCTTGTCAACAGGATCCGCCGCTCTTCATCTTCCAAAAACGACAGTGGAAAGATTGTCTTGATGCCGCCGGTGGTCATGCTAGCGAAACCGGCCCAGGCACGTATTCGCCGACCAATCATTACGTGGACAGGCATGGGCTTCACCTCGTTCCAGGATGGCGAAGAGTTCAAGTACGATGATCGGGAACGAAGTGGTTCGAGTACGCGGATAGACATGGAAAGATCGGATAGCGGTACGATATTTGTAGGATACGAAGGCTCAAAAGCGGTTGCAACGAGGGCAACTAGGTCGGCTGTATAGATGAGCAACAAATAATGACTGGAATGACCAAAAGCACTTGACACCCAGACGCACCATCAGTAGAACGACACTTACAGGGCGAGGAACCTGGCGCAACCCTCCTTTGGCATAACACTGTCATCGTAGTCGCTGCTACACCTTAGACACGAAGCGCCTCAGACGAGCCGATTCAACGTAATTGCGCTCATGTTCCTTGTACTCAGGAGGTACTCGTGCCCAGGATGAACCAGGGAAGCAGCGAATAGGCAAGGAGCTCTACACTCCTCCTGCCCGCAAGCCGACGTTTCTCCGTGATCGGCTGCCAGGAGCGCGTCCAAGCAGAATGCGAAACTCAGTCTTTGCGACACCACAGAGCACCAGTGTTGATCTCGAACACTGGAATACATACTCCGCTCACTTTTGATCGCCCTTGACGACCTTGCATCGATACGCATTAGGCATGGATTACGCATAGTACATCGAGAAAGAGAAGGGAGACACCCACGCTGAGCTTCATGCCGGCACTCGACCATGATCGGATCTTGTCCCATCGCGCAGACCCGGTTCCAACACGCGCATCTGGTCATATTTCTCCGGATCTTACAGGATGAAAAGAGCTGGGTTTGAATGTGAACACCGCCGAGCTCTACGCAAACTCGCGTCACGCTCATCTTTGCCTTGCACCGCATCTTTGTATCATTGAATCTGAAGCGGCTGCTTCCTTGAGCGTGATTCTTTAGGGCATCGAGGTCGTGGATAACTCATTCGCGTCCTTTGTGCCCGAGAAGCAAGGTTAGGTTGTTGCGCGTCTGGACAATTCGCATCGGTTTTCTGGTAGGTTCAGAGTGTCTCTGTATACTGATTGCCGACTTCCAATCTTCTCTCCGATGACCCAAAGTGCTGGTGGTTCTGCGATTGATTTCTACTCTTACGCGTGAAAGGAGGATCCGATTGTTGCTGGCCTGATCTCTCAATCAGGAACAGCGCTGAGTTTTGCTGCAAACGTACCCGATATGTCGGCGAAATACTGGTATACAGCAGCAAGCTATCTTGGCTGTGGCAATTATGGCGATGTCATACCTTGCATGCGCAGCAAGAACATGACCGACATCCTCGAAGCTGCCGCCAAAGTGCCTTACGAGCCGACAACAGCGCTATATCAACCAGTCTTCCATCCCACCATCGACAACCAGACCGTATTCGCCGACTACGCTTCCCTATCCGCCAACGGCAATTTCGCAAGAATACCCTATCTAGCAGGTAACGTCGACTACGAAGCCGGCTTTTACAAACTAGCTGCTTGGGCAACCAACAGAACTTTAACACCCACTCAATGGGACAACTTTATCCTATCTGGCTTCACCTGCCCCAACAGCACCGAAACTGCAAATCGGGCAAAATACAATGTTCCCACCTGGCAATATCGCTACTTTGGCGAGTGGAAAAATTTGCGCTTGTATGTTGGTAGCTTACCATGGCAGTGAAATCACAATGGTTTTTGGGACTGCGGAGGATGTAAGTGGGGTGGAGAATGAGGCTAAGGAGAATGAGGTGTCGAGGTGGATGATGAAGGCTTGGGCTTTTTTTGCGCGTGATCCTGGGAGGGGATTGGGGGAGATGGGGTGGCCGAGGTATGAAGTTGGTAAGAAGAGTCTTGCGAGGTTGGCGTATGACAACATGACTAAGCCGTCGTTTGTTGATCGGGCTGTGTATGATGCAAAGTGTCCAGCGGTCGATGTTCCGAGTCCTGCTCATGGTGCTTTCTAATGTCTCATATGGCAGACACCGTCCAGAGCAGGAGCAAAATGATTTCCAGGAGGTCAGCAGCATGAATCGGTATCATCTCAAGAAGGCACAGGCATAGACGGAGAAGAGCTAAGAAATAAACATGAGTTCATTAAACTAAATCATTACGGAGACATCTCAAGACATGAACGTGCGACATCATCAATCATTTAACCCTGCATCTCGATACCACCGGTACCGTGGATACACTCGCCGGTGAAGTAGGAACCAAGAGGCGATGCCAGCTGAATGTAGGCGGTGGCAATCTCAATAGGCATACCAGTTCTGTTCAAAGGAGCCATGCCCACGCCGACATTCTTCATGCCTTCGGCAGGGACATTGGCGGTGGCGGGCTGAAGAGGGGTCCAGCTGCGAATGTGTTAGCTCATTGAAGCAGCGATGGTGATGAGGATGGCTTACATGATTCCAGGTGCGACAGCGTTAACTCTGATGCCTCTAGGTGCCTGCTGCTGTGCGAGTGCGCGGGTGAAAGTGACAATTGCGCCCTTGGTGGAGCTGTAGTCGATCTTTGAAGGGTCGCCCAAGTATGCGAGGACGGAGGCGGAGTTGACAATGTTGTCGCCGCGCTTCATGTGTTGGAGGGCGTACTTGCTCAGGGCCATCATCTGTCAGAGGGTGATTAGTATACAGTCCACCCTGATGAACAAGGTCGTAACATACNNCTGGATAATGTTGGTCTGGAAAGTCTTGGTGACGGTGGCGATATCAATCTCTCTGTGGTCCTCGCACGACTCCTGCATGGAAGCGTTGTTGACAAGGACGTTGATCTTTCCAAAGACCTTGATGTGCTCGTCGATGGCGGCCTTGCAGTTGGCCTCCTCCTTGAGGTCGTACTGCATGCCGTGGCCCTTGCGACCGGCTTTCTCAATCTGCTTGATGGTGTATTGTGCATCCTCCTCTTCTTCGGGCAAGTAGAGAATCGAAACATCGGCGCCTTCTCTAGCCATGAGGATGGCGACGGAGCGACCGATGCCGCTGTCACCACCAGTGATGAGGACAGCCTTGTCTTGGAGAAGACCTCTACCCTCGTACTCCTTGAGGTAGGGCTTGCCATTGTCATCCCAGTATTCGAGTTGTGTCCAGTTGGCCTGCTCCTTCATGTCTTTGTCAAGACCGGGGCCGCCCTGCTGGTCTTGTGCGGAGATTTGCCATGTGTAGGCGGTAACGGGACCTTCTTGTTCAGACATATTGATTTGGATGTATCTTGGAAATTGTGTATAAGGAAAAAGAGAACAGAAACAAGAGAGGGGGACTATAAAAAGTAGAGTGAGAGTGGATACAATGCTACTTGAACGGGTAATGCATCAACAGAGTGACATCACTGTCCGAGCTCAAGCTGGTGCTGTCATGGAGGCTCAAAGCTCACCGCGGGGCATGAGGGAAACTTTCGCGGCCGCTGAGGACAACAAACTTTCAGCCCCTTGTTCGCAACATCGCCCACAGCCACATCTTATGCCACTCGCTATCTTTGACGACGTCCGTCATCTGTTGGTCAATGATGACAATCCTGCGCGCGAGGAGGGCGACCTCGATTATGAGCGCTGCGCTGCTCTGCACAATGCCATCGTGAAGTATGGGTGGACTGCCAGCGGTCGCTCTCTTGATGAACTGCCCATGGTCACTGCCTGGGAAGCAGAACCAGATGAGTGGGAATTGAACATCGACCGTCTTCATCCATCCATGATCGAATTTCTTAAGAGAGCCTACATCACTGAGCTTCCCGACACAGAGCAGCAATACAATTGCATGCCGAGGGACTACAAGTTCTTCTATTTTCTGGAAGATCTCATCGGTCCCCATGGTCATGAGAACCCCGGATTCGATTACGACGCGTTTGCAGATTACCCTGGTCAGTATATGACCTTGTATACTGCAAACGATCGCCTGAGCTCTCATCCCTACGGACTTGTGTATGACGCCGTTCCTTCACTCACAGATACAAACAATGCTAATAAGCATAGTTACAACCAGGAATCACACGAGTGTGTCATCAACTTCTTTAATGTATACTTCAGCCCGGAATATGAAGCTATCCCTTGGCAAAGACTTGAGACCGTCCTCAGTGTTTACATTGACATGATTGAGTCCGAGAAAGTCGTCTGCATCCACAATGATGTCGAGCGACCTGGCGATTCAAAGGGTATGGTGGTAGATGGCGAGTTTCAATGGATCTACACCAAAGACCGACCAGATGCAATATTTGCTGATCCAGTGACTGGCGTTAAGCGAAACCCAGACGTTATGTTTGGGCCTTGGATTGTGCAGCCACACACGAAAGAAGTGCTGGAGGGATGTCTTCGGACCTGGGACTTGCTTGTCGAAGCCGTCGAAGATAAGATGACAACGGCTCCAGGCGTTGACACAGAGCCGGTGTATGGTCTGGCTGACGAAGAAATGCTCGAGTCAGCTGGAATTACCGAGGAATNNTTTCCAAACAGCTTCTATTGCGGGCCCGCAAACCTCGAGTCAGCTGGAATTACCGAGGAATTTTCCAAACAGCTTCTATTGCGGGCCCGCAAACCTCGATTCACCTTCGTTGCACCCGGGCTTCGACTATTGACACCAGAAGAAATAGTTGATCAACCGTTGAAGAGCATCATGACGAGCCAATCCGACGTGGAAGTTCGAAATAAGATGCCAATTCTTCTTNTCCGAGGCGACGACATATGCAAAGCGTCTTCCTGGTTTCCCCATCCATACACAACAGCCACAGATATACCTACAGGATTATATCTCGAGGGATGGACACAAGATGATTTGGTTCCTTTCACCGACGCAACACGGCTGTTACTGCCTTTTACGATTGGCGGCGAAGATACTTGGGCACGCACAGCGAACAACATATCGATTGCTAGCACTCACGACGACCTTTACCAGATCGGCGTGAACCCATTTGCTCCATATCATGGCGTGTCTTTGCTCGCAGTGCTGCAGAACTTCTATTTGCACATCCATCAAGGGATTTGGTCCGTGGATGAGAGTGGAGTCAGCGGCACTATCGACAAATTTCGAGAGGCGGAGACTGAAGAGTATTGGCACGAGTTCGTTGTGCCGATGGGTCCCAGCGAGTACTGGTAGTCAGCGACGTTCGAGGCGTGTTTGGTTCGACAGTGGACACCCGGCTTGAGAAGTCCTATCGTTCCAGTGTTGTGCCGTCTTTGATACGACGCAGAAAACACCAACGTTCACAGATGGGCGCAGAAACAACGACTTTAAGCATGACAGCCGGGATCGGGACCCAGTCAGTCTTATGAGAACCATTCCGATTCTTGACGATGCTCGAAGCGAAAACGAGTCGATGGTTTTGTGACCGTTGAGGCTTGTCCATCGGCGCGCCCGGATTAGACCCACTGCGGCTGGGGTAGCAACAACGGCCTTGTTTATCATCTTATGGCAATTGATGAGATTAGCGGTTCTTCCTCTGCAGTTCTCAGCATCGAGATTTGATTTATTCTGTGGGATGTTGTTGGTCTGCAGCAATTGGTGTCGTGCTGATGGCATGTTGAAGCAGCGCGTGTCGATCCGGCTAAGGTCTAAGGGTCATCCAGCCGCGGATTGACGGGAGAGTAAGCAGGACATGATTCAAGTCACCCTTGAGGGCTTGTTTTTCCCGTTCTCAGACTCACAAACGAAAACCGTATTTCCCAACTCGTCGCTGTATCTTGAATCAGCGGCTTGGGACAAGAAGGTACCAGGTACCGCACACGTGGTTGAGGATGTGAGCCATGCCTCCAGCGTTTCATTGTTTCAACGGCTCAACTTAGGCAGAATGTTCGCTCGCATGAAATTATGTCCATTGAATTATCGGTTCTAGACATGATCGAGATGTCACTGCCGCGTCGAGATCGGTCAAAGACCATCCGCTTTACCATTCACGGACTCGCAACTGCCGATGGCTTTCCTCTTTGGATAACAGCGTCCCAATCGTTCACCAGCCGTGTTTCGCTATGGCTTCGATTTTAGGGTTACTCTCACTGTTTCGAAGTCTCGTGAGAGGCTTTTCGGCATGCAGGGTCGACAAACGTAGAATCGCATTGACCAATAACTTTACCCATGTACCTGGAGTCCCCTCGTGGCTTTGACATTTAGGTCCACTTTGCCCCGACGAGTCGGTCGACTCGGCCCTCTTTCAAAGTGTCCGTCTGTGTGGAATTGATGGAGTTCCGTACTGCAATCGTGAGTCGAACTTGATCCATGCCACTACCTATTCATGGGTTGACTGACTTGTGTCATCAGATTGCTCAGGCGCTTCTACTTACGTTGACGCTGTCCATCACTCTCTTGCGATGCTTTGTCCGCTTAAGAATTGAAGCGCGTGCTCTTACTCTGTCTGACTACTTGGTGTGGGCGGGCTATGTGCTCACTGTCGCATTCGTAATATGCCAAGGCATTGCTTTGAATGCTGCACGAACGCATCCTCTCGTCGATGCTACGTACACAGATTCTGAGGTTTACCTCAAGGTTTGTCTTGCGCGGCCTATGGAAACCTCAACGCTTGTTGGCTAAACATACTCAGNNGCTGTCTTTGCATCATGCTTCTTCTTTGACGTTGGCTTGTTCATGCCAAAGGCGTCCATCACAGCCTTCTACTGGTGGCTCATCCCGAAAATGTTCAGAAACCTCAGAGTTCTGTTATGCGTTGTGACCATCTACCTCGGTCTTGCTCTGACTGCCGCTTTCTTCATCGATCTCCTGATCTGTTTCCCGATTAGTGAGAATTGGTCGCTGGACTACGACAAGCAAGGTCGTTCCATCTGGAATTCTTACACAGATTTCTGGCTCGAATGGATGCTGAACTTCTCAACGGATGTTNTTTCGTACGTTTGGCCCCCGCTCCTCTGGGCTGCTAGAGTCTGTTATCAGCCTGCCACATGCCCTGCTGGAAATGTCTCTGTGATGTTCTCCTGCTAGCCTGTGTCACTACCACGATATCGTACCGCAACAACTCGAGCAGCTAGTGAGGATGCTTTCAGCTGGTCAATATGTGCTAACCTGCTGACAGTCTTCTGCATCCCTTTCTTCATCATCAAATCCCTCAAGCTCCGCCAGAGACAGAAGTTCGGCCTGATGGGCGTTTTTTCCCTAGGTATCATCACGATGGCTATCAGTTTCGCCCGCTTTATGATCTACACGGTCTCGGACTACGACCTGGGCGACAATGATGGAGGTATCTCAACCACAATTATCAAAATGTGCTGTAAGGAGCATAAGCTAACATGCGGGATTGCTGCAGCCGTCATGTGTACAGCAGAAATGTGCACCTCGCTCATCGTCGCTTCGCTACCAGGCCTCAAAGTTCTCATCACACGGGGCATCAACAACGCTACCGGCTACAGCGGCTCAGGCTCGAACAAGCCTTCCAACGGTCCCAACTCCCAGAGCCGTATCGCAAACCTCTCTGCTCGCTTGTCTCGCCCGACGCGATCACCCTCTTTCGACGAATCCGAGTTCGAGTTGATCACAATGAATGCTTCGGACAAGCAGTTTCGTGGGAAGTTGGCGTCGACAGCAGGGAGTGAAGAGTTGGATACTCAGATTACGGTGAAACATGATTTCACTGTTGAGCATGGGATTGACAGTAAGAGAGGGTCATACCAAAACACTATGAGTCAGCCTTTCGTGTAGCACACCGAGCAGATCGAGAAACACAATCCTTATCTCACGCATATTATGATCGATTTGAACGATCATGAGCAAGTAATTCTTGTCTTCTTGTCTGCTTGAGGAAGTTGGTGCTGCATCGTCTGGTCCTGCAAAATCTTCAGAGTTGAGCGCAAGGCGTAAACATACAGTTGTCGACCAATATAGGGGTGTCACTGTTCGAGAAAACGGCATGTGATAATTCGCAAAGATCCAGGCACACATTCGGTCATCCCTTAGAGATCCTTGCAGGTGATGATACCACTTGATCAAGTTTTCTGATCACTCGACATGCAGCACATCCGGAAACATATTTGGGAATGGCTTTCCGACCAAATCAAACGGCTACTATGAGATTGGCCCGTGATCAGACTTCTCAGGCATTAAAAGCTTCCCTACTAATTTCGAGAAAATATCACATAACAAAGTAGATGAAGCGACGACCCCGTCTTCTTAACTCTCGAACAAATGCTAAACAGTCTCGAAGTGAGTCGCCCAGTAGCTCCAATTCAACATTGAGACGCACATCCAACTTGAGTTACACAATGCTGGAGAAAACGTATTAAGGTAGGAACAGCTACAATTCACTCCGCGATGAAGAACGAACGTGCGAAATCCCGAGATGATCAATCATTCCCTACTTGCCAAGCACAATTGGGTAGTTCCACAAGCCAGAGTTAGAGCATTCAAGGTACGTCTTGACATATGTGCCCAACCCAGCGTCGAAATAGCCACCTTGCCTGCGATCGTCAACTGTGACGCGGCGCTGCAAAACTCCACGAGTCCGATCAACTCTGAATAGTGCCAGCAACTTCTGGTCCTCCATCGCTTGCTCGATATTGGGAACAATGTCCCAGATCTTGAACTTAGCAGGTGCAGGCATCTTTTTATCCTTCCAAGCAGCGTACACCTCATCGGCAGATGCTTGAACAGCTTCCAGGCACAACTTCGCGTTCTGATCGTCAACGTTATCCTTCATCTTCTTGTCACCATAAAGATTCCACTTGTCTCCACGCCTGTTGGTAACGGCGAGTCCGATAGCAGATTCTTCGTCGTGCATGTACTGTAGAAGAAATCAGTCTTCGAAGTTCCATCCAACATTGCATCCACGATACCTTTGCGCAATAGTCCGCTGACTTGTCGATCATTCCATGTAGCTCCTTGCGTGGCGTTCGAATATGTCCTGCAGAGAACGAATCTTCAAGGAAGTGATCTGCAAAAGCATTGATGGTGTATGCAACATCCAGATTTCCATCAGGTTTTGAGGCTTCACGCAGAGCCAAGGTGTGTCCAGCAGTATACGATGTGTGCGCATGTTGACCAAAGTGATCCCAATTGATTGCAGCAAGACCTAGGTAACCCGGCTGAGCGATTGGTCTTCCAATGGTAGCTTGGATCAGTTTGTAAGTGATATCTTTCAGTTTGCTGTAAGTGATCGATGGATCTTCATTGTTGCGAATTGCTTCAGTGAAGACATCTACCTCTTCTTTCATCAACTTCTTCAGAACAACCAGTTCGTCAGGCGTTCTGTCCTTGTTCTGGTTGAGGTACCAGAAAGCCTTGTCGAATCGTGTGCATTGATCGTCAAAGGTGACTCCATCGCTGATTGGAGAAAAACTTCCGAAGAAGTCACCAGCAAATGCATTGATCTCGCCATAGGTAAGCAATGATCTGTTCTCCAGGGTGAACAAAACATCACTCCCGAGTTTCTTGCTGCCATCACTCATCTGCAACAAAATGTAGTCACCAAGATACCGGTGTTCGGCATATTCAAAGCCTTGATAGTGTCAGAATACTGTCAATGATAGGAAAGTGTCGCATACGGGGCGGTCCATCTGGATCTAGAGGTGGAAATCTTGCGATGGTTGTTGGACCATCAAAGAATGGCAGATCCAACGACTCTTCGTTGACTGCATCAGTATTTCTTTGCTCTGTGACTGACATAATGAAACTTGTTGAGGATTGCATTCATCTGAAGTGCACATGTGCCACCTTATATCTTATCACCCCAAGTGACCCCTCTACATTGAGGAGTTGAACATCACATGACGGTACTCTCACCATTTGCTGTTTCCGGCCACCAGGCAACTTGCGCTCAAGTCAACTATCATATGCTCACCAAGTCAGACAACATGCATGTCGGTTGAGCTGAGGCCTTGTAACATGGACGTCGCGTGTACTCAGCTTGAACGTTGTTGTCAATATAATCCGCCCGAACGTGGGGTCGTAGTCACTCATTCGTCGTTGTACATTCGGGACCCCGCATGTTCATGTCAAGTCTACAGCGGTCTTACAACGAATCGAAATTCTACAAACATGATCTACGTGCGTAGGTTGGACGCAGCTAGGGGTGACTAGTGATTTCAGCTCTCGGCTGCTCCGAATCGAAGCCTTGAGCTGCTTTTGAGGGGGCACTAACCCAAACGATTTGCTGCACAGGTTATCATGACCACAGGCTTTGATAAAACGTGGCGACTATAATCCATTGGCGTATCCTATACGAGTCCAGTGGCTGTAGAACCGTCTTGTTCAGCTGACTCTCGAGTCCTAGACAGCTATAGTTTGAGAGCCATATCATATTTCTACATGGACGCATACAGAAAAACAGCACCTTCCACAATGGTGTAATGGTGTGATGGCAATATTTAGCCCGTCAGATCTCAAGAACGAATGAACCCATCAATTTATGGAAGTGTTCTTCCGTAGATATAAAACTCCCTCGCTCGCCTTCACTTGAGAACAATTCACCAGCAGGCAAAAGCACACCTCCAAAAGCATCTAGCATTCTCTATCGGTCATCAATATGGTTCACAAAATCACCATGAAGATCGACAACCAGACTCCGTTCCAGTTGTTGCCAAACGGGCAGTATGCATATTGGGAGAGACTAATTCGGGTCCTCAAGGAGTAAGGCTCTCGTGTCCCTAGATCAGATTATGGTTGACGAAAACATCTAGGTCAATGCATACACCAATGATGGAGATGCTGGAGAGTTCCAAGCATCCATGGTCCCATGGGTCGGCTCAGCTGGTATCTCAGGCTACTATATTACCGAACCTGCAGTATGGATCATTCTACTCGGCAGCAATCCTGATTGGAGCGCCGAGGACAATCGCGCTCGGGTGGCTATATCTTCTTCCAACCTGAACGTCGACAAAGATCAATACAACAACCTATTCGATGGCAGAACAAGTGTTTCCCTGCCCAAAACCAAGGGTGTCTTCACTGTATGCTGAGCCGATGCTATGTCGTGATGTGCAAAGCTAACTTGGAGACTAGTTGACCGGATCGATCGGAAGCAACGATAGTTGTACTGCGACCTATCAGCTCATGTTCAAGCGAGGAGGCGGTGTCACCTCCGATATCTTGTCTTCTTCTGCTGGTTGGTGATTGGGCTACCAGTGTATGTGTCGCAAGAACTTATTGGAGGCTCTGCGGCAGTACAGCCGTGCGGATCAAGTATGGTGGAAGCACATGTCGTGTGGTGAAGCTCGGGGACTTGGAAATACAACATGCAAAATGTTATATATACTCCTACCATGCGTCACAATGCTACAACGGTAACACTCATCACCGTCTCGAGATGGTAAGTTCTGTGTATGATGGCGATCATCTTCTCAATCAGATGAAAGACACAATGCAGATTCATTCAGACATACGAGTCTCCTGTTGTCACTTGGAGGCTGATCAATGAAAGCCTCCATGGTCTGAAAGATGAGAGGCGAAGCTGCTGGACCTTCTGGCATGTGCCCGCCGCAAACTTGAGTGCTGTAGCTTCATGCAGACCTGAAGCTCGATACTCTTGTATCTTCTTGAGTGTGCGTCATCACGTTTGCAATCTAGAGATCCAAAGCATGAAACAAAGATATAGCCTGCTACCTAGGCCTTGAAAGCACCTCTGGATTGCCGGAGGGCATGATGGAGTGAGTTGACGAGTATACACAGAACCCATCGAACCCTGTCCAAGAAGCTATGCCCGCTAAGGAAGGCGGGAGTGCTAGCCAAGATGGCCAAGGCCTGCCAAGGTGGGCGTACATGACCTACACGCCGCTTTCTTACCAAGCCACAACTCCGCACCCAATTGTGTTTCGGATATCTGACACGAGTTCGACATGCTTGAACATCATGGTAGTGCATGCTTCAAATATCTCAAGTGCAATTGGATCTTTCTTTCCTGCCTCATGAACTTTGAGCGAGCCGCTCTTGGTCAACTTGCATGGTGTGTGGAGATAATCCACAATGCTGTGTGAGGTTTGCAGAACAGAATCGAAGGTATAAAAGCTGTGCTGCGCATCATGACAATGGAACCGGAATCCTGGTATAACTACCTACTCCTTGAGAACTTGCCCGGATGTTTGCATCGATCTTGACTCTAGCCACGTTGGCACTTGCGGCCATCGCATCTTGGGACGGCAATATCAATTTTCAAAGCCCATCGTTACAGCACCGAGATCTGGGTCTCGATGTAGCCAAGATCCAGAAGCGTACTGGTCTTGTTGCGAGGCAAGACGTAAACTTCACGGACAGCCAGCTCAACTTCACTCACGGCGTGGCTTCTGGCGATCCATACCCACACTCAGTCATTCTTTGGACCAGACTTGCTCCAAGTCTTGCTAGCGATCAATCCAACGTCACTGTGTCTGGTAATGTACCATTCTACAACCACGACACTGAAGAATATATCCAAGCTTCGAAGCACAAAGTCTGTGCACAATGGCGCATTGCTAGCGATGCAAACTTCACCCATGTGATTGATCATGGCACTGCTTATACCACGTCTGATATCGATTTTACCATCAAGGTAATGTTCCCTGACATCTAATCAAACGATAGTGCTAATACCATTTTCAGGNTCGAGGCAAACAAGTTGCGCCCGTTCACTACCTACTACTACCAGTTCACTCAATGCGGTACCAGCAACCACTCTCCAGTCGGCCGCACCAAGACATCTCCCGAGGCACACCAGAAGATTGACAAGATTAGTCTGGCCGTTTACTCATGCTCGAACTATCCTAATGGCTACTTCAATGCATACGGAAATGCTGCCCGCAAAGATCGTGTTGATTATGTTGTCCACTTGGGTGACTACATCTACGAATCCAGCGTCGGTGTGCAGGGCCGTGATGCTCGCGCTACTAACCCCAGCCGGGCTCTTTTGACACTGTACGATTACAGAACCAGAATTGCTCAATACAGGACCGATGCCGACTTGCTACTCTCTCACCAAAAGTTCGCATGGATCGCAACATGGGATGACCATGAAGTCGCCAACAACGGATATCGCGATGGTTTCAGCGCCATGAACAACACCGAAGACTCTTTCAGCCGTTCGGGTGGCGTCAGCGTCGATCAACGCAAGATGAATGCTGTTCGTGCTTACTTCGAGTGGATGCCCATTCGTCAGGTCAACATGGACGACAACCTTCGGATCTGGAGAAACTTCCAGATGGGTACCCTTCTCGATTTGACCATGCTTGACACTCGCAACTACGATCGTTCTATCACTGATCTTAGTAAGTCTTCGGGACGCCATTGGTCGCAGGGAAGCATACTGATATTAGTCNTAGACTGGAACACAGATTACATCTACGACATCCACAACGATGCTGGCCGCTCGCTCATGGGCTCTCAGCAAGAAAACTGGTTCTACAAGACTCTGATCTCAAGCAAGAAACGTGGTGCAGCCTGGCGCATCATCGGCAACCAAATTGTCTTCAGCCGAATCAACATCACATCCTGGTTTGGCACATTTGAGAATCCCTACAATGAGGACCAATGGGACGGCTATCAGGCGAACCGTAACAGAACCTTCCAGACACTTTATGATCATGACATCGGAAACAACATCATGCTCGCTGGCGACTCTCATGCTAACTGGGTTTCTGACTTGGTCTGGTTGGACGAACATCCCTACGATTCTGCTACAGGTAAGGGTGCCGTGGGTGTTGAATTTGCTGGTACGGCAGTCACATCTTCAGGATTCGGTGGCACGATCAGATCTGCCAACAATCAATCTTCAACTCTTGTTCGCGACAATTCTGAGCTGCAGTGGAATGAAGGATACTACAGAGGCTACTTCGAACTGCAAGTAGGCTATGATGCTGTGCATGCCTCGTACTATGGCATGCCCACAGTTGCCACTCGAAACCCACTCGAGATCAGCTTGGCTAACTTCACTGTTGTCAATGGAGCAAACAAGCTTCAGCGACCTGTAGCAGGAGGGAAGGTGGAGAGCGGATTCATCAAAACTGGACACGTGCAGATGACCAACTTGACGTACAACACGCAGAACCAGTCCTGGGCTGTGAGGGATGACTTCAACCAGATGTTCATTTCATACCCGCGCACAACTTGACGTACCCTGTCGAGTAAAGATGCCACATGATATTCCAATGATAGTCTTAGCCTCTTCTTGAGGTAGAGTTGTTATCAGTCCGCCCTTGCAGATTCTTCTTCTTCTTCTTCAGAATCCAGATCTGAATGCAGACGCATATTTGCGTCTTTCGAATATGTTGTTCAAGATGATAGGTGAGCAGCACTTATAAGTCTTTTCTCGACATCGCGAACCGCGTTCTGGATCGTACTCAACGAAGCGTCGGGCCTCACACAATTCTTCGAGTATGGGGCTTCGCTTAGGTGGTGAACGTCATGAACGATCCCCTACAGGCTGCTAGATTGATTCGGAACTGTCGTTCCCTGTTATTGCCCAGACAGCCAACGATGATGATCTGATGCGGTTCCGGGACAGGCAGGCCGAACGTTTTTTTTAGAGCGGGGTTACCTGTTGCAACGGGGCCCGATCGAGACTCCAGCAAAGACATGGGGTTCCCCATCCTCGGTGCAGCGGTACAGTCATCTCAGATGCTTCTATCTTGATTGAACTCATTCATACAGTTTCTTTTAGGTTGACATTAGAATCTTGATTTGCTATTGATCTATGACACACTGCAACAACACGCATACTGAATATTCTATTCCTCGAGCAGCAATCTGGGGATTGATTCATGCCGTTTACTTGGCTTCGTAAAACAACCAATCGTAGACTCGGTTCGTGGCCGCCCGACAACCTAAAAAGAACTGTGTTGTCTAGATTCTGATCTATCAGACGTTCATGCTCTCGTAATCCTAACGGCGACACATCGTGATCCTAGGATCCTCATCGCTTGGAAATCGTCGGTCGCCCTACGAGTCATTGAATACTTGAGTAGAACGCGTCAAATGTTCTACTTTCTCCATCTTACTTCGCATTTTCGATGGAAGTGCTGCTGTAAATTCATATCGAAACCGACATCAAGAACAGATCTTTCACGAATATTAAAAACTTCTTACCAACCTTTCTAATTTGTTATTTATGGACGCTTGACCCCACAATGGCGACCACAACAGATCGGGGACCCGAGCTTGCAGCCGCTACGATTCTGTTTTCCGTCCTGTCCTTGATCGCTTTTTCACTTAGAATCATGACTCGATCGATGATATCTAAATCTCTGGGCAGAGAAGATATTCTTCTGGCCATAGCACTGGTAGGAGGCACACCTCGCCCTACGTCAACACTTCACTTATCTTTGCAGGTTCTATTCCTCGTGTATTGCTCATTATACTTAGTTCAAGTGCAAGATGGTCTTATACGACACATCGACACCTTGAGACCAGAGCAGATAATCGAGGCTTTGAAGGCAGGTTGTACTTAGCATCAAGGACGAGCCATTGGCTGATAGTATCTCAGTTGATCTATGCAGGTGAATTACTCTACACTGCCTCAGCGACCGTCCTACAAATCTCAATCGCGACCGTCCTACTACGGATCACAAGCTCGAAACCGATTAGAGGCGTGATCTGGACAGTGATTATTCTATGTATAACCATTGGAATCACTCTCTTCGCAATGATAGCATTCCAATGTCAGCCCGTCAGCTATGTTTGGGATCACAACCTGCCCGGAGGACATTGCATGAAACCTAATGTCAGGACGGGTGCTGCATACGCATACGCTGCAGTTTCATGTCTGAGCAACTGGACCCTCGGTATCCTACCATGGATCATATGCCGCCACCTCACCAACCGCAGGCAAAGATATCAAGTGACTGGCCTGTTGTGCTTTGCCAACCTTGGATCAATCGCTACCACGATACGGTTCTACGCGATTCACCATCTTTTGGAAACCGAAGACTTCTTTGTTTCGAGTGTACCGCTTGCAGCTTGGAGCGCTGTGGAGGTCGGAACAGGCATCGTGGCTGTGTCGGTGTCGGCGCTCTACCCCCTACAGCAACGACTACGAGGAAAAGAAGAAGCACATACGATGGTATGACTGTTGTGGTACCAGAGATCACCAGTTTAGAGCTTGCAACTAAGAACTCGCAATGAAGAGCAATATTGAAATCATCAGCTGGCCAACATGGTCCACCTGCGATCGGTACGAACTCTTGATAGCCAAATCGGTCTGACTGGACTTTCAGAATTGATCAGGTCTACTGACTAGTGTTTGATGAATTTTCCTGCATTTCTTCCGCGGACCCCTGTTTGAAAAAACGCGGGGTATGGAAATGTGGAACCCTAAAACCAGAACATGACTTCATGCCCGATCCTTCTCCTTCTGGTTTATGCCCTCACCTGCTTTCTTCGAACTCACACAAGACGTCCCTAGAGATGTATCAACCACTCGCGCCTCCCATCAAGCAGTACCTCGAGCGCGGTTACAACTCCTATCTCGATGATAGCCTGATCCGCGTCTACTTCCTCCAGCTTGTCACTCCAGTCGAAGCTGCATCGACATGCCAGCGCGCACACGACACTTACGCCCGAGACATCCTTGGCTGTCCCGGCTCTGGAATCGAAGCTCCAGATCTATTCAAAATCTATAACGCAGAACGCAAGAGTTTTTACAGTGTGGAAGAGTGTTGGGAAGATTTCAAAATTTTCTTGCAGTCCACGTGTTCAGATCAGAACTGCCTAGAAAACCCAATCGAGTTCCCGTTGGGCTTTGTTGTACTCACGGCTCCCGACAGCCAGAGAGCCACTTTGGTGTGCTGTTTCAAAGAAGACGAACAATGGAATGTTGGTTCTTGTCTGATACCAATCGACGCAGAATTGGGGATGCAAGCTCAGGCTTTCAAATATACGGAGGACGAGTTTGCGAATATCGCACGGCATTATGAGAACGATTTACCACGCAGAAGCGCGTAGTTGCACGTGCAGTTGAAGACAAAATATTTTCTTGTTCGAAGTGTTCCTGTCCCAGCTTGGTATGCATGGGTAGAGGGACAAACACGATGGTTTTCTCGAATCTTCCGATTGAGGCGCTCCCTCTCCTGCAACAATGGATCTCGGAAAGAAGAGGACGCGCTTATATCACTTTCGAATCTTCGTGGTCCAGGACGAGCAGATTCATTCGCGAGGGATAGAGTCTATCTTGGAAAGTACGATCAGATACCTGCACTAATCAACGAAGACCAACTATGTCGGCTTGAGAAGTCATATGCGGCCAGTGCATCTGGCAGAAGAAAAAATCGACTCAAGGGAGATTTCAGCGTCTAAGCTATTCTTATAGCGGTCTCATGCTTGCGACTCACATAAGAATTGTTTGATATGCTTATATGGATTATCGTACTCAATCAAGCTTTCCGTTTGGCCAGGCTAGGGTGTGTCTGTGAACATACGGACAGACATGGTCGGACGATATCAGAGCCACGACATACTGAGCCCTTTCACTTCGTGGGTTGTCTCAACGTTCGACCGCAACACTCTCGCCAATCACCAACTACCTTTCGGGCACTTGAGATGAGACGCATTCTTTACAGTGGCAAAATATTCTCAAGGTCACCTCGTTCCGACCATTCGTACTAAACCGCATATGATTGAGTGCGATGTACGGCCGTACTTGCAAGAACAACAATAGTGTCATGATGCAGCGTGATCTAATCACCTCAAAGACGACCATGTTCCTATTCTGTCTAAACAACTGTTTCATCGTCGTTTTGATGACTAGCTGCAGACAGCTGAGAGAGACAGTGCGGGGAATCTGACTTTTAGGCGAGATGGTGGGGTGTCGTCCTCTTGGGAAAATGGCTCCAGATATCTGACGAAGGATTCGACGCAGTCAGCTCAGCTGGACGCAAATGCTACAGGGCGTTCAGCTGAGGTGTAAAACGGTCATATAGGCAGCTGCAATACATCTTCTGCGACCAATACGCAGGGCAAGTCGCTGAAACCCACAGATTTCAGCTGGAGTACTATCGATATTCATGCATCGTTATTGGTCGTCTGGTCTGACGATGATAGAAGTTTTCGATACCACTGAGGCCATCGTTCTCAGTCGTACGTCCCACTGGTCACGCATCTAACATGGAGTGAACCTACCTGCAATATTTATACCTGCTCTTTCGCCTCCCCTCACGTCCTCAGCATTTCTATTTTCTTGGAACCCTGATTGAGATAGCTCAAGTTTTACCTTTCAACGAACGATACCTTCAACCAGCATTATGGCTGACCCTTGGCACAGTCGCTCGAAAGACAGGCTGAAGGAGTTGATTCAGACACTTGAAGACGACCAGCAGCTTGGCAACGAAGATCTTCCTGGCCTTTCCGATCTCTTGCGAGATATCGTCGACCCTAAAGTTGACGTGTCGTCAGAAGATTCACTTCGTCGCTTCCTCAGGGTTTTCTCGGACTCGAACACGGATGAAACATACAGTCAGATCAAAAGTCAGTACGAGCCTGAAGAGAGAGACAAGATCGATCAATTCGTTACACAAAACCTTCCTTCCAGAGTGGTTGGAGACGGCTTCCACATAGGTCCCTCGCTAGGAGCACGCAATGAGTTACCGAAAGTTGAGGGACAGAACAGCTCAACCCCTATCTGCGAGACACACCTGGAGAATCTCGTAAAAACTACGGTTGGCGTCGCTACACATCTGCTTCGTAAACCAGACCCTCAAGTCGAGCTATATGATGACGACCGCAAGAAGAACAAAATGACAGTGTACATCGACAAGCACTGGCAGAACTGGGGCCAAACAGTGGAAGAAACACCATCCATCACCTGCGTTCCGCGAACGAGTCACGGTATCCAAGAGATCGTCAAATTGGCCAAGATGAAGAACATGAATGTGCGAGCATCAGGATACAGGCATTCTTGGTCTCCAGTCTTTGGCCAGACCGGACAGATCATAATCTCTACGCTGGGCTTGACACAAAGCACGATGCTCCCTAATGTCGAATCTCTTCCTGGCTCGCAATACTTCATCTCGGGAACAGAGCTCAATTCGATCGAGTTCTTCGGTACTCCCCAGAAAGGCGAAAAGCGTCTGGTGCGGGTGGGCACTGCGGTTACCAACCAGATGTTTCGGCGATGGTGCAATTCAAGGAAGCTAGACGAAGCATCGACTCTTCCCTTGAATGTCATCATGGTAGAAATTACCATGGGTGGTTCGAATGCACCTATATGTCACGGTGCCGGTCGAGCTCATTTCACTCTGAGTGATCTGGTTTCCGTAATCGAGTACGTTGATGCGGACGGAAATATACAATCTTTGAGCAAAGAGAAGGATTCTGAATTGATGAGAGCTGCGAGCGGCTGCTTTGGGCTCCTGGGGATCGTTACACATATCACACTTGAGCTAGACCCCATGACATATGCCGTCATGACTCCTCAAAAGATTCCGCTCATGCAAGCGATTCCTCCCNCACCTGGCCTCAGAGATGAAGACATCCCAGAGGCGCTCCGCATATCGATGACTTCCGAACAACGCGAGGAAGCTCAAGCTGTGTTCGAAAGGCACGCTCGAGATGATTTCTACAGCGAGTGGTTTTGGTAAGTCGCAGAAGCCATTTTCGAATATGGAATATCGCTGACTGGTGACTTCTTGTTCTCAGGTNTCCCCTACACCAGTATGGTCTGGGTCAATTGCTGGAACACAACTACAGATAGCTCTGGGTCTAAGCCGTACCCCTCCTCATACCAGGTCTTTGAGCAGTTCATACAAACAGTCGCAGTTCAGGTGATTCAGAAATCTGAAGCCATCGCAAAGCTCGAAGACAAGTTTCCTTGGGCACAGACAACTCTGTTGTCCAAGATGGGCTTGTATGCGATGCCCGACATCGGGAAGAAGGATGCACCCATCAAAACAACACTTCCTGATGCACTACATTTCCGCCGCGCGATCCAGAATGTCCAAGTAAGGGATATGGAGCTCGAGATACCCCTACAGCCCAAATCAGGCAAACTCAGCGCAGCAAAATTCGACGACGATATTGACTTCTCAACTGTGCAGAAAGCTTGGTGGGATGCTATACTGACAGCATACAAATACACCGAGACATGCCCGCAGCGTATGCCGTTGGAAATGCGTATTACCGGCTCTTCTAATATCGTCATGGCACCCTTCAGAGGCAATAATCTCGGTACATGTTCGATCGAAGTACTTACCCTAGGTGTCATGAAGAATGCATGGCCCGCTTACGCACAAGAAGTGCTGAACAAATGGATGGATCTGAAAGACAAGGACGGAAACTACCTTACAACGCGCCCGCATTGGGCAAAGGAATGGCATGACTTCCAGGTTCGTGGACAACCTATGATTGAGTACCTTAGGGATCAGTACCATGACGCTATTCCCGAGNTTTTGCATCCTTTGCAAAAGATCGCAGAGAAACAGGGCTGGAGCATGATGGATGCAAAAGCACGATTTAGTAACAGGATGTTCGATGGTTTGATCTTTGCTACTTCGACTTGAGGTGGTTACGCTTGGTTTGCATCACTTTGGAGATATTTGAACACGAATGAGTATGCTCGCTTGTTTGATCGAAAATCATGTTTATCAAGCTGACTATTCAAAAAAAAAATGAGTGTTTTCGAAGCGAGGTATTAGGCTCCAGGTCTTGTTTTCCATCGCGTGAGATATTGTGATAGTCAGATGATTCCATTACAGCCTGAGTTCTCTTGAGCACACAGTTCAGACACGAGAATAAGTTCGTGTAGAGCCCTGTTGCGACCTGTCTAGATGCTTTTCCGAACTGGTGCCCTTGACGCTCAAGCGAATTGAGGCTCACATAGCCGAGGGCAATGTATACTAACACTCCAGGCAAAGCATGACTTCCACGATATTTGATCAATAGGAAATCGATAGCGAGATATAGGGGCATCTGATCGTTCGCCAAGCAATCACAGTGTCTTGGTATAGGGTCTAGAGTAGATTCTACCATCGCTTATATCTATGCTGAAACGCCAAGCACAGTCGGAAACTGACCACAAGTCTTGGTATCAGATTTAGGCTATACAGTGAAAACCCTGGACAACAAGTCGTGCGCCTGTGGCTACGAACACTCGTTTCGAGAATAGGCGAGACAAAATCTCTGGATACCTCGATTTGCTCGATTTGTCTATATAATGAAGGCTACCGGCCTCTGTGAGTTAAATATCTTTGGTCAGCGAGACACAACGCAACTAGTTTTACTGACATTCTCAGATCGTCAGAATGCATTTCTCTTCTCTGCTTCCCGCGCTGCTCGCCATCAGTGGTATGGCCACCGCATCGGCAATCCCCTCACNNCCCTTCCTGGAGTCCAGGCAAAGCAGCCCAGCAGCCGGTATCGTCTACAGCAAATGCAGCAAGCCCGGCGTTTTCGCTCTCGCCTTCGACGACGGACCCGGCCAATACACCGAAGAGTTGATCAAGACCCTAAATGCCGCAGGAGCAAAGGCCACTTTCTTCTTCACGGGCACTCTGTACGGTTGCATCTACAATCGCGCTTCCGCAGTCAAGGCCGCCTACTCTAGCGGCCACCAAGTCGCCTCTCACACATGGACACACCCTCAAACCCTGGATAGTATGAGTGTGGCTCAGCTCACTACCGAGATGCAGAAGCTCGAAACCGCATTGGTCAACATCATCGGTGTCAAGCCAACATACATGCGTCCTCCCTATCTCAAAACCGGCGGCAACGTTCCCACTGCAATGAGAATCCTGGGCTACAGAATGATCACCGACAGTATAGACTCTCAAGACTGGAATGGACTTTCTGTTTCGGCGAGTGAGCAGAAATTCCGTAGTGCAGGTCCTAGCACTTCTGATGGCAAGGGACATATTTCTTTGTTGCACGAGACTTATGCGACGACTGTGAGAGATCTGGTTCCAAGATTGATCAAGTGGGCCAAGGAGAATAACTTGAAGATGGTTACTGTTGGTAGGTTCATCGTAACCCGACTTCGAAACTTCAAGTGTGTCGCTGACTTTGCCTTGCAGNCTGAGTGTTTGGGTGATGCAAACGGCGCTTATGCTAAAGGCACTGGTGGCGGTGCACAGCAGTGCTGACACAATACAAGTGTCATCGAACCCATGAAAACAAAGCGTTGGTAAAAGCGAGGGAGTTGTCTCTGGATTCTTTCTCCAAACTCTATTTCACAGCATTTTTCCGTCCTTCTTGACTATAGTGTTCAAACCATTGCTTCGCCCTTTCCTGAACAATCTCAGCCTCTTGATGAGCGTAGAATGAAGGATGTGTTCCTCCTGCCATCATAATGAGCTCCGAGTTTGGCAGACGCGCATGAGCATAATAAGTATAAACCGGAAGAGCATCTGAGTCAGCATCACCATGAACCAGCAAGACCGGGCAGGTAACACACTCCAACTCCAGTGACTTGATATCTGCATAATTCTTGACGTCGTTGTGCCAGCCAGGTTTCCTCTTGCCGCCAATGTTTAATGTACGCGCTGTATCGACTATTAACTTGACCTGGGCTGGGTGTGCAAGAACATGGTTGGTGACGTTGCGGAGCTCTTCTCCGCGAATGGTTCCTTCTCCCTTTAGGGCTTCTTCGACGATATGCTCTGGTTTGTGGGTGGCCAAGAAGCTGATCAGGTGTTCTCCGAATCTCGTTCCAAACACAAAGCGTTCGCTGAGATGCATCTTAGCTGCGACCCAGCTTGAGCTGATGGCTGCCACTATGACCATGGCGGAAACACGGGATGGATGTCGAGCTGCTAATCTATACGCTGGAGGACCACCTCCTGACCAAGCCAATACACCAACGCGCGCGAAGTCAAGAGTATCAAGTAAGGCAGCAAGGAGATCTGCCTCGGCATCGATTGAAGGAGCCGTCGGGTCCAGCGGTGTGTTGAGATATCCAGGTCTTGAAAGATGAATGCAGCAGGACCTGTCTCTATCGAGGAACTGACTCATCGCCCTAGCACCATCAATACCTCCAGGACTTCCATGCAGGACCATGACTGGGATTCCCGAGCCAACAACCTCGACTTCGACTATCCCAAGCGGAGTCTGAACGCAGTTTTGAAGCATCATGTTGATTGAAGGAGGCAAGCCATGAGTTCGATCTATTCAAGGACAGAAAATGAATCTCGGGGAGTTTCCATCCACGTTGGAGCGTCGCTTTTGAATCTGGTCATGCCTTGTCGGAATTTCCGGATCGTTCGTGTTCACGAAAATATACGGCCGTAATCTATTTCGTATAGTCAACAACTAACTGCCACCCTGATCTGCGAAGGATCACCTTAATGGAAGGATGAAACCGGAGCCGAGCTTCGCTACGAATGTAGTAAATGGTGCAGGAAGCCGCATGGCCCAGTTTCGGCGGCCTTTGGATCGACGCTGTTCGGAGCTGGGTCATCGAGAAGGTGGTATCTCATTAAAGGGTATGCCTGCGTCCGTTGGATAGCGTGCAGCTTGCAGACTGCCTATTTTGACCTTAGTAACACCTGCGATTCGCTGCAACCATTGAGGTATGCAGGCGCACTGATGTGCGCGCTATTCAACGGATGTGAAACCACTCTGTATACTGCTATACCCCTGTGAACTTTGGAGTCATTCGGCTTCTCAAGCAAAGATCGAGCACTCCCGCAGCGCGGATCGGCACATAGCATAATGTGTGGTCTCGCAGCATTGAATCAATAAGCCCAGCAAGGTACAGTGATGGTAGGATACATCAAGGCCTGAAAAATTCGATTGCCTCTAGCGATATAACGTCCTCAAAGGCTCAAATAGGACTGTGCTCATGTCCGAGAACTTGCACCTCGAGCTCTCCAGTCCTCTTCTCGAAAACATGCTTCCAAGCTGCGATCACATCCTCATGAGGCTCATACATGGTCGCAGACCTGCTTCGCCAGACCACCTTGTGGGAAGACCTGCCATCCGAAGTGAACGTACACAGACATCCCGTCTCCGGTTCTTCATTTCCAACAATGAGCTTGAGGTCGCGCAGGTTCGGCATCTTGGTCAAGGCTTTCGCAGCAGCAAGGGATATATCATCAAACACGTCAATGTTGACCATAGTTCTGAAGGATCTCGGTGGAAAATGCATCCGCGCAGGCATCTCAGTCTGTCTTCGATAGATACCCAAATCTTCATATTGCTCGTCTTCATCGTCGTCAGGCTCGATTTCTGTGTCTTGCTGATCCAGCTCCAGCATCCATTCGCCTGTTGGGGTACACGGCTCAAAATAGATACGGAGCGATCTGAGTTGGGGCCATGAGGAACCCGAGTCGCTGACTCCGAACAAATCATCACTCAGCACCGCGTTAATCTCTAGAGTCTCAAGTTTTCGTGAAACCGTGTTCAAGCTATGGCTCAACAAGTCTTTGCCGTTCAGCAAAGGAATTGATGGTGGGTCGAACAACTGATTCGCGACCCCGGGATACTGTAGTTCGAGGTGCGTCACGCTTTGTGGTAAATCAAGCAAGCTCGTCGCAAAATCTGAAGCTTCGTCAGGAGTTCTTCGCGATTCGGTTCATGCATCTGGTCACTCACCTGTGCGCTCTCTGTCACGAAGCTCCGAGTTGTTACTCTCCTGGTCAGAGAGTTCAAGCTGAACTATGTTCGCCGATCGGCAGGCTTTGATAATGCGTATGACATTTTCTCCAGACAACAGCCTTGGACAACACGGTCGGCTCGGTTCTCCAGGGAGCTGTCTTAGGAGACGCGCGCCTCGAAACACTAGGCTCGATACAGAAGGGCAGTATGGCAGATCCCCAAGGAGATGCAGATAGCTCGCCTCGATCCTAACATCTTCCATACTAGGGGCAGCGTTACCACGACGCTTGATGCGATTTCGTATATCTAGATGGCAATAGTCGCTTTTTGAGATAGCTTGAATCGCGAGTGTCATCTGCGGTGGTCCACATCTGTACTGTTGCCATGAATTGATAGTTGCGAAAGTCTCTCGCAAAGAATCACTCAATACAACATTGTTGGTATGCTTGTCCTTCTCGATCTCGAGATCATGCCACTTCTCCCTTCCATACTCCGGTAGTTGTATGATTATGTCAAGCGCCCGTAATGCTTCCCACCTATCCGGGTTCATGCGATCCGGTATTCTTGAAAGATGCTCGAAAGATTTGCTACGCAGTTCTCGAAAAGTCAAGGCTTCGACTACAGAATTCCATGGACGATCGATCGTAGCATATCCTGCAAGGAAATCAACTTCCTCAAGTCTGGAAGCAATTGACAGCAATATGGACGGTGGTAGGTCATTGAACGACATGTTCAAGCTAGCAACCGAGAAGGGAAGATGTGGTCAGGAGCAGTGACTTGCATGTGGAGAGCGAGAATCTGTGTTGTAGATGGTGAGGTGCAATCAGACTACACCCCTGACACGGGCCGGAGGACGGCCTTGGCAGCACGAATCGTGTGACATGCGGTGTGGACTCAGAAGATCGGCCAGCCTTGGCCACGATTACCGGTATAGACTGTAAAGCCTGCTCGTGATGTTCTTGGGAGGACTAGAACTTCGGCCAGGCGACACCAGTGACCAAGTCGGATGCTGTAGGGTCATCAATACCAGCGACCTGTGTTTCAAGCTGTCCGGACCTGTGCGCAATGGCTCTCTTCCACTCTGCAATAACCTTCGGATGAGGTTGGTATATAGTAGTCGAGCAACTCTTCCACACGACTCTATGGTTTTCTCGACCATCGCACGTATACGTACAAACACACTCAGCGGTGCCCTGATCGACACTGAAGCGCAAAGTCCTGAGATTTGGCATTCTTGGAATAGCTCTATAGCCAGATGTACATGATCGTAGGCCTCGCAATTAGGTGCCGACCTGAAGTATGTCCTGGGCCAGTCAAATCGTGCGGGCATTCCATGGTCACGCCGGTCTTCGAGAATTTCCATCTCCGCGTAATCACTGTCTTCATCTGGGTTGACATATTCGCGGTTTGGATCTTCGGAATTGAACATCCAGGTGCCATTAGGCATGACAACATCGAAATCGACATGCAAGTTGCGCAACTTGGGCCAGTGTGTCGTTGGGGAGGCAATTTCGAAGAGGTCATCGCTCACCACGGCTAACAAATGTAGGGACTCGAGCTGCTGTGATATCACATTCAAAGCACTGCTGAAAGAATCCTTTCCGTTGATGGTAGGGATCACTAGAGGATTGAACAATTGATTTTGAGGTACGACACCAGGATAGTGCAGCTGCAGGTGAGTGACGGATTGAGGTACTGAACTAAGACCTCGAGCGCACGCTGCTGGATGTCAGCTCTCGTCCTTCTTGGGATCGACCAGGCACATGTACTTTCTCGTTCAAGCTTTCGTCGTGTCAAGCTTTTGCTTTCCATGTCGGACAACTGCAATTCAACCCTATCGGCAGATGGGCAAGCTTCTAGAATACGCAATGCAGCCTGTGCAGATATATACCGAGGATAAATCTCATGGAAAACACGCGGTGCGCCGCCGTGAATGATCAAATCAGAGACGACGGGCAGTGGCGGCAGTTGCCGGACTAGATCCAAATAACTGGATTCGTGTCTGGCCATTTCGCACCCCTCCTTGATGTTGCAGTCACGACAATATTGACCTCGAGAGTTCATGTGGTAGTAATCGCTCCTGGAAGTGGCCTGTATCTCTAGAGTAAAGCGAGGTCGGGCGCCCCTTATGGAGGATGAGGACTCCGGGATCGATGTATTTAATACTGTAAGCGTGTTCCATGAACTGATCGTCTCGAAAAGTCTTGTCAAGGAAGTTGAGAAGATCTGATTATTTGTTGCTTTCTCGGCCTCGGTCTCTAGCTCGGTCCATTTTTCTTCTCCGTATTCGGGAAGATGAATGGTCACATCGAGATTGCGTAAGGCGGCTATGCGATCACGAGTTAGATATTGACTTGATTGATGCAAGCGTTCAGAGTCAAGACGCAGGCGTCGGATTGTCAGAGCCTCGATGACAGACAACCAGGGCCGAGAAAGGGTAGCGTATTGAGCAATGTGTGATTCGTCTTTGTGTAGCTGGGTCGCGATGAGCATCAAGATGACAGCGTCCAGGTCATTGAAAGACATGATGCACTGCTTTGTAAGAACGACAAGAAAACAAAGAAGAGTCCTTGGGGGCTTTGAAGGCGTCTAGTGAGCAGGGAAGTCAAGATGACATGTCAAGAGAAATAGGCAGTGGGCGAAACATGACTGGTCGTTTCGGAAGTGGTTCCTGAGGCCTCTGCATGAAGGAGACGAAGCGGGGAATGAGCATCGGCGGCACGACCTACATGTTACAAGGCGCTTGACGGGGTGTCAGCGAGATGCGTATACACGCAATCAACACGGGAGTTTACGCAAGTGAAAGCGCAAGCTATTAGAAAAGACATTCTGGGCAGTGGCGAGGACTAAGAGGAATTCGTAGACAGATGGGCGCGACTTCCTATTTTTGAGGCGCAATTCGCGGCGCCAAGCATGGACCAGCAATCACATGCACCTTCCCGCATCGCCAACCAGACAATCTACATTAATCCTCCAACTCGCTCTTTCCTAGGAAGAATCAAACAAGCAGCCAGACACAATCAAACATGAAGAAGCTACGCGTGGGCTTTCTCAAGCGAACACACAGTGAGACTGGGATATCAACCTNNTGTGCATGACGCAATGTTTACTGACTCGGATGGCCAGGCAGCGATGCTACTTCTCACACATACACTCCGCCGCCTATCGATTCTCCCGAAGCAAATGCCACCAGTGCCATTGTGAGTCTTGCGACTACCCTTCTCAATATACCAGCCGCTAAGACAGCACTCAGCNGATTGTTTTGCGAGTCTACTAGCGACAACAGCGTAAGTGACAAGACCCTCCGTCCTCCCCGCATCAGTAGTAATAGCTAAACCCACGACAGGGGGGAAGAAGTGCTGCACCTACCCGTCATTGTCGAAGCCGCCGAGTCGTCACCACAAGCTGCAGCCGCTGCAGCCTACCAGATCCGCAAATGCCTATCCAAAGACAACAAGTCGAGGGTCCAGTACAATGCCATCATGCTGATTCGCATCCTGGCCGACAACCCTGGGCCATCATTTACCCGCAACATTGACGACAAGTTTGTCTCGACAGTCAAAGAACTGGTTAAGCACGGAAGAGACCCAAGCGTTCAACAAATGATGAGAGAAACCTTGGACTCGTTAGAGGCAACAAAGAGCTATGACAACGGATTGTACGACCTGCTGGCCATGTGGCGCCGCATCAAGGGAAACGATGCTCGCATTCTTCCGCAGGGCGCATATCGCCAGAATGCCCCTCCTATACCACAACACCCCGTCGCACACAATCGACAACCAAACACACTTCCGACACCACAGGAACTTGCTTCGCGCGTCGAAGAGGCCAGGAATACCGCTAAGATCTTGCTCCAGCTGCTTCAGAGTACTCCCNCCGAGCAAATCCTCAATCAAGATTTGATCAAGGAATTCTCGGATCGATGTCTGTCCGCCCAGCGCAGTATGCAGGAGTATATCAGCTGCACAGCGCCCCCTCCCGACGATGATACTCTGCAGACACTTATCGAGACAAACGAACAACTCAGTCTGGCCATTAGTAGACACCAGCGTGCTGTTCTCCAAGCTCGACGAATACTTGGTCAATCTCCTTCTCCTGCTCTCGGACCCAACAACCCCTTTGCTCCTCCAGCTCAGCCTCAAACTGCTCTTCAACAACAACCTTCATCCCTCCTGGACTCGACAAATCCATATAACACATATTCGCCAGTATCACCTGTTGACAATACCTTTTCCGCTCCGCCAGGGCCGCCACCAGGTCATGCTTTAGCTGCACCACTGACTCCGAACGATCCATTCGCTGACCCTGTGGAACCGACACACAATCACGATTTGGATTACACGAGTCATCCTCAGGAGCCGCGCAACTATGGTCCCAGTGTAGACACCAACCCACGGCCAGCATACGGTGGGGTTACAGAAAGTTATATGGGCCGTCAGTATAGTGCTGCAAACGGCCTTACCATGCACGGTGGTGTAGACACAAGCACGACTGAGGACGTCAGTCCCGTTGAGCAGACACACACGCAAAGAGAAGTCAGGTATAGATACTAAGACTTGATCCATAGTTCAAGTCAAGACACTCTGTTTCTGGATCGCGGAGTTCAGTAGCGAGCAATGATTATGTATGAAGACTCGATGTTGTCATATATCAGTGAGCATGTTGTTGATGATTGTGGTGCCTCGATACTTCTCTGATACGCCGATGTCGCTTAACGGCATATATATACACATATCGCGTATGTCCATGAGATCTCCTAGTGAACTGATCCAAAAGCGAGAGAGTAGGAGAGAACAAAGAGCAAGAATGCAAACATTAAAATTCTTTTGGGTCTATCGTCTAGGCATCTATTCGTATAAAAAGCGTCGAGTTGAATCGACATTTGTTGTTTGGCGCGTGCGTCAAAGCCAAATCTTACAACAACCAATCCAAAAACTTCTCCCACTTTGTAACCGGCTCTTTCTCATTAACCGCGCCTCTAGGATCAAACCTGCCACTCCAAAGATCGATTTCCTTGGCCCTATGAATCTTCGTCCTCTTCACAATCTTCCAAACCACATACGGAATGATATAAATCGCAATTCCGATATAGGAAGCAAAGAAAGAGCCAGTATTCCAGTTGCCCTTAAGAAAAACGGAAAAGCCAGAGAAGAGAGTGATGATCCCACTGCCAATGGCGCCGACGTAAGCGGCTAGAGGTTGCAAGCGGCCTTTCATAGGCAGTAAATTGCGATCGATGTTTTGGGCACGGCAGGCGTGGTGGAAGCGGATGTAGCAGATACACAGGGTCATCCAGGCGAGCAGGCCAGCCACAGTGCTGAGGTTCAGCAGCCAGGTGAAGGCCTGGGATGCACCGCCAGAGCCCAGAGAGAGGTACGCCAAAGGGCCGAAGGCGAAAGAGGCAAGCACGGCCCAGTAAGGCACGCCCTGACGATTGACCTTGGCGAAGAATTGGGGCATTTGGCGGTCGGCGGCTAGGGCGACGAGCATGCGTGATCCAATGTAGCAATAACTGTTTCCTGCTGACCAGGCAGAGACCAAGATACAGGCATTGACGATAGATGGCAAAACAGTGATTCCGGAGTTCTTGATGGCGATGACCCAAGGAGAGGAGTTTGCGTTTCCAGTGCCAGAGACAAGTCTGGGGTCGTTGGAGGGAACAATCATTCCAATGAGAAGCGTGCCCAAGACATAGAAGAAGAGGATACGGTAGGTAACGCGGTGGACAGCTTTAGGAATAGCCTTGTGAGGGTTCATGGTCTCGGCAGCTGCAACAATGACGGTCTCAACACCAATGTAGGAGAAACTGGCGTTGATGAAAGCACTGAAGAAGGCCAGGAAGTGGCCGGTGTTTCCCTTGATGCCGTTGTAATCGGTGAACTAGGGAATTCGGTCAGTCTCGTCAAACAAACTAGCGATCATGACATGATTCGAACATACAGGTCCAGGATTGCGCCAATAGCGGAAGCCAATGGATTCGTGGTCGGGTGCGCCCCCAGAGGTGATGACAATGGAGACAATCACCAAACCCAAGAAGCACAAAATCTTGATGGAAGCAGTGATAACCTCAGCTTCACCAAAGAAGCGAACATTCATCAGGTTAATCGCCAAGATCGCAGCAAGACCGACTGTGATGACTACTGCAGGGGTGATGTCTGTCCAGTAAGATACCACAACTGCCGCAGCAGAGACTTCTGAAGCGATGGCGATAGTGTAGCAGTATCCATAGGAAATGGCCAAAGTAAATCCAAGAGCAGGGTCAACAAAGCGAGTAGCAAAGTGAGGGAATGATCCAGCAGTGGGAAACNNTATATCAATGTCAGCAAAAACACTCTCTTGTCTTCAAAAACTATCCACACTCACCAGAGTAGCAATCTCGCCGATGGACTCCATGACACACCATAGAATCATACCGACAACAGAGTAAGCCAACAAGAGACCCAAAGGTCCTGCACTGGCCAACGCACTTCCAGTACCAACGAAAAGACCCGTTCCAATACCACCACCGAAACCAATGAAGGTAACGTGACGTGCTTTTAGTCTACGATGTGTGTGACCAACACCACCAACACCATAGACAGCATCATGATCTCCCGATCCAGTAACAAAAACCTCCTCCGAGTTGGTCTTGTAGACAGACTTGTCATCGCCAGTCGCCGAAGGACCAGCGACATCTGCCCCGTGCTCGAAAGACATGGCGGCAATCTGGGGAGTCTGGAGTAAAGACTCGGTCAAATTGTGGAAAGAATCGTTAAACGAACTGGAGAAGACAAGAAGGAGCGGACAAAAAAAAATTCGGTAGTTGCAGTTTGGTTGGTCATAGAATCTCTTTTAAGCATCTTGAAGAAGGAGAAATTTTTCTCTCTCGTGTCTCCCTTCTCAACGCCTGGACAAGCACGCAATGTCATCACCAGATTTAGAGTTTCGCATAACGTTTCCAGAACGAAATCGGTCCTCTGGAGACGAAGCTTCTTTTTCTTTTCTGCCAAGACCATGTGGTTGCTTGAGATAGAGAAGACATCTTTGGTTTTCTTGGTGTCGCGTGACCCTTCTTCTTGATGGATATGGGCAAGATGCGATATCAAGAATGATATGCAGGGCAAGCGGTCCGACGCGATGATGCGAGTCCTGTGTGAGCACACGTCAAGGATCGTCCTTTTGCTGATCGAGACGTCCAGAACCCGGAGGGCACCGATGGGATCCGGGGCAAAGACCTCATCTCAACCGATTTTGGTGTCATCCGTGCAATTCACGTTTGAGGTCGAGATGTCGCTGTTTCTCAAAGAGTTTCGACAACTCGATAGTCGAGTGTCATCTGATTATGGGATCGCCAGCAATTGTCGTGTTCGTTGGTGTTGAGGAGCTGAGAGAACTTGATGAAAGAGTCAAGGTCGCCAGGTTGAAGACACGTGTTGTGTCTGCTCTGTTATGTGCGTGTATCTCGTCTCGAAGACACCAGTTGCTTGATTCTACATCTTCAAGACACAATGATACCTCCGCAAGTCTTCGCGATGGTGAATCTTTAGGTGCCTAACATAAGAAAGAACCAAAGTGTTGTCGACGAAGAGGTCACGAAGAGGGAAATATGTAGGTCAGGGTCGTAGGGCTTATCTGCTTCAACGTCCGTGCGTACACCTCGCCTACAACACGTGGACGTCCACCTTCCATCTTGAGAGTTTCGATATCGAACCAAACACTGCATTGTGATATAAAAGCCAGTCGAAGCTCCTCATAGCGATTCCTGTGTGATTCCTTCGCTATCGGCTCTCACAAGTTTCATATCCAATAACCATACTCGACTCTTGATACACAAACCCCTAAATCTCTGAAGGGAGGACCATGGCTACCACCGAACAGATCACGATTCCTCGCCCTGGAGCAAAAGTCCCTGATCCAATAGAGTCGATTCCAGGCCCCTCTGAAGAGTCCTTCACAACAACATTCGGGAAACTTCTCCCAGCCGCCGACTACCTCACCACCGCATACGGCAAAATCGCTTATTACACCTATACCCCCAAGACCTCTGCCTCCCCCACCTCCTCAAGTCAACGGGTGCTTTTTCTCCACGGCGTCCAAACCCCATCCCTAGGCCTTCAACCCCTGGCAAACTCCCNNCTCCAAACCCTCTTCCCAAGTTCAGAATTCGTACTCGTAGACCTGTGGGGCCATGGCCTAACCTCCACACCTCTTTTACCTCACACACCCTCTGTGTTCCACTTCCTCATCGACATTTTGCTCTCACACCTGCACTGGGAGTCTTGCCACTTAGTTGGTTATTCCTTTGGTGGCAGTACTGCGATTTCGTATCTTGCTTCCTCTGTTGCCCGTGCGCAGAGCATCAAAAGTGTGGTGTTAGTTGCTCCAGCAGGGCTTTGGAAATCTCCACATCTCGATGAGGATAAACTCTCCAATCCCGATTTCGAAATCGCCAAATCCCACGTCTTGGAGTTATTGGAGGGTGGTCCGTTAATCGTGCCCACCGACTGGCAATCCCGCATTTCCAACGGCGAGATCGTAGCTGAGAAAGTTAGGGAATGGCAGATGGAGCACCATCAAGGACATACTGCTTCAGTGGTTGCTATAGTAAGGGATGGCGGTGTATTTGGACAAGAAGAGGCTTTCGCAAAGGCGGTGGAGACCAAAATACCCATCTTGGCGGTGTTGGGAGAGACGGATGATGTAGTGTTTGAAAAGGATTTGAAGGGTGTAGGAATGGAGAATGTGGTTGTGGTGAAGGGGGCCGGACATGCCGTTGTGAGGCAAAAAGTCCCTGAAGTTGCGAAACACATCGAGAAGTTCTGGAAAGAGTTGCAGAAATAGATGAGATGGCGAAGCAAATCGCAATTGTGATTGTCGAGAGAAGCCATGGAAAGGTATCATACATCATCCTATACATCAATATTCATGTATACATTACATTTACAGCAAAAAGCAACAGCACCAAGCACAGCAGCAACAACCCCCTCAACACCAACCCTAGCAGCAGCACCAGTATACGGCACAACACTCGAAGTAGGCGTCACAGTCTTCGCAGTACCCGCGCCCACACTAGTGCCATTAACAGCAATCAACGTAGGCTTTCCCGACACGATCGCCGTAGAAGTGGCATACTCGTAACCAACCAAGCCAATACATCTGCCATCAAAGCAAGAGTTGTAGCTGCATTGTGAGGAATCGGTGCATGTGGCGTTGAAAGGTCCACACACCATGCCGGCAGCGGCTTCCTGGTATGCAGAGGAGACTGTGCATTCAGCGCCATTTGCGCATTGGGAGGTGGCGTTGCAGCTNTTGCCGAGAGGAATAAGGATAGAGGGGATAGTAGGGACAGAGGAGACAGTAGTGCGTGTGCGGGTGGAGTACGGTACGTAGTCTGATGAGATGGGAGCAGTCGGTAAGACGGTGCTGGCGGGTACGCAAGACTTGGCAAGATAGATTGCAGAGGCAGAACATTGGGATCCGGCAGTACACTGTTCATTGCTTGCGCATTCGGCGCCGATAGGAAGAGTGCCAGTGGCTGAAGGAGCAGGCGAAGTGGAAGATGCGGTACTAGCAATGGAAGTAGGCTGCAGCCAGAGTGATGAAGCAAGGAAGCCATTGCACAAGCCATTGTTGCAAGTGTTGGTTGCGCATTGCGAGTCGTTGCTGCAAGCAGCATTGAACTTTCCGCAAGACTTGATGAGCCATGCTGTAGACGCGAAGCACTCTGCTCCTCCAGCGCATTGCTCCGTGTTTGCGCACTCGGCGCCGAGAGGGAGAGAGCCAGCTGCAGCGACAACAGTAGACGAAGGAGCGGGTTGGATGCCTTCAGCCGAAGATGTCGAGGGAGCAACAACACTCGATGTAGCAGTAGATGATGGGAAATATTGGAGAGAGGTAGGCATCAACCACTCTGATTGAGGCAATGGTCCGCTGCAAAGACCGCCGGCGCAGAAATTGGTTGCGCATTGTGAGTCGTTCTGGCATTCGGCGTTGTATTTGCCGCACTGGGTTATCTGCATGAAGTTGCTGGCATAGCATTGGGCGCCTCCAGCACATTGTTCAGTGTTTGCACAATCAGCACCAAGTGGAAGAGTGCCGGGATCAGCGACGACCGTGGAAGAAGGAGCAGGTTGAGCTCCCTGAGCATTGACAGCAGCAAATGCTGCAGCGACAGCGAAAAGTGAAGAACGCATCGTATCACAAGGAAATTCGAGTATCGGATTGTCAAGGAATTCGAAAGACAGTTGACCAATGAATCAACAGTGTTGTAAAGATGGATTTGAGTTAGACATGCATCGAAGCAGGACTCTTCACCTTTATAGATTTGAGCCAATCGACACGCTACTGCTTGACCCCGCTCGCAGTCGTATAACCATGATCACAGTTCAGAAACCGAGAGGCTGAGGTAACAGAATGGAGCACCCCGCGTCATAAGACTCTATTGTTAGAAGAGCGTTAGAGTCCCAAGCCACTTCCGTTCGTGTTGATCTGAGTCGAGCGTCTTGGCACCATGACTTACAGAGTCAAAGGGCCTCGGCGGTCGACACGGCCGGATATAGCTGGTACTAGACTCCTGATAACTTTATAGTGTTGATAATCTGTGCATAGTCGTCCGAAAGACCCGTGTTGATGTGGGTATCTGGTGGTCTGTTGCATAGCATTTCTACGTACTCGTATCCATGCCACTTAAAGTATCATCGTCGTACAGTCCCTGCATATCGTCTCTTGCCCATAGCTTGACTGTGCGATCGTAACTCGAACTGACAATCCACTTGGCATCGCTAGTGACATCGGTAGAAAGCACATGACCAGAATGACCGCTCAGACTCTTGCACAATGCCCAGTCATCGGCCGAGAAGATCTTGACATTCCTGTCGAAGCCTGCACTGACGAAGAATGTGCCACTTTTCTTGGGGATGAAGTCTTGTGTGTCGCCGTGCTTTTCGAGAGACTTGCCGCTCAAGGGACTATCCGTACCCTTGAACCAGCGGAGATCAGTCACGCCGCCCTTGTGAGCACCTATTGAAGCAGTTTCCTTCATTGCACGAATGTCCCAGCATTTCGCGAAACCGTCGCCCGAACCAGTCATGACGCGGTAACCATCGGGACTCCAATCCAGACCATAAATTGGAGCAATGTGGCTTTCGAGATAGAGAACGCGACGACCGCTGCGCAGATCCCATAGACAGGCAATGCTGTCGAGACCAGCACTCGCGAGGAGAGAACCGTCCGCGTTGAAAGCAACTGTATAGGCCTCGTGCGAGTGTCCTTCTTGGAGAAGTAATTCTGTGGTAGTTTCGACGTCCCAAAGTCTCCATGTGGTGTCGTATGAGGCAGAAGCGAGATATTTGCCTGAGGGATGGAACTCGGTACGGCATACTCTGCCAGTGTGGCCGGACAGTGTCGAGATAGGTGTGTCTTGGTTCAACGACCAGAGATGGATATTGCCTTCTCCGCCACCAGAAGCCATGTTCAAGCTACCTTCTGATACGGTGGTGCCGTCCAGAGTAGAGCCAGGGAACCATGAAATGCCACTGACCTGGGCAGTATGACCGCGAAGAACGGCCTTTTCTTCCAGATTAGGCACATCCAGCAGCTTTATTGAACCTCCCCAATTTCCAGCAGCGACCGTTTTCCCATTAGGCGAGAAGCGAGCCATGCTGACAGGACGCTCTCCAGCAATCTGTGAACCAAACAGCTCGAAGCCTGATAACTTGTCCTTGACGTAGTTACGGTGATCGACGTGTCGTTGTAGAGGAATGGCAGATTCGAGTCGTTGGAAGTGCACGCGCTGTTGTGTCCTGGGAAGAGAAAAACGGGCAATTTCCTTACGTGCCTCGAGCAACTCATCGACACCTTCTGTATAAAACTCCTGCTCTTCCTCGTCTTCCTCGTCCTGATCCACGTCCATGGCGACATCTTCTCCATTGGCTTCTTGTTGTGTGTAGAGTAGTTCTCGTAAACGGTCTCTGCGATCTTCTGGGCGCTCTCCAAACAGAGTGATGGGTTCTCCAATTTCTCGCAACCTTGCGCGGACTCTGACATCGTCGGTGGGAACAGCAATGGCGTTGGCTTTGCGCTTTCGATTGAACTGGGCAATAACGTCGGCGGCTTTCTCATTACCGCCAGTAGCTGAGGGCATGTAGTAGTCGGTATCGAGAGGGATATTGTTGAGGTCATAGGTCATTTCGGAGTCCTGGTTTGAGGTCTGTGTTAGTGGTGGGCGGGAGCTGGGATGACTTGTGAACATGCGCAGATGGCTGTCAGATACAGGGAGACGTACCTCTGGCTCCTCCTCGACATAGGCCTGCCGCGACGGGTGTATCGACATGTTGGCGGTGTGTTGTGATGTTTTGTGTGAATTGTCGCAAAGAGTGCTTGAGCAGCGTGACGGGCAAGCTCAAGCGGCGCCAAAAGTTGCAGCAACGGTAAATTCCATCCCCAGATTCTCGCAAAGAGAAAGAGCGACACGCGAGTCAGTCGCGGGATGACGTGTGGAGCCTCCCGAAAGTTTTGGGAAGGAACGTCTCGGCAGCGCTGACCAGGCAGAGACTCGATGTTGTTGCCCGTTGTGTCTTTTATTCTGCTGCTCCTTCTCCGACTGTCTCTTCGCTATCAATATGCTATAGATGCTCCACGCCTGAAGCCCGTCCACATGTCTCTCCGCCGATCCCTCCTCCGCCCTCGACTGCCTTCGGTAGGCCGACCCTTTACACAAGCCTCGCCCATTCGAAGCCAATCCACCCATGCGCCCTTTACATATCGACTGGGCGCCTCATCCAGCGGCAAGGGCAGTCCTGTAGCCCCTCCAAATGAGAACAACATGTTTCCTCAATCCCTGCTGGACCGCGACGACCCCTACTTCACTTCGATTGACAAGTTCTCGGGAGAAGATGCCTTTNTCATGGCCAAGATTGCTCGCAGTGACAGATATATCGTCTTTGGTCTGGCAGACGGTGTGGGAGGTTGGAGAGACTCGGGAATCGATCCTGGACGATACTCGCATGGCCTCTGTAGGTACATGGCCCAAAACACGCACCGTCCCGAGACCGAGGGAGATTTGAAGCCTCGCAATTTGTTGCAGTACGGTTATGAGAAGGTCATGAGTGATAGAGGCATTCAAGCTGGTGGATGTACTGCCTGCATTGGTGCCATTGAGCCATCTGGTGCTATGGAAGTCGCCAAGTGAGTTGCTCTCGTTGTGTCCATTACATACCACATACTGACCTTCGCANGTCTCGGAGACTCGGGCTTCCTCATCCTCGCTCCTGGCAAGGTCTCGTTCATGTCGCCAGCTCAGACACACGCTTTCAACACCCCGTATCAGCTTAGCAAACTCACTCCACGCATGCAAGCCCAGAACCGTATCTTCGGCAACAGTGCCCAGATCTCAGAGACCCCCGCCCAATCCGACGTGACCACTCACTCACTACACCATGGCGAACTTGTCATCTTTGCGACAGACGGTGTTCTGGACAATCTATCTGGCATGGATATCCTCAACATTGTACAGCCCATCATGGAGAAGCACGGCTACTGGGCTGCCGCTGCAAAGGAAACCATCGTCAAGGCCGACAAACTACGAGACCCCAAAGAGGTCGAAGCTCTCTCCAAACTCCNNCCTTCCGAGATAGCTTACTCGATCATGCGCAATGCCAAAATCGCTGGCCTTGACGTGCGGAGAGATGGTCCCNTTGCGAAGGAGGTCCACAAATACTTCCCCAATGAGGAATATCATGGCGGCAAACCTGACGATATCGCTGTTGTTGTTGCTCTAGCCATTCAAGATGGCGCTCCCAAGGCAAAGCTTTAGGCTGTCTTTGCTACTGTGGTGATATTTGCATGGTTTTGGAGTCGGGGGTCTTTGTAAATTTGCATTGGCGGTAGTCATCTTGTTCATGTTTTGGTTGCTTATTCATATAACCATGTATATATCGGCATCATTTAGTGCTGAACTTATTCCAATTTGAGCTCGGACTGTGTAGATTCTATCCTAGATTTGCTGGTTAATTCACAGGGTGTTGGTTCACGTACACATTGTCTCACGACACTGAGTCAAGCAGTATAACGTCCTCAAATCCAAGAGATTCTTGAGTTGTTGATCACTGTACTTCGCACCTGCATGGTCTCCTCCAAGTAAGTTGCATTCTATGATACCACATCCTAGATACGGTCAGGGTCAGTCGCGCGACAATAACAGACGCCAAGCCTCTTCGATATCCTCATTGTCTCGCGCATCAGAATATTCAAGACTGTCAACCATCAAACTCGACACAACAACGTATCATCTGGATCTGCGAATTCAACAAACTTAAAGAATTTGGAATTCGACCAAAACCTATTTTCAAGCCGTCGGAACACACGATCAGATTACTTCATCGGGACGACTTGGACGCAAATCTTGTGGTCGCTAGGAAATCATCGAAAGAATAATTGCTCTGGATACAGAAGAAGTCCTTTCTCAACAATATACCAGGCAACATCTCGTCAAGGATTTACTATGTTGGACATTGGCAAACCTTCCAAGTTGCCAACGCCAAAATGTTACTTCAGCACCACAACTCTTCCGTCTTATAACGACATTTCCGAACTGCCCACCAAGAAGACACCATTCAATCTTTTACACAGCTCACCATACTACCACACTGTCACTTTACTTTCACCATCATCCTCTCCTCTCAACATCACTACAACTTCCAAGCCATCAAAATATGCACGATTACAAATGCCACTCCTCTCACTCCTCAAAGGCGACTTCTTCACCAAACACATCAAGACAGGAAACGTACTCTTACTCTCCGCACCTCTAAAACTGGAAGCCACGTCTTCGGAAGCAAGGTTTACGTTGATCAATGGTGTGCTGAGCATAACCTGCGATCGCGCAATCTACGAACGTGCTGGTCTTACTGGGACTGCTGTTGCTGATCCTCATGCTAGGAAACATGGGACTTCCAAGTTTTGTATTGAGGTCAATTTGAGGTTGCCGTCTATGCTTGCTGGTAAGAAGGGGTTTGAGCGTGTGCTGAGGGCTGCGGAGACGGTGTTTGTGGGTGAGATTTCATGGCTGTTCTATGATGTTGACGCTGGGGGAGTCACCGAGGATGATGCAGCGCTAGGCAAGGAGGTTGAGATCAAGGAAGTCAAGGCAGAGACTGAAGACTTGGAAAAGGTGTTGGTACCTGGTTTTCCCTCGGATATCGCCAAGAGCCCGGACGGCGAAAACGATCTGTTCGAATTACTAGAATGGATCTCTCTCGCCGCTCTCAACTCTCCAAGGATACAGCAAGGAGATCTGGTCGACGAGATCATCAGTCGTTATGAGGTTCCCACAATCTCATCGATACCCACGGCGAATACGACAGATGGATCAAACAATGGCACAACGACACAGAACCTGACGAAGACAACATTCACAGGATTTCTACCAGCTTCCTTGATTGCATCTACTTTTGGAGAGGCTCTTCTGCAACTCAAAGACTCTTGGTTTGCGTTTTTGGTGCGAGGATTTGAAGATGGGAAAACTTTTGTTGTACTAAAGACGGAAGATGGTCGGGCGTTGAGCTGGGATATTGAGGGATGATATCTGCTAGATGACTAGGAAGCGTAGCATGACCAGACCAGAAGAAAACTACATACAGCTGTATGAGACACTATCAGAGTAGTGATTTCGAGTTCGGGAGTGAGTGGGAGAAACTGCGGAGATGCAAGCTCGGGTGGACCGTGCACGCGGCCATCAATGATGATTTTCGTCACTCAAAAGTTCGTCGTCCTTGACTTCATACACAAACCAAACACTCACACACGCACAATGGAGTCAGCAACTACAACATCCACAGGCGCACAGCCGCCCGTCACAATCGTCTGCGTCGGCATGGCAGGAAGCGGCAAAACCACCTTTATGCAACGCATCAACTCACACCTCCACTCCAAACAAACACCACCCTACGTCCTCAATCTGGATCCCGCAGTGCGCAAAGTGCCCTTCGACTCCAACATCGACATCCGCGACAGCGTCAACTACCGCGAAGTCATGAAGCAATACAACCTCGGCCCCAACGGCGGCATCCTCACATCTCTGAACCTGTTTGCTACAAAAATAGACCAAGTGCTGGGCATCCTGGAANAGCGCTGTTTGCCAGACCTGCAAAAGAGGNGGGAGCAACACAAAGTGCCGGGGCATGTGTTGGTGGATACTCCAGGCCAGATTGAAGTGTTTGTGTGGAGTGCCAGTGGAAGCATCTTGCTCTCTTCCCTGGCTTCTTCTTTTCCTACGGTACTGGCTTATGTGATTGATACCCCGCGCACCACTGCCTCCACTTCCACCTTCATGTCCAACATGCTCTACGCCATTTCCATCATGTACAAAACCCGCCTTCCCATGATCCTCGTCTTCAACAAAAACGACGTCAAATCAGAAGAAGAAGCCATAGACTGGATGCGCGATTTCGAAAGCTTCCAAGCCGCTCTCCGTCGTGAAGAAGACGAGGAAGCAGAGTCGGGCATGGGAGGTTCTGGGTACATGGGTTCCTTGCTCAACAGCATGAGTCTGGTGCTCGAAGAGTTTTACAACAATCTGAGTGTGGTGGGTGTGAGCAGTATGACTGGTGCCGGCATAGACGCTTTCTTCGAAGCCGTGGAAGAGAAACGCNGACGAGTTCAACAAAGACTACAAAGCCGATCTGGACCGTCGTCGCGACCAACGCGAAAAGGAAAAGAAGCGAACCGCGAAAAGGAAGTTGCGCGGATGATGAAGGATATGAGGGTGGGAGGAAACAAGTCAAAAACACCCAAACCAGAGCCCGAAACCGTCTCGGAAGCCGAAGAAGAAGAAGAAGATGAAGGAGGTTTGGTGGACAGAGACGAAGACGAAGACATCAGTCAAGAAGGCCTGCAACAGCGATACCAACAAGCCTTGGCTGCAGGCAACNACCCCATGTCCAACGAAGACTTGAGTTTTGCAAAGTATGTTCAAGCTGCCGGTATGCAGAAGAAGTGAGAAAAGAAAAGAGCCTGGGCTTCGGACTTGTTGATAATACAAAAACGACGTTATGATTTTTGCATCTCTCTTGGGTTCTCTTCTTGTACATCTGTTATTCCTGTATCGTTCGTTTGTGTCTTCCTTGCAGATTGTTTCTCAAACCACACTCTCAGATATTCAGGTTATGAGTATCACATGCTGTGGTGTGTTCATATACAGCTGCGTTTAGAAAGTCCTTGGAGGATCGCAGGGATCTAGACTGGACTCGAAAGGGTAGGTATGTAAAATGTACAGTGTAGTCACATGCCTGGAACCCAAGTCTCTGAGTCACAAAGTCGGTGGTGATTGGTATCAAAGCCCCACGCTCTCTTGAAATAGTTTTGTTTTTCTCTCAGCGATTGCATTTTTTGATCCGTGAATGCAAATGCCCGGAAAGGAATTCTAGATCTTTGCGAAAACAACACACGGCTGTATCTCTTTCTTGCATCTACCCACGAAACTTTTGAACAACTCTTGGTTTTTCTTGTTTCTGCATTCTCCTTGATGTCTGACCAAACTCCCACCGATGGAGTTATCGCAATCCGCACTGCAACCCTTGCAGATGCAGAAGCGATTGCACGTATCCATGTTGCGGCATGGCGAGCTGCATACATCAACATAGTCCCCCAAACACACCTCGACAACCTCTGTCTTAACGATAGGGTAAAACTATGGCAACGCATTCTCTCTGACCCAGAGACACATGCTGGCATTCTTATCGCCGAAGCTACCAAATACACCAAGAGATGCCCAAGGAATAGTCTCCTCGGGTTTGCGAGTTTCGGACCTGCTGCTGCTGCTGCTGCTGCTGCAGCAAGCAGTACGAGAGAAGCAGAACTGCGCGCTATCTACATAGATCCCGAATCCTGGGGCGAAGGGATCGGACAGAAGCTTTGGCAAGCGGTTGAACGGCACTTCCTCGCAGCAAGATACGAGACTGTGGTGGTACGTGTGTTGGCTGGAAATAAACGTGCCATAAAGTTCTATCGTGCTGTTGGATTTGGAGAGAATGTTGATGGTGGAACTGGAGAAATCGAGATTGAGGGGAAAAAACTTGGGGTGTTGAGATTGAGGAAGAGACTTTTGTAGGGTGTATCGCTGATTCGAATGAGAGAGAGAGAGACAGTGATGTCGGAGGATTTGGATATGGCGGTTTGATACAGAGATGTGGTATTTACGACTTCTTTGGGGTTTGTCGAGGAATGCAATGGGTTCGAGGAGTTTTTACTGAATGATCTAACCATCCTTGACAGTGGCCTTCAAGCGTTCGAGGATATACTCGCCAGCACGAATGGGCGGATATCTCGATGGGTTGTCATCTGAGATACAGCTAGGAAGCGTNCTGACAGTGTGGTTAGCATTGTACATGTCAGCTCATTCTCACAGCACACTTACCTCGACCTGTTGATCATAGTTGATACTAAAGAAGAAAGGAACACTATATCTCTCCTTTGTGGTTCTGTTGACCACACGATGAACAGTGCTCTTGTAAACTCCATTCGTCCACCTCATCAAGAAATCTGCGACATTGACGATGAAAGCGCCTTCAGCAGCTTCTGCAGGAGTCCACACGTTCTCAGGAGTCAAGATCTCCAGACCGTGGGTTGTTGAGGAGAGCAGCAGAGTAAAGCATTCATAATCGGTGTGAGAGCCTAGACCAACTTCCTTATCTGCTTCATTGGGATCCAATGGCTTAGGATCTTTAGAAGGAGGATAATACAACAGGCGAGAAATACCGCCTGGATGCGTCATCATCTGATCAAAATGGTTCTCAGGCAATTCCAAACTCAGAGCGAAAAGTCTGAATAGATGGCGGGCTAGTTGCAGTACCTGACCATAGTACTCGGCGATATCTTGCTTGAAGCCAGGAAGAGAGGATTCAGTAGGCCACACATTGCCATTCTCGGTACTGCCATCCAAATCGCGATATTTTCCATCACCACCTGTAGGGTCAAGGGAAGCTTCATATCCCCAGTTAAAGCCTTCTTTGGTCTCTGGCACTGCAGCAGTAGCCCAATCATCAGGATTCACATAGGTGTAATCTGAAGGTTCCCATCCACGCATCAGAGCATTGTGCTTAACATGCAACTCGTCCTTTTGAGCAGGAGGCAATTCCTTGAAGAAGCGAGAAGCTTGGTTTAGCACGCCTTGACGAACGGATTCGGGAACATTGTGGCCGGTGATCTGGAAAAACCCGCTGTTGGTGCAGGCGTCCCGGATTTGAGCTGCTACTGCTTTCTTGTCGGTGAGAGAGCCGTTGAAAGTTGAAGATATGTCGATGATGGGGACGTTGAAGGGTCTAGCTGGGCCATCTGTCTTTGTGGTAAGGCGGTTGTTGAGATAGCTTTGGGCAGCGCGGCGTGCCTCGTCTGAGGTAACGTTGTTGGATGCCATCCTAAGAGTGTGACTTGACTAGGGGTGAGCTGGAAGGAAGGAGAAGAAGTTATGAGTTTGTTTCCGAGGGCAGATAGGGAAGATAATTAGGCGCGATCCGGCAGACAAGAAACTGCCGACGGTCGGGAGCTATCTTATGACTCTTTAGCACTGAGTCGCAGACAGATGTGGAAAGTAGATGCGTGGGATTCGACTGGCGATTGCAAAGTTTGTAAGAACTACTCTGGTATCACGAGAAGTGGTCGGCGGGTTAGTCAAATGTATGATCAACAGGCGAGAGGCTTGGTGATGCGGGGAGAGAGCTTGGGCACCCTCGTGGGCAATTTAGGCCAACCTTGCGGAAGCTCTATTTTTGAGGCCATGACGGGCATGATTTTCGCACTACTGTGATGGCTTGCAGATGTACATAGCGTGGGCTAGATGTAGTTGAGAGGAGCTGGAAGCAGGAAAGGGGTTGCGTGAGGGAGTCAAGATAGGGGTTCAGGATGCGTGGCCCAAGCTCAGGGCCAGGGCCAGGGACAATTGCGTCGCAGGTCGAAGTGTCGAGGGTCGTTGCGACAGCTGTCCACCTTTACAAAATCTCCTTCTATCTATCCCATCCCTCGACATCAGTGTTTGGATGGTCGAGGTTTGTGTTTGAGCTACATCCACCTTCTCGACTCTCCTTGAACAAGTTTTTCATTCACAATGTCATCAACGCCGAGCTCCAAGAAGGGGCCAGCGGGCAGCTCCAAAAAGAAGGTCGATGGTGCTGTCGACCAGACCAGCGAATACCTTTCTCAGCTGCGGAGCGAGACCAAGCAGGCTGCTTCCAATGACTGGGACTACAAGCTTGCTCTCGCCGTCATCACCCTTCTCGCCTTTGCGACACGCTTCTACGCCATCACACACCCCAACCAGGTCGTCTTTGATGAAGTCCACTTTGGCAAGGTAAACCGTTCATCAGACCATCGGAAAGAGTCGTAACTAATCCTCACCAGTNTCGCATCGTACTACCTCCAACGAACCTACTTCTTCGACGTGCACCCTCCGTTCGGCAAACTCCTGTTCGCTTTCGCAGGCTGGCTTGTAGGCTACAATGGCGACTTTTTGTTTGAAAACATTGGCGACTCGTACATCACAAACAAGGTGCCCTACGTCGCCTACCGCGCAATGCCCGCCTCAATGGGTGCCTTGACTGTCTCGGTTGTCTTCATGATCATGTGGGAGTCTGGCTACTCCCTGCCTGCTTGTGTTTTGGCTGCCGGTCTTGTTCTTTTCGACAATGCACACATTGGTCAGACCAGACTCATCCTCCTTGATGCAACTCTCATCCTCTTCATGGCTCTCTCGGTCTGGAGCTACATCCGCTTCTACAAGCTCCGGCACGTTCCCTTCAGCCGCAAGTGGTGGAAGTGGCTGCTCTTGACTGGTGTCTGCCTCAGCTGTGTCATCTCGACCAAGTACGTCGGTGCCTTTACCTTCTTCTCCATCGGTGTCCCCGTTGCCATTGACCTCTGGTCTCTTCTCGACATCAACCGCAGACAGGGTGCTCTGACTCTGCCCGAGTTTGGCAAGCACTTGGCTGCTCGCGTCACTGGTCTGATTGTCATCCCCTTCTTGCTCTACCTCTTCTGGTTCCAGGTCCACTTTGCCATTCTCAACCGTTCCGGTCCTGGCGACGATTTCATGAGCCCTGAGTTCCAGGAGACTCTCAGCGACAACATCATGACCCAGCAATCCGTCAGCATCGACTACTACGACGCCATCAACATCCGCCACAAGGACACCAAGGTCTACCTCCACAGTCACCCCGACAAGTACCCTCTTCGTTACGACGACGGCCGTATCTCTTCTCAGGGTCAGCAGGTCACTGGCTACCCCCACAACGACACCAACAACCTCTGGCAAATCATCCCCAGCACTGGCGCCATTCCCGAAGAAACTGGCCACCGCGTCCACGTTGGTGATGTTGTTCGTCTTCGCCATCTCGTCACCGACACTTGGCTCCTCACCCACGATGTCGCTTCTCCTTACTACCCCACCAACCAGGAGTTCACCACTGTTGGTCACGATGAAGCCAACGGTGACCGCTTCAACGACACCCTCTTCGAGATCAGAGTCGATGGCGCAAAGCCTGGCATGGATTTCAAGACCATGTCTGTCCATTTCAAGCTCGTCCACGTCCCTACCAAGGTCGCCATGTGGACTCACACCACTCCTCTGCCTGACTGGGCCTACAAGCAGGCTGAGATCAATGGTAACAAGAACGCCCTTCAAACCAGCAACATCTGGTATGCCGAGGATATCCCTGCTCTTCCCAAAGATTCCGAACGCGCAAAGAAGGAGCCTCGCAAGGTCAAGCACGTGCCCTTCCTCAAGAAGTACTTTGAGCTCCAACGCGCCATGTTCTACCACAACAACGCCCTCACCAGCAGTCATCCTTACGCCAGTGTTCCTATTCAGTGGCCCTTCCTTCTCCGTGGTGTCAGTTTCTGGACCGAGAACGAGACTCGTCAACAGATCTACTTCCTCGGTAACCCTCTTGGTTGGTGGTTGGCTAGCAGTCTGCTCGCTGTCTTTGCCGGTGTTCTCCTTGCCGACCAGCTTTCTCAGCGCCGTGGTGTCGATGCTCTTGACAAGCGTATGTTCTCTGCCATTTCCTCCTTTTGACAACATAGACTGACTCTTTCTAGGTNNGCCCGCAACCGTCTCTACAACTCGACCGGTTTCTTCTTCCTGACCTGGGCCGCCCACTACGTCCCCTTCTACATCATGGGCCGCCAACTCTTCCTCCACCACTACCTCCCTGCTCACCTCGCCTCTGCACTCGTCACTGGTGCCCTCGTTGAATTCGTCTTCAACATTGACCCTGTTGATATTGATGACGTCGCCTCTGGCAACGCAACCCTCACCAAGAACAAGAAGACTGCTGTGCAACAAAACAAGCCTGTCCGCGAGAGAACTGGTCAATCCAACTTGCTTGGCATGTGGGCAGCCACCGGTGGTATCCTTGCTGTCATTGTTTGGAGTTTCCTTTACTTCGCTCCCTTGACCTATGGTCAGCCCGGCTTGACTGTTGAGCAAGTTCAGGCAAGAAAGTGGCTCAACTATGACTTGCACTTTGCCAAATAGAGCATTTCTCTACAAAGGCTTCTCTGTGGAAGCCAATATCTTTGAAGGGCTTACTACAGAGTGCCTGGTTTCTCTCTGTAGATTTAGGAGGGGTCTCCGCTTTTTTTCCCTTTGTTAGCAAACACCCAAAATTCAGATTTTTCACCATTTACCATTAACGAATACTTTGTCCGCGCTTAGAGCCTTTGAGAAATAATTCGTTCTCACTTTTTGGATGTGTGTCGATGCAAGAGTCTAGTCCAGACGTTCTCTAAACGATAAAGCGGGATGAGTGACGAAGAGACGACAGTCAGAGTAGAGTCCTTTCAGGACGCTCGAGATACATTCTCAAGCGTAACGATTTACTAGTTGAATGTCGGTTTCATCTTCATTGTGATCTGTGGCCTGGGGTTCGCTTGCAGCAGAATCCTGCAGGATCGCAATTTCGATATTCGCTGCTAGCTGGTGAGCTGAAAGCCGTTATTGTTCCTGCATAGCGGGTATACATCTCAGTCCAGCTGAGCTTTCACCATTCCCTTTTCCGTCCTTGGCGGTCGTCTCATCTCAATGTATCAAAACAATACAGACTCAGTAGCTGATCTGAACAGATAACCTGGTGCTCGAAAGTAAGTAGAAGGCAGTCTTGTCACAAATTCTGTTGGATGGGAAGGAAACAAGATATGGTGAGGAGCAGGACAACATGAAGCAACCCCAGGCGGTATCTGAAAATTCCCGTTACAGATGTCTTAACCATCGGCTCTGCGCAATGTGATATTCAACTGACAAGTTGATGGTACATACGTTGGCCTAGAGCATCCACAATTGAGAGCCTACCATTGACCAAATGCAGGAGGTCGGTTTCCTGGCAAGCCAATCTCCTCGTGGTTGTTCGAGTGTTGCGTTCAGCATATATTATGGTCCTGCCATCCCCTTTGAAGATCCGATTCTTTTCAATTTAGGAATCGTCTCTTGAATTCAAAAGGAATTCCAACTTTCACGATGCGAGTCTATTCTGGGTTGGCTGCAGCTTCCTTATTTGCTGCTGCAACTGCCCTGATTTCCAATGGCACAACCGAAACCGTCACAGTGACTCGTACATCTTGGTCAACAGTCCCCTCATGCCCCTCACCGACAACTGTCACTGTGTGTCATGCTCAGTGCCCAACGTCGTCTGGAAATGTCAACAGCGCCAACATCGTTTACCAGACAATCTCGAATTGCCAAGCTGGACAAGTCGTCAATATTGGTGGTACTGCAACCACACTCGCCGAGCCTACTGTCTTGACCGTGGAAGAAACCATCAGCAATCTGGTCCTTGTTCCAGACACAGCAACTGGCAGTGACTTGACTGCCGCAGCGACAGTCACGAACATCGTCTATCCATCATCCGTAACCGGCGTCAGTGGTCAAGTGCTTACATGCCAGACTGGAGTCACGACTCTCACCCGCGATGGTATTGTTCTCACTGACTGCCCCTGCACGGTGCAATCGACAGTCCTCGAGCTGACCGCAACTGGACCTGGACCGATTCCTACTGCCATAGTGTCTTCGAGCGACTACATTGTCAAAATCATCTACGTCTATGTTATCGAGACTATTATAGAACAAATCCCAACGACTATCACAACAACTGCGACAAGTGTGCTTACCACAACCTCGGGAGAAATTGCAACAACTACAGTCAGCGCGTTACCCACCATCGTGTCTGTCGAAAGCGTTACTTTTCTGCTCGAGTACGACTCGACATACGATGGAGTTCCTGATACTGGACTACGCAAACGTCAGGCCATCAACTCGCCTTCGATCCCTGCTGCTCTCAACAATTGCCTTGCCAGATGTGCTGAGCAAGTGGGTTGCCGAGCTGCCTCTTTCGTAGGATCCACATGCATTCCCCTTCGGCAGTTCGATGCACAAAGCCGAAGAGTGTCTCCCGGCGACATCTTTGCAATCGTCATTTATAGGCCGTCTGCACCGACAGGTTCGAGTTCGTCAACGAACGTCGTATCGTCATCAGGCTCAGCAACGTCAACCGACATTGGATCCTCGTCAAGCTCCAGAACTTCCTCCAGCCTGCCAGAGAGTCTGACCTCTAGCAGTTCGAAATTTTTGACAAGCTTCCGAAGCAGTAGTTCAGCAGGCACCGACAACACAAGTACCAGTCTTAGCTTCAGATCGAGCAGCCAGATCAGCTCCCGCAGTGCCAGATATCCTATGTCCAACAGTTCAACCAGCTCGATATCTCTGAGCTCAAGCAGCAGCTCCAGCTCAAGGCTTCCTGCACCAATCATCAGTTCATCAGTCATCTCTGTCTCTTCGAAATCGAGCTACAGCATTTTGTCAGAATCGAGTTCGAGCACTTCATCAAAATCAAGTTCGAGTATCTCGTTGGAATCGAGCTCGAGTATCTCGTTATCGTCATCGAGTTCCATGACAATTTCGAACACGTCAACAAGCATAATTCCCTCCTCTACAACCTCATCGTCCATCATGTCATCATCATCGGCAAGCTCTACATCACTTGCTCCACTGACTGGATGCGCAGTCGCAAGCGAAATCTTGGGGTATGCTCCTGCCGTATCTTACTGCTCTTCAGCATATCCCGTGACGATCTACACTAGCCTGTTCAGTGCCACGATCACCGATACTGTCACTGATACAGGAGTTGCCTCGACCATTTACGGCAATGTCACTCTGCCGGCCGAGACAACTGTGCAGACCATTGAAGAAACAGTCACCCAGACTAGTTTCTTCCCGGTAGAGGTAACAGAAACAGAAACAACAACGACGTAAGTTACCTGCCCACACGCCGACCAAGAGTCAACACACTAAAACCTAATCGCAGCACCACGACTGTATCTAGTACCCCTGTAGCTTTACAGAGAAGACAGCGAATGCCCTCGGTCGCAGCCAGCATCTTCTCGAGCATCTTGTCTCGTCCAGCTTCAGACATTGCCCTTGTGTGCTCTTGTTTGCAGACCCCAGTGACAAATTCAGTGACGAGCACGGTGACCGTCTTGAGCACGACAACATCTACCCCGTTTATCAGTGCCAACATGACCTTCACGCCTCCAATCATGACTCTGCAAACCACCGAGACGAACACCGAAACCATCGAAGTAACCACAACCACGGGCACAACAACGAGTACTGAGGTAGTCACTGTATTGATTGCCTCAGTCACTTCCAGCTACGAGAGTACATACACCACGATCCAGGCCACGCCTACCACAGACATCGAGACCATCACGACATGCACAGTAGGCACGGTACCTCCAGTTGGTAGTTGTCAAAACACGGTCTATTCGGCCACTGGCACATACTACAGCGAGCAATGCGACAATGCGATCGTCTCTGGATCAGTCAATCGCATCATCCAAGGAGCCAGAAGTGTCAACCAATGCCTAGACTTCTGTACAGGCATCTATTCGAGATCCTGCGATCTACTCGCCTACAATCCTACGAGCAGTCGTTGCTGGCTTGCGCAAACTACGTCTGGGACTTTCACCACTTTCGGTCCTGGGGTCCAAGCAGTTGGCGTGTATAGCACAAACCCGTGTGTGGCAACCGTCACAAGCACCGGGACTGGATACACGACCGAAACGATTACTTCTCAGATCGTCACCGTGTTTGAATCGACAGTCACGAGTTCAGCTACGCCTACTTGATCTTTCCACACCCTCTTTGGTCGAGCGATACTAGTAGCCATCAGCAGATAACTTCTCTGTCTAAGCAAATTCCGCGTTCTTGCATAAGACATTTGACAAGGGGGCTCGGACAAGCAAAGCCCCTAGAACTTGGGCGTTTTCGCATGTCCTACTGTTGAATACAAGAGAAGTTCAGTTAAACTCTTTGCAGCATTCAGTCTTGCGCCTCTAAGATCTTGAATCGAGCGAGTTTGGACCAGAAAGTGGCTAAACTAGGACTTGGACTTTACTAAATAAAGCCGTTCCTCAAGTTGAAACCTTTGAGGAGTTATAACAAATCACTATGGGAATATTGGCTTCTGCGGAATGCTTTGATTCTTTCTTGCAACCTCAGGAGAATTGCTTTTCAAATACCGAAAGTTCAGAATTTCCACCATTCATATTGCATGGATGCTCGCGATTTTGGATGATTGTCGCTCCATATGTATGCTTCAAATTCTCATGATAGCCGCTTTCTATCTCACAGTCATAGGTGCGGAGAATATTATGGAGCGTTTCTCAAATAGTGCATCTGTGACGGATCGGTACCTTCTTATCAGACGCAGAGGATGAACATGGTTCTCTCGTTCCGCACGAACTTGAAGTCGATGGGAAGAATTATCTAGAGAACATCACCACTATTAGCTTCAATGCCACAGAAAGTTTTGTAACAGCGAATCTCAAACCAGCAAGTATTCAAAGAGAGTTAGCAGCATCGATCGAAAGCTACTAAACATCAGCCGTAAATTTGTCCACCCGCGCCGCATGAAGCGGTTTTGTCTTGCATCAAAGTCGTATTGGACGTAATCCTCATGCCAAATCGACCGTGGGCCACCGCGGATCTCCAATCTTGTGCACCACTCCAATTCAAAGGCGTCACTCTGGAATAGATGGGCTCTTTCTCCTTTTCGAGTCATCTCCATGACCAGCATTTGACGATCGACTTCTTCAGTCAGATCTCGCATGGGCACAGATGAAGAAATTTCAAACGGATCTTCCTCACCCTCTGCGACCGTCGAATTGAAATCCTCTCCCATATTGCGTTTCCCAAACTTTTTGGAAACGGATGCTGCAGCGTCTAATCGTCGCCTCATGCTGGCTTTATCTTCCGCGGCAGCAATCGAGGTCAAACTAGCACCCACAAAAGTGCCCCCAAGAGCAGCCCCAACGGGGCTCGCAATAGAGCCTACAACTGAGCCTGCAAGTAAGCCTGCAAATGAGCCTCCAACTGAGCCCGGAGTTGCGATCAGTGGATACGTTGTAGCAGTCAGCTGATTTTGAGGTACGCTCAGAAAGGCCTTCAGCTTGTACCAACCCCGTCCGCAGTGAAGAACTCGCAACTCACCAGCTCTGACATCGTTCATGTAGGTCAAGTTAGTGTTCAGCGATGTTGAGTCCAGAAGCTGCAGATGCAGCGGTATGCTACTTTGTTGTGCACAATGATACGAGGGTTTGACCCGGCCTGTCCTTCGATGGTCTCGATATCCATCTGCGATTTCTTGGCTTTCTCTGCCTCGAGTACCTTCACGCGTTCTTCTTCGTGATACGGTCGGATCTCATCGAAACTCTGTTCGGCGTCTTGAACCACGTTCTCGGTGCGTCGATCCTCCGGATCTTGTGCCTGAAGTTCATTTCCTCGTTTCTGTTCATGTGACTTGACCTTTCCAGCCTGCTCTGCATCCCTGACCCTGGCCGCTTCGAAAGCCCCGTCTTCTTCGTAGAGCTCGTCCGATTCTGCATATCCCGTTCTTTCTCCGATGACGGTCTGTTGTTCTTGTCCTGTCATAGTGTCTTGACGAAATTCTGTGCTGTTGCGTCTTGAGTCGATCTGCCCTTCGCTATTCCTTGCAGCAGCGATGGCCCCCCATACCGAGTTGCCAAATCCGAGGAGAGATTTTCCAATGCCCTGAAACATCTTAAGACGGGCTATGTTTTCGCCGACAGCCGGTCGAGGCATGAGATCCTGCCGCTCGAGATAGATATCAAACGGCAAAGAGATGGACTCACGCGGGGCGGCCGAGATGTCCCTTGGATTTTTGAGATTGACCAGTATCTCGGTCCTCCACCGAATTCCAGCTACAAAACGGAGATCGTTGTTCTTGCGAGCGAGAGAGGCCAGATCAAGCAATTTATCGATAGTGTCCTTGTCTGGAAGCACAAACCTGGCTGTACAATTCTGTCGCCAGATCTGATAGTCCAGCAACAGGAGATCTTGCCTTATTGAAGCCCGCGAACCTATCCACGGACTTTCTGCCTGCTCTCGATGAACTTCTGAGCTCAGACTTGAAATTGTTTTCATGCCGCTGTCCCAGGACCATGAACTGATACCAGAAATGTTGACTTGGTCGTTCACCTTTCCACGGCGTAAACAACCCTCACAGAAAGTTTGGAGAATCCCTATCTGTGCCCAGGTCCGTGCCTCGTCCGGCTCGTTTTTCGAGCCGTCTAGAAACGGTGCGATGGCAGTCCAGATGCTCTTGAGATCAGTGTTGTGGTGGCGGTCCTTGTCACTCCTGAAACAAACCTCCAGAATGTTCTCAGCAGCCCAAAAATATTCCGCCTCTAGAAGTCGTGACACAAGTTCAGGCGGAGACTCGCCGGACAAGATCTTGAATCTCTCGGATGGCAATCGCCAGAGTACCTCATGTTCGAGATACCTCAAACCTAAGAAGAGTACTGACAATATGACCTTCTTACGGTTAGGGTCCGAACACGGAAGAGACTATAGAGGCAAACTTACATGTTCGTCGTCGAGGTCTTCCGGACTAAGTGTACTCAAGCGTTCCTCTACAGCTCTAGCGACCGGTCGACGCTCGAATAATATAACCGTTCCGGCTGGATAGACTTGCCTTGAGGCTGTAGCCAGCGTGTTCATGAATTCGAGGATTTCTGACTCCTGCTCATTCCAGCCTTGGTGAGTATTCGTGGCTGCCGATGACGACTGTGGTCGACCTCGTAACAATCTTCGAGTAGTCGTTAGCAATCCGAGATATTGACCTTGATCGTAGAGAAGACGCAGAATCTCAAAGGCGATAGGGAAGATATTGGTTTGTTCCTCTGACATGCTATCGGAAATTTCGCGAGCGGCTCTAAATCTTCCAAGCGTGCTTTTATATGCCATATGTTCAACCTTTTTCTGAATATCCGTTTCGACATCGAAGCTAAATTCCATGGTGAAAGCATCCTCTTCTTCTCCTGCTGAGGAGACTGAATGTAGCTGGCTCGCCATGTGACAGCTCTTATCCCCAAGGCACAGAAGAAGTTGTGAGTGTTACAGGGGTGTTTGTTCAGACTCTGGAGCGAACGATTGAAAAATAGTCTGCAATGCTGTACAAGGCTTGGAGCGCTGAGTTGGCAGGGCAGCCAAGATACAATGTTGCAGTAGCTTAGGTACGCATGGCTTCATACATATTTCAGTGACGCCTGGACTCGGCGCTTACTGTGGAAGGCGCATCATGCAGGTCAAGGTGGGCAGAATGCATGTCAGCTCCAGCTTATCCCGCCTGACGCGGAATCGCCCAAGCCCCGCACGGGTTGCACCATCTTGTTGCGCACCTGGAGCTGGACTCGGACGAATCAGCAATCTGCCAGCGCAATCGATGATGTTTCATTTGTCGTCCACTGCAGGACTATCGATTTGGCTGGCACTAGTCACACACCGCACATCTGGGCCCCGACTACATTTATCGAAAAGAGCTGATCTCCTGCTGCAGCCGCTCGGGTCAGAGTGACCTGCTGGCACCAAAATCTTCATAAATGCATTACCTCCCGCCCGTTCCAAGACATCATTACGGAATGGTCACGCAGCAAATTACCATGCATCTCTAAAAAACTGGTGCGGTCTAACCATGGGATTCACAGTCTTCAAGAAAGAGTCCATCGGGAGGAAACTCGAACTGTGTACCAAGAAACAAGATCTCGGGGGTAAAGTCGGACGTGTTGATGTGAGATGCACTCTTCAAGCTCACAAATCCCGGTGGACTACCAGTGGAAAAACGGAACTCTGTGGACTGCTGCTCTTCTACATTGAAGTTGCCGATCATGGCCGTGACACTCCTTTAAGGTCTGCGACAGTCACAATAGATCTTGAGGCGCCCTACAACGACGACCCCGAACTTGTCATTGACGGATGCTTTCCAGCCACAGCAATCATGGGCAATCCTATCGTTGAGACCATCCGTAGGACTGGAAGATTAGAGCCCGAGGTCACAGTCGGCGCTGCTGGGGTCGACGTTGGAGTCAAGGGTGGTTCACTTGAGAAACAAAGTGATGTGACGGTCGAGCACAGATCGTGTTTCAAGGCCGGTTACCCCTCTGTAAAGGGACAAACCACAATTCGCAAAGCTGATTTCACCTGGTTGCGAACATCGCGTGCGGACTTCGTCAGTCCGAACAGGTTGTACGCAGGTGCGCTCGTCGTTAGCAACTCCCGAACAAAGCCTTCGCTTCGACTAAGAGTTCGGGTTGGGGTCAATATGTGGCACAGCTGGCAGACGCTCTCGAATGGGCGGTCGAAGGACAAAATAAGTAATCCGATCGGTCCACGCGAAGGAGAAGATATGAGCTTCAACTTCTTAGAAGAAGACCTCGAGCAATGGACAATCGAAGAAAATACGTTTCTGGTACCTACAGGCAAGTCTAGAAATGTGTTCGACATCTCTTCGTTTCCCCAGCAATCACTGACACTTATCAGGAGTCGGCGGCATCAAGCCAACACCCTCACTCTTAAGCTCGAGGTTTGTATGCGGAGGCTCGTCCAATGATGAGTCACGTCGGTCATCCCAAAGCCCCCTTTCGGCCACGGTTGCTGCGGTTCAAGCTTCAGCAAAGATTCTTGGTACCCAAGGTTCAGAGCTAGAAACAAAAGCAGACGTCAAACTGGAAGCTTCTCTATCTCTAATCTTCCTTTTCATGGGCCTTGCCCTCTGTATGATAGCATATATACAGAGTTACATAGGGAACGTTTCATAGTTTGAAATTTATGCAACAAGGCTATAATGGTGAGGAAAAGTCCTCGAAAGTCATGGTGGTTCATTCGACCTAGATCTGTCCCATAGAACGCAGACTCCGTTTGAGGGCAGGGCTGTAAGATTCCAATTCATTCATCTGAAAACACATCGATACATCCTCGTGAGTTCTCAGCGGCTGTGAATGTTCAGAACTCAAGCAAGGCTATGGATGGAGCTACAAAGTCCTGTACACGTTCAATTTTTGGTTATCTTTATTGAAAGCAAGGCTCAGAACAGAGCGGAATCGCGCCATGCATGATGGAAACTTGGAAAGAGTCGTAGGATTGTGACCATGACCTATAGAACGCGGGCAGTGGTAGCAATCTCAATGCCTAATACTCTGTACTTGTAAATTGTGTAGTAATTGGAATCAATCGTCCGCCTTCTCAATTTTCAACTCTTTCTCCTCGACCTTGGCCAGTTCTCCTGCACTTCCCTTCCACTCGTCACCCCACAACTGCTGCAAAGATATCCTCGACTTGCCAGGCACAAACCACGGCATCTTTTGGAACAAAGGTCCCATATCTTCCAAAGGTCTCTTTGCAGTTTCTGGCAGTGTAGTCCAAAACCATAACGCATTTGTGGCTGAACACACCACAAANAGGATATAATACTTCCAACCTATACGTTCCAGAGCGATGGGAGAGACTTGACCGATCATGGTGTTGAAGGCAAAAGAACATGCCGTGGCGAGAGAAACACCTTTGCTGCGTGTATGCGTGTCGAAGATCTCGGCGGGGATAATCCAAGAAAGAGGACCGCAAGCTACCGAGTAGGAGAAATTGAAAAGCCATGTCATGGCGATGAAAGCTTCTTGTGCAGATCTGTTTGTAGAGGCGCCGGGAGGATAGGATGCGAGAAGGGCAGTAGCGATAATAAACGTAACCATGTTGAGTAGGTTTCCTCCGATCAGCGTCCAGCGACGGCCAACGCGATCGATGAAGAGCATGCAGCAGAATTGAGCGGCTAGTGCAACAATAGCATTGAATCCTTGAAACATGAACGTGTCACTACCGTTGATGCCAATTTGACCGTAGATGTCCGGAGAGTAGTATTGAATAGCAGAGACACCACTCATCTGTACAGAAGCCTGTAGAGACAGAGCAGTGATCAAGCGACGGAAACTCGATCTTGTCTTGAAAAGCTCGGCATACGACTTTGCGGCATGCTCCTTCTCGTACTCGACTGCGGCTGTGATGGCGTCGTATTCCTCTTGCACAAAGGCATCTTGGTCGTTTCCGGATGCGTGGAGTTGGGCGAGTACTCTTAATCCTTCTTCGCTGCGACCGTGGTGGATCAGCCAACGAGGAGATTCAGGGAACAGAAGGATGAGCGAGGTCAGAAACACTGCAGGCAGGAGTTGGAGACCAAGTCCGATCCTCCATTGTGCGCTGTTGTTGTCGTCGAAGGAGATGTAGGTTCCATATGACACCCATGCTGCGATGAGATTGCCAACTCCAAGCATGAACTGCTGAAGTGCTGTAATTCTTCCTCTAATGCTTGGATGTGCGAGTTCGGCCTGATAAAGCGGAATGATCATGATCAAAGCTCCGACACTACAGTTTCGTTATTAGTATTCTGTTCCGCATGCTAGAGACACAAAAGCCGGATCCATACCCAAGNNACCAGCCACAAACCTCCCACCAAACATATAACTATAATTTTGCGCTGCGGTCTGTACCGAACCTCCCAGGATAAAAATAGTGCCGCCGATGAAAATGGTCCATTTACGTCCTAGATAGTCACCACAGGGACCTGCCCAGAACGCGCCAAAGAAAGCGCCGACTGTGAATAGGGAAACAACGAGTCCAGTGTTTGTCGTGTTGTCGCCAAATGCAGCGAGGAAAGATGGTGCTGCGACGACTTCGGCGACGACACCTAGATCGTAGCCATAGAGCAAGGAACCGAGGGACGCAAAGATGGAGACCAGGAATTGGTAGATGCGTGGTGAGACAGCCATGGTCGGTTTGAGTCTGAAGCGGCAACTTCAATGAGATGTTGCTTTGTGAACAAGACCGATTTGTCGAGTGACCGATACGACTTGAGATGAATCGTGACAACAGTCGCTGTCATGACAGGAAAAATAACGAACAGAACAATAGGACAAGGAGCGTACATATACACAGACCGACCTACCTTTCAACCGTAATTATCGTAACCATATTGATCCTTTCGCCCAATGACGCAGTGAGATCATCTCACCACAACCAAACAAACTCGGTAGATTTGGAGATGGTGATGACAAAGATGGGGCTTCTATTCGCACGCGGATAAACAGCGACTGGTATCCATCACGCCAGCGCCGGTGATCAAGTGGAGATTTCGGCACCACCAAGGTCCACAATACTGTGCCCATGGAGAAATTGTGGAACCTGTACTCGCCTACCCATGGAGGATGAGATGGAAAAGAGTGATGGACGTTGATGGTTTCCTATCTTGGCGTACATCGACGGCTTGCGTTGTGGCTCGCCTTGTTCAGCCACTGCCGGTTCATCCGAGGGCTCAGATGCGTGCTTGTATTTAGCCGAGTTTCTCTTGGGTTTTCCGTAAAGGCAAGAACGACTGCCATTTTCTATGTTCAGGTCGACTTGACTGTCAATGAGCTTGCAGCTTCTCACCCCCATCACCGCCAATTGCGCTCTCGCAGGAAATCGAGGCGTTTGGAAGTTGCCCGGTCTTCACGGCGGCGTGAAGCGAGAGAGGCGCGTGCGTCGACACCGTCTGTTATGTTCCACTCATGTGTCCAAAGTCTCACGATGCAAGAAATGGTTCTCAGGAGACGACAAGATAGATTATTGGACTTGAATGAACTGATGACTGTGAGCAGCTCGTTGTCCGACTGCTTGAACACGGTCTTTCTGAATTACAGCGTTCTGATCAAGTGACCAGAGCCTCTTATCTATCGAGGCTGATATATCAATAGTCGAAAGACTCCTGTGTATCATCATTACGAGGTTGACTCCGGCCGTTTTGGTTTCGCTAACAAGATTTATTGCTGCTAGTGTCCATAGATGGCCAAATATCTTATCCAGCAACCACACCAATAGTCCCGTTCTGTCAGGGCAAGTTCTTCTCGGTCCAGTGCTGGAAGTCTTCGTCTAGATGATTTACAAAAACAGCTGAATCAGTTCAATGCTTCGATACAGAACTCTGCAGTCTCTTCTGGATGAGTGGGAAATGGACTATGGGTAGTCTTCATTCTCCCGCTTGTGAGTGGCGTGCCCGCTTCTTGGGCCCGCTTTACCACCGCCTCCTGTGCAGAAACAGGTATTGCAGCATGGTTTTCGCATATGAGGTAACTCGATGGAATCGTCATGTAGGCAGCACCTCTAGAAGGGTCGAGTTTTGTTGCTTTGGGATGAGGTTTGAGCTTCTTCACCCAGTATTGCTGTTCTTCTTCCTGTACACCTTGGAAGAAATAGTGCGCAGGGTCATTCGAATGAGACCATCGCCCTGCTCTTGATGCGATGGATCGAATTTAAGCAGAAGGATACCCTAGTCCTTTGGTGTGAAGGGATGTATAAAAGACTGTAGCATGTCTCACGTTGAAACCAATGCATTTGAGCGGCACCGCGTGGTAAATCCTGATTACACGGAGGAAGATTAGAGCTGAAAGCACTGACTTATACCAATGAGAGCAGCGAAGGAGTTTTGTTGCAGCATAGTCATGTCCGATATGTCTTGCGCAATCCGATGGCTGGAGCCAAACAAGATGGCACGATCCCGCCAAATTGACTGCGCTGGATCTCCGCAGCCCAACACTGCTCTAATGATTGGAACCATCATATGACCTTATTGCCCTCCTTATGCCACGCATCCGTAACCTCAACAACTAAATCCGAAGCCTTCTCAGCACTGCTTGCCACAACCTTTGCACCCCAGTACAAAAGACTGCCCTGGCTACCATACCACTTCCAGCGTAGGATACCCCAAGCCATGCGCGCAAGTGGCCAACACGCCTCAATGTCGTGTTTGAGGTTACTGCCGGTGAAATTCATCATCAGCACGTACCAACCCCAGTGACCCCAGAACACCCTAAACCATTCGGGGCCCAGAAGTTGATAACCGCGGTACGTGGTGGCGAGTTGGGCGACGTCGAAGGTTATCATGCTGGCGGCGTTGATAGTATGCCATGTGGAGCCATAGCCAGTGAGGTAGTATACAGGGTTCAAGAATTGCCAAGTCCAGTGGATTGTCCCTTGATGTCTGATAACGAAGCAAGAAATCTGTCGCACAAGGGTGATGAGAAGGCTTGTAGCCACAAGACACACTCTGGCCTTGTGTACCTTTTCTGCAATCGCATCGTTGCCTTGGAATCTGGGTTGTTGGAAAAGCACCTTNTTGCATACTGGACAGGTGTTCTTGCCAGAATTCATCCATTCCAATATGTCATCGTTGCAGAAAACATGACTACAAGACAGTTTCGTAGGCGCCTTGGTGGCGTCGAATTCATCCCAGCAGGTCGGACAATGATCTCCGTCTACAGATTCGGGATTCTCCATTGGTTTCAAGGCAGCCAGATACGGCTTCTTAGTCGGTAGAAGCAGGACTTCCGGATCTGGTTTTGGGGTTGGAAANAGGTGATTCCATAATATTGTGAAGCTGAAGACGACGAAGGCGTACATCGGATATTTGAACAGCGGAGCTGCTAAGCCAGTGGCGAGCAGCAGGGTCCAGAGAATTGGTATCATCGTAATTGTCTGATTCGTGATCCTGGATTGATGATGGAAGAAGATACGCTGTCTTTATGTAGAGAAGTTTAAGTTAAGGTTGTTTGGCCGAGAAAGCAGCGGCGGATGCGGGGCAGTCGCGGAATCCTTCGAGAAATTCGATCAGGCACACCACATGAGGGTGCAGAACTTTGATTGTTTTGGGCGTGAAGCACTCGTCAATTGCGACAGAGATGAAACAAAGGATTCTTGAGCGAATTTGCAAGCAGCTTCCCGGAGGATCGGTCTGAGTAAGCTGGCAGGCTGAGTATTTATTCTTGAAGAGTGATCACCTGCGCCGGATAACGCGGGCATGGCAAAGCTCGAATTGAAGATCGTTGTGAGCACTATTCGATCGACGTCAGTGAGCAAATGAAATAGTCAGTGACCCCTGCGATGCTCTTGAACATGAGCTGCTGTATACACCTCGCGAACAAGACTCAGAAGGACGAATGAAAGAGGCTCTGCTTGAGTTTGAATACTGTGATGATATGCTGTCATAACAAAGGAGAAGGTATATACATTGTGGTCATGAGGTGGTCGTGAAGAACATAGCGAGATAGCGCTAACAAAGGAGCACTTGACACTATGGGCGCTCTGTACAGGGCTGCACGTGAAAAGCATCAGAGAAAGCTCCAATCAGCGTCGGTCTGATATCGATGCATTGGGACAAGGTCCTATGCCTCGTAAGGCCGTCGCTCCTTGATCTGCAGGATTTGAGCTTTCGAGGCTGAGCGTTCTGGCGCAGCGACGTCTGATCGGGCTGTACATGACAGCTGCATCGAACGTGGTAGTTCAGATGGCTTTGCACAATTCTCGACGCTAATTCGGGGATGGTAGTTCAGCGATGATGAAGGGAAGCTGACTTCCTTGCTGAAGTACTGGTGATGAAAGATGTCCGAAAGCCATAATGGTCCGCTCAGTCATACTGTTCATGCTGCCTGTGCAAGGCTTTTCGCATCTCTGTGTTACCAATACATCCGAAGCCAAAGGCAGGCAAGATACGGAAGCATCGTACGATGGTAGTAGAGAGCAAGCCAGAGCGGGTAGTGTCGGCAATTCTCTGCATCCAAGGTACATGATGCTGCCTAGTGGTCAGATCCAGACCGAGCAGATGCAGCGGTGTCGCAACAATCTGCGTCAGAGCGGGCACAGATAGCTGGGAGATGGTCTGAGGGTGGATTGCCAAGTTGTCCGGGATAGCCGCCGCTAGCCGAGGCGCGAAGGTGAATGATCCGAATAAAGTCAACGCGTCACGTACAAGCCAGACTGTTGTCGCGGACCGCGAAGGTCGGAGTTTGGGCATGGGGACAGTCGCTGTTGCCGTGGCGGCTGCTGTGTTGGCTACACGTGACGGGATGCGAGCAAACATTTGAGCAAAGCGAATATCCTTCCAGACACCGAGAGGGACATTCACCAGGAAGGCAGATGCACCAACGATAGTACCAACATGCTCTGGGGTAAGTCTTTCCGAGATGGTCTCTGCTACATTGGCAACTCCGTAGGTTCCGGCATAAAGAGTCCAGACGATACCAAAGGGCAATGACAACATGAAGTGACGTGGCGATCTTATCAAAGACCAGGCTTGATGCCGGAGACTCCGCAACAGAGGCTGGTTAGATGAGGCCTTCTCAACAATTGCTCTGTCGATGATAGTGACTGTAGGGGCTACCAGAGTGGCAGAGACGGCGGCGGCAGCGACATCTCCAGCCAGCAATTCCCATATGCGTGTACTCCTGGTGAAAATGAAGGATGGCGGGTCTCTTTGGGTTTGGTGTTGCATGTCCATATTCTGTGGTGGGAGTGTTATAAACGAGAGTGAGTGGGAGGTGATGTTGAGGGAGATTTTAGGTCAAGAGCAAGAGCAAGAGCGATGCCTTGACTTGTTATCTTGATGACGAGTCAAGGCATTTTTCTCCTGACACATCGGTTGGTGTTTTCAGATTGCTCGGTTTGCTGCGGCATTGTTTTTGTTGGAAATTAGAGCTGTGCACCGCTCATGCCTGGGGTTGAGTTTTTTAGGGGCCTTTTCACTGCCTCTTACGGTTAGCCCCTGCCCGACATTTCTCAATCTAATCAGATTGATCTTTGCTTCTTCCCCGACGGAGCCCGAGCCACGTCCGTTGTTTCCTCCCTTGGCTCGACGTTCTTGATGCGCCCAACAACGCCCATCATGCTCTACCTCTCCTCAGTCATATCACCCCTTGTCCGACCAGGACTCTGGGCGCCTCGCCCACCCGCGTCTCTCCTGACCGGCTTCGCAGCCTTCTCTTCCACGCGACCTGCCGCCATCACAAGAGCCGCCCTTGCATCAGAGTCTGAAGAAGCTCGAGCACGACGGCTCGACTACCACAGGAAGTGGCAAAAGCTGCTCGTGCACNAAGAGACAGATGAGGACCGACAAAAACGCTTGATCCGACGACGCCAACATTACGCCTCCTCGCCTGATCTTCGCAAGAAATGTATCGAGTATTACAGGGACAACCGGGCTAGAAAGGTTGAATCCTTCAAGGAGAGATGGCTCGAGACACGCCATGAGCAAATACCGCGCTTTCGTCAACTGCGCGCTGAGAGCTTGAAGATCCGTCGCGCTGCAACCCTTGGCGCTTTTATCCACAACAACAAACGATGGATCAGAGAGATGTGGTCCTGGCCGACTCATGAGCCTGTCAATCACGCTGAGAGAGTCGACCACTACTGCACAAACTGTGACCGACCCCGCCACTTAAAGCTATGGTGGAAAGAAAAGCATCGCCCACAAGTCCCGAAGACTGATTCATCCCAAGATCGATATATGTGCAACTCTTGCTTCGCCAGCAGATGGGATCTCGTCGTTCCGGAGGGCAACATTGAGAGACTGCCAGCCTTGTTCACCTCGCCAAACCATCCACCACCTGCAAAACGTACAGACACGAACAAGGCACATCAACACGCCGACACCACCATGAGAAAAGAGACCGAGAAGAAAGGATGAGCACATGGACAGCTTTGATGGCTACAAAGACCACTCTCGTCGGCAGCTCGCGGGACAGGCATGTAGAGGGCGCATACCATCTCGCGTGGTACAGAATGCTGATAGCAATTCGAGGTGGGTCTTAGCTAGATGCGGCCTCCCATCATTCTCTACACAGCAACCAAACTCAAGGCAAGCGAAACATACACCTGAACAGTTTTGTGCAAAAGGTTATTCGTCAAGCAACACATCGGACAAGCTTTGAGAAAGAGCGACTGTGGAATATTACGATGACAGGTAACAACACCAAGGAAAAAACCATGCTCCGAATTATCACCACTTCCTTCACTGATTCAACGCTCTCCTCTTCTTTGTAACACTTCCCATCTTCACTTTCTGCACACTCCCATCAAACAGCCGACTCCACTGCCTGCCTTTCCTCCCTGCTCGAGCACTCCACAAACCTGCTCCAACATCTGCAGTTCGGCCTCTTCTCCACCCATTTCCTTGGCCAGCTTGTACACCCACTGCTCCCACAATCTTACACCCAAGAGTCCAGTCACGGGCGCAACAGCTGAAGTGCTGCCGGTAAGTGCAGGAGGATAGTAGGATGGGTTGCCATTGTGGTCAAGCAGGATATTGCCAGCGGCATCGCGGATGGGGACTTGATAGTGAATTGCACCTTTGGGTTTGGTTGCTTCTTCAGGTCCAGCGGTAGAAGCAGTCATCTTGGGGGTTGCGGGAGACTTGACTGTGATGGGGAGTCGCTTTGCTGTAGTAGATTTCTTGGCAGCACCAGGGATAGCAGGCAAAGGGCGAGTAGGAGGCTTTGCAACAGGGCTCTTTCCCTCGTCTTTCCAGATTGGCTGTACGTCTCCCATACCCAAGAACATCCACATGCGCTTGAGATCCTTGAATCCTGCACTCTCGAGTCTACCCAAGAATTGCTTGGTGGGCTCGCGCTCGTAGCCTCTTTGCTGCAGCTTGTGTCCGAATTCGGCGTTCATCACTTGACCCCAGGCACCGGCTGCGACATTGATGAGCAGGGCGTCCAAGAGGCTGAAGTCGAGGTATCCGGAGGGCTTGAGCACACGGTGTAATTCGGAGAGGGTGGGACTCCACTGATCACTCTTGAGCAGCGAGTGCAAAGAGCGTGCAGAGATGACGTCGAAAGTGTCGTTTGCGAAAGGCAGAGCAAATGGTTTCTCAGCCTCGACGGCGACGAAGTTGGTCGGTGCCTTCAAGATCTCTGTGTCGGGCTCAAAGTAAACAGTGTAGACTTTGGCCATAGGGAACGAGGTTGCGACTGTCCAGCCCCAGTCGGCATTAGGCTTGCCTCCAAAGTCCAAGATCTGAGCCGAAGGCAAGGAACTCAGGTGAGCAGTCACCTCCTTGGTCAACAGAGAACCACCACGGAGATAGGCAAGAGCCTCGAGCTCCCAGGTCTGAGGGGAGACTTGCTCGAGCACACTGCGTTCGCGCTCTACGGCTGCAATCACTTCTCTCTTTGCGTCGTCTTCAGGGGAAGGCGCGGGCAGCATAGTTGAAATGGGACGAGTGGATACTGGACGCGAAGGCTCGGCAATAGAGAAGTTGTTGTGCAGAGTGCGCAAATAGGCAGCGGAAAAGTTGCGGCGCAGATTGTGCGTGCTTTCAAGGCGAGGCTGGCGGTGCACAAAGGCATCTGTAGGCTTGTGACGTGACATGATTGATCTGAAGCCGTCGACAAAGATGCGATCGTTGTTGTCAGAAGTGGAAGAAACAACAGTATCCGCAGAAGGCGAGGCAGGCGCAGAAACAGTCGTGTTGGTCGATGGTCTCGGGCTCGCAGCAGCCTCAGGCGCAAACCTGACGCTCTTCCTGGACGGGCTGCTCGCCGGCGAGACCGTAGACGGCGATGTCATGTCAGGCGTAGTCGGCGCGGCAACCTTTTCGTTGTTGACGTTGACAGTGACAATGGCGAATTGGTCCTCTAACCAACCCTTTGTGCGTTCGAAGTGCGCCAACGCTGACTGTTTTAGTTTCTCCTGATACTGCTCATTGTACTCTGAAGGAGGAACACATACGTCGGTGATTTCGCAAATCTCTACTGAGCGATCGATGGGTGAGAACACGTCTTTGATTGCCGTGGGTGGGCCTTGTGGTGATGCGGGCGCTGTGGTGATGATTGTTGTTGTTCTCACGCGTGGGTGCTGTTCACTTGACCGCGCTGCGCTTCCACGCCATGGAACGCCGTAGAAGTTCTCCGCTACGCTGGTCGAGGGTTCTGGTGTCCTGATAGCCCAGGTTTGGGCGGCTACTGGTGCTAGAGAAGAGAAGAAGCCACCGGGCGAAGGCACACTGAGAGCAGAAATTGGGTCTTGGGTTTGCTGCTCCTCAGGGTTGACAGATATGAGTGCGAAATCCAGACGTACTGGAGTCGTCTTGATGATCTCTGACATTTCATGAGCGGCTTCTTCTGGCACATCAAGCACTGTCTCGATGACCTCGTTCGCAGCTTCTTCCGGACTGAGCTGGTGCAACGTCTCGAATGCATCTGGATGGAGTTGGCATGGTGGCTCCCATTCATCAACAATCTCCTCTCTCGACGCCAGATCTGGTGTAGAAGGACAACTGCTCAAGGCAAGTTCTTCGCTGGTCAAACTCCCATCCAGAGAAGGTGTTGAAGTACCACTAGGCACCCTCAATCTCTGAGCTTGCCAGACCGTGAACGCCGAAGGGGAAGCAAGCTTTGTCGCAGGAGACAAGCCCACAGGTTGAAAAGTGTGTGGCTTGTGGATGGACGGCCATTGCGAAGGCGAGGGTATGACAAGAGAGGGGTACTTGCTGCGTTCTTTGTCGGACACATGCTTCTTGACAGAAGCAGACAACTTCAGCGGTACCTCCTCGCCCTCGCTATCCGTCAAGTCATATAAGCTGTCAAAGCTGGATTTGGAACTACGTTGACTCCACATGGACGAGACTTCAGAGGTGGCGTCTGTTGCTGGTGTGATCGTTGCTGCCAGACCCCGTGGTGTGAGCACATCGTCAGACATCGGAGAAGTGATCGTAAGCTTTGCAGGATGATGATATGAAGGTATGTTGACCTGAACTTCGTCCTCGATCAAGGTAACTCTCGCCTCCCTCCGAACCTGCGGAGGTGGCTGGTAAACTGTGGTCGGTAGAACATATGTCGCCATTATTAAAGGTATGTATCGTGTTTTTGTTGTTTTCGAATCTTCAATATGCTTGCTCGACCTTTCAATATTTCTGGTATAATCGTTGCTGCTGATATGAATATATGCAAGTGGTTGGTCCGACCAGCGGATGAAAAATTAGTGCAAACGAAAAAGCGAAAAAGGAAACAAAGAAATTGCAAAGGACAAACACACACAAACGCGAAATGCAATCTGAAGAGAAAGAAAAAAGGTCCAGGAAATGGGTCTCACGGTGTGCTTAAGTCACCCTACCTTGGCGCTTAATCGAGGCAGTGGAGAACTTGTGGCTGCCACAAGAAATGTTTCGCATGCAGTTCAAGCAAGCAGCACCGCTGTCGCATGCCTCTATCCGGGTTCCAAGAGACTGCCGGGCCGGTGTTCTGAAGCCTGGGTAACGATTATGAAGAAACAATTGGCTTACCGATGAAGCCGTGCAGCATCTTGCAGCGTCTATTGGCAATGGCGGCCATATTGGGAAGCCATGTTCATGGCGCTTGCAGATATCCTGCATTGATGTTCATTTTGGTTGGCCAGACTTTTGCCCGATACATGTGGGCGCTTACAGGGCAAACCATTGGGCTCTGAGGTGTCACACACTTTCCAGCTTGTCGCCACAAACCGCAGCGTCAAGTGTCCTGGGCAGCGCTTCCAGACAAAGGATGAAATCATACCACTCGCTGTTATCCAAAAGAACATCTTGAATAATGAATACTCATGGAAAAGGCTGCAAACTCTGAGGAGATAGAGTCGCAAGAGTCGGTCGAGTTTTCTGAGGAAGGTGCCTGCCCCGCCAAATCGGTCAAATCGATCAGCCTCCGAAGATCTACCTTTCGACAACTTCATATGATGCAGTTCCTCGACTCAATATCAACCATCCGAGAATTCTCTCAACTGCGATCTGCTCAATCCGCACCACAGAATCGGCGGTGTTCCCTCCCAACCACGCTACCCGCGGTACATCGACATCAATCGATGTTTTCAGATTGCCATGGGCGACCGGCCAAGAACTCGTCGGAGTCTGCGAGTCTGCACGGTCCATATTGGCTCCAGCTATCTGAATCATAGTCACGCATCGGCCATCAAGACAACTCATAAACCCTGGCGAGATTCTTGATCGGAGTTGCGCATTCTGTTAAGTGTGAAGGATGCTTTAGAATGGCGGAGTAGAGTAGGTGTATTGTGGAGCACAGTCGTCCATGTAGTTCTGAACGTTGCAATGCGACATTGGTGGCGTTGTATTCGATCAGTCTTGTTGACATCAACCACCATCTGGATGACAACAAGATCCCCTGGTGCTCGAAGCACTCTGACATGACTAAGTTTGAAAGATTATATCGAGCATGCGGGTCATTTCGATCCACGCGGTGTTTGCCTTGCGGAGAGAAACATAACCAAGGCTGGCACAGCTTAAGATAAAACTCGGCATCTAAGCACCACGACCGTTGATGCTACTTCCACCCTGCTCCCCTAACGCTCTTCGCCTCTCGACGTCAACATGTCAAATCCAGTCTTCATCTTGTCGCCAGGCGCATGGCATCCTACCAAAGTCTACGGCAAACTCATCCCCTACCTCGAGGCTAAAGGCTATAGGACGGTTCTACACAATTGGCCTTTAATCTAGCAAGCACCAGTCGGATCTTTTAACGAAGACATACGAGCAATCTGTGCAACAATTGTAAAGGAGGCGGACACCGGCAATGTTATTATAGTAGCACATAGCTAGTTAGGTTCGCCGATTAAGAGTTCCGTCGCCGATCTAAGTAAAGCCAAATGGACAAAATAAGGAAAGCTAGGCGGAGTCATTAAGTTGGTGTTCCTATGTGCTTTCGTCGTCTCTAAAGGTGTCAGCTTATTAGATGCTCTAGGTGGTGATAAGACTAAAGTTGCTCTTTAGAATGTTTAGGTCCGTTCTACCACTCCGTTAATGATTGTTCTATACTGATTGTCGCTTTTTATAGGGCGATGTCGTATATTTTAATGACCCTATACACTATTTCTTTTGGGGCCTACCAAAGAAGAATAATAGTAGTTAACGGCTGCCTGCAAATGCTGCGCACAGGGATTGTGCCAGGTAACAGAAATGCCGATAACATCGACGACACTCTCAAACAACGCAAGCATCTCGTTTTCCCTGCTCGATCCTTGAAGGCTCCCGAGATCAGGGCTACGATGCTTACATCATTCGGGTTCGGCCAGAAAGGAGGTATCGTCATCATGGTTCATCCAAGATATCTCTTCGCAGCGATCTCTGAAGGAGCCTTTCAAACGTACAGCACCATGTTCAACAAACGCTGTGGAGGTGCCGGCCAGGCGTATGTTAAAGCGATGATGATGCAAAGCATTGTCCAGATCAAGGAAGCATCTTCTTGGGCGAGCAAAGATGAGAAACGAGTATTCCTCCATGCAGAATCTCGTTATCAAGACAAAGTATTCGACCTGAAGAAGAGCCCACATGGTGTCACTACTCCGACGAAACCTGGCATCAAGGTTGACAAAAAGAACCCCACGGGTGTCGAAGAACTTGAAAAGATGATCGAATGCATGTCTGTAGGCACTAGCAATTCCCACAAAAATGCAACGATTGGTGTTGATGTCGAAGACTTGTCAAGCATCAGCATTGACAACCAGCTGTTCTTGGATCGCAACTTCACAGCAGCCGAGCGTTCATACTGCGGAAGTTCACCCGACAAACGAGCGTCGTATGCTGGCAAGTGGGCAGCTAAAGAGGCTGTGTTCAAAAGTATGCAAGTGCAGTTCAGAGGGCCTGGCGCAAGTATGATTGAGATAGAGATCATCAACAGTGACGACGGTCATCCGGAAGTCAAGGTAAGTGATCCATCCTCTGTTCTTAAGACAAGGGTGTGATACTGACCGCGACATAGCTCTGGGGAAGGGCCAAGGCAGCTGTGATCGCTCGCGGTGTCACGCGATTTGAGGTTAGCATCACGCATACTGAATCCTCGGCCATCGCTGTGTCGATTGCGACCAAAGAATGAGCAGAGACGAGAGCGGAATGATTTGGACAAAGGGAATACAGTGTCTGCGACCGTCTTGCTCACCCCGTGGGGTAAGATGGAATGTGACATGAAAAGTGGTGAAGTATTCGTCGTTTGAAAATGGCATGGTAGCCCGCACAATTTCTTGTTCGTCGGTTTGGTGGACGGTATGACAAACAATACGTTGGATTGGATTCTTGATGTCACGCATGCGTGAGATCAATTTGGCAATAAGGTCATCTGATGACTGTAGCTGCTTAAGCCCGTTGACATAAAATCTCGCTCTTTAGTCCGAAGCTTGTTGGACCCATACGTCCCATCCCTTAGATGCCTCCCACTCACCACCTAGCATGGTTCTACAGAATTACCTCCGATGGTCACAGACCCACAGAAGAGCTTGCGAGTCTCAGATTCAACCAGGAAGTAGAAAAACAAAACAATATCACGCGATCTTGCTTCGAGTCTGTTCACTGTCCCAGATCATAGCGTCCTCACGCGTAGCCACGAACGCGACTGTCCGAGATCACAGACCTCTGGATCCAGCCTCAGCACCGCCTCCTTCTGAAGCACCTCCAACCCATCGCCATCATAAGCAGAACTACACAGAACAGCACGTAGCATCCCACCCTCCTCGCCAGTCAACAACAAACTAGTTGGAGGCAGTCGACTTTGAACAAGCAAGACTTGTCTAGTCGACATCTGTATCAACGTAAACACTGTATATCCAGCAAGCAACGGTGGATGATATGCCTCTTTGCGGCTGCTGGGNGCCTCGAAATCTGTCGCAGAAGTGGAGAGATAGGGGATACAGGANGATGTAGAAGTAGGACCTGGTTTCGCAGATTGGACCCACACGGGCTCGTTGCCAGATTTACGTGCTGTATACAACTCCTTTGTCCATCGTTTTAGGTTCGCAGATTTGACCCAAGGCGGATCGTTGTCGTAGTGGGTAGCATTCAGAGGCGAAGAGGATGTAGCGTATGTCAGGATGTCCCCGACATTACCGAAGACTGCTTCTTCCAGCTGTGATAATGGCATCACACCTTCTATCAGCACAAATCCATGTTCGTCCGCGATTGATCCCACGGTTGGTGGAGTTCGCAAGCATAAAATCAATGTGCAAAGCAAGAACGCGCACGCTGTGTGGAGACCTGGAGCTAACACACTCATAAAGCCATAGATGGAGAGACACAGAACAACGACGGCTGCTTTTCGTAAGGATCCGATGGTTCGAAGAATTTTGCCGATTTGATCAGGTATATATTGATGGCATATCGGCAGTGTACGACAGTTGTTCAAATACACAACACCATCAATATCATCAATACCAACAATTTCACAGCTCGATCTTATATCCCATAGACACGTGCCAAATTGGTCTTTGTTCAGCAGACCTCTGAGCACATCTTTGAGATCTCTGGTGGGATAAGGATAGCTCGACAGCATACGTTCCATCACATATTCGTTCTCACCAGTCAATAAGAGCAGTTTCGTCATGGCTTGATGCAATGTGTCGCTTCGTTCTATCGCCATGCGCCTTCCAAGTAAGCCCATGAGAGCATATGCAATATCGGCATCGGTGAATCTGGACGAATTCTGTCTGCTCAGAGCGGCGATTGCGGTGACTATCATCTCGAGGCGAGTAAGCTCGATCTGTCCTTCGTAGTACTCGGCCAAGATTCGAGTTGGGTAATGACGTTCATCGTGGGCAAATGGATGCCAAAACTCATAGGTCATCTCGACGTGATCAAGCTCGTTTTTGGTGAAGCCATTCTCCGTGGCGGTCCAGATGCGTAATCTGCCTTTGGCCAGTAAGCCTTCAGGTAATGTCCAGAGTCTTCTGGCCCAAGCTCTCTTGTAGAAAGAATGTTCGCTAGGTAGCAGTATTGCGACATGGTTGGCGTTGCGTACAATGTCTGCCATACCATAGACATCGCTTGAGAAAGAATCTCCGAACTTCTGGTCCACGCACTGCACGTCCAGCCAATATGCTTTGAGACCTGCTTCCAGAGTCGCATGCTGTGCCATCTCTTTGACGAGCGACAAAGGCGCTCTGGAAGGCTTGTTTCTGTCGTACTTGAAGGACTCCCAATGCCAACTAATGAACAGATATTCTGTGGTTGGCGCCGGGTCTTTGACGAGCATCCAGCTTTTATCGGCATACATGACAAGACGCTGCGGGAGGACAAGCCTGGTACTCTTGAACAATTCAACCGCACCATTAATGCCACCTTCCATGCCAGGCGTATTAGCAGTCCTCTTCTGTCCACGGTCTAATTCATTTCTGGTATACCGTGTCTGTCGCAATGATGACCTTCGAGCGCTGATCTTGGAAGCGATTGGATCATTGTATATCTGTCCAAGTGATGATAGCAGTTGCAAAGGTATGAGCATGATACTGAGACGAAGCACAGTCATAATCCAGACCATGAGCCGTAGTCGTCTAGAGGGTTGGCGCTCGTCTCTACAGACCGTCCATGGATGTATAGCCCATTCGATCATCCATGTCGATAATGTAGTGACTGGTTGCAATGGTACCCGGGTCCATGTACTAGGCGGATTGTACTCAACAATATCACGAGTCGATTGTACTACCAAAGTCGGGTCGGGCGACAACTCAGCATTCGCAGATCGCTTCGACCAGCTACAGTCATCATGACTTTGTCCAAGATATCCAGAACTCATTGGGCCGTGTATATGGCATCCGTACGAAGTTCTTGCGTTGTAATAATCTCATCGTCGGCACAGGTCGGTGACAAAAATGAGTATTGTGGAATGGGAGGGCAGTTCATCAGATGACCAGATTCGCGGTGGGGACAGCTAGCAAGACGAAGGATGACCGAAATCAGGATGGTCGCGTCTCTGCCTCCATGGCGCATCCCTTCACCGCTGATAGGCTCGCTTCGTAGCCTTGATTGACATGGGTGCACTCTGCCGACGGCGACCTTCATGAGCGCGTGAGGGATTCAGATACATGCAACCGTATCAAGGCGTTCGCAGCATATGTAGTGAGAAGATCGATGATGCTTGATCTGATATAGCAGAGAGACCAAACTGACGAGGCGAAACATAGAAGCGATGGCGAGGGTTGCTGCTTCCAGAACGGACAAACTTTTGCCGGTCTGACCACGTCCGACGCCTTCTTTCCATCACTGCGTGCTGCAATGTCAAGCCACATGCTGCATCGAGCGCCAACACATGAACTTCAAGGATGGGTAAGCTGCAGCTACGACGATCTGTTCATGTAACAGAAAGCATATCCATCCAGACCCTAGTCTGCAGATGAATATCTGCCTATAACAATAGGTCACTCAACTGACGTTTCTACTTTCCTTTCTTTTCCTTCTTTTCCCACCTTTCGCAATTCAAGAATGTTCTTCCTCAACAAATTCTCCTCCTTCGAAATCGACGTCGTCGGGTTTCTCGCAATCCTAGGAGAAGGCTCGATCAGCGCAAACGCCCACATCATAACCTTCACGAAATGGTGTTTAGTGCCTCGACTACTACCAGCCCCTCAAGTATTGCTACCAGCCCAAAGATCCGAGAATCTCAAGGTCAAAGAGGCGTACGTGACGGCCGTAGAGTCCGGGAATATATCGGCTTGTGTTAATCATGTTGCGCATGTGTTGGTGGATGCGGAGGATATGTGTAGGAATGAGACTAGGTGTGTGAGGATAGTGAGAAATCCAGAGTGTCCGGATAGACCGATCAGACCGAGACGGTTGAGTCCGTTGTTGGCGGTGAATGTACTTGGAGTGAGTTGTTCGGTGGGGCTGCTTGTTGCGTCTGTTGTGTTGGAAGATGGGATGTCGATGCTCGCGACATTGTGTCTCTCATTCCTGTCCAGTCTGACAGGCCTTGCCAATCACTGGGACCTGGTTGCCAAAGATTCTGCCATACAGCCAAAGCCAGATGAGGTACTGCCCAGAGGGGACCTGGTAGTCCGGTATCCAAATGGCTCGTTTCTGGTCGTCAAATGCAACGAACAAGTTGCACGAGAACTCTACTTCACCCGGGAAGATATCAGATACACCATGATCCAAAGGAGAGGCATCTACCGGACGATTTCGCTCACAGGTACACTTCTATTGATGCTAGGCGTCATCTTTCTGGCCAATGCGACGAAAGCTTTGCAACTAGCTTGGGCTGTCATCTACGTCTTGTTGAATGCCGCGTACTGGTCATTCGCTGCTCTTCCTAAACGTTTCCACTGGGATCTGGAGCGCTACAAAGTCACCGAAGTGGGTATCGAGAGACCCAACTTTCACGACAATCGATTCACGGATGCTCTGTTCAAAGCCATCCTATTCGCACAAGGAGCGGATTGGGCCAGAATTGGCGAAGCTGCTGCACCTAGGACCAAGATCTGGGACGACTGGCTTGACGAAGCAGAGCTTGTAGCTCTCTCGTGCAATGGTCTCAACACAGNNGCAATTATCAGAATCTCAAATGGCCTGGTCGTGTTGATGCTTCGGGAGAGATACAGCCATATCCTAGGGACTGGCAACCACATCCTGCTTGGAAGGCTATATACGATAAGTCTCGTGTAAGTAGAGGTGATCTCGATGAGAAGAATGGCGTACAGTTGGAAGCATATTCTTCCAGAGCGTCACCGTTCACCGAAGCTGGAGCTAGTTCCGTGGTCCAGGAAAAGTAGACGAGTTCGAGCCTAGCCGCTGATTATAATTAAGGTCGCATCCATGCGACGCCGACAAGGTTTCCTGGATGTTGACCTTGGTCCGAGCTAGTACGTATTTTCGAAGCTCGTACGAGCTGAGACGTGACTGTAGCAAGTGTTTTGGTTACACTTCTAAACTCGATGATCGGCTCCCAGATCGTGATTCTTCTGTTCCATTGTCCCCACCTCAACGTCGAAAGAGCTGCGATTCTCGATTGGCCTGATACCCTCAAGTTCCTGGCATCTTGTATTGAGCTCCCGAACCGTAGTGCAGTCCTTGTAAGCTTTCGGTAACCCTCCGTCCGGGCTTTTCATAAAACAGTGAGGGCAGGAGTACACCTCGAGGTCAACATTGACAGCTGGATCAGGCTTCCGTCTCCACCACAGCNNCTGAGGCCGTCATGTCTTGTAAGCCCGCACCCCTGACAGTGGAACTTGACCTTTGCGGAGTATAGTATGGGCTGATACGGGGTCCAATCGACCCTCCGCCTGGCCAACGGATAANTATCTCGTCCAATTATCCACCGATTCTTTTAATCTGTGCAGAGGATCGTTGACTCTTCTAACCCGTGCGGCTGCGAGGTACCTTGCATGATTTTCAGGATGAAAAAACCAACGCATTTTAAGCTCTCTGGTTTCGGGTTTTCGATTGGACACACTCGTTTTCGCGGCCATTCTGGCTTTGTATTCCGGATCGCTAACCATTCTCCAAGCATGTCTCGCACGCCGTACTCGCAGATGGGCTTTGTGCACATCGGCTTCAGTAATGTCATGAGAACCAGATTCGAGGGTTTGCTCAAGTTTCCAAGCGGATCTTGTTTGATTATAGTCGTGTTTGGCTGCAAGCATCTCTGATTCAAGTTCTGTCAACTTCATGGGTGGAGAATCCTGAGGAGGCCTTTCCTCGTCAAACTTTTGTTCTTTCGACTTGGTCCAAAGAGCACGGAAAGTGGAGAATGAGCGAGAGCCAGTTGGTGATGTCTTGGATGGCCTCCAAGACTGACTTGTCAATGTTGAAGTGGTCGGACTTGGCGACAGTCGAGATCCGAGAGTTTCCTTTCTCTTCGCAATATCTTTGATGGTCGTGCAGTCTTCGTAGCCTTTGGGCAAACCTCCTCCTGGAAGCTCCATGTAGCAGTTATGGCACATAAATTTCTGCGGATCCATTCTCCACCAAATCTGTGATCCGCGATGCCTCGCAAAATTGCATCCTTGACACCGGTGCTCGACCTGATTAGGATAGAACACTGGCTCCCACGGTGTCCAATTCAGATCTTCTCGGAACCATGCATATCGTCGAATCCATGTGCGGAGTCTCTGCGTGAATCCATAAACGGAGTTTTGACTTCTTTGCAATCGGTACCACGTTTTGCTTTTCTCCCTCTCATACAATCTGACTTCTGGCTGGAGACGACGGATAAGCATACGCTCTCGCTGCTTGCTGAGATATTCACTGTGAGCATCGTACTCCCTCAGCTTTCTTAGATACTCGGCGCGTCTTTCGGGATCATCGTGGTATTCCTTCTTCTTGGGCACACTGGCAGACGTGTCGACTGCGCCTGATTTCGCAGATTCCACACGGTCTGTCGAGTAGGACTGCACCTGGAAGAGTCGAGCCCATGAAAAATCACATAGTAATTGAGGATCCCTTGATAGAAGCAAACGACGGCCAGAAGACTTTGATGCATGAAAAGCTCCTATCAAAGTTTGTAGTGGCATGGTCAAAGATTGCCGTGACACCCCCAGAAACCTCGCCGTGAAAATGATCTGGGCAAGTGCGAGGATGTCTGCAGACATGTGTTGATGAAACAGGTCGGCGGCTAAGCTTCGGCATATTCATCTTAAGCTAAAGTGTCGGTATGCCTGGGGTAATGTTGCGAGGCATGATGGATTGAATGCTTGAAATTGGGGTCTGCTTTGAAATGCTCTGGTCGTGGGAAACGAAACGTGAGAAGCGCCCAGGATTATCTGGAAACTTCCTGTGATGGACAGACGGAAAGGACGTTGTTGATGGTGATTTCCATTCCAGATGCCAGAGAATTAACAGTAATTAGCCCGAATTTTCTCATCAGCCACTTTCGGTCAGCGAGCAAGGTCGGCTTTGTCAGAGCTTCGCGGGCCCTCTGTCATGCAACATAGCAATGTAAAGAAGACAAATACAGGCTAAGTCGTTGCCCTTTTCCCATTTCCTATTTCCAAGGTTTCCATGTCCATCCGTCGTTTCCCTACTTCTCTTCTTTCGTATAAAAAGCGTGCGTCGCCTTCATGAGATTGCTCATCTCCATCTTAATCTGCATTGCAGCTGTCGCATACCATCAACGACAATTCATCCTACCTTACCTGAGTACTAAGTACATCGCTACTACCGCAACAAACACCACATACCAAGCATCGACGAATACCACAATGGCTTCCGCACAATCGACCTTCAAGGGTCTCCCCGTCATCCCTCCCAACGACCCCTCCTTGACTGCTACTACCACCACTCCTCGCAAGATTCGCAAAGTCTTCGAGGCAATCGATCAGGCCGAGGGAGCAGGCGCAAGAGTCAGGAGATCAGTGGGCACAAGAGAGTTGAAGAACTTTACGCCCTTCCTCATGCTCGTATGTTGCTTCCTCGTGTACCCTCTCCAAGCAAACAGACGACTAACATGACTGGGCAGGNACCACTTCACCATCTCCCCTGGCGCAGGCTTCCCCGACCACCCTCACCGCGGCCAAGAAACAATCACCTACCTCCTCAGCGGCGCCGTCGACCACGAAGACTTTGCCGGCAACAAAGGCACCATCCACGCCGGAGACCTTCAATTCATGACAGCAGGAAGAGGCATCGTGCACGCCGAGATGCCCGCCCAAAACCCCGACGGCAGCGCAAACATCGGCATGCAACTGTGGGTGGACCTACCCGCCCAACTCAAAGACTGCGAGCCCCGTTACCGCGATCTGCGCGCTTCCGAAATCCCAGTCGCAAAGTCCGAGGACGGCAAGGTGGATGTCAAGGTTATTTCCGGACGTGCATATGGCGTTGATTCGTTGCAAGAGTTGGCATATACTCCGGTGTGGTTGCTGGATGTGAGGGTTCAGCCTGGTGGCACCTTCAACACTCCTTTGCCCCATAAGTGGAATGCTTTCATCTACACGCTCAGCAACAGCATCAACCTTTCTTCTGGATCGACTTCGCGAACGATTCCGCAATATCACAATGCTGTTTTGGAACAGGAGGGTGATAGCATTGTCGCTAGTGTGCCTGAGACGGCAGACAAGGAGAGCAGATTCATCTTGGTAGCTGGCATGCCTTTGAATCAACNNCCGTAAGTCTCTCGGCTCGCACAATTTGTATCGTAACCGTAGTAACATATCCAACAGATTATTCAATACGGTCCCTTCGTTCAGACCAGCACAGAAGGCATCTACAAAGCAATGGCCGATTACCAAGGCTACACCAACGGCTTCGAGCGTGCAGAGAACTGGGAGTCAGAGATTGGAAAGAGCATGGTGCACTAGAACTCTTGAAGGTAAGATTTTTGAGTTTCTGAATGGCTTTTGTGATTGCATTGATAGAATCAATGAGAGTCTTCTTGACGCGACAGTACCTATCTATCCCTCGTTCTCAAGCAGTGAATCTTCGTCTGTATACCAACACAAGCGCATCGTGAATCGCAACCAATGGCATTTTTCTCATCCGCAACGCGACAGCGCAAGAGTATCGATATATCTTCTCGAGGTAAGAAAGATCTAGAAGAGGATTACTTACAAAGCTTCCGACATGGGTCATTCTGCAAAATTGGTAGCTGTTAAGTGATCGGACAAACATTTCATCCTCGACATCTGAATCGATAAAGATCATAAAAATATCATAATATATAACAACCCATCTACATCACTCATAGTAGGTCGTAACAGAGCAGCCATTACTCCTTGTCCATAAAACCCAGCGACGTGAACCAACTGATCTACTTGAGGAAGGTTTAGCCCGAGCGTTCTCCACAAGCAGGGGGTTTCGTTACTCACCCCAGATATCATGAGCGGTAGTTTGACGCCCACTTGCATGATCTCCATCATGGTCCTATGAGCACCCGGTCTTAGTGGTTGTCGTAAACCGAAGCAGTGTACGAAGCTTCTTACATCTTCGAGACCATTGTTGAAGTAATTGAGCAGCAGCAATGATTGCCGCGAATATAGTGAAGAAAGTCTGAATCACTTCGAGGATCAATTCGACGCTCATGGTTGTTCTGATTGGATCTTGAGTGGATAGTCTCGCGTAGAATAGGTTTGATCTCGAAGATTGAGGGAAACAGATAGTAAAAAACCCGGTTGCGGTGATGGACAAGACTGACGAATTTGGAATGTTAGAATTGGCAGCAGTTGTGGCTATCTTATAGCATGATGGTCGCCGCGCAGAATAGTCGCCAGAAATTTCTAATGTTTTATGCTGAGGGCGCATGAGCTCAAGGAGATGAGTAGTGTCGTGCAGACTTGGGGGACGCACACACTGAGAGGGGAGCGTGCCGGTTCGTGCGATCGCAAGATGTGGCTTTCGGCGCAGCAGCTCTGGTGCCGCAGCGCAGCAGAAGGATTCAAGAGGCCGCCTGGCGCGCACGCATTCTCAGGCAATTCACGTCCTCGGTTTCCGTATTTCTGATGCCTTCACAGTAGGTACGAACGAACAATCTTGGCAGTTGTACCGATGTATTGGAGCTGGAGCTTGAACTAGTAGCCTGTCAACTAGAAGAAACTTGACTCCAACGAGTCTCGCAGAACCTTACATACATGCAGACATGTGTGAAGAAACTTGCTACTCTGCACTCTTACCAGCTTCCGCAGCTTTGCCCTCAACAGCAACTCCCCTATCCTCTCCATCTCCAGTAGCAATATCTTCTCCAATAAGCACATCAGCGCCATCCACCTCCCTTCCCAACATCAAATGCTGCACATTAACCTTCGGGCCTTTAAACCACTTCCTCGCACTAACAACCCACCAAACGAGTATCATCACCATCGGCCCTCCATAAACCACACACGTCCAATTCATAGTCTCCGGCGTCAAATTCTTTCCCACCACAGCAGGAAAACACAAAATGGGCACCATAAGAATGACAAACGCAGACGCAACAACACCCACAGGAATAGATGCCCTTCCCAGATTCCAAGGACCGGGTCGAAAGCGGTTTCCAACGAANAAGACACGTATGAAAATGGGTGTTGTAAAAGCGACAAAGGCAGCAATGGCACCGATGGAAAACATGGCTCCTGCAGCGAGGGGCCCGCCGAAGATGAGTAGGAGCATAACGCAAGCGACTCCGGTGTTAAGCCAGACGGCATTGACGGGTGTTTGCGTGTGCTTGTTGACGCGTTTCCAGATATTGCTGAAGGGGAAACAATCATCTCTGGCATAAGCAAACGTGACTCTCGACGCGGCAATCATGCAGCCCTGGCCCATGAAGAAGCCAGCAATGATGGTCAAAGACAAAACAGCAAGGACGCATCTCTGAGGCAGGACTTGGACGAGGTAGGCGGCGAAGGGTTGACCGAGGTCGGATGATAATGCGTCAGGGATGGAGATGACGGTGTATGCGACGACGAGTTGGAGGAACCAGCCAAAGGTACCGCCCACAGCTGAGGTCAAGAAGATGGCACGCGGAGAGGCAATAGCGGCATTGCTGCATTCCTCTGCTAGGTGGAAGGGTGAGTCGTAACTGGTATCATGTTGTCAACGAGATGCTTCCTTTTTTCGAAGCTTTGATATCAGTCTGCCAAACACTTACCCACTCATCGTCCAGATGACACCAATGAAACTCATCAAGATGCTAACGCCAGAAGGGAAATCCGTGCCCGCGTAGATGTCACCCCAAACCTCCTTACTCGAAGTAAAACGCGGCAAGTCCTTCTCCTCTCTGTTAGTACCCGCTGGAATAAGAATCAGTACAACAACCAGCGCCACGATATTGAACGAAGAGCCAAAGCTATTGACTCTCGCGATGGTCTTGGTTGGCAGACTAGCCATACAAGCATGAATGATCATCAACAGCACCGTCAAGAGGTAAACCTGGTAGTTTTGGGGTACGAAAGAGGGATTGACGATGGAGGCTGCGGCGAGGGTCATGGCAGCAGTGCCGTAGTTGACCGAGGGGGCGCCGGTGACTTGGCCCATCCAGTTGGACCAGCCTGTTATCCATGCGGCCAGAGGGCCCCAGCCGGGTGGAGCCAGAACGGCACTGGCATAGTACAAACCGCCGGATGTTGGCATCGAAGAACAGAGTTCTGCCATTGAGGCTGCGACGGACTGGATACCTATCATAGCGACCAGCCAACCCCATGTCATACCTNNATATCTGCGTCAACACCTCTTCTCCTGTAGGACAACCCACGATAAGCGAACAAAACACAACTTACCAGCAGTACCAGCATATCCCATACCATAGTACAGCGTACTGGCAAAACTAGGCAACAGACCCAACACAGCGAAACTGACGCAAAANGTCGTCCAAAGGTTGAATTCACGTTTGAATTCTGGCTTGTAGCCCAACGCGGCCAGTGTCTCTTCATCTTGATTCCAGGAGTGTTTGGGATCAAAGGGTATGTCGCCTTCAGGCAATACGGACGTAACAGGTTCTTGACCCACGCTCTTGCGTGTTGATGGCGTGCGTTGTGACATTTTCAAAAGTGCTGGTTAGATTGCTATGCTTGAGAGAAACCGCAGCGCAGATTGGGATGTTTGTTATAGATATATCCCTTGAACGCGAAGTCGCCATGTCTCTGATAAGGATGCAGACAAGGCTTGAAGTCTGTCAACTCGTACTACAATGAATCAGGTATATCCACGCGAAGATAGAGCTCTGCATGGCCAATCAGCTGGACGTGCAAGGCCTGGCCACAAAGATAGGCGGACGGAAACTTTTCCGCTGCTTGCGTACGTCTGTAGCTGGAACAGATAGGAGGTGGTGGGAAGTGCTATCTTATCTTGCTGGAGCTTGTTCTGCCACTAATGCTTGAACGTGCGGGGTAGTGGTCGCGATAAAGGATCGAGTGCTTTTGCTCGCCGAACAAGCTACATTTCCTGCGACTGCCATGCGTTTGCATCTGCATGAACCCTTGACACTTGCTTGTTCAACCCGTTGCGACGGAACCTGGAGAACAGCTTGAGTATGTCGCTTCCTGCTGCCACCTGCACATTCTACCCCATCTTACATGAAAGTCCCCGATGTGTGTGTGAGTTCGAGTAGTACTTTTGTTGTGTCTGTATATCTTTCATTCTCGCAGACTTGTGCTTTCTCGTCGTTAGTAGTATGCATTACCACTGCTTGCTCCTGCAGAAGCACCGGGAAATGCTCCAGGTACGACTGCCGGTTCTCGAGCCATGGCTTCATCACCACTGTCTTCCTCGTTGCCTCTGAAAGCATTTTCATGAGGATCAATAGGAGCGCGGAGACGAGCTAACACAGATGCATCCAGAGTTGGCGGAGAGAAAGGTTTGGGACTATGGTATTCACGACCCGATGGCATAGCAGCCATAAGCGGTTCGCTCGGAGGAATGAGCTGGGTGTTGATCNNTGTGTTTGTCCATGTCAGTATGCTCTTCCACTTCCCGAAAAGGTAGAATCAGGCCGAGGAAGTTATCATCGGACTTACCGTGTCGTTCAACTTGACCCATTTGACCTCGAGCCACTCTAACACCCGTGCCTCTTCGAGTTTGCCTGCGTCCAAGCCCCAATCATCCGCACCCTTCTCGACCCTGCGGTCTTCTCGTTTCTCCGCAAAGCTTTGTTTTATGCCTTTCCAACCTTTACGCTTACTAGCATCTTGTTCCAGCGGTGCGAGTCCCAGCTCTCGCCTCGCACCTCGTAAGTATGCGATCGCTTCTCCAGTCTTGCCTGTTGCCTCGGCATCACAAGCTAGGAATCTAGCAGCTTTCGCACGAGCCGTACGGCGTAGATCATCGACGTAGTTGAGTAATGAAGAGTCCAATGCGCCAATGCCAGGAGCCAGAGAAGCAGCTGCTTGTTGAGCGTGGTCTGAGGCACAGATACAAAGACGAGCGAACAAATGAGCGCGGACTTTTGGGATGCTGGGTGCAGAGATCATCCATTCCTTGTCATCCTTGTTCCTTGCCTGGATGACGGCAGTAGTATAGGGATCGTCTTTCAAGACGGTGATGAGAGTTGCTTCGGCGAGAGCCAAAGCCGCAAGGGCAACTTGAGTCGAATTGACCGTATCCAGAGGTGCGGAGGCAGGATCTTGAGTGTGTAAATTCAGAATGTAGTTGTGGATCGAATTTGCTTCGAGAAGGTATTTCATAGCAGAGCCAATTGCTGCGGTTCGGCGGTCCGGTGAAGGTATATTGGGCAAGTAGAGTATTTGCAACTGCGAGCGTGCTTGTTGAACTTGAATGTATGCCAGCGTCTGTAGAACAAATGCAACATCGTTGTATATGCCTGTTAGCGGCGACCGCGGCGGCTCTCGTCCTGGTAGTGTTGCCGCTAGAGTGAGCCGCCATTCTGTGTGTAACTGGTTTGTATTTGTGATTGACACAGGCTCGTCTTGTATTCTGCCGGTGACTGTTGCTGACGCGATACCCAGTGCATAAGGAAGGTAGCCATATATGGCATCCTGGACGACTCCCAAGTGAGCTGCTTGTTGTGAAACTGGTAGTCGTTTGTGCTTCTTCAGAGCATCGCGAAGAATCGATCGTTGTGTGGTCGCTGTGAGTGGTAGAGAGGGATGACTAGGGCTGCTGATGAAGGCGTCTAGCGGTGTTGACGAGGTCGTCGGCAACGCGAACGGGTAAGGCATTGTGCGTTATCTGGTCCTTCGAGGTACTGATTATCTGCTTCGAATTGCGTCGCTCCTTCTACCTTGTTTCTCGTCGATGTCAGTCGCGACTTCGGGCGCGCGAGTGCCAATGTTTCGTGGGGTCCAGCTTTCTTGGAAACTGCGTCACTTCGTATTTGTCGTATTGACCATCTTCACATGCGTATCGCGGAATTGGTCCGTCTGCAGGTATGACCCTGGTTGATTATCACCCTGCTTCTATCACTCACCACAATGTTTCTACTCATGATCAAGATGTCTAGATACGAGGAAAGCAATCCTTATATGACTTTGACAAGAGTAACCCCCTCGCTGCTTCGAACTTGACCGGATTATCATCTCGAGTGATGTCAATGTCCTTTTCCTCGTGGGATTTACAAGCCAAGCAAAACGAATCAGTTGAAAAGAAACATATCATATCCATTATGTTCGTATCAAAAGTCCAAACAACACTGCATGCTGCCCCACAACAGAAGCATGTCCTCGTTCTGAAGCGCGAAAGAAAGTCTTCTGGAAATCGTTACTCCGTTACACCGGGTTTCCAGGACCAATCAAAAGGGAACACCTAGAACTCATATTCGTCATCTCTTTGAGAAGAGTGGTAGTTCTGAGCGCGTGCTGAAGATGCATAACCCTTGGCGCCCGAGACAGCGTCGTTCTCAGTGGTGGCGTTCTTGTCGCGGCGACCTCCCATACCATCGCCTCGTGTCTTGTAGATGGCGGGTTGTCTGGAGCTGTCGCCCTCATCACCGATATCCCAAGAAAGGCCACCGTCTCTGCGTCCTCCCATGCCGTTGCCGTAAGTCTTGTAGATTGGCTTCTCAGGAGCGGCTTCTTCGGGCTCATCCCAGAGCGTGGGAGCGCCAGCACGACCGCCCATTCCGTTTCCTGCAGTCTTGTAGATCTTCTTGGGACCATCCGATTGTCCAATGTTGAAGTGAGGTTGGTACTCATCACCACGTCTGGACTTGTCGACATTAGTGTGGTTGCTGAACGGTGCCTTGGGGCCAGCAGGACTGTCATCCGAAATCTCGAAGTGAGCGTTGGCATCCGGACGAGCAGCATGAACAATAGGGCGCTTCTCGGGAGAGATTTGATCCTGTATAGTGTCAGAGATGATAAGAAAAGATGATTTGGCTAGACATACCTCATCTACACCAGGACCAATGTGACGCTCCTGCTCAGGGTTGGGTCTAGGCTTGTGCTTCTCGGGAGTGGTGAAATCCTGGAAGTCCCAGTTGCTGGTGTGCGTCGAGCCTTTGGTGGACTTGCGTCTGTGAAGATCGGAAGCAGAAGCACCACCCTCGGCTGTGGAGAACTCGAAATGGTCATATTTTCTGGGGTCGATCTTCTTGCTTTCGGGAGACAGGATTCGTTGAGGCTGTGTGTTCTCGTCGAAGAGACGGTTGTCTTGGAAGTTCTTGCCAGAACCGGCCTTGGGCTTTCCTTCGGGCTTGTAACCTTCGTTAGAACTACCGTTTGCGAAGATTTCATCCATTTGACGAGGAGCGGGCTTGGCCGATGTACGAACAGCATATTCAGGGTTGGCGTTGGCCTGGCTACGGGGTTCCTGACCCTCACCAGTGGCGAACAAGCGAGCGTGGAAGTCACCGTTCTGACGGGCGCCGGCTTGCGACTGGGTCGATCTGCTTACGTCGTTCGAGGCGGGGCGTGTGGGCAGAGATGCAGTAGTGGAGCCGGCGTTGTTGATGCTGTTCTTGATAGTCTTGATCATGTTGGTGCCGTCGCGGATGGGCCAGTTGCGACCGCTTTTGCCAATGGCGTCAACCTGTCTAAGCATGGTTGCTTGATCCCAGTAGAGTCTGATCTGGCTGATCTTGCCTTGCGCGTTGTATTGGACGACGTGTACNCTGATGTGTGTAAGAATTGGAAGCTTGTCAGTTTATAGACCAGTACCAACCATGGGGAGAGTAGCGACTGAGTCGGCCAGCATGTTGTCATCCATCTGAGGAAGGATAGCGCCGCCTCCGCGGATGAACTCGAAGGTGGTGTCGGTCTCGACGACGGCACCGTCGGAGCTACCGTAAGAGCTCAAGACATTTTCCGACTTCTTCTTAAGGACCTTCTCTTGAGCCTGGTAGTGCTTAAAAATGGCGGCAGAGTCGTGGATTGAGGTAGTAGTGGTGATGTAATGAAGGGCAGCATCAGATGCAAGCGCAGACTCGGTTGGCGAGCGCAAGAAAGAAAGGTATGTGTCAGCCATGGTAGGCGAAGTGCTGTCGAAGACGCAGCGGGTTGAGATGTTGTGAAGAACTGAAGAGTCGGACAAAACCCAAGGTCAATTGATAAAAGAAAGACTCAACCAATCGAGTAGGCACAAGGCGAGTCAGAGCTGGCTTGTCTGTCTCTGTTTGTCGCAAAGTTGAAACAACGAGGGGGAAGCGACAGCTGCAGTCCGCGCAACCCGCCCATTTGCAGAACAAACAAACAAAACATCCTTCCTAATCGGGCTCAACTAGCCCACATTTTAGAACGCTGTGGGGAAACTTTTATATTGCAATCATATCGACACTGTTATTGAGAATCCATCTACTGCGCCTTCTTGGACTCTGCAGCCAGACGCTGCGCTTCTTCAGGGCTGCCGGGTATCACTCCCCTTCTAATGGCGTCTGCCACTCCTCTCTTGAGCCCCTCAGTGACGCCTACAACTGGTCTGTAACCCAGTCTTCTCTTGGCTTTTTCAATACTGTAGTATCTGGTCATGCAGCTGTACTTGACCTTCTGTCTGGTCAAGTTCGGCACTCCAAGCTGGAAGATCCAGAAGATGTACTCAAACAAAGTTGCGATGAACAGTCCAAAATCCTTGGGGATCGTCCAAACCTGGCTAGGTACGGTCGTGTCACCTGCTTCCTTCCATGCAGTACGGGTGAAATCCCAGAAGTACATGGGCGAGTCGTTTGTGATGAAGAATGACTCGCCATCCACNCTCTCGTGGCTCAGAGGTGCAATCTGTCCTGCCTCTTCGCGATCATAAGTCGTCAGGAGAGCTGCTGCTGCCAGATGGTGCGCATGGGCCACGTTGGTAGACTCGGTGAAGTCGAAGAGATTGGTGTTGTCGCCGAGCTGGAACTTGGTCTGTCCCTTGTAATATGCTCCAAGCAGAGGGGGCAGAAGGGTCTGGTCGCCAACACCGAAGATACCAGACGGACGGAGTGCGCAGGTAAGGAAACGAGGGTTTGAAGCAGGGCGGTTGTACTCGAGAACGGATTTCTCAGCGAGAGCCTGCAATATTGGTTAGAAGTTGGAGACATAAGCAGGACTCATGATACAGACCTTTGTGTTGGTGTAGTAGTCAGGCTGCTCCTTTCCAGTCACAAGCGGGTATGTCTCGTCGGCGTTGATCAAGTCGGTCGCGCTGTCGCTGATGACACTGGCACTGCTAGTGTAGACAAAGGCCTTGACACCGGTCTCAGAGGCCACGCGAAGAAGTGTCTTGGTGCCATTGACGTTGACCTTGTACAGAATCTCGTCGGCCATGTTGAACTTGGGGCTGGCGGTGTGGATGACAATGCTGGGCTTGATCTTGACGAATAGCTCGCGCATAGCACCCTCGTCCGTGAGGTCTCCAAAGTGGTAGTCGCAGCCCTTGATGGGCTCGGCGGCAGGTCGAAGGTCCATGGCCGATAGCTTGGTGCACGCATTGCGCTCGAGCAGAAGGTTGATAATCTGTGTGCCCAGACCGCCACATCCTCCGGTGATGAGCACATGGCCCAGATCTTTGGTTGACGTCGTCTTGCGACCGATGTTACTGCTTGAAACGGCCATTGTGGTTATGTTGTGTTGGTTGCGAAAGGAGGTGGTAGGTCTGAGATGGGAGCACTCGAGCGTCGGTCGATCTGTTCGCGGGGAAATTGCTACTTGGGAGATTGGCCAGTCCACTTCGATTGAGACTCTCACGCCATTTTCGAGGACAGTCACTGCAGCGAGATTTCATAAAGATTCAAAGTGAATAAAAGATACAAGTGTATTGTCATGCTAAGCTATCGGTGTTCGAGTAAAACCATCCACCTCATGTCGTTCTTGAGCACCAAACCCACGTTCCACAGAAGATTGTTGAAAACCTGATTATCCTTGTTAGCAATGATCAAGACAGAAACTTCTTGGTATGCAAATGGAAAGATGGCGGTAAGAGTCAGAAGGAAGGCAACGGAAAATGTCCACACGGTTTTGCGCTCTCGGACAAGACAATAATTTTTACATCCGAAAATACTTCATCATTCGAGGAAAGGGGGATGTGTGAACTGTTAAGAGAATAGAGCTTACCTTCGAGATGCCAATGGCCTAAGCGGCAGTATCTGCGAATTTGCAGACAAAGCGGCTCGTGAGCGATGTGATGAAGAGAGAAAAGAGAAGTTTGCTGAAGAAATTTTGGAAGATGGATGGAGTTCTGGTTTGCTTGGCGTTCTGCGAAAGGTCACAGCGTTCTTTAACGATCAGAGAACTTGAAGCCCACTACAGAGTATCTCAAGCCTTGTAGAATGAGACGAGCAGTCTGGTATATAGTATACAGAGCAGTGCCTCAGTGAATATGCGTTATCAAATGCCTCAGACCTTGATGCAGCAAAACTTGCCCATCCATGACATTGCACAATCTTTCGAACACAACTTGTGCAATCAAGGAGGTCGACCATGATATCATGTGACTTCAGCCCTACCATCCGGTGAACCAACACGGCTCACGGCAGACACGGGAGTGCTATATTGACACTACCGAATCGCGGTGCAGGTCCGCTGCAAGGCGAGGAGTCATTAGGTGCTTTCAATGAGCCGGTAGGACCACGGACGACTCATGAAACTCGGTCCTTAATCCTTCCGCAAAAGAAACACAAGGGAACGACCATTTTCCTGCAACTGATAGAGTCAGGAGCACAGCCCGGCGGCGTTTGATTTCGGCCGAGATCCGACTTTGCGCCAAACGGTCTGGAGAGACCGCGGACCCTGTTGATGAGTTCGACCACGAGGGTGAGAAGCAAAATTGAGTTGAAGCGTGAGTAGTATTAGAGTCAAAGAAGCTGAGCATTCTCTTGAGCGAGAAAGCAGCTGCCATAATCAGCATTATAAAGCAACAGGGATCAGATTGGTAGAATGTGCACGTGGACGCGTGATGTTATCCGAGGAAGGAAGGATGAGGCGGAGTACGAATGGCTGCTGCCTAACAACTTCTTGAAGCGCTGCGACGACCTCAGGGAGACGAACCAACGATTTGATTCCGCTGCTTTTCTTCGACCTTGTCAACGTGGCCTTCGCTCCCACATCGTAATCCTTGCTTGGCCTCGCAACTATTCATCTGCCCCTTCTCCGCGCCCGAACTTCGACGTCTGTTTTACTCCATTCTCGAATCTTAACTCTGCGCCCACTAGCCCGCATCTCGACACCGCCGCCATCACCGGTCAAGCTCTTGCTACTCACACCACAAGTCGCATTGCTGTCCGTTTTGATCTGCGCCCAACCTGGGTCCACCATTCACAGCTGTCGCTGCTGTTCGGACGTGACTCACCCGCACTGGCCGTGTCTTGCGACCAATCAACACCATTCCGGCCCTGTTTGATTCGACCAACGCACTCTCTCGGACCACCTAGCTGTACCGACAGCATCCTTCCAACATGCCATCCAAAACCTCATCTCATCCCCGCCGTCGTCAGGGCAGTCCCTCAACCACTGCTGCCCTGATCGACTCCCTTGCTGGCCTGTCCATTCAAAAAGGAACCACCTTCCACTCTCCATCCTCAAACAAGTCAGAACTCTTCAACCCTCTTGACGCTGTCGCTCGGTCCATGACAACCCGCTCCGTCACAAGCCCCAAAGCCCTCGAAGATTTGCTCATCGGTGCTGGCGAACGTAGAGCTGCAGACCTCCTTGCCAAAGTCGATCAAGTCATCGCTGACAACAACTCTGCTGCTGCTCTTGGAAAGCTCCTCTCCGAGCCTGAAGCCTTGCCCCACCCTCGCTGTGTTCTCGACAACTCTGGTCTTGAAGGCATCGCCGAAGAACGTCGTGATAGTCCCAACAATGCTTATGACAGTGGTCTGGGTTCTAGCATTGCCGATTCTGACGAATTCGACACCAAGAAGACCAAGGCTTCGACCAAAGGTAACAATCACTCAATTCCTATTGTCGATATTTTAGGCAGCGCTAACTATTGTTTACTGTCAGGCTCCGCATTGAAGAGGTCTCCCTCTTCAGCCTCAAGCTCGTACGCTGACGAACACCTCAGCGAGTTCGCATGCGAGCAGATCCACAACTACATCGTCAAGCCTATTCTCAAGCAACAGGCTCTCAAGGACTTCCATCCCCTTGTTAGAGGTGTTCCTCGACGCATCGCTTCTCGCCAAATTACCACCCTACGTGATCTCGAGAAGATTTTAGTCTTCTTGGCTCCTGTAAGTATTCGCTGCGGACTTTCTGCCCGCTCGGTTGCTTATTTTCGTGCTATTTCTCAGGATTACTCTCGTACTCCTTCTGATTATCTCAACTTTTGCGAAACCTACATCGACTGTCTTCACGCTACTGTCGACATCGTCCACGAATCAGACCACTGCTCACCCTCAGATCGTCCCTACACAAGCAACTACTTCATCGACTTGGTCGGTCAAATCCGCAGATACGCACAGATCGTGGCATCAACTCGCGCAAAGACTGAACGTGGAGAAGCACTCGACGAAATGGATGTTACTCCGTAAGTGTTCCTGATATGATATGCCAAATTTAGACTTCGCGCTAACGTATGACTCAGTAATGAACGCCTGCAACTGCGGGGCGGCCACCTCCGAGGAGGAGCCGACAGTGTGACTCACAACACTCCCCTCCAACTCGTCCGCCACAAAGATGGCAAAGACATTTCTCTGCTCGATGGCTCCGTCCTTTCTTCTGGTGCAGACCACTCCATGTCTTCATCGAAGCGTCCCATCATGGCCGATTCTTTGAATGATGACGTGGAGAGGTCCATGGCACGTCGTAGAAAGGGCGAGCCTATCAAGACGTACGACTGTGGCTTTGACGGATGCGACAAGATCTTCCGCCGTCCTTGCGACCGTACGAAACACATGAAGAGTCACGAGCGTCCTTGGAAGTGTCCTCACACTGACTGCAAGTATCACGAGGAGGGCTGGCCCACCGAGAAAGAGTGTGAACGCCACGTCAACGACAAGCACGCCGAGTCTCCCATCATGTATGCCTGCTACTGGTCAACCGTAAACAACTGTCCCTACCAGTCAAAGCGACTCAGTAACTGCAAGTCGCACATGGAGAAAGCCCATGGCTGGGTATACATTCGTTCAAAGACCACTGTCAAAAACGGCAAGACCAAGGTGAAGCCTGATCAAAAGGAGCCTGTACAGCAACCTATCAAGTTGATTGGAGGTGTCGCTGCAAGTGCATCAACTCCATCGACTTCATCGGCCTCTGCGTCTACATCCACAACCCCATACATGCAGACGGAGCAGTACCCTCCAGTGAGTGACCTGTCTACCACCTTGACTTCTCCTCAAGAGTTCTCGGTGCCCTCTATGGCCCAAGGTATCATGACTCCCTTCGAGAGCCCCGAGTTCAACATGGCTATGGACTTTCAACCGGAGTTTGTTGATCACTTCAACTTTGACTGGGCTAGTGCCTTTACTCCAGCCGTCAACAATCCCATGTACACTCCATCTCTTGTTGATGATCGTCGTCTGTCGCATGATTCGTCGGCTGTCAGCACTGCACCCAACTCAACGCTGCTCCAAGGTGAGACATCCTTCGATGACGCATTCAACCCTCCCACGCCTGAGGACAGTCCCCACTTCGTCGCCAACAGCGGTTTCAAGATGGAGCAAAACTTCCAGGCAGGTCCAAGCAACTACATCAGTGACCAGAGCATGTTGTTCTCGCCACCCCAGTTCCTGGTCAATGGTTCCGACCCTATGCTCACTGCTCCCCAACCTCTGACCAACCAAGGATTTGGTGGTGATGCTTCTATGGACATGACCATGGCTGATGACGACTTCGACATGTCCAAGTATCTGCCTTCCGACTACAACAACACCGACTCTCTGTTCCCCTCAAACAACGACTATGGTCTCGGAGCTCAGTTCGACGAGCAATCGTTGTTCCCCTCGGACAGCAATAACAACACAATCAAGCCAAAGGAGAACCCCTACGCGAAGTTCTTCCCTGAGCTCCAGTAAAAGTTGTTTTCTTCATCGGCTTACAGCATCTCGACATTTCTGCTTTCTATTTCCATCCCTACTCCACGCCTCGTCGTGTCGAGTTTTTTCTTTCTTTTCACATATCTGCACGCGTTTGTGCTTTCACGACGGCTACGAAGACACATAATAATTTGGATGGACGGTCCCCAAGAGGGGTAAAAGGATGTTCACACTGAAGAAAAGAGAAGATAAAAAAGAGGAGGCTGTTTCTGTAACATGCTTTGCTTGCTTTCTCTTACGTTATCAAGGCGTTGGATGGATCACGGTTTCTCGGCTCAAAAGAAGGTTGTCACAATCCAAGACAGCGCTCAAGGTTAGCCGTTTCCCCCCTCTCCACCCAAATTGGCTTTTCTTCTTATACTCCACTATGGAGGTATATACACCAATCCAATCACTCTCACCTGATGCAATGCATGCCCCTCGAAGTTGCGCACGTTCAATGTGCGCATAAGTCCGCTGTTTCGCCTCCGGAACCGTCTACGGAGGTTATGTTACTTGGCAGGAGAAGGTAGAGCCTATCAGCTGCCTGTCTTCTGTTATTTGACTGTGCATCGTCTAGAGTAAAGAAATGGCCAAGCATAGATGAACATTCAGGTCCACTGATAAGAGAACGATGATGCGATCGGAGCTTTGTTCTGTCAACTCAAACTGACGTGCTGATAGTGCTCGCCAACCATCAACCAGGACGTAGCCATGGACATAGCATATAATTGCAGGTCCTGAGCAGATGCGGCTGCCTTTTTCTGTTTCTCTATCCAGCATCCCATTGTCAAATTTCTCTACCCAAAAGCAAGCGATTCTTCTCCAAGGGTCTGATTCTCAGCCATCGTTTTGTACCTTTGCATCGTTTTCTCGAGCAAGCACTTTCTTGTTTTTATTAAAGACGAAATGTCTTCTCCATCCAAGAGCAGACGCCGCTCCTCGCTCTCAGCAGCTTTCGATCACTTCCGAAACAAATGCCGCAGAACAAGAATCGACAGTCTTCTCTCGCCTCCAAAGCTGGGTTCTGAAACTTCCAACGATGAGAACGACAGTCTCGACTCTACCTCTGATTCCGAAGGCGTGCCATTGACAGCCAATTCGGGCGACAAGAGCTCTGGAAGCGGAGCTGAAAAGGAGGGTCGAGATGAGGATAAGCTTGAACAAGCAGAGAGCACTCATAGTCGTTGCGATAGCAGACTTCCTGAGTTTTCTTTTGATGGCTGCTCTTTGGGCACTGGCTTTGAACTTGGAGTAGAAGACAGCGAGTCCACTAGTCCTGACGAGGACAAACGACTGGTATCTGCTCTTGCAGACTTTACTGCTGAAGCCACGGAACCTGAGGACTTTGAACGATACTTTGCTCTTTCTCCTCGTGGCAACAATGCAACTGTCTCGGAGAAGAGCATTAGTCCTACTGGAAACACGGCTACTGCACCTGAGTCGGTGGATTCGATGAGCAGACTGCTGCATTCAGACGACTCTGGCTCGACATTGAACTTTGAGATTGGAATTCCTTGACAAAGGACGCTGGCAAGGACCAAGCTTCAGCAAGAGTGGACAACGCAGGTCCAAACCGAGCCTCAGACACAAGAGCAGACTCTTGCGCGAAGCACTTATGCTTCGCTTGACGAGGTTGTCAAAGAGACTGTGCTGATCGAGCAGCACAAGGATGTCCTTGAAGAACCGCAAGGTGCAATGGCACGAAGAAGATCTGCGCCGCCCATGGAGACGGTCGATGGAGTGAGACTGGATGCTCGGCCCTTGGTCAGACACTCAGGCACCGCAGCGCCCCCACACAGTTCTTTGCAGCTGTGTGATATCTCGGGACCTGGTAGCAGCTCTTTAAAAACTTCCGGACAAGCTGATACCAAAAGGCAAGGAGTACCCTACCAACCACGTCCTCAACTTACTTCTTGGTTCTCGTCGTCGAGCGAATCCAGTACAGAGGGTATACACCTGAACTTCCCCTCCTACCGTCGTCGCAACTCCAAAAAGACAGATTTGTCTCCACCTTCCACAGCGTTGAGGAAGAAACGCCATCAAACAACTCACGATACTAGACCTCTTCTTTCCTCTCCTCCTCCATTCTCTAACCCGCCAAAACCCTCGGATGTTACTAGTGCACCCAAAGACAACCAGGCCGATAAAAGCAAAGCCAAACCCATGGAATACTCCCACACTCCCCCAGATATGCAACCTACAGCATCTAGAGGCTACACTACCCTCTCCTCCGCCCCTTCCATCTCCGCCTTCCACCACAACCTAAACACCGAACTCTTCAATGCCATCGAATCAGGAGACATCAAAGCAAACCGCGTCGGTACCAAGAAAGAAGTTCGCAGATTTTCGGGAACGAGAAGGAGTCTGCAGCAGGGATGGGAAGCTATTGGTAGAGTGGTTACTGAAGGAGCGAGGAGAATGAGTGGGTGGGGAAGGGGGATTGGGGAAGCTGTTGTTGCGAGTGGAGGGGTGGGTGTGGGTTGGGGTGATGTTGGCAGAGACGGAGATGAGAGTGTTGGGAAGAGGAGTGCTAGTGTGTATTATGGTGGTGGATTTGTCTGAGACTTAAAGTACTGGCCCTAGATTTCCTCAGTGATTTGGATGTTGCAGTCCGGAGAAGGGATGGGAGTCTAGAGGCAAGCAAAAGTGTTTCTGAGATTAAATCTGCACGCGGCCCTCCTCGTTCTTATTTTCCTTGAGTGATTCCGTCTTCCTTGCTCGTGTGATCCACTTTGGATTGAGAGAGGTAACAGAGAAAAGAAAAAGCAAGTTGTAGTAGCCATGAAGTTCAAATGAGATGTCGTGACGTAGTGACCCTGTCCGTGTTCATGTCAGGCAGCTACATAAGGGACTTCTCCCCCGACTCGTATCAATCAACCTTCTTCCTTTTTTCACCAATGCGGACCTCGTGAATGGCAAGCACGAATCTTACCACTGACCTACTGCGATCGATGCAGCATCCTTTGTGCACGCCAAGTGAACGTATTTCGGGTTGCGGCTGGTTATGTGTTCGACGTCGTCAAATCAGTAACACGGAGGTTTTATCACTCAGCCTGTTTTGGTTCGTGGAGACGACAAGTACTGTGAAAGATCTCCGGTCTGACCCGACTCCCACCTCAAATCATGGCTTTTGCAGGCCACGGGGTTGGATGAAAATCTTGAGGTGGGAGGGATGGAGACAGGCCAGAGGGCCTCCTTGATCCTACGAGCACTGCCAAGAATGGCAACCAGGTGCCATTATTGGCGTTTCAGAGCGTCTGCATAAACTGTCCCAATCTCTTGTTCGTCCAACGCAGAAGCGCATTGCACGCAGCAGGAATTTGCCGGCCAGGTCGTCAACACAGAAAAGACTTCTTGCATGAATCAAGATGGCAAGCTCTCGATCTCAATCGTGATATAAGCTAAAACATCACAGCATCTTTATCTGAGCAATCAAGGGTTGGCCGGTCCTTTAACACATAGATCCATCTCTGAAAGGCATCAGAAATTTCTGGCTCTTGAGAGCTGCTCGGTACATCAGATGGAGGTGCACATCTATCGATATTACGGTAATTCGACTGACAGCTCAAGAGGGGCCTCGGCCAACCCGGCTTGAAGAGAGTACCGACCCGGCTTGCGAATGTTGGTTATGTCCCAGATACAGAGAGAGCCAAACGCCTGATTTTCGTATCAAGTGAGAAAGGAAATACTGAACCGGATACTATGCATGTTGAAAACTCTTCAAGTCTGCAAACACGCGGACTTGGAGCAGGATCATGACCTGCACGCCCCGGACGCCCCAGGTTCTGTATGCAGGGCATCAAGACCTACTATTGGTTATCTGCACGTACTCGAGTAGTGGGTTTCTGCGGAGCCAATCACGAATTTGACTTGTGTTGGCCACGCGGTTATGATCCCAGCCTCAAAATGATCTGGTATGGACCGTATGGTGGGTGGCGAAACCACACACGCGGCTGAGCTGCGCATACTATCATACAGCTCATGTATAAAGTTGAGGTTGAGCGCTCGTCTCTCTTGAGCAATGTCAGTCACAACCTCAGCACACGCGGACGACATCACTGCTCTATATACCTCATTCAAATATCAAAAATCTGGATCAAGACCTGCACGTTCAGATTATGAATATTCCATTCGACCCTTTCAGCTTCGGCGTTGCAACTTTTGCTCTTGCTGTTGCGGTCTTGCAACTGTATTGGAATCGACCTCAGCATCGCGATGCCGTAGGTTGACCGTCATGTCACTCCACTCGTACTGTCTCTGATTGTCCTTATAGCAAGATCTCAGCAGCAATGCTTGAAAACAATACGTTCAAGTCAAAACTTGCTTGTGTAGTTCATGTCAACTTTTATTTGTTCTGAATGAAGGTGGATGGTGGATGTTGCATACCCTGTCTCAAAGATCTGTTGGCAACATTGCAGCTACTGCTTGTTCTGATTTCCATCTCTTTTGTCTATTCCCGTTCGCGTTGTGTGTTTTGTTCCTCTGCACTATAACTTATACGAGTATCACGAAGGTATATGACATGATTCTACCTTGTGCTTTTTCTACAGATACATATATGTTATACCAGATCTGTTAAGAAGCATTTTCCTAACACATTCGGTTAGAACTTGCTACTAAGCCTACCCTTTTTCTCTCTGCGTATTTTCAGTCCTGGTAAATACGCCTTGTCACGATACTCAACGATATCTAAACAACCGCCACAGGATTCAACGCTTCCCTTGTTTGTTACTTGCTGCTAAAAACCAGAGAATATCTGCGAGAATCTGTTAGTACGACAAGCTAAGCTGATTTTCGTCTCATTCGCAGATCAGATTCTGCATCGGCTGGACGTATTGAAAGATTGAAGCGTGCTTCACCGTCACAGTAACACACTTTGTCCATAATGGTCGTTGTCGTCGCTGCTAGGGAAGTAGACCCTCGGCAGTGACAATTTTCGCTGCAAGCATTTGCCTTAGGAACAGCTCCTTCCTTGGTAAGAATAATTTGTGTACGCGCAGGTACGAAGCATGTGTATCTGTCGCAGAGACGCTGGACTCGTGGTCCGGTTGGGCGACAAAGTTGACCGCGCAGACGCCACAAGCGACGATCTTTCACGGCCACAGAATCTTTGCGACAAGCTTCTTTGGTGGTGGAGGCAGGTGTCTGGAGGAAGGGCTCACGCACAAGGCAGCCGTCGAGGTGGACTTCGATATGCTTCCAGCTAACCCAAGCGGAGCGGCAATGCACCCTCGACTCAGTATCAACAACCATGAACTTTCCCAATAAATTAGCAGTCACTCCTTCCGAGATCAGTCTTGAGCATTAGTAACCTAGACAATCCAGTCTGGACGACCATACCTGCTATTCCTCGAAGAACTCTCCGGACAACTCATATCTGCTCAACAAACCTTTGGCTTTCACGAGGGCTCGCACATCGCAGCCAATTCGATCCATTCAAGCTTTGACGTGCGCATCACTCGCTCTTGCTGTCGCTGTCATCCAGCTCTTCAGGAATCGACCTCACACGGTGTCATAAGTTGGCAACCGTGATTATTCTCCGGTACGGTTCCTGACTGTCTGTATAGCCAGCCTCAAGCAGCCCTGCTTGATCAACGTACACTCAAGTCACGACTTTCGCGTATTCTCAAGAATACCCCAAGGGTGTTTACTTTTCACGGACCAAGAGCCAGCGTGTCCATTTGGTGTGGGATAGAGAATGTTGCACGCATTTCTCTTTGCCATGGGCTAGGTTTTTCTTCGTTCGATCTGTTCCATGCGTATCTGGCTTCATGTATATCTTGCTTCTGTACGAGCACCATGACAACTATGCGCCGTCATCCTGCCTTATATCTTCAGTCTACATCGTTCTACGAAGCAACTCCTAGATCTCTAGAGCATTCTGCGGAGCCAAGGAATCGAATGATTTGCAAATGTTTCTCTTACAATAAGCAACAACAACATTTCAGATCAAAGGTGTAGATATAGGCACTATTGGTTCGACAACGACGGTCTTGTCACGTTTGTGTGCCGAAGACGATCAAGCCCGTAAATCAAAAGATTAGCGACATGCCCACATAGTTCTCTTGAGCACTGCGCTGCAGACAGCAAGCAATTCCTACAGAGACGGTGCTTTAGCTTTTGAACTCTGCCCGATTGGCTGAAAGCTCACTGCTGCGCCACCTGTACTCCCCTTGACATCAGTGACGGAGTCAAACGCGGGGAGCGTCTCTAGAGCTCACCAAGACCTTGAGAATAGTCACCCATCAACAACTATAAGATTCAACTGTTCCCATGTCTACACCAATCTCGCTGATATCCAACAACGACATCCAAACTATTATACACCATCTGTCTCCTTGATCCTACACGAAACTACTCCGTCTCGAGCGCCAAGGATTCCCATTCCAGATCTGCTTCACTTGATTGGACAACCATGAGCGCCGAACTCGTCCTCGGGACAATTCAAACTGTCTTCGCCATACTCGCGGTGGTCATTGCCGCTGCGCAGCTTCTTCAACAATGGCCTCGACCTCTCATCAATGTATTTAGCTTCGTATCATTGCTTTGATTCATGACAGACGTTAAGACATTCACAGAATAATGCTTCGGGTAACCCCCACGGGCCGGCGATAAGCGTTCAACCTTCGCGGGCCTATGTCTGGGGTAAGCAGCCTAACTGGATTCGGATAAGGCTCAGGCTGATCTTTCCTTTAGTGATTTGCGCTGCCGGCGTCCGATCTCGCGTCTTAATCTGTATCATACCCGACTATTCCCAGCAAGCAGCAGGGAGTCATGTCTAGAGCCAGTTTACACGACTTGGGTTCTACTAGCACATCATAGAATGTCGCACTTGTCTTCGGCCTTACGTCTCGAGTTGCGACGGATCAAGCTCCGGATCATCACACGCACACGTGGAAAGGAAGGATTGATTATGCATATTTGACGAAGGGGTACTATTTTTGCTTACGGCCTTTCCCTTTTGTTTTCTGCTCTTGTCTGTGTTGTATATCTTGCCTTTCTTTGTCGCAATCTAAACCGAGCAACATGAATCTTTAAGCGCGACTCCTCGCTTATATCTGCTTTTGTCCACTTCTCGTTGCTTCGTTTCAAGTGGGCGTATCTCATTATCTTGTGCTTGTTTTCTTTCTTGAGTGCTCTTCGGTCATTAATGTATTGGTCATGTTATGAAACAAGCAAAGTCATCTCCATATCATCTCTGCCCTACCGCGAGTTCTGTCCAAAATTCACGACCAAAATTCACGACGATAAGACAAAGTTCTGAGCACAACAAAGGTAAATTTCCCATATACAGAAAAACGATAAATCATAGACATAAACCAGTTTGTGGTATTCCCCTCTTATTATGCTAGATTGCTCATTACTCCGTATTCTCGTCGTCACCACATCTCTCGAAAAGGTCAGCCAGGTCATCGTGGAGTTTTTAGAGGCTCTGTCAACGATCTTTGTCATAAGCTTCATCTGCGGCCCGGAGCCGCCTCCCGAACATGGTCGTTATGCTAGTAAATTCTTAGCCCACGGCTCAGATCTGGCCCTGATGAAACAGTATGCTCACTTCGAGATCACGTCGAGGCCACTGCTGAAGAAGTTGGATGGCCGCGATGATCACCGCGAGTATGGCGAAGATGGTTTGAATTGTGCCGAGGATTATTTCGGAATGCATGACCGATGTCTGATTGGGTATAGTTGAAGACTGAAGGGAGATATTTCAATGAGTTCAGCTTGGTGTAGAAGGATATCTTCGAGAGATGACCAACAAGTTGATAGTGATGAGCAGATTCTGAGTGTGCACCGGAGAGTTCTCGAAGGGATGAACATTGACTATTTATGTTGCTGGACAATCCTTTCCGCGTCACGTTTCTAGGGTAGAGATGTATGCATGTGCATCGCGCGATTCAATTACCCCGGATTGATGATGTCGCTCTGCTCGGATGCGCGCCATCTGATTGGAGCAAATAGCATGCATCTGGTATTTGAGCATGCGTTGAAGCCTGCAGGTCTCCGCCAAGGTCGCAGGTAGTCGAAGATAACCACCCAGCTTGGACCCTCAGCATTCGCATCCTTCATTCGAGCTTCCAGCCTCACTTACAGAAAGGCGTTCTTTTCCGGGCACCAACGTAAGGAAACAGCAGAAATACACTGATGTTAATCACAGCAAAAGCTTCATGGACCGCATGTTCTCTTGTCAAATTACTCGTCGCCTCGTATTCTCATGTGTTAGGCAAGCACTGGATGGAGCAATCAAGTGGGCCGCATATACAACTCCTTCTGTTGACATCAGCCAACATCACGGTAACAGCATGTTCTGAACGTTTCTCCAGCCCTAACCCCAGATTTACACCATCGCAGATCAAAGTTCGCATCATTCACGGGCCGGAGCCGTTGCCCGAGCTCGATCAAAACGCTATTAACTTCTTAGCCTTCTACTTAAGATATTGTTCATGCAATAAGTGTATACTTACTTCAGTGTTGCGTCGAGGCCATTGCTGAAGAAGTTGGATAGTCGAGATTACCACGGCAAGTATAGCGAAGACTGTTTGGACTGTGCCGATAACTAGCTCAGCGTCCATGATTGGCTGCCCGTTTGGGTATAGTGTGGCTGAAGGTAGCTCCTGAGTGGTCTTGGATGGATATAATTTTGTGGACGAACTCGTGGACCGCTGTAGATAAAAAGGTGTATAGGTTCTGATTAAGAGAGTGAGACTGTGTGAAGTTGTTGAGGTTATTGAAGTGCGGTCTTCGTTGCCTTTTAACTCATCTTGAGAGAGACTCGTGCCATGTCCCTGAAAAATGCAGGGCTGTGATTCGAAGATACGCGAAGACGGTCAAAGGTCGCTGGCTGGGACCGTGCCCGTTTGGACGCCAAATCTTTTGCACTGCCACCAAGTGTCAAAGATGTTGCAGCTTATAACACACGACTCTGCATACACCCGCCTGATACTCGTTATCACAGAACTTCATTCCAGTGTTGCGACCAATCTTGTTCTCCTCTGAGCACCAGGACCACGGCCTTGACTGCGGAACTTTTTAAAGCAATTGCATATCTTCGAGCCAGGTCTTTCCAGTCGCTGCGATTAACAATCCGCACTACCTCATCGTTCTTTTATCGGATTCATCTCAAAATTGTGTCAAAACCAGCACCACGAGCACGTTATGTAGACCAGGTACCTTTATCGAGCTTATCATCCGCTTGTGTCTTGCTCCACCATCCTTACTCGTTACCCACACACATCCCTACTACCAGCAAAAACATCTTCCCGGTCACAAATCCCACAACATACCTCTTGACGGCACAAACTTTGGCAAATTGAAACACTGAAGTACAAAGCAAACTCTTCACGACGTGCATTCTCCTTCGCGTAATTCTTCTCCCATCTAATAGTACAGTAAAAGCAAAACTCCTCTCCATGAACGTTCATTCCTTCTTCCATTGTACCAGAAACGCCTTTTCTTGATGCATTTTCTCCGCTCATTCATATCCGTCGTTGAAAAGTAAATCCAGAAGAGCAGAAAGGGGAAAACGCCTCGGAGATGCTTTGCTCGTTCCTCCATTGTATCCTCGCTATGCATTGTAGCAGACTTCCCTCCTTCCCCAAGGCATGAAAAGTAAAGACCATAAAACGCCGTTTTCTTTGTGTTGTCCTGTTCAGTCTGTTTCGTGGCCGTAGACTTGGGTGTCGTGTGACTTCTGGTCATGATGGCCTGCTGTCGTCTCCGTGACGTTTCAGAAGCCGCTTCGTGAACGGATCCTACTCATTGTCCTCGAATTCTGCAACGTCACTCAGTGATTCGTCGTCGGAGGCCACGGCTTCATTGTCAGAATCTNNGAAATGTAAATCAGCAATCTGTCACCACAAAAACAAAGGCTAGAAGAGGTAGAACTCACCATCGTCAATCTCAACAACATTGCTGTTCGTAGGAGCGTCTGAGACAGAGTACTCGTCTTGCCACTCGCGGAGCTGGTCGCGAAGATTCTCGTGTGTGCGCAGGACTTCATCAATACCGTTGACCTCGTCGAAAAGCTCTTGAACAACAGTATCAAGCTCAGTGCCGGCTTCGGTAGCGGGTGCCTCACTCTTCAACCATTCTTCCAACTCAGGATCAAGGTTCGAGGATACGAGATACAAGTACGTGCCGCAATCCTGGTACGCGTCGATGATGTATTCGTAGCCGCTGCTTGAAATGCTCTTGAGAATGGCGTTGTTCAACATGTTACCGAGGGCTCCATGAAGCTCCTTCAAAGCGTAGATTTTGTGGTCGAGAAGTCGAACGGGATCCAAAACATAGGGCTTCGCAAGCATATCTTGGACCAGGATATCATTCCTCAACCAATCTCGGGTGTCTTTTTCGACGACACGATTGTTGTATTGCAACAGAAGACGAACGATGACGGCCAAGTGGTGCACAATCATCGGTGGATGAACTCTGTAGACTTCCTTTACGATGAAGACCAGACCCCAGACGGCTGGGTGGTTTCGTTGCCTAACCTCTCGAGCAAGGGTTGCTTTTATCTCTCTGAAAATATCTTCTTCAGTCGTCGACTTTAACTTCCGTTCGAGCAGGCAGAGCAGAACAGACTCTGCGATTGAGTCATAGTCTGTGCTACATTTCACGTTGATGATGAGCGCCCGGACTGCGTCGTTGTAGAGCTCGGGAGAGACTCTGTCGGCGTTGGTAAGTAGCATGATAAGGTGGATTGTGGGCCATTCGCGCCAGTTGCTATCACATCGTCAGTCATCAAACACACAATGCGTAACGATCGTTACTCACTTTCTCTTGGGTGTTAGTATTCCTTGCATACAGAGCTCTACCATCCAGTTACTCTCTGTGTTAGAACGAGTAATCAAGTATTCGTGCTCTTCGGCAGTCAATAACAGCATTTGTGCGTCAGTCCATCGGTCGTTGGTATCAGGCGCAGATAGTCCACGAAGATCGACAAAGTTGCGTAGCAGGCCGTATACGCAGTTAACAATCGAGCCATGGTTCAGCCCACGCGAGTTGTCGGCAACCAATTTCATGACGTCCGGATATTTCTCTTGTAACTCTGGCTTTTCCTTGATGAGCAAAACTTCAAGACACCACTTGAGAACGTCCTGTTTGAGCAGCACAAACGTTTCGGCAGGACCAAGCTCTGCGATATTGCGGACAAGCTCGAAATAGTCGGACCAGACGGCTTGCATACGCTCAAGGAGACGTGAGCGCAGATCAATCAGGCCTTGAATTGCATCCGCCATGATCTTGGGTGTGCCTTCGGAACCATCTCCGTCCTCAATATGGTTGTAAGTCGAATCATGCTCACGAAGGTAACGGAAACAAGCCAGGATCAGGCGGCTCGTAGCGACACGGACTGCGCGCTTGTGATGCAGAACAACACTTTTGGTCTTGTCCTTCTCACTCCTCCGAGGAAGCACAGCCATCAGCATCCAACGTGCGAAATCCTTACCACTGCACGCCAGTTTCTGAAGTAGCATTGCAGTAAAGTCAATGGACTGAGGAGAATACTCGCTGTCGAAACTTGAAACGACGCGAGTATAGTACCGCAAAAGCATTGACATGAGCTTGTGTGTTGCCCTGCTGGTGGTTGAGGCGTCGACATTCTTAAAGGTTCCCAATTTGCCAGTCAGACCGCGAACAAATCCGAGATGACTCAAGGAGAATAGATGGAGGATATATATCTTCTTTTGGTTTTCCTTGGTGATCTGAGTCTCAAGGTCTGAGGGCAAGTGGACCTTGGCGTGTGCTGTATAAGGAAGCGCAGACGTGCTTGTAGCAAGACACTGTGCGGATTCGGCTATGGACGACACACGCTGGTAGAACAAAACATATGCGTTGTCCGATCGAAGGCGCGGAGATTGGTTGCCTTGGAGGGATGCCATCAAAGAGGAGTCTGGTCCGCCACGAGTCTCGCAAAGAACTTCCTCGATGCTCGAAAGTCTGACATTCTTGTCCTCGAGGCAGTACCAGCGTAAAGGCCCGGTGTTACCTTGTCCACGCTCGGCAGCGTATGACCAGTAGTGGCCAAAAGTCAAGATGCCTTGATGCACGACCACGCCCACGAGTTGGAACATATCAGACTCGCCAGGTCCTTCAATACCTGCAAGACGGTTGAGTTTGTACTTGCTCATGTCAATAAATTCGGGAAAGTCGAATCTATCGTTGACCTTCTGGCCGCCATCGAAGGTTTCATAGCGGAAACGTCTCAGGCCCAAGACTAGGTTGTCAGGGATATGCTCGAGGGCAGTTCTTTGGACAGCGTCGACTGAAACACCCTCTCCTGAACCACAAGTGGTGCACCTGAACTTATCACTCCCTTCAAGAGTGGCTCCTTTGGTATACTCTTCCAAGCTCTCTTCAAGAGTTGCCTTGTCTTTGACAACTAAAGACAGGTTGAAATACTCATCAGTGCTTTCGGAGATATGCTTGCAGCTACCAATTGTTTGTGACTTGTTGACACCGCGGAAAAATGCTTTCAAAGCATTCTTCGCTTCCNNCTCATCAGGCATGCTCTCCTCAAGCTGGCCAATCAGGGTCATGAAGAATATGTGAGCATCATCCTGCACAGTATGATCCACGTTCAGCGCTTTGATAAGCCCGTCGGGCTGGTAGAAGATGTCGTGGCCATCCTGCATGTAGGCAAAGGCTAGCTTGAACTCAACAAGGACTGCTTGCTTATTCGAATCGATCACCGGCGTGTCGAAGATGAATTTCCGAAATTGAACATTCATGAATAGCTGTTGCAGAAGAGAGTTGAAGTAACATGTCTGACTTAGATTGGCCAAGCCCGCATAGTTGCCTTCTTGTCGGATATATCCAGCAGGACCAGGGAAAGTTAAACTCTGATCGTCTGTGCAGTAACCAGCGACATTTTCGCAGTCTGCGGCGAGATCTTCCAGTGTTTGAACATCGTCACACATCAGCCGAAGAAGGTCGTATATCTCGTTGCGAGTTTCGGAAGCAAGAACGGGCTGTACATTCTTGTCCATCTTGAGGATCGGAAAGAGCAAGGTCTTGAAAGTCTGCGAAGGAACATCCCCTAGGTTCAATGGCTTGTTCTGTGTCACAAGGGTCTGAACACAATAGCGGAGCATTGAGACCAAACCTGACACTCTCTTGTCGACAAAGCAGTCGCCATAGCGCTCCAGGTGACTCAGGTTGAGCAGAGCCTTGGCAAACCCATCGATCGAGGTCCTTAAAAGTGCTTCATCACTGCTCAGATCTCGGTCTGCGGACACCGCCTGAAGACTGACTAGGAATGCATTGTCGCAGATGGCTGGATACTTCAAGGCCGCGGGTACGAGATGGTCCAGAGCAAACTTAGAGAAGAATGTCTTGAGCATGGAAGAAGCCCTGTTATCCTGGACAGCGTTCATGATAGATCTGGGAATGGTAGCTCGAAGATGATCACTTTTAGTGAGAAGGAGCGAGAGCTGGACCGGAATGATGTGGTCCGCAGCCATGAAAGCGGTACACACAGCATCACTCAGTAGGGCGCTTTCCAACAAGCATTGATACAGTGCCCGCATCGCGTAATGCTTCGTGCTATCAAGGCCGACTGTAGTCTCGCGTAAAAACTGGTTGATGTAGCCAATGACCTGATATGTGAACTTGACAGCGTCTTCAAAGTACTGCTCGGTGACGTCGTTGACAGGCCGCTCCCTGAGCAATTCAGTCAATGTTTCTGCCGTCCGCCAGACGTCTGTGACTTCTTGCAGAATATCCGTACGACACAGCAGGTTTACAAGCAAGTGAACTCCTCGAAGCAGGAACTTCTCGTCAGCAATGCCGAGCGCGACTTGTTCCTTCAGCTGGATGTAAAGAACTTCAACGGAGGCTCGCACTCGCAAGGATTCGCCAGGAGGGAAAATGTGTTCGAAAGGTGTTTCGGGAGTAGCGATCATTGCTCTTAGAGGGCCAGGAAACTTGAGCAACCCGATAAGCTGTAAGACAAGCTGTGCTTTTGTGCCCGTACCATCAAGAATGCCGTACAAGACATCTAGATGCGACACGATCTCTCCTTGGATAATTGATCTTTCTGCACTCTTGTTGGCGTCCTCTTGGATGCTCTGAAACGTGTTGTGCTTCTGTATGATAAGAATATTGCCTGCCCGAAGGCCACGCTGTGTTATCGACTGCTCAGGCTCCTCAGTAAAGTTGATCTTNTGTCCCGCAGTAACAACGGTGTAACTTGCGAATCCGGTCTCCGAGGCGATGGCAGCGTCCAGTTCTGAACAACTTGCTGACTTGTTGATTGTTACCATTCTGTCCTGTGGTCTTGCATTGCCTCTGTGAATGCGGATTGGAATTTGAATGCTGTCTGGCGCAAGCTCGGCCTCGGGCTGATTGACTTTACCAGACGCAGCTTGGTTTGAACGTTCAAGAAGTTCCTGGAACTGGGCCGACTCAATGAGAGTAAGTAGTATGATGTCTGCAGCTCTTGTTGCAGGAATTCCTTCCTGAGTCAGTTGTGCAATAAGCTTCCTCACTACCAAGATCTGGTCTTGCACGGCCAGGTCAGGGTACTTGATGGCCTTACCCCTGAACAGACTGCCCATGAGCAGCATCTTGAAGTCATGCGCAATTTTGTCTGATGGCACTGTAAGTGCGAATCTGACTATCTCCTCGCCGAGGGGCAGTAATTCAGTCATATCGGACTCCTGGAGCGCGTGTTGAGCTTTGAAGAGGTTGATAGTCTCGGAAGTCACAAGTTCAGGCGAGATAGCAGGGAGGTGTTGCTTAAGGAACCGATCGTAGAACCCTTGGAGCCCCGATTGATTTAGTCGGAAACACTGGACGAGAAAACACCATCCTGTGTCTCGCAGTTGTGGTGTCAAGGCATGTTCGCCCAAGACATGCTGCCAGAGTGTCTTTTCCGCAGCCGCAGAGACAACTCCTGGGTCTGAAGTTGCGACTACATGGGTGATGAGGCTCAGACGACACCACAGTGCACCGGGAACAAAAGGTCTGGCACCGGACTTTACTCTTCCTAGATACTCGAGCAGCTCATCGACGCATAGGAGGAACGGCAGTCGCGAGTGAACTTCGTCTGGTGGAACAGAGAAATCCGCCTGCTTGACGATGCATGACAATGCTTGCACATACCCGGTGGCATCCTCGGACTTTGATGCGATGGGGGCAGCACATATCTCGATAAGACGAACGCGTTCCTCTGTAATATGCGGAGGTCGAATTCGCAGAAGGAGGTTTCCGAAAGTGATCAACAGTTCATCTTGCCTTGTAGGGGGAATGTCTGACTGATCGATTTTGGCCAGCAAGTGAATGCAGGTCTGGGTTGCTTCGTATTGACCATCTGTTGGAGTTCTCAGAAACTCTGCCATGAGCTCATGGAAAATGTGTTCGGCTTCTTTGGTAAATCGCGAGAGTGGGAGATCACGAAACTTGTTGCGGAAGTATTTCTTGGCAAGAGAGGGCAAATAGGTTGAAAGGGATCGAAGCGTTCTCGTAGCGCTTTGTGATTCATCCGGCTGTTGGATGTTGAATGACACGCTCCAAACCATGTCCGCAATGTGTTTGGTAAGCTTGCCTGTGGTGGCCATAAACACAAGGATGGGTAGAGTTCTGCCGATCAATGTGGCATGCGACTGAGGCCCCCAAAGGTAGCCCAGAACGTCCTTTGCCAGGATGAACCTGGCCGTGTAGTCTTGCTCTAGCTGATGGTAGCCTGGTTCAAATTTTCGCAGATTCGTGTGTGTGTCCCAAACAACGACACCCAAGTGGTCCGTCGCGCGGTTGCGCAGCTCCATGCTGCTGCTTCGCATAAGAGCGTTTAGGAAGTTCAAGGAGCATGCAAGGAGTGCTACATCGAGCACGTCCTCTGTAACTAGAGAAATCCTGATGCTGTCGTGGACTTCTTGACCATCTGAAGCAGCAGAGGCACTGTCCTTCAATGAATCCAGTAGTTGTCCCCGAGTGATCTGATGTTCCACAATTTCCTTCATGACCATGTCGTAAACAGCGTCTGCAGAAAGATGCTTTGTGCGATACAGAATGCGTAGCATATCCCTCAGGCACATATGAAAGTGCTCAACGATGCGTTGTGAGTGCTCGTCGAGATGTTGCTTGGGCAGGTTCTGAGTTGTCATAGTATAGATAATTTCGAACAACCTGGTCGATTTGCTGAAGAACAGCGTGAGCTCGCCGCCAGCGTTGGTAGAATTGCCAAGTAGAACCTGATGACAGAGATTGACGTAAGGATGGGCTGTGCTGAAAGGCGACATGATGTTATGCGACCTTGAGGCAATGAGCTCGACGAGTGTGAGGATAGCATCCGTAGCATAGTTTTGAAAGCGCTCGGTGGTTCTCTTTGCNATAGACTTGACATTGAAGTGATAGGCCGACGACATGGGTTCGAGGAACTCCTTCGAAAGGATAGCAATGTTTAGGAAAGTATTCACCCAGTAGGTGAATTTTAGTGAGTGCTTCGGCGAATTGTCCGAGGTAGGAGAGCTTGTCGAGTCTCTGCGGGCCTCGCGCTGCTTCAGAATAGCTACATCGGTATGCAGAAGCCTCTCACCCAATCTGAGAAGTTTGTCGAGTAATTTCTCAAAGTAGCCGTAAGCTGCACCTGGGGTAAGGGCCTCATCAGAGCTCAGAGAGCTGAATTAAGTCAGAAGATGAATGAATGCAAAGGGGCAAGTTGAGACTTACCAACGTCCGGCCAGTCCTCGGAAGCAAGAGACTACATGGTTCCAGAAAACAGCATTATCTGAATACAGATCGAACATCGCGGACGAGGTTGTATCATGTTTCAGAGCAGCATCAAACTCGTCGTCGGTTTCGCGCAAGTGATGATCAAGCCAAGTAACGAGGCTATGTATTTCCAATGCCGCAGGAGCTTTTCACATGGTCAGCAAGCACCAGAGGCCAAGTCATCGAGAAAACTTACCATTCTTGCGGTGACAATGTTCCGCAAATCTGGTGGCAGCGCTCTCAGGGGTGTCGTCTTGATCGGCCAGGAATGGGAAGTTACTGAGATATACGTCGCTAGTCATTTCGTCTCCAGTCATGATGATGGAGATTTCGGATGGATCAGTAGACTGCTCTTGAGGCAGTTCGAGGATAGTTGGGCTTCCAGAAGATGCCCCGTTTGTGTGAGGTGGAGAGTCGGGCTCGTCGCTTAGGCGAGGTCGCTTGCGTGAATGTGAAGTGTCTGCATCGGCGACGTGGTCTCTACCAGGAAGCAATGAAGGTGACGGGCTTTGGTCGGTGTTGTCCGCTGGTGAGACAGGTGAAAGGTCCATAACGACCAGGTTATGAATGCTGACCGCGCGGCGTCATGAACCGGAGCTATAAATCTGTTTGGAATGTTTGGTGGCTGCGAGACATACAAAATCGCATGAATCAAGCTTTGCGATAGTGAGCGAGCACTAGGTTGACGTGCGAGATGCTGTGACACGCTGGCGGAAGAAGGCTCCAAGCAGCAAACGCCAAAACGCAATCTGGAAAGACGCGTGGGAATAAGCTCACAGTGCTTCAGATGGGGAGTCGGGAGGTTTTGCAAGTAGATAATACTTGAGTGAGCTTGTCAGACAGTCTTCCTGCAGTATTCTAGACGAACATGTCTAGGTCTGTTCTTGGTTTTGAGATCAACCTCAGTCTGGCCTCGTTCAGCAGACGCGACTTTCACAAAGTGGAAAGTGCAAAGCTCAAATATTACCTCATTGGCCCGCACCACGGCAGGTATAAGCGAAGTTTGGCCGCGCTCGGCTAACCTTGCTGAGGTTTGGAAAGTTGCTTGCTCTTGAACATCCAATGTATCAATCGTTCTTATCCATCAACCAGAAATTTTCGCAACATGGCCAGCACTAAGGCGAAGCCTGGAAGACCCGTCATCAAGGCCGATACGACTCTCAAAAGTCCACTGATGTTTGTAATTCTTTGTCCTTCATGTATAGATGCGCAAGCTGATGCAGAACAGANNCCTGAGCTGAGCAAAGACAAGAGCCAAGTCATCCTCGGTCTGTTAAACAGGTAAGGCATAAAACATCCACTGGCTCGGAATCAGCAGGCTTATGTTCGGCNNAGTCTCTTGGAACCAATTGGAAGGCATCGGGCTGCGCATACTAAGAAATCCTCGGGTAAACAATCCAAAAAGCGCAAGAGGACGTCTGAGAATGATCCAAGCCCGGCTGTTGAACAACGTCCTTCAGAGCCGGAGATTCTGAGACATCTGACTGTTGGTCTGAACACGACAAGTCGCCATCTGGAAAACGAGGCTGCTTTGTCAAAACCTGGAGCACTGCCCACCGCGGACAAGGAAATCAAAGCAGAAGAGCAAACGATCGGCAAACATCTGGCCGCTGTGTTTCTCCCGAAGCCAAAGGATCACTTAGTATATGCGCATCTGCCTTTGTTGTGTTATACATCCTCGTGCGCACACAAGGACAAGGCACAGAGCACACGTTTGGTTCTCTTGGACCCTTCATGTGAACGTGCAATCGCCACAGCAATGGGCCTCCCTCGGGCTGGTGTAATCGGAGTGTTTGGCGACGCACCAGGTGCTGCACCTCTCTTGGAGTACGTACGAGACAACGTAGTTCCCGTCGAAGTTCCATGGTTGGAGAAAGTGCTTTCTGGTCAATGGATGGGCATCAATGTTGAAACTCATGTATCTGGTCAAGTCTGAAGGTCTCCTGCATGCTTATAAGTTCGGATTTCCATCAGGATAGCCTCATAGGCACTTTGGTCGAAGTTGAGAGATCGATACAAGTCAGGACTAGGGAAGGTCAAGATTGCGTCCATCGTTGAGAGGTTGAGAGTGCTCAAAGAGCTCACTCACCGTGCGTTAAGCTGCGTCGGGTCAACGTTCACACAGCACGCTTCGTGTGTACATGGCAGGCTCTGCGCAGCCCTTTGCTGGTCTGACTGAGGCACGTCAGCGTTTTACTCCCGAGGTGGCTGTCTCTAAGGGGCGGTTCGATGTGGTAAAGATAGACCAGAGTAAAGGCTTCGAATTCTTCAAGATGGTGTAAGGGTTTCTCGTTGCTTGTCAGTTTTGAGCAATCGCGAATAGCCTTCAGCAGCCTCTACCAAGAACCGAAGGCGCCGTGCGGCCCTAGCTCCTTGTAGATCTACACCTATCACTTCGCATACCATCAACTGGCCGTTTGGCAATTGATATGCCATGGATAGCGATGAAGAAGAAAGTTATAGCCGATTATGTACATCAGTAGCACCCAAATACGTCGACAATGCTATGGCTACAGATCAGAGTTATTGCCTGGCTTCATATCATGCAATCAACTTCTTAGCTACCTGAGCATTGAAAACTTCCTCCTACTCATACCGATCAAAATGCCTGCTTATCGATATCCATGAACCCGCAAGCATTCAGGGCGATACAATCTCACTTTCCCATGTAGATATCCACCACAGTTACCGCTATAAAAATGCACAATAGTTTACAGAACTCAAGAATGTCCACTGAGAAGCCTCACTACAGATAGATCTCTCTGGACACATCTGTAATCTCGAAACTTTCATGCATTTTTATAGTCAGGATGGTTGCACCTCTTCGCCGTGGGAGCACGAATATGTGGTCATGTTCGAGCTCTCTCACGATGGCATGCATGCATATTGAACCTTATAAAAATGCACAATACATTCTCAAAACGAGCAGTGTCCACTGAGCGACCTTGTCCCTCGAAGCTCTCTCTGGACACATCTCTGATTCTGACACATTCGTACATTATTATGGACAGTAATGTGGCCTCGAGTTGTCGTGAGAGTGGTTGATAGTAGGATGTGGTAGAGTAGCCCAATGGAATTGTGGATGGATTGAGGTTCGACGTCTCTCATATCAACCTCTGGTATCATCTCTGCTCTGTCGAAATACACGATCTTATTCTCCATCGAGAGCATTTCCACAGAAACCCAAAGAGTCAACTGACTCTCTCTGGATACTGCTTCAATTCCGAATAGGATTGTGCATTTTTATAGTTGCAAAGAGGAAGTCATTCAGCGCTGGAGAAGCGAAAGTCAAAATGTGGGGAAATGCTGGATGAGCTTTGACCAACAGCGGGACTCTCGAACTGGGCGACTCTGATGCGACAGCACAACTGGACAAGTGGTGAAAGATCACATTTCCCTCACGACAACACACGGCGACAATGGCAGCAACACTAGCCTCGCTGCTGGGCCAAGCGTCCATCACCGACCACGACCAGGTCCTCAGCGCATGCGAATCCACCCTTCTCAAATCCAAGAACGACCTCCAAGCACTACAAGTCAAGATTGTCGCTCTATTGAACCTGGACCGCTTTCAAGATGCCATTGCTACCGTTGAGGCTGGTGGAGAGGAGATTAAGCAGAGAGCGCGATTGGAATATGCTTATGCGCTGTACAAGAATGGTCAACCCGCAAAGGCCGCAGAGGTCGCAAGACAGGACAGCAATGAGTCGGACAGAGGATTGAGACACGTTGAAGCCCAGGCTGTATGTTGCAATGAGTAGAAAGAGAGGGCGCAACTGACATGCACCCAGAGCTACAGACACCAGGACTTTGAGCGGGCAGCCGAGCTATACCGCAAGCTTTCGGCACAAAGAGGAGCAGTCGACAATGAAGACATGGATCTACGCATCAACACTGGCGCCACGTATGCGCAACTGGAATGGGCTGGTCGTGCATCGGCAGACGCGCCGCAGAAGCCTGCGAGAGAGGACATGGAGGCTTTCGAGACTGCCTACAACGCTGCTTGCCAGAGCATTGCGCGTGACGAGCTGGGACAGGCAGAGGTCTTGTTGAGAAGAGCAAAGGAACTGTGCGAAGCCTCGGAGATGGATCAGGAAGAGAAGGACGCCGAAATTGTGCCCATTTCCATCCAGCAGCTCTATGTCTTGATTCGTCAAGGCAGGCTAGAGGATGCACAGGCTCTTGCTGCCACCATTGACTCCAAGGAGTATGCGCCTCTTATGCATGAGTCTATGACCAAAGGACTAATTTGTTGTGCAGTGNTTCACGCCTTCCACGATTCGTCCACTCAGTTCATTGCTCAGACAAACACAGCGGCCACTTCAACAGAAACTACCAACCCCTACCTCACCCACCGCACCCTGTACAAGGCCCCTTCAACCATCCTCCCCGACAAGCCTTTCACCTACCAAAGCGCCGCCATCCAACGAAACAACTACACTCTCGACCTGCTCGCCCACAAATACGACGGCATCATCAGATCAACTGCATCTCTCGCTCAAACACCCACCCTCGACTCTGCCACCGTATCTCTGTCTGCCTTTGGTGCCGCCGCCCATGCTCATAATCAAGCCGGAAAGGAAGCCCTGAAGTCTGTTCTACCAGTCTTGGAACGCAGACCCAACGATATCGGTCTGCTTCTCGTATGCATGCAACTCTACATCCACTCTTCCAACCCCGCCGCCGCAATTTCCTTGCTCGAGAACTTCTTTGCTCGCTTGTCTTCGTCTTCAGAAGCTTCTGCGCAAGATGTGCGTTATGCCCCTGGTTTGATCGGTGTTTTGGTTTCCCTCTACACTTCCCGTGGTCAGCAAAGCCATGCCCGGGCAGAATTGGCTAAGGCAGCAAGCTACTGGCGTCAACATTCCGACCCACCCGTTTCGTCACGAGCGCTGGGTCATCTGTACAAATCCGCCGGTGCTGCTTTGCTTGAGAGTTCTGTACCTGCTGACCAGCAACTCGCTGCCGAGCTGTTTACTCTCTTGCACGAGCAGGATACTTCAGATCGCTATGCGTCCGCTGGTCTAGTAGCTGCTCTTGCCCGCGCAAACCCTTCTGCCATCGATGAGGAAAAGCTGTCGGCTTTGACACCCGTCGACCGCCTCGTCAGCGGCATCGACATCTCCGCCCTCGAAGCCGCCGGCGTAGCAAAATCCACCNCCTACCACTGCTACCAGTACATCCACAAAGCGCTCCGCCCCCACTGACTCCACCCCCGCCACAAAACCCAAACCCAAGAAACTCAAAAGAGCAAAACGCCAAAGGACTTTGACCCTGCCAAAAAGATGGATCCAGAGAGATGGTTGCCTATCAAGGATAGAAGTTCTTACAGGCCTAAGGGCAAAAAGGGCAAAGCTAGACAGGCAATGTTTATGCAGGGAGGAGCTGTGGCTGAGGATAGTGGTGCTGGCTCTGGAGCTTCGACGCCTGCTGCTCAAGTTGTAGAAGGCAAAAGCGCGAATAAGAAAAGCAAGAAGAAGGGCAAGGGAGGGAAGTGGTAGATCCCACTGTCTCAAGCAGGGAAAGCAAGAAGAGCAAACAAGGGTGTGTAGAGTATTCACATGCCTTTTGTGTATAAAACATGAAACCAAAAAGTCGGAAACTATCTATCTATATCAACGATGATATTCGCAAAACAAGTTTTGCTTCTTGCTTTCTTCTTTCACGCTCTACGGCTTCTGTGTCTATCCTCTGTCACTTTACAAGAGTATCTATCGATGGGTGGATACTTCTTCCCTTTTGAATGTAATGTAATATCGCTTCTCTCCCACCTTATCAAAGCATCTATTTCTCAAAGCACCAAAGCAAAAAAAAAAAAAAGAAAAAAAAGGACACAACCTAGTAAACAAGAATATCAAAAGAAAAAAAAAAAAAAGAAGCGAACGAAGAACAAGATAAAAGTGTCTAGTTACATACCAAACACTTTTCATCAGCAGCCCAAACGTCTTTGTAAAGGCAGATTCAAAAGAGGGGATCAAGATCAGAGCCTCGTATCAATATAGCCACATCTTCAACCAGTGTCTAATCTGTTTTCCATCACTATCCTTATATACATGAGCAGATATCCCAAATAGCAAACAGCTCGGTTAGATAACCTTGTAGGGTTGGTTGCTAGAGAAATCGCAAGTAAGATGCAAAGAGCTGGGAAAGAGTCAAAAGCTATTCTACTCCTTTTCCTGCTCCTTGTGGCATGCATATCCTCGCACCTGGAAAAACAAGGGTAGCGACTGCAAGAAGATGACTTTTGTATTGGAGCTCGCTCATCGAATACAAAGACAAAAAAAAAGTGTAAGCCAGACAAGGGCAGCAGTGCCAGCGAAACCAAAGGTGTCTGGATGGATAAAATCTGTCCTTGTCAGCAGAGATGGAACCAAAAGGGCATATGCAACGAGTGAACTGTTCGATGCAACTCTTTTCGTTGTCATCTTACTGGCTCTGAAACTCTGCATCTCAGGTTTGGCTCAGTTGAGGGAATTGAGAAAGTATGACTTTGTTGCAAGCCAAGCACCTCTGAGTATAGCAAGGGAAAGATGGAGATGATGGGTTTGAACAAGAAAAAATGCTTCCATGGTATTTGAGATGGGTTGGGGTGTTTCAAAAGAAAAAACAAGGATGAAAGAAGAGGCCTCTGTTCCAAGACCAATTCAACACCCTTCCTGCTATGCATCCCGCCCTTTTACTCCCCCCTCTCTCCTATAATAAATTAACAACAACTCCCATCCCTTAAAAGACCCCCTTCACTCTACAGAGAACACATGTTTAGTTCTTCTCGTAGTAGAAGTTCTCCTCGGGGATACGGCCACGAAGGTACTCGGGCTCGGAGCCGCGGACGTAAATGTCCTCGAACAGGATCTTGGGGGTGGCGTCGGGGCGGGCATGGCCTCGGCCNTCCTTGACCTCGGCGTCGACGCTCTCGCGTGCTTGCTTGTCGATGCTCTTGAGCTCCGACTCGGTGGCGACTTCCCAGTCGAGAATCTTTTGCTTGAGGCCGGCGATGGGGTCTTGGGTGCTGCGCATGCGCTGGATCTCCTCACGGGTCNNTGGTTGGGTTTTGCGTGTTAGTAGAGGAATAGCAACGGTGGGAAGGGAGAAGAAGAGGGAAACACTCACTCTGTAGGTGGTACCGGGGTCGGACATGGAGTGACCTCCGTATCTGTAGGTGACGAATTCGTAGACGAGAGGACCGTTGCCCTCGGCGGCCCACTGCTTGCCGAATGCGACGGCTTGCTTGCAGGCAAGGACGTCCATACCGTTGATCTTGAGACCGGGGATGTACTGACCACGCTTGTAGTACTCGGTGATGGCAGACGAGCGGTTGGCAGCGGTACCCATACCGTACTTGTTGTCNTAGAAAATCGAAAGTCAGTAAACGGCAATCGCATAAGAGGTGTGTTGATGGTGTAACTCACTCTCGCAAGCAAAGATGACGGGGAGGTTCCACAGCTTGGCCATGTTGTAGGCCTCGAAGACCTGACCCTGGTTGGAAGCACCGTCACCGTAGAGGGAGATGGAAACGTTCTTCTTGCCCTGGTAGTGGTCGGCAAAGGCGAGACCAGCACCGACGGGGACCTGAGCACCGACGATACCGTTACCGCCGTAGAAGCCCTTGGTGAACATGTGCATGGAACCACCCTTTCCGTAGGCGATACCCTCTCTTCTGCCGAGCAGCTCACCGATGATGGACTTGACCGAGGCGCCGCGCATCATGGCGAAACCGTGGCAGCGGTAGGCGGTAATGACAGAGTCCTCCTTGGTGATACCGTGCTCGATACCGACGGCAACGGCCTCCTGACCGGTCGACAAGTGGCAGAAACCGCGGATCTTCTTCTCCTTGTACAGTCTGTCGGCGGCCATCTCCATGCGGCGCATGGCGACCATGTCGTAGTACATTTGCTTCAGCTCCTTCTTGGTGGTCTTGAGGGTGAATGAAGGAGGGTCGAGCTCGTAGGTCTCGAAGCTCTCGTCGGACAGCTTGACCTCGAAGGTCTTGTCATCCTCCTGCGATGTGCGGTTAGCCGTCTGGCCAATTGATGCTTCTCGACTTCAAGTGTTGCATACGCTGGGGACATCGTCCTTCTCGGCGTGGGCGCTGGCGGCGTCGGTGGTGACGGTTCTCAGCACTTGAGGAGCGACACGGGTGGGCTGGAAGGCAGCACGTCTAACCGACGAGGTGAAAGACCTCGGCGCAAATCTGGACAGCATGACTGGAGGGTTGTGAGGAGAAGAGGGTGTCGAGGGAGAGTGAGCGGACAACTTCTGGTCAAGTCGTCTGTTGGGACTTGAGCTGCAACAATCCACGAAGTTTCTACGGACTCCGATTTCTTGCCGCCGAGACTTGCTACAGACCGCTCCGCATCTCTCTTATCCAGCGCCTTCCGAGCATTTACTTTCGCATCTTCTCTGTCGCGTAAACACATCTTACAGCAATTGAATGATAGATTCTCTGCGAGATGGATATTTGGATTACCTTGTCATCTGCTGAAACCACTTTTGATGCAGCCGCCCCATCTTGGCTGGTCGCGCTCTTGTGTATCTCATCTCGGACACGAACTCGCGCTCCATAAGAAGCCCGGAACGTTTGCTATCACTACTCCTGCACTCGGCCCGGACCCTGTAGCCAAGCTTCAATCCCGATAAACATTCTACTGCTCACCCCTTCTCGTACCATCCTGCCCCCGTATAAGCAAACGTGTGTTGACTTTCTGTCAACTGATGACCACGCTTGCCTCAATTGTTCTGGGAGGGCCAAATTGTCTTGCCGTCTGAAACATGTGAGAACGCGGTCGTGATCATCTCTTGCTTCTCGCATGCCTCGACTCGAGACTTGTTTTCGCACCTTCGGGTTCTGATTCGCTAGCAATGGTCCAAAGCACATGTAACAAACCAACTACTTGCACATTCGTCTGTCAAGTCATACAATTGTAAACGCCAGTTATGATGTGCAAAACTACAACCGAACTACAGCGGTAGTGGTCAGCAGAAGAGCTGCCGGCATCGTGCTTTTGATCATGCTCTCGGAGTTCACGTACAAGAACGGCTTCCATGAGAGCCTTGCAACACGGTTCGAGTGAGTAGCGAGAACGTGTTGATCTGATAGACCGTGGTCTGGCTCGTATATCAAGTGTCTGACGATTTATGACGGCGGGTGAATGAGGATATGCCAGTTCTAACGGTGCTCTTGTTCGTGAAGTCCACTCCTGGCCATTCCCTTTCTCATAGCCATCTTTGTGACCCGGCGATTGTGACTGGCAGTCAATTCATCTCATACAAGACTCATCCTCATCGCAGTCAGCCGGATTGTCAGATATACCGAGTAGTGGTTAAGGTTGAGCAATCATAGGCGTCTTGTCTGCACCTGCCATGCTGAATTCGAAGAATGTTTCGAGAAGGCGCAATAATGCGAATACGTTCGGGTCCAAGCTCGTTTTTTCTCATCCAAGCCTCAATGCACACTCCCTAACCAACTCTTGAACCCTTTGCTCATTGGGCAAAAACAAGACTGCAACCTTCAACAACCTCCTCGCCTCGTACTTGTCGTCCATCTCTTTGAACGCCAAAGCCGTTCTGTAGTAGATCTTTCCCATTTGAGGTCCGGCTATCCATCCATTCGAAGCCTCATCCTCAGGATCCAGGTTCTCTCTTCCTCCCCTCATGATATGAATCGTGCGCATGCCAATATGCACCACCGTGACCCAATCTTTAAGATTAAGGTATGCAAGCAGTGTATTAGCCACAAGCCTCACTCTCAACACAATAGCCACCATCTGACCATGTTGACCCTCAAACGGCGGCGCAGTAAGAATAGTGTCAAAGTATGCTTCGCCGTGTATTTTGCGGGATCGGCCTTTGACGATGATGAACATTGCTTCCCAGGCTTTGCGGTAGTGTTCTAGTGCTTGGAGTGGTTGGTTCTCCATCAAGGCTACGTTTCCTGCGTCTTTGTGTTCGGTGGCGAGGAGCAGGCGTTCGTAGGGTGAGCCTAGTGGTATGGCCATTAATCTCTTCATCTCAGCGACAACAGCATCGTCGGGTTCAGGGACTCCTGTAACGTCCACCCGCATCAAATTCTTGATCCTGCCAAAAGGATGTAGAAGCCTCTCTTGCAATGTCTTAAGCACTTTNTGCTCTGCGAATGTACTGTCCAAGGGTGTAGTAGACAAGGGATCCCGTATCGTGAGTTGAAGCGTCAGGCTCTCGTTCAAAGGTGGATAATCCGCAGCCGAATAAAACCAACTATCGCAGAACTTGGGCAAGTCGTCGATGTGTATAATGAATGTATCTTCTTCTTCCTCTTCTTCGTCTCGCAAACTCATCGAGGGAAAGTCTATCAACACGGACAATCCATGTTGAGTAAAGTTGTCTGCGAGCGACTCTGTGGCCACGATGCCCACCCCATGTTCGGCGACCTGATACTTGGATTGCACAAACGGCGTGGTGATCTTGACAAAAGTATTTTGTTCGAGGAAGATACGGCGGGCTTCGTGATAGATCTGGCGGTTTGTACAGAGGAGGTTGTGGTGCGAGTATGTGTATGTTGTCCTGCCGTCGCTGGTGGTGTGTCTATTGGCCTCGGGTTCGAAAAGGTGTGTGTAGATGTGGTCGCGTATCTCGCGAGGAAGTTCCAGCAAACTCATGTTGATGGCAGGGAAATGGTTCTCGAGTAGCAATGGTAGAAATGGGAGGGAACAATACAAATTGGTTGGTCTTCTCAACTTGCTTGATTGATCGTCATTGTGCATGTGCCGAGGTGTTTCACAATTTACGAGCATGCAGGGCGACCCTGCCTGAAACAATCAGCATTTTATATCCTTCGACCACAAGTATTGAGTACTCGATATATACGAAGCAAATAACATTACAACACGATATGCGACAGAGTTCAGACCACAGTCTTCCACTTCGAACATCAGTGGTCGCTGTGCAGTGAAATCCACTCGTCCGTCTGGATTCATCACGCCAGCTTTCTATCTTTCCGTCGAGCTTGTTACGTCACTGCGTAACCTTTCTTTCGAAACATCTAAAACCGACAACGCATGAAGACAACAAAGTTGAGGTAGCAAACGATATATTTCTCTTTCAAGCTATACACAGAAAGACCACCCCGAAAAGATCACATAACTTTCGTACAACAAAACAGACTCATCCCACAAAATATACAAAAGGTATCATTACAATATTAAACACAAAGAGGTTTTTTTTCTTTTCTGCTTCAAGTTAAAAGCAAAGAAGAGCTCAGAGTCATCAAGACGTTTAGAGAGCAAGGGCACCAAGGGCCAAAAGACCGTAGGGGATGGCAGAGGCCATGGCACCACCGGTGGAGGTAGGAGCAGCAGAGGAAGCAGAGCTGCTGGCCTTGGAAGCAGCCGAGCTCATCGACTTGGAGGCGCTGGAGGCAGCAGAGGAAGCAGAGCTCGAGGCAGACGAGGCTGAAGAAGAGGCGGAGCCAGATGCCTTGGAGGCAGATGATGAGGCAGAGGACTCGGAAGCAGATGCTGAGCTGCTGGCCTTGGAGGCAGACGAGTTGGCGCTCGAGATGCCTGACGAGGCGGCCGATGAGGCAGATGCAGACTGGCTGATGTACGAGGTCGACGAGGCGACGGTGTTTGTGCTGTCAATGACGAACTGGGAGCTGTAGTTGTTCTTGGTGGGGTCCTGGTCGTCGACAATCTCAAGAGCGTAGTCGGAACCGCGGGTAATGTCGTCGGGGACAGACCAGGTGTAGCTGCCAGAGTTGGAGATACCCTCTGCGAGATCGTTAGCATTTGCTCTGTGGTTGCATGCTGTGAGCTTGGGAACACTTACGAGCAACGTAGACTCCAGGGGTCAGGTTGTTGTTGGCGCCAGAGCGAAGGATGAGAGAGACGGTGCCACCAGTGGTAGGGGTCCACTTGATTGTGTAGTCCTTTCCAGCAGTAATGCCATTCCAGTCAGAGTTGGTGAAGCCGTTGTCGCTGGCGGCAAGAGCCAACAGAGGAGAGGCCAGGAGGGCAATGAGGGTCTGGGTAGAGAAACGCATTTTGTTTTGTGTGATGTGGTTGTTCTTTGGAAAGAGCGGTAAAAGGTTCAAAGAATGGTATGCAAGCAGAAGGAAGTGGAATTCGTTGCAGAAGGAGGTGAAGAGGGAAAAGAGCAAGGCACGGTGGACCTAGCCTTTATTCAATTTAAGATGACGGTGGTCCGCCATCTCATGAGTCCAGAAGCTAATAGGGAGGCAGCAGGGCATAGGCAGGCGAACAACCCACACCTCTAAACATGGCGCCGTTTGACACCACGACGGCGCGCGGAGGCTCCCAAAAGTCTCCTTATTACACGCCTTCCCGCGCTAGTCGAGCTTGCCCAGCTTACCATCTGTAGTTTTCGTTTGTCCCTTTTTCCCTTTTCTGGATGCTAATCCACATGGTGATGGCTCCGTTGCCACGGTGGTTGTCTAAACTCAATACCACTTTGACTCGCCTGGCCACGCCTGAGGAAATGGTGACAGCCATTCTTTGCGTGGAAGCGAAAACGCCGCACCAGGCCAGCAAGCAGAATGGCAAGCGAGATTTCGCCCAGCCGGCTCTGCAACTCGATCAAGGGCGGAAATTATGCAATAGATCTGATGCTCGATGACTCTGGGCAGAGCTCTCTCTGGGGAAAGCAAAACGATCGCCAGTCGCCGCTGCTCGGTCGCTGGGTCTAAACCGTTGCAAGCGCGTTTGGGACAAGGACAAGAAGACCCCTGGTTGCTTAGCATGACATCGGTCTGCCCAACCGTGACTTCTCTACGACGACCGACGTACCTTTTCGTGGTACAAGAATAACTCATCTTACATCCTGCATGTACTTCAGCTCGAGCAGCTCATTACAGCTCACATACGAAGAGCAGTTCGGCTAGAGACAGTATGGAAAAGACGAAATGATTCATGGGCTGCTGCGAACCAGACGGATCTGGGCAAAGAAGAGAAACGCACTGACCTTCGGCCCGGCTGCTGCAGGAACAAAGCTCAAAATAGATTGCTGGGGGCAATTTTACTTCCGCTCGTTCGCACAAGCGCGGAAAAAGAGTGTTCACGTGCTGCGCTCCATGCAGGAGGTACTGAATCCTTCGACGGCGACGGCAAGGGAAGTGAGTGATGGCTTCTGAATGATTGCTTCATCAGGATATGCTGCGCCTCTGGTGGTTACAACCATGAGTCAACTGTAGAGCCAAACGCTGTCGATCTTGTAGGTCTCGATCTCAGCATGGTCTTGAGATTGTGAAGGGAGTAAGGTAACTTAGCACACAGGATATGCATTCAAAGAATGGTAGGCATTAGACATTTGTACGTAAGGTGTATTTCTTTACCACAGTTCCATACCATTGTCACCGGAACAGCAGACACAAGAAGTTCCCAAGTGCGTTCACTGGAAAAGAAGACTGCAGCGACACCGAACAGTGCGAGGACAGGAGTGCTGGCTTGGGCCATGGCTGCTGCGGCGCCGGTACTTGAAGCGCTTGCTGATGTTGAGGCCGACGAGCCACGAGCTGATGTTCCCGAGCTCGAAGTCACGACCGAAGTGACGGTGCTTCTTGATCCACTTGAAGAGGGAGAAGTCAGAGTTGGCGAGACAATGGTCGTGTTACGAACGACAGGCGAACCGGTTCCGATGCTTGGTACAACGATGATGGCGGTAGTGTTGGTAGGAGGGTTAGGAGGTGAGGTTTGGATGGAGACGACCGCAGTCAGATTGGTCAGTGACGAGTTGTAGCTGGCGATGACAGACTCGATGCTCGAGACGGCCGAGGCTGTCAACGACGATGCGGCTGCTTGGGAAGACGAGCTTGCTGACTTGGCTGAAGACACAGCGGCGGCGTTACCGCCAGTGAGGGTGATCATTCCAGAGTAATTGATCTCATAGCCTTGGGAAATCTGGAGAGCGTAGTTGCTGGCATTGTCAAGTGACCTGTCAGGGGATCCAAGTGTAGCTGCCGTTCAGAGCGTTGTCTTTGGTATGTCAGCACAGTGGTTTAGCCTCGTACTACGACCTGTAAACTTACTAGTCAAAGTCGAGACGTCCTGCAGATCAGAAGGGTCGGCCTTTCTCAGCCTGATGGTTGCAGGCTTGTCTTCATTAGCACACAGCTCAAAGGTCACAGCTTGCCATCTTTCTTACCTGGTTCAGATTTTGTGCTGTGTACTGGATCGTGACTGGTTGACCTGCAGTGACTTGGGTAGGCGTTCTTGTGAATGCTAGGCGTGGAGCCTGAGCAACGACAAGGCTCGCAAGTGCAAACGCACCGACGACAGCGGACTTGAAGAGGTGCATGGCGAACACGGATTGTCTTCGACGAGATGAATAGGATCAGGGTTTGGATGGTGAAAAATGGAGGATACGCAGGCGGTTTGACAGGAGGTGGGTTGAGCAAAGAAGACGAAGACACAAGCAAACGATGGAAGTCCTTGAAGACGATCGACTTGGAGTATCAGGGAAGGAGCAGGGGAAGCACCTACCTGTTATATAGACACTCATCCTTATAACACCCCTCGATCGACCGAGCAACGAACCCATCACCTTACGAACTGCACTATCGATTTTCCATCCACCTTGCATATGATCACGCGATCTTGAAGGAGAAACTGCATGCATTGCAGTAAGGGTAGTTTTGACCTGCGCCATGGCTTGAGAGTGCGTGAAGCAACTCTGCAAACACAAGTCACCTACTCAAAAGAAGCAGAGTCGAGTCGCACAGTTTCATGTTTCAACTAACGTTGTGTCACGTACGGAAAATGTTGCATGGATTGAGGAGGTTGCGGAGATTGCAGAGGAGTAGAGATGCAGCCAAGCTCGGCTGTCCAGCCTGTCAAGTTGCTCGTATTGGCAAGAGACAAGTAGTTCTTGGTAGATTCTCTGCACGTCAATATACGAGATGAGGTACAAGATCATCGACCGTCAACTCCTTCTCGTGACTTGTCGAGTCTTGAGATGAGTCGCTTGACCCCGAACCAATCTTCACCTTTGTTGCTACCCTCCAGTCCACCAAGGTCGTTGCCTACTTCGAAGACTGTCGCAATGCCATCAAGACCACCCACAGCTACTCGCTTGCCTTCATTGTGTTCCCAAGCAAGTCTGTTCAAACTTTTGACACCAAATACATCGCCTTGGGTGTGGCTCGGCTGTGCGCGCGCGACAGGGACTTCGACATCGACATTAATATCGAAGACTTCTAATCTTCCTGCACCATCAACACAACCAAAGACACCAGGTTTTGTGGGCGACCATTTGACATCGTAGATAACATCTTCGCGCATGATCTCTAGAAGAGGCTTTTCGGGTGCTCCAGAAGCTGTGCCTACTCCAGCAGTAGTAACAGCTGTGCTCGGAGGCTTGACACGCCAGATCTTGACACTCCAATCCAGAGAAGAACTAATGGCCAAATCGCCGAGGTCGACCTTTCCTTTGCTAGGATGGAAGTCGAGGCCAGTAACAGGGGCGGCATGGCCAGTGTAATACACACGAGGATCAACGCCAGCCTTTGCACCAGCACGGTCGTATCTGTGGACCGGCACGATGGCTCCCTCTTCAGTACCAGCCAGGAAGTAAGTGGGATCTGCCTTGGGGAAACTGATACACGATGGAGCGATGTCCTCGGTACGGTTGCGTCCTATGGGCGAGATGAGCTCAAGATATTCTTGCGGTTTTGATAGCATGTCGAACGACCAAGCGCATGTTGTACCGTCGGTGCTAACACTGACAATACTGCTGGCGTTTTGAGTACCGACTACTGCAACACTGTAGATAGGGTGGGCATGGCCTCCTTTCTCGCCAGCCAGAGGTGTACGTTGCACTGGTGCCCCGTCGTGTGAGCGGTGGCGGATATCCCAGAGACACACTTGGCCAGAGTATGTACCACCCAGTACTAGACTGGGATGGTAAGGTGAGAAACGAGCAGTTAGAATATCGCTCGTCGCAGTAAAGACGTATTCTGGTTGAGACGGCATATGCGCGTTCCAGACAAGAGCCAAGCCAGGAGCACTTTGTGAGGAATTGGAGGCTTTTGTGTATGAAGCCAGCAACAATTCAGGATACTTGACAGAATAGTCAAGGTCACTGATCATGCGGCGTTTTGTCCAGCGGTCGTCTTGGAACTGCATCAACTCGCGTACACGACGGCCTCTAGTGGTGCGTGTTTGGCCATCCTCTTCGTCGTCGTCCAGACCATTGGCACCACGCATAGCATAGTCGGCAAGAACATCATATTCTTCATCCAACGCTCTCTCGATGACCTTTGTAGAACGGTCGATGAAATCCAGAAAGTCGTCGGAAGCAGTGACAGCGCCCAGCTCTTCGTGTGTCAAGGTGCGTGCAGGGAAGTTTTGCTTGCCGTTTGTTGTAGCAGCATCCTCAGACAGCTTGAGAGCCTGCAATTCGTCCTCAATCTCCTTGCGAATGTTCTGTCTCAACTCCTCATCTCTTTCGCGCTCTCTTCTGCTCAAACGTTTCCTTGTCCTCGAGGAAGAATAGCTCGACTCATCATCTGAGGGTTGGCGATTTTGTTGGGGTGACCAGGGCTCACTGGTTTGTACACCCTTACTGTATGTAATGACGTCTGGCTTGGGATCTGAAGGCTGGTTCAGGACGGTTGAGACAGCGGTGAAAGAGAGAGTCTGGTTGGCAATGGAGAGAGGAGCGGGAGTTGAAGCGGCAGAAGGGCTATCGAGCGAGATGGAGTTGGGACGACTTGCGCCAACATTGGCAGAGGTGGTAGGAGAATCCTGATCGCGAGGAGTGGAACGGCCAGGGCGGTCGACAAGCGTGGAGATTAGCTGGTCCAGGTCTGCGCGGCTGTTAGCACGCGAGGGCGAGGGAGAGATGAGNCTGGTGGTGTCAGTGTCAGTGGTGGACGTACCTTGATGTGCCCTTCTTCAACGTACCTCTGCTGCATCTCCACTCTCGCGGGCTGATGTGAACTCCTTTTGACGCAGAGCACGCTGTCTCTTGAGTTCGGCGAGTTTGGCGCGCTTAGCCAAAATCTCCTGCTTGCGAGCTTCCAGAGACGAGGACGAAGAAGACATGGTTGGGTGTGATCAGGCGGTGAGTTGTTTATGCGTGTCAGGAGCTGTTTCGAAGGTTGACATGGAGGTGCAACAGGCCAGCTGAGCACAGAACAGCTGAAGCCTGACACGGAGAATCCAGCAAACAGAGTTGGCGCAAGAGCGAGCGTGAGTTGAATTGGAAGACGGATGTTTGTAATTGTTGTTCTACCCTTGGGAGTATGCGATCGGGGGACGGAAGAAACCGCTTGGCTGGCCGCGCATGAGCGAACGTCGGCCAGCTTTCGTGAGCAGCAGCGACAGCGACCGCATCGTCTCAATCACTCAATTGCCCGTGCCCTGCCTGTCACCTTCGTCGTCCCGGTCCTTGACAGCCTTTTCTTGACCTCGTCTACCTCACATCAATCCGTCACAATGTCTTCGTCCGGTGTCAACGTACGCGCACCCCGTGTCTCAACTTCTTTTCGCTTCATGCTCGGACGCTGATGGATAACCTTACAGGTCCTCCGCTGGTCAGCCCTTGGCCTCGGTGTCGCATACGGCTTCTACCACCAACAAACCATCAATGCTGCCGACAAGCTCCGCGAGAACCAGAAGGAGTACGAGCGCAAGCAGGCTCTCATCAACCAGGCCCGTCAAGAGTACCAGAAGAAGAATGCTCCCGCCAACAAGTCGGGTGGTATGTCGCCTCGTATCCATCACTCATATCGAACAACTCGCTCACTCATCTCCTCCANNGTTGTTTCCGACCCCAGCGACCCCAAGTTCGACCTGGAATCTTACCTCAAGTCGGTTCAATAGACATCTCACCTTGCATATTCTCTCATAGACCCGGCCATATCTCCTTACCACCATCACAAGAGGAGGATGTCTGTTTTTCTTAATTCCGACAACAAAATGCGATCTTACTTATGCCCCCCGACTCGAAATGACCACCGCCCCACGTGCCACCCGATCCATCGACACACGACCCAAGCCAGGAAGAAGAAACAGTCCATCTCCAGTCGCGCAATCTCCTCCGTCCCGTCAAGGCCGGTATCTTGGTCACCTGTGTCGAGACATGACAACTGTGGCTTCTGAATCTTGTCTCCGTACTACTTGTTTTCTCTCAAAGTGTATCTACTGTAAAAATAGGCTGCGCTTTTACCGCCTGCGGCTTTGTTAGCAGGTATAGACGAAAGTTTTGATTTCTCCATCTTGATAATCGCCAAATGACCAGAACGTGGTAAGAAGCTAAGCATTGTCAGGTCGTCCTTGCTCGATCTGAGCGTAATTAGTCTAGAGACACGAGACTGAAAGTTGATTGTACATAAGGAAGTTACTACCCATGACATCTGCGGAAAGAGCACATGCAAGGACCTTGAATATCCCCATCTTCTTGACCAGTCAATCCCATTCAATCCCATCAACCATACTCTCAAGCACTTTTATCACCCTTCCATCAACACAGTTGCATCACATCCCACAATCCATCCTCACTTTCAGCATGTTTTCGTCTATCCTCCTGCAGCTACTTCTGACTGTCAGCTACACTGCCTCGAGTCCTATCCAAAGACGAGCACTCTCCCAAAACGACATTATCGGTCTTCAAGTCGCCAGCTACCTCGAAAACCTGGAGCTGAGCTTGTACACGGATGGCTGTGAGCATATCACTGATGCGCAGTGGCTTGCTGCTGGCTCCCCATCCACCTTCCAGAATGATGTTTGTACTATTGCCGAAGTGAGTTTGCGTCAGCGCCAGCGTTATTTGATTGCTGACACGGCACCCTAGCAACAACAAAACCAGACAGGCTACATCTCGTCGACGCTCGAAGATAATGGTATCTCTGCTCCTCAAGCATGCAACTATGCATTCTCGTACGACAGCCCGATGACATTTGTTCGTCTTGCCAATCAAATCACGTCCATCGGTCTCGGGTACTACTTGGGTAGCTTGAACGACTTCTCCCCAGCACTTCAGACCGTGGCTGCTTCGCTCGGCTCGGTTGAAGCTCGCCATGATGCCATTGTCAGAAACGGAATGGGAGCGTCTCCCTTTCCGACCAACCTAGACGTGCCCTTGAGCTCGGTCTGGGCGTACAATCTAGCGCAAAAGTACATCACTTCCTGCCCTCAGCAGTTGCCCATTGATCTTCTACCTCCACTCGCCTTCAATGGAATGTCGGACAGAACGCTTAACTTTGGCTGGAGTCCCAATGCCAACAACTTCTCGACGCCTGCAGGAGTCACTGGTCAAGATCTTTACCTCGCCATAGTTCACGCCAACGTCAGCGATCCAGCATACCAAAAGGTGCAGACAACAGGACAAGGTCGAGGCACGGTAGAACTTCCGGAAGGACTCAATGGTGTCGTGTATGCTGCTCTGACTGCCTCATCTGGCGACTTGACCTATCATGAGCTTACAACAACTGGCACTTTGGCCGGACCCGCACAGCTTGTTCTCTCTTGAGTACGCTTACTTGCAGGAATGGTGTGGAGATCGGCTCTTTATTGCAGACTCGCCAAAGATGGCACGGTTTGTCGACAAGATGAAAAGTTTTGCTCGGAGATTCATCTAGTGTAAGAACATGAAGCCCAGGTAACATGGTTGGAGGTCGCTTCCATTAGTGCAGATATGCTTGGCTGGGACACTCACGACAAGTAGTGTATACATTGTCGCTTTGGTTCAGTGAAGGCATCGGTCATGACCTAGACAGCAGTACTTATGAATGAGAGAATTCAATCATCAGACATGTTGACCTCGTTGATGAAATTCGGCAGCCTGGTGGGCGAAGGAGAAGTCGGTTCAGGTTGCTCGTATAAGAATGCCAAGGCCGGTGACGAAGGGTTTGGTCGGGTGGAAAGTTGGTTTGGCTTCTGAACAACGGCCAGAGTCGCAAAACAGCTGCTGCGCATTAGCCCCTCGACTCGGAGAAAGTGTCGCTTTCTGAATATTTCGATCACTCGTACACGCCCCAGACGCATATTGCTCGTTCGCACCTTACCTCGGGGTCTCGAAGCAGTCTTGCAGCGCCGCATCTACCACACGACTCGGCTGGCAGGACAAACAAGCTTTCTCTCCAACCCGAAGGCCACCTCGTCCAGGACAACATAGAATAACACACCCATCATGGCCTCGCTCGGTGAAGACTTGCTCGGAGTCGTCAACAAGCTCCAGGATCTTGTCTTTAACACGATCGGAAATGACTCGTTGGACTTGCCTCAGATTGTATGCACACTACGCCAAACCTCGGTACGGCAAGCTGACAGCCACAGGNTCGTTGTAGGTTCGCAATCTTCAGGAAAATCCTCAGTACTGGAAAACATTGTTGGTCGCGACTTTCTTCCAAGAGGAAGCGGCATCGTCACTCGTCGACCTCTTATCCTGCAACTCATCAACGTCCCCAGCAATTCCGACAGACCCGAAGGCGATGAGATCCACGTGCCACACACTCCAGCCTCTGTCGCTGGTCAAGATGAATGGGGAGAGTTCAACCACATCCCAGGCCGTCGTTTCTACGATTTTGGTGAGGTCAAGAGAGAGATTGAGAACGAGACGGCCAGAATTGCTGGCAACAACAAGGGTATCAACCGTCAGCCCATCAACCTGAAGATCTACTCGCCCCATGTTCTCAGTCTGACTCTGGTCGATTTGCCTGGTCTCACAAAGGTCTGTCTCCTTGCGCCTCTGCCTGTAGGCTTCAGCTGACTCGAGATATAGGTTCCGATTGGCGACCAGCCTGGCGATATCGAGAAGCAAACCCGCAACCTGATCACCGAGTACATCGCAAAGCCCAACAGTATCATCCTCGCTGTCTCTCCCGCAAACGTCGATCTGGTCAACTCCGAGGCGCTCAAGCTGGCCCGTCATGTCGACCCCATGGGAAGACGTACCATTGGTGTTCTGACAAAGCTGGACTTGATGGATCACGGAACAAACGCCATGGACATTCTTTCTGGTCGCGTGTACCCCTTGAAGCTGGGCTTTATTGGAGTTGTCAACCGTTCCCAGCAAGACATTCAGGGCAACAAGTCGCTTTCGGATGCCCTCTCTGCCGAGAGAGACTTCTTCCGCACACACCCCGCCTACCGCAACATGGCCACCCGTTGTGGCACCCAATACCTTGCAAAGAGCCTCAACACCACCTTGATGGGCCACATCCGTGAGCGTCTGCCCGACATCAAGGCTCGTTTGAACACTCTGATGGGCCAAACCCAACAAGAATTGGCCAGTTACGGTGATGTTGCCTTCGCTGGCAAGGAGCACCGTGGCTCGCTTGTTTTGCAGCTCATGACCCGTTTTGCTACTTCCTTCATGTCATCCATCGATGGTACATCTTCCGAGATCTCGACCAAGGAGCTTTGCGGTGGTGCCAGGATCTACTATATCTTCAACTCTGTTTTCGGCAACTCTCTGGAGACTATTGACCCAACAACCAATCTCTCTGTTCTGGATATTCGCACTGCAATCCGTAACTCGACCGGTCCTCGTCCCAGTCTATTCGTCCCCGAACTCGCTTTCGACCTTCTGGTGAAGCCTCAGATCAAGCTGCTCGAGGTTCCTAGTCAGCGTTGTGTTGAGCTGGTTTACGAAGAGTTGATCAAAATCTGTCACAGCTGCGGCTCATACGAATTGTCGAGATACCCTCGCCTACAAGCGAAGCTGATCGAAGTTGTTTCGGATCTGCTCAGAGAAAGACTGGGTCCTTGCTCGCACTACGTCGAGTCGCTCATCTCTATCCAGCGCGCATACATCAACACCAACCACCCCAACTTCCTTGGCGCAGCAGCTGCCATGAACTCTGTCATTAACGACAAACAAGAAAGGAGAAGGCTCTGGCAGCCGCAGAAGAGAAGAGAAAGAAGGAGGAAAAGCGTATGAAGGCTCTCAATGGCGCTAACGGTGCTGGCGAGCCTGAAGACGACCAAGAGAATGACGCTGCTGCTGGCGGCANAATCCGCAACCCTTCCTATCCGCAGTCATCTCAGCAAGGCCAGCCGTAGTATGTCACCTGCTGTTGGTCGCGCTGGTATGAGTGGTGCAAACGGCGCAAGAGCAGGCTCGCCGCCAAGATTCGCAGGAGCCGGAGGAACTGCTAGAGACAGTTTCCTTAACTACTTCTTCGGCAAGGATGGTGGTCTCCCGCCGTCAAACGGTTTCCCTGGCAACAGCATGTCTTCCTCAAACCTCCCAGCCGGCAGCAGACATGTTAGCGCAAACATTGAGCCTAGCTTCGCGGGTAGTATTCGCAGAGGCGATACAAAACTCCCCGAGCGACCCTTGTCATCGCACATTTCCGTTCCTGGTGAATACGACTCGGAAGAGGTTGACAGTGGATACGTAAGTCTTTCCTCTCCTTCTTCACAGGGCACAGCTAACAAGTATATACAGCCGCTAGCAGATGAAGGCCCAGCGCTCACTGAGCGAGAAGCTCTCGAGACCGAATTGATTCGTCGTCTGATATCATCATACTTCAACATTGTACGAGAGACCATTGCCGACCAAGTTCCCAAAGCCGTCATGCACCTGCTCGTCAACCACTCAAAGGAAGTCGTGCAAAACAGACTGGTCAGCGAGCTTTACAAGGAGGAGCTGTTTGGAGAACTCTTGTACGAAGACGACGCCATCAAGAGCGAGCGCGAGAAGTGTGAGAAGTTGCTTTCCACCTACAAGGAGGCTGCCAAGATTATCGGAGAAGTTTTGTAAGATGATGGAGGAGATGATGTACCAAAAAATTGACCGGAGGTTTTATCATGAATGTGTGTTTTGTTGGAGTTTCTTCTTGATAAAGACGTTGATTGAAGACGAGCATGTCTTGTCTCTTTTTGTCTATTCAATTCTCTACTTGTTTCTTTCTTTCTTTTTGTTTCCATCTTCGCTCTCCATCTCATTGCTTGGGTGTGCCGTTGATTGTTGAAACTCTAGATAGGATGAATAGGGGCCATGGTAGTGAGTATAACCCTGCTCTATATTTTCTGTATAACATTAAGTCCTTATCATAGCATAGCATAACATACTTGACTTATCCTTAGATGTGCAAAGTAGATTTTGCCTTGTAGCCTTTCTACAATAACAGTTTTCACATCGGGGCGACGGGACGAGCGGGCAGAGAGAAGAAATCACAGTCGAGACCCTTGGAAAAACCGAGAGCTTCCCCACATTAGTTTGGAGTGACGGACACCCTCAAGGCAGCGAGAGTGGCAAGCAGCGACGACTCATCATCTTTTGAGCTTCTCTGCATGCCTTGCCGCCTGTTTACCTTTTGCCTCGCGCAAGACAAGGCGAGAGACGGAGTGAGACACCGACATGGGTCAATTGAGCAGCAAACAACCTGCCACGTCTTGCACCGCCAGGCAAAGACACAGGAATCAGGGTGTTTGGTGAGTAGGGATAGCATAGAAGAGCTGCCACGCGCGCGGTGTCCTGAATAATGATTCTCTTTCACACTCCAATTGTCTCCTCTTTCTCCACTACGACTCAGATCTTTTCGCTTCGAATTTGCCCTGTGGTGCTTTGGTGATTTCCGACGTCTGCTTGGCTTTCTCTTGACTTTTTACCGGGCTCTCGGGAAGGCATCTGGACTGACTGCTGCGCTTTGGCCTTATCTTTTTGTCTCTTATCGCTCGTTGCTTTTCATTATCTTTCACTTTCACACTTCTTCACAACAACACTCTCCCTTGCCTTCAATCCTCACACCACTCACTCACCAACACTTCGACTACCACACACCCACACTTCCGCAAACCAACCTTCAAAATTCCCTTCCTACACTCTACCGACGGCCCACACTCGGCCGGCTACATGGCACCANGCGCAATCGAAGTCGAACAAATCAACGAGCTTGCTCACACGATCAACGACCCGCCCGTCGAACACAACCTTGAGGNNGAACACGTCGCCTTCGGCGGAGACGACCAATGGTTCTACCACATCCNNCCCTCTAAGCGCTTCGACCTTTCTCGTGGCTCCAAGCGCAAGCTCATCATCGACGCCGACGATGGAATCCGCAACCACCGGTATTGACGCACCGCCCTAGAGTCCTCCATCCCGTCACCCCTCTCGGACAACAACGCTAATTCGCTGCTCTTTCNNAGAGGCTGTGCCATCGACCCATCTTCGACTGTTCTTGTCATAATCGACATGCAGAACTTCTTTGTCCACCCCATGTACCACGACCACAGCGAAGGTATCGCCACCATTGACCCTATGCTGAAGGTCATCGACAAGTGCAAGGATCTCGGAATCCAGCGCTGCTGGCTGAACTGGGGCATCTCAGACTACGACCTCAAGGTCATGCCTGCGGCTGTCACAAGAGGTTTCAACAGAAACTTGGCTCAGGACAAAGGCCACGGCTGGCACGTGGGCTTGGGTGCCAACGTCAAGGATGACAAGGGCAACACTGAGCGCTGCCTCTTCAGCGGCACCTGGAACGCCGACATTTACGAGCCTCTCAAGAAGGTCATGACTCCAGAGGATGTTCGTTTCGATAAGGCTCGTATGAGTGGCATGTGGAACCCGGACTTGCCTATGAACAAGTGGCTTCGCGAGAGCGGCAAGAAGACATTGCTGTTCGCTGGTGTCAACACCGACCAGTGCTTGCTGGGCACTGTCACTGACGCATACAACTGGGGATGGTATGTTAGCATTCAAGCCTCAACAGTATGCGCAAACCAGCTAACACGAATCGCAACAGGGNACTGCATCCTCATTGGCGACTGCGCAGCCACCATGACCGGACTCAACGCCCAGGCAGTCTGCGACTACAACATTGCAACCGTACGTAAACCGAAGATACAAACACCGTTTGACATCTTGCTAATTGTACCTTCGCTTTATAGANACATGGGCTTCGTCACCGACAGCAAGGCTTTCCTCGACTCTGAGCTCGTTTTCGGTCCTTTGAAGTGAATGCATGGCCAGCACGTTCGTCTTTCGCTCGCGACAATTTCCTTCGCTTTTTCCTTTATCGCAACGATGGTTATGGATTTGCTGCAGCAGGTGCACACGGAAGCATTTTCGACTTCTTTTCTGGGCGGCAGGGAGAAGAGGAAACCCACCATTATCATCAGCACCGGCGTTACTATCATGGGAAGCACACAGCAGGGGGTCTTTCTGTTTCAGCCTCATGTGCTTATGTATCACGAGATACCCTAGATGTTTTTGTTTTCTCTAGCTTTGCTTTTCTTTTTATCAGATACGATGCACACAGACAGAAAAATGCAGGAACAGATGCAGGTTCATCATGTTCACTTCAGCCAATCGGTTTCTTTTTCTCGTTGCATATGTTTTGCATGTGATACTTGACACTTTTGCAGCACATTCGCTGATTGGAGCGTCGTCGATTGCCCAAAAGCAAAACATCCAAACCTCGAATGTCAACACGATATCAATACGAGACTACACCATGGGGGATCTTCTGTCCAACTAATCTCCTTTGGAATAACCTGAAATCCTTGGCCTCGGCTGCAAAAGGTTCGATAATGTTCTAAGGCAGCCATCTTCATATGTGCGGCGATCGCTGTTTTGATAGGAGTGCAAACAATCAATAATCTACTTTGATATCAATCCTTAGACCAAGTCGCAAGACACGGAAAGATAAGCATTTTGAGTGCAAAGGTAGCAAAGGAGAAACTCAGGCCAACATCGAGTCCAAGGGACCCCTTGCCCTGGTTCATTCGAACTGGTTCTGGCCGCCCACCAAAAAAAATCTCCTCGGAAGTTGCGTTTCGTGTTGAGGATAACGCTTCTATGGAGACCAGGATGCATAACGACAAGAGTCAGAGCATAGGATATCGGGCCGGCGCAATGTTGAGTGGTAAGGGATGGCGAAATCAAGCATAACGATAACAACAAAACATAAAATCAAGCATAACTCTGCAGCCATAATCTCACCGACTGATCCGCGACACGAGCAAGGCCAATTGATCCGCAACGCCGCTGTCGACATCTGCTCGCTCCACAGCTCCCCTTGCCGCGCGCGCGGGCGCCCGTGGGCCGTGACAGTATGATCGTCGCCAAAACAATCGCACCCTGAACCGGATCTGTATGCAGCCGAAAGCGACTCGACTGCAGGGGAGTGGAGCCCGCCCCAGCAGCAAAGCCTCGAAAGGAAAACGCCACCAAGTCGCGCGACAGCGAGTGCACACCGCACGCGTTTCAGCCTCTTGCGGCATGTAGAATGGATGGACCTTTTTCCGTTGAGCACACGCCCGCAACATGTGAATATGCAAGGTACGACAAGTGAACTGCTCCGATGTATCTGTCAACGAAAAAAGATACATCGTTCCATACAAACTCGTGAAGAGGAGCGCAGCAAAGTCGAAATATTCTGGCGCTTTGGGGACAAGACCCTTGCGGGATGTCCAATCTTGCAGGCCCTCCCTCTTCGCAGATGGTACCGCAAATAGAAAAGATCACACACCAAACAATAGACAAGAGAACGCGCAACAGGGGACGGAGGTCCCACCTGGCGGTTGAAGATGATGCAAGTTGAAGACTTGGCAGTCCCAATGCTTTCCTGCACACCCATCAGCAGAGGCAGTGAGCGTTCAGCACAGTTCTGTCGTGCCCATCGTCAACCATCGATTGGTCCGGACCCGTCTCATGTCTGCATCTCGCACATCTTTTTGATTGTCAATTCACTCGAGTTCCTTGTTCCTGGATCCCATGCTGATCTGATTAATTAGTCCAACGACTCTGACTCTGCTTACTCTGTCTTCTTCTATTTTTTCTCTTCTGTTTCTCATCCATACACTGAACATCCCCTACTCCAACAAGCCCTACACTCGTTGTTCGGGCTACTCTCCAGTCGTTACAACTTACCATATCGTGTTGATCTAAGTCGGACTTACCGCGATCCGGCCGAACGCTTTGGTAGACGCACGTTTCGAACCAAAGCTAAAAGTCGACGTCCACAGACGTCATTGAATGAACGAACTTTTAATTGCCTGGTACGGCTCTATTGCAATTGTTTGAATCTTCTGCCTAAGAAGAGGTATACACCATGTCGACACCGAACGACGAAAGACCGGAGCCCACATATCATCAGCCTTCATATCATTTGCCCTCTTATAACGTCAACCCCCACACTGGCAATCCTCACCACGGCGAACGATCCTCTGACGAAGAAGGCACAGTTGTTGGAGATCACAGAGACAACAGTAATCACAGCGACCACAGAGACCACCATTATCACGATGAGGACCATGATGCACCTATCGACCCTCGTGTGCACCGCATGGGCAGCCACCTTACTGTCGACACAGCCAACGATCCTCACTACCACCCTCGCCTGCAGGACATGACATCGCCCTCGCAATCACGAGAGATGGCCAACAGACTTGACGATGACCTGGAGTTACTCAAGATTGAAAGACAAGTGTCACGCGACGCTGAGGTCGCAACAAGAGATGGTGCTTCACACTTTGGTCGCTCGACTTCCAGAAGGGACGATCTGATTGATGAATTCGATGTTGCGACGAACCCAATCCACGAGCAGGCTGCCATGTACAAGCCTCCTCAGGATCCTGTTGGCAAGTTCTCCAAGCTGGTCAAGAAGATTCACCATTCGAGTTTCCTGATTCGCTATCTTACGTATATTTTACCTGTGGTATTGATCCTACTTATCCCGCTGTTGATTGGCGCTTTTGTCAGCCNNCCTGCCACGAGTGCTGTGGTTGGAGGTGTTGAACTCATGTGGTTCATGATCTGGCTGGAAATCGTTTGGCTCACACTGTGGGCGGGTAGAGTAAGTTCAATTGATCGTACGAATGACCTTGCTTTTCTAACGTTAACAGNNCTTCTCGCAAAATGCCTTCCTTATCCAATTGGTCTCATTTCTACTATCTTTACCAACAACAGCAAANAATGGCGTGACATGGGCAAGCAACTCGAGCTTCCTGCGACTCTATTCTTCTGGTGGCTTGGTGTTGAGGTTTCATTCTTGCCGACCATGAAGAACCATCAAGCTAACGGTAGCCACACAACACAACACTGGATGGGAACCATGAACAAGGTCCTTGTAGCCATCTTCGTCGGCACGATTCTGAACTTTGTCGAGAAGATCATTATTCAGCTCATTGCCATCAGCTTCCACTTGCGCACTTACGCTGATCGTATTGAGCTGAACAAGTTCCAAATCGGCAGTCTGGTCAAGCTTTACACTNTTTCCAAAGCAAAGATCGCCATGGAAGACTCCGAGTTTGAACAACCTTCTGCTCTGGATTCTGGTGCTCGTACTCCTGGTCAATTACTCCAAGAAGCTCAGAAACAGACCAAAGAAATCTTCAACAAGTTTGGTGATGTTGCAGGCAAAATGGCAGGTGATTTCACTGGAAGATCTGTTACAAGGAGCACTCATCCTCACCAAGTTGTGTTGACGCTTCTGGGATCCACCAACGGTAGTCAAGTCCTTGCGCGCCGTCTCTACCGTACTTTCGCTAGACCAGAGACTGAGACTGTCTACAACGATGACCTGAAGAACGCTTTTGACAACGACGAGGAAGCTGAGGCAGCCTTCTCCATGTTCGATAAGGATATGAACGGTGATATCTCAATGGAAGAACTCGAAGCTGTTTGTGTTGAGATTGGTCGCGAGCGCAAGTCTATCACTGCCTCGCTGAAGGATCTGGACTCGGTTGTTGGAAAGCTCGACGATATGTTCATGTTCCTGGTTGCTGTCATTACCATCCTGGTCTTTATCTCGCTTATCTCGACCTCTGCTGCTGGTGTTCTTACTTCTGCTGGTTCTACCGTTCTCGGTCTCTCATGGCTTTTCTCGGCGACTGCCACTGAAATTCTGCAGTCTATCATCTTCGTCTTTGTTAAGCATCCTTTCGATGTCGGAGATCGTGTTACAATCTACGGAAATACTGGTGCTACTTTGACTGGTGATGACTACTTCGTCAAAGAGATCGCGCTCCTCTACACTGAGTTCAAGAAGATGGAAGGACACGTGGTGCAGGCACCCAACAGTTATCTTAACACTCTTTTCATTCTCAACCAGCGTCGTTCTGGTGGTCTTGCTGAAGCCGTACCAGTTGTCATCAAATTCGGTACCACTCTGGAACAGATTGAGACTTTGCGCAACCGTCTCCTCGACTTTGTCAAGCAAGAAAAGCGTGAATACCAGGGCAACATCCTTACCGAACTCCGCGCAGTCACCGAAGTCCACTCTCTTACTCTCAACGTTATCTTCTTCTACAAGTCCAACTGGCAAAACGAAGGTCTCCGTCTTGCACGCAGAAACAAGTTCATCTGCGCCCTCATGGTAACCATGCAAGAGGTCGGTATCGAAGGTCCTCGCATGCGCTTCCCTGGACAAAAGGAATCCTTCCCTGTATACATGCAAAACATTCCTCATCAGGCTACTCCTGGTATGGGTCGCAATGGCCACCCTGACAACCCGACTGGCTGGCAAGAAGGCGAGAATCAAGATCCTCCATTCGTCGCTCCTGCTGAAGGCCCCATTGGCGGCCGCACACGTAGCGGTTCCATCCTCCGTGCTGGTTCTACCGCTCGTCCCCGCCACGAAACTCTAGCACAAATGGGCAAGCGTGTCGACTTCTCACTGGGTTCGAGCGCAGAGGCAGCAAACAACTATGCTGGCGACGTGTTTGATGCACCCAAGCCACGCCTCCCTATCAACATTACCTCACCATCGCCAGACAACCGCGCCCGAAAGTCCAACGATACACATAGATCTACCGACACCGGTCGCTCCACCTCGCGCGACATCGGCCCTGGCCGTCTCGCCCGCAGATCCACAGACACATCCACTACCTCGCGCCCTCACCACCGCAACCGCTTCTTCGGTCGTGCTCGCGGCAACACAATCGACGAGCAAGCCATGATGGAGAAGGGTATGGCCGACATCCCTGAAGATTCTCCCGGCGGCGCAGGCACCATCGATCCACGCAGCGGTCTCGTATCCGGAGCAGCGTGGAGAACACGTACGAATGAAAGCAACGTCGTCAGGAAAAGTCAAGAGAGGCCTAGAACAGGACACACTGCTGACACAGCAGGCCACTCGATAGGTCTTGACGGCCCACCACAATTGCATCCTGGCGATCCTGCTGCTGAAGACTTTGAGATGAAGAGGTTCCACTAAGCAGCCTATCTCTCTCTTCGAATACACACATCAAGAAAAGTCACAGATATAGAAATTAGAATAGAGGATTTGGGATTTGTGTATTTTACTGTTTTGCGTCTTTAGCGAATTATTTGGCTTCTCTTCTTTGATAGAGAGATTTTTGTTTTTCTGTTCTTTTGCATAGATGGAAGAGGAAACTCGATCATTCCTTGGAGTTTCACTTTTTTTTTTTTTCGCTTTTGGTTTTTCTTCTATCTGGCACTTGTTGTGTCGAGTCTTCTTTGAACAGATGAATTTACATTTTCGCTTCTCTGATTTTGTTGCGTTGTGTGTGTTGATGATAGGACTTGGTTGCAGCGACTTGTGGGTGCCGTACTTTTCTGTTTAATGGGCTCGGAGCTGGTTGACTTGTTGCTCTCTGCCGATATCTTTGACTGCGAAACAAATCGAGCGCTCGAAATATGGATGCCTTGCGAAAGTATACTGTACCCCATCCATGTTATCATTGGAGAGAAAGAATTCGGATGCCTTGGAGGGCATGCAAGCCACAACCGGTACACATCCCCAGCTCCTGTACCAATTGGACGAATCACGATGCGTCGATTTTCGGTGCCTGAGTCTTGTTTACTCATGTCCCATGTCAGCAAACCTGAAGAGTCATTGATCATTGCCTGCGATTCGATACTCCGTGCATTTGCAAGGTGCATGCGTAATCCAATTGGTTTCATGGATGACTGAGAACCGTTTTTGCATGGATGTGGCTGGTTTGCGGTGTCTGTGTTTGGGGTGGGGGAAGAAGGTTGTTTGCAAGGATTGGATTGGATACAGGGCTTGGTAACCACGCAGGTGAGTGGTTTTTGGACACCCTTCGAGGCTTACTCTTGCTTGTGCGTTGTTTATGTTGCGGCCTTGTGAGGCTGCCATGTTAAGGACGCAGCGGTATATCTGTGTAAGCAAAAGGTATAAGTATGGTGGTAACTCCAGCGTAGTCTTGGTTTTTCACACACTCCTTGCTATCATATCCACTAGCAAAAGCAACAAGTCCTACCTAGACTTTCACATCTCTTGAAGAAAGAACTATCTTGTTAAATGTCAATCTCTTTCTATACACTTGCTCGCAAGACATCTTCAAACCCCAAATCCACATTGACAATGTTTGGCGAGAAACCCACTACCACTACCACACCAAAATCCACGTCACCATCGCCGTCTACCTCAGCACCAATTCAAAAGTCCTCAGCACCACAAACAAAAACACCAAGACACGCTGAACTGGAAGCTTCGTATCCTGCCGCCTACTTTGGCAAGAAACCCTCTCCAATGGTGCAAGAAACCCAACGCAGGGATTCTGTATCCAGTACAGCGACAACAGCAACATGGTCTTCTGTAACCAGTAACGCAACAACAATTGCTGCTGCACCACTCCAAGCACCAGAAAAGCCTTTTGATGTTTTTGAATATCAGACTGCTGGATATTTGTCTATGCCTTTGACACACTCATCCCAACCCTATCTTCAAGAACAACACTCCAAGAGTCCTGAGAGAAAAGGTTCTGCATCTTCATCTTCGTCGTCTGGGTCTTTGTGGAGTAAANGCCAAAACAAGATACAGAGAAAAAGTCCTAGTGTGGAAGAGCAAGAGGAAAAACAAAGGGAAAAGCAAGAGAGGAAGAAGGAGTATGAGGCTTTGGGATTGGAAGAGAGGACAAAGTTTGGAACTAAGGGGGGGATGAGTATGGTTGGGTGAAGCAAAGGAAAAGAAAGCAAGGCTTTGAGTTGTTAGGATTTCTTGTTGTTCGTTCTTTGCTTTGCTTTTCGTCTTTTCGACAAATTGAAGGATTGCGCAGGAGATTTGTTTATTGGGAAAACTTTACCTAGATTGTTTAGAAGCAGTGTTTGGGGGATCGGGGAACGCTGCGAGAAGCGTGGTGGTTGAGGTTCAGAAGACACGAGATAGCTCCATCCGAGATACACATGAAACGATCAAAAATTCATGTTCCAGAAAATCCTTTGGTTCCCAAAGGCCATTCTCGATTTCTTCCTGTAGAGCTCGATTGCTGAGGTTGTGGATGAACGATGTGAAGATAGCGAAGTGATCGATCTTAGATTATCGTGCCCTAGAGAGTTTTCTTTGGTCGAGGACCTGGTCAACTGCTAGCCTTGAGTAAGCCCTGAACTGCAGCATTGTGTCCGGCCACCGACGAACAACGAGCATGTGCTCGAAACTATATGGACTACCACGTTTCTGCAGTCTGGTGGTGTGATGGTTGAAGATGAAATTCTGTACAGTGCGAGCTTTTTCGCTGACGACCATATTGTTGGCCTCTCTTCCTCTTCCCGACCGTGGTAAATTTTGATGCCCAAATAAACTCCATGAAACGCCTCTTTCGTGATGCAGCAGAAGCCCTTGATCCCAATGCTCTCTGGTTGCTGCTTCCAACTCCATGGACACGTATTTGTACAAGATCTTGACCTCGCTCTCGATACCGGGCGTGTGTCAAGGGATAGAGGTTCGCGGAATGCGAATCGTTTACCTCTTCTTCTTGCCGAACTTCTTGGATTCTGTGTGCGCGCAAAGATGTCAGCCAAAGTGCTCTTGCAATCAAGACCGCCTGTCTTTCTTCCATTCCCCTGCTCTTTCTTCTTCTCCCTAAGCTGATCCATCTTTCCACCTCTTCCTCTTCCACCTAGCCTTATTCCTCCTCTTCCTCCTTCCACGACAAAACTTACCAGCAGCTGTCCTCTTCTTCTTGGGAGCACCCTTTCCTCTAGACTTGGAAATCTGGACGTGCTCGACACGGTCTTCTTCGAAGTCGTCATAGGTCTCGAATCCAGGGTATGCCTTTTGCAAGTCGGCGAATGTGGCTACGCGGCGGGGGTAGTAGGCAGCCATTGCGGGACCGCGCAGGCGTTGGCGCAGAACACTGTTTCCGGTGCGGAAGGCGGAGGGGTTGTAGGTTGTGTTGAAAATGGCGCATTGGGTCTGTGTGAAATGTTAGAGATGCGAAAGTTTGTAGGTTGGTGGTGTTTGATGATTTGGATTGAGCTGAAGGATGTAGGTGGATGGGCGAGGGGTTGTAGCATACCTCCATGAGCCTGAGGGCTAGCGTTCTTGGGACTGCCATGATGAGCGAGAGGTGTATACAATGAGACCCTTCGATATGCTATGGACGATGATGTTCAAGATGGCTTGCGGCGGCCATGCGCGCTCGGGAGACGGGAATTGCCGATGCTGTCAGCGACGATAAATATTTTCCACTTCGCGCGCGGGCTTGCGACAGACAACTTTGCACCAACTGAACACTACAGATGATGCTGTATTACAGCTCTCTGCAAGTATCACTACGCGTATTGGTGCGGTATATCTGCATCAACAGCAGCTTTCGGAGACTGGTCTTCGTGAACGCAAAGAGGATTCAGTCTCTCATCAAGCAGTAGGGTAAGCAACTCCTTCCTTCCTCATCCACACATTCCCTTTTGCTTTCGAATGATTATACGCTTTACACATGCATGGCTTTCTTACGCACCTTGACCGGTGCATTCATGGTGAAACGGCACCAGATATATGACAACAATTCTTCAATTCCTTCTCAAGACACCAGCATCTTTTGAGTACAACATTTGCTTACTTTGAGCTTGCAGTTTCATACATCAATATTTCAAGTACAGAGATGCTTGTCGTGCCTAAAATACGAAGACACGCGCGAGGAACGCAAAGCATGGAAGATGGTGTTTCTATAGACTGTATAGAGAGTATAATCATGTTACAACCCATTCGTGAAAACGCTTCTGGTGCACCATGTTGACTCAGATGTGGACTGACTGTCCTTCAATAATTGCAGATGCCCACTATCACCATTTGGAATCTATAGATAGTTTGCAGCAGCCCAGCATCGCTGAACCTCCACGAATAGCATACCACTCACACCTCAAACAAGATCTTAGCAACGTCTTTACAGAACAGACCATTGCATCTTGCATACAGCACTGACAGTCGTTTGCTCAAGCTAGATCTATATCTAGATAACACACTGCCGGAAAAAAAGCTGCCATTCTATTCTAGACTTTCTGCAAGATCTGTGAGAGGAAGCATTGAACAACAAAAACGTCTTTGCAGAAGAATCAATGCAATGCATTGCAAAGCATTGATACTGCAGACTAAACAGATTTGGTCGGCGGGTCCAGGTGCATTTTCCTGGAGAGATTCTACACTCATCGCGAGAGATGAAAAGGCTGGTCTGGAAGATCTATAGTCGTCTTGAGTTTCGCATACCCTTCTCGGCTATCGGGTAGCAATACGAAGAACAACACGAACGACTCGGCCAAGCCTTCTGTCAAGTTCATCTAACTTCCTAATCACTACCCTTGTCTCCAACGCGCAAAGGGTATACCCTTGCATTCCTGTCGCGTGCGTCGTCACCTACATGCAAAGATCTCCAGAACCCACCATCAACATGCACAACCGTTCCCGTTGATATACCCAGCCAAATCTCACGAACAAAGCAACCCCTGGGGTAGCACAATCAAGATTATCGCAAAAACAACGTACAAACAAAAGGCACAAATAAAATCGGCGTAAGGCTGTTATCACGGACATTCGGCACGTAGTTCGTGCAAGAGCAAGACGCGTAAACCGCAGGCAGCACCGTTACCGGTATAGGAGATTTGGGGGGACAGACTCCGATGCAAACAAAATGTGGTCAGCTGACTTGGAAAGTCCGCAACGGCTTTGCAAAGAAACACAAATCCCTACGACGGTTTTTTGTGTTTTGTGTTTTGTGTGTTGCGTGGCTTGTGTGGTTAATATCGATTGACTCAGAACGTTTGTTCAGCTGGGCTGTAAACGGCTTTTTCTCGTTCTTGTAAGGAGGAAATTTGGTTTTTTTGTGGCGTTTGCAAAAACAATGACGACGAGGCAAGAGTAGTCAAGCGATATAGACAAATAGGTTGCTTATGAAATGTTTATTCTTGAAGTAAGAGAATAAGATCGTAGATACAGAAGAAGAATATTAAAAAGTAATCCTTCGAAAAGAGATTAATAACGCCGATTTTCATGAGATCCGAAGGTCCTTTGTATAAGGCAGCCTTGATGTAGACATAAGAAATATGAGTATCAAAAGGAAAAGGAAAAGGAAATGAGAAAGGAAATTGGTTCGGTAGACTCGCATGCGAGTGTCGACCAAGTCTTTGATGTGACGAAAGGCTGGAGTCCAGCAATGCCCTTCGCGCCGTGAGATGTGCCAGTCTATGATGCTCCTGAGATGCGATTATAAAGAAAAAATCTCTAGTGTTGCAGAAAAGATGAACACGTGGTGATGCTCTTAGCATGCCAATTCGACAGCGACCACTGTGGTTTCGTTCTTAGTAGGATTGAGTTCGGGGCTGGCTTTGGCAGAGTCGACCTGGGCCTCGATTGGGTCTTCCATGATGGTGTCGGTGGGCGAAGGAGCAGATGCAACAGAGAAAGTACCACCGCGAGGAGAGATCAGGCTGGAAGAGTCGTCGATGTCGCAAACACCCTCCATGCTGTGCAGACCGTGGGAGGCAGGGGAGCTGAGGAAGAGAGGAGCGGGCTTGTTGGCCTTGGGGGATGAAACAGACTTGGTTCTGAAGGAAATGTTGGGAACAGGGAGCTGTTCGGCGACGCTCTCTCTGCGGCACACCTCAGCCTTCTCCTCGGCGCTGAGAGGAGTGGTAGTGCGGAGGAAACTGGAAGCAGCGTTGCGAGGAACGTAGCTAGGACGGCGAGAAGTGGTGGGAGAAGCAGTAGGCGAAAGGCTACCGACTGATTCAGAGTCGGGGTTGTGGCTGCTGAACATGGAGAACTGAGAGAACTTGCGGTCGATGGCAGGAACAGCGGGTACACCAGCGTCAGTATCGGGGTTGACGCTTCTGAACCAGCTTCTGATGCTGTTCTTGGAAGAGCGACGGCTCGAGATGCTGAATGCGCGGTTCTTGGATGGTGAGCTTTCAGAGAAGCTGCGAGCGTCCTTGGCTGCGGCCGAGGTGTTGGAGATGGCTGATGCCTTGCGGTTGTAGATGGTGCTCTTCTGTTCAATGCCAGTAGAGACTGAGGCCATTCTGGTCTTCTGGATAGGCATGGTAGGGCTGAGCATGCCAGAGTCCTCCATGGGTACAACCTCACTGCCCATCTTGTAGTTGCCGAACATCTTTCCCCACATGGAAGTCTTTCTGACTGGGGGAAGGGCAGGGGTAGGGGCAAGAACAGTGACGCTCATTTTGATTATGTCGTGAGAAATGTTATTGGGGATTAGATATTAATGGTCGTTGGATAAGGTGAACTGTTGTCGGAATGCTTGTCCTTTGTCGTTGGAATGAAGGTCGTAAGAGTGTCCAACTTGTTGTGAAGATGATAGAACGAGCGCTGCTGAACGAGATGTTTGATCAAGGATATGTGCTCTTACTTATATCAAAGCACAACGTGCAAAAAAAACGTCCGTATCATCTGCCTTGCCGATTCCCTGGACGTTGAAATCCGACAAGCCCGTGAAGAGCATCTCGAAGCATAAGCGGAAACGTTTGATGTGGAACATGTCTATCAGACATAGGTCGTTGTACTATTAGCAAATCCCACAAACGGTCAAAAATGATTGGACTTCGCTCAGATTCTCCCAGACGACCCGGCCCTGGATGTCTAGATTCAAAACATACGCACGTCAACAACCCTTCTCGGATGTAGACACGAAAAGATCTGCGCTGTCTACCACACACACAGATTGTGATTCTATTTCTGACCGTCCTCTGGTCGTAAAGGATCTCGTGTGAGACGAAGCATACTCACGCGGCTCTCTCTGAGCATACACTAGGAGTCAGTGACGACGTGGCCCAGTCTTCCCCGTGAATATACGAATCGGCAACGGCCAACTATCGAGCGAACAAATGAAAGCCGTTGCCAAATCCCAAATGCCCCGAAGAAGAGCGATGAGGGTGTAAGGGAAACCGTTGCAGGCGAGCAGCGAGCTTTCCCAAGAAGAGGCAGTGTTGCATTGGCCACGGATTTTGGCAACAGCGCCTGAGCCCGAGCGAAGGGTTTTGACAACGAGTTTGCAGCCGTTGCTGCATTTTCGACCACCCCTTGGCTCCTTCCCCAGACATTTGTCTCCAACTGCCGTGCCATTTGCTGTTGCAAGGAATATCGCAGTACAGGAGCAGACGTTGCAGTACACCATCAGACTCAGCTGGTCTCCATCCACATACACCTGGACCGCTGCACACAACTGTTATGCGTTCTGGGATAGAGGTATCGCTTAGCCGTGCATCGGAGATGGCGATACTGCATGGAAGCTGAACGCGACTGATACCTTATCAGTCACGTGTAGTCCAGGCCTCATACAAGGTGTCCGCGTAGCCTATGAACAGAGTTGCGCAGCACACGAATGTTCATCGCATCCTGTGACTGATCTGCGTTGTTCTCATCCTCTCCCTACGTTCACAGAGTCTTCGGCCAGTCTCGGTAGATCGCATTACCTCGAACGTCCGTTTCACACGCATTCCTCCTGATTCACTCTAACGCTCGCATCTTTTCTCTCCTTGGTGACCCTTACACTCTGAGGCTCACTGAGCCGCTTTTCTCAGGCATTCTCAGTTTTGCATTCCTCCTGCTGTTCATGCTTTGGGAACCGTTGTGAGAGCTCTATCTTTCGCTTATGGGTATGGATGGGGCTCTCAGACATTCGCAATATTTCAACGTCATAAGTCTCAAATCCTTCCCTATTCGAAACTCCAGGGTAGGGCTCCGCTACAAGAGCAGCCAGTATACTCCACTGAGAGGAAGGGCCGTTGCGACGGTTGTTATCGAGTCTCTATCTGGCAACGGATGAGCTCGGCCACCTCTGGCGCCGACGTTGACGAGCTGGATGCCGCTGCGAGACAGAAGTTTGTCCAGACAAGATCTGAAATCCACGTCTACGTGCGTACAGCCACAGAAGGATGCAGCGATGAAACCGCCACCATCTAGAGCTTCAAGTGGCTCTCTAACCATCCTTCAAGCCAAGCAACCTACTATCCATGGCGAGAAGATGGAGGATGAATGATTCTGAAGGCCAATACGTTCTTGGGCAAAGGAGCGCGGTTTTCATCGCATTTTCGCGAGTGACTTGTTAGAGTTATCCTCCCTGGTCATCGATATATCAACGGGCGTTGTGGCTGGAGTCTTCTTTACAACTTACAACTAAGCATCAGGGACGAGCTGATCTGGTCCATTTACACGAAGCATGTCCATCAACCACTATGAAACTCTTCCTCGATACAAAGTCTCGGCTCCCTTGTCTAGAACGCTGCATCACGTTCGCGAGCAAGACATTTTCACAAGGCTGTAAGGATAGACAAGAACGTACAAAATTGTCTAGAGTATTTTGAGATTTTTGGACTAACTCAAGAAACGCTACTGATTTTAAGTAGTGCGGGCCGAAGAAGTAGTGCCCGTTAAACTCCACTTGTAGTGAAGGTTATCTTTGTTAAATCTATCGTGGCTCTGAGACAGCAATGTTGGCATATGCCCAAAAGCGAACATGATTTTGCTATTTCGATCAAGATTTCGGCAATCTTGTTTACTTTCGCAGCTCTACGTTTCTCAAAAATTCATGTCAAAACGTTGAGCTGAGGACTGTTGATATGCTCTCAGCAAAACCTGAGTCTGCATTCGAAGTAGGTGGGACAGCCACGCCATCATTGTATACAGCCACCGAGTATGGTGTTGAAGCAGCCAGCCACTGAACAATAAGGCGATTCATATCTATAGCTACTTCTCGTCTAATGTACCAATTAGGAAGTTGATTGCTTTGTATTTGATTTTGTTCACGATGTTGACTGTTTACCACTGTCAGGCACGTGTGACATCAACATGCAGTTTCTCGCATAGAGAAGCTGTTCGGTCTATCACTCCTTTCTCACATATCCAAGCTCTCAAGATTTTTCGCATAGTTTGGGATTTGACAAAGCACATCGCTTGGCCTGACAGGACCTTGTTGGTGGGATTTGGGAGTCACCTTGTCGGGCCGGCAAGTGTCGCTTATCCTGTCTCATCAAGATGTGCTCAGAGAATGATGGAGCAGCAGAGGAAATCTCTCATCGAAAATTCCGAGCAGCCAGATGTGCATTACAGACAAGACTTTTGCAGTGTGTCCGTAATCACCACGTCTCGTTTGCCTTGGGTAGTGTCTTGATGGTCGCAAGAGACTACACTATGAAGGGACCAACGGTCCTCCGCACAAGTTCAAAGTATATCCCATTCACTGATGATGCATCACTCTCCAATCACGTAGGTACAACCCTCAGGACCAATCCATACTTCATGGCGCTTGTTGGCGTCAACGTCAAACCGGTCACCGACATTGCACTGCTCTTTCTTGGGATTCGGATCGTCAGGATAACTGAGGGTCAGGTTTCCTTTAAGGACCAGATGTGTCGTCACGCCGGCATGTTTGTGAGGGNNCGGGTAGTGAGCGTTGCTTGCAACAGGTCAGTCGTCGTACCATGTGCACCAAGATCGGGATGAGGCTTACGGGCCGTCGGTCCAAGTGAAAACATGGTTAAACCCCCATCCTCTGACTTCAGCTTCTGCTTCTTTCCTTGACTTTGATGCCATTGTCGGTATAGACAGGAATTGAGATTGAGGACAATCCTTCGACGACGACAGTGATTACCTACTTGGAGTATGACGCACGCCTTCTCCAGCTTCTTGGCAGTCGAGACCCTGACCACCTGGACATCAGCAGCTTTGACCAAGCGATGCGGTGTCCAACTTGTTTCAAGACGAGTCGAAACAGGATTGATGTGGAAGGAAGCACCAAGCACAGCGGACACGACATGACACTTTCCATTGCTTTCTCCACATCATGACTTGACTCGTCTGGCAAATCTTCCACCTGGTCACTCAATCCCTCGTGCCACTATCGTCCTTACCTATCCGTTCATTGCCCTATCACAACTACGACAGCTTCGCGTTTACCCCTGAATTTTCATATCGATCTCCGACATGGACGTTACCAACTCCCAGTCCTGGTCACCGGCCATTCTGAATTATGTCAAAGAGTTCGCTGCCGACTTTTCTCAGGTGGACAACATTGAGGGCAAAAGTATTGAAAGTGATGATCAAGCATCCCGTCGTCTACTCCAATATCTTGGCTCCGATGAGGCTGATGCTATGGCACCTGTCGCTCTGGATGCCTCCCACCCCATCTCGGACTATTTCATTTCAAGCAGTCACAACACCTATCTGTGGGGCAACCAACTCTATGGTAAGGCTAGTACAAAGGCTTATCAGAAAGTCCTTGAAAGAGGCTGCCGCTGCGTCGAAATTGATGTCTGGGATGGAGATGACTCCGACTCTGACACTTCGGACTCGTCTGCCGACAGCGACAGCGATGCTGAGAATGAAGGCGAAATCAAGAAACTGAGCAGACGTTTCAAGAAAAAAATGGGTCTCTCCAGATCCAAGCCCGAGACCAAACCTACAGATAAACCAGCATCTGCTTCCAGTCCATCTGAGCATGAAGGTGTGGGATCAGCAGACCTTCGCAGGACTGTCTCCAAGACTGAGCCACGCGTTCTTCATGGATACACAGCAACCAAAGAGATATCTTTCAGAGCCGTCTGCGCCACTATTCGAGACTACGCTTTTGCCACAAGGTACAATGAGACGTACCATACATTTGACTTTCCATTTACTCACTGATACACANGTGATCTTCCATTGATTGTCAGCCTTGAAGTGCATACTTGTCCCGCTCAGCAACAAATCATGGTTGATATCATAAGAGATTTGTGGGCACCATATCTGGTCGATCTTAATGCAGTGACTGGCCATGAAATATCTCTGCCAACTCTAGAATCCCTGCGCAAGAAGATACTCATTAAAGTTAAGTACACCGCTCCCGAGGTTGCTGCACAAAACCCAGGGCCAGCTGTTGTGTCAAGCAATGCGGACCCCGAGTCGGGTTCAGAGGGCGAGGGCGAGTCTCGCGAGGTTCAGGAAGCACCTGTCAAGAAGAGTCACATTATCACAGCGCTCGCTTCCATGGGCGTTTACACCCGCGGTTGCCACTTCAAAGATTTCGATCAACCGGAAGCCAAGCTTCCGAATCACATATTCTCTTTGTCCGAGTCAAAGATCATCGAAGTACACAAGCGTGATCACTCAGCATTGTTCAGGCACAACAAGGTTTGTCGTCCCGTCTCCGATAATTCCTGCGCTAATGGGTGACATGTCAGCNGCTTCTTGATGAGAGTTTATCCTAAAGGCATTCGTGTATCCTCGAGTAATCTAGATCCCGCACCTTTCTGGCGGATGGGGGCGCAAGTTGTCGCTCTCAACTGGCAATACATCAATGCAGCGACCATGCTCAACCAAGCGATGTTTCACGCGACGGGCGGCTGGGTGCTCAAGCCTGAAGGCTACCGGAGTTTCCATAGAGCTCAATCTCAGATCTCGGCACTCGACAGAGGCAAACTTGACTTAACCATTGAGTTGCTGGCTGGGCAGGATATTGGCCCGGCCGACAAGAAACTCCGTCTCTATGTCCGCTCTGAGTTGCACATTGAGGATATGGAAGAGCTCAACGGCGGATCTCTGCCGGAGGGAGGATCTACTAAGGAGGGACAAATCAAGGCGGTTACTGAACTCGGAACCGCTGGCAGGTCGCCAGATTTCAGGCGCCAACTGCTCCAGTTCAGGGTTGATGGTGTTGCCGAAGAGCTGACCTTCGTGAGGTAAGTGATTTTGCCCTTGTCTAAAAGAGACATGTCATACATCCAAGCANCTGCCTGTATCCGTCTTGTTCATATGGCTACGCTCACCGCTAAGCTGCGATTTGAGAAGTCCACGGCCCAAGGTTGCTGTGTTCTGTGGCGAGGATAAGCGGCATTGCCATAAACGCTCGGTCACTTCATCCTACGAGGACCGCACGCGCTCTGCGGTTATGTGCATGCTCATTCAGTAGTATCATCCGGACAGTTGGGTTCACCAGCTGCGTGGTACCAGACTCCACATTAGACTCGCGAACCCGTCACCCAGGTTCTCTTATGCATGCCCTTCCTGTCATTCTTGCCTGATTTGGTTACCCAGACGTTTATTGCTTCTTTGGCTCATTCACTGACACGTTTGTTATAACAGGTTCAAAGTCATGGACGACGACACTTTCAGCCGTGATAACCTAGTGGCATGGGCGTGCTTTAAACTTTCCAGGTTACAGACAGGTATCAGAAAGATTCGTCTGTATGACTGCGAAGGTCAGCAGACCAACGGAATGCTGCTTGTGCGCATAAGCAAGAGACTCGAGATTGAGTAAAGTTTCCTGCAGAATCGCAAGCTCTGGCTCTTGGTTGGGACGTGGGCCGGGCAGAATCACAGTCTAACTCCAGAAAGGACCCAGCCGTGCCGATATATTATTTCATCAATGCCAACTGCTATTGCCCGTAGGCTTTATGCATCCAGCGTACAAAGATTATTGATCACATATGGACAGCGATACATCATCATATCATCTTAAACATTGCACAAATTTTGTCCATTACGAACATACAGCCTGCGGAGGCTTAGATCCAACTGCAATAGAAGTTTGACAGCGCTATTCTCGTGCTTTTGAGCGCGTGTATGGCATGGTTATAACGCAGGTGATATATGCGAACGCTTTGACAGTTCGCAAGGATCTGATCTCGACGGCGCATCTCCCAATCTAGATTACCGGGCGTACGGTACCGATGGATCGGGGACGAAGGGAGTACAATCGGAACGAGGCACGCACAGATGATGAATCAATAACGGAACAAACTGCCGGCATACGACCATCTTTTTACACCAACGTGTGCGTCCAGCTACTCACATGTCACAGGTAAGAAAGTATTCGATGCAGCCTTCCACAGGCGCTTCTTGAGCATATATCAGAATGGCAATGAGATTGATAGCCGGGCTCAGATGCCCCAATCATCTGTGCCGGTTTTCGCACCTTTGCATTCGAAAGTTCTGGGCAAGTAGATGAGGAGGTAAGGCCAAGGTTCCGGAAATTGATAGCTCAAATTCTTGTGTTTTGCACACTGATAGTCGGTGAAACTATTGACACATGGGTGACTTTGAACAGCAAGGAGTTATATAGTTGCTCGCACCATGATTCGAGATCACGACAGATTGTCAAAAGCCGGGTTTTCCAACCATGAGGAACCAAACCTCTGGGAACATGCAGCGCATTGGTCTTTCTTTCTAGTACCAGTTCTCTGCGGACAAGGCAGTTTCGGCGATTGACATCTCGAATCCACTAAACCTGGTCACTTCTCTGCCTGTCTTTCGTTTTCTGCATCTCTGCATCGGTATACTTTGGGGAACATGATATAGCTCCGATTGTGGCAGGTGACGGAAGGGACGGGGCGGGCGCCATGTCGGGCGTACCGCTGCGTCGGTAACCCCATGCAATCCGTTCCTAGATGACTTGACCAAAACCAGGATTTGAGAAAGGGTTTGTACTCGAAGGTTTCNCGGGAGGTGCAGTCCGCAAACACACAAATCGGTGGAATGACTTTGTTGCTCCTCCTTACTGTTTGTCTTAGAGCATCAAGGTGCAGGNNGCCCAGCCAATGTATGTGGCTAGCGTGGGCTACACTNGATGGCTTTTCCGTGTGGGCATAACTNCCATCGTCGCACGTTCGAGGGTTGCGCAGGTGGATAGCCGTGGGGCAGACAATTTGTCTCTCATGNCTCAAGCGCCCGCGTACACACATGGCTGGCTGTTTCCCTTCCCTTTCTCAATCTAAACACATTTTTTTGTTACTCGTCGTCTTCCTCTGTACCGCGAATCCGATAACACCAATATTGCACTTGAGCAAGAAGCCGGATGGCTCCGCTTTTCAATTAGTTTTGGAGATTGCTCAGATTCGTGAGGTTTTCTCGCAGTGCGAAACGATGCAGGGTTACGCTATGCGAGGTGCTTTATCAGTCCGAGCAAAAAAGTCTATCACAAATGGGTAGGTCAGGTCATTCGAGGTATGACAGTCAGAGGTATATAAGAAGGGTGTTTTGTCCTCTGCTTCAACTTACTTCTCATCCATCAGCATCTCAAGCATTCGATAACTCTGTTACACAATCCTCCCTTCTCTCAATCTTTCCTCGCCCTTCGCTAGACACTTCGTCTTCCTTCAAAAATACCTCCTTCGACCTCAGCAACCATGCCCAGCAACACCGCCCATATCCAGCAGCGTGCTCAGCTCAAGCAGCACGACGACCTCGTCATCGCTACCGATGAGCGCAGTGAGTGGCAAGATGGTCAGAACGAGTTTGGACTGCCTTCAACTCCTGGAGTCCGCTCGAGACCTGCACCAGTAAGAGAATGCGCTGTCAGCACCTTCTAGTCCTGCTTCCAGAGATCTGACAAACTAAACAAGGTCCAGACACGCGCATGCCCCCAATGCGGTAAATATGTCATTGCTGGAAAGAGATGTCCAGGCTGTGGAAAACAAACCTAGCAACCCAAGCGAGGTAAGTACTCATGAAGCATGGCACAGAGGGCTATCTATTGACGTTGTTTGAACAGAGCGTCGTCAAAGGTCATCAGACTCCTTGGAACAGGAGCAAAGGCAACCAAAGCAGCCGAAAATCGACATCGAATATCTCCGGCAACGTTTCAAGAAGCTCAAGACTTCGGCGACCGAAACAACGCCTCGCGGTATCGCGGTCGAGAACACGCTGCCACGGTTTCGTCCTGAGCGTATCTACTACTCTGGGTGCCGACCTTTCCTTGAGGGCTAACTCAGGCTTCCGGGTCACAGCCATCGTTTTCCTTGTCTCCTTTGCACTCGTTTGATTTCTGTTGTTTCCTTGTTGAGCGCAATGCATCATTGCTGGCGTTCGTCTTTTACTCTGGTGCAATTTGAGAAGAAAATTTTGAAAATTTGTTGACAAAAAGAAAGGTGCAGAAAGGAAGAGTTTCCTTTGTCTTAATCACAGCATTTTTTTACCACAGTATTTGGGTTATTGTATTTTTGATTGAAGGAGCTTGAGGGAAGAGAAAAACAGCATCAAAAAGAGACCACAGAATCTTCTTGCCTATTGTATATGCAGTTCGCAAACATATCGAAATCAAAATTTACGTTCTCTTCATACGCTACTTACCTATTTGTTTCACGCTTTGGGAATGTCGACGATGATGTGAAGTGAAGAAATTGTTGAAGAATAGGTGAGGGTTGCAGGAAAAATATATGAGATCGCGATCAGCAGACCCTTGGCTCGATCATCGAGAGGCTCTTCAGCGTCACCACTCTCCATCTGTCTGGGGAAAACGTTCATCCTGCACTTTTTGTCCTCTCGCACACGTCATGTTGAAATCAGATATCCATATATTGGCCCCATCAACTCGCTTGTAGGTGAAAATTATAACAAAGGAAGTTACCTAAGTCGTGCCTGCCTGCCATATCCAAAGTCCCACTCGAACAACACATAAAAAGCCCTCCGCTACTTCTTTCCACCATGTCTTTCCAATCCATCAAGAACTCTTTCCGTTTCGTCAACACCGTTTCAAGACCTTCATCTCTTNTCACTCGTCAATTCCACGCAAGAACTACAATGGCTGCTCAAGTTCCTTCTTCGCACGACATCTCGGCTGTCGCCAAGGACGAGAACGGTCCCGTCAAGGGCTCCGAGTCCGCTCAGATGCAGAGCCAGGTCGGCAAGGTTCAGGTATGTTCAATCATCGCCTCGCGCACGTCATAATCCCTAACAGACAATCGCNAGAACTTCGAGAACGCTGCTCAGGATGTCCTCAGCAAGATGCAGCAGGACCCCAGCTCCATCTCCGCCGACGACGCCAACTACCTCAAGTCTCGTGAGGCTCGCGCCACCGGTCAGGCTCAGCCTCCCAAGGACAGTGTCTCCGCCGATGCTCAGCGCCTCGCCTCTGCCAACGAGAAGGGTACCGCACCCAAGACTGGCCCTCTGGACCCTGCTGAGCAGTCCCACCTTACTAAGGAGCGCAACCTCGAGCAGGCCGTCAACCAGGTCGGCTCCAAGGACCCTTCGCAGATCACTCAGGACGATGCCAACCTCCTTCACAGCCGCGAGCAGCGCGCTCACGGCCACACTGAGAAGGGCGGTGTTGCCTCTCAGGCTCAGTCCATCGCCACCGAGAACTCTCGCTCGTAAAGAATGAGCGTTAATGATTACGACTCTGTTTCTTACTGCATACACGACATTAGCATGAGCGTCGCAGCCTGATTTGCTGCAGGGTTTCCATCGGAGGGATGTTACGATTACACAAAAGCATAATATGTACAATAGCATGATATGAGCACAAACTCCAGTTGATTCTGGAGTCTTTCTTCACCTCTTCGTCTTCTCATGAATCGCTGTATATGTCAATTCCTTCTTACATCGTGACCAATCGAACCCTATTCACTTATCAAGATCAATATAATTATCTTGGACGCCTTGAAGTGCGGGGAAAGCTGAGGTGGCTGTATGCATGCTGATCATGACAGCTCACCAGGTCGACTGACCTGATTAGAAACTCCCAGACATCTCTAACCCATCCATTCTTCGATTGCAAAGTACAAAATGCTGTTCAACTTGTTGGTCCGATATTTTATGCTCTCAGTGCTGGCTAAGCGTGTCGTCAGCTTCGTGCTTCCACACCAAGAAATCCTCACCTCTTCACCAGCAGAGAAAGACCCCAATGCCATCCTTGCAGCGTGAACATCAATCCTTCGCCATTGCATATAATATAAGGTACTGACCAAAGCTACAGTCNTCCGCAATGCTGAGGTCATTCCGGATGTCCTGGACACATTCTCACCTCTCCTCTCCATAACCGCAAACTGGTCTTCTGACGCAAAAACCTCACTCGGCAACACACTCCCGCCATCCCAGCTCTCTCATCGTCCTGATATCTATGCTACACCGATTCCTTCTGCGTACCTGCCTCATGGCATTGAATACGTGTTTGCGCTTACAGACCCTGATGCTCCATCCCACAGTAACCCTGAGTGGAGTCAAGTATGCCATTGGCTGGGCACCTTCAGAGATGGCGAAGCCAAGGAGTTGGTCGAGTATAAGGCTCCTGCGCCACCGGAGAAGACGGGCAAGCATCGCTATGTGGCTGTGGTTATGGTGCCGAAGAATGGAACTACTGAGGCGTTGGACTTGGAGGTACCGGATGAGAGGAAGAGGTGGGGGTATAATGGGGAAAGAGCAGGTATCAGAGAGTTTGCGGGTGTGAATGGGTTAAAAGTGATTGGTAAGTTCTCTTCTTCCTTGGGGTGTTTGTGGCTTTCTGCAGCGATTCCTATCCACCGTCGAAGTCGAGGAGTAGTGGTTGTTCCGCTGGAGTCGTTTTGCATTCAGACTCTACTTGGACTTGAATGTATCGTATGCTGACTGATGCTCTACAGCTGCAAACTTCATCTACTCGCAGAATGACAAGCAGTAGACGATACGGGCAACGACGAGAGCTCTACACGGACATACCATATCAGCTTGCCAACCATGACCTTCTTCACACACTGTACTCGTTAGCGGTCGCATACACCGCATTTTCAGTCTTTGGTAGTAGTAATTTCGACAAAGTACTGTGTCTTCGATATCTGGTTTCTGACACAAAGTGACAGGGTCACACCTGCGACAATGCTTTCCAAGAGACAGATGATGATATCTCGACATATACCTATCTCTAACCTGCCATACTCCTTGATAACGTTCATTTGTGAGCCATTATCGGCTATATAGAAGTCTGGAGTCATCGAACGCAATTCCGTGGCTACAATATAGGGTTTTCTAATCTTGATCGTCATAAATCTCAAAGCTGCTCTCAGCCATACACTATTCGACTGCTATGCAAAGCTCGTTGACAACACATGTACATTTACTTTGGCAAGGAACGATAGCATATCTGCAGAATGTACATTGATGACTATAACTGACTCTATAGTTCTTGAAAACACCACTAGCACTTAGAAAATTCATTGATTGTGAGTGTCCACGAATGAGGCATGGAAAGTTCTATAGAGTTGAGAACGTAGTTGAGCTCCCATCCCGGCACTTGAGTCTTTCATCAAGCACCGAGGTATTCTGGATCGTCTTGCGCAGGTATTGACGAACAGGTCATTGAGACAGACAAAGCTCGAGGGCCTGCATAGTGCCAAAATCACTTGTTCCTTGATAGAGAACTGAAAAAATGGGATGAGACTGGTTATTCTGCGGATGAAACAGGTAAGAGAGAAGGAGAGAGTTAAGGAAGCGGTTCGAAGAGAGAAAGAGCAGGCGTATCAATCTACCCAAGGTAATAGTGAAAAGATCAAGATCAAGAAAAGCAAGGCGCGGTTTGCGAGATGCGGAAGGAGCGACAGAGAATGATGGACAAAACCAGAACCCAAGAGAGGATATGATTTGACGCGGAAAGACGTGAATACCAAATGCCGGAACAAAACTGATAACAAGCTGTTATATCATTCTGCACACGTGATGAGCACTTCAACCAATCCATAATGTTTGAATTCAGCTGGAGTGTCTGGAGCGAGCAATCGGCACCTCAAGCGCAACGCGACATAACACCGAATCGATGAATATGATAGAAAGTTGCGTTTCCGTCGCATCAGTCGCTCTCACAATTCTTGATGGATCACAAGGACACAAGGCAGCAATACTCACATGTCGCCAGAGAAACGATCCATACTGCTTTATGAGCTGTCAGCAAGCAAGAGAGGTCATTATTCGGGGAGGCGGACGCTGGCACATTTGTACTCTCGACTCTGCAACCTAAATTCCAGCTGTTGCTCAAAGTATCGACATAGGAGGGTTTGATATGTTGCAGACACATTCTGGTTGGCCTCCTTATGAAGACTTGTAACTTGATAAAGTGATGTCTGACTTGTGACGTGGTCGAATTCTTACTTTCGGCCGAGAAAAGCCATGTCCACTCAGCGACGGCATGCCTCATGCACTGCGGTCGAAGGATAAAGTGATCTCTAGTTGGTGGCCTACGTGGGCACAACCACCAGAGTACTCGTACCGAGACGACGCAGCCAAGAAAGCCTGCGGTCTGTTGAGAAGTAAGCAGTAGCTGACCGCTGCCTCACTCCGACAAGGATGCGAAACGACTTTGCCGCTGTTCAGCTTGCAGCTCGCTAAAGCTGATTGCGGTAAAAGTCGGTTTGTGACTCCGACCGCATGTGTTTTTGAAGCTGACCAGCAGGATGGCAAGGACGCGGAGTAAGCAGAAGGATTTTTCGTACTCGTACTGCTTTCTGCATCTTGTTCACGGAGTCGCATCCGCGTGTCGCAAAGTTCTGGTAGCTGTCTTTTGTGTCTGGGTAGCTCTGGGGTACAAATGAACCTACTCTCTTGGCATTCATGTTAAAGAAAAGGTACTTGCGAGGCGAAATCTGGGTATTAGATCTCTGCTTTCCGAAGTAGCCTCAAATTTGGACAGACATGTATGTAGCACATCGCCCCTCTGAAAGGCAGCTGTGGACGTGTAACGTCAGCAGCATATAAAGCTTGTGGGTATTGTCCTTCTGATCTGACAGACGCTTTACCTACGCACGTATTGAGCTTCAGCTCCTCCTTGAAAGGTCTACGCCGCTTTGTTTGCATTGTTGCGCTGGAACTCTGCTGACAAGTCACATGTGTGATACTTGCGAATCTTCTTGCACGTCGGCATGACGAGGAAAAGTCTCACACTGACCGACTACGTTCGCCACGACGAAGTGCTGACTTTTGCAACGAGGGCAGCCAAACGTTGTCTGAAGAAGACGTACACGCTTCTGCCTGGATAGTGATAGTTGATGGAAAGATGACAAGTTAAGTGGGGTTGTGTCCAGTAGGCTTGTTGGACGTGACCAGCAAACAAGTGTGATGCTTGTAGAGCGTTACAGTCTTCTGCCTCTCGCGTCGACATCCCAGGTCGTGATGTACAGACGCACCAGATACGTGGAGAAAGGTCTCAGTCTGATCCATAATTCCATGTCGATGGCAAACTGACGTTCTGCTTGAGCGTTAGTGTTCGGCCGAATGCGATCATCTTGGAGCAGGGAGCATGGAATATCGTTTTCTTTCCTTCTCACAACCGCCAAAGTTGAGGTACTTGAATATCGTCGATACTGGTGGAGCTGCTGCATATCAATCTTCATGAAGGCAATGTAGCATCGTTGCAGAGCCTCAGCCAAGCTATCGATCGAGGGCCAGCAGGATGGTAGCTCCGGAAAGTGACAAGGTACCTACAGTAGGCGGCTGTCCCTTGACACAGCTGTGACGGCTGGAGGGATGTCGTTCTGCATCCGAGGACGCTTCACGGAGATTTTGGGACAAACCATCCACTAAACTGATGAGAGATCTTCCGTAGTGCACATGGATCAAGACGTACAGCAGGTGTGTTGATGCAGCTTTTGCGTCACGCAACGGTGTGAGGAGTTGACTGAAGATGTGTTTATCAGCATGCACATCATTTGATGTTATTGTGTCTCAAAGTCCCTGTAGCCTTGACATCCTAACCTTGAGTCAACATAGAAGCGGCAGGAAACGCGACTCGAGTATCCAAATCGAAAGATGAGGCGGAGTTAACAGCTCCACCACAACGTGTTGTATGCTTAAACCGTCCTTGCGATTTCCGAACATGGATGTCCCAGACCACGCAACTCGTAACGATGCCGTACATGTGACGTTACCCAATTTGAGGGGTCGGATTGACTTTCATCCAACTGATCAGACTGCACCGGATCAGTCGATGGGAAAGCTTCCTGATCCCTACTTTGCATGATTGAATTGCTAAAAGAGCTTGACGCGGTCTGCATGCTGTATGTAGAGCCTGTATAAGCGAAGCCTTATCTAGATGGCTTGCAGCTGGAATGACTCGAGCGGTATCTACTCATAAGTTCTTGGTACATGGATGAGATAGCATGCTGGGTTGTCAAGATATAAGCAGAACAGTGTGTGTGTGCGTGTGGCTCTCGCAATGAAGGAGCACACGACTTCACATAGCAAGTAAGAAACCTTCGCCGAGGTCAGTGTTCATGCTTTCTCTCCAAGGTGCCCTAAGATCGTATTCCTGAGCGATCCAGATACGTTCACGCTGGTAGAGGACAACCGACAAGCGGCTGGCATGATTACTGACTGGTACCGGACGGGTCTGACTTCACAGATATCAGCTCTATCAAGCAAAACGCCAAGCACGAGTCGCATTGCTACTTCGTACGCGATTTCTGTTATGCGGCAGAGTACAAGGTTGTCACTGCTCGTAAGCGTCGCCCACTGAGTTCAGGTTAAAGAGCAAGCCATTTGTGCAGCCAGCGGCCCAGCGACAATCAGATTTCTTGGTAAAACAACTGAGGAGCACACACCAGTAAAGCAAGCTGCTTGGGTGTTTAGGTAGGGCTTCCTGGTATCAAAGTTAATGCTGCACCCGCAGAGATGGCAAGCCGTATCGAGTGGAAGGGTGAGCTTGTTCCCTGGTGGACCACACGTATGGATGGATAGATCTTGAAAGTCGTACGGACATCGGTTTCCTGACTCCTTGGAATTATTCCAGGATTCGAGATCAAGCGATTGGAGCAAGCCACTGATGCCATGTCGCGACACGGGAAGTTGTGACTTGTCGCGTGGCATGGTTCGATTTCATGCAGGCGGCCACCATCTAACTTGCTAAGCGTCGCCGTCTGTGATTGACGATTGACGTTTCACATCGATCGAGAAAGCAGGTGAGTGAAGAGTTGGTGCCTGTGGAACAATTTGCAAAAAGTCCGAACGGGAAATGAGTTTGGATCGGTGCGTTCGATGTAGGCCGAATCGTCGACTACTGCCTTGTGGATACTTGTATTATTGAGGCTCTGTCAGGCGGAGCCCATCTGCACCCCAGTTCTCGCAGACATGTACTCGGAAGCAGAGGGTGTGGGTGTGAGACAAGGTGATGGATCAAGGAACGGGAGAGTTATCGGGAGCATCCATCGTCGATGTTTTGACGGCGACCCGCCAGCAGGCCTCTGCCATTCGCTGTTGAGATTCTCATCGCGCAAACGACGATTGCAGTGTCTGTTTCGACGGAATGCGATCGGAAGCAGAACTAGCGTCCTCTTGGAGCAATGGTACTCAACCGCGAAACCGCAAAACGCACCTCTTCCTGGACCAGCACGCACCCGGAACAGTGGTAACACGTAGGCGGACAGCTTCTAGCCGCGACGAGCTAGGGAGCTCTCATGCCGTCNTTGGGCTCTCTCTGCTGAGAGCTGCCCCTGCCCTCGCTTGCNCTGCGTGTCTGTTTCGGTAGGGCCGGGAGGCGGGCTGGTCGCTCTTGCAGATCGGTCACCCTGACATCATATCCCNNCCACCCATGGTTCCCCGCCAGATACGGGCCTCTGCTAACTTCTGCCGCTAACATCTCGATCGACTCAACTGCAGCCATCCCTCTGTATCGACGCCAGCCAGCTGTGCGGCTCGTCGTGTGTGTTGCCCGTCTTTGGTGCTCGACTGGTACCCACCAACCTTCGTCATGCGCCTGTCCATCCCACGTTTTTGGCGTNCTGTATAAACTGCCAAATCCGATAGCCAGGTCTTCTTTACTTGTACCTTTGCTCCCGCCNCGGTCATAAACTGTACCCATTACGTTAGAAGCCTCCCATGTCTGTTTCATTCTGACTATTATACCATCCTATTTCTTCTTTTTTCTATCATCCACACCTACATCCCATCCACGTTCTTCTAGTTGATCCAGAAGAAAGCTTCTTTCAGCCTCGCAGTTTATTCTCACTGCATATCCATCAGCTCTCCACCACTTTCCTATCCTCACCACAATCACATCAACTGCATCATGGCAGCTGTACTTTCTCAACCGACTGCTGGCAGTTTGCTGGGCCGTCGCCGTGTTAGCAATCCACAATACAGCCCCAGCATGGTATCATATATGCCGACCTACGACATGAGCCTCAAGAACTCAATGGCACAGCAACATCAAGGCCAACCTCCTATGTCTACCTCTCACTTCATTCCCATTCAAACTGGCCCAGAAATGGATGCAATGATGGACATTAATGCATACTCACAACCAAGCATGGTCTCAAATCCCATGGCATACCACAACACAATGCCCATGGATCACTCATACACAAATTACCATATGGCTAACACTTTTAATGGAGGCATGCCGGTCATGCCCCTTGAGCCAATGCCCCAATGGCAAACATACGACCACATGTCCATGCAACAGCCCCCTCTCTTGTCTCACATGAGAAGTGAGAGCCAGTCAAGTATTGAAAGCTGCCCTCCCTTGATCAAGTCTGAGGACGAGCAATCACCCATTCTTCCCAGTCAAGTTTTCTTCAACACTCCTGCATACTCCTCTGTACAAACCGACAACTCCAGCTCAGCCGGCTCAGACGACATTCCTACCACAGCCTCCTCAACCGACATCGACGCGTTAATGAAAGCTATCCAATCAAAGGTCACCAACGGATCAGAGCAAACAAACAAGCCAGTACTTCGCGAACAGCAGCAGGCAGAGGCTTCAAGCCCGTCGAAGCCTAGAAAGAGATACCAATGTTCGATGCCGGACTGCAACAAGTCCTTCTACCAGAAGACACACCTCGAGATTCACACACGAGCACACACTGGCGTCAAGCCTTTCGTTTGCAAAGAGCCTAGCTGCGGCCAGCGTTTCTCGCAACTCGGAAACCTCAAGACACATGAGCGTCGTCATACCGGCGAGCGCCCGTATAGCTGCGAGCTCTGCGGCAAGACATTTGCTCAACGCGGCAACGTAAGAGCACACAAGATTGTCCACACAGCAGCAAAGCCGTTCACATGCCGTCTTGATGAGTGCAACAAGCAGTTCACTCAACTCGGCAACCTGAAGAGTCATCAGAACAAGTTCCACCAAGAAACCATCCGCAGACTCCGACAGACTTTTGAGAACCTTCACGAGGGCGACCACGTCAACTCGTGGGAAAAGGCCATGTGGGACTACTTTACTGGTCTCTACAAGAACTGCAACAAGGGTATCAAGGGCAGAGGCAAGGATCGTCGCATCAGCACCACCGGTCTTGGTATCAAGTACGAAGACGAAGACCTCGATCACCGACGCAACAGTTATGCAAGCATCAGCTCAGTATCAAGCGGATACAGCATGGCAAACGGCATGGAGCACCTGAACATGGGTGTCTCATCGTCAATGCCCGAGCAACCAACATTTAGCTCGCCTGTCTACATGGTCCCGCAGGAGCATCGCGCATCCTTCTGAAGACGTGTAGCCGCAGCGAGAAACGGTGCGAGACAATGATCCTTTGATTTTCTCTACCAACACACCAGCACGACGTTTTACGAATATCGATCCCTTTCCCTATCTAGCGGTTTTGTTTCAATCACGATATGTGCCCGAATCGGGCGACTCTTTGGCAACGGCGTAACGAGGTGCTATAGATCTTTGTCCTTTTCTGCCTTGGTGTCTTTTCTGTTCTTGGAGCGCTTATAGGCGGGAGTTTCTAGATAGGGATCTGTTGTTTCTCTCTGAGCGAGTCTTTCTGGTTTCTGATTTTTGGCCTTTTCTTGTACACATGTAGATATCCTTGTCGATCCTCCATTGCCCCCATGGAGAGACGAAATGTATGACTAGTTATCCTTTCAAACCATCTTCATCCTTCCCAAAAGGTTACTGCACTCCTTGCGCGGAAGTTCCTTTCCGCGTTGCTCTTCGCGACAAAGTCTTGTTTTGAATTTTTTTTTGACTCGGTGTTCTTCCGTAGAGTAGCAATGCGATTCAAGAATTCTCTGTCAAGACTTTTTGTCTACATTCTCTGATCTATTTCTCGTGTCATCATGCACGTCGAAACTGAAACATGTAGCTTACCACTTCTACCTGCAACCTATCTCACCATCCTCGCTTTCCATTCCCTTGTCGTCTGCATGCAACAAAGAATCAATTTGCGATTTCGGAATTCTTATCGAAAGGCGATCTAAAGGGCCGTGTCTTCGCATGGGCGCAGAAAGCTGGGCGGCGGATTTGGAAATAAGAGCTTCTGCCAGACTTCTGCAAAGCGCTGGCGTCCCGGCCGTCGTGCGCATGCAGCAACGTTGTAACTATTTTAGGGCCGAAAACCAGGCTGACTGCTTTTGTGTGCCTTTTTGGGGGCGCTAAAGGGGGAAGCAAAAAGGCTTGGCTATCGAGTTCCCGAATAGTGCATTTCAGCGAAGAGAAAACACCAAGGTACAAAGGTACATAGCCTCAATAATCTGCTCACCACTGTTTCTACTGTGTGTTTAGTTGAGGAAGCACACTGAGTCGGTGGTTGTTAGACTTGACTCGAGTGGTTTGGATTTAGGGAGAGAGTCGCGTCGTGTGGTTGGTGGCTTGGGAGATGGGAAGACCGAAAACCCCACAACCAGTGCATCGAGACCGACCATCAGTGATGATCTCTGTCTGCGCGGATGCGCCGGTCGCAAGGAGAGAAGGGGGAATTGAGATGTGCAGGCCCAGCGGATTCGGCGCGCGTATGTACGTGTATGCGTGACCCAGCTTTGCGAAAGAAGAAGTAGGTAGAGTAGACTGAACAATCCGCGGTTTCAAGAAGATCACTTGCACCTTCCTGTTCGCGTAGGAGTGGCAGCTGCCGGGTTGTTTGATGGACACGAACGAGCAAACCGGAGACATTCCACGCGTTGCTTCCTGCCTTGGTTTGTGGAGGGTCCTTGTTGATTGCTGTTGCTCCATGCTTTGCTCGCCATGCTGTCATCAGCAATGAATGATGTAAGCGTCGTCGGGGATATTGGCATATCAACCAAGGTCCCAAGTGGACATCAATAAATTGAAGCAACGCGGCCGAGAAAGGACCTACAAATGGGCACGGATAGGATAGGCTCGCGAAGGATACAGGTGGATGGATGGAGTCTGTTCCATTGAATTTCTCCTCTTCTTTTGACGCAGATGCCCCGAAAGGTAGAAAAGAGAGTTTTGCTTGGGGATATCAAATCGTAGATGGAGCATCAATCTGATACTGCAATCTCGATGCCCTCTGCAGCTGTTTTATCTAACCTTCGTGAATCAAGGGTACGTCTTCGCATGACTCAAAGGTGATGGTGTGGGTGTTTTGAGGATGAGATCTGCGTCCGTCATTCCAAGATACAGAAGTTTACAGCAAGTCAGCGACGTCCGGCTGCCGCACAACTTGACTCTTGCACCGACAGGATTTGAGTAAGTGGGTCGATGGACGGGCCCGCTGTCGCTGTAGATCAGGGACCATCGGCACGAGCAGGAAGAGAAAGGTAAAAGAGAGAGAAAACAGCCGCTGTTGATGGTTGCTCGCGGCGCCGGGCTCGTGAAGCAAATTGGCAGACGGCTGAGTACGGGGTCGTCATACGTCAGTGGTATGGAGATGCGCGGGCTAAGAAGCAGAGTGCGAAAGATGACCGAATGCACGGGTCGCGTCGAGCTGCCGTGTCTACTTGATGCAAAACCCCACAGAGATGCGCGGCACCTTTTACCTTGGCTGGTAAGGCTGCTTGAACGTCGCTAAGGCGGCTAAAGGAAGGAGCAACGATTGCGAGCTTTCTGTCGCTGCATCTTACGCGTCTAACTTATCCTTCGCATACAGCATGCAGCCTACAACGACGGCATTGCATGAGATAGCGGATCTCAAGTCCCTGTAGGCAGGTATACTGTATGTCAAGATTGCGTATCTCCGCAGAATTGGAATCTTCGATTCAGAACGATCAAGCGTCCTTCCTTATCTTTGAGACAGCAGAGAGAGATGTTGAGCTCTTGTATACACGTTAGGTCATGAAGTCGTCAGCTTGCCCCCACGCAGCATAACTGCCCGGTGCCCACAAGTGTAATGATGTTTCTCGACTTCCGAGCTTCTGCGCAGTGCGCACGTAAGAAACGGTCCAACAGCATCTCGCTGTGGACAACGGTCGACTCGGATCGCGAGACAACTCTAGATCCTGTTAAAGATTTGTATGGCGCAATCCGAATCGTGAGCTCCTCTCAACCGCGTCAAACGGTATGCATGCCTTTTCATGCAGCCAGGTCGAGACATGTCTTGATAGGATGAGCTGTGGAGCGCATGCTGATCTTTCACCGATGAAGATGGGTCATACCACCATCATGGTCGAATGTTTCGCGCAGATAGAGCCCATGATGCTCAACATCAGCTTCTCTGCGAACCACTGGTTGTCCTGTGATAGCCAGTCAGTGACACGGCGTGCCTGAGGTTTAAACTTTCAAGCCCAACGTGAGTTACATGCATGACAGGAGTCTTTCTTGAGATAGGTATCTTAGGCGAGTATGTACTCTCACAATTTCTGGTAGATTCATCGAAGCGGAAGTTGCATTCTTCTAGGTTCAGGCACTCCGAGATGCTTTTGAGAGTTGGTATCGTTAGGCCGCACGGAAGCCAGCGAGATTGGGATGATGAGATACGGCATCTCATCTGGTGTAGTCTTTGAGTTTTGGCGGTGCGGAGAGAGCTTTGTCTCGACCGCTTCGAATGAAAGTTTCAAGGACGATCGAGTACCATCGACTGCGATACGCGGCACAAGTCAACTCAGTCACGGCTTGACTCGGCGTACGAGCACACCTCGAAGAGGGCCCCTCGAAGTCTCTTTTGGATATCTCGGCATGCTGGCATCCTGCGGATGGCCATCGGCTGGACATCGCGATTAGATGCATCGGTGAGCAGGAACATCCAATCGCTAAATGATACCATTCGCGATCTGGAGACTCGGCGTCGCGGAAGAGGGCAGTGAGGGCTCGGGAGCAGGGCATGGTATGCGAAGAGTCGGCCTCAGGTTTTGGCTTTTGCCGTGTTGGAGTTTGAGGCAGCCATCAGTCCAGTGAGCCATGTAACTTAGCTTCCAACATCGGAGATGCGGGAGTTCAGGAGCTTTGGGATTGAAACTCAAATGATGCAACATGATCGCTTGGAAGTAATTCATCCATGATACAAGTCTCTGGCATTCTTCGTGGACCAGGATTGAGGTGTGTTGCGTTGTTGATATTGGCGACAAAAGGGCAGGGTGACCCACAACAGCTTGAGCATACTGGAACAGTTCCCGAACAGCCACACAAAAAAACAGATATCAAAAAAAGTGCGGCGAGCAAGAGAGAAGTGTATACGATCCAGTTGCATTGTCTTTGATCTTGTGGTTCATTTGAGCAGAACGCGATGGCTTGTCAATAACAGAGTGGTAGGACGCAGTGATATCTTTACAGACTCGAGGAGACAGGGTGAATGGATTGCAACATCGTCGAGTCAACAACAGTGCGACGACGCTGGAACAGACTTGTCATTGCTCGTAAGTGACAGGTCGATAGTATGGGGATGGGAGTGTGGTTCAAAGAATGGCCTACAGGTTTAAGGGAGGGTGACAGGCCGTGGTTGCTTCAGCAACGCAAAGCAGTTTTGTGAGGGGAAAAGATGTCATGTCTTTTCGCGACTGGCAAGCCGCAAAACGCAACCGACTCTTGCACCCTTGAACATCTTGTCAACACTACAACCACTTTCTTCCTCCATCGCATCATAGCCAAACAGCAGTAACCAGCATAACCCATCAATCGGCCTCTTATCATACAAACAACGAGCATCAAGCATTGATTTCTCTTGGACCTTCCGAAACACCCACACATCAACCTTCGAAACAATGGCTTCCAACCCTTTCAACTCTGCCGAGAACACCAACTCAGGCCCTAAGCAGGAGAAGATGAATGTCCACCGTCAGATGATGGAGAACAAGTTGCGCGAGAACGAGGNNGGTGAGTCGAGCATCCTTTCACCATCTTTGCCTTGTCCTGTCCTTCAAGGCTTCCCTGCCTCTCCTGTCTACAGAATATCATGTTACAAGCAGCGCTGACATGTATCTCCTAACAGCAACCCCACCAACGCATACGTATCTCCGTCAGACGCCATCATGAGCCCCGCCAGCCAAANNAAACTCTCCGGCTTCAAGCAAAGACAGATGAACAAGTCGTGAGTCGCCTCCTTCCACAACAAAGCTGAATGAAATGCTAACCATATCTCAATACAGANNAACCCAGTCAAGCCCCGCACACTGTTCGCAAAGACCGCCGCCTCGAAACCCGAAGAGGAGACCGCCGAGACAAAGACTGAGAACGCTTGAACACGCACCACATATTCAGTGATGCCGTAGCGTCAATCTCGCGTTTCATCCCTAGCCCCATGCAAAAGCAAGGGGGCAAAAGGCACACAACCTTTATTTTCGTATCTTCGCGGCCGGACCACTCCATGTGCCGGTTCACTTTTCTTATGTCGCAAATGTCTTTTTTTACTTTGGGAGGAGAATACCAGAATGATGGGAACACAACACATGGAATGAGACGACCAGGACGCATGTGACTGGTTCTCGAATTTCTATTGAAAGAGGCGTTTACCCTGTTGGGTCGGTCGGTTGGCTGGAAGGGACTTTTGCTCTTTTACTTTTCTTCTTCCTTCGACTTTTCTTGTTTAACATGCTGCCTCTGTCGTGCAATGATGGAGGAGCGAATATCATGATACACCCACTTCACTCATACTTTACCTTCTATTTGGTACATGCACCTGGGGTCTTGAGATGACGGTACGTTCAAGATCAAGGAATCGTCCTCGCAAAACTGCACATTTGTAGTGAGAAAAACTCGAGAGGACAAATTGTGGCACAAGCTGTCAGACAGCAATACTCTTTGCTGTTTTCCCAAAGAAGGGTATCGAGATATATAACAAGTTTTGAACCAACTAAAAGGGTACGCCATTTTGATAGTCCCCATTTGAAAAACGCCATGCATGCTTTGGAAAGAGATCTTGTTCCTTTTCACCCAGTTCTTGCCAGATCCTGCAACTTCTTATACACCAGTCAAGTTTATGCGAACAGCATCTTCTCATCCAGCTCATCGACTTCCTTTGCCTTTCCGCCAGAAGTGGTGAGACCCAGATCTCCCTTCTTGGCCTTGCGCTCGATGACGGCCTCGGCGCGGTTGTTGTATTTGGCACTGCGGGCGACACGGACCTCACGTCTGACCTGGTTAGGCGAGACGAACTCCTTGTTCTCGTAGATGATGGGGCCACCGAAACTGCCTTCTTGGATGATGATAGGGGTAAGCACGAAGCGAGGACCAATCTCGACCAAGTTGAGTTTGGTCTCTGCGTCCTTCTTGCCCTTTGCGCTGGTGCTGACTTCGGTGGCAGAAGGCATGGGAAGTCCTTGCTCGGGGATTGCAGACGTCTTGCCAGCTTCCGTCTCGTTGATTTGGTAGACGCGGGTCCAGACTTTGCCGTCTGCGACTGTGAAAGCCATTACGTGGTCTACGAAAGGCTTTGTCTTTCTAGCTCCCTTGGGCACACCAAACGTTTGTGTCAAAAGCTCCTTGATCAGTTTCAAATGCGGTGCGCTGTCGAAAGTAGCGTCGAAGCTCAGGATCGGTCTTGAGCCCTTGAGGCAGTTTCCAGTAAAGTGGAGTTCTTCCATCGTGTGCAGGTTTTGAAGGTGGAACTTGACGGTGGGACCGTTCGGNGGCTTGGACATCCAGATGTAGAGATCCTTGCCTTTGCGGGCTTCGAAGAAAAAGACATTGTTACAGTTGTAGAGGTCGGCTAGTTCGTTGAGTTGGTAGAGTTTTGTCTTTGTGTCTAGTTTTGCGTCTTTGCGGCTGTGGGGGAGGAGGGAGTATAGGTCATTGAGGAGGTGACGGTGGCTATCATGAGCAGTCAGCTTCAAAATCTTCTGTATGCGCGCGTGCTGAATCAAAGGATGCGCATACCGGTAGGTGATGCCGCGCGACGACAGAATCAGCACTCTTTGACGGTTCTTGGGACCAGTGGACAGCGCATCCTCCTTGGATGCAGGAGCGTCTGATTTCGACAGCGATTTGTATACGGAAGCCATTTTTGTGATTGTGGTATGTGAGGATATTTACAATGCGCTGCGGGATGGGCAAAAGTTTGGACTTTGTCAAGGAAAAGTAGATGGAACGACTTATCTAATCTGATCTTAAAGAAAGCTTGGACTCTGACTCTCCGCATTCCTTGCCCGAGAGAAACTGTTTGTGCTCACGTCCAACGAGTTCTTTTGTATGACTTACTTATTTGTATACACCATATAAGAAGGTCAAGAATGCTGTGAGCTATTTGGTTTATTGATCTGAGCGCAAGTTGTCGAAAGGCACAACCCGGCAAGAAGGAGCAGGAGTGAAGGGTCCAGTCGTGACGCCAAGTCCTGATAGCGACTTCCGTTTTGACGCGGAATCGCGCTTCGCTTTGAGCCTGTCGGGCTGAGACGTGGGTGGATGCGAGGCCACACCAAAGAATTGCAACCCGCCTGCCATAAGTAAACGATCTCTCTAGCTGAAGCGAGAAAAGGGTGACAACACAAATCGTGTCCACTCGCATATATATCCTCCTCTTACCAATGTAAAACTTGTATATAGCAGTCTTGGCACAACATGAATCCAGGTGCAAGCAGAAGAAGTCGTCTCCACGCAACAGTGCCGGGGACTTTGAACAAAGCCTGTGTCAAGCAGTGCAATGGAGAGCAGCAGAGAAGCCCCCAACCAGCCAAGCGAGGCTTCCGTTCGCCGATGAAGGCGTAACACCAGCACATCCACATCTCGTCTCCCGTCCATCTGCATAATCCATCCATCCTCATCGCACCTCTCCACATCTCACGCGTCAGTGTCTTGTACCGAGCTACCGCAGACCCGGTACACCGTACACGCGAATTCGCCCCTTCGGAGCCAACCACCATCTCTTACCGCCAACGACCATCATCTCACCTACTTCCCAACGTGGTCGCCAATCTGCCCATTAATTCATGCTGTCGCGCCATTCGAGACTTACGTCGTAACAAAGTGCTACCGGCCGGTTTCGCTTAAGCTTCGATCACAGCGACAGAATGCAGGACTACCCTCAAGGCCCTGGAAGGCCACCATACTCTCCTTCGCACCAACGAAGCCATCCCCCTTCGCCAACCATGCATCGAAACCCCAGTCCAACGGCCCAGCGATCTGGCTATTATGATCCTCTGTCCGACTCAATACCCGTTCGTCTACCGATAATCTTCACATGCCGATAAACTTCGCTGACAGAATCCAGGNCTCGGAATCATGCTGCAGATCCTGCTGACAGACATCGCGAGAGTAATGGCTACCACTATGACACACCTGCACGGCCACGAGGCACAAGCCAGTCTTCACACCCAGGTCCTCAGCTGCCTCCCTTGACTCCGATGAACCATCCGCTACCTCCTTCATCGCCAAGCTACCACTCTCGCCCAAGTGCTGCACCTGCAGAAACACCTAATGTCAGTAGATTATCATGCCTAGACACTGCGCTATGCGCTGACACAAAACAGCCTCCTGCCCGCTCCGCCAACCCCATGTCCATGTCCAACCTTTTATCCGACAGTGGCCCCTCAGAACCTCCGCCGCCGCCTCCAGCACCTGTAGCAGCAGCACCTCCTCCACATCGTTCACCAGAGGTACCGCGCGAGCCTGTCAAGCCATACATCGCTCCTCACCCTGCGCCTGTCCCTGATGCATACCCAACTCCCGTTGCGCCAGTCGCCGCTCCCGTTACAGACAACAGCAACATCAAGCGTGAACGCAATGGAGACGTACCTCCAATTGCGCCGCCTGTCTCAGCAACTACCTATCCCACAGGCCCGCCAGGTCTCACTATCGAGGCCACTGAAGCGGCATATGCTGAGATCGAAGCAGCTGAGATGAGCGATGTCGAAGCAGCTGGGTTTGAGGGTCCCAAGGTCGCATGGGTAACGAGATCGGCTAAGCGTATGATCGAAATAGAACAGAAAGAACTGGGCAAGCGAAAGGTTTGACAATTCATCTTTGAAGATGGCTGCAATGCAGCGCTAACAAAGAAACAGAAACGTCGACAAGCATCGACTAAGATGTACCTCGAACTGTTCGACGCAAACGCGAACCTCGCTAAGGATCACTTTGTGGCTACACACGAAAAGCAAGCCGAAGAAGAGGTACGCGTAAAGGACGCCGAGGAAGAGAAGGAACGCAAAAGGACATGCAACGCAAGCGCAGACGGGAAAGAACATTACTCAACGAGACCGCCAAGCGCGACGAAGCGATCGAAAAGCTCAAAGACCTCGAGGATGAAGACGAAAAATCGCGCCTACTCAAGGACGTTCAGAAATATGGTAAGAAGATACGGANATACCGAAGACCTCCTACATGGCCGCCTTCCCAGCAAAGCTCTCCTCGGAGACTCGCCCGGGCCTCCCAACCTGGAAGGAGGCTTTATGTCGTCTTTCCAAGCTAATGACGACCTTACAACAGATGCGAAAGCGAAGAAAGGCGCCAAAGGATACCGTCCCCGTAAGAGCAAGGCCCAGAAACAAGCCGAAAAGGACAGCGCCGCCCAAGCGCAAGCCCTCATGGACCGCGGCGAAGACATGCCCCCGATCACCCCGAGGGAAGAATTGCGACTCCGAAGTCTGCGCGGCACCTCCAGCGATGGCATGGAGGGAACACCCATGGAAGACATCGAACCTGGCGAGAAGACATACGATCAGATTTATCGTGAAGTCTGGAAGGACATCTCAGTCAACGCTTCAAAGATTGCTCGGACTAGACTTCAGGCACTGGAAGTCAAACAAGGCAATATGCGCAAGACGGCTCAGCTGGCGTCCAAGGAAGCACGTCGCTGGCAGCTTCGCACCAACAAAAGCACCANNAGGATGTCCAAGCTCGCGCAAAGCGTGCCATGCGTGAAATGCTGTCCTTCTGGAAGCGCAACGAGCGCGATGAACGTGACCAGCGCAAGATGGCAGAGAAGCAAGAGCTGGAGAACGCCAAACGTGCTGGAAGCCGAGCGCGAAGCAAACCGACAGAAGAGAAAGCTGAACTTCCTGATCTCACAAACAGAACTGTACTCGCATTTCATCGGCAAANAGGTCAAGACTGACGAAGTCGAAAACTCCACCAACGACGTGTCTGTCTCGGACGAGACTACAAGGCCTGGTCCAGCTAACGCCAATACCATTGACTTGCCTGACAGTGTTGCCAACCTCAGCACGAAGGTCACAAACTTCGAGGATCTTGACTTTGATGCAGAAGACGAGACTGCCTTGCGCCAAGCTGCCATGGCAAACGCTCAAAATGCGGTGCAAGAGGCACAGGATAGGGCACGCGCGTTCAACCAGGATCCTAATGGAGAGAACAAGATGTCACAGTTTGATGACGGCGAGATGAACTTCCAGAACCCTACCAGTCTGCAGACCATGGACGTCTCACAGCCGAGCATGCTCACCTGTCAGCTCAAGGAGTATCAACTCAAGGGTCTCAATTGGTTGGTCAACTTGTATGAGCAAGGTATCAACGGTATCCTAGCAGATGAGATGGGTCTTGGAAAGACTGTTCAGTCTATTTCGGTCATGGCATACCTGGCTGAGGTCCACAACATTTGGGGACCCTTCCTGGTCATCGCTCCAGCTTCGACACTTCACAACTGGCAACAGGAAATCGCCAAGTTTGTTCCGACACTGAAAGTTCTGCCGTACTGGGGAAATGCAAAGGACCGTAAGGTTTTGCGCAAGTTCTGGGATCGCAAGCACATCACATACAACCGAGAGTCGTCTTTCCACGTCTTGGTAACATCGTACCAACTTGTGGTGCAAGATACGCCATACTTCCAGAAGATCCGTTGGCAGTACATGATTCTGGATGAAGCTCAAGCCATCAAGTCTTCTCAAAGTTCGAGATGGAAGGCTTTGCTGGGCTTCCACTGCCGTAACCGTCTGCTTCTGACTGGTACACCAATTCAGAACAATATGCAAGAATTGTGGGCTTTGCTGCATTTCATCATGCCTAGTTTGTTCGATTCACACGATGAGTTCAGTGATTGGTTCTCGAAGGACATCGAGAGCCACGCTCAAAGTAACACCAAACTCAACGAAGACCAACTCAAAAGACTGCACATGATCCTCAAACCTTTCATGTTGCGTCGTGTGAAGAAGCACGTCCAGAAGGAACTTGGCGACAAGGTGGAGAAGGATGTGTACTGCGACCTCACGTACCGTCAACGAGCACTGTACGCCAACTTGCGGAATAAGATCAGTATCCTGGACCTCATTGAGAAGGCCGCTGTTGGAGATGATCAAGACACAGCAACTTTGATGAACCTGGTGATGCAATTCCGCAAAGTTTGTAATCACCCTGATTTGTTTGAGCGCGCAGACACAACTTCTCCGCTTGCTCTCTCGTATTGGGCGGAGACTGCTTCCTTCAGCAGAGAAGGCAATTTCGTCAACCTGGCGTACTCGGTCCGCAGTCTGATTGAGTACTGGCTACCGAAACAGCTTGGCACTGATGGTGGTCGATTAGACTTGCCCGGACCCGACAACCTGCGCGCTGGTTGGAGAAACAAATGGCTGAAGCACATGATGAGCATCTGGGATCCTGAACACATCAAGCAGAACGCTAAAGATGCAGGAGCGTTCTCATGGTTACGCTTTGTGGATCAATCAGCCAGTGAAGTTGCCAGAGCTGCTCGTAGCGGCATTTTCGATCGCGCGGTTGAGCTTGAGAGACAATCGCAGCGCCGGACCTTCTTCCAGCAGGGTGATTACCTCGATGCTAAGGAGCGTTATGTGCCTGCTCACTCCATGCTCAATGTTGTTCAGCATTCCAAGCCAAGTCTGATCGCAGATGTGTCGGGTGAAGGCTACCTCAGTAACCTGATGAATGTTTCTCGACTTGCAGTGGAGAACACTGGTTACAGTGACATTGAGCCTTGCTCGCTTCCCACAGCTGCTGCACCTCCGATCGAATTGGTGTGCCCCAGCCAACACTCCATTGTCGAGAAGGAAACCACATTCTTTAACACTCCGATCCGAAACACGCTGAACCCTATCACACTGGAGACTGAGCAAGCACTCTTGTCAAGCAAGGTTGCACCAGTGGACTATCCAGTCACGAACATGTTGCCTGAGCCTATCAACAAGAAGCAAGGTTACACAACGATAGAAGTCCCCAGTATGCGTCGCTTCGTCACTGACTCTGGCAAATTGGCTCAATTAGACAAGCTGCTCAGAGAACTGAAGGAGGGTGGTCATCGTGTCTTGCTATACTTCCAGATGACACGCATGATCGATTTGATGGAGGAATACCTCACATATCGCAACTACAGATACTGCCGACTGGATGGTTCGACAAAACTCGAAGACCGTAGAGACACTGTCGCCGCCTTCCAATCGACTCCTGAGATCTTCGTCTTCCTTCTCAGTACACGTGCTGGTGGTCTTGGTATCAACCTTACGTCTGCCGACACTGTCATCTTCTACGACAGCGATTGGAATCCTACTATCGATTCACAAGCCATGGATCGTGCTCATCGTCTCGGTCAGACAAGACAAGTCACAGTCTACCGTCTTATCACACGTGGTACTATCGAAGAGCGCATCCGCAAGCGTGCTCTACAGAAGGAAGAAGTCCAACGCGTGGTCATCACTGGTGGTGCTGGTGCTACAAGTGGCGACAAAGGTGTTGACTTCAACGGACGCACAACCAGAGAGAACCGTACGAAGGACATTGCTTTGTGGTTGGCCGATGATGATCAGGCCGCCGAGATCGAACGCAAGGAAGCCGAGTTCGCTGAACAAGAGGCTAAAGAACCGAACAAGGCAAAGAAGAGGAAGGCTCCTACGAAGAAGAAGGAGATCAGCATGGATGACATGTATCATGAAGGTGAGAATACTCTGGGTGATTGCAACTTGATCAGAGATACTAACGGTATCCCTTACAGGCGAGGGCAAANNTTCGACGACGACCACAGCAACAAACCCTCTGGTGCAGCTACTCCAGTACCTGGCGCCATGGAAGGTCCGCCATCGAAGAAGAAGAAAACCACCGGTAAGAAAGCAAAGACACTCAAGCAACGTCTTGCGATCGCCGACGGTGATGTGGATGGTGGTATGGCCTCATAAAGCACAACGTTTATTATTCTTATCAAGCAGTACGCTGCGGTTCTTGGACCCTTCTCTATTCGCTATTTCTTCTATGTCGCTATCATTGTTGGACTCACCATCATGTCGTATCTTATGTTTGGCGTTCGGGAAGCGATGAATGGCAGTGAGCAGATGGCATTTACTAGCATCAGGAGCAGATCTGCCTGACTGCCTGACTTACTGTTCGATGAAGCTGAGGTGAAAACTGCACCAATGTATACTTAGAGGAATTGTTTTATCTGAGATATTCTCATTTGTTGCCCTTTGAATCTTTGAGCTTTGCTCTTTTACCTATAACATCACCAGTATAACACCGACGAGGCGCAGCAGATGGATCTTCTATTGAAAAAGTGGTTCCTTGACGATGTCATGCGTATTGATTTGTAGAGCAACGGTCTGGGCCAAGCTTTTTTGGGTCGATCTTGCAGTTCCCACAGCCTCCCCGCGGATGACCAGTAACCACAGACGCGGGAAACATCATTGACGGGCAAGGACCATGACTTCTTTCGCGACTTGACAATTTCAGCCTCATCAAACAACATTTGGATACAGTTGTATCAAAGGCGACATCAGACATCCTTCGCTCATTTGGCCACATTCCAAGGATCTTTCAGCCTTTATTGAGCGGGATCACTATCGGCGTCATCCTTCGCGCACTCGGCATCCTTGGAACTCTTCTTGTTACCGCATCCAATAATTTTTGAAGATGTCGAGCACCAAATCATCACGACCGACGAGTACCTCTAGCAGCTTGATGCAAGAAGTGGTCAATTCTCTACCTGGCGGATATCCGGAATCGATACAACCACCCACGTCAAACCAACAGTCACTTTCGCAAGCGGTATACAGCAGAAGATCTGAATACACGCGACCGAAGGATATCAAAATCAAGGTTCGTATTTTTTTTCCTGCAACATCTGAAGCCTTTATGTTGGGTTGAGTCGTGTAATTGACTTTGTGAACACAGGTTGGCACTTGGAATGCTGCAGCTTACAAAGGTGCTGAGAAGGATATTGCTTGGTTTATTGATGGAAAAGGGATTTCCGAGGGATTGACTGACCTTACCGTATCTGACAATTCTGAATCGCAAGACGATGCGATAGCGGAACACCGAAGCTCGCTGGACGATCGCGAAGGCGTGGAAGACCAAGAAGCCCGCTATGCGAGAAAGAAGGCCACACTGCCAGAAAACGATCCTAGTCTACTCCCAGGTGGTAACGACATCGGACTCTACCTTCTCGGACTTCAGGAGATTGTGGATGTCAACTCTGCTGCCGAGGCCCTAAGGCCGTATACGGATCCTTCAGTGGCACAGAAATGGAAGAGCGAGATGGAAGCACATCTTCCTAGAGGCTACAAGTTTGTTGCAGAACAACAACTGATAGGCATGTTATTGCTCATATATGCCTCAGAGGATGTGGCTGCGGATATCAAGTCTGTGAGCACGACCAGTGTTGGTACAGGTCTCATGGGATATATGGGCAACAAGGGTGCTGTAACAGCTCGGATTGTCCTCGGAGAAACCACTCGCCTTGTTTTCATCAATGCACACCTTGCTGCTGGTACAGATAAAGGTGCTGTCGAACGCAGGAATTGGGACTATTCGCAAGTCATGAGCCGCACCAAGTTCGAGCCTATCCAGGATTCTATGGGCCTCTCGCAAAACATTGGCGAAGGTATCGATGATGCCGATTTTGCTTTCTTCGTTGGCGACCTCAACTACAGACTTGAAGGTATTCCTGGTGAAGACGTGCGTCGCTTGTTGATGCTTCACACCGGCAATGAGTACGACTTGTCAAAGAAGCAGGGCAAGAAAGTCGACAAGGAGATTGCACAGAATCGAGCGTCTATCGAAAGTCGGAGGGAGAACAGGATGTCGACCGACTCTGGAGTTTCTCAAGTCTCTACTGTCAGGTCACGCGACGACCAAGACAGCAGAGAAGAGGACGACTTGGATCCAGAGGATGTGCTCGACCCGGCTAGTGACCCTGCATCGCTGCATACCACACTGTTGTCTTTGTTGCCACACGACGAGTTACATCAACAACAAAAGGCGAGAAATGCCTTTCAAGGCTGGCAAGAAGGACCAATCACGTTCTTACCGACTTACAAGTATGATGCTGGAAGCGTTGGCGTCTTTGATTCTAGTGAGAAAAGACGTGCACCCAGTTGGTGTGATCGCATTTTATGGCGCACGAGACGCGACATGCTTGCCTACGAGAGTCAGGTTGCCGAAGAAGAAGATGCCAGAAAGAAGGATGAAGAGATGAAGAACAATGGTCTAGCCGAAGCAGGCAAGGACGAAGAAATGCTATACGATTACGATCCCGACGAAGATGCCGAGGAAGCTGGCTCATACGACGAGGCATACGAGGACGCTCCGGAAGGAACAGTCATTACGAAAGAAGGCTTCGCCGATGAGATCAGTCTGGAAGCATATGTGGCGCACCAACGAGTCTTGTCTTCCGACCACAAGCCACTGGATGCAGTGTTTTCATTCAAGTATGATGCTGTCGTGCCGGAACTGAAATCGAAAATTCACCAGGAGGTCGCGCGGGAATTGGACAGAGCAGAGAATGAGGGTCGACCAAATGTGACAGGTTTGTAAAGAAAATCTGCGTTTCGAATTATGCAATGCTAATGTGGTTTGTGTCTTCTAGTCGTGGCCGACCGTCCACATTCTAACGAAGAAGGCGTTTCTGACGATGATCCACTCAAATTCGAAGGTGTATGGTTTGGCCAAGTCAGATATGCCATGCACAAGCATCGAAGTCTCACCATAGCCAACACGGGTCAAGTTCCTGCAACCGTCTACTTCATTGACAGACCAGTAGGTCCCGGCCAACATCCAGGTCTTTGCCCTAATTGGGTATCTCTCAAGATCGATGACGGCTCCGGAAGGCTGTCTTCTGATATGGGCAAACGCACACTAGAGCCTGGTCAAGCCTTCAATGTCGAGCTGGAGCTGCGCATCCTGGATGTGAGTCTGGCGAGAGCTTTCAACGAAGGCATCAAGTCTCTGGAGGACATACTCGTCCTCCGCGTCGAGAATGGTCGTGACCATTTCATCCCTCTACGTGGCACATGGCTGGAATCATCACTTGGACATTCTATCTCAAAACTCATCCGTATTCCAGAAGGCGGAATCCGCAAATTGCAGCGACAACGACCGGACAGTGGAAAGAGCAAGTCTGGCAGTGTGTCATCTGGCTCTGTTTTGGACGATGACGAGGCAATACCTGTAAGATGGTCTGCGCCTCGTGAGCTGTTCAGGCTGACGGAGGTGATAGAGGAACTGACCATTCGCGTGACCGCCGAATGGGACATGTTGAACGATACCGCCGCTCGACCTCCCTGGGAGAAGTCTGCTGGATGGCCATTCTCAACTGCTTCTTGGACTCTTGAGGATAAATCACAACGAACAGATATTCTTGCTGATATTGGAGAGGCTTTGGACACTGATTCTGCTTTTGACGCAAACCTCCTGTCGACTCTTACTCATCTGCAGAAACTAGAGTGTCTTGCTGAGTATTTGGTGCTCTTCCTCTCAGCCATGCACGAAGGAGTTGTAACACCACAACTCTGGCATTCTCTAGACGAAGGCCTCCGCAAACAAGAAAAACTCAAACAATCCCAACAGGCAAAAGACGAAGATCTCCGCACTTGGGCTCAAGAGATCTTGAGTTCGTCTCCTGCCCATTCGATTTCTTTTATCCTTGTTACGTCCATGTTGGACCGTATAGCTTCTGAGGTCTTGACCACTATCCAACATAACCATCCTGAGATACTTGGCAAACCTCCGAGTGCGCCGTTTTGGGAGGGGGTGCCGACTTACCTCAGGAAGAAGAATTTTCCGAAAGAAGGTAAGGAGGCTTGGAGGTTAGGTATTCAGAGAGGTGTTGCTGGTGTTTTGGGACCTGTGGTTGTGAAGAGCGATCAAAGTGCGGAAGGAGGAAAGGAGAAAGAGAGACAAGCGACAGAGGAGAGAAAAGTAAGGTTCTTGGAACTGTTCATGGGATGATAATGGGGAGAGAAAGCAGCTCGAACAGCTCTGGGAGCCAGCAGAAGGAGAGAAGGCGAGTGGGAAGGTATGTTGATTGTCTTTTCCCTATTGGTCATAAGAAGTGTAGTAACCTAGCGTTCCTCAGGCAAGACAGCATCGATCAGATAGAACTGTCAAACCTTCGTCTCAATCTTGTCTTGCCACTCTTGTCATTATTCCTTTTTCTTAAGTAGCACATTTCGCCAAGATAAGAATGGTTTCAAACGGAAATGGCCATTGGAATGAAGAAGTAACGCTTTTACTCAAAAAGCAGAACCAAATCTCGCTTTCTAAGATGTCATTGCTGCATATTTCCATCCCTCCCCGTGTTAGAAAGTATGTAACGCACGTAGCTATAGAACTGCATGATACTACTACTGGTAAACTGGACAGTTCCCACTGAGAAGCAACAAAAGCATGAGACTCCTCTATGGACAGCGTTTGTTTTTGAATAAGATTGTGCCTTTTTCATAGCGTGATTCTTTACTCTTATGTTGTGCTTAGAGTATTATGGAAGTTATTACATACTTTTGAACACGGGGAGGATATGACAGCACGTACATAATGTCAAGCATGATCAAAAGATCATGATCAATACCTTCCCTATGCGTGCGTTGCCAACCAACCTTCAAATTGCAACCAAAAATCCCAGTTTGACAAGGATTAATCCCAAGCAAGTCCTGGCTGGCATACCCACCCACCAACTCCACTTGAGGCTAATTTTATCAGATGCAGATTTTTTTTTCTTGGTTGGCAGCAAGCCCTTATCAATCACATCGGATCTTTCTTGGCATTTTGAGAGTGTCTGTGCCCTCCCACTGAGGATTTGTGCTTTTCTGCCAAGGTTGGCGGTGGGCGGTGTTGGCGGTGGGCGGTGTTTTGGCCATCGGGGTGGTGATCGTTGCTTGTGCGTACTGACTCCAATCTTGCGACTTTGCGTCGCTATGTCACCATTCATGCATTTGTATTTAGAGATCTGTAGCCAAAAAAAGTATGGCGTGTTGACCGCTTTTTTGCTTGGGCGCAAAGGACGCAAGAAAAAAAAGCTGCTGCAGGTTACATTGACTGTGGAGCCCTAAATCGAGATGCATGTCACTGGGCGGGTAACGTCGGGGCTTGAAGTGGACTGAGCTCTTTTTCTGTTGAGCGTATTGTAGAGTAGGCCCTCCCTCTGATCAATAGTTAGTTCGGGACAGAGTGATAGATAATTGCAAAAGGAAAACACGAGACAAAATCGATTTTTGGTCTATACCTTTATTACTCTCGCCTCCTCTTTGAAATCCATCGTCCGTGTATCCACACCTTAGAAAAAAGACACCATTGCGCCGTGCTGAAAAAGGGTACCCATGATTATGCAAACGACTTCTTGAGATATTCGTAAATGGAAAAGATGATGGCGGAACTGGGCGCTGAGCGAGCGACAGTGATACCACAACCGCGGTACATGCCCTTAAGGCCATGCTGTCTCCAGACTGCGCGAGCGACGGAACCAAAANNAGTCTTTTGCTTCTGACCAGGGAGAAGAGCACCCACGGCTTCTGTCTGCATACGCGACTTGATAGTGTCTGCAGGGTAGAAGAGGAAGTTGTAGCTCATGCCAGCAGCTGCGCCAGCAATCATCTGCTGGTATACAGGCAGAGAGGTGTCTGCGACTGTCTTGTTCTCTTTCTGAAGGTTCTTGAAGGCTAGGGTAACACCCTCGTATGCGCCGAACCAAGCGGCTGAACCACCCATTTCACGGATGAGGGTCCCCATTTGTCCATGCCAGAAGCCAGCGATGCCATGGTGACGGTATACTGAGGTGATCAAGCTGAGGGGTCTTGGGCGAGCGAAAACGCCAGGCGAAGTCTCGACTGGGACTTGCATCTTGCACTTGATGAGCTCGATGGGGGTGAGGAGTAGCGAGGCGAAAGCACCAGAGAAAGCACCGCAGCCGACAAGGGCGTGCAGCGGTAGAGGGTCGGTGTTCTTATAGACGGTGGCTTGAAGGGTGTCTTGAGCAACTTGGTAGCTGAAGAACAAACTGCTGGTCTCGACGGCGGCTCCAAACAAAGGAGCGCTGATGCCGCGGTACAGACCTGCTAGGCCATCACGGCGGAAAGATTGGCGGAAGCAGTCGACAGGGCCAGAGTATCGGAGGGGCATGTTGTCGGGCTGAGACTGTAGGCGAACCTTGACAGTGTCAAAGGGGTATTCGATGTACTTGCCAGCCATGCCGGCGAAGGAACCAAAGACGACATCTTTGAGGGCAGCAATGGCTTGTTGCTGGGCTGGCGAAGGCTCTATATGTTGAGCCAACGAGTCGGCAGGAAGGACATGGTGTGCATCGCGGACGTCCATCAGCAGATTGTGCTTTCTTCGAGGAAGGTCAGGAGGGAGTTGTCAGAAAAATTTAACGTGTTTGTCGATGCTATCGTGGGAGCATGGTATGCGTAATACAACAGAGTGTACAGGGATGAGAAGTTGTTGTACGAAGTGAAGAAGTGGGAGAAAAAAGCGCGCAAAGAAAAAGGCAGGCAGTTGGAGGGGTCGACTTCTGTGACTCGTTTTGGGGCTACAATGGATTGCGCCGCTCATCCAACTTTCATGTGCTTAGCGTTTGTTGGTCCGCGCGTCGTGGAGCAGCCGCGACCGACCCGCCCGGAGACAGGAGAGACAGGAGCGAGAGCCGCCGCCTGCCCCGGTGCAAATGATGATTGTGATGAAGGTGACAGAGTTTATGATTCATCATCATCTTGCCCGTGCTTCTTTCCTTCCGCCGACTCCAAGATCTGCTCAAGGTTAACAAGCTGGTTCGTGGCGAATACTAGCCTCTATGTCTTTATGAATCCTTCCTATAGATTATTTACGGTTATAAAAGGTGATTGAATTAGACCTGCCGTAAGAGACTGGATTGAGAAGAGTGACCCTTCGAGCTCTCGCTCGGCCTTTTCCCTGCACTTGAACGTGCTATGTACATCGATAGCAAGGCTGAAGCCTCCACTCGGACCTCAAACCCAGTTCACTCCAACACCGTAGACTTCTATACTTCTACTTTAGACCCTGAGCCTGAACTAGCGAACTGTGTCGGTGTTAGTTTACTCGAAGAGTCATTGCGGAGCAGCATCCGCACCACCTGAATGCGGCCGCTGTACGAAGCGGCCTGTAGTGCATTATCATTGACGTCTGCACCGCTGTCGAGCAGTAGTTGAACAATCTCGGTGTGGCCTTTTACTGATGCTGCCTGCAGTGCGCTGCGAGCATTGACATCTGCACCTCTGTCGAGCAGTAGTTGGACGATCTCGTTGTGGCCATTCGATGAAGCTGCATGTAGCGCGCTGCCGTAACTTCCGCCTCTAGCATTGATGTCTGCACCTCTGTCGAGCAGTAGTTGGACAATCTCGCTGTGGCCTCTTTCTGAAGCTGCCTGCAGTGCGCTGCGAGCATTGACATCTGCACCTCTGTCGAGCAGCAGTTGGACGATCTCGTTGTGGCCATTTGATGAAGCTGCATGTAGCGCGCTGCCGTAACTTCCGCCTTTAGCATTGATGTCTGCACCTCTGTCGAGCAGTAGTTGGACAATCTCGCTGTGGCCTCTTTCTGAAGCTGCCTGCAGTGCGCTGCGAGCATTGACATCTGCACCTCTGTCGAGCAGCAGTTGGACGATCTCGTTGTGGCCATTTGATGAAGCTGCATGTAGCGCGCTGCCGTAACTTCCGCCTTTAGCATTGATGTCTGCACCTCTGTCGAGCAGTAGTTGGACAATCTCGCTGTGGCCTCTTTCTGAAGCTGCCTGCAGTGCGCTGCGAGCATTGACATCTGCACCTCTGTCGAGCAGCAGTTGGACGATCTCGTTGTGGCCATTTGATGAAGCTGCATGTAGCGCGCTGCCGTAACTTCCGCCTTTAGCATTGATGTCTGCACCTCTGGCGACCAGCATCTGCACGATCTTGCTATGGCCTCCAGCTGAGGCTGCCTGTAGCGCGCTGCCGTAGAATCCGCCATTACCATTAACGTCTGCACCTGCATCGAGCATTATCCGAACAGTCCGATCATGGCCTTGCGCGCATCCCCAGTATAATGCCGTTCTTCCTGAACCATCCGCTGTTTCTAAATCGCTCTCAGGCATTTGCAAGTAATGCTTCAAGATATCATTATGGCTGCTGAGTGCCGCAAGCTGGATCTCCGTCGTGACTGGTTTATATGAACGACGCTGAGTCCGGGACCAGAAACGGCGAAACCAGAAATTGAACGTCTGGCTACGTAACTCATACAGCTTTAGCGCCTGTCTGAAAGCGTCTGGGTCAGCTGCATTCTCAAAAGATCTGTAGTGAATTGTCCACCACTCGCAACAATATTCGACAAAGTTATTGTCTCGGTCCTCTCCTCTCAGGCTCCAAATCAAACCGTCATCGCCACATAGCGCTTCGCGGTCCTCCAGGTTGGTGCAGCGCATGCAGATGACAGCCATCATCTGCTCCACTTGTGCTTGCTGGATACAGTGTCTCCAGCTTCCGTTCGTCCAATGCTGCGTATCATTGAGATCTTGGCGAGCGACAAGGAACTCTCTTGCAGTTTGGTGTATCAGGTATATCTTCGAATGATTGATGAACACAAAGAGGCCACACCAATCCCTGAGATGGTTTTTTAGATGACCTGGATCGATACCGACGTCTTTTGATGTCCGTCGTGTTGTATTATCGGTTGCAGCTCCAAATGCGAGAGCCATTTCAGCCACGGTCAGAGGACGACGAGCTCCTACGATGATTTGCAAGATAATCTTCGCATCATGTTGTCGNCTCTTTGGCACTCTTGTCAGGATGTCCGTGTAAGCCTTCTCAACAGACGATGGTACAGACTCGATCGCTTCTTCATTCGGTCGTGGACTCTGGAGAGATGTGCGGATGGCATCTATTGCTAGATGGAGCCACAAGTATGTGCGATGCTCCATCATGAGAAGCTTTTGGTCNAGCCGAGCGTGCAGGCCTTCCTCGAAACGAATCTCATCCTTGAGTTGAGAGACTCTGAACTCGATGACACGGTTAATCTCTGTCCGAATTTGGTCGTTTTCCTCCTCTCCACGTAGGCGGATAGCGGGAAGTGACGAATGAATGTGCTGAAAGTCTCGCTGGATATTTTCATAAGGTCGGCTAGTGACAACGAATTTGAGCTACGACCGACGACCGCTTTGCGATGCAGCGGTCTCATAGAAACGAGAGAGCTTAGCAATCAGATTACTCCGGTCATTGTCTTTGCACTCGTCAAGAGCATCTAGCAGACATGTCGTGTTACATGCAGCTACATCAGATGTTGCCGCGAGCAAAATGCGCCACAACTCGTCAGTCTCTGGGGGCAGCTTGCTTCCATTTTTATTCCATGCTGGGAGAGCATGGTGTAGAAGGTGTGGCTGGTGCTGAAANAGCTGATGCAACAACGCACATAGAGCAGTCGCAAGACTGTTCTGTTTGTCGTTGTCCTTGAAGAAGAAGTAACAGACGGTGTTGCCATCCGCATTCCTCCTCAACTCGTCGTCGACCAGCGCTTTTGACAGGACTGACTTGCCGCAGCCAGGATCTGCAGAGATCCAGAGCAGATCATCGTGGACAGCATCTTTCCAACGCTGATATAAGGGATGAGTCAGTACTCACTGGCAGGTCTGCTCGACACGATCGGGATTGATGTTCTTAAACTGCTCATATGTGCTGGTCTTGAGAGCTTGGTGACACTTTCGGTGTTTGTCGTCCTGGTAATTCGTCTTTTGTATCGTGATGTATTCGGTCGTCAAATCATTCGTCTTTTCCAAATTCTCATTCATCTTGATCATGTCTACCATCACAATCAGCATACACCCTTATACGTAGACACAAAACAGGTGACGGGCGAAAATGAAAGGTACTCGCTTGGTTTGACGCAGCTCCATGGAGCCAGGCAGCNNTTCTTACTCACTCACACCAAGCAAATCTAGGAGCTTCGCTTCGTTGGCGACTCTGGTTGGTACCATCTTGGCGAGCAGATCCCTAGAGTAGGCAGCTGCCGTCATTGCCGCATAACCTTGCCACTCTTTGTTCTTATGCGAGTCCGCGTAGTCGCAAATGCCGCGTACTACTAGACACGGGAAGCCATACATAAGACCAGCGGCTTCCATCTCAAAGCACAATATACCCTTCTCATTCGCCAAACTGTCTCTTATGGTTGCATCCTTCATCAGTTGGTCGGCAGATGCGACAATGCCGTAATGGATGGATGGATTGTCCTCGTCTTCCTCTCGCTCGCGACGTTGGACTAGATCGTGGGGTTGACCTCCGCAGTGTTGTCTGCAGTCTCCTTTGCTGTTTCCTTCGCTGTCGTATGGATGAACGATAGTCGACTTATAGAGACAATCTGTTTCTTGTGCTGGCCGACTGTAGTTCTTCTTGAGCTTCGGTTTCTTCTCGAGGATGGCTTTTATTCTGTCCTCAATATCATGACCGTCGCTCTCGTACGTACTTTCGAGCACGCTAACTGCCGTGAGCACTACTGCTGGAGGCTTGTTGAGGAAGCCTGTCTGCTGGAACCCGCGGCCTTGTATTGTCTTTCCGTAGTTATACTGGTACACTCCACCCGTATGGTTCTCTGGAGAGCTCACCACGACGTCGCCGAGCCGTATATCGTGCTTCGCCGTCGGTGCGCCGCCACCGATGCCAACCATGAGCCCGACTCTGATGTTGGGAAATCTATTGAGCATGTTCGTCGCAACGCTTGCTGCCGAGCTCAAGCCGTACGTGCCGCGTGGAAGGACCGCGATGACTACGTTGTGGCCAGCCATCTCGCCTAGAGTATAGCCATTGCTGTCGTTGGCGGACACCTGTGTCGGAAGGGCGTGCTCTTTGTCGAGAAATTGGCGTGCTGCGGTATGTTCTGTGNNAGTTATCGCACAGATCCAGCCGACAGTATACTGCTGCGGATCTGACATTTTTGTAGTCGAGGTCTTGACTACGGGGTTCTTTGACACGATCAGGTCTCAAGTGAGTGGGCATCTTCGTCTTCTATCTCGTCTGCCTCACATACAACGGCCATCGCAGGCGCAGGCGCAGTGGTTGAGCCGCCTGCAGGCGCCTGGTCATGTTGGCTGCATGACCAGACAGCTTAGCCGCGAGAGATCATTGGAGGCTTGCAGACTGACCAACAAGCTCCGTCTTTCCTTGATCGAGGCAATGGTAAGAAGGAGGATTTTGATGAAATTCTGCTCGGGTAAGTGTTTCAGAAGCTGCGCAGCTCTATCAATTTGTCCAACAGCATGATGACTAGTTGTCGAGTTATACTGCAACGTCGTGATTGTATTTTGGTTTTTGATAAATGGACGTGGTTGTGTCAATTGGGTGGAGAAGACGCGAAACGCGTAGCTACTCCAGGCGCGCGCGGCTGAGGGGTCGAGACTCGAGAGTCAAGAGTCGAGAGCCAAGACTTGTGGGGTGTCTTCCGCCTGAACATTTGCATCTCCCAAAAGTTATTCTCATAGTCGAATATCATCGCATATACCACAAACATGTCTACTGTCACATCCGACGCTCCTGTCGCCAAAGTCCCGCAGGTGACGGGCATGCGCAAGAATGGTGAGCTTTTTCTTGCATCTCAATATCGCGCTTGCGTCTTTTATTGCAGTCTCGTTTTGCGCCGCAGACCTGCGGACACGGCCATGTCTTGTGCAACCTGACTAACCATCTGCCAGGCAAACAATGGCACGACACCAAGAAGGCCTTCCGCCCCACAGCCGGTCAGACTTCGTACGCAAAGCGCCAGGCCAAAGATCAAGCACTCGCCGTCGTAAAAGCACAGGAGAAGGAGATGAAGGAAGAGAAGGAGGCCGAGCGTCAGGTTAGATTTCCTCAGACGAGAATTTCAAGAGGTTGCGACTAACACAGGACAGCGTCGCATCACAGCACTCAAGGAGAAGCGCGAGGCCAAGGCAGAGAAGGAACGCTATGAGAAGATGGCAGCCAAGATGCACCAGAAGAGAGTCGACAGACTGAAGCGCAGAGAGAAGAGAAACAAGCTCCTCAAGTCATAGAGGGAGAACAGAAGAGTTGGGCTCTGACAGGCAGAGCGAGGGGCAGAGATACGGCGAAGAGGGCAAGGCAAACAAGCATTGAAAGATACCCTGACTGCATATGCATGGCGTTTTGGCGTGGATGGAACTTGGAAAAGGACAAAAATGCATCTACAATTCAACTTTAACACATTCGAAATACCTATCATCGTCCCTTCCCTTCCACTTTTGAGTAAAAAACGCATGTGACGTCGAGCAGGAGTTTAGGCCCAGACTCCGGAGATTGCGCGACGGCCGTCATGGACCGCAACTTCCTAAACTCAACAACGAATGTTTATCATGGCACGCAAACATGGACAAGAAGGAAAAGAAAGAGAAGAAACACTCCGCCTATCATCGCCCACATCGTCACCACTATGCGCGCGACACGATCCAGTCGGCAGTCCAGCTACAGCATCCATTCTCGTTCGACAACTACAACCCTCTGAAACGAGCTCAGCAACATCACCACCATAAATCCCGTCGTGATCCGTCGCCAGAGAAAGCCCAACAAAATACAGAAGAAGAACAAGAGCAAGAACCTCCAAAACCACAATGGTCGCCCGAAGTAGAATATGCCGTCGACCACCCACCACAGCGTCTCGTCACTCCCGACACTATCGCCTACGAACGTCGACTACGCCAGAAGCGTCAAGACCACGTCTCTAACGCCTTGAGTGCTCTGTCTCGCGACGCTCACACTGCCACTCGGAAGCTGGACGACACTTACTATGCATTACTCCAAAAGGTCGGCGTGCTCAAAGCCACCATCGCCTCCTTTCAAGACCTACACTCCTGCCTCGATGAGACTACAAAAGACTTTGCCACAAGATCAGACTCCCTCGTCAAGGACATCACCGGCCAAATCGACGCTTTTCAGAACATGTCACAGCAAGACGAGTCCATCGATCAACTAGTCAAGCGACTCCACAAGGCCAAGGAACGAGCAGAGACTTGCGAGTCCAGGCTAGAGTCTTGTCGCTCACGTCTAGAGCAATGGGAAAAGAAAGAGCAAGAAAAGAACAAACGAAACAATCGCACTTGGGCTCTAGCTTTGACCTCTCTGACTGCATTCTTACTCCTTGTTCTCGCTATCGTGTTATGGAAANAGGGCTCTCTGGCTTCTGTAGTCGAACAGCCATCGGAATTGAAAGAAGCCCTGGGTCTGGAGAGGAACAAGACCGCTCCTGGTATTCATCTCGTTGATCCTAAACAAGAAAAGATGCAAGCCAAAGAAGCTGCAAAGTGGGATAGGTTGCTTGATGAGCTTTGAATTCGAGCATTGAAGTTGCACCCACAAGTCCTGCCTCCGGGTAACAAGGAATGAAAGATCTGAGGAGTATAGATCAGGGCGCTGCTCAAAACCTTGTGTTGATTTGGAGTGCAAGCACGTAGATGCCCCTTCCAGGGTGATTGACAGACAGCATTCGTTTCTGGAGATGAGTCTGACAAAGGAGATAACACAGGAGCCGGAAGTCATCGTTGCCGAGCCGACAGAATTGCGCTCTGTTGCAAATTCCTCACCAAACACGAACTCGAGTGCATAGTCAAGCTGCCGAGAAGCTTTGCAGCTGTCCAGAGTAGAGAGATTAATACAGCGATGGCTTGAGAGACGAGAATTGCAGATGTGCACCGCATCGGCCGAACCACTTCTACCAGCACGAGCAAAAGCGGATGTACTCGATAAAAGCATCCAAAGCGATAGAGCCAAAACCTCGAGAGAATGTACAAACACACTTGACGCGACCAGCGACGAGATGTATTGTGACTAGAGATAGCATTTGAACCAGAACACACACACCGACATTGATTGTGTCCAAATAAATTTGCGTGTCATAGAGACATCTGCCCCTTATGAATATTGCCCCGATTCTTTCATCAACTTATCGACGGCATCTTGACATTCATCCCCTTTGTAAACAGACATATCCGGCCAACCATGCTTCTGGTAAGTATCTCTGACCGAGCGTATCAGGATGTCTTCCTCGTGGAGCTCTCCAAGGTCTTGGTATTCCTGATCTCCGAACCAGTATTCTACCTGACTCCCATTAAGAGGCACAGATCTCAAGGTTCGAAACTCATGTTTCAAGACTTCGAAGAAATCGGTAACGGCCCATGCTGTCTGACTTCTCCAGCCGCGTCCATTGGGAGGGGCGCAATCTCTGAAAGGTTCTTCGTCACCATCAGGACCGACAATAGGTTGTCTTATTGAGTCGAAATCAAGGTCAGGGCTCTCCAGCCAGTGCACAGTGCCAAACTGCGTATCAAGAATAATCACAGACGTGTCACGCCCACCGCGTGCAAGACCAAACGCCGACGAAGGTATATCTAACCAACCCAATCCCTCCGTAATCATACGTGTGCCTTTAACGCCTTCATGACCAAACTTCCTCTTCTTGAAAACTGAAGACCAGTTGGCGGCCGTCGAGCGAGCCACTAAGAAACTCGAGTCTGGAAGGTACGGGAGATGGCGCATCAACTCGTAGACTTCGTCGTTCTTGCCCAAAAGACTGGCTTTCTCTTTTNNTGTAATTGAAGGCCAACCTCCAGCCGGAGGCTCTAGAATCCAGTCGTCTGGTAAGAACATGTCTCTGAGAAATTCATAATAGTCACGAAAGGCGGCGATGGTGGCCTCTTGGGAATAAGAAATCTCATCGAGAGTCGGCATGATAAAGCAAAAGAGAGGGAGAGTGGCAGCACCGTGCGGAATGTATCATTGAATCCGTACTGACGAAAGCGATAAAGAAAAGATGCGCAGACGCTGGCTCTTTATGGTCATTGTAGACAAGTGTGTTTCAGAATTGACGCGTTGAAGTTGGCTGCCTTGGAACACGAGTCATACGCATAAAGCAGTAAGAGATAAACGGACCACAGATACAGTGACCCTATTGGCTTGATCATGGCTCCAAGACATTTGTTTTCTATAGGTAGGCACTCTTCGATAGGATGAGAAGCTCTGCTGTGTATGTCCATCCGATAATACCATTCAGAAACAATCGTATCATGAGTAACATCAATTATGCTCTTCCATGCATTACTTCAAACCTCCTTGTCGTGCTCTTCAGACGCAAACACGCAACAGTCTTGAAAAAATGTCAAAGTCGTGGTACCATCCGTCTCCTCTTCTTCAAACAATTCATCAGACTTCGATATTGCTTTCAGAGTGCAAAGCTAACATCCCTGAACACCAGAAGTGCGAGCTCGCAGACGTTCTTTCCAGGGCGATTGGTAGTTTGAGTCTGATGCTGGAGCTACATCTCTTGAGGCAGACAACATGCAAGATGGAGATTGATTTGTCAAGTCAGGCGAGAGATTTCTCATTGCTTGTCAATCACCGAACACGAAATCAAGTGACGCCTCGAATCTCTGGGTAAGACCTCTACAGACACTCGTCCAGAATGAGCGAAGCTTGTTTGAAACAATATCCGGGATGCTCAGGAGAAAGCTCGAGAAAGAGGCGTAGACAGCAGATCTTGTGAAGTGTTTGTGAAGCTTGATCGTGATTATGTGCATCAAGTTGCCGAGACTTTTGGAGACGCTGTAGAGCAGAGTCAACACACAGATGCTGGAGTGGAGGATGAAGTTACAAATAGACAAAGCATCGTCTGAGATGCTTCTGCCTTTGCGGACAACACGAACGTAGTTGATGGCAGCGCCGCAAGTAATAGAGACCAGAGCTTGAGCAATAGCAAACAAACGCTTGACACGTTCAGTAAGAAGTTGAGCGGCATCGGCATACTGAAGTGTTGTTCGGCAAACCACAGAGAGGACCTTGTGAGTTCTGACAGAGACATTGGCGTATTGAATAGCCTTCCTGATACATCCAACAACTCCGAGAGCGGTCTCCTGGATGATCGAGAAGATGAACTGAGCACGACCACAAGTGAGTATCATCTCAAGGCCAGAGACCACGTCAGGCAAGCAGGAGAGGAAGAGTGGCAAAGTTGTTGACAGCACGACGAACTGCTCCTACAGTGGAGTCTGACTAGAGCAGAGCAACCAAGACTGAGAGTAGAATGAGAGCCACGAGAAGCTTGAGAAAGCCATCAAGTGAAAGGAGAGGTTCAAGAGATCTCAGCATGATGATTTGTGATTGGCTTGGTTGTTATGGTAGATGTAAAGAAGAAGATTGACATGGATCTTACAGCTGGCATATATAGTATGTCTTCCTGCTTCTATGTGTTGCAGTTATTTTTCGTGTTGTCGTTAGTGAGGTTGTTCGATCAGACATTAACAGCGTGTTGAGACACGGCTTGATAGATAGACTCGTCTCAAAGCAGTACTCAAGATTGAGTTCGAAACCGACAATGGCAACTAAGGATGTGGGGTCTCGTCATAGATCATTGTGCTGATGTACGATGTAGTAGCTTAGTCTACGACTAGAAGACGCATGAGAGGAACTGCTGTCAGATCAGTTGCCCAAAAGATTGAGAAATCGAAGGTCAATGAGAGCAACCACAGCTACTAGGACAAAGACATGTGTGAAACTTCCCTCGGACCAGGTATATACGTGGAACTCTTTGACTCAAACAGGAGGACTTTGGAACGACAAAGACAATACTCTCAGAACATGAGAGACACAGGATTGCTCGAGCCGCTCAGTTCGTAATGACGATCCAGCTCCACGGGTGAAGAAGGGAAAAACGAACAAAGTATGGCAATGTAACGATTCAAGCACTGCGCATCCACTACAAAGCAAATTATCGCACTGACATCTGATTTTCAGTATCTTCAGCAACCGTCGTGGAGTTCTGTCTCGGAGACTGGATCTTAAATCGGTTCGTGTCGGCAGTCCAACGATAGGTATAAATGGCAGAGTTTTTGAGCAAAGTAGTGATGAGAAGTTTGCAGCAGCCATTTAGTCTTGTGTCATTATGATGTGTATTGTTTGAAGGTTGTTGTCCATGGCGTCTGACGCTGTTTAGCTGAACGACTATGATTGTGGTTTGAGAATTGATGGCGTTGACTGACTCGAAAAACAGCTGTGATACAAACACCTAACCATGAGATCTCAGGTTGGTTGCTTGTGGAAGCAGAAAGATCATGTGTATAATGCGTATATGGAAGAATTGGGAACAGGCAGGAAACAGGAAACAACAGATTACTTTAGTGAAGAATCTCCAGGCTACCGTTCTTGTAGACAATGACAACTATAACACAACTGATAAGCTACTTTCCAGTCGAGTTCTCTCTTCTCATTGATTCTTCTAATGTTTTTCTGATAGGTTCGCATGCGATCAAGAACGCCGAAACTCCTCTACAAAATCAAATCAATTCCCGTGCCGATCTTTCAACCAATTTGCGTTGTCTTTGACACCTGATTCTCGACTCTGCTGTACCCACGATGTCGACACAAGACTTGGGTTACCGGACAGCCTCTAGTCCTCTGCCTGAAGATCCACAACTCCGTGTTTTGAGGGGACGAACATGAGACTGAAGTATCCGATCGTTCTTTGCTGCTTGGTCACGAAGAATTCAATCATACCACCAACACCCACAATTTCACTGTCGTAAGCGGTAATGTACTCTGGAGGCATGATAGTCACAGACTCAGTGTTTACAAGCTCGGGAAGCTTGATGGAGAGGTCGTCTGAAAGACCTCTGAAAAGAGCGACAAGATCGTACTTGTTGGTGAAGTCAAACTCCTGTTGACTTCTGAGATGCAAGATGAGAAGCTCTTCTGAGCCAGGCAGCTCTTCTTCACGGGGAAGAAAAATATCACCATTCGGAGTCTGAGGGATAGAGGATTCGGGCTCGTCCAGACCTGCCATCGTGGTAAGACGTAGCCAGTAGAATCCAGCTGTCTGGCGAAGATAGTCCGCGCCATAGCTTTGGACAAGGGCTGTATGACAGAGATAGAGAATGTACATCAGACAACCAAGAGACGAAATGGAGACGAGATAGGTTCTGAAGACGTGATGTAGATCATCCTGAGAGAGCAGACCAGAAAACGAGAGCTGTAAGTACAGCGACGACAAAATGAACACAGTAACCGAAATGATAGAGAAAATCTCGAAAACTTGTTGCATCTTCGTCTCATCCTTCAGCAGCCTGCGTAGATAGCTTTTGGCGGTATCTGGAGATGCGGCGACTTTGTTGCGAGTGGTGGTGTAGAGGTCAGTGGCTTGATTGATCACAGGGAGGACGATTGGACGCAGAACGTTTTCGTTGAAGATAGCCTTGAACTGATTTGCGTAATGACCAGCAATGAATAGGGCCACATCCACAGCAGCGACAGATGCTGCAGCGAAGGCAATGAGAGTAACACCAGACCAGGTAATACCTCTTTGGAGAGCACGGCTGCCGATTGCGTGGTTCTTCTCAGCCAGAACTGCATAGAGGAAGAGGGGGAGGATTGGAACAGAGAAGCACGCAACAGATTTGCTGGACAAGACCAAGACATGGCAGATGTTGTTGGAAGTCTCGGAGACCCTGACGGACTGCCAGGCAATGTGATCAGAGAACTTGATCATTGTTACTGTTTGGCTCGTGTTCGCTTTGAAAATGAGATGGATGAGTTGTAACACAAACAACATAAGACGAGGTACCCTTGCTTTTTATGTTTTTCCAAGGCACCGTTGCACGAGATTTCATGAGTCTCACCCATGGTAACTCAGATGGTGGTTTCTGAGACACTCTTCCAGCTGTTCTCAGTGATGTCTTTGAGTGGTGCCTAGGACCGTGTTGCAGATACCACACAGACAAAGGAAATCTTAGCTCCGAGACACATCTCAAAGCTGTGTTGTAAATCTCAAGTTGAGCAACTGAGACAGCTTGACGCTTCATCCCAATGTGTCAGACAAAAAAGCGAGTTTTGGTGCATGCGGGTCTCTGAACGAGCACAGATCGACGAGCGCCGTCGATAGACAGGCTCAATGGTGTGAAAACTCGCTTTCGAGAACGACATAGGTCTCTGTTTCCGAACTCTGGAAGTTTGTTGCTCTTCCTTCAGAACATCATCCGCATCCACATCGCCCAATCCAACAGCTCATCATCAGCAAAGATGTCCTTCGTTCACGTCTCTTTCTTTGACCGCTACCCTGAGTTTAACCACAACCCTCGCGCCAGCATCCGCGATGAGTTCAATCGCCTGGCCAAGTCCCAGAACTGGACCAAGAAGGAGACCGCTAAGAAGCGCATGGAATGCTACAACGATGAGTTCGAGGGCTATTTCGCCAACCTCGAGCTCGACAGCGGGCTTGAGCGTCTTCAGTACCTCTGTGTTGAGCTCGACATTACTCCCAAGGACACTGTCACTCAGTGCAAGAAGGTATCGCACCCAGAACTTCTTATCATCATGTGATGAAACTGACATATTGTTGTGATAGGCTNNCTGAGCAGTGTCCACGTCAACATTGTTCACCTGATGGATGCTCGTCGCACCAACACCAAGGTCAAGAAGTTCTCGTCCAATGCTAGCCTCGTCCGTTACATCCGCAAGACCAAGGAGTTCTTCCCTCTGGAGGAGGCCAAGGGCGACGTCATCAAGGTGCTTCTCAGACAGATCTTCTACAAGTGATAAATCAATGCTGTGTGATAGCGACAAGTGCAGGTCGTCTTTGCTCAGGTTGAATAGTGAAGTGTATAGTCCTGGAAACCCGCAAGTCTATCATGAAGGTAGACATCTTGATCATTTCCAAAGACCCTTCCAAGTGTTTCCAAGAGCATGAGGTCCGAAGATATGCATTAAGGCCACTAAACGCTGCCGTTGACTGGATGCAACGATGTTACTCGCACCATCGGTTTGTGTCGTTGGTGTATAGTCCTGTTCGTATGTGATTGCCTCGGAAGAAGCACGATTGTCGAAATTCAGGTAGTAGCATTCTCTAGCCGATGAGAATTTGTTGCGAACAGCAGCATTTGCCAAGACATCTGCCTAAGTGTTGACGTTATACACAACAATACATCATGTAACTGTTGTGGAGGGCTACTTAGTCCTGTTTATTTTTCGGAATGAGACGCCAGGTAAATTCTGGTGACAAGGTAGCTCCCTGAAAAAGATCGATCCGAGCTCTGTAGTGCGCATGACTCGCAGCCCAAGGCAGCCAACTCCGGAGCGGGTATGCTGAAACACTTTGGTTACACAATAAACACGAAGGATCAAACGAGCCTATATCTCTCTTCGTCACTCACTCTCATTGTCCTTCTTCATCTTCTATTTCGCAAAAGTACACGGCTGATTACGCCACTACAGCTCATCCACCTTGCATCTCTCCATCATGCCGGAATTAAACGAAGTCAGCTACTCTCGCGAGGCCACTATCGCTGCCTTCCGCGATTACTATCAATTTCTTCTAGCGATGTTCTTGCCTGAACATTTTCTTCTGGAACCACCACCTGGAGGCTGGCCTGCTATTACAAAAGAAAACACGCACCTCTTAGGCAAGGNNGATGACGAAGTCTTCGAGCTTATGCGACATCTTCCCTACGTCCCGGAGGAGACGCTACTCGCGCCCTACGCCCGGGTTGGCAATTGGCCTTTCCTACTCGGCTTACATCCCAAGAATCAACAACCCTTTGACGAATCAGATGTCGAGGGCACGAGGATAATTACAGAAGGGTTGGATTGGGAGGACATCCCTTCATCGGCGTTCGGCATCACGCGTGGCGATGTCAGATTCATCCTCGACACTCGATTTGGTATTGTGCACTGGTTGGAANACCCTGGAGAAATCCAAGAAAGTGCTGCGAGAGAGCCTATCATGGAAGATTTCGACGATTGCACGCCAGAGAATGAACACGAGTGGCGATGCGGCACCGCCTGGGCCATTCCTGATTTCTTCGAGGTTCTGAAAGACCAATATAGGGATCTCAAGTACATTCCCCTACATGGGCTCCGGATCGAAGAGTTTCCTGAGGAGTTCGAGGAAGGCGATGGTCCCCTGGGAGGAGGACCTTTCTTCCGCTCGGTGAGACAAATCTACCGGGAGCACGGTTGGCCGGATCTGTCTGTGTACAAGAAGAAAGAATGTCTTGACGCTATCGAGAAGATGATCGAAGATCGCTTCCCGAAGAAGATCTATAGGCCAGTAATCAAACACGATTTCTACAGTGATTTATTTCTTGAACTTTGTGACACATATAGCCATGTGTTGCATGACAAACTCAGAGGGAGGCATGCATGTATGTAGGTCAATATACAATCAGCTGCTTTTGCTTATATCTCAGACTAGAAGCTCTAGTCTTTTACATGTTACACGATGATACGATTGGAGATGACATACCATCAAATTGTGTAGCACAAGAATATCATACTAGGTGAGACCAATATGTTTTCACCACTTGCAACGACAGACCGAGAGATGTAAACACTATGATCACGTTGAGAGACTTCATGTGCGAGGAGGAATGAAACAAAGGTTTTCAATGCATCTAGCTGATTCTAAAATAATGACACATCCCATTGAACAGCTGAGTGTAGTCCAGGTAGGTCAATCGGCGATTGTCGAGTTCCTGACCTCGGTGTCGGGAGACCGATAGAGTCTAGACTTCGTCTGACTCTACCACTTTTGTGTGATCGGATCGTACCCATTGACGCCAGGAACATAGTCCTTCTTGTAATCGTAAGGTATAACTCTGTTGTCGTAGTAGCGATCGACTTCCAGGAGTGTGAAGCCCGGATCCAGCGGCGCGATGTCTTGTGGCCAGCAAGGGTTCTGACTAAGACCATCGTCTTGGGAGAGGGCGATACCAGCATGATTCCACTGAGCAATGGTAAACTCAGGCCGCTGAGCTACCGTGATTCCAACTCTATAGATGGTCTGTGTAGCTTTGACGACATTTACTTGGCGACCAAAGTTCTTCCTATTGTCATTGGCCATGTCAACGATTTGCTGCTCAGGTAACTTCTTGAGTGGTGGCCAGAAGCAGGAGCCTTTCCACATACTGCCTGCGCCTGTGTTATCACTGTGAGGCAACCAACGCATCACCTGCGCATCTTTGTCCCGACCAGCTAGCTGGAAGGCCCGGTCACCTGGTGCCAATAGATACGCTGGTGGATATTCGTCCATGTCGCAAAGCTCTTCNNGTCTCTGTACTTCACGTTCTTCCACTCCTCGTCCCGAGCATTCGCCCCGAGTGTTTTGACGAAGCCTCCTGTGTGATCTGCAGCCCAAGACTTTGTTGCTGCAGGTGCGTTTGCCGCGTTGCGAAGCTTGCTGGGTGTGGCTGCTTCTGGTGGACATTTCAAGGTTGAGAAACTCGGGTTCTCCCTAATGACCGAGCTATAATGATAGCAGGCTTGAGACCATTTTGCACTACAGGTTGCTTTTATCTGGAGAGCCGGGGCATTTGCTTGATATGCGAGGGAAGTAATGATGTAGTTGTGGGTGGTGACTACCCCTTGGTTGCACTCGGTCGATATGATAGTGTTTGATTTACGTTTCAGGCCTGCACGCTTTCCATTCGGACACGCATTGGTAGAAGAGCTAGGGCCTGATGTGGTGCTGGGACTTGGAGCGCTTGTGGGTGCAGAGGTCGGTGGTGGGGTGGAGGGTGCAACACTCGAATCAATGGTAGAGCCAGCATCACCCTCCGAGACAGGTGCCGAGGTCGGCGGCGGAGTGGATGGTGCAGCGCTTGAGTCAAAAGAAGAGCCAGCATTGCTCTCTGATATAGGTGCAGTTGTCTTGGCTGTCGGTTCTGGCTTTTCCACATGTGATTTCTTCGGCGGGTCAGGAACTGGATCCTGCCTCTTGCATTTGGACTTGTTCTTTCTGAGGCAGCCAACACTTGTACCCAGTGAATCTGGTCCACCAAGCAAAGCTGTCCACAAGTCGAAATTCCAATCTGGAAGACCGCAAGCATCACCGACCCAGTTGTCAAAGAAGTCTGCAGCTTCGAGGCCATTCTCGGCGAATGTTTTGGCGCCTTGAACTGCGCGGCCCGCGACAGTCAAGACCTCGCCACCGGGTATGAAGTTGATACCGACTTCCAAGATATCTTTGAAAGCCTCTACCCACACCGCACAGATGAGGTTGTCAATTTTTTCAAGACCTTGAGCCACGGCGTCAAAAATGCCCGTGGCTACTTCCTCGACTTCGGGATTTGAACATTCGCAAGGGGCCCTTTAGGTAACACTAATTAGCCTTTAGTCTTAAGTAATAAGAACTACTTACGGGACCCAGCGGAAACCATTGTCGTCGGTCTCGATGATGCTCTGATCACCGTTCTCGATATCGATGTTTGCGTATGAGCTAGCGTCGCACNNTGCGTGGTTGATTAGACCTGGTATGTGGAAGATTATGAAACTATGTGGTAGAGTTGGACTTACACCATCGTATCCATGCCCGCCATTGTTTTTGCAATACTCGGTGCATGGGTCCGGATACCACGAAGGTCTTTCAGCAAAGTAATGAAAGCAAAGGCCCTGCTGTGTGTAGGAAGCAATTGTCTCGTCCATTCTGACTGACCGCCCTTTGAGGGTCTTCAAATGATTCGACTGGACAGATGCTCCAGGTAGACCATCCGCCACAGCCTGGTGGGCAAGGAGTGACCTCTCGTGCCTGGGTAGAGCGGACACTCTTGAGAAGACATGGCTGATGAATAACAATGGAAGAAAGAGCATGTTGGGGATGCAAGAGGTTAGCTGAAACGAAGATATCAGATGTCCTGGACTCGCATCCAGTGTCTACTTATACCGTAGATGGACATTTCCTGATCTCTGCCTGGACCGAGCCAACATGGTTGAAAGGCCACCCATAAGCTGCAAACCCCGACAGAGAGTCTATCATCAAAGGAGCCTCTTCCCACGATGGACCAGGCTAGTGGCTCAGCAGCTCAATCAGAAGCGGGTCCATAGACACGGTACGATTCAGTCCACGATTTCAGGAGGAGTAGCCGCCACCAGTGCTCCATGTTGGTCACATTCTACCCGCCGACATTGTTGGTGAACTATTCCTGCTTCTTGCCAAGGATTTATGCAGCTTTTCAAGCGCTTGACAGCCCCTAATAATCAAAACCGTGGTGGACCAACGATGTAGGACATTCCAACCTACTGTTAGTGATTTTAAGGCACAGTTTTGCCGCTCTGTGGGGATTCCCCGAAAGTGCTGCTGTACAGCTACCAAGTGTCTTCTGTTTAACACATGGGCTCAACATCGGCAAAACACCCCTGCTAGGAATCATTGTCATATACCAAGTCAAACTCACTGCTCAAGATTATACAAGGACTCTTTAGTCTCCGAGATACTGAGTGGTACGGGAAGTGACCGATTGTTTGACTTAGGTGATGCTGCAAGGAAGTTCGACCGAACATGGCACCTGCTGAGATGCCGACACATCATCGATTTTAATCCGTAAGATCAGCTTGATGGAGACAGAAAGCCCTGTCGAAGAGGCATAACGAGCCGACTGGTTCGCTGTTGAGTCCATCGAGAATTTGGTCGTCGAGCGTCGGGTGTGTCATGTTATGCTTGCTCGAGCATCGCCAATGGCCCGATAGGAGTTTGCGCCATCGGATCGTCCCCAATCTGATGCACAGTCCCTACATGAGACCCTCTTTGACCTAAAGGATCATTGCAGGGAGCCAGATACGAGTCGTGAATATCAGGCAGCCAGTAGTTCTGGGGGAGTGGTTCTGTGGAACTGAGTTGTCACAAGGCAGCCGCGCGCCTAAGCTCACGGTCGAAAGAAGCCGAATCGGCCATTGCCCTGACAGTGCCAAGAAGCGCGCCTTGGCGGCAGAATCCTTGAGCAATCTATCCTGACTCTCCTGTACCAAATTCGCGACTTTTGAGTGCGTCTGGTTCCCTTCGAAGGATGAGATTCGAAACACTGATACATTAAGATATGGTCCAGTTGTTTGAGTAAGGCGCCTGGTGCCTTCAGTGAAATCGTCGCCAATGACCACCATGCGACACTCGTCTCGCCTTCCATGTCCTAGTCATGACCAAGCCATCCTTCGGAACTTGGTATCGAGGCTTAGCTCGTCTTGAACTGTGCTTGTCCTGCGAGAGCAGCTTTGACCTTGTGAGTTCGACGCTCTGTTCGACCGTAGTCGAGCTGCTTTCTTTCATGATTCTCTTTCGTTCCTTTATACTCATCCCAACATTTTGCTTCCTGTTTAATTATTCTTTTACGTGGCTCTCACTTTTCACCTTATCTTCGTTGAGTTGCAGGCTGTCAGTTTTTGTCGTCTTGCGGGCAAGCGATGCGTGTTTCCACCCTTCTTTCGTACTCATTATGGAGTCTTTCGCTCTCATTGTGTCCCGCTAGGGTGAAGGCATTGACTCTAGATGTTCAGAGCGCAGGTATGTCGGCATAATCCAACCATGCGCGCGTTCTTCTTTACTTTCCTTACACGTTCCAGNATTCAATCAAAGATACGGCGTCAAAGATCGCTTACGATCTTATGAGCCGCTATACTGGCAACAACACCGGTGACGTCCCTGGCAATCTCCCTGCGCCTTATTACTGGTGGGAAGCCGGTGCAATGTTTGGAGAAATGGTCGAATACTGGTACTACACAGGCGACACGACTTACAACGCTGAAGTACTTCAAGCCCTTCAACATCAGCGAGGCAAAGCGAATAACTACGAGCCATCGAATCAGACCGCGAGTTTGGGCAACGACGATCAAATGTTCTGGGCTTTCGCGGCCATGACCGCAGCAGAACTGGGTTTTGATAATCCTGCGGAAGAAGATCCGTCGTGGTTGGCACTCGCGCAAGCAGTTTTCAACCGCCAAACCTCTCGCTGGGATCCCGATACCTGCAACGGTGGTTTGCGCTGGCAGATGATTCTCGCAAATGTTGGTTATGACTACAAGAACTCCGTCACAAATCTTGGACTGTTCCAGCTCTCGGCGAGACTAGGAAGATACACCGGAAACCAAACATATATCGACTGGGCCAACAAAATTTGGAACTGGTATGAGCATAGTAGTCTGTACGATCCTGAAGAGTATAAAATCTGGGATGGTGCACATACGACCGAGAATTGCACCGATGCTTCTCATGAACAATGGAGCTATACCTACGGTATCCTTACCGCTGGAATGGCATATCTCTACAATCATGTAAGTTTCGCTTCGCAGAAGACACAGGGGCGAAATGCTTACAACTCAATCAACAGANCCGAGAACGAAGTATGGCTAACCAAGATCGACGGCCTGCTGAACACGACATTCCAAACTTTTTTCCCTCAGAACATGGGTCCCAATATCATGGTGGAATGGACCTGCGAACCATTGGGCGTCTGCAACAACGACCAGCGCTCTTTCAAAGCCTACCTCTCGCAATGGCTGGCTAGAACAGCCCAGCTGGTGCCTGCCCGCTATGACACCATCATGCCATATTTGCGAACCTCTGCAGTAGGAGCCGCGGGTCAGTGTGGTGCGGATGGTAAGAACTGCGGACATACGTGGAACACGACTGTTTCGGATGGGACTCAGGGGGTGGGTGAGCAGATGAGTGCGTTGGCTGTTGTGCAGGTCATGATGCTGGACAATGCTGATCTCAAGCCCCCATATACTACCACCACCGGCGGAACCAGCAAGTCTGATCCAAGTGCTGGTACTGATGGTTCTGATGTTGGTGGCGAGACAGATCCTAATCACATCTCGAGGCGACCGATCACGACTGGGGATCGTGTCGGTGCAGGCGCCGTCACTGCGGGTATATTGTTGACCATCATCGGCGGGACTACTTGGTTGGTATGGGCAGGATGATGATTGCATAGTTTTGAAGCGAGATATTGAGGTTCTTCCGAAAACGATTTCTTTTGCACATGAGAAACGAACTACCCCTTCCTAGATGCACATGGTTTACTTTGAGTTTTAACACCTGGCTACATCTCTTCTTTATCATGACCGATCTCAATGATTTATCTAGGTTCGGATGCTCGTATACCCTTCTGTTTCTTCATTGTCTGTCAAACGCACCTTCCCTATGCTACAAGCGTTGTTTGTTTGGCCACTTGCACTCAGCTTCCAAGCTGTATGCTTTGCGCCTGCCGTTTCAATACTACTCGCAGCGTGTTATTTTCTCGATTCTTCATTGCAACACATCGACAACTTTCTATCAAGTCACCATTGTGTCGACCTTTTGAAAGCAACCGAAATAGAGTTATTCACGGCCGCACTTTCCATCTTCCCCAGAAACCACACCTCTCGAACCAATTACTGTCAGTTTAGTATCTCAAAACTTATCCACAAGGTATATCTGTCTACATCATCTGGTCTATGATTCTGTAGCTAACGCGTCTCTTGTCAGCGACTGGTACACGCCTCCATCCCGCCAGGAACCAAAGATGCCGTCCTCACAGGAACCAAACATGCCGCCCTCGCAGAAACCTCAGAGATTCGACACTTTGGCTCCTTACCCAAAGAACTACGCTACCCTCAGTAATCTACCCCTCGGCTCTCACTTGGATGCATGCGGATGGACTGACTCAGATACAGTCACGCATTATCAAAAGCAGGCTGAAGACCAGCGCAAAGAGAGTGAGGAACTGGACAAGAAGTTTAAGGCGTTGAGTGAAGAATCCAAGGAAGCTAAGGAGACTGTTAAACAATTGCAAGATCGTATTGCTAAGGCTAGCTCTGCTTCGCGCTGATCATTCTTTGGGAATCATGGGTGAGAGAGATTCGAAGGACGGCTTATGTTGCTATTGAAGCGACCTCAGATGGTCCAGAACACGAGATGCAGAAGGGAATGAGGGCTCTCGAAGAACGCAGTGACGGGAAACTGTAAGTTGTTTCGAGCCTATTCAGATTCCTCAAAACGCCAGCGGCTCAAAGCTGGAAAGCCGTCTCTCATTCCCTATCTCGTGTCGCCATGCCGTCAAGATGTTTGCATGTTGGTCTCCAGTCCCCCGAGACATCAAAATTGTATCCTCGGCAATCGCAAGTATCTCCCTTCCCCCAACTTCACTATCTTTCCAACATCAAGTGAAAATGTCAGCTCACAGCCATCTACACAGATCTCCCTGCAAGATCTCTTGCGTAAAACCCATCACTCCCCTGAGCTCTCTTTTTCGTTTCGCCTTCCCAGTACCAGCTCTCTCCCTTCAGACCCTTCGCTGCTGACGAGGCGGCCAAGGACTTAGACAAAACAATTCATTCTCAATCTTCCACTCATACTCATCAAAAGGCGCAAGAGGAAGATCAGTAGCCGCCTCCAATCTCTCTGCCAAAGTCATTTTATGCCAGTCTTTGAACATTCCAGCATGCCTCTTGGTTTTGGGTTTGTCGGTGGCTGTGGAGTTCTGAGTTGAAGAAGGAATACCGTTGCTGGTTGTGTGGTTTTGGATAGCGGTTGTGTTGTTGTGGCTTGGAAGTGAGATGGGATTGACGTTTGTGGGATTTAGAGGGGTATTGTTTGTTGGGAGTTGGGTGGCATTGTTTTGAGGGCCAGGCGAGTCGTTTATCTGGGATGAGGAAGTGGTATCTCTGATGGAAGTGATAGGATGGATACGCCCGTAGATGGGGAGAACGGTGGCAGCATTCTGATTGGGGGTAGACATGATTGATGTATTGAAGACTTGTTGGCGACCAGGAAGATGCGGATGTGAGAGATGGTCGGCAATGCAGTGGTCTCGGTTAGATTCGGTGGCCTTGAGTTGCGTCTGTTGCCTCAAGAGCATCGGAAAGCAGACGTAGATATGTTTTGTTGTTGGACCATGGATCGGTTTCCAGAACTAATAGCTTCTCACAAGCAAGAAGTGTTTGTATGCATCGATCTCTTTCTTTCACTCCAGTAAAACGGACTTTCGCCCTCAATGACTATTGCAAGATGTTAAAGACACAAAAACATGCAAACCAATTTGCCAGGCAAAACCGTGATTCAGAGTGAATCAGGGGTACAGAAACAAAGACCAGTCTTTGTCCCCTCAGCTCGTGAATTCGCAAGTCTCGCGTGGAAGGTCAGCAGTAACACAATTGCACACAGCGTGTCTCCCCAATCCATTGTGAAAGCATTCAAGAAAGACAAATGCAAGTGACATTGATAGAAGCAAAAGAAAAGCCTGGTGGAAGAGTCAGAACCCAGTACCTCCTGATGATACAACGAACCCCTATGATTCACCATTGCATTACATGTACAACACAACCTTCTGTTTATACAAGTAGTGACTCCTCAAACAAAGAGCAAGAAGAATCCCGAAGAGCACATCCAACCAAAACTACCAAAAGGAAGGGACTCATAATCTTGACCGACGATTAATCCCAGCCAAACACCCATGGTATAGTGCAACAAGACAGGCACCTAGTCTCAGTCAAGTTCAGGGGGGATATCTTTCCGCCACACCCAAGTGACATGGAACTCATCGTGCTCTCGCCATCTGATAGGCCAATGGGGATTTTTGAATATATACCCTTCACTACTCTGTTGAGACTTGGCAGTAACTGCACCTGCAAACATATTTGAGGAATATGAGACAGATAGGTTGCTGCAGTGGAAGATAGCAAAGATTGGCTTTGGTGTGTTTTGCTACATCCGGACTAACTACATCGAAGAGTGCAAAATAACGACCTCACACTCCAAGAATAGATCAAAGCTGCTTGAATACCACCAAAAGAAAGGACAATAACAGCAAAGCCTGAACCCAAATTCTTGGAAAGTCATCTAACTCTGAGTCCACCACGCGAAACAATACCACCGCCTAAGAATACTGTATGCTCGCTTTGTACCCCAATCAAACTCTGCCTTGTTATCTATCATCGCTCTTCAACCTCTTTTTGTGCATATGTAATCATAGACTAGTTGATTCTTCTTCAAGACCATCGACCTTTGCAATGATTGGCACCGTCCAATGTGACTGCTTCTTCGATGACCAACCTGCTTCCTCAAGACCAAAGACATGTGCATCAGATCAAGGTCGATGGATTCTCATTGGATCGGAAAAGAGAGTTGAAGCATCATATTTCGTAAACCCGGATGGCCTGCTAAGCTCAGTGAGCTGTCCTGGCTTGATTAAGTGCCCGCAGAAGCTGGCGTGTAGATAGCTTCTGACCCAGAAGTATTCGTCGAACTTGGTGTGTACATTACACCATCAGTAGCAGAGTGCGAGCTGCTGACGACGGAACCAGTGGTAGCGGGAGTATAGATCGCAGTAACATCTGATCCTGTATCTGAGCTCGTAGGCGAGTTCTGCGCGAGAGACCGAAGATATCTGACATAGTCATCAACCCCAAGATAGTCTGGATATCGGAAATGACCAGTCTCAAGAGCAGATGATGGCGTCAAGATAGATCCAGAGGTCGACGTGGTTGTTGGCGTGAACGTTCTCACGACTCGACTTGCAAATGTATCTGTGGTTGCCGGTGTTATGTTGAGTTTCTTGTGACCAGAAGCAGCAGAGGCAGACGAGCTTGGTGTGAAAATTGCCGCAGATGAGGGCCGAAGTTGCGGTACCGCGTCTGTGGATATCATCCTCATATCCTCTGCCCAAAGACTCAGGACTCAAGTTCCCATGCTCATTAGACCAGTTACGATTGTTGTCGTTATCCAGAGTCTTCGATTTTGCAAGTCGGTACCGTGTATTGCCACTGCGAGATTTGGAAGATCTGACCGGCTCAGGACTCAAGTTCCCATGTTCGTTAGACCAGTTGCGATTGGGATCATCATCCAGAGTTTTGATGTTTGTAAGCCGNNATCGCGTTCATTGCCACTGAGGATCTTGGGCAATATCGCCGACTCAGGACTCGGATTTCCATGTTCATTGCTCCAATTACGATTAGGGTCATTTTCCAACCAATCCCTAAGTTTCATCGTGCGAGCAAAACTATCNAACTTCCAGTTCCGATGGAACGCTCTTCCTCGGGTACTTGCTTTTGATGATCTCGGGGTCGCTTGGCTTAGATCTCCTTTTCCTCTGTCTGTTTTGTGTATTCTCTTTCATCTCGAGGTATTCAGCAAANNGGCAACGACCAAGCACAAAACAACATACACACCACCAACACAACCATAAAGAACAAGCATCTCTGAATGATACTTGGCGATGAAGTCACACAGCGGAAGCAATAATTAAAGAAAGGCTCCAAAGCAGACGAAGCAGATTTTGGACGAGGGGTTGGTGTAGATGGATGTCGAGATGGCGAGGGCAGCGAGGGATAGAGTGGTGAGAATGACTTTGATGACCATGATGATGTAGAGGAAGATCCTGGAGACGGATGTGATGGTGATCAGAAGGGCTTTGTGAATCCAGCCCTTGCTGTGGAAGATATTGTTGAGTAGGCGGAAGACCACGGCGATGGTGATCTGACCAACAACCAAAACAGCAAGAGCGATATCATGCAAAACAGAAATAACAGTCCTCTCAACAACCGTATCAGATGGATCAGCAGCACGCACAGCAGGTCTCCTCATGGTCGATACCGAATTTTGTGTACTGTAGCGAGAAATAACTAGTACTGATTGTCTTGTCGAAAAGTAAGAAGAAGGAAAAGAAGAGATCTGACCACCTTAAGTACTTCCCGAAAAGATGCCTTGACCAATGTGTTGGTGTTGCCAGAAGTGTGAAACTGCAGAGAGGAGAAAAGTGTTGCTGTTTCACCTGAATTTCGATGAATCAGAACATTCCTACGCGATGAGACAAGTGTTCTTCGAGTTGTCCCTCAGTTGTTGGTGACTTGTCTTGTCTCGAACCCGAAGATAATGTCCCTCATTCACGAATCTGGATCAAAGTGTCTGTCTCTGGTCACAAGCCGAAGTTATGGGCCGGCAGAAGATGCAAGAGATGAACAGCTTTTCTTGAGAAGATCACAACGCGCTGTCAGACGGAAAGACCAAAACAATAGAGTAGAAGAAAAACAATCCTGGTATTTCAGAAAAGGCGTCGATAAACCAAGAGATACCGCCCCAATATGAAGTAAGAAAGAATAAAGAAGAAGCGCAGAATTTCCATGGGCAGGATGCAATCAAAAAGTGTATCAGGGGTGTGAAAAGATGGTAAGACGAAACAAGAGAAAAAAACGCCAGTGAACTTGATGAACCCGCTCAAGATGCCATTCCTTACTCAACGACAAACAACAACAACCTTTACCTCAAAGACAACCTTCTAGATCCCAGCTTCTTGCTCGTTGCTATGATGTTGGTGAAGTCCGTTTTGCCCGTTCAATTGACTCCAATCACCCATATCACCTCCTTCGCCATCCTCGCCTCCTTCGTATGCTTCCTTGGCCATGGCGCCGCCAGCGTCAAGCTGTTGTTGCATGACCGCTTGAGCGGACACAATCTCTGCTAGTCGCTTTAGTCGCGGTGTCTGCAGCCATGAGGGTGTGTATGTCTCGAGTGCTGTAATGACACGGGGCTCGGCGATTTCGTAGGGGCCGCTGTCGTCCATGTCAACGGCGGGTAGAAGGAGGACGTCGGTCTTGGGATCGGTGACACGGGAAGCAACGGCCTTCATGATTTCGCCGTTGATGGGTTGTTCGTAGTCAGCGACAAGGTATTGGTTGAGAAGCTTTTGAATTTGGTTGGGTGAGAGNCCTAGCATTTGGTCAGTATTTGTGATTCGAGACAGTTCAGAACAGGGAGATACTTACATCCAGCAAATGTCCTGGATGATCTCAATGTCGTTGAGTGTCGCCTTCTTGAGCTGCAAAAGCTTTGTGGCTTGCATGAGGTGCTCAAGTTGGAGAGTACCCTCAGGCATATCGTGGCTCTTGCACCATTCCTCGATTCTGGTAATGTTGTAGTTGATTTGCAAACCACGCTTCCATGAGAGGAAGTTACGGCGCATGAGAAGATCGTTGAAGGCGGTTACACCAACAAGTCGGAGAAGCTCAGTGATGGTTTGGGTAATGATGGAGTCTTCGAGGTAGAATGCCTTCATGGCCTTGAACACGTTGTTGAGGAGGGAAAGTAGATTGTCCATGCTGAAGGCAGGAGCGTTGTTGGATTGCAGAAGCTTGCCAAGGAAGCGGTTGCTCTCGTTGGTGACAAAGCCAGGAAGTGATTGAGACTCAATGATGGCAGGAACGATCATCTTGTGCAGCTTCTTCTTCAACACCTTCATCCAAGTGTGGTAGATGTTGAATTCAAGACTCTCCAAGTCGTGCTTAACAATCTCGAGAAGACGGTCGTATTCAAAGTTGTCAGTCTTTTGTGCCTCGTACCAGTCTTCAGCAAGGAAGACGAACGAGAGCATCTCGTGGACGTTTGAGAGCCAGAAAGCACCAGGGTTGACTGCCTCGTCGCCATCGTGCTGCATAACCTCTTGCTGAATAGACTGCATAACATTGGCAAGGAAGCGCTCGGACTCCTTGACGAAGCCATTGTTCCACATCTCAGAGGTAACGAGGTTGATAAGATATGCTGGGAACAAGACTTCCTTGTCGGTAGGTGGTGGTGTAGATCCAGGAGAAGGAATCTTGAGGTTTCTGATAAGACCCATTGATACTTCATCGTTCAGAGAATCTTCATTGGCAAGCAGGTTCTCAAGCTCCATCTCAACATTCTCCAAGTCAGGCTTGAAGGTAGATCCGGAAAGAGTTTGCTGATGACCGCTAGTAGCACCGAATGCCATCGATACGGGCCGAGGGTTGAAAGTACCACTGAATCTGTCGGTGTTGGTAGGCTCGAAGCCAGCACTGCGGCGCTTGGGCTTCTTTGAAGATGACGAAACAAGGTTGATGAGACCACTGGGCTGACCGGCGGCGCCATTGGTCATCTCGCCATTGATAGGAGCAGCACGCTTGGCATGCTCCAGCTGATCTTGAAGTTCTGCCAACTGTTGCCTCAACGACATTTTCTCGGTCTCGGAAACGTTGATGCTCTGCCTTGAGTTCTCCAACTCTTCCGTGGTCACGCGGAGCGATTCGCGTAATGTCTTTTCCTCTTCCTGAAGTCTGCGCATACTGGTCGCAGATTCCTCGTAGCTGTGTTGCAGTTTGGCCATTTCTTCTTCGAGCTGACCAACCTTGGCAGCGCTCATGCCAGCCTGGTTTGCCTCTGCCTGGAGCTCCTTTGCCCTTTGCTCCAGTCCCTGTGTACGGTTCTTCCAGGTGTTGAGCTGATTCTCATAGTTTTGTACTTGATGCTTGAGAGCCTTGTTCTCGGTTCTCACAGCGCCAAGCGACTGGGTAAGCTCGACGACCTTATTTTCAAGCTTGTATGAAATTTGCTTGAGGTCTCTAGCCTCCTCACGCAAACCCTTGTAAGCCTTACGAGCTTGCTTACCTCTCCACAGACCTTGGACGAGAACCACCTTGCGTCTGTAGTCGGTCCATTCCTTGCGCTGCTGACCAGATCTCCAAGCTCTCTGAATGGTACGAGCAGCATTTCCTAGTCTCGTGTCCAGAATGTTCTTGCGGCAGAGGTATCCCTTGGTCGCCGCTTCGAACTGGATGAGATTGTTGCGGACAAGTAAGAAGTTCTTCCGTTCCTTTTGGCCTCTCCACACCCGTTGGATTGTGGTGGCAGCTTTCGTGCGCCGCGCATCGTCTGCATTGCGCCGTGCGACGCATCCTCGCACAAGGGACTGAAACCCACGAACAGAGCCGATTGCTTCGAGGTAGCGGCGGCGGTAGTATTTGGCACGAAGATTCTTCTGGATCATGATAGCCGCATCGTTGAGGCGGCTGGTTCTCAGGTTCTCGAGGAAGGCAAGCATTCCGGCACGGAAGAAGATCTTGGTCAGACCAAGCTGGTACTTGCTTGTAGCATCGTTGGCAGCTCCGCCAAGTGCCTGAGTCAAGATAGCGTTGGCCATGTCTCTGAGATCGGAGGTCCATAGTGTTGATGGTACAAGCATGTAGTATCGAAGGGCAAACTCTTCGTAGGTCCATCTTGTAGGATAGCCAGCACAACTGATTCTGACGGTCTCAAGAACACCACAAGCACGCAGTTGACTCAAGACCATGGGACCTTCGAATTTCCAGGCTTCCTTGGCTTCGTTGGGCTTGATACAGCGGATGTAGTGCACGTCGGTAGAGTTGATGGTGCTCATCAGTTCAATCAAAGACGACTTGAAGATACCACCAAGAGTAGGCTTTCTTGCCGTGGCAGCACCAGGTCTCTTTCCGGGAGCTGTAACAGCGGAAGGCTTGGTTTGAGCAGCTGCGGTGTCGCGCTCGCGCACAGCAGAAGCAGCCTCGAGAATCTCGGTAAGGAAAGCGTTGGACGAGGCACGAAGAACCTCCATGTGCTCGTCGGGAACTGTATCTCTGTTCTTCTCGATGAATCCGTCAGACTCGTATGCGACATCAACAGCATAATGGCAGACAGTGAAGGCCGACTTTCCGAAACGAGGCTTCTTGAAGAACTTTGACTTGCTGTCGCCGAAGCTGGTGTGGAGCTTGGTAACGAAAGATTCATCGGAACCCATGGGCAGTCTTGATTCTTCATCCAGCAGGGCAAGAACACCAAGCTTGCCTTCAATCAGATCGATACAAGGCTGGTTGTCAGAGAAATCAATGAACTTCCAGTCAATCTCTTCGCGAAGATATTCTTCTTGTTCGAGCTTGAAGACGTGCTGGTTAAACTCTTGCTGGAGCTTCTCGTTGGCATAGTTGATACAGAACTGTTCGAAGGAGTTCTTTGCAAAGTGCTCGAAACCGTAGATATCCAAGACACCGATGAAAGAGTTGACGTTTTCGAGGACCTCAGGAGTGGCCAGACTGCTGTTGAGGATCTCGACCAGCCAGTCGAACAAGCTAGAGTAGATATACTTGGCGACCGAGTCACGGACGACGGTGGCTTGCTGTTGGGTCAGGTTTGATGTAATCTTCTCACCTCTAGTGACAAGCTGTTTCTTGACTGTCCATTTGGCAAAGCTTTCGGCATCAATTCCAAGGAGCTCGCAAGCCTTGACAACAGAAGGGTCGGTAGCGGAGAGGTTCGAGTCGGTGCGAGTAGCGATGATCTTGATGTTTCCGATATGCAACAGAGCAGCGAGGATTTTCCAGATCGAGGACTGCTGTTCTGTAGAAACACCGATTCTGGTCAGGGCCTCCTTGGTGTCGCTGAACTCCTTGGCGTCATCCAGACCATCAATCTGGGCAGCATTGCCCTGGTTGAGATAGTCAAACTCTTCGACGGGTATCAAGCCAAGCTCTTCCTTTTCAGCATCCGAAGCACCAGCGACAAGTTGATAGAAGATGTGGTAGTTCCTCTCCTTGAGTGGCTGGAAGACCAATCTCGAACGCTCGAGCAGGTATACTCTGATTCTCGCACCAATGATGTCCGTCTTCTTGTCAAACATGATCTCAATATACTTTCCGAAACGGGACGAGTTGTCGTTGCGGGTTGTCTTTGCGTTACCGAAAGCTTCCATAATGGGGTTGGTAGCCAAAATCTGCTCTTCAGTCTCGCTCATGCTTTCAACGCGGCCCTTTGAGCGAGAGCCAGGCTGGTCGGGAGATTCTCTCGTCGCAAAGTAGCGCATGATGTATTTGGCGGAAACGGTCTTTCCGGCACCTGACTCTCCTGAAACGACAATGGTCTGGTTACGGCCATCTCTCAGCATATCCNNCTGTGTTGTGTTAGCATATAGGTATGGCGCTGGTGTGTTTCGCACGTACGCGAAGGCCTCCTCTGCTATAGCAAACAAATGCGGGGCTTGTGTTTGGCGCTGCTTGCCGGCGTAGATCTGGACCATTCCCGGTACATAGAGCGAGTCGACGCGGGCGAAGGGATTGGTAGCAATAAGGACGATACCCGAGTATGTGTAAATTTCTTTCTGTGCATATCGTAGTTTGATGGCTTGTAACACTGTATGCCTGTGTCAGTGCTGTCGTGGGCGGGCAGGGGAGCGAGGTGGAAAGGAGTGGTTACCTGCGGGCTCATTCAGATGCGAAAGATTGGTCAAATCGTCAGAGGCCTCCAACATTGTTGGGTTCATCAGCGGCGGCAGCTTTGGGTCTTTGCCGTCTGCGATTGCAGCCAGTGTTGTCTCGATTGATTTTGTCNNTGCAGCGAGCCATGAGCGCCGTACTCCAGGGTTTGTTTGGTCTTGTTGTGGGCATACCTCTCCATTGGCCAGCTGGAAGATCAGCGTGACCTTCTCTCCGTCAACGTTCTTCTGCTCGACCTCGGAGGCAACCCAGCCTTCGGTGGCATCGGGCTGCCAGGCCTTGGTGCCGACATCATACGTCGCTGCCATGGTGGCTCGGGGGCGGGCAGTCGAGGGAGGAACGAAGGACGATTAGTGGTGTGTCGCAGCCGTGAATAGTCGTGTCGGCGAGCAGGTCAGAAGTGCTGCAACATTCAGGAAAATAGACGCTCTGGGGAGAAAGAAAAGAAAGACAGTTGCAACCCCGACGACTCCAGGTCCAGCAAAAGATTAGGACTGCAGAATGGGTATTATGGTGAGAAGTTGTCGTCTATCTTTTGGTTCAGGACCCTCTCGCTCGCTGTCTGCCGATTCCACGGCATCAACATTTAGAGCCCAGTTAAGGGGGCGTGCACGCACCACCCTCTGCACACCTCGTGCTCCCCGCAAATCGTTCCGAAGCATAAACACACGACTTGGAAACAACGAGACTGAACAACTTGTGCCTTGTGCTACTCACATGTGCTGCTCGTGATATTTACAAACAGCTCTTGTAGCACCTTTGCAGACAGCAAAGTGGTTGTCTTAGCTTTGTCAACAACGTGCTCTGATCTTGTGAAATCGTGAATGCTTCATCTTCCAAGCATTCCACTGAAGCACATGGGTGGAGACAGGCAAAGTTACTGTGAGCAACACATCCAAGGGCAACAGCAGACCGCTCCTGGCCTGAGAAGCCTTATAGACCTAGTACCACAAATCCGTCATAACACATGGATATGTGACCTCTCTCTGATCTATCCCCACAGCTGAGTTGAATGCTTGTCACTGACGCTTGCTCACAACAGTGAATTGAAAACATGGTCAGGGTGCTACTTTTGACAACTACCTAATAAAAGCAATTCCTTCCTCCTAACCCTGCCTCTGCTGCAACGTGTCAACTCCACTGACAGATTTTCGAATGAGTAATGGCAGAACACGTAAGATCTGAAGCACAGCCATAACAAAGACCAGTTGACGGTCGAAGCCTGGCCTTACGCAATATCAGGCAACCAAGACGTTGAACAGCTGGACAAGCGGTCAGCTAAACAATTAAGCCTCAAGAAATCAACAACGTCGTCATTCATGAAGACAGTACTCCATAACATATACTCGTTGCTTGTTGAATTGTTTTTATTCTCTCACCCTCTTGATGGGCTCTTGTACCTTCTTAAACGAAGCTCATTTGTATATTCAAAACAAAGAAATAATATAATCAAAACAATCGCAGCGTGCTTTTTCATTTCCCACATGCTCCCAAAGTCGTTACTCCGTATTGAATGCCAATCTCTCTCCTTTATACCCTTTTTGCGAGCCAGTCTTTGCCGACTCCTCACGTCTATTTTTGTTCTAACCAGGAGGAAAGAAGGAAGGAGAAGCACGTCCGGTCTAGTACAAGACTCTGGTTCTGACACAAGAGCCCAGATCCTCGAGGCTGTTGTACAGCTTGGCGATGTCTCCTTGGTTGACATCACTAATATCGGCCATGAGGTATGCAACATCGCCTCTTGAGTCGGTCATCTGCTTGTCGACGTTGTGCTCGCCAAGAACCTCGTTGACACGTCTCAACACACCAGGGACGTTCTTGTGGATGTAAATGATACGGACGTGGTTGGGCTCGTCGGCAGTCAAGCTGCGGAGGTTGACCTCGGGCATGTTGACGGCACCAACAGTGGAACCCTCGTTGACGTACTTGGCAAGAGCCTCTGCGACTTCGACACCAATGGCGCTCTGGGCCTCCTCGGTGCTACCACCAATGTGGGGAGAGAGAATCAGGTTCTTGAGAGATCTGAGGTCTTCGGCCCAGGTGTTGAGCTCGTTGGTGAAGTACTGGCCGTTGCCGGCGGGCTCGTGAGGGAAGACGTCAATAGCAGCACCAGCAACCTTTCCACTTCTCATGGCTTCGACGAGAGCAGGAATGTCGACAACAGTACCTCTTGAGGCGTTGATCAGGTAGCTGCCCTTGCGCATGTAGCCGAACTGCTCAGTGCTGATCATGTTCTTGGTCTCGGGAAGCTCGGGAACGTGGAGAGTGACAAAGTCAGCGCCCTCGAGAAGAGCCTTCAGAGTGGGAACCTGCTTGGCGGTACCCATGCTCATGAGGTTGATAACATCGTAGTAGATGACGGTCATACCCATAGCCTCAGCCAGGACGGAGAGCTGGTTTCCGATGTGACCATATCCGACGATACCAAGAGTCTTTCCACGCACTTCCCAGCAGCCGGCAGAGACCTTGTTCCAGACACCATTGTGCAATTCCATGCTGCGGTCAGTCAATTGTCTGGCGAGGGCAATGATCTCAGCGATGACGAGCTCGGCAACGGAGCGCGAGTTTGAGAAGGGAGAGTTGAAGACGGCGATACCAGCGTTGGCGGCATAGTTGAGGTCGACCTGGTTGGTACCGATACAGAAGCATCCAATGACAATGAGGTTCTTTGCGTGCTCGAGGACCTTGGCAGTCAACTTTGTCTTTGAGCGGATACCGATGACGTGGACGTCCNNCTGAGAAAGAATGTTAGGGAGAGGAAAAATGTGTGCATGATATATGACATACTTGATCTTCTCAATGAGCTGGTCCTCAGGCAGCGAAGCCTTGAGTGCCTCAACCTGGTAGCCCTGTTGTCTCAGGATGTCCTGGCCCGTGACGTTGATGTTCTCGAGTAGCAAGACCTTGACATCTTGGGTGTTGAAAGGCTTCAGCTGCTTAGCAGAGACGGATTGAGAGTTGGAACGGTGGCTGAAGCTCGCTGACGGCGAGGTGAAAGTGTGAGTAGGGCTGGTGGAGGGGTCGAAGCTGTTGGTGACAGCAGAGGGGTCGTCGCGGTTGCGAACGGGAATGTTTTGTGCAGCAGACATGTTGTCGATGTGATTAGAGCGATCAGAGGAAGAAGAAACCAAAAGAGGTAAAAGAAAGCCCAGAGTGAATTGGGAGACGAAGGGAACAGGGCGAGTATTTTTGAGAGGTCAAACAATGGCCGCAGTGCCTCTCTGAGTCAAGTTGCGCAACAACAATTTCTCAGACGTTCCCGATGACGGCCATGCGAATAACGCCATCGTTCCAAAATCCCACCGACTCCCGCGCCACATCTCCAGCCCCCAAATCCCGACTCCACATTTTTAAGACTCACCACAGTCTTTGTTCTCGTCTTTGTCAGGCCGTCACCATATTTGATGACTAACAACACCATATTCGAGTCATCGAGGCTGTAAGCCCCTGTTCACAAATAATCACATGTCGCCGTACTCTTGTAAAACATGTCTTGATTCTAGTCGTGATGCTATTCAACACAACAAACTGCACCACCGAAAGCGCCTTACACCGTCTGCGAGTGACGATCGTCTGTTGCCCGAGAGTATGATTATCAGCTATATAGGGGACAAGAGAAAAAAAAGATGAACGTTGCCAATTGGTCTGAAGACAGAAGAAGAAACAACGCCGCTGCGGAAAATGAAAAGAGGACATCGAGCTGCGTGAGAGGAGGGAATGGTGCTGCGTCAAGGAGCGTGACTTTTTTTGTAGTCCAATCCAGGATGCGTCGGGTGTCGAAGGGCTTGCTTGGGTAAGTAGAGCAGGCATGTACATGGCGAGACCCGTGATCCGAACGCCTGCCATTAGATCGGTGTGCTTTTGAGTGAACCAAGTCTAGAATGGTGATGCAAAAGGACTTCTAGCGCATCTCATTTAGCTCTGCTTGCACTCAGCAGTCTCCTGCTTGGGCTTTGAGCCGTCACCCTGTGGAGCTTGTTAGTCGCTTGTTCACAAAGTCATGGTCAGAAATCATGCTCACCTCCTCATCTGACTCCTCCTCATCGTCCTCCTCGTCACGGTCGTAGTCCTCCTCATCCTCATCATCCTCGTCTTCGAACTCGTCCTCATCGAAGTCCTCGAAGCCCTGCTCGAATTGCAGAGCCTCACCGGTGAACCAGTCAATGGCACGGGGAATGAGCTTCTCCTTGATGTCCTCACCGAGCTGGTAGTCGAGCTCGAGCTTGGCCTCAATGTCATCCTCAACGTCCTCGTCGTCCTCGGTAGGGGGGNNGCTGGCAGGGTTGAAGAAGTCGAAGAATGAGGGAGTGGGGATGGTCTTCTTGACAATGCGGGTCTGCTTGGTGTCTNNGTGAGAGATGGTCAGTATTTGCAGTGCACAGATCCAGGATGGTCCTAACTCACTCTTGTTGCGCTGCTTCTTGCTCTCGACTCTAACAGTGAGGTCCTTGCCGGACTGCCACTCAATCTTGTCGCCCTCGGCGTGGTCGTAGATGAAGTCACCGCCGTAGCCGTTCTCCTCCTGGTAGTAGTAGGTCTTGGAGATGGTCTTGTTGGTGAAGAACTCGTTCTCAGCAAACTCGAAGATAAGACGGAATCCAGGACGGTCGAGGTACTCCATGCGAATGTCGGTCAAGTACTTGAGGGCGCCCTCATCACGGTCGGTGATGGTCTCGGCGAGCGATGAGTTCTTCATGGCAGACAGCCAGAACTCGGGGATACCCTTGATGTCGGCGGCAGACTTGTCCTCGGCCTCGTCGGCCTCCTCATCCTCCTCATCCTCGTCATCCTCCTCTTCGTCCTCCTTGCCAGCCTCGACCTCCTGCTCGGAAGGCTCGGTGGCACCGTTGATGATCTTGGCACGCTTCTCATAGAGAGGAGCGTACTTGGCGAAGAACTTCTTCTCGAGGGCAAGGACCTCCTCCTGGAACTCGGCCTCGAGCTTGGAGTGCTCCTTCTGGACACCCTTGAGACCGGCGACACGTCTGCGGACGGGAGCAGGGAGCGACTCGACGTAACCAGATGATCTTCCGACAAGACCGCTGAGCTTGTTCTGCATCATGGAGACGAGGGCGGGGTTGGCAGCGAATATTGAAGCAGCATCCTCTGCGCAAGACTGTCAGTGAGTGATGGCGGAGGCGAAAATTCAGTGGCGCATACCTTCTTTAATGCTGGAGACGCCAGGCTGTTGTGCGCGGGAGGAGATGGGGGCCTTGTCAAGAGGAGTGTTTTGGGGNGTACTGCTATGGTCAGTGGCTGCTTGGGCGGGTCGAATGGTAGACATGGTGATGGCGATGCGAGTGAAGAATGTGTAGAGAGGTATCTAGCAGGGTATGTAGGTTGTCGGTGGTTGGCGACAGGGGACGGAGGCAAGCAAGAGGGATTGTTGTGATGTGAAGGGACGTGGCGGCGGATTGTGGAAAAACTCACGGCGCAGGCTTGCTGCCCTTTTGGGGGATCATGTTGTCGCTCATGGTCTCGGATAAATCTGGTTGAAGAATGCGAGGACAAGGGTGGTGATGTGGGTGGGAGGATGCGGTGCGGTGGTTGAGACTCAGAGAAGCTTGATCTGGAGGTTTTTGCTTTGAGTCCCCGCAAAGGCAAACATCGCCCCCTAAGTTTTTCTTACTACCAAGTCGGCAACACACGGCTGTCAACCAGAACCATCCGGCCTTTTGTCTGCCTTGAATGATCACGACTGTCTCATTTTCCCATGTCATGTCCAGCTATTGTTTTCTTGCCTCTGCAACACGATTCTCTGCCCGACTCGCGCTGTGCCGATCTACTGCTCCCGAGTACTCCAGCCCCAGTTTCCAGACGACTGCCACGCACGCCTCCGACGCAACAACAATAGTCAATCACTTCCCATCTCCCTGTTTGCGCCTCTCTCTCCATGTATCCATAGCAACTTCTTGTCTACTGCTTACGCGGCGAACTGGTCTTCTAATCGAGCTTTGTAAATCCCCCGAAGACTGTGTTTGCCGAGCATTGCAGAGACGATAGTACTCATGTGCTATCGAACAATCCTCATTGAGAGCTGGCACTCTCTTTCGTATCTATGATGCTGTGTAACGTGTTGCTTCGTGCAGAGATTGATATGTTGAAGGCGCCAATTTCCCATCGCTCTCGGCCATTCCCCATGTGACGTGCCCACGTGCGAGACGTCTCGACGCGCGAAACGTGGAGGGCATTGATCCTGACAGGAGACGACGACAATCGACAGACATACCAAACGATTCCCTGCCACTGAAATCCTATCTGTCTTCGAGCAGAAAAAGCGCACCTTGCGAACCAGATTGCAGACGCTTGAGACTTTAGCGCTCAGTGAACTGGCTTCAACAGCAGCTCACCACTCTGCAAACAACCCCAACAAGCCAGTCATCAAATCTGCGGATTGCCTTGATCCACCACTGCGAACGCGCTGACGTGCATCGCACTGTGATAATCAGGCGCTTTGCCTACACCATCATGGAGTGCCCATTTATGTGCGGTTTCCATGCAACCAATGACCACCTAGCAGAGACTGAAATCACGGCTCACATTGAGCTGCACCATACCCCAGAGTCTCATTTCGCAGTTGAAGATGAGGACCTGAATTTAGCTCTTGCGCTGCAAAGAGAAGAAGAGAGACAAGTATTCGCTGATACCAAAAGTCATGACTCGTCTGCCAAAGACTCGGACNACAAGAAAGAAGGAGCCGCTAACCTTGTGGACGATGACTTCCCTTATGCTGAATGTCCTAAGTGCGAAGACTTTGTACATCTCGTTGAATTCGACGAACACATGGACAACCATCTATCATTACAGCATTCATCCGACACCATCACTAACATGACTGAACTTGATACTGGATACAGCACTGATCTCCGTCAACCCAAGACCAATCCCCAAAGCCTGACAACCATCGCTCGATCTATCGACCGTCATGACAAGAAGTCTTCTCAGACCAAAAATGCTGCAATCTTGGCAGAGACCAGAGCGAAGGGAATACGTCTTGGTGTAAGTGGTGTTCATTCTCCTTCGCATCCACGCCAAAGTTCAAGCACAACTGTGGTCAAATATCAACGAGCGTCATCGTATACTGAATATCGTTGTAGANGGAAAGAGCTTGGACCGTATGCATTCGAAGACAGGATGCCTGAGAGCATGCTCAAGCGTTTGCGAACTGGCGAACCAACGAGACGTGTGAATCGTATCGGCAGGGATGGTCGGATCTGTACCGAGCGCATTGTGGACAACGAGGTTCCTGGGCTCATCCCAGTCATCGCACGACTCTGCCTTGCTTCATCCAGCGATCTCCAGACCGTTCATCTTTGTCACCCCAGCGTTCAACACGTACATAGGGGTACCAACCCTGGCCATNTTTGTGGCTACCGCAACATTCAGATGCTCGTTTCGTTCATTCAAGGCACAAAGGCAAAAGGCCATGAACGTTTTGGGACGGACTTGCCGGGTATCTTGCAAATCCAGGACTTGATCGAAGAAGCCTGGGATGGAGATCCATACAATCTTGGCAGACAGGAGACGNGGGGCATCTGCAACACAAGAAAATGGATTGGCACTCCAGAGGTAGGCAAAATTCAGTTGTGGAGATCGCCATTCTTGTCTGACTCTGGTCCAGNNGTGGCTTCTATCTGCAAGCATCTATATCTCAATCACTCCGTGCACTCCTTCAGCGGCGTGAAANACAGGAGAGCACATGAGCAGCTGCTTGACTTTGTTGAAAAATACTTCTCGCAAGATGCCGAAGGACCAACCTCAAACTCCAAAGTGCACGGATCTCATCGTCCTCCGCTCTTCTTCCAGCAGCCAGGCCACTCCATGACAGTGATTGGCATAGAGCGCTACAGCGATGGGACTCGCAGTCTGCTGGTCTTCGACCCCGCATATGAACCACCTAAGCAGCTTGCGAATATGGTCACAGGATCATCAAGCGCTGCAACACCCGCCGGAATTGCTAGACGTCTCCTCAGATCCTACAGACGTGGCGCTTCTCAGCTTGCCAAGTATAAAGAGTTCGAAGTACTGAAGTAAGTCAACGATACAAAGTGATGAAGCTGGTTTCCGTAAAAACTGACCACGAAGATAGGCTGGAAGCATCGACACGTCCAATATAGCATGTGAGGAATATGCTCGATACTTTGCAGAAAAAGCAACTGACATACAATAGATTTTTGACAGGTCTTGTCCGAGACCTCACGTGGATTTTCACACCTCAGCACTGTATTACTCAAACCAGTTGACTCAACTGGCCCGCTGGCATCTACTGTTCAACACGTGGCATGTTCAGATTGTGTATGGCGATGACATTCTACAAAAACATGGTTATTACCTTCCAGCCGTATCGTACTCGGCCTGGCAGACCTGCAGCCACAACATCTGGATGCAAAACCCCTACCTGAACGACCATAGCTCTCCGCTACTGGTTTACAATGTGGAAGGCGTGCTTTGTGATGACCTGCGTACATTGCATCTCTGTCAGTCAACCATCGACTGCAGACCATTGCATGCTCCACAAAATTCGCTGATCCATTTGTCTGACTCGGTGCTTTGAGTGTCAACCACTGTCCACTGACACAACAGCGAGTCGTTATGCAGAGTAAGTACATTCTTTCGTAAACATGTATACCAGTCGTTCATCCCGATCTTTTCTGTCAGTCCGCGGCCATGTACATTCTTATCCATTCAACAAAGACCGTGACTCGCACATTGCTTGTACCAAGTTATCACGCTTTATATTAGCTACGGAAAGGTACGAAAGATTTCCGCATTCTAGACTAGGAGTCCTAATTTGTGCCTTGCGGTGGATGTTGTACCATCTTTCGCGACCAGCAGACAAACTTTCAGTCCTATCAGCAACCCATCTACGAGCATCCTCCTCTACCAACTCATTGTTATCATCCTTTACTCACTATAATCGACAGGTGCGTGGAATGCCTCTGAGTCAGTAGGAACACTCGAGTCAGCATCGCAACATCGTCGACCGCGGTGTCGCCTTCCACCTAGATCATCACGACGGTCAGCGAAGTGGCTTCGACGGGAGTCGTCATTTATATGAACAAACAAGACCTCGACCTCAGTATCAACCCTACTGGCATCAAGATACACATAAGGATCCTCTTTACAAGGGCAGAAGCTACAACCAAGCAGAAGACGCTTCTGCCCGCTACAATGTGGCCGGCCATGATGCAAGCCTGACAGAAAGACGCGACAACGACACTAGAGGAAAACGACTCAAGTCCGCCTCCTACGCGCCGCCACAGAACGAACATGTCTATGACAAACGGTCATAAACCTAGTACTACACAACCTAGTACCACGCGACAAAGTACCGCACAACAGAACGCTTCAGATCACCAGTTACACCACAGTCTATCAATTGGCTACCCATCGCAGCGCACTTCGGTTCCTGTCCTGGCTCCTCAGTCTGACACGTCCAACAACCAAAGCCAGAACGAGAACCAGTCTCATCACTCGAGCAGCAATGCACCTTCCCCTCAGACACCTGCCTTCAACCAATCACTTGAGTCTACTCAGTCAGCTCAATTAAGTGCTGCTTGCCTCTCGAATCAGTCAGGTGGTACCTACCCTACAGCCATCAGGCCATACTTCTCTCACAACAGTATGTCACCAGTCACCCGATCCTACCCGAACACCATTCACTGGATCCCACTGAGTTCATCGTCTACTAATGCTGCTTCAACTTCATCTTGTTCGTCTCACATCATCAGCTCGTCTGGTCCTTCTGGCGTTGCAGGGCTCATTCTTTTCTCAGTTGCTACGGCCAAACAAACCAACGATTCACCGCTCGCCAAGGCTAGCGTCTCTACGCCGCAGCCTTTCGTCGAGACGAGCGTCTCTGCACCGCACCCTTTCGTCGCTATGAACCAGATATGTACCGTTGATTGTGGCAGCGGCCCTGCCCAGAACGGTTCCAACGACTTTGTTGACAACTTTACTGACGACTTTGCTGACAACTTTGCTGACAACTTTGCTGATGGCTCTGCTGAAGACTTTGCTCGCGATTCTACGTATGGCTATGCGAACGATCCTGTCAACGAGCTCTCCCGATGATTATTTCGACGTCCGTGCAGACTACACTTTGAGGAACTCTGTTGAAAACTCGGTCAGAGGTGGCGTCGACAACCACAGCCAGCAATCGGCTGAGCATTCTCCAGGTACTATCGTGGTGGATGAGAGGGGCCAGCATTCTGCTCCTCGGACCTCAACTGCTTCAAGTCCAGTATCACTTCGAGAAAGATGATCAATGGGACTCTGAGATACCACAATGCGCGGCGGAATGGATCATCCTTCGAGGCCCTCGGTTGCTTACAGGCATCCGAAGTATGATGATTAGGTAGTGGACCGTGTTTCTTCTGGTCTCAACGGGGACTTCAATGCAGATGATGTGCGCCCTCTATTGGATAAGGAAGGGGCATATACAGCGGATTACACGAGCGGCACAATCAACGCGGTGTCGAAACTTGCTGTCGCTGCAAATCCCAAGAGTACTACATAACATATGGAAACTTTGACGTTCTGGTCCTTCATCGACTCTCCAGGATTGAATATCAACACCAGATCCCTCAAAGTCGCGACTGCTGAAACGGAGAGATGCACAAGAAAGATTCGGACGTTCATCCGAGCCATACGTGAGTATGGGGCTCACCAGATGCCACAAGGATTTCGCTGGCCATGTTCTAGGCTCGAAGGCCGCCATGATAGGATTGTATTTGCGTACGATGTGGATTGGAAACATTGGGTGGTGGTTGAGATCAAGTCTGGTGGTCAGATTAGAGCCGCAGACTCTCTCCAGTCCTCGAGGTCGGTGCTCGCTACCAAACTCCTGGATGCTGCTCTCTCTCTATTCGAAACACTTGTTAGTCTCAATCTCCAGTCTACTTGGGATCCAGCGAACTTTGAGGATAGTGCTGTGATCAACGATGGCTCGACTCCACAACAGGAGAACGGATGGGATTGTTGTCCCTGCGCTGCTACGGAGATCGTACATCTAATCAAGGACAAATCAGCAGAGACTATAGTTGATGACGCGGTATTTGGATTCGCTCATATCTGCTTTCTGTCTGATGCGTTGTCCGGACAGCCGGCACTCTTTTATCAAGGTGCGCATGCAAATGTCATGCTTCAACCATATCTTCCTAAGTACAGGCTGGCTGGCGACAATAAACTCCTTCCTACCGGACCCTCTATTATCGATCCGGACCTCGGTGTAGATCGTCTGCCAGCAGAAAGGCTAAAGAACGAAAGGCGAATGAGGGCGCAAGAGAAGAAGCGGTTGAGCGAGAGAGAGGGGCATGGGGATTTAGGGGCTCCAGGACAATCGGCAGCTTCGAGCAGCTCGAGCTCAAGGAGCATTAGAGCGTTAAGCGATCTTGCTACTACGACTCCGACAGCCTTGGACACTACTGGGCCTTCAAGCACCCTTGAGATCTTGAAAGATTTTCTAAGGTGCCCTGAAGACTATGCGTACATTTGCAGACTGGTATTTCCTATTTGGAATGTGGTATCGGCTTTCCCTAATGGTCTTTCGATTTTACAGATAATCGAACTTGTGTTGTAATCGACACCCGAGTGGCAAAATGTGTTCAACAACACTTGGCATAAGGAGGGGTCAGAGAGGGGACGGCTCTTTAAGATGCTGCGAGAATCAACACACTTCTATCAAGATATCAGGAACAACACTTGGAGAGCAGTATCTGGACCAGATGGTATACGCTCGCTTGATCCTGCATACCTCGATAATGTCATGTCGTCGAGGCAATCTATGCGTGGAGTTGCCGAGTCTGTGGCAGAAGCGGCGAACAGAGAATATGCCTTTGTAGTGATTGTCGACCAGTACTCGAATCTGAAGACTCTATTCACTGGACTTGATCCCTTAGATACGTTAATGTCTCATTGGGAGCTTACATCTGCAGACCGTCCATTCCAACAAGCTATCGAGTACAACAACACCCCTTCGTCCCCACATTCGTACCGGAGATACGTTTCGATAAGGAGCGCATATAGGGTTGCATTTGCCCCTAGCCTGCCTGGTTCTCGGACAGGAGCTGTTTGTCGACAATTCCCAACTAACCCGGCTCTCCATCCCAAGCTATAGTATCATGATAAGCTATCAAAATGCACAGTCAAGACTCGGAAACAAGGTCGACCATTGAGATGGCGAGGAAAAAACATGAGATGATGCGGAATGTGAGTGGTCTTGATTCATCTAATGTACAATTGTAAAACCCTTTTCCTCGGTTCTAGAGAGCAGCACATTCGCGCTCTTTGTTGTAAGTTTCTCCTGCGAGATCTTATCTGTTGTGTCTGGGATTCCCTTCCATCTTCGAGACGAGTGCGTGATCTTTGCACTTCGTAGACTACTGTCCACCTTCACCTTACTTCTGAGAAGAAGGTCTGCGTGTAGAAAAGCAGACGCACAAAAAGTGGTGAACAGGTCTCAAACCTCGCTGTCATCCTCAGCACCATCCTCCTTGTCATCAGTACCAAGAGCAGCCTCGGACTCCTCAGCGTCTTCAGTCTTGACCTTCTTGTTGGCCACAGCATCCTCGTCCTCCTCATCATCAGAATCGGCAGTCTTGCGCTTGTTGTTCTTCTTGCCACCAGTCTTCTTAGCAGGACCCTTCTTCTTGGTAACGAGCTTTCTCTCTTCTTCAGAGCCAGAGTTGTCGTCGTCGCTGTCGTTGTTCTTCTTGGCCTTGGCTGCCTTGCCTTTACCCTTGCCTTTGGCGGCGGTCTTCTTGACGACAGGCTTTTCTTCGTCAGAGGCACCTTCAGCTTCGCCTTCGTCTTCAGAGTCGGAGGTCTTCTTGGCCTTCTTGCCGCCTTTCTTGCCGCCGGCCTTGGGCTTTGTGGTGGTGGCGCCAGAAGGGCCGGTGATCTTCTTGCGGCGGGTTTGGTTCCAGCGGGTGCGAGCGATGCTGCCGTCCTTGTAGCCCATCTCGGTGGCGACCTTGTCCCAGTCTGACTATGAAAGGGGAAAGCATTAGTATCATCTCGATTGATGTAAGGAGCAAGCAGAGTGGCAGAGGATGAGAGTAGTAGGGGAGGGGGATGAAGATGTGGCGCCATGATGTAGATGGAAGAATGAGAAAATGGGCGAAGGTGTGTGAAGGAGAAGGGGGACAAGGGTGAAGATCAGGGTGAATATCAGGCCAAACAACATTTGAACATGTTAAACACGGAAACAAGTGAGTGCAAATCTCATGACAGAATGTCTGCATTTGCGCAAATTCGATAACAGAACAAACGTGAAATGAAAGTGTGCGCAGAAGAAATGTGTCAGAATGGAGACATACCTGAAGATCGCCAGTCAAGTTCTTGATGATACTAATCAACAGCTTGGTCTCGCCAGCCGAGAAGGTAGTGTCGGGTGCTTCAGACATGATTGTTTGTGTTTGGTTGCGCGTAGAAAATCTAACGTGTTTGTTGATGGGAGATCTTTGTTGTGGATAATGTGTTGACGTGTTGCTGTGTTTGATAGACAAAAGGGGCAGTGGAGTCGCGTGTGTTGTGGGTGGTTGTGGAGGGAGAAAGAAAGAAAGGTTGAAGGTGGGACAAAGGGGGCAAATCTATAGTTGGAGCGCACTGCAGTGAATGTGAGAATGTTTTGTGAGAGAACGATCCGGAATCGGAACATCAGTGAATCAGTTCTGCGGTGTCTGCAGCAACTTCGGGTCTGGACGGTTTTGACTGCGAACTAATTCGTTTGGACAGATTTCCCGGCGACCGAAAGATAACAACAGGCACTGGAGTATTTGGAGATGTGTTCTGGACTTGTCAAGGGCTCATAGGTTTCTCGCAATGAATTTGATGATCGTGACTTGATAAGATATCATCTCATAGGCCTGCAAACCATTTGTGGGATAATCACGAGTGAAAAGTTGAATTTGGTGATACTAGTGAGGATAACAGGTAGTACAAACTGATTTACCAAGTTTGGTTTTGGTAGCTCTCCGAAACGGAGATGGTGCAAAGAATCCAAAGTTGCCATCGATATCGCTCATATCCATGGGGTGATGTCCTCGTAACCGTAAGGAAGCATTGATTTTGTATGCCCGACACGCAAAGCTGGAGCACAAAAGCTCATCGGATATCTTCCACAGACCATACTCGATAGGCAAAATGAACTGTTTCATCGCTACGATGTCTCATGTCCCAAATTTGATGATAATTTGCCTTGGTAACAAAAGCATGCTCGTGTTGCAGTCAGATCAAGCGAGACTGAGTGACGGACTGGACGAGCAAAACACCTCGGACTTCCCCGATATTGACTTATCCCATCAAACGATCGTTGAAAGTCTCCTTGCCTCACTCAGGTCTAATGGGAGCGCTTCAGATTGTTGCTGGTGTTGGCCTGCGGAGGTTCGATGTGAGCTCGCTTGTTCTCGGAAGCATCCCTTCTGAGTTCGGGAGGCAAGGCGGGCTTCTTGAAGTATGGTTTGGGATCTGTGGCATTGTAACGCAATCTTTTGTCCTCCTTCATGTCCTCTGCGCAGATGTCGATCAAACGAGCCAGAATATCGCGGCGGAATTGATGTGGCACTATGGAATAGCATTCGAAGGCGTTGGGCACCCATTCTCTTCGGTACTCCTCGAGAGATGCAGGCTCCTTGAAAAGATGAGGGAAGTCGAGACTGACTGCAAAAGCCACTGTGGAGCGAATAAGTGTGGTTTCTTTTGAGGGAGATAAGTGCCATCCGAGTCGAGCAGCACCTCCACGGCACAACAGCTCTCTGTATGTCGGTGCCGTTGGCGCTAAAGCGGGATGGTAGATATCGAATGTGGAGTCAACGACTGTGGGAGACCTCAGATGATGGCGGATGCACGACTTAAGCTCTTGAACCTCGTCTGAGGTTAGGTTGAGCAGGATACCGACGTAGGGGTCGGGCATCTTGTCTTGATGGAAGATTTCCAGCCAAGCATCATATGTAGGCGCCCTGTAACCGTAACGCTTTGACTTTTCACCATCATCGTGAGTGGCGGCGACAATCTTGTGGACTTTTGATCAGAATCATCGTCAGACATGCTGAGGGAAGGCAAGTGGTAGAGCTGTCGGTTTATTGTTGTCGACTTGTATGAAAATGGAAAGAGAACAATCTTTCCGAAATAGTGATGAAGATGTATGATTGGGAAGACTGGTGTGGTTATCTGCTTGATGAATAGAAACCGTAAGTGAGATGGAAAGTAGAGTTAAGAGTTGTAAACAAAATGAGCAGTGTCCATTTTCAAGGAGGTTGAAACCGTTAGGTACTCGACTCGGCTTTCTAGTTCCAGAAAGGTAGTCACGAGTGTAACAAGTGAGAAACAGTGACGCGGATGCCAAGGACACCCAAAGGATTGTCCTCCGTAAGGCAGTGGGCTCGGAGGAAGGTACACCTCGTCAGTCAGAATACTCAAGTCGTGGTTACTGCACAAAGTGAGTGTTTGGAAGTCTGAGCCCCTGAAATGAGTCTCCAACCTGGACCCCACGCATATATCAACGTCAACTTATCAAATTGAACTTCTTCCTATGTGTGATGGATGGTGTAATGACTTCCTACACTCTGAAGATTAATCACCTTGAAGCGACTCGCCGAGGACCATGCTGTACAGTTGAGAGCAAGTGCAAACCCACGCTCCTGCCCCCACTACCTAGAACCTAAGATCTTGAAATTTGGAGGAGATTTAACCTTTTCCGAAGAGTCTCCTGATATCCTGTGTTTGTCACTGCTACATATCCTTTCTCTGCATAGGAAGTACAAATCAAGCAGTGATGCAGGCACAGAGCAGGTTCGAACGCATGAGCTTTTTCGTCACGTCGTGAGCCAGCCTGCTCCACGTTTGATTCCTGCTATTGTCATGAATCAACCACATTTAGCTAAGGTCCTCCTCAACGAGGCTTGACTTTCGATAGTGCTCTACTTTGTCTCGACCTCACCATCAGAGAAGATCCCGCGAAGCATCTGGTCATCAAGTAAATGAATATTATCATTATCATAGCCTTATTGGTCACGTAAAGATCTATCGTATTCGAAGCTCTGTTTACCGATGTCTGAGTTCAATCATCCTTCCAGCCTCTCACCACCACCCCAAACCTTTGCTGTGCCTAAATACTCTTTCTTCTTTCTCTTAGGTTGTCCAGACGGAAGATGCTTGGGATGTCCATTTGTGAGTAGTCATCCATCTCGTAGACAGGTGACTTTGAGCTAAGGTTATACTGACGGATCACAGCCATAACACCATCCACGAGTCCGATTTTAGCATCCCAGAGAGACTTCACTTCTAGGACGTCTTCAAAACCGCTCCAGAAACTTCCCACGATGGCATTAGCTCGCTTTTCGACTGTATTTTCCCTGTAGTCCTTGATCTTGACAAGTAGTGCATCAACTTCTGATGGAGAGAGATCTCCGAGACGGTGAACCAGGCTATGCTCCACATCGAGTATCGTACCTCTGGCAGTCAGGACCGGAAGGGAGGAGGCCGAAATACTGCCACGCGAGGAAGCCATGTCGGGCTCGAGTGATGAGACTGAATCGAGGAGGGACCTGAGCTGATCACAAGAGAACGTGCTTCTAGAATCCACCTCCTGTTGCTGCTCCTCCACTTGCAATGCTTCCTCTTCCTGCTCTTGGCACTTGTCCTCATGCTCCGTGCTGCTATCACCTTCGTTGTCCTGGATCAGATCAGAGCCCAAGACGTCAAGCCGAGGCTTGCCACGATTGGGGAAGCGTCTGCGAAGTAACCATATTCGAGCATCGATAAGACATGCCTCTCCGTACCAAGCATCCGGATCAAAAGCACCGACTGGTGGGACATCCTGCTCCAGGAACAGAGGCACACGCGAGCCGACGGTCGAGCGTAGGCTACGCAGCTCATAAAGCATGTCATCAGCTTCACTTTGAGTAAGATTGGCGACGTCGAAGTCAAGGTCGGTGGCAAGGGATAGCAGAGCACCTTCAGCATCGGACAGGGGATGGTCTCCAGTTACAGCGTCGTTGATGATGAGTTCTTCGGGAATGGAGTTGGTAGTGATATTGGAAGGCGATGTACCCTGAGCAGAATGGGAGCCATTGTCGGAAGCTGAGCAATGGTCTTCTGAAGTCACGCTGGCATGGTCGTGGATTCCATCCTCGAGATCTCCATCATCCGAAGTGATGACCTGGCTGTCTTGAGGAGTGCTGAGCGAGTCATTTTGAGAGGAGTCATCTTTGGATCCCAAGTGACTATCGATAGCAGTAAGACCGCGAGCGATGGCTTTGAAGAACAGACAATTGTCGAGTTTTTGGAGCCACAAGAAGAGACCAACACAGTAGATTGTGGCGACAATGACAGAGAAGAGGAAGAGAATGTCAACCTTGAAGACAACACTTTCACCGAGCAGTAAGGAAAGGACCAGGGGTGAAGAAGATGCAGAAGCCATCATGTTTGCTGTTTGGCTTTGATAGGATGACAAGAAAGGAGAATACCGAAAGAAGGATTGGAGATCTTTATGCTGTCGCAGCACGTCGCGTTGGAAGTGTTGTTCTTTGTCAGGACAAAATGGTACTCATGTTGGAAGACACTATCAGTATATTCATCTGTTCGGTCTCAAACACGCAGCTATACAATGCAGGTTCTGAGATACCCTGACGCATCCGAATTCTTTGTTTCGAGACATCACGCTGTCTCAGATTACTTTCCCGCTGCGCGACCATCAGTCTGACCGGGCTTTTGATCCTGACTCGTACTTGCCTGATCATGTTGAATGTCCTTCACGATTGTACTTACAAGACTTAAATAACCCACGGCACAGAGATCCCGTGTACCTTGGTCACGTTGTGCACGTCTGGCATAGAACTCGGTGCTGGTATTGTCCATCTCGGAAGGAGCGTAAGACAAGGATTATGGAGGCGAAAGAAGTCTGACAGATAAGACACGGTTTGGTTTCTGACAAACGCGAGTTGTATAGTCTGAAAAACAGGCGCACATCAATATGCACATATGATAGTCTTGATGTTAAACTTTTGGTTGAAAGACTCTTTGTTTACTGTCAAGCTTGTTCCATGTTGGTCTTTGTTGTGCTGAGACTGTACTGCATTTACTATGATTGGTCTTTGTTCTCGAATCGTGCAATCCGACAAATTTTTGACTCCTAGATATGCATGTATGCATGCACAGCTAAAGCATGCGACAACGCTGCTGGTACTGGACAACCAAAGGATGCGATCTTCATTGCATGGTCTGCGGCGCAACTTGCTGGTGTCTCATGATTAGAGCGCCGCCCAAATTGCAGACCATATTTCTCATCTGAAAACACCTTCAGAAAGTCCCTGTTATCCAAGTCACTTGTTTAGGCTGTGACTCCTACCAAGACCGATCTTACGGACGTAATCAGGATTGTAGGATTGCGCTGTACACGTCCTCTGTAGCCTGTGAAGAAGCATTGGCGTGGCCCACTGCAACTAGAACATAGAGTATGAGCGTTCAAGCAATACTGAAAAGGCAAGGTGGAGCCACAGACTCGAAAGAACGAAGCTTTAGACAGATATCTCTTGCAATGTGTTCTTCGTGTGGTATTAGTATGTTCTGCTCCAAGAAAATTGTGGTGTTACACTTGTGAGTCGTAACTATCAAGCAGATGCATTGATCAGACACTCAGGCTTGCTAGGATTTCTGGCTCTTCCCACACTCAACCCTCTTTGTCTTCCCACATACATGACTCTCTCAGGGTAGTTGCTGATTATGGCATCCACACCATCGTCAAGCAATTTGCTGATTGTCACCTCGGCATCTACAGTCCAAGGAATAACCTGCATGCCCAAATCGTGGGCTCTATCCACAACATCCTTGGTAGTGAATGGCTTGTAGAGCGGGCTGTTCACCGTGGCATCGCTAGAATTACCAGTACCATGGTTCGGCGAGAGGATAGATGAGCCGATAGAGTGTGCTGCGGCTACCCAGTCGCCAGAGAAGTCGTCGAGGTCAAGACCACCGAGCCAGGGATACTTGCTGTTTTCCAGCCAGGGATAAGTTTTGTTAGTATCGTCCGGCACAACTTTTGTCTCGTCGAGCAAAGCAACGATAGGCACTGTAGGGTAGGCAGCGTGGATTCCGATGAGGGTACGCCAGTCGAACGACTGAATCGACGTACGAGATTCGAATCCGTGCTTTTGGAGAATAGGCATTAGGTCAGAGATGTAAGTGTCAACGGACAGGGTCTCGTTAGGGGCGGTAGGTGACAGTTTGGTCTCGAGGTTGATGGTCACGCCTTTGTCACCATAACAGTTTACCAGTTCCAGAACCTCTTCCAAGGTCGCAATGGTGGTGCCAGGATGAACTATATCTGAGTCAGCTAAAATGATTTCGCAGGCGCCACATCAAAACTCACGTTCTTGTTGAGGATGAGCTGCAAGCTGTAGGGAACAATCGAGCGTCTTGACTTGCTCAAGAGTCAGGTTGGCAATATATTGGCCGACATATTCACCAGTGCACTTTGTAGGGTAGATCCAATGNCTATAGCAATGGTCAATCCAGTGTCAAATAGTCTGTTGAAACAAGCTTACATCGTGCCAGATCACCGGAACACCGTCTTTGGTGAACACAGTATCCATCTCGAGCACATCGACACCGACTTCNCTGTGCCATCGTAAGCTCTACATTCTCATCTAAATTACTGATCGCAGGTATACCAGAGCGTGTGCAAATGCNCTGTAACCACAAAAAAAATCAGTAATGATGTACATCGATAGCATCGGACGCTCTGATCATACCCAGAGGGATTCCTCGCTTCTCATACCGAGACCACCACGGTGACCCTGGACCTCGACACGACCACCAGTCTTGTCCAGATAAGGAATGGTAAATGGCATTGCATCAACGGCATTGAGAGCCGCGAGGCTGATGACAAGAGCGATGGTACGTTTCATGTTGAATATAGGCCAATACAGTAACCGACAGAAAGGGGTGAGAAGAGGTGAGTTTGATGATGCTCATTCTGAGAAACAGGGCAGGAAACTTATACCTGGACACACCTTGCTGATCCCGGCTATGTTGAAGGCCAGTCCCGCACGTGGAAACATTGATACGCCATTATCGATGTACGGCCACCTTGGCAAGTCAAGCCATGCAGCTCATGCCGTATTGATTCTTCCTATACCATTGAGAAGCTTGGCCTTGTCTGTCCGCGCTCCAATTGTCACGAAAGATTGAACTAGACTGTGGTACGTCGTACCTGCTAGCTCTGACACGTTTCGTTCTAGAGAATAAGGAGGAAGGTAACGATTTCAATGTTGTTGACGGAAGAGAAGAGAGATGTTTGATCATGACGAGCGAGCTTGGACTGACAGAGTTCGCCAAGGAATGATCTACAGGTTCAACCATGCATGCCGAGGGGGATTTTGTCTTGGCCACCACTCTCCGCAAGATCCTCGCAGCGAAGTCGTGACAGTATACTGCCAGGCTAAGAATCGGTCCACCAGTATGTTGTATACCATCCGACTTTTGGCTGTGATACATACAGTCTTGATGATATACAGTGATCCAATTTCCGAACCCATCGTATGCCTTTCTTCTATGAAACTTTTTAATCAAACGTTCATCACTTCTTGCAGATGTTGAACTTAGCAACCGAGGGGTCGTGGTCGGAGATCTGCTGAGCCTTGGTCACCCATGTGTTGATGTGAACATGCTCGTACTGTGCCTTGGGCTTGAGCGCTTGACTGATGTACATGTGATCAAGCTCCTGGCTGTTCATGTCGAAGAGGTAAGTGTATCTCTCGAGCTCTGGAATATTGGCAGCCTCATCAAGATCACGTAGATTGGAAACGTCCTCGAAGTTCTCGAGAGGCTGGACAAAAGCGAACTCATTGAAGTCACCAGCGACAACAATCTTAGCCTTCTTGTCCTCGGCAAGAATCTTGGCAACGAAGTCCNNTATCGAATATCAGTGCTGATTGTATGGTGTTCGTCTTGCGTGACCTACGGCAGTTAATTGCATTTGCTCTTGACGGTCATCAACACCACCGTTGACAGGAGGTCGAGCATCGCCTTCGATTGACGACGAGCCTCCCTTGCTTCCAAAGTGAACGTTGACGGTGAAGAATGAGTTCTTGCCATCGAGCGTCTCGAAGGCAGCGACCAATGGTTTGCGACTAGCGGTCCAAGCTGGGTTTTGAGGATCGATAAGACCGGGGTTGTACTTGAGCTCAGGTCCAGGCAGAACCTCGTTGGCCTCGGTGCTTGAGCCAAAGTCAGGCTTGCGCAGTTGAAGAATCTTTGGGTCGTAAAGATAAGCGGTGCGAATATTGCCACCAGGTGCACCGCCGTTCTTGTCATCAACAGGGTCGATCTCAGCGAATTCATACTCAGGTCCACCGATACTACTGATTGCGGAAGTCAGAGTGGTAAGGGTAAGATTTGCGCTGACCACTGCGTCGTTGGTCTCTCCGTTGTCATCCTGAATCTCTTGGACGAAAACGAGGTTAGGGCTGCGTAGGTAATGAACGATGTGATCGGAGATGTTGACCAGATGATCAGACCCAGCCCACAAGTTCTCCACGTTGTACGAGCCGACAGTAATACCACCACAATCACCATCGGACACAAGTCTAGTGGGTGGTGGAAGTGCAGGCTCAACACCTTTGACAATGTTCAAGGCAGTCAAAGGGAGAATCGAATAATAGCCAAACGCGTAAGTGACAACTCCGGTGATATCGCCAAGAGTGTCTCCAACCCTGGTGACTGCAGGATTTTTCGATCCGTCAAGCGGTGAGCCGATGATGATGGCTTCCGGATTGGCATCTGCGGAGTCTTATCAGTATCTCGAACTCCAGACCTATCGATCTTACATACCCTTATCAACTGTCGTCAAGCCACCACGGCCATTCAGGCCAGTGACTTTCCAATCTCCAACGACCCAGGTATCGCCGTAGTTGTTTGGTGTAGTCAGAGCATGAGCACCTTTCACCGTGACGAGCTCTCCGCTCAGACTTTCCCAAAAGTCCATGCCGTAGTTGCGAGGAATCAGGGTCGGGTTAGTCACAGAGATCAGGCTGACGTTGTTTGGCACGCCGAACACATCTCCATTGTCTAATGCCGAGAAAGCCTTGGTGGGGGGATTGATAGTGTCCTTACCTATGACCAGTGGGGTTGCAGCACTTCCAGAAGAGACCTTTTTCACAAGTTTGGGGTTGATGATCTCGGTCAAGTAGACGTACGCTTTGCTAGATCTGTACTCCGTGACGGTACCGTTGAGCTGAATAATGTCCCCTACGGAGAGGGTCTTGCCAAAGTTGCGGTCGAAAACATAGACAGATTCAGACGTTCGGTCATCCTTGTCAGGGGTAGTCGATCGAATCCAGATACCATTTGGTCCTTTGGCAGTAATTAGACCATTGACATTGGTAACGTTCTTTCCATTGTATGGTGAAAGGTATCTGTTGCCATTGATCTCGCTGATGGTCTCGGCAAACACAAGCCGTTCAGCAAAAGCAGCAGCCAGTAACTGAAGATACACGCCAGCAGTCTTCATGTCTGATGAACGAAAGGGAAAGGAAGTGCAATGTTGCGAAGCATGTTGGTTGCGTGTAACTTCATCATAAACCATTCAATATCAGCCTCCTTGGACTTGCATCGATGGTCAAGGCATATCATCCCGCGTGATACTCGCGAGTTGATATGCACCTCAAACACGTTGTCAGGTACAATTGATGTTGATTGGAGCGTAAGACGGCAAGTGGGAAGAGCTAGAAAGTCATGGCAAACATTGCCAAGCCTTGGCAGTGATTGTCCATCTTCATCGTGTCGGAAGTCGCCTCTGGTGATTGGATTATCTGGCATTCTGAGAGAATTGCTGGAAAGGTGCCAAGTTCACGCCGTATGCTTGTCTAGAGATTCCAGGCCAGATCGCGGAACACATACATGATTATGTGCATCTGCTCAATGTCTGCACCTTGACTGTGGGGACCGATGCATCGGTCTGAACTCTGGGCTCTTTCGCCTTGACCAGATATGGAAGGTCATCAGCTGCCAATCTCTGTCCGAGAGGTTCAACATCGGAAGTCGCCTGGCAGCAGCCTTGTCTCTATAGTGTTCGAATGCCGGGGATTTGGATTGGTTTGGGAACGATGAGGGTCGAGCGAGAGAGCTTCAGACTGCAGAGCCTGATCAAATCTCTACTTGATCGTGCGCTTTTACAAACCCAGCCAGTCGCATTCGGTGATCATACAACCTAAAGTGATGAGCCGAATCGATTCGAGACACCCTTCGCTGAAATATGGCGGACTTTGACAACATCTTTCGCAGCGAAGAAGTCGCGTGAAGGCGACGCGTCTTGCCAAGAATTTTCCACTCTGCTGCCTGCCTCGCGCCAGCACGCTATTCATTGATCGAAAGCTACTGCAATTTTTTCTCGACCTCTCGCACAGTCCGCAAGCAAGAGCAACTCTACTCACCTACAGGCAAATAGGTCAAGGATTTTGGCGGGTCAAAGACCGAGATTCAGCCAGATCGAAGACTCAATCGAACGACCTCTAAGACACTCAAGCTCCTGAGCAGTCCGATATCAACATGGCTAGTGTTAACAAAGAACAGCTCACGACCTCCGAAACACATCCTTATAGATCTATACCGTCTATAAGGGATGGTCTCGTCCCACTACAACGCAAAATCCTGCACACTCTACTCCAGCAAAAATCTGGGAAGGAGATCAAAGTCGACCAACTCACCAGGAATGTGTGAGCGTTCTTCACGAGAAACCCCGACCAAGCCGAGATTCAGAAAAGCATCATAAAACTTGCGCAGAACTTCGTGGGAGCAAATAACATCAACTATCTGAAACCTGACGGATGGTTCGGATCTCGCCAAGCAGGTGGTAAAAATGCCGCCGATGGAAGGTTCATATACACCCAGTTGTCTGACGTTACACGCTCCATCTTTCCCGAAGGAGACGAGTGCCTTTTGGTACGTCGCATGCGCAAAGGCAAATCGGGAGAGCCAAAAACGTACTTTCCAGTCTTGCCTATGATCCTCGTCAATGGCTATGAGGCTAGTGGTCAAGATTGGCAGACATGCATTCCTCCTTATGACCCGAGAGACATCATTGAGAACCTTCGAAGGAGGATGAAAGGAAGCTCCAAAAGTGATATGCAGCCCATGCAGCCGTGGTTCCGTAATTGGACTGGCCATGTTGAAAAAATCGACCGGATTCGATACTCTATGAGGGGCAAGATGCATAAGACTTCCGAGAATGTCATGGAGGTCACCGAACTACCTCCTCGTCTATGGTCTCATGATTTCCNNAAGTCCAAGCTAGACAAATATATCTCCGAGCCTCGGTCACAGATCAAGAGCTATACCGAGCACACAGCAAGCCAGGGTGTACGTTTTGTGCTCATCATGACTGATGACGATATGGACACTGCAACTCGCCGGGACCTGGAAGCGAGATTGAGCCTTGACAGAATCGTCACGACTGATGACATCGTCGCCTTGGATGACAGCGGAAAAGTCCAGCAGTATGCCACAGATCTCGATATCCTAGAAGAGTTTTACCTTTCAAGATTACAGGCATACAAGCTAAGAAAATGTCTAAAGCTCTCGACTTTGAAGCATGATTTGAAGAAGTGGACCGATCAGTCACGATTCGCCAAACTGCTTTTGAACGGAGATCTCGACATTTCCCAGAACATGGACACACTTGTCAGAGAATTGATGCATCATGGTCTGATACCCGTGGAGAACTTCGATGATTTAATTCCGTCCAAAAGAGGGAAACGCGATATGGACAGCAAACCTGCAGTCCCTGGCTACGAGCACCTTTTCGAGATGACCATAGCTTCAATGCTGCCAGGTCCCATGAAAGAGCTCGAAAGTTTGATTGCTAGCAAGAAAGCTCAAATTGCGGAGCTTGAGCAGATATCGGTTGAAGAAATGTGGGAAGCTGACCTTCTGGCTTTCGAAGCAGCCTGGGAACGACAATTGGAGTGCGATTCTCATCATCCCCCACAGATTTGCAAGAAATGCAAAGGGCATGGGTGTGGGTGATGCCCAAGTCATTTGACTACCAGTCAGCGCACAGGTACTGAACCTCATCACCTCCGATGCTTTTGTGCATCCTATCGAATTTTGGGCTGGCACTTGACGTCAAATCATTGCAAAGGCGTATCTATCGTCCTCTACGCCATTGACGATCTATGGCTCGGCACTACAGGGCCTTGGATAGAGCAGCTACCCGTTGGGTGCAACCTGATGGCTGCAATGTTCGAAGCAAGATTTACCGAGCTTTGAACCGAATCGAAGCAAATTCATTGGCTTACGTTCTCGAAATCAAGATAAGCAGAACATTGTTTCTGTCGACAATTATGGCCTTGAGACATCACGATGTCTGCTTAGCGTGTCGGGCAATATCATTTGTCCGTCAACACGAAGCAAGAGTCTCTCGCAAACAATCTATGATGAGCTCGTCATCTGCGACTGAGATTGGCCTGCGGTCTGTCAAATCCAATGGCCAAACTCAATCAAGCAGGCCGCCGAACATTGTGCCGCCTCGCAGTACCCCGTCGACACCTGCCGTAATATGACCCTTGGACAATACACTGGTTGGAAGAAGGACCCGCGGCTCGTTTGTGCTTCCTTTCGAGCGACATACCATCATTGCCCAATCGAATGGCTCTCCAGTCTGAAGAAATCTGGCATCGGCAAATTGAAAGGTGAAGACGTGAATCAGCAATTGCCTTTCTCCTGGGCGTACGTCTTCGATATTTTTGAGAACCTTGATAATGTACTACCGCGCACCCGGGAATAAAAGACCATGAGGATGTCTAAGCCTCCCCCGGATCTTCTTCTTATCCACTGTGGAGTTATGTTGAGAACTGACAGTTCTGACGCCTCCCGAAAAGGAAACTGCAAATGGTGAGAGGCCGAATTCGAAGGGAAAAATGACGTCTACGGTACCTTTGATCCGCGGAGCCTCACCTAAACCATAACCTTACTCCCCACGAAAGCCACATCGTTCCCACGTGCGGTGTACATCACCCGTAACGAACAGGAAAATCAGGGGTTTCGTTCCTGGGCTTTCGGGAATAGGTTGTTGTCGGATGCAAAACACAACTCTTCGATATTGCGGCATGTCCACTCTTGATCATCCCGACCCCGCGGAGGCTCAACTTGCAGACAACATTGAGCAATGCTCTTGAACTCTGCCATATCACAGCATCTCGCTTCTACTGTGCGATCAAAGTGTATCAGAGCATATCGAAGGACACAGCCCCTGACGCATCCATGTCAATTCTTTCATTGAGCCGGAGTTGGCATAACAAGATGGCATATATCTCTCGGGATTTGAGCTTGAGTTGAAGCTCAAATCGTTCCACCATCTGTCCTCTGCGATCTTCCGATCAAGAACAGTCTCCGAAGTTCTACCTCTCAGGCGTTCCTCCTAGAGCCATGTATGCCATTCAGATCGGTGCTGGAGTGCTGCCCCCGGTGCTTGTTGGTATCGTTGCATACGTCATCTATGTCGTTGTTGTAGTACTTTGTGGTGAGTCATCTTCAGCTATGCTCTTGGAATAATTGCGAATGCTGACGAAAAGGTCTCGAACAGTCCATGTATGGATCTCCCCACTGCCTGATCAACCTCAGAGATTAGGCTATGCCGCCGTGGTCCTGATTTTCTTCTTTCTGTTCCTTATCTCTATGGCAATATCATTCTTCAACGCCATTTATCATGCCTATCTCGACCCTGGAGTTCTATCTACCAGCGACGCCCGCGATCCAGAGCAGCAGACGACGACTCCAATCGAACGGATCCATGGTCTGCCGAGGAAAGTCCACGCAGCGCCTACCCTAGAATCATTCCATGAACAAGCGTTCTACGAGTGTGATGAGGGCGGCAAACCATTATGGTGTCAGCACTGCAAACACTGGAAGCCGAATCGTTCACATCATTCTAGAATGCTGGACAGATGCATACTCAAGTTTGATCACTATTGTCCTTGGGTAGGCGGGTACACGACGGCGACAAACTTCAAGACCTTCCTTTTGTTCTCGGTCTCTGCAGCAATGTTCTCTCTTGTCACCCTCATCTCTATCACCATTCCTTGGAACCATGGCTCTTTTGACGGGCATGATGTAACCGGACACTTGGGCGTCACCGTAGGCTTTGCAGTTTTCTTTCTATGCTTGGCAGGAGGGACAGGTTTGAGCGCTATACTCCTAGCCTCTGCAAATCTGACCACCCTTGACAATGCGGTTGGAAAGAAGAAGATCTGGAGACTAGCTGTAAGGATTGACAAGGGAATCATGGCAGAGGAGAAAGCGATCACTGCTGCATTCTCAGGCGTCTCTACCTTTGCCACCAAAACACACACGTTTGCTATAGTGGAGACGTTGCCAGGTGCAAACCCTTACGACGTGGGAATCATGCAGAATTGGAAACAGATCATGGGGTCAAAGTGGTGGCAATGGGTTTTACCTTTCAACTTACAGAAGGATGACGGACAGAGTAGGATGGCAGAAATTACCCCTGCCGTTGCTGCTGCGCTCGAGGAGTCAGGCTTGGATGCTATGGATAAAACCATGAAGGAAAGGTGGAAGAAGATGCAAGTGCGACAGAAGGGATTCTTGCAATTATTGGCTGCAGCTGGCGCACCACTAAAGACTTTTGCTACTTGGAAACAGGCGAGGAAAGAAGGACTCTGATGTGTTCGAAGAAGGCAAAACCCCACATGATGCTATTGAGAACAAGTTTGTTGATCTCTCTGATCTGGTTTGTGACCGTTCTCTCACATAATGTAATATCTGCAAGTGCCAAACCAGGCCTTGAATATTTGCTCTTTCCCAGGCACCCACTCAGCGGCGCCTTTCAAACCTTCGAGTCTTCATGCTTGGGAGGTGTCCACTTAGCGACAGAAAACCACTCCGAAGTCCCATTATCAATCATATGAAAACCATATTCAGAATCAACATCAAAGCCTTCAATGTAGAAAGCATACTCCCTGTACCAATATCAGCACAAGCCACTTCTGTTACTGNNCATCAAGATAATCACTCACCCCTTGGGATCAACCCTAGGCACATCCCAAAACACGTATTCCGCATGCCCAGGCCCCAATCTTAGTTTCATCCAATCAGACCTGATCCAGCTGAAGCCAAGAGGAAATTTTTCGTCTTTCTTGACGAGTTGGAGGGATAGGTCCATGAGTTTATCTTGGTCCCAGAGGACGCGGACTTCTGCTCCAGGGTGGACGGACTCGCCGACGGTTGGGTGGTATGTGACGTTAATGGTTGCTGTGGCGAGAGAAGCTAAGGAAGAAAGAGCGAGGATGGATGTTGAGGGTTTCATGGTTGATAGAAATCTGATCAGTGATGAGGTTGAATTGTTGGTGTAGATGTGTGTTGGATAGTTGGGTTGGGGGTTTTGTGGTGGTGGACTAAAGTCAGTATATATACTGTCCAAACAGTATCAGAAGTCTATTCTGATGCCTTATTATGAGTAGACCATCTTCATTTCTGGGTCAGAATGTCATTATCCTGTTGCCTCGATTTCAGAATTTCGGGGCACAATTCTGTTGCCTTGAGTAATTTATTGTCAGAACATGCACGCTATACATCAGTCGTCAATCCTTCATGACGCTGGATGTGCGATGTTGTCTTGGCTCGAATGATCATCACAACCTGGCTTCAAACAAAGTAGCACTTAATCCTTTGGAAGAGCTGCTTGAGGTTTTTCCACTTTCCATCCGAGCATCAGAGTCTACACACGACCACAGCGGTCACAACGTCAACTTGCTAAACTGCATGTTTCGGCCTTGTTTTGTGGATGGATATGCGTGCACGGAACCTTGTCAACTTGGCACAGAGGTCATGATCACCTTGGCATCGAGAAGACTCAGGATTATATTACCCGCCTTCGATTACTCAGCCTGCTCTGCCTAGATAAATGGAAAATGGAAATAAGAAGAAGCAGAAGTCGTGAGACAGAATGGCCATAACCAGACTTCCATCTTCCATTCACTTGCGCCGTTCGGAATACCATAAAACAGAGGAGGGGAAGAAAGAAAAGATCAGGAAGAGACAGAAGAAGCCAAGTAAGCAAAGGAAGAAGGTCGTATGTCTGGGGCTCGTCATCGTCCAGGGAATCGAAGTCTCTTCGACCTCTGGTTATGTCGTTGATGTCGTGTTTATGATGTGTTCGTGTGTTTCGTGCATCGTGGTTCGTCGCAAAGAGCTTTCTCTTGCATATATGCTGGATTTCGTGTGTCTCCATTCGAGACCATATCTCCATCAAGTCGTATCCATCAGGTCATTCCAACATAATAGAAGCCAACAAAAGAAAGAGAAAAGTACAGGAGAAAGAAAAAGACTCCATCAGTCGTTATCGTCATCATAACTCGTGGCAGCTGTTATGCCATGTCTTGCTGTCGTATCAAGCATCTTTTCATAATCCGTCAGTGCTGTCATTCATGTGCTCATCATCTTCCTGTCTCTGCGCGACGGCCCGCTTGAAGGCTTTCACCACATCTTCTGGAATAGTGTCCCAAAGCAAACTTCTGGTATACACATCTGCCGCACTTGGTCCTCTGGCTTCGCGCATTCTTCCCAAGGTCTCGGCAAGATTCGGGCGGAGACTCTGTGAGGGGGGCGCAGGGGCCATGGTATCCATGTGTTGATATGTTGTCAGCGCGTTGTACTGCTCAGGCGTCATTGCGAAAGCCTGTTCTGCTTCTTGCATTGCGGTCGGAGAGGTCAAGTGTTTGTGCAGATTGGCGATATTGGAAGGCTGTGGCCATGCTGGATTACCAGACTGCTGGTAGCGGTGTGAAGATGCGAGATCAGGCAAGAATAGTGATGCTTCTTTCGGGTTCTCTTTGAGCAGATTGTGAAGTACCTCGGTACTCGCAGCTCTGACCTCCTCGGGCATCTTCGGGATGAGATCGTTTTGTGCAGTGTCTTTTGCTGCAGAAGAAGATCTAGAGGCGACAAAGGCTCCACAAAGAAGTAACATGAACAAGATACCGGAAGCAACTGGCTGCTCTGCGGTGGACTTGACAGGAGAGTCTTGTTGCTGTTGCTGGCGAAGTTGTTTCGTCGGCTGAATCGTAGCAAAAGATTCAGCTGTATCACCAAGATAGTCTAGATCATCGACACCATGCACATTGATAGGTCGATCCCAAGAGTGATCTCCAATAGCCAGATGATCCATCTCCAGATTGAAGTCAGTGAAGCCAGTACTACTGGGCGCAGCACTCATAGCTGGAGCAAGCGGACTCGTTGCCTCGAGCTGTTCACGGTACCAATTGATCTGACCTCGCAAGTGAGCAGTCTCTTTTGTGTGATTGCAGATCAACTCTGCCTTNTCCAGCTGCATAGCCTGAATTCTGGTATGCGCTTTGCTGTGTTCGGAAATGAAGAACTGCTTTTGACTTTCAGCCGTCTCGACTTGCAGACGTAGTTGGTCAATCTGCTGGTGAAGAGATAAAAGCTTGGTCTCGAGGTGCTTCTCTTTCTGCTCGAGGTTCTCTGTGTGCTTCTTNTTGCGTTGACGTGACGCAAGANNCTATGATGGAGTCAGCTTAATGTACTGTACAAGGGCTCGAATGACTTACGCTGCTTCCCTGTTGCGGAGAAGTCGCTTTTGCGCCTTCAATTGCTTCATCTCGTCTTCATCAGTGCAACCTTCAATCAAGTCATTGATGTTCTCCAAAGTAATCTCGGAGGGGATGGGGATCTTGGCGTTCTTCTTGCGAATCCCATCACGAGTATCACGTCTGAGAAGAGGTTGATGACGGGGCTTGATGGGCTTCACATCTGCGGACTTGAGCGGCTTGTTTGGTCCGGTCATGTCCATCCAGTCGGCGTGTGCTGGTGGCGACAAAGACGCTTGTGGCGATGCCGATATGTGATGGGCTTGAGCGAGTGGATGAGGTGGGAATGAGGCTCGATCAGATGGTAGACTACCAGGAAAGGGAGAGTTCTCGTACTTTGCTCCAGGGTAGCCTTCGAAGCCCGTTGTATCCGAAGAAGTTGTTGGCGACATCATCCAACCTTGAGCATAGACTTGTGAATGATCATGCTGAATGTAGACACCATTTTCGCCATGATTATACGCATGTGACGGGTCGAAACCAGCACCGGGATATAGTTGCTTGTGATCCCACGATGAAGCATCATTAAGGGGGCCAGAATTTGTCGCAACAGAGTCTCTGCGAAAGTTGTGACTGGAAGAGCTGCTCGACATCATGCCAACATTGTTGATGGGTTGATCTGCGCTGAGTTTATTGTCTTGATAGTGTTCCGAGGATTGATTTGATTGTTGGGGCGTGTCGTAATTGAGGTGATTTGCATTCATATCATAACCAAAAGGGTGAGGATGCGAATGCTGGAAAGCCATGGTGGGGCGATCCTGTTGATATCCGCTGCAGACGCGAACCTTGTTCAGGAAAGAGGCGGTGAGAGTCGAGCCTGGACTATGTTGCTGTTTCTGAGGAGCAGCGGTACTGAGACAGGAGTGGGTAGGTGCTGTATGTAGAAGAATATCTGCAGAGCGTGGATGATTTATTGTGTGTCGATCAAGAGAAAAGAGCGTGCTTTCATAAGAATAATTGCATGTGGTGAATGACCGCGTCAAAAGGGTAGAGAGGTTATCGGCATATGAAGAGCAGGTTGAATAAGTAGCTATGCACAAGACGATAAGGCTGTCATAGCCCGATCAGTGTGCGTACTGTGCTTGTCGCTGCTGCCCCACGTAGCCAGGAACTTCTAAGATTATTTGCTGAGGGCGCATGCGATTATTGGGAGAGTGAAAGATGCCTGCACCCCAAGGGGTCGGGAGCTCAAGAAGATGAGTAGTGTCGTGCAGACTTGGGGGACGCACACACTGAGACGGGAGCGTGCCGGTTCGTGCGATCGTAACAACAACGATGATACTACCTTACTTGGCCGAGCCGCCGCATCCATCAGGCCTTTCCAAGACCGTGACACGGCACGCGGGATGCGGTATACCTGTGACTGCTAAGAGACGAGGCCTCGCACAGGCTCAGTTCAGGCCGTGGCGCGAGTGTCATCCATAGGCATAGCAGACCCTGTCCTCACCAGATCACGGAGGTATCGAGTAATGCGGGCATGCGTAGTGCGCCTCGTGAGTCGGGCATGTTTGCATGAGAAGAGGCGGTGCGGGCTGGCTGTCGATTGGCCAGAGCAGGTTCGCAGCAGGTCAAAGCGACCAGCCACTTCATGTTGACTTGATCCGAGAAAACAAGGTCTTCAACCGAGATCACGAGTTTTGCATGCATGCCATTCGTCCATTGTGCATCTCATTTTACCCTTTGAAGGATTCCCATCCCACGCGGGAGTTTGCAAGGATCACGATTGTTGTCCAGGCGTGCTAGGACAATTTGATCAAGGATGTCGGCTTTGTCGCATGTTGAAGACGCGCAGGCAGCAACCACCTGCATATTTGCCATGAGTCCGACGATCGCGTCTTCCAGACATCATGCAAGACTTTGCTGCACCTTTAATTCTTGGAGGATGTCCCAATCCACCACCTGACCCTGATACGGTGGCTGCTTCGAGTCGGACGACCGCTTTAGCCGCGCGCAGTAAGCGAGTAAGTTGGGCAGTAGTGACAAGAACAAACCGCAGACCCAATTCCCATATTCAAGCGCGTCGGATGCAAGGACAAAAGACCCGCTTCAAATCAGACATGGCCTTCTTCCCGCTCGTCGATATCTCCGAGTGCAGTCCGGCTTCAGCCACGATCGTTGCGCATCGCGTCGGGTGCGTACAGCTTTTCATTTGCAGCAGGAGAATTCATTCGATACGCGCATGTCGTTGTCACACATTTGGAAACAGAGAAAGGAGAAAAGAAAGCCGTTTGCTTTTTTGGATTTTCTGGTTGGATGGAAAGGGCCGCTCCCTTCCCGCCCGAAACCTTGAAGTCGTTGCTGCCAAAATCAGCAACTTTCGACCCCTTGTCCCTGTATGCTGACGAGAGACTTCCTTCTTTCAACTTGGGATATATTCAGCCTCTTTTCTCGCTTGTCATCCTTCAAGACTCTTCTTCCCTCTTGATGCCCAAAAGACATTCAGATGACTACAACTTTCTTATCACGAAGCAGCATCCACCATCCCCGAATCTTCTGCATGACCTTCTCTCAACCAATCGCAATGTTACTTCCATGTTGTGTTTTGGGTAGCAACATCCTGATTGGCCATTTTGACCGAAATGTTGCTTTCCTTTCTTCTGTGGGTACATTTGTCCCTCTGGATGACTTTCTACTTTGGTGCAACAAGAGAGGGGTGTGCTCATCATCTGGTAAGCTAAAACTTCTTGTGATGCAAACCATCTATCTCATCCCAAAGCCTATGAAATATGATCCTTCGCTGTTTTTGTTTGTTTTTCCTTGCTTTGTTGCCTTTTTCAATGGCTTCTGTCCACACGGCACAAGAAGTTCGCAATTCAGGCAAGTTTGGTTGGGCTGCTGTTCAAGCTCAGAGACTTGTGGATGTTGTTCAGGTGCGAGCTCAGATGATCAGGCACATGATTGAGGTGACACAACACCATCGTCACGTTACCACGCATGCCATGGGCCCAGTACACCCAAGCTGTCAAAAGTCGACAAACAAGAAGAAATGCTGCCATCATGGTGGTACATTATCTCGGCAGCGCTTGCGAATGAATATCGCTTCTACCGCATCTGATGGCTTTTACTCTTCCATTTTCATATCTCGCGGACACAATTTGCAAACACTTCGACCAAGAAGCAGAGGTAACACCGCTATCGCATTCGGCTTGGACATCGGAGACGACACCCGAAGAGCAACAGGCGTACCATCATGTCGCATGCCATCGAGAGCAACAGATAGGCCTCGGGGGATCTAGCCGTCGGAAAGCGACATAGCTAGCATCACGGCACTGAACATAATGACACTTGACAGGCCGGTAGCACAAAAGCTGGAAGATATGGTACGGGTAACGTTCATACAACATGAGAGCCGTAAGAGATATGGGAGGAGGCATTTCGAGAAGGACAGAGGTGGTTAGTTCACGTCCAGGTTGACAGTGAGTCTTGGGTTGAGTGCCTGACTGTCACGTCTCCTTCGACGATATTGCAGCGTGCGAAGAGGATGGGTACGCATGGAAGAGCCACATTAGTATCTTTGCTTTATGCGGGTGATGGTGGTTGTTATGATTATGAATGCTTAGTATTGTGACAAGCTACATTTGAGGATTAATGAGATATGTCCTTACGAAGAATTTGAACGGCCGGAGTATCGTTGGCGACAACAAAACGATAAGTTCTATAGCTTCCTCGTTTGTAAATTTGGTATGAGATTTCTTCTTCAGTGTCAGTGCGTTACGAGCCTTTGTATCATGCAAAATGCTTGTGGTAGTGGTGAATCGATTGGAAAGCTATCTACGTAGCCTCTCTGATATATGTTCCCTTGTGAAGAAAAACGCCTGTGCTAATGCCCTCGCTCCCTAAACACCTAGCAAAAAATGCAACATCATCGTCTTTCTATTCCTAAGCACCCATCTTCAACTCGTAGAATTCTGGATGAGTGGTCTGGATCATGGTAGTGACACGTTCGACCTCTTCGGCCAGACCTTGTACATTGGCATCCCACATCCTCAGCTCTCTGGTGCCGATGCTGGCGCCGGCGGTCTTTGTACCTTCTCCGCTGCTTAAGTCATTGCTGAAGTGAATCAAGCCGTCGATTTGATCGATGTAGCCAGAGAGACGTCCTTGCTCAATCATCTGTGCGGCGTAAGCTTCGGCACGGTCTGCATCAACGCCTAACATAGCTCCAAGATTGGTGACGGGAATGTTGGAGTACAGTCTCGAGACGCCGAGAAGGTTGTGTTCGAGGACTGCCTTGTCGAGGACGGTGCTGCCATCGGCAGTCTTTGCCATCTGGTGGGGTTGCAGCTTCTCGGCAAAGGCTTTGACTTCTGCAGGCGAGAGGACGCGGTCCAGGAAGATGTTTTCGAGGATTGCGAACTCGTCACACTGAGGCGTGCGATCATCCTTGTACAGGCGGGCGAGTTGACGGGCACGCTTGGGACCTGCAGGTGCGAGGACGGCGCAGATGATGGCGGCGGACAGAGCTTGTAGACGTTCCTCCTCATCAATTACAGGTTCAAGCGAAAGGTTTAGATAGCTGTTGGAAGCGTCGAGGAAGTTGCGTTGCGAGTCGGAGATGCGAGCTTGGGAGAGTTGGAATTGAAGTTTCGTGGGCTGGTCTTGGACGTTGTAGATGACATTCTTGACTCTGTTGAGGTATGAAAGGGCGTTTGTGGGATCGTCTTCTTCTAGATAACAACGGGTGATGCGAATCCAGATCTTTGCCTTGTCGTCGTCGGTAACGTGGCGTTGAGACGAGTCGAGAGTGATCTGTTGCAAGACTTTTGCAGATGATGTGAAGTCTTCATTCTGCTCGTAGCTGTCGGCCAGGATGAGTTTAATGGCGGTGTCTTGCTCCTCGAAGGAAACGACTTTGGGAGCGATGGCGTCGATAGCTTGGGTTCCGACGGCGATCTTTGTGTCGGCATCAGGGAGAGAGGCGAGTCTGTCGACGAAGGAGGCGAGTAGAGGGCGTGAAGTGACGATACCGACTGAGTCACTGAGGATTGACTGGACGTAGGCGATGAGGTTCTCGGACAAGTGGTCGGATTGGGCGAGAATCTTGTCGAGCAAGTCGTTGTAACCCTGGACTTTCTTGTTTGCTTGGGCGTCCTCTAGTGCGAGGAGAGCGTCCGTCACTTGAGAGGATCCCATTGTGCCTGCCATGGTTGGAATTGTTGTTCTGGTCCAAGGATGCAGACACGATCCGATGTGTGAAGACGGCGCAACTTGTGTTGGTTGTGTGAATGCAGAAGTCCAAGTGTTGATTGGTCGACGTCACTGCGGCCCCGCGTCTCTGAGCCTGTCGCGGGCGTAGCTACAGAAATGCACAATATTGATCGAACTGATCACAGAGGAATTATACACAGAATGTGTCAAGCCGACTGCTCACCTGGAAAATGACTGTGCAGTTTGAAGCTTGCAACGATAACAGAGATGGCTGCGGAAGAGAGGTTGACGGTGTGAGGAAGGACGAGGGGAGCACATGAGGAAAGTGAGCAATCCGGGGATCTTGAAGGTCCGTGCGTCAACAATGGATAGGAATGAACGAGGGACATGACCAAGCGCACCTTCCTTCTTTCTGTCGCGCATCGTCACATCATGTCGTCGTCCAACGGAATCAAGACGGAAGATGGCGCCTACATCAAGCCTGAGATCGACGCCGACGAATTCGAAGACACGGGCGAGTGTCAGATGCCGCGCTCCGAGGACGACCAACAGGCCTGGCTCTGCAAACTGCCCAAGTGGTTATGGACTGCCTGGGCTGACATGGCCGACGACGAAGAGATTGAAATCGGCAAAGTCCGCGTCTACCACCAGCCAAACCCGGACGGCTCGCAGAAGATCCAGATGAAGCTGCACGACCTGCCCAAGCATCAAGACGTTCCCAAACTCTACGACCTGTCCAGTTCTCGCGGCCAGTACAACAACACCGTCGTCTTCTCCGAACGCGATCAGCCTGGCTTCAAGGCTTGGAACCCAAACCGCGTGAGGAAGGATACCAGAAACCTGAACTACAAGGTCAACAAGAACAAGCCCTACACCTCGTCTATTCCCAGTATGTCGCATATCACCTTGCATTCCCCCAAGACATCCTGCTAATTCAACTAGNAACAAACCGCTCTCGCCGGCTTCATCAAGGCCGAGATGGCCGTCACAGCCGTCGAGAACGAGGAGTACCGCCGTCTGACCGATCGCCGCTTCATGGAGCTCTTCCAGCCCAAACGCACCACTCGCTTCGAGTCCGGCGCCGACGCAACCGTCCACTCCAACACTCAAGCCAACCAAGCCTTCAGCAGCTTCATCAAGGCCACCCAGGCCAAGAAGCCTGTCAAGAAGCAACAAGAGAAGGCTGTTCGTGTCAGCCAGGAAGAACTCTTTGATCTTCTTACAGACTGCTTCAAGCAATACCGCTACTGGTCGCTCAAGGCTCTCAAACAGCGCTTGCATCAGCCTGAGGCTTTCATCAAGCAGAATGTCGAGAAGATTGCCACTCTCATGCGTAGTGGTAAATTTGCCATGAACTACAGGCTCAATCCTGAGTACGAGAGAACTGTCAACATCGACCCTGCCAACGTCAAAGAAGAAGTTGCCGATGAGGTTGAAGATGATGACGAAGACGACGATGATGAAGATGATGAAGACGGTTACGAGGACGTCAAGATGGAAGACTCTTGATTGACTCTTCTTTCCCTCTCTTTTTTACCTCGTTTCATGACATGCCCTTTCCTTCTTGCATCTATGGCGTTCTTTCAGTTTCCTTTCAGGACTTGCATGCACTTGGGCGTTTCGGTCTAGACGACCCTGTTGTTCTTGCCAGAGGCACACAAAACAGGTCAAACAAGTTTCTTTCTCTTTCCTTCATTCAATACCCATCATATCATACAATATATCTTATTCCTTCTACGACCAACCAAATCTTCTACCAAACTCTACTCGCGATGTTGACTTTGACATCAAGCTAGACGGCAGCCATCATGATTTAGCCGCCAACCCCCAGCCTTATGCAGTCTTCCGCCTTGTTTCTTGGGTCTCGCATGCATGCTTTGGTACCAAAGACAGACGGCTACCATGCAAACGTCTTGCAGAACATGTTCTCATGACTTGACTCTGACTGGATGCAGTATGCAAGTGTACGATTCACCATTGTCTCCATCGAGAGCGCATCAGATCTGCCTTCTGCATCGTGCCGGCTATGGATCTGTAAGCGTCATATTTACATACTTGGAGTCTGACTGGTAACCGGTGAACATCGACTCGGGTGTGCAGGACTTTTGGAGAGGCGCTAGAACTTCGTGGGTGGGTTTGGTATGCCTCTTAGGGGGTTTCCAAGGGGGGCAACCCTGCTCTAATATCAAATAACCTTTTCGTTCAATCCGTGATGGACATCTTGTCATGGACTTCTATCTTTCTACCAATCCGTCGATGCAGCTTATTCTCAATATCAACAGAACATCATTGGTGGCATTTAAAGTAGAAAGACGATCCGACACCTAGATCCGCAGTACGCTCTACCAAAACACAAACTCCCAAACACACAATCAACACCAAAATTCTTTTGAACATGTTTGGGGTCGGTGTCAAAACCATAGCCCCTGCTTTGGAGATTGTGATAGCACGTGTTTGCTTATCGCTGTCTTGTTTTTGCATTACCTCCCTTGCTCGCAGCATCCTCTGATCGCCCCATTACAGATAAACAAACGCCTTTTTCAAACCACAAAGTTTACCGACCTCAGTCTCTAGACTTTTCAGCGGAGATGCCTATTAATGACTCGAAACAGATATGGATTTTATCAATAAGTGATACATGATCGATGAAGATGTATGCAGAGGAGTTGGCCAGTGTCTTTGCGTGCGACGGTGGCTTTTCTTTGGTGCCAGCGTCAATCTTCCTAGTGCTGGGAGATGGGGGTTTCGCGAGTAGATTGCAGCTTGGGAGCAAGTCAGGCTCCACCCATCATCGATAGAAATTGCGGAAGTGTTATTACTTCTAAATGGAGTCGTGCGGTCGTCAGTTGAGGTCATCGGATTGTTGACGATGCTGCTGTTGGCACTGCTCGAGAGGCCATTGATGTGAGAGCCGACATCAGCGTGGGTTTGAGTACTGGCATCAGCTTGGGGACAGGCGGCTTGAACCCGACACCGAGATGATCTTCGAAGGCGTGCTTGATCTGAGTATTTGCGTCATATCCAGTCACTTCCTCTCGTAGATTCAGAGATGGCGATGGCGGATTATTAGCAGTGAGAGCCAAGGGTGTCTCGTGCACATCTGCCATGTCGAAAGATAACTTCCAGTCCCAAGCAACGAGGGCACGATGAATAAGGGAATGGAGAAAAGAAAGGCGACAGCACCAAGGAGAAGTGATGATTGTGAATAGGGGACTTCGCCTCAGATGCCCACGTCCTGCTCGAAGTGTTTTCGAGGGATGTATTCTGCTGTAGAGAAGACCAATTCCTGTCCAGAAGAAGCGTTCGCATCGAACCAATGAGCCGGAGATTGTTGTGGTTTTCGATGATCCAGTCCCTTTCAGCCTTGCATAAGCGACAGAGCAGCAAATTGCTCAAAATGTGAAGCTCTTGAAACTCTTGTATCCAGTATTTGGCCTAGATCTCTCTTCGACCTGTACTTCAGAACGCACGAGTATGATTCCCGGATCATTGATCAATGAATCCTTCATACTCTCTTCATCCTCCTTGTCACGGTCCTTAGCACTTGGACATGAGATAAGCGTCTTATGGCCATGAGGAGCAGGAGACCGTAGTGCATAAGACTGATAATCGTTGAGAGGGTTAACACTCGTTCTATCGGCGCGGGAGTGATGAGATCCGAAGAAGGGAATGGATTTGACCAGGGGTTTTAGGGATGGGATGGAGCCGACGATGATGGCGATGCCGGTTTCGATTATCGACCACAGGACGACGTTGGAGACTTTGTCTATCATATGTATCAGCTTCAGTCTGGTATAGTTCTGGTAACTTGACTGACAAGCAAGATCATGGGTCGCAAAGTACGAGTCTAGGTACTTAATCCGGATAATGGTGGCGGCACTCGCTNNCTGCATCCTAGTCAGTCAAACATTCCCAAAAGGTCAAGTCACATACAAGAAACCGAGACTCAACATAGCAGCAACCGTAAACTTGAGTCGTTTCCTCATCTGCAACTTCCAGAGAATGATGAAAGGCATGACGGCGCAAGCAAAGTCAGTCGTGATAGAGCATGCTGTCACAAAGTACGAGATGTGTACAATGATGGCTTCATTGGAACATGTGCCAGCAGAGGGGTCCCATGTTGCTTTCAGTGGTTTGCACTGCAGCAGTACTGTCATCATGGCGATGAAACCATAGCTGGCACTGAGTGCCAAGATGGCGTAGAGCGTGTATAATAAGCGTTTGGATATGGCGAGGCGGATGAGAGCCACGCAGATACTACTCTTGACAAAAATGAGACTGGCGCAGTAGAGCACTTGGAATGTCATGAGGGCCTGATAGAGGTCAGCCAGTACTCGGATAAATTTCTCAAAACATCGTACACGCTTAATCTTTGAGTAGTCGCCTTCTTCGAGGTCGTAGTCGTGTTGACCCAAGCCTGCCTTACATCCACATAGGACAGTGATGAATGTCATGATACCAAACACCNNTAAGACTCGATCAGACAAGGTCAACATATAGTGATTGTTGGAGAGATTAGGTACCGTGCCAACTAGCATAAGCCAATCGTCCGAGCCGAATCCTTTGATTGATATCCTAGTACAGCATCGTAATGTGATCATCACAAAGCAGACGACGCATAAGAACATGGTAATCGCGAACAGCGTGAGGCATTGGCCTTCTAACGTATCGGAAGCCATGGTGTATTGATGCAACTCACGAAAGAGACAAAGGGTGAGAAGAAGAATAGGCAGCCAGAGAGCTACTAGGTGAAGAGACCTACCATTAATGGTGAACCAACTTAAGATTCCCCGCCGAGCTCTACATGTCATGAACCATGCTCTGAAATGGCATGGGTCCGAGTCCGAGGTAGCGTACCGAAAGAGAGACATTCATCGACGAAACAATGTCGTCAGTGTTTCTGGTGCTTGATCCTTTTGATGATTGACAGCCAGTAAACAAGCCGCCATCCTAGGCGAAGACACAAGAAACCTGGGGCTGAGACATCTGATAGAAGAAATTCTAGAAGAACACCAAGATTGGACCACGAATGGGCATGGGAGCGTTTCAAGAATCATCTGTGCTGAGATGTTGATGTTTCGAACAGTCTGATTCCGACGGCACACGACTCGATTTCGAACGAACGAAGTTCAGGCAAACACTGTCAAAATTGTTGTCGTGTGGCTCGACCAGGTTGGTGGAAACCACAGGAGTTTTAAGGCGACCTACACTCCTGCTTCAGATTTGTTGCGCAAGATCGATCGACATTGAGCGTCTGAGCCAAAGGCAGACATCTTTGTTCCTGTCTTGTGAAGTCCCGTCTTTATGTGTGTATTCGTTCACCAACAGGATATATTGTATGGTGCATGAGGGTACTTTCTCGTCTCGTTTGAATACGCGAACCCAATCGCTGACGATCGATAGTTGAACGCGTTAAGCACATCATGCTTGGAGCTTGTGAGTTACAGAGATCCACCTGAGCGCAAATGCGGCAGGTATGACAATCTTGTGTCGTTACACGAGATTCTTCGCGGTTATGTTGGCTGGGTGGGAAGTCGCGATGTTGTCGACGCTCCGATAACGGCATACTTCGAACCGAGATCGGTGTGAGTGCAGCTCAAGCAACTCTCTCTTCGACCTTCCGGAGAACTTCAACAGCGGCGATAACATTCGTACGAACGCTCGAAACATGACAAGAGTGTGTCGGCTCGGCCGACTTGGGAACAGTCAACTCGGGTGATATCAGTAGTTTCTTGAGACCCTGTTCGGTATGTTCCCAATCTCAGCCGTTGCTTCCGCGTTGGAGGAAGGTACAAGCGCAGCGCAGATCCGCCCGGAGCGTGCAAGCGGCGACGAGGTTTGTATATAGGCAGAACACCCTCACCACTGTCGTTCACTTAGGTTTTACTCTTCAAAACACTCTTATCGTTCACGATGTCAACACAAAAAGACCAGAAGATCCTGATCATCGGGACCGGCACATTCGGTGCCTCAACAGCATATCACCTAGCAAAGCGAGGCTATACGAACATCACTTGCATCGACAAATGGCCATACCCTAGTCTTGATTCTGCTGGCTATGACCTTGTGCGTGTAATGCTATCGATTTCCGCCCTACTGAACTAATCTGTACTCTTGCCACACAGANACAAGATCATCAGGACAGAATATGATGAGCCGCTCTATGCAGAAATGGCCTTAGAAGCAATTCAAGCATGGCGAGATCCTCTTTACAAGGATATATTCCACGAGACCGGATGGATTCTGACCACTCTTGGCGATCCTAAAGCCGTAGCTCATCTGGAAAAATCATACAAAAATCTGAAAGATAAAGGTCAAGCCCACAATATCGATTTTGTCAAAGGCAAAGACGAGATTGCAAAGTATGTGCCGCAATTGAAGAACGCCCGCGACATCGACAACTGGAAAGGTCTGTGGAACAAGCAGGCTGGTTGGGCGCATGCAGCAAATGCCATCAAGAAGATTGCCGATGAAGCAGGCAAGATGGGTGTTCGCTTTATCTCCGGAGCTGCAGGCGAGATGGTGTCTCTCGAAACTTCCGGCGACAAAGTCACGGGTGTGAGAGTCAAGTCCGGCGACGTGTACACCGCAGACAGATATATATTGTCTACTGGTGCCGCCTCTCCAGCCCTCCTCCCAGAACTTTCCACGGAACTATGGAGCAAATGCTGGACCTACGGCTTGCTGGAACTGACTGAAGAAGAAGCAGCACAATTCAAGGACATGCCCGTTGTCCTCAATCACGAACTAGGTTTCTTCTTCGAGCCTAGTACTGAAGGCCGCTTGATCAAAATCTGCAACGAGTTTCCGGGATACCAATGGCAANAAGGAGAATACACGGATCATGCCACAGGGGAAACGAAGAAGTACAGCATTCCACGCTATGCATCCGAGTACCCTAACGATGGCATCCCAGAGGAAGCAATGAACGCCATCAAACACTTCATCAGCACCGTGATTCCACAATTCGAAGGCAGGGAGATCAAGGGTGCTAAAGTGTGCTGGTGTACAGATTCGCCAGATGCACATTATCTAATCGACACGCATCCCAAATATCCTGGTGGTGAGCTGCTACTGGCGACAGGTGACAGTGGGCACGCATTCAAGATGATGCCCATTATCGGCAAGTACATCGCAAATGCGCTGGAGGGAGATTTCAAANAGGAGTGGAAGTATGGCAATCGTCAACATCTCGATAGTGGTAGACCTGGAGATGAGGTCAAGGATCTTGAGGACGTGGGCATTGGTGAACCCCAGGCCAGGCTGTAAAACCCAGACAAACGCCATCTCTGTCCACTTGTCGTAAATCGTAGTGATGGTCATGTACCGAATGACAATCTCAATGAGTGGAGCCAGGAGCGGACAACTGTTCTTTAGTGTCTTGGCCACAATCATCTCAATCTTAGACTTCATCATTACCTGAGTTGCTACATAACAGACCAAATAATATCGCCAAGCAACTATGGTAAACCATAACCTGTTCAGGTGTTCTCCTTCCTGCTCTGGTCACTCGAACTGACATGACTAAATCCAAAGGCTATGACCGATGAGGAATGGCGAGCAAATCGAGAGCGCCGTCAAGAAGAGCAACACAAGGAACGTCTCCGTGCATACCATGATCAGATCCAAAACATCATTTACGCCATCGCAATCCTGTTAAAATGCATTGCTTTCTATATCTTTGCAAAAGCTGTTCAAGTCTTGGTGGTTGGCATTCTGATCCAACCAGAGATCGATGCTTTGTCAGCGAGAGCAGCGGCGAAAAAGGCCTAGTCATTATATTCTCAGGTGTGTGGTTGTTGTCAGTCATAATAACATGGGCGATCTTTTCCTTACGCCCATAATCAGCTTGGAACTACAGTTCAACTTCGAAATTTCGGTTCCCACTGATTGAGGATTTGAATGAGATCACCAGAAAGTACAGATAGCTTATTCCTTCGCTCACAAAACGATTCGACGATCAACCAAAGCGACCCGGAATCTTGGTGAGCACCGACTGACTGCACGTCAAACAAATCTCCGCACAAGTGTGTTCGCATGCTGATGTACATGTATAGAAAGCCATTCACGATTGTACGACCAGTATCTTCCACAACAAGATAACCTCAACATCTGTCGTAGCTTGAGTAGCCGGACAGGTCTACGTACTCCGTAAGCTGGTCAATCACTTTTCTGTCGTACTTGTTCCAGGCTCGATTCGTTTTCGCGAANGCTGAAGCAGGTGTCATGTCAGCCAAACATCAGCACACCAAGCACAAAACAACTCACATCGTGTCGTATGGATGCAAAGAAGTCCCATTGTGTTCACCAGAATAGAGAACGTCGGAGCCAGTGCAGTGCTCCAAATACACCTTGTCGCTCTCCACTCCGCCATACGCTGTGAAGCTCGACATCATGGCGTACGTCCCATACCCTGCTTCATGAATCCAACGGGTGATCTGTGTTTCTCCTTCGTTCACAGCCGATGCCATGTTTTCGAAACACTTGAGCTTTGGCAAAATGGCGGCCATGCCTAGTTTATCGGTTGCCATTATCATCGATTGCACATGGGGAGGATAACCATCATTGTGCGCACAGTTGTACGTCATGCCGACCAGCTTGACTCGATCGGAGAGCTTGCTCAGATATGTATCTGACCAGCAATTGTTGGCCCACGAAGGGAGGAAAGGTCCTCTCAGAGAAGCGTTGATCATGATAAAGCGCGAGTATTTGGTTGCGAGAAGCGAATCGTTAGCTCGCAAGACTTCTCCATAGGCGCCGAGGTCATAACATGTATTTGGGCGATCGATAACTTTGACGTTCGGCAAATCCGGTATATTGATGGTATATTCTCCATTCATGATGAAGATGAAGTCGGCTTTGTTGTGAAGTGCATGCTTCAGAAAGAAGTTGAGGTTTTTGAGGGCCTCGCTCGTTTCGTGGTAGGTGTACAAGATAAGATCGGTTGCACCACCTGCACTTGAATAAGCATCATTAATGTGAATTATTGGCTGTGCAAGTTCCGATAAAGCTTTGTGGGGGACGTTCACTCCGAAAAGCAGAAGCAAGAAGCCACCGGAGAGAACAACAGCGATCCAGAATGGTGAAAGCATTTTATCGTAAACCAAACTGTCGAATAGGGACCCAGTAGCATCTTAAAGGTCCGCAAACTCAGTGTCAGGGGGTGGTACCGTAAGTTGTGCAGACTTGAAACGGTAGATGTACATCAGCTGGAGCGGTTTTCAGCTCTGCGTTGCGTGAGGGGTCCATTCAGCAGCTCGAACGCCACACTGACTGACAACTCGATTTAGTCTTGAAATTAATCGTGTGAAATGGAGATGCGATAGGATGAATAAATTACCGCGACTTGATAATATCTTCCAATACTGCAATGATCGAACACTTTGCGATCGTTGTTCATGTCAAGGAAAGCGATCCGCTGATGGGCCCTTCCATTCGCCAGAATCAAATCCTACCAACGTGACTGCTCAAAGTCGTTCACAACATTAGCGTCCTGCTCCAATCATCGTCTTCTTTGCAACCTTGCGACCCTTAGACGTTTATAGTGTGTAACGGAAGTAGGGGTTCTCGAAATCCGTCTTGTCCTCTTCTCCCATCTTCTTCGCCCTCAACGCTCTTTCCTCCTCACTCAACCCATCGTTCGCGATGGCTCTGTCCAACCGCCGGTTTCTAAGCACTAACACAACTCTCCAGGCCACGAGCACCGCAAATTCAAGTCCGAAGCAGACAGCACAGCCCACCACACCAGGAATGTAGTAAGGCGCATCTTTGGCTTTAAAGATCTGAGACCCGGCCATATTGCCGACACAGTAACCAACAAACGTGAACGAAGAGGTGAAAGTACGTTTGGTGCGGCCAGCCGTGTTTGAAGGGATCAGTGACCAGGCAAGGAAGAGCGAAATTACGTAGGGCACTGTCATGAAGTACATGCCCCATTTCGTCCACTTGTTAGAGGGCTCATTTGGGATCAAAGCCATTCCAAGGAAGCCGACAAAAGGTGGGATAGTAGAGAAGATCATGAAGTACAGACGCAGACCAGAGCGTTTACTCGTGACAATACCTATTGCGATGAAGTATAACACGGAAAAGGTGCTACGAGGGATTTCCAGAAGGATTACCTCTAAGCTGGTGAAGCCGAAAGAAGTGTTAATGATAGCGCTGAATGTTGTGAGCCCACCGTTCGGTAAGCTGCTAAGGAAGGCGTTGATACCAGCGAACCAGAAGCAAGGGTCAATCAGACACTCTCTGACTTGCTTCCACTGCCACTTCTTGACTCCAGTGCGGTCGTGTCCTGTGTTGTTGCTGACAATGCGTGCATTTGCCATGCGCTTTTCCTCCGGCGTAAGCCACTTAACCTCGGAAGGTGTACCGAGGAGGAACAAGCAGATGCAACCAACAAGAATGGTCAAGGCACCGAGGAAGTAGCTCATCCATCTCCAGGGTTCGGAATTTGGATCCTTTGCGCCATGCTTTCCAATGCCATACAGGGCCAAGCTTGAAATGATGCCGAAGCCAGCGTTGGCAGATTGAAAGACGAGAGACCTCGAAGCATGCTCTCTGGTCTTGTACCAGCTACCGACGACCAATATGAATCCTGGTGAGATGCAACATTCGAAGAAGCCTTGCAGTGCGCGGAGAACGATGAGGTGCGTGAAGTTTTGAGCTAGAGTCATTAGCAATGTAAAAGACTTCAGCTCGCCACATTGCTTACCGAATCCGATGCAAAGCACCACGACTCCCCAGCAAATCATGTAGCACGACAAAATTTTGCCCATTTTGTAACGTTGCAAGAGAATGTTGCTAGGGAACTCAAAAACCATATAGACGAGATCTGTAAGACATGAGACAAGTCTCACTTCCGAAGAATGTTTGAAAGCGTACAGNAAGATGGTTGTCAGCCAGCTATACTGCTGACCATGAAGACCGGTGTCTTCGCGTAGACCAAATACAGCTTGTGTGCCAAGTGCGGTCTTATCGGTTTGCTGGATACCATAACATAACCACATGAGCGGCAGCAAGTATCTATCGATCTTCCTTCGAAGGTGCTTGTATTGTTCCTCGGAATATTCGCTCTCGGCAGCAACTNNGGTCCTGTTAGTCTTGTGACTGTGTTTGGCGTACCACCAGATATACTCACCGATGTCTTGCTCGCTAATTTCCGATACTTCACCAACCTCAACAGAGCTCTGTTTCTCTAGTGGAGCCATCTCGACGCTAGAGAACCTCTTANNTCCCTCAGATCGGACAATTTCGGGCGACATGACGAGGTTTTGATAGATGAGATCAATAATGCCACAAGAGACCTTCGGAGAGATTGAAGACAGACTTATATAACCCAGCCAAGGCCAGTTCACCGCACGATAAGTAGGACAAGGTGCTTGTGACGCATCGAGCTTTGGACGCATGTTCATCGCTCACTGATAGGCCTAACATTGCCTTTTGGCTGGCCGCCATCAGGTTGACGAATTGGTAGCATAGATTACAGCCAAAACCCCAAGCTAACCTTGCAACCAAGACTCTTATCGAAGGAGATAGGCAGAGGTGCATATAATAGCGGGCTCTGCATGTACCAAGACTCGATACATGGTCTGCAGCTTGCCTCGTGCATGCCGCCTTATCATGTATCAGCATACTGAAAGGTGAATGGTCGGTCGACAGTTCGCCATGTATATCGATTAGATGCCTTTGGCTTGGCGGTCTTGGTGTGGCAGCGGGGTGAACATCCGATATGATAACCCCACTGATAAGCACGGCCTATCGACATCAGACACCCGTGCATGTAACCAGGGGTAGATGGTTGTTGCACGTATTCCCTTTCGAATTTGGTTGAGGTTGGCAAGTTCCATTGTTTGCTGATTGTCCGCACCACGCCCAGCAGCTGCTTTATATTCGTCGAGCAGTAGGCGTGCTCTACGCAGGTACATGCATACGACTCCTCGATTTGACGGGCCTTGATCAGAGCGGATCCTGAGAGTTGGAATCTTCATTGAAATCCTGTGAGACTGGGTTCTCTGTTCCTGCATGGGCAGGGCTGCTCGGGCTAGGCGACTTGAAGATATCATGGTCTTTGAGTCGCTGTGTCAGGATTACAGTACGAGGCATTGGAGAAGCAGGATCGAGACGGCCCTCTGCGGTCTTCTTGATTCTCGAGACAATATCTGTCATCTCTACATCTTGTAGAGTGAGGATGTATGAGTCGTCGAATATTGGGCTGGATCCAAATTTGGAAGCCACAACTATGTCCAGAGCAGATATTGCTTTGGTGACCCTCTCACCTACAGCAGATGCTTTGGCAATTGTATCCAGGCCGCCACGCGCATTGACCATTTGTCGCAAGCCTGGTTGATGGACAGTAGCAGCGATGCGGTGGTTTCCAGCCATACTCTCACAGAAAGAGATGAAGGTCACTGCGACCAGTGTTCCGTCACTGCATGCTCGTGAAGGATTCGATAGTGACTTGTTCAAGAATTCGACACACTTGGATGATAACCAGCGGAAGAAGAAAGGATTGCTCTGAGGACTGAACTCATGAGTTTCGGGAAGATGCACACATGACATGGCAAGAGCGGCAAAGAACAACGCAGGATCGTTTGTCTGTACAGACAGTGCCATTGGCCATTCAATGTCTTCAAGTGCTTCCTGCCGCGTCTTGCCTTCTGGCTCGAAGCTCTCAGCTACAATGGCTGGAGCTATAGCATATTTGACTATATGGTCAGCAAATCTATGAGAGCCGCAAAGCAGGCAATATTCATCTTACAANTAACTTGTGATGATGCCATATGGAGGCTTCCATGGAACCGGTAAGGTAGAGAATGGGTCGCGTTGAGATCCGATGGTCAACCGGAGAGGCGCATCAGCAAGAAGATAAGCGTTCAAAAGAGGCGCTCGAAGTCGTCTTTCACCAGTGGCGGTCCTTCGATATATCCTAGACTCGCGAATCTCTGCAGACTCCTCTTCCACGACTCTGCTACTCGTGTCCGCACGAGATGCTGCCGGGCCCTGGTTTGGGAATTCTTGAATCCATCTGATAGCAACACGATGCGTCTGATTTGTAGGTCTTTTGCGAACACCCGCAGGATTGTAGAAAACTATAGGATGATTCCGGTCCATGACATATGGAAAATGTGATGCGCAATATCCGATATTAGTGCGGGGATGAATGGTGGAGATCAGGCCTGTGTTCCCATGGTCAGACGGTCGTCTACTGTACAATGCGCGTGCGATATGCAGTCACTGCTCGTGTCGTTGCCGGTTGCCCTAGGGTTAATTGTTTTGTGAGACAGATGAGGAACAAGAAGAGCCCTCATGGCGCTCTGTTGTTCCGAATCACGACACGGCACTTGGCCTTGATTTAGCGAACGTCTGCTGATGGGTGGGTCCAGACTCAGATCGAATTCTGGCAAAGACCTCGGTGCATATTGAAGCGAGCTGATCAACTCCCTCTCCAGTCTCCACGCTTCATGCAACGCGACAAATAGTCACAGCTCTCACGATTTTTAGACTACAGTCAGCTCATGATGATAACGTAGCGCGGCAGCAATCTTCGCAAAAACGAAAATGCGAAGAGATGCAAAGACGTTGATGGCATCCACATTTCAGCGACCGGCTGTGCCGAGGAAGTGTCCAACCAAACGTCTACCAGTGGATCACGTGCGCCAAGGACTCAAGTGCGCTTGCTTCTTTTCCACTTCTTCCTCTGCGCTCCTTCGCGCGCAATTCGATAATCTCATGCAGGCGCACCGGTTGTGGGCTCGCGATAGGTCGCGTCGATATGACCACGAAATCTGAGCCTCTGGGAATACACACCCTCGGTGGTCATCTTCGCTTCTATACGAGGATGAAAATAGAGTCTCGTTTTGCGGCCCGCACCAGACGTTGCATTTGACTTTCTTCTTCAGAGCCTCGATCCTCTTTGAAAACACGTGCGCACGCCTTTTTTCTCAAAGACACGTCGAAGAAGACCTATTCCCGCGTCGAACACCAATAAGGTTGGCCTCCGTTCGAGCGGCTTTGCGGTAAATCGTGTGGGCTTAAGCCTTGATGACGGCCCTTTCTACCTATTGGGTTAAGTGGTATGCGGACAAGACCGACGACTACACTCTGCGTTGCGCTATCAGTCCACTAGATGCTCGTGTAGAAGCACGTTTGCTCCTCCCATGGAGCCATGAAGGTTTTGGCTGATCCAGATTTGTCTCTGCTCGAATAGCCACAAAAGAGAGCTGGAGCTTGTAGAGTCATACTACCCGGCCCAAAGATCTGTTATAAGATGAGAGCGCTCTCTTGTAAGGTAGGACGTACAACACTCTCAGCACCCACTCTTTTCTAAACCCCTCTCGAAGAAACATCTCTCCTGTCTATCATACAGTTGTTCTATAAGCACCATACTCTGTTTTCTCAACCTCCACATCTCTGTATATCATCATGATCGGGTCTTGCACCACCTCTATACTGCTTGGACTTCTTCCTCTTGCCATTGCCGCTCCTGTGAGAACAACGGGCAGTGTCAACCCAACACAAGTCATCTCTGTCGATTTCGCCGATCCTGATCTTCTGCAAGTCGGAACTCAATGGTGGGCTTTTGCCAGCAACAACCACAAGACAATTGCCGCAGTTGGCGGCAGTTTGATCAACGTCCAAGTCGCTCACTCTCCAGATTTCAACTCATGGTCGGTGACAGGGACCGACGCATTGCCCACAGTTGGTGCTTGGGTCGATCCTAATGCTGGCAACCAAGGTGCAGCTGTTTGGGCACCAAGTGTCAGCAAGAACAAGAAAGGTCAATATGTTATGACCTACTCAGCTGCTGTCAAAGGAAGCCCGGGCAAGCACTGCATTGGTGCTGCGCTGGCTACTCAGCCTCAAGGTCCTTACACACCGCAAGCCACTCCTCTTGTCTGTCCGCTTGATCAGGGCGGCGCAATCGACTCCGACAACTTCATGGATGTTGACGGAACGCAATATGTTGTATATAAGGTCGATGGAAACTCTATCGGGCACGGAGGCAGTTGCGGCAACACTGTCGCTCCCATCGTGAACACTCCCATCATGCTTCAGAAGCTCGCTGGCGATGGTGTCACTCCTGTTGGCAGTCCTGTCAAGCTTTTGGACCGTGGCGATCTTGATGGCCCTCTGATTGAGGCGCCTTCTCTCATGCGTACCTCCAACGGCAAATATGTGCTATTCTTCAGCAGCAATTGCTTTGCGTCTTCGAATTACGACGTTACCTACGCATTTGCCGACAATATCAACGGGCCCTATGTCAAGCTTGGTCCTATAATGGTAACCGGCACCGACAACTTGTACTCCCCTGGTGGTCAATCTGTGGCTGCTGATGGCAAGCACATGATGTTCCATGCCGGCGATGTTGGTCCCGCGAACATGGGATGGAGAGCTGCATACACGCAGATCATTACCGTGGACACTGTTCGCCAAGTCGTATCATCTTAGCCTGTTGGTTATCGTGAAAAGTCATGTCTCTCTTCTGTCTTGTAAATACTTGTTCTTCAGCGAGGCGTTGTAGCGGTTAGATTCATATTAACGGGCATGTATGGTCATTCCTTATCAAAATATCACGATCCTTTATCCAAACGTCGCACCGTCTGATCTGCTTCGCCAACGATGGAGAACCCATGGGGTATGTTTCAATGATATGCGTTGTTGCATCAGAGGCGGCATCGATCCGATGGTTTGTGGGAAGCTGTAACGACATCCCGCTCGATGTCGCGATGCGGCAATATATCTAACAAGGATGGAGACAAAAAAAGCAAGGAAGCGGCGCGGGTGAGCAAGCCTCATCACATACAGCTGCAGCTTATCGGACCTTAAACCATTGTCCGAAAAGACATATATCGTGAACATGGCCCCGTCGATTTCTGCGAGGTTTCCTACATTTTGCGTCCATTCGTTTTGACACAAGCGCTATGCTGACGGCGACAAGTCTTGTTGTTTTACTCTTGGCTTTGTGGTCAGAAATAGCCTTTTCGCAAACAGGGCCTCAGAACGCGTCGATACCCAACTGCTTAAGAGCTTGCGATACTCAAGCAATCCTAGCATCCAACTGCACATCGGAAGACCAATACTGTCATTGCATAAGATACACGACCATCCTCGACAGCATCGTTCCATGCGTCCAATACAACTCAACCTGCGTGAACAGGACCGCGGATTTGTTGAGTATGTGCTATCCTTGATCCGACGCTGCTTTCACTGACGGATGCAGCCTTCGAGAGACTGTTTGACGATGTCTGTCAAAAGTTCAATCTGTCGATACCTACCAACGTGACTGGCAACACGACGACTGTTTCGAGTTCATCTCACACCCCACACCCTACACAAGTCGAGCTTCTTCGGACAGCGCGTGGCCTCTAGAGACAACCATGTCGATTGTTGCCTTTGTGCTTACCGCACTTTACTTTTGCATCGTAATGTAGAGAACTGTATGGATAATAGTAATGTTTAGTTTCGCAATCTCGTTGATCCTTCGCGACAAGCTCGCGACATCGGGTGATACTGTACACGTCATCTGGTGTCCAGCCGGAGTTTGCCCGTCACTTCAACTCCGCCAAACAAACCACCGCTCTTTCCTCTCTCCAACGAAACCCGGATTTAGGAGCTCGGTGGCCCAAATCAATTCTGGGAGGATCTCAACAATTCGGTTGACTCATAAACAGCAATGTTCGGACTTTGCAGTACATACGACCTGCCGGAGGCTACTTGAGGCATGTTAGGTAGGTCTGATATGATATAAAGGGGAGTCCTGTTGGAGGTTGTCCAGCAATCATCCTTCTTCTAGACGTCAACCGTGACTTCCGTCTTCTGTCGCAGCGCACAATACTTGTCTCTGTTCTATCGTCTTGACACCTCTCGATACTTCCTCAATGGCCGAAACGAACAGAAAGATTGCCCTGATCACTGGCGGCTCGCAGGGCATCGGCGCCGCTACCGCCCGTTCTCTTGTCCAGAAGGGATACTTCGCTGTCATCAACTACTCCTCCAACACCACTGCGGCTGAAAGCCTTGTTGCTGAACTCGGGGCCGACAATGCTGTCGCTATCAAAGCCGACGCCAGCCTTGTATCGGACACTGTGTCTTTGGTCGATACTGTCGTTTCGAAGTACGGCCAGATTCACGCCTTGATCTGCAGTGCCGGAAGACTGGGACTGCAAGACATCTCCGAGACCACCGAGGCCGGCTTCGACTCTCTCTTCGCGATCAACGTGAAGGGACCCTATTTCCTTGCTCAGGTCAGGCTTATCGTCTGCTCACTTCGCTGCTCTTGCTGACTCCTTGNNCAGAGAGCTGCTCCGCACATGCCTCCAGGTTCGCATATCGTCTTCCTGTCAACGACGCAGTGCCATGCCAGCACTGTTACGCCTGAATACATTTTGTACGTCATGACCAAGGGAGCCCTCGAGCAGATGGTGCGTGTTCTGGCCAAGACACTTGGTCCAAAGGGTGTCTTCGTAAACGCTATCGCACCAGGCCCAACTGCCACAGACATGTTCTTGAACAGTGGCAGACCACAAGCAGTGCTTGACAAGATTGCGAGCTTCAGTCCTCACAATCGCATTGGCGACCCGAAAGATGTGGCAGACGCTATCGTGTTCTTGACCCAGAATCAGTGGGTGTCTGGTCAGGTTGTGAAGGTGAATGGTGGAATGGCTTGAGGCTACATCTATGTCAATGGAAAAAGCGCTCGAGTATATCGTATAAAAATCATACTTGCCCGTTGCCTACACCTCGGCAAATCCAAGACTCCCGACCGCAAAAGAACTACCTCTCGTCATTATCATACCTATCTCACCACTCCATTGCTGCTTATGATCACCATGTGCACGGAACACATCTCTCGGCTTCTTATTGACATTTTGCGAAAAACCTCTGTCGATCAAGAGGTGGGGTGTTTTTTGGTTACCGACGTCAAGCCACAGGTGGCATGCAGACAAGCGAACCAAGCAAATCACATCGCTTAAACACTGCTCAAGCCCAGGCAACAGTCCTGGGACCGCACAACTCCTGCATCAGAGAAATTCATCTTAGCACGCGCGTTGGAGCAAGTCGAGGACTCGACCAACGTACGGCTCATCCAAGCACTCCACTGACTCAACCTTTTGACCGCTCTCAACCGTTGCCTGAATTCGATGCGCGCCATGTTGGTTAGGTGGCCTTGAGGTGTGTTACACAAAAACGGGCGGGGCGCGCTTTGACATTGGATTCTCGGACGTTCACGCCTGTCCGACAGCACGCACACCCATACGCCTGGACAACTCAGATTGTATTGGGGTGGGAGCTTTCCAAATGCTATTTGAGCATTTCGCAAAACACGTAATGATCAAACGTGTCGTCAAACTTTGCCCGCCACAGCCTTTGTTCTGTGGTTTGAATTACGGTCCAAGGGGTTTGCTTGTCGCTTCCCCACAAGTTGCTACATTGGTGGCGCAACCTCCGGTCATGGACAACAGTGCAACAGTGAACGTGCTGCTCAAAACGTGGAGAGTCGAACTCTTCGCGCATCCGCCAATGCATCCTCGATTTCTCACGGGTGCTCTCGATTTGGGGTTTTGCGCACAGCTGTGGTCCAAATAGCCGCGCGACCTGCAAAGACTCGCTCCTTGCAGGAGACACCAGCCGTTGGCGATGCACGGTATCATGACCGGCTTGCGTTGGCCGCCGGATACACAGAGATGAGATCTAGTTAATTAAAAGCTGCATCTCCCTAGCTGCCACATGCGGCAATGATGATCGTGCAGACCATGGCAAGTAAACATGTGCATACTTCCACACATGCGATTCTGGCTGCGGACAAGGCTAGGTCCCAACATTTGTCGCGGCTTTACTTGGCTAACGAACAGGAACCCCTTCTGGATCCACCGTCACATGAGAAAAACCAAGAGACTATCAACAAGGAGCTCTGAAGGTCCCGCAGAAAGACAGCAGAAAGACAGTAGACCAGCTGTATCGAACCGATTCTCATGCAGAAGCATGTCGGTTCTTCGTCGTTCCTTGGTCTCCTATCCGCCTCAATCCCATGCCGCCCCCAGGTCCCTTTGTACCTGTCGATCCGTTAGACGCATGCCTCAACGGTCAAAAAGAATATCATACGACTTTCGTGTAAGCATTCTGTCGTTTAGTCTCGGGGACTTACTATTCCACTGTGGGCTGCGATCTGCTCTTTGACCAAGGCGGCTTGTACTGTGACATACATCCAAGACGGTCTGTGATCATGAAATGTAGCGACATTTTCTCTGATGAAACATCCGAACCCCAGCCAAGGGTTCTGTATACTTCAGCCACGATTGCGTCAGTCAAACATAATAGAACCATGGACCATTTGCGTCTTCTCTATTTGGACTAGTCACGCTCGTTGAAACTGGGCCCTGGGTCTGTTCAACTAGTAACTAAGTTTACTGATCTAACCTCATTGATGGCAACCTCGTATTTCTCAGAGCTGAAACAGATTCGTGGTTGTCAGCCCCAACCTGGGATAGCCGTTATTGGCTGGCCTGTACTTGCATCAGAGCACACTCAGCGTACATCTGTTCGTAACCTTGCTGTTGATGGAGACTGAGCGGAGATTGAAAGGAGGACAGCCTGCATGTCAACGAACCTTTCTTGTTATCTCCTAAGACACTCCACAGCTATCGAGATGTGTTGCCGAAGATAATGAGGCCCGTAAGCTTCTTTCTTTCCCGAGACATGATGCTTACCGAAACTCCTGGCCATGGCGTCGGTGATCGCATCGGATCATTGCGCCCCAGCGCAGCCATCATGTCTGGTCCGCCGCCCTAGCGCAGGAACCGGGAGTACGTTCCGTGGGGTCGAGGCTCAAAGAGATTCGATTTCTCTTCTTGCAAGATAGGCCGCCATTTGTGCCAAACTGCTGGCTTGGCCTCTGCCACGACCTCATAAAAGCTCCCATCTCCCCTCACACTCAAGACATGCCACATCAACCTCTTTTCAAGCAACTTCGACCACTCAAAAGCATTTTTATACCTCCTGTTCCTCTCTTCGTGTAGTTGTCTGGAAAGACTTTCGAGTCTTGGTCGACGACACGTGCGTCCTCTATCCAACAGACTCGCACCTCTAATCAACAAAGTCGCTCCTCTATCCAACAAACTCGCTCCTCTATCCAACCAACTCGCTGCCATGCCTTCCACCAGGCACAACTTTACCGTGCTCGTCACTTCTCTCATCGCATGCGTTATCCTCATCACCACAGCGTACTCCACCAACGAAGACATGCCTGGCCGTATCGGAGAGATTCTTGAACTCATCCTTGCCTGGCTGGAAGATCTCGACGATGGAGATGTTTTGCCACGTTTCCACCAACCAGGCCACCATGGCCACAAGTTCAAAAGGGACTGAGTACCTCACACGGTAAGACCTCAATCAATCCGCGTCGCTGTACTCTTGTACTGATTCAGACATGACGCAGGACCAATCAATGAGGCCTCAAGATATTCAACACCTAGCATCGACAGTCTAAACACTCTCTGGTTTTCCACCTCGGTCGCTCCTTGATGAGAGCTCGCCCACATGTCTTCACACGATACTCTCTCTTATTTGGATAGCCATGGATACAACCTTCCGCTTCTATCTACCCTCTCCTGTCACCATGAGGGGCGACCCCTTTGATCTTTCGCTTCTACTCACCCTCTCCTGGCACTATGAGAGGCGACCCTTTTTTTTTTTTCCAAAACACTTTGGGATATGTATGATATCACGAGAACAGGATACAAAAGATGGACATTATATGGAGGCATCTACATGTACGATAGGCACACAGGATATACTATGTACAGTGTAGCAAGACAACACAGCTCTACCCTCCACTCTACCCTCTCCTCTTCCACTCTGCTCTTCCACTCTGCTCTACCGTTCTACTCTACCGCTCTGCTCTACCGCTCTGCTCTACCGCTCTACTCTATCACTCTACTCTATCACTCTACTCTACCCTCCGCTCTACCCTCCGCTCTACCCTCCGCTCTACCCTCCATCTTAGGATTAAAAGATGACACTCTCTTTGCTTCTCTACGAAAGATTCTTTAGTCCTCATTGCTTACCTAGAAAGTGCTAATATGCTCTAATCCTCAAATCTGTCGGTCTTGTAGTTTTCTCGTCTTTCGCCATTGGCAAAATTCGCTGCCATGGTTAGTCAATCTCCCTCCACTAGGTAGTCACAAAACCCCTACCCCTTTTTTTTCTCTTTTTTCTCTCATTTTCTTTTTGTTTTCTTCTTATCTTGGGGCTGCTTCATCTACACACCAGGACTGTTTATACCTTACATACGTTTTCATCTTTTAAGATGTGTATCTTGACTTTAGATATCGCTCCTGCACAAATAACCCTTGAGAGTTAAGGAGAAAAAAAAGTCGTGTGATGACAGTGTAGATTCTATAGCTATGGTCCACTCTCATCATTAAGGTATATCACACCAAGAAAAAGATTACGTCGTTAATATCATCCATGCCCAATCCTTGGCGGCTCAATATGGTATAATAAAAAGACCCAGAGTATCAAGGGTGGATATTCATGGAGGCTGCAAGGGCAGAGGTGTGGAGTAGACAAGGACGGAAAGAAAAAGCAAAAGGAATTGTCGCAGCCGTGAATCGAACACGGGGCTCGTGCATGGCAAGCACGAATTTTACCACTAAACCACTGCGACTGGAAGATGAAGCAAATTTTGTTGAAAAACAACATGGGCAAGATCAATGTTGTGGCATTGAATCAACTCAATCTCTACTAGCCAGGTCTGTTATGATGATCGTCAACTTACTGAGGAGCTTGTCGTGTTTCAAGCAAATCGAGACCGCTGTTCAAGCGATACAAAGACGCGTATGTCCATGATCCATCTTTTTGCGTACGAAGTATCTTATGAGTCGTATATTTCGTGTAGCATCGACATGTATCTATGTTTCTCCACTATCCAAGAGCTAGCCAACCTTTCCCTTCATATCCTAGCATGTAGTCATCTTCTCTTTTCGACAGCTTCTCTGAGCTTTGCAATGACTTCTGAAGGGTCTTTGGCGCCAAACACAGCAGAGCCGGCAACGATGACATTTGCGCCGGCGTCAGCGGCCACATCGATGGTCTTCTCGGAGAGACCACCGTCGACTTCGATGTTGAGCTCCGGGTAGCGCTTGCGGAGGGCTTCGACCTTGGGCATCATGTCGGGCATGAACTTCTGGCCGCCAAATCCGGGCTCGACGGTCATGATGAGGACCATCTATCGTGTATTGTGTTAGCGTTGTGTTTCGAGGTGCGGAGTAGGGTCGGAACGACGTACGTCGGGGACCTCGTCTTGTGTCTTGCTGTCTAGAATGTCGTAGAGGACGTCGACGGGGGTGCCAGGCTTGAGGGCAATGCCGGCTCTAAGGCCTTGGTCGTGGATGTACTTGATGAGTTCCTTGGGACTGGTCTTCTTGTCGGAGGTAGCGGATGGTTCCTCGGCGGCGGTAGAGTTGATGGCGGCTTCGTAGTGGAAGCAGTAGAGATCGCATCCAGCCTTCTTGAATTCCTTGACCCATTTCTTGGGCNNTACTGGCCATGGTTAACATGTTGTTTGTAGACCAGCGTTGGAGGGACTGACCTCGGCGATCATCATGTGGCAGTCGAAGGTGCCCTTGCCAAAGGATTCTGAAGGCTTGTCGACATGAGGACGGATCATTGTGACGACGGGAGCGCCGAAGGTCATGTTGGGGACGAAGTGGCCGTCCATAATGTCGACGTGGAGCCAGTCTGCGCCATGGCCGATGGTGTCTGAGCAGGCCTTGCCCAGGGCGCCAAAGTCGGCAGAGAGAATTGAAGGAGCGATGATTGCTGGAGGAGCCATTGTGTATGTGTGTCGAATGTCAATTGTGTCTACTCAAGTAGAAATCACTCCAGGGCTGATCTGGTCGGTCGACAAAATACCGACGGCTGCCCCGCTCACGTCACCGCTAGCTCACCGGCAGTCGCTGCTCCCGAACCCTACCTTTCTCGGCCTTGCTTTCCTATGATTAAAGGCTTGTAGCACTCTTTGAGGTGGACTTGCTCGAGAAACTTGAGAGTCACGGACAACGTTTAGTGTGAAGACTAACAATGGAAGGGTAAATGGAGTCCTCGCCGTGAAATTGTCGTGAACAGGAACACCCTGTCCTTCCAGCGATGCGGACCTACCTCTTTGTATGAGCTAGGATGAAGCATTCGAACATGACCATGAAACTCAGCAGAGGCTATTTTAATAGATTACTGCAACGAAGAAAGTATTTTCATGGTCGCTGACCAGGATTGATGCCCAAATAGAGATTGTCAAGAATGATGATGTGTGTCGTTTATGTTGACAGGACTTGGCGGACGTTGTCGGGTCAACAGACAGGGCCGAGTGCAAGCGCTGCGACTTCCCGGAGCACCTTGGTTTGTTCTTCGATATCTGCGACTTGAACCTCCCAAACATGACTTTTCGACGATAGCAATCTTGCGACAGTAGTACTATTCAGCATTCAGCCTACCCAATCTATGGCGCGCAATCGATCACATTAACTCTACAGCACTTTACCTTCATTGGACTACTCGACACACCTCAGCCACTTCCTCCAACAAAGCATTATCCCCCCGACCCATTGCTTCCAATGACCACCACTGCACGCCCATATTACCGCCACGGCTCTCCCCTATCAGTATTCAACCCAGCACAAGGCTTTGCAGCCGACGCGCCCATGATGCAGCGCATCGACGTTGGCGACTCGTCCGACGATGAGATCCCGCCGCCCATGAAGTTCAGCGCTCTCACGAGGGCACTGCTCGAGTCTGAGGAGGGCTTTGAACACACTTCTCCCAAAGAGAACGGCGCGCGCGATTACGAGACGCCTAGCAGAGCTCCGCAATTGAAGATTGTGCGCAAGTCTTCACCCACACACAGCCACACTGCCACTTCGCCGCGCATTGTCTCAGTCAGCAAGAGAAACCCCTCCTCAGCACGTCACACCGAGAGATACGTCTCGAGCAGAGAAACCACTCCCGCCCTCGAATTCGTCACTCCTGCGCCCGCTTCCCGTTCGACCCGCTCGTCTGCAAGCAGATCCACCAGCAACCCATCACCCGCCCTCGATCCTGTCGATCACGACGCGTCGCAGAACTTTGGAGCCTCGCAGTACGATGCTTCAACAAGACACATGCCATCGTCAGCCCTCAACAAGACCCGTCACGCGTCAGCAGAGTCATCAGCACATCCAGGTTCTGTACGCGTCAAGAGAGCCCCGGGTGCTTTCCTGCGAGGTGCTCCAGTAAGAAGAGGTTTCCGCAGGCGTGAGAGTGATGACAATGTCAGCCCACATGATGGAAGTGCTCCGCTCTCAGAATCTCAATCACAGCCAGACCATGACGAGGACCTCGCATACTCGGCGGGACGCACAAGCAGAGCAGACAGCGCCAATCCCGAATCCGCTGCTGTATCAAGACACGATTTTGCACGTTCACGAAACCACAGCCGCGATGTCTCTGCTCCATTGAAACGCGATACGAGCTCCGATCCCCACAGAGTAGTGTCCCGCGCTTCCACACGAGTCCCTAGTATGGAACGACCACCCAGGAGGCCAAGCGTTGAGCCTCATAAACGGGAGAGAAGCGGTTCTCGCGCAAACTCGAACCATGGGGAGAGCATCGCGCAAAGAAGACCAAGTAACGATCATATGGCTACCCGCCCAGCGATGGACCAACGACAAGCACGCCCAACCTCGAGCGCACAACATGACGCAGCTGAGGACCAAGAGAACATTCCTCCCCCAACCTTCAAACGTGATAGACACCATGACTTCAAGTATCTTGGAAAGCCAGAGAAAATTGCTTTGCACTCCAAGTCTCAACCTGTCGAGGAGACGCCAATGTCCGGAGTCTCGCATCAATCGCCTCGTAGGGCACTCACAGCAATCAGCAACAACACTCCGGTCAGACCTGCTCCTCCACCGCCACCAAAGATGAGTGTCTTGGATGCTGCAACAAAAACTGCCGGCGCGAGCACCACCAAAAGCAAGAAAAGACGCCAACACATCCTCATCAATGGAAAGCTTTTTACTCAGATGAACAAGGTCGGAAAAGGTGGCAGCAGTGATGTCTACTGTGTCATGGCCGAAAATTACAAACTCTTTGCCTTGAAANAGGTCAAGCTGGAAGATTGTGATGAATCAGCCATGCGCGGCTTCAAAGGCGAGATTGATCTTCTTGAGAAGCTCGCAGATGTCGACCGTGTCATTCGACTTTTTGACTGGGAGTTGGATAACGAGAAGCAAATTCTCAGCGTCCTGATGGAGAAGGGCGACCAGGATCTGAACCGCATCTTGACAATTGCGCTCAATGGTTCAGATCCAAAGTTTGACCCAGTTCTGACTCGCTTTTACTGGAAAGAAATGCTTGAATGCGTTCAAGCTGTTCACGACTACGATATTGTTCATTCGGATCTTAAACCCGCCAACTTCTTATCAGTACAGGGCAAGCTCAAGCTCATTGACTTTGGTATTGCAAACGCTATCGATATTGCTCACACAGTCAACGTTCACCGCGACTCTCACATTGGAACACCCAACTATATGTCACCGGAGAGTATTCTGGATACAAATGCACCCACACCTGGCAGCGAACGCACCTCAAATAATGGCAGTCGACTAATGAAAATCGGCAAACCTTCAGATGTTTGGTCGCTTGGTTGCATTCTATATCAAATGGTTTATGGTCGCCCACCCTTCGCCCACATCGCCAACCAGATCAGTCGTATTATGGCTATCACGAACTCGAAAGTTGTTATCGAGTTCCCGGACAAGGGCGTTGGTGGTGTTACTGTACCTTCTGCGCTGAAGGGCACTCTTCGCCGATGCTTGCAGCGTGATTTGCATGCTCGTCCAACCGTCAAGCAACTTCTCAGCCATTCGGACCCTTGGTTATACCCTGACGTCGGTAATGCCGTCGCCATGAGCGAGGATCTGCTTGCACAAATCATCGACAAGGTTGTTGAAAGATGCAAGGACCCAAAGCGCGGTATACCCTCGCCTGACGAGGTCAAGCAATACCCCGCTAGCTTCATGTCCAAGATCCGGGAGATGGTCGAGCGCGACGGCGTCGTTGGGTGACATGATCATTGTCGTCTATTTCGTATGTTTTTTGTTTCTCTCGGTGTACGGATTATGTGGTTCTTTGGGTGAAGCAAGCGAAAGTGCGTCGGAGTTTTTGTGTCATTCTTTTTCTGCTGGTGTTTTTCTTCTTCATCCTGCCCTTTCTTATTCCCCATTTGTTCTCTTGCGATACCACCTTTGCTTTTTCTTTCTCGTTGTTCTTCCTGGTTAGTTTAGTCGCCTTTTTTGCGTGTCGTCTGGAAACCAAAAATGTCATGACCCCTTCCATTCTCCCCTAATACTTTCTTGTTCTATCGTTCTTGTTTTGTTCGTGATGTTGTGCTTGTGTCTGTCAGCAGATTCGACATTATCATCTTATCTTGTTGCTCTGCCTTGGCTGTGTAAAAGTTAAGGCCTTGTTTGGAGCTGTCATTGTGCCAGCACTGGTGTCATTGAAGATTCAACAAAACAGCAATGATCAAGACCCGACCTTGCTTCTCTCTGTTGAACTCTTTGGTGGTCACGCCAAGTCTTAACTTTGCTCTTTTGAGCTTGGTGGATATTTGAGGCTGGATTTGGATTACTTTGATCGTTAATTCATTCATGCAAACCTGGCAGCGCAGTTTTCCAACTCACAATCTCAAGTGAAGTGTGGTTAGGGATTCTGCTCGAAAGCTACACTGCACAGATTGGGTTTTGTCAGGCAACTGTTTTGGTAGGTCTTTTTTTTTTTTTTGTGATTATTTGAGGATGGTTGCTGTGAGGTCATTTGAGGAGGGAAACATCAGAAAGACGGCAGATGTTTTGGGTTTTGATGCAGGCAGCGTGTGCTCCACGGTGTTCATTGCGTTTCTGCTTTCTGACGAATGACATTGGGAAGCTTTTGATCCAGGAAACATTTCTATGAGAGGGAATTTCAAGTGTTGGTGATTTGCCTACAGGCATGGAGAGGCATGGAAACTAAGCTTGAAGGTTGGGCGTTTACATAAGGGAAAGACCTTACGCAGTTTAGGTGCTCGATAACAGGATACGAGGGAGCATGGGAGAAGGAGGTAACGGTACAAGTGATATGGGAAATAAAGTGTAAAGGGCAGCAGTAGCTGAATCGCGACTTACTCTTCAATAGACAGACTATGGCCAAAAGCAGTTGCATCTCACTCACATGGGGATGTGTAGCTACCGATACTATCTGCTGTTGATTATACTACATGAAGGAATATATGCTTATGACTAACATTAGCTTTCAAGGTATGCTAATACGATGATTTACAATCATGCATTTCTTCATTCCTCCTTTGTTGTGAAACAGCAATGGGAAGAAAGTTTCTGCATCGTGGGCGTTCGGTGGGAAGATGGCATTATACAGCAGAGACACGCTTCTGCGACTCCAATATGCTTAACACCTCCCCCCTGTTCGTATGATTACACCCCTCTAGCATGGTTAAACTACGGGTAGGGCAATCATACGAACAGGGGGAGGCAGCTCGGATTGACACTTTCATTGTACCTTGTAAAGAGCGGTTTGAGCCCATTGGATCGCACTGGATGTTGCAACTCTGTGTAGGCAGTACATATCTCTTCCGTGGGGAGATCGTTGGACGTGCATCGCAGCAACACCAATTCTGGCACAGCATAGTTGATATCCCATGCTGTCTCATACTCAGAAAGATCTGTGTGTAACATGTCGACAGCCATCTCCGTTACATTCTCAAAGCGAGGTGCATCTGCCCCTTCTAGACAGCTGAGATGCAGTTGGCCTACGAACTCGATCGACTTGAGTCTGGGACAATACCTTGATATGGCCCGCAATATGTGTTTGGGATACTCATCGTCGTCGGTATCGGCACTAAGAGAAATGGTAAGATTCTCTAGCGCGCCAAGTCCAGAAAACATAGTCCTCGCATCTGCTCCAGTAAAGGTGATATCGGGCAAGAATGAGTCGCCGATCCGGAGCGTAGAGAGATTAGTGAGAGCACCAAGAGCCAGAAACTGTTTCGGCGGCATGAGCACTTCACCACCATGTTTATGGCTTCGAATTGTCAGCTCTTGCAGCTCTGACATATCCGCAAGACGATCAAGAGTAGGCTTGACACCTGTGCGTGATGGTGAGATGTAGCTTCGCATTCTCGTAACAGCAGGAAAACACCTTGCAACCCAAGGAAGACTGTCACCACAAAGACCTAGCTCGAGCTCTCTCAGGGTCGGAAAAGGGTCTGCAGTGTTCTCGGAAAAGCGTTGTAGATGAAGGCCCTCGACCAGGTTGGCATGATACGAGTTATTATTTGCCACCAAGACCAAGGCCTCGAGACGACCGCCGGCGGACAGGGCAGACAATACATCGTGTGTAATCAGCGCATTGCCGCTTGGCCTGAGATACAGAAATACTTCGCATGGGCGTATGCTGCGGAAAAATTGTGCGAGATCCTGCGATAAGACTGGAGCTTCCATGACCGAAAAGAAAACTCGTTTCAGATTGGAGCATCTTTGAGCAAGATTTTCCAGTAGGGAAGCCGTCAGCCAGCTGCGCTTTCCGTCCCAGTCGTCGATTAGTTCTAGTCTCTCTAACTGAGATGAGAAGTATTTCGACAGCTGTAGGTCCTTCGTTTTGTATGGTGTCGCGTCGTAAGGGTGCCTAAGGATGACTTCCTTCAATCTTGGGAACTCTAGGCCAGCGAACGTTGTGTGTATGTGTATGCCTTCGACATAGGAGAAGTCAAGCACAGAAATCCGAGACGCATATTTCTGGCGGCAAGCATGCGGCAAAGCAGAAAGCGCATTGGCGATCCTGCCATTCACATGTGATCCGGTGTATCTGTTAACAACCCCACGGTAGCCTTGCCAGCGCACGTTGATAGTTGATTCAGTCCACGTTCTGTGTACGAGCGCGCAAGAGAATAAATCCCTCTCGCGATATGGATCGCGTAGGCAGGAAAACACAAGTGCCTTCAATTCAGGAGTATCCCAGAATTGGGCGGCGGCCATGTTGCTTGAGAGGGGTGAGCCGGGAACAGAAGATGTGTCTGAATGAGTCTGCGAGATGTCGGGGACGGTTTTTATCCAACTTGGTGTACCTGAATTTGTATGTTTCAGTGTTTTGAGTGGAGAAAGCGCTTGTTGCTATAGCGCTGCAAAGCGTGCAGATGCATGCGTCTGTATCCATCGGAAGCGCCCCCTATAGTGTGTCTTATCAGTCGCAGATTGACTATGCAAACGGGGACTCCTGCATATTATATCGCAATAAAGAATCCAGGCAGACCTTGTCGAGATCAATAGGCACTTTACCGGCCACGCTTCTTGATATCTGGTCGTAGCGATTTTCAGGGTCAATACTTGTAGATGCTGAGCGTCTTCGAGGGTATGTTAATGGAAGTCTGACGAGTATGATATAATGATGTGTCCGAGACTTCTATGTTCAATCAAGAAGTTTTGAGAAACAGCAACAAGCAGCGGAAAGAGCTTTGCTCCTTGCAACTTCCCCATATTGACCAACAAGGCTGCCTCGGGTCTCGTGGTCATGAAGGTGAAACTCTCCGGATCTCGAGTTTGCCTCACCATTCTTCACAACGTCCGGTCTTTGCCCACTGACTAACTCCCAACGCCAAATCGTTGAAAATCTTAGAAGATTTGCGAGATACATACCGACCCATTGTGTGCTTGTGTGTCGAGGCGAATCACCATCCACGCTGGAGTTATTGCATGTGGGTCGTCTCTCCGCGGAAGTTGAGATGGATATGACATGTATGCGTTATCCACGTACATCCGCCTTGATCCGTGTGTACTCACAACAACACGCTGCGGTTGGAGTAAAGAGTCTGACACAAGACACCAGCACTCATGACAAAAGTTAACCCAATCCTTCGCATGCCCCCTTTGGGACTTGGCCTCCACCAATTCTCTCCTTCGCTTTTTATCAGTGGGATATATCCTTTTGCCAGCATATAGCTCAAGAACATCAACAACGCCATTTTGAGGACGATGTTGAAGTATTGGTAGTGTTGCACCTCGTCGTATAGAACTAAGAGGTGAAGTATGCTGGTAACAGCTTGCATGGACATGTAGCCTTTGCTGATGCAGAAAATCAAGCGGTCATGAAAAGAGAAGAGAGGATGTTTGCAAAAGGACACGCGGTCTGAAGTGCCAACCCCATAGATTCGAGGCAGTTTTTACAAACTGTGTGTTTGCATGGCAGCCTGCCTAAGAGTACTTCTTCATCCCAACAGACAATGCACTTTCCTTCGTCAGATTGAGCGGGAGGTTGGAATGTTGTCTGTTCTAGGAATTGTGCATGCGAAGGTAGGTCAAGAGAGGCGATTGAGCCCGGTAAAGACTCCCAGGTTGTATAGGTAATAGCCAGGCAGAGAGACAACAATGGGCGAGAAAGGTTGTGAAGAATTAAGCAAGTGACATAGGCGAGTAAGTCGTTGATGCGATGAGTCCTGGGTTTACAATACCATTGCAGAAGATTCAGAGAGAGGATGCCTAATGTGATGGTTGGAATGTGTGGAGTCACCAGCTCGAGGACGTGTTGGTGGCGTGATCTTGTCGGTACGAATCTGAACTGAAAATCTTTGGAGACAGGAATTGTCGACATGATCTCTTAGACTTGGTGTGTTTGATGACGGCGATGTGATTGCGAGGAAAAACTAGTCGGTAAATATCTGCTTCAATTCCAGGATGGAAATTGCAAAGGGACGACCTGAGCGATGTCCCTTCTGCTCTCTTCAAATTACCGTGCTCCGCCATCGTTGCTAGACGAGACGGAAATAGTCGCAGTCGTTACAGTGGGTTCAAAGGACGATCTCGAGAAGGATTCCCCGGGCACAAGGATGGTACACGGAAGCGCCTGTGTAAATGATGCATGTAGAAGTCAAAATGCCAATCCCGCTTGGCATATGCAGCAGCGTTGGTTCTTTCCGTACACGTGCTGCACTGTCAGGACACAGGTAAAACAGCAACAACAATTGAGCCCTCACAAAGTCGGCCTTTGCATGAAGCTGACCGACGAGGTTGTGATTTTTAGGCTGCCAGATCAGAAGAGATCATACGCAAGCGGCTTATCGTATCTCGTATCGTTCGCGCCTTGATCCGTCGGATGGCTTGTGCTTACATTTAGGATAAACCAAAGAATGTGCCGAGGGCACGCGACAAACGGGATTCTGTATCATGCCTCTCTACAACACACCAATGGCTAGTCCCTACTGATAATGTCCGTGGTCGTCCAACCGAATGCACTGGAGAGTGCTTCTAAATCGATTTTGGGACCCTTTTCTGAGGGGACGACCCCGCAAGAGCTGAACGCGTCTGGGCATGTATGGGGGCTGTGTTTCATTTTAACTTGTCATGGCATTGGATCGAGGGCCACAAGACTTGGTCCTGCGATCCTTCGAGACGATCGTCCAAGACTACAAAGCAAGCAGTTGGCTGCCTTGGTGACGAAGGTGTTACCAGGAACGAGGACTATAGTCTCTCCCACCTCAGCAAGAATCCTTCAAAAAGTCAACTCAGAGTGATCGGAGTCACGCGAGTAATATATCCGGCAAGAAAAGCCTCCCTTGTCTACTCGGAGTAGGGAGGGAAGCAATTCCGTCGATTCGATTTCGCCTGTACTAGCCAAATTTGACACAAACAACGGCGCCTCGGAAGCAAAGCCTCACCGAAGCTAGCCGGAAATACCCCTAAACTTGGCCTCAAAAGCTTCTTCCCTACTTGTCAAAACAACAGGTCTTTTCTTTTTTCACTCCTTCATATTCATAGAACCTGCGGAGGACATAATCGGAGAATCATGGCAGACAAGGGAGACGTCAACTTGGGAGGTGCGCAATTTGCGTCGCACAAATGGGCAGAGCCGGTCGTGAGTGGACAATGTTGCACGAACGAGGTGCACACGACCAAACTAACAATCTTCTCAAGTNTTGTCGTTACCGTTATGATTGGCTCTCTGATCATCAATCGTCGCAAANACTTCAGTATTCTTCGAGGAGATCTCAATGCTCGCTCTGGAACTCTGTCACCTACAAACGAAGGACGTCCTATGCTCTCCGACGATGAAGGTCACGCGACAGCTCGACTCCAAAAACGCACCTGCTTGGGCAAGGAATTTAACATGCCCGACTCTTCAGCTTTCGCCGACAACTTGCACAGTAGAATTTTGCAANAATTCCCTTTCCTGATAGAGATGTTTTACTGGGCTCTCAACTATGCAGCATACAGTTTTACAAAGGCCATCGCCGCTTCTCTGTTTGCGACAAAGGACGGCGTCACCGAGCTAGCCCAGGAGCACGGAATCAGCATTCTCAACTTTGAGCACAATTCGATGTTTTCAATCTTTNTCCCAATCCGTGAGGTGGATTTCCAGGCCTTCTTCACCACCGGTCATCCACTCGTTTTGACATTCTTTAATCGAATCTACTCGCTGGTTCATATTCCTGGAACTGTCACGTGCGTCGAAACTTTATCAAAAAGTCTATGTATAAATTGCTAACCTCTGACAGTTNTCCTTTCATGGTATTACTATGCCGCTCCGGATCATGCAGCTTTCGCAGTCGCCAGACGTACCATGACTCTAGGCAACTTTGCTGCATTTTTCGTCTTCTGTTTCTACCCTTGCATGCCACCACGCCTTTTGCCAAAGTCTTTTGGCTTCCACGATACTGTTCGTCAAGACAATGCCGAGAGTGTCTGGGTAGGTGGCAAGAACGTCAACCAACTTGCGGCCATGCCTAGTCTTCACTTTACCTATGCATTCGTGATCGGCTGCACTTTTATCTACCATTCTGGTATTCACTGGCGTTCTGAGAACAAAGCACTCCAACAATCAACTTTCGCAAGATGTCTCTGGTTATTGGCTGGACTTTGCTACCCTCTGCTGGTTCTGTCGGTCATTGTCGCAACTGCCAACCACTACTACTTGGATGCTGTAGTGGCTCTCTTAACCACTTCTGTCGCATTCTTCATCAACAGAATCTGGATGCTTCTACTTCCAGCAGAGGCCATGCTGTGTTGGGTATTGCGCTTGAAAAAGCCTGTTCCCACCACCGGACAACGTCTGGAGACAGCCAAGAAGGTGAAGGAAGACGAGATCGACTACCGTTATGAGGTCGTGTAGTCGGTGATCTCCATGACAACTACTTCTTTTCTTTCCTGCAAAACACTCTGTACATCTAATTCATTACTCTAATACCCTATCTGCGGATCTTCTATGAAAAGCAGCTTCAGATCTTCATGAAGAATCAAAACATTGACAATCTTCCTTTGATCCACCTCTTCGTGTGTCGCTTAACATTGTCGGACAAAGTGCCGCAATGCGCTCTTCTGAGCATTGAAGAATCGTTGACCACAACCGCTCTAGGGTATATCCAAAATATGGCGCGTTCAATGAGTCAGGTCGACCTTGGAGATAGTCTGGCTGATGCGCCCAGCTATCAGGATCTTCCAGCGCCTTCATCAACCTCTCATACAGCGCCTTATCATTCGCCCTCAATCTCGCAGCACTCGCCACAAACTGGCCTTTATAACTCAAGAGCACTCTTTGCTCCTCACACGTCTGATTAAACACCTTNTTCCAGGTCTTCTCAACAATACCAGAACGGTCTTGCCATCCAAACCTGTCGCCACAGTTGTTACACTCACAGCTCTGGCCGGTCCACCCCAAACTCAACATTCCTGTTTCAGAAGTATAGTAATCCCTCACTCTGGCAGAAAACTCTCGTGGGTTGTGGATGGAAGCTTGGAGGAAGAAAGTCTGNGTCGCTAGATCATCCCACGAGGATGTGATGTGGTGGAGGTAAGTGTGGCCTTCTCTGCCTACGTTTGGCAGTTGAATGACTTTTGTAGCATTGGTAAGTCGTTGTAGTTCTGTTGTGTCTGCGAGGGGGTCTTTGGTGTAGAGAATCAAGCGAGGTGATTTAGTGCCAATGGAGGGGATAGATTTGAGGAGGGAGAATGTATCTGTGATGTGAGAGGCAGGTTCGTGATACATGCTCATCACGATATCAATGTTGAAGCTCGCTTTATAGTTGGTATCCAGACGCAATTCATGAGATGTGTGCTGCACAAATGGTGTCGAGAAATTGTTGATGAGGAAGTAGATCCATGTGGTCGTTGCAATGGCGAGAAAAACAATGTTGTGTAGAGTCCAGATCTTTCGTACTCTTACGCCAGAATCTGCGTCGTCGTCGAACAATGTATCCTGGTATTTTGCATTGTCCTCGAATTCTGTGGGCAGCTCGAGCCAGTCCTCCTCATTCGTGTGACTGGAATCCGGCTTCTTGAACACAGTGGAGGCGCAGCAGCAGATAGAAACCAAGAACGCTAGAACTTGCACCCAACTCAAGTATACAGGCATCGCCAGTTGCTGAGCAAAGAGAGCCGCGAAACCTGGCAATGCAAGAAAGACGATACTCTGCGATATACTGTTCTTGCTTTGCTTGAGCATCGATGGCCACAGTGCGATCGAGACAGCAGTCGTGATCAGATTGAGACACAGCATAGGCATTTGTTTCCAAGTCAATGCAACCTCAGAATTGGATTCGATGAAGAGAAGGCAAGTCATCGTGGAGAGGGAAAGGTAGGATCATCACTGACAGCGATGATGTTTGAGCTTCATGTAGAAGCTGCGGCCCAGAATCATTTTCGGGTTCGTCTCGGTAGATCATGAAGATGACACCGAGGATTAGTATAGCAGGGATCCCGAAAAGCCATCCGTTAGGCTCAATCTTGTAGTCGTCGAGTAAGATAATCAAACACGACAAAGTCACCACCACGGAGACACTGATCCTGTACCGAAGGCTATGAAGAGCCAAATCGAAGAGTGAGATAACTGGCTAGACTAAGATCAGTATTGCAGTAAACATGTAGCCATGATAGCATGTATACCAAGATCATCAGAAGTGCTGCGACATTCTCAAAGTGCAGCGTTGATTGAATCCATAGTGGGAAGAAGAAAGCCAGAAACCAAGACAACAATGCCAATCTCAGAGTCCGCTGTATGTTGTCTGCGGTAGAGGAGAGATCTAGATCGGGTCTTGAGCCAGGAACGTGCTTGGTGAATTTATGATATAAGCTTTGGAGAAGGATGAGGACGGTAGCGGCGGTGAGCTGTAGCGAAAGTAGTGCGAATGCTGGTGAGGTCAGTGGCCATCTTGATACTCAATATCACGACCTCACGTACGATAGTCTGGGGCTATGTTAGATAAAAGCTTGGAGCTGGTTGAAATGAGAGATCCTTACGGTAATTGCTTACAAGCAAGATGTGTTTGCAAGAGACTGCCGACACTGCAGCACACACAGCCCAAACACTGTCACGATCAACACCAACATCCCAATTAAACTGTTGAAAATCAGATACTTACAAGGGCACAACGCCAGAGAACCCACCCATTATGCTATTCAAGTATCGTACAAGAGACACACAGGTATGCAATCACAATCAAACGCATGAGCCAAGGGACAAATCGAAAAGGAACAGAAACGATGGGGATATTTAGGAGACCAAGATCGACCTCCTCTTTTGGAAGATGATCCAGGACACGTACTTTTGCTGTGCCACATCTGTGACTCGTCTTGAATAGCCTCAATCTCAATGATCCTTTTGATCCTTCGTACACGAGGTGAGCGTTGTTGGTGTAAACCGAGCACATGCATCTACTCAGCCTTCTTGTGCAACCAACACGCTCTTGACTAGAAGCTTGGCTGGAACGACCGTCGTGAACAACAATTTATGAAAGTTTCTCCACGGTTGAAATTGATCCAGGCTGTCGGGTCATGATGAGAGCAGGATCCAAACACTCATCGCGTGCTATTGCTCACTCAGAATCAAGATTCATATGCATATCTGAATTACCATTACATGCCTCTCACCACCACATAGATTGTCAACATAGCAAAGCCGTCCTAATTGATTGAAACCTCTATAGGAGTACGGGTAGTTTTGACTGCTGTTGCGGTCTGTATAGCGATCGTCCATGATGGGCGCAGCAAAGAATCCTGGAGCCTGAAGGATGCTGTGCATAACGTGCCAAGTAAACAGCAGCCTGAAATACGACTCCATCGCGCTTAAACCAGATGTTTTTAGCAACGCGCTTTTCAGAGGGCGCACCGAACCTAGATCCAGATGCCACTGTAGGAGAAGATACGGCCCATGCTTGTCCCAATCAAGCAATTGGTATGAGTATCTCAACGTTCTTGGAAGCCCCTGGTCGTCGGCCAAGAGAAGTCGTCGCAACCAGGCGTCAGGTGAAGTCTGGTTCGTCGTGTGTCATGACTCTACACCATTGGTATTACGCCCTTAGGAGATCTTTGGTCGTGCACGTGTGGATGACAGCTCAATTCGAACAATGAAGCCGAGATTGTGAAGGATTTAGGCTGGTGGGGATCGCCCGAGGTTGCTCCAGGCTATCATTCTGTCTGCTCAGGGACCTTACATAAATGTTCGCGAAGGCGCCTTCGTGAATCCGATGAACTTCAGTCTGTGTGATGCGACATCGTGCTGGACACCGAGATCCAGTTCAGAGTCCGCAAACGTCGCGCGGGTCAGTGAATCTGTATGGAAGCCTTCAACAGTCTCGCAAAAGGACTAAATTCGTGCAGTTGTCGTTATTCTTCCACACAATATGGTGTCGATGAGAGAAACAACAAGCCGAAGGCCACGACAGACCTGATGGCATCAAGTATGACACTCTATACAACATGGAATCAACGATGATGTTGGCTTGTGTAGTCGTGGACAGGGTCACATCTTGATACCCCATATTGTCGGTTAATCGGCAGCCGAGCAAATCTGTACTCCGCGTGCACCTCCGCTTTCGGGCAGTTCGATGCTTCGTTTTTGCCATGACACATTGACGGAACACGGCACAATGTATCTACTTGTATATTCTATATAACTATTGCATTCACTTGTATCCACCTTCTTTGTCGGTTTCCAGACATTTGTTTTGTCAATTGGAGCATAGCATGTCCGTGACGCGAGGACAGCGCACCCTCCAGCCTCGGTATAGATGAATCATAACAACACTTCAATCGACAATGTCGACAAGGAGAAAGATAGAATCGGCGACATGAACGCCTCGGACACCAGCATACCTGTTGAGAAGGAGGCACCTCCAGGAGTCGTCGTGAATACCGAACAACCTCCCGCAGATGTCGTACCTGCAGCACAACCGCCACCAGCACCCAATGGCGGCTATGGCTGGGTTTGTGTCGTTTGCGTGGCTCTAATCAATGGTCATACCTGGGGTTTGAATTCTTCATACGGTGTCTTCCTTGCATACTATCTGGCCAACGACGTTTTTCCTGGCGCAACTTATCTGGAATTCGCGTTCGTTGGATCACTGTCGATTGCATGTGCATTGCTTGTCTCACCAGTGGCTACCATCTTCACGCGCAAATTCGGAACCAAGACTACACTGTTCACCGGAGTGGCATTTGAAACTGCAAGCCTGATTGGTGCAAGCTTTGCGAAACAGATATGGCAACTTTTCCTGAGTCAGGGCGTTTGCTTCGGCTTCGGCATGGGTTTCTTGTTTGTCGGATCTGTAGGTATTGTCCCCCAATGGTTCACCACGAAAAGAAGTCTGGCAAATGGCATCGCTACGGCAGGCTCTGGTTTGGGCGGCTTGATCTACTCACTGGCGACTGGTGCTATGATCCCGAGTATCGGATTGGCTTGGGCTTTTCGAGTTCTAGGCATTGTAGCATGTGTTGTCAACGGTGTATGTGCTATGCTGGTGAGAGACAGAAACAAGGCAATTGGCAGTTCACAGTTGGCGTTCGACGTGCAGCTTTTCAAACGGACCGAGTATTTGTTGTTGCTGGGTATGTGCATTACCCTATACCATATTTCCTTGGCTATCTAACAATCTATCCGCANNGGCTTCGGGTGGTTCAGTATGCTAGCATACGTTGTCCTGCTGTTCAGTTTAGCAAACTTCGCTCGCAGTGTCGGCCTTACTGCCTCTCAAGCATCAACTGTCTCAGCAATCTTCAACCTCGGACAAGCCCTCGGTCGTCCACCAATCGGATACTTCAGTGACAATATTGGCCGCATCAACATGGCTACCCTCATGACTTTTGTGTCTGGCCTCTTTGCCCTCGTGATCTGGACAAACGCANAAAGTTTTGGTGTCCTCATCTTCTATGCTATATTCGGCGGCACAGTTGCAGGAACCTTCTGGACGACTATTGCCCCTGTCACCGCCGAAGTTGTCGGCTTGCGCAATGTTCCTGCTGCATTGAACATCTGTTGGCTGGTCCTCGTAATTCCTTGTACTTTCTCCGAGCCTATTGGACTTGAGATTGTGTCTTTTGACGGTGGATACCTTGGAGCGCAATTGTTTACCGGGTTCATGTATGTGTCTGCAGGTGTGTGTGCCCTTTTCCTAAGAAGTTGGAAGATTGCCGAAGTGGACGAAATTGAGGGCCTGCAGGATGTTGGTAATGTGGATGCTGTGGCTATCGAAACAAAAGTCGCGGAAAGCGTCAAAGAAGTTGCAAGAAAGACGGCGAGGAAACGGCTGCTCGGTTGTATCTTCAGATGGAAGAAGGTGTGAAAGTCAATATCCCTCAAAGCGTGGTTGTTTGTTTGCACAAACGGGACATGGCTCACAACACATCGATTCTTCCTCATACACAACTTTCAGAGCAAAAAGCAGACTATAAAAAGGCATAACTGTGTTCGAAGTAGAGGCGTGTCCACAGAGAGCCGACAAATTGCTGCTTCTCAGTGCAACTGTCCTGTTTCCTGTTGACATCATGCATTTCTATAGCTACACGCGTTACATACTTCTGCACATGGGGAGGCAGGATCTACACGAGAACTAGTGTTTACCCTGTTGAGTTTTTTCAATCGAAGCGTCCGTCTGAGTAGAACCAGCTTTCTTCGGTCTGAATGGCGGACTCTTCTCATCGCCCAAAAGTTCTCGGACAATTCGAGAAGGACCTCCCTTACACCAAACAACCTCGCCCACAAAGTTCTTCTCTAGATCTCTTGTTGCGAGAAGGATGCGCTGGCCATTATCCAACAGCATCTCACGTCGCAGTTCTGGCGGGAGGAACTTTGCAGGGTCGGGCACATGAAGTTGGTATCCCGTTGATTTCCCGTCCTTGGTGTTCTTGGTACTGTCTTGATCTGCTGATGGTTTGGTTTGTCTCGTGGCTTCTGAGTGGAGACGTAGTTCGATTACTTCGAAGGCGACTCGGACTGGAGGCAGTGTTTCGTTCTCCGTTGGCTTTACAACGACTAGTAGTGTGCTATCCTCAAGAGACTGTCCGTCTGCCACTGCGAAGTGATCGCAATCGATATCTGCTGAGCCCGTCTTCTTGCAAAGTTCTTGCAAGAGGACTTTACATTCATATGGCTTCTTGTTTGCAAANGGCGATAGTGTCGAGTCTGAGTTGTTGCCAACTTTACTCGGGGTATTGTAAGTCTTTGAGAGGTCGTCGATGAAGACAAGGTTTGTTTCTGAAAAGCCACAACGATCCATACTTAATTGGAGGATGTGGTCTTTAAGCTGTATCATTGCTTAGCACATTCTTGTTGGGGTTTTGGCGTGTTGAACACACCTCTGCACTAAGTGCTACAGCACAGCAGATGGCGAACATGATAGCGTGGTCTATCTGACTTTAGATGAAGTGTTTAGTGGTGATTTGGATCTGAGCACGAGACAGGAATGTAGGAATTCTCCCTTTCATAACTCCGTGTCAGACAAGTCGCGTCGAAGACAACTTAGGCAGCATTCAATGGAGTCGCGTCGAAGACAGTTTATGAGCAGGCAGCCTTCACTTGGTGAGTGGCGATCGACTAGCACATTGTACGGCCGTAGCCGCCGGTGCCTATCCACACGGGTGAAATCTTCGATTTTCTTCCTCTGAAGAATATGACCCGCTACTTAGATCTAACAAGCTTCTAGACAATACGTCGCTTACCTGTTGAATGATACCAATACGCAGCTGACGCGTTGATCCAATGGGTTCGTTGTGCGCAACATGACTAGCGCAACCGACGTGGGCACTAGGTCACCGTAAGATATATCTAACACATTATCTACCATCGTTAAGCCTCTCACCTCTGGGCCGGCATGCATAATATAGACTGTGCTGTGTTGTATATCTCGGGACACAAACCAAGACACCAGACTGCGTATTACCCTGTCTGGCTAAAGTTCCGCAATCAAATGACAAGAGAAAATGGATACTCAACAGGGACACAAAAGAGCAGAAGAATCAAAACCAAAGAGCGAAAGAAACGAAGGTATGTAAGCATCCTCGTTGGACGGCTGGAAGTCACTCACGAGAACCTGTCGGCCTGGGGAAAATCGCACCTTTTCCCCTGAATATTCGAACAGACCAATAGATATTGGTCTTGATCATGGGCTTAATGTTACCACTTTACAACTGCTTACCATTTGTCCATGTAAAAGTGAATACATGTCGAGATGTGAAAAGGAATCGCGTGCCGGGCGGGCGCCAAGCTTCAAGCTGGACCCTGACCCTGTCCGCCAAGCCAGGCTTCACCACCAAAAAAAAAATCCCAAATTCCAACCATCTCGATCGTTCCTTGTTTCCAACACAACGAGATAGTGCAAAAATGAAACTGACAGCGTGGATGTAGGAATAGCCGAAGGCGGGGCTCGAACCCGCGACCTTGAGGTTGTGCTTATACCGTAGATAAGAGCCACACGCTCTACCGATTGAGCTACCCCGGCAGGTCTGATGATCAAGTTGTGTGACACAACTGGCTGCTGACATGGCAACGGGCCTGCCGGGATAGCATATGACCACTGGCACCAGCGTGACATGATTGTATCAACCATGAGCAAGCGTTGACTGATGTGTGTCCGTGTGGTCAGAGCCCTCGGTCGGTCCTCGGAAAGATTACAGGTATACGCAACAGACAGCAAGCTGAGAGTCTGGGCAAAGAGGATCATTCATGATAAGTCTGAAGAATATTGAGTATCCAGACTTGTGTTCTTGTGATGATGGTTGTTGAGCTGAAACAGTCTGGCAGTGGTCGACATCCGAAGTGCAGGTCAAGAGAAAGCCTCTTCATCCACAAGTTTGTTGATGCTAAAGACAGCATGCTACATCGAAGACATATTGCGTATGCTTTGCTTGATCCGGTAGAATCGCATTGCTTCCAGATGACAGAATCCGTATATGCCAGCATGTCGAGCATTCGCAAGAGTCGAGAGAAAGTGACAACTCAGTTTGATATCGCCGAAGACATGACCGTAGGAAGTCAAGTTATTGTAAGAGTTACTCCATGGGTGTTGAACTGCCTGTCAAAGACGTGATCTCCAGAGTTGGCATAATCATGTTATCCACAGGATCTTCGATAGAAGAACTGGATGTGAGAAGGTCAGGGTAGAAGTTGAGAATCCATCAAAGAAGCACGACTAAGAGACAGAATACTACGCGGCGAGAGTAGAAGCAGTTGTGGTTGGAAGACGGACACGTCGACGCAGTGGGGTGAGCTCGTAGATGTGCAGCGGAGGCGGGCGGTGAACGCCAAGACGGGGGTTCGAGGCGTCGTCATGCGGGTAACAGCTATGCGTCTTCTAGTGCAGCTTGTACTTTCCTCATGAGCTCCTGGAGACAACAAGCACCATGAGGACGACGTTAGCGACATGGACCAGGCTGCTATGCCTGGCTCTGTCATTAACGGCAGTCACTGCCAAAAAGGACGCCCCTGCCATCGAGGAAACACCATTCAAATCGCTGCCTGCCAACATCTTCTACTTCGACGATAGCGATACCGTCCTGGTCACCGACCTCAAGCCTGGCATCGTATACCGCTCCACTGACGCTGGCGTAAAATGGAAGGCTATCAAAGACATAAAGGAGGGCATGATCGGGACCGTCTTCNCCCATCCATCCGACCCCAAGGCCGCTATCGCTATTGGACAAGAGAGGACGCACTGGATCACAAAGGATAGGGGCGAGTCCTGGACTGAGTTCAAGACCAAGTACGACGTCAGCAACAACCGCCCTTTGAGCTTCCATGCAGACGACCCGGATCGTATCATCATCAGCACCCTCGACTGCCATGGCTCCGTCTGGGGCGACTGCACACCANAAGGTAACGCCACGCCTGTTATACTTGATCTAACCAGACTAACTAACCTCCAGGCTTACTACACCCTCAATGGCTTCAAAGACATCGAACTACTTCACGACAAAGCTATTTCGTGTCTCTGGGCGAAATCCACCGACCTCTTCACCACCGGCGACGATAAGCTAGACAAGGACCAGGTTCTCTGTGTCGTCGAAGGCAAATACTCCATCTGGCAGAAAGACAACCGTCTGTTGATGTCCAGCGACTTTTTCGACAAGTCTGAGGTCGAGCCTACCATGTCTGAAGGTCGCACTGTCCCTGGTGTTGTCAACGTTGCTGCCGTCAAGGGTTACATCGCTGTCGCCGCAAAATCAGAGGGAACTACCGAGCTCGCCATGTATGTGACCGACGATGCAAAGACCTGGCACCGCGCAGAGTTCGGCAGCCACAAGCTCGAGGAGAACGCCTACACATTGTTGGAGTCTACAAACTACAGCATTCAGGTCGACCTGATGACCTCCAGCATGTCTTCTCCAATGGGTGCTCTTTTCACCAGCAATTCAAACGGTACCTACTTCACCAAGAACATCGAGCACACGAACCGCAACATGCAAGGCTACGTCGATTTCGAAAAGATTCAGAACATCCAAGGCATTGTTCTTGTCAACGTTGTCGACAACTGGGAAGAGATGGAGAAAAACTTCATGGCCGAAAAGCAGATCAAGTCAAAAATCAGTTTCGATGATGGAAGAGTATGGCATGACATGAAGGTCAACAAGGACGATCTACACCTACACTCTGTCACCGACCAGCGCAACATCGGACGCGTTTTTACCAGCCCCGCTCCTGGTATTGTCATGGGCGTTGGAAACACGGGCAAATACCTCAAGAGCTATGAAGAAGGCGACACCTTTGTCTCAGATGATGCCGGACTTACCTGGCGCCTCGCCCTGGAAGGTCCTCACCTCTACGAGATGGGTGACCAGGGTGCAATCCTCGTAGCGGTTGAAGACACAGACACCAAGGAGATCAAATGGAGCATTGATCACGGAAAGAAGTGGGACACAATCAAGCTGGATGACAAGATCAAACCAGTTGTCCTCCTGACTGTCCCGGATTCCACAAGTCTGAAGTTCATCCTTGTAGCCTCAAAGGGCACTGGTTCCAAGTTGGAGTACTTCACATATTCTCTGGACTTCAACGAGCTCCACGAAGACGTATGCAAGGACTCTGACTTTGAGAAGTGGGCTGCCCGAGTCGACGAAGACGGCAAACCAAGCTGTTTGATGGGTCACAAGCAGTTCTTCCGTAGACGCAAGGCCGACGCTGATTGTTTTGTCGATACCGAGTTCAAGGACCCTCAGCCTGAGTTTGAAGACTGCAAGTGTACTGATGCCGATTACGAATGCGACTACAACTTTCAAAGGTCTGAAGATGGCAAGGAGTGCGTACCTGCTGGAGTTCTCAAAGCCCCTGAAGGCGCCTGTAAGGATGGTGCAGAAGAGTATGAGGGCAGCTCCGGCTATCGCTTAATCCCTGGCAACACTTGCGACAAGAAAGATGGTGTCGTGAAGGACAAACCAGTCAAGCGACCTTGCAAGGACACTACCAAACCACCAGCATCTGGCAAGATCTCTCACGAGGTCAACAAGTTCAAGGGCGCGAAGTTCGCCGAATACTATTACCTCGAGAGAGCCGCTTCTGCTTCTGGAGACGATGAAACCATCATTATGCGTACTGATAGGCGCGAGGTGTACATCTCGCACGATGGCGGTAAGAAATGGGATCAGGCGCTACCCGATGAAGAAATTGTCTCGGTATACCCTCATCAGTACAACCAGGATACAGTCTACTTGATCACTCCTTCCAAGAAGGTCTACTATTCGGACAATCGTGGCAAGAACATTCACCATTTCCAAGCCCCCGAGGAACCAAACCAGGACCATGTTCAGATCTTGAGCTTCCATCCGACTCAGAGAGACTGGCTCATCTGGACCGGTGGTCAAGATTGCAAGGGCTTTGGTACTGATTGCCACTCGGTTGCTCACGTCTCCAAGAAGAACGGTGAGGACTGGACTACCCTACTTCGCTTCGTTCGTAAATGTCAGTTTGTTGCCAGAGAGGATCGTGACGGAAGCGACAGCATGGTCTTCTGCGAGCAATATCAGGATGAAGACCCGTCCAAGCCCCTTCAGCTGATATCCAGCGATGATTGGTATGAGCACAAGAAGGTCCACTTCGAAGATGTCATCAGCTTTGCTACTATGTCTGAATTCATGGTTGTTGCTCTTAGAGATAAGGAAGGAAAGGATCTTCGTGTGGACACCAGCATTGATGGCAGAACTTTCGCCAACGCTCAATTCCCCAAAAACTTCAAGGTCCCGCATCAACAGGCTTACACTGTTCTCGACAGCTCAACTCACGCCATCTTCCTCCACGTCACAGTCAACAACAGGGAAGGTCAGGAGTATGGTTCGATTGTCAAGTCAAACAGTAATGGCACTTCTTATGTGATGAGCATTGAAGCTGTCAATCGTAACACTCCTGGCTATGTCGACTTTGAGAAGATGCAAGGTCTTGAAGGTGTTGCTGTCGTCAACATTGTTTCTAATGTTGGAGAGGTCGATGGTGGTGCTTCCAAGAAGCTCAAGACCATGATCACTCACAACGATGGTGCAGAATGGGGCCTTATCTCACCACCCAAGAAAGACTCTGACAACAAGGACATTGATTGCAGTGGCGATCTCGAANAATGTTCTCTTCATCTTCACGGCTACACTGAGCGCAAAGATCCTCGTGACACCTACTCTTCACCATCGGCCGTCGGTTTGATGATGGCTGTAGGTAATGTCGGGCCCAACCTTGGCCCATACAAGGAGGGCAACACTTTCATCACTCGTGATGGTGGTGTTGTGTGGTTCGAGGTCTTCAAGGGAACCTACATGTGGGAGTATGGCGATCAAGGATCTATCATTGTCATTGTCCAAGAAGGAACCCCTGTCGATACCGTCTACTACACTACCGATGAGGGCAAGAAGTGGACCGCGTATCAGTTCAGTGATACCAAGGTCCTTGTTGACGACATTTCTACTGTACCTACTGATACGTCTCGCAACTTCATTCTCTGGGGCAAAGACGGAGGCTCCTCAGGTGGGCTTGTCACCGTCAATCTAGATTTCTCTGGACTCACAGATCGCCAATGTAATCTCAACGAAGACAAGCCAGATGCAGAAGACAACGACTACTACCTTTGGGAGCCCAAGCACCCTCTTTCCGACTCCAACTGTCTCTTTGGCCACATTGCTCAGTACCACCGCAAGCTTCCTGACAGAGAATGTTACAACGGCCCGGCTATTGAACGCCTTCACGACATCTCTCAGAACTGTACTTGTACCCGTCAAGACTTTGAGTGTGACTATAACTTTGAGCGTCAGAACGATGGTTCTTGTGCTCTTGTTCCTGGTCTTGATCCGATCAACCCTCTCGAATACTGCGCTGCAAACCCTGATCTTGATGAGTACTACGCACCTTCTGGCTACCGCCGTATCCCACTCACTACCTGTGTCGGAGGTAGGGAACTCGACAAGATCTCCGAACCTTACCCTTGCCCCAATCACGAAAAGCAGTTTGAGAAGAAACATGGTATTAGTGGAGCTGGTCTCTTCTTTGCCATTTTCATTCCCATTGCTGCAGCTGCAGGTGTAGGATACTGGGTCTACCGCAACTATGACGGCCAATTCGGTCGCATCCAACTCGGTGACACCGGCATGATGGGCAATGGCAATGGAGCATTTGATTCGGAGCAGCCTTGGATCAAGTACCCTGTCGCTGCTCTCTCTGCTATTGTCGCAGTCCTTGCTGCTGTTCCCATGGTCGTTGGTGGACTATTCCGCATGGCTAGTCAACGATTTGGTCGCGGCGGCTCTGGCGGTGGTTACTCGAGACCGTACACCAGCCGCAGCAGCTTCTCAAGAGGCAGAGGTGATTACTCTCATGTTGATGCTGATGAAGGCGAGCTGCTTGGCGATGAGAGTGATGAAGAGGTGTAAGAAGAATATGATGAGTTGTTTTGACATGTATGATGAGAAGTTTTGCAGTGTAGAATAGGATCGTCTCGTATCAATTTTCGATATCTTTGCATCTCTAATTCTATTTACTCGTGTGTCTTTTTAATCCTAAACAGATGATGGTTTGGTCTGACGCAGGAGAACGACAACCAGTATGAGGTAAGTACTGTGGTCGCCAGCACTTTCTCCATCAACAAACACACCCTAGATTTGTTTCTTTCGTGACCTTGTTCGGAGCAACCGCGACTGCACACCCAACCTTCCGAACGTCACAATCTCATGGTTTCTCTTGCCAAACTCGCTTTTCTGTCTCGGCGTGAGATCTATGGCCAGGGTGTTGTCCTCGGCATATAGGTGTGATTGTTAATCATAGATTGAATGTCACTGAATTAGTGTGAGAATTTATATAATATATGTAAAGTATCTGAGGAACATGTCGGAACATTACGATGATAAACATAGCAGTATAACATTGAATTGAAAGCCGATCTGAACTGCATCAAAGCTAGAAGCCTTATGAGCAGATGATGCACTGTGGTTAGTATAAGTTACAAGCGTTATCTAAGATCACTAACATGTAATGTAAATATGTTGCATCTTTAGGAAAATAGGAAATCGTCTTCTAGCTACAAGAAGTATGTTGGTTCTTATAGAATACTCCGTATAAAAGCATTTACGACAACTCACTTGCACAAATCCATGCAAAGCTAGCTAAGGTCTCTCTCCGCCAAGCCGAAAACCCCCACCACTTTGGAGAAAAAACTTCCCAAAAGACTTTTGGCTGTGAGATTCCCTTTTCGTTTCGTGATACCGAAGGATGAGCTTGTGCACAACTCTTCTGTTGGTTCGCCAGCTCATGCCCCTTGATGCAATGAGATATTATCTAAGATGGTGGTCAAAGTCACCAACAATTGGTTGTATAGTGTAATGGTTAGCACATCGGATTCTGATTCCGGTAATCCAAGTTCGATCCCTGGTACGACCTCTTCTTTCTTTTGCCGAATTCCTTCTACTATTTGAATTTGTTTTTGCTACTTCTTGTTGGGGCTTTAATTGTGGGAGTGATAAAGCTGGGACTGTGTATGCAATTGTGCGGGATGGGAGGACCAGAATTTTCGCTCTCAAAAAGAGGGTTTGTTAGGCTTGGGCATTTGGCAAGGGTGCAACATGTGCGAGACGTTACTTTGTCTGTGCAGTGGGATGAGGGTGTATTGAAATGACTAGTATGGATGCTCTGAGATAGAAATTCTTAGATATCATGCTGTGGTGATGATTAGCTTGATGCAAACGCAATCGATGGAGATACGAATATCAACAAGTCAAGGACATTTACAACAAGAAAGCAAGAAGAAGATCGAAGATCAGAAAACCATATGAACTCGGGCTGTCTCAAATCAGCAGTGGGAACTTCGAATGAGAAAGTAAGAGTAAACGCTCACATACGAAAAAGAGATTATGCGTCTATCAATGCCAATACAGTCTTTACATGGACTTCCTCGGGCCCTTAGCACCACCCTTTGCGGCCTCTTGCCTCCCTTACCCTTCTTCTCCTTTTCCAAAACACCCTTGCCATCTCTCTCCGCTTTTCCCTTNTTCCAGCCTCCACCCTCCATTCTCTCATCCTTGTCTTCGAGTTTCTTCTTTTGCTTGTTGGAGAGCTTCTTTCTGTCGCCCTTGAGTTTGGCTCCTGGCGTCATTGCTCCGTTGAGTTCTTCTTTTCCTCTGATTTTGGCTGCGCGTTTGTCTTTNTCGCTCTCGAACCATGTTTTCTTGGGACGAGAGAGGATTTCGTCTTCGTGCGTCATGATGTTTTCCGTACGGCGCATTTGCATTTCGGTTGTTGCAAGCACTTTTTCTTCTTTTTCTTCACGCAAAACATCTTCGATTTCCACGGCTAGTAGGTCTACTTTGCGGGACCACTCGTCTGCGGATTTGGGGTCGATGATGCGGGATTTGATGATGGCGCCTTGGGTGCGTGCGGTCTTTACGCACTGCTTGACGACTTTGCGGTCGGGTTCTGCAGCGAGGGTGCACGATTTTCCCTGTCTGCCTGCTCTGGCTGTGCGACCTACTCTGTGCAGGTAAATCTCTTGGGTTTGGGGTGCTTCGTAGTTGATGACTGCATCCACGTTTTTGATATCCAGACCACGGGAGGCGACATCGGTGGCGAGCAAGAAGTTGGCGGTGCCGGATCTGAAGGCTTCGATGGCGTTGATGCGCTGTTCTTGCGACATGTTTCCGTGCAGTTCTGCGGCTTTGAGACCGAGGAGACCGAAGATGACGCGTACGCGATGGGCTTCTTTCTTNTGACGGAAGAAGATGATGGTTTTTGTGCTGAAGGATTCGTGGACGAGGTGCAGGAGGTAGCCGATGCGCTTGTCTTCTCTGCCTGGACGCAAACGCACGAATTCTTGAGTAAGGCCTGCGACGGTTTGACGTTTGCTGTCAACCATAAGACGGACGGGGCGGTTCAGACCCACGCGAATCAGGTTGTCGATGCTGGATGTCATTGTGGCGGAGAAGAGCATGGTTTGTCTGGATTTGGGGATGGTGGTCAAGATCTCGTTCAACTCATCTGCGAAACCGTCTTCGAGCATTCTGTCGGCTTCGTCGAGGACAAGAATCTCGATTGTATCCACTTGGAAGGCGGATGAGTTGCGCATGAAATCGATAAAACGACCGGGTGTGGCGATAACGACATCGGGACGTTGTTTGAGTGCTGCTTCCTGCTCGCGCGAACTCATACCACCGATTGCTTGACCGAAAGTGATGTCTGTGAAACTAGCCAGCTTGACTGCGACGTTGTAACATTGGAGAGCCAGTTCACGTGTAGGCATGAGGATGGCAACGCGGGTGGTGGCGACCTTCTTGGGGCGGTAGAGGAGACGTTCGAGGATGGGGATGATGAATGCGGCGGTTTTACCGGAACCTGTGACGGCACCTCCGACAACATCCTTACCGAGAAGAGCGACGGGGATGGCCTTGTGTTGAATGGGCGTAGGGGCGGCGAAACCAACAGATGACAGACCCTTGATGATCGGACGTGAAAGGTTCAACTCCTGGAAAGAACCAACACGCTTTGCTGAAGGATCATTTTCGCCTTCCATGTTTGACTCTGGAGCGAAGAAAGCAGCACGCTTCTCTGCTTCCTCAGCGTCCTCCTGTTCTTCAGCATCAGATCCTTCCGACACCTCGTCGTCAGGGTGAGGAACATGCTCAGCGACAGACTCGTCATCAGACTCATCTCCAGCTTGACTGCCATCTTCAGCATCGCTGTCCTTGTCCTCATCCTCGTCTTCCTCTTCGTCTTCAGAGTCCTTCTCGACTCCAGGAGCAGCACCCATACCAAAGCCATCTTCGGCGAGAAGCTCATCCTCACCATCATCGCTCAAGCCAGCAAACTCAGCCTCCTCTTCCTCATCTGCAGCCTTCTCCTCAGCATCCGTCTTCTTGTCCTGCCTCCTCTTTGCAATAATATCATCGATATCCACAATCCTCTTGCCAGCATTCTTTTGCGCATTGTGAGCAGTCCAGCCATCAAAGTCTTCCATATTCGCCGTCGTGCCATCGCCAAGTTGGAACTCAAACTCCGGATCCAGATCCTCATCAACAGCTTGCTGTTCTTCCTCGTCGTCTGAGTCGGCTGTTTGTTGTTGCTTCTTCTTTTGCTTCTTGCTCTTTTTATCTTTTTTGGACAGGTTTGCGGCGTCCGAGTCGCGCTTGCGCTTCTTGTTGGAGAGTTGTGCAGGCTCTGCTTCGGTTTCTGCTAATTCGTCGGCGAAGCCATCTTCGTTGTCGGAGAGGGTGAGGACGAAATCGTCATCCATAGGTGCCATGTTTGCGGATATTTTGGGAGAGAGGCGCAAATGTCGGGTGTACACAGAAAAACGATGGTCGGGATTGCTAGAAAAATTCCATGGCTAGAGCTTTGAGCGGGAGTGCTAGAGAACAGTAATCTATGTCTTATGCAGCGCTTACTGCAAAGTTGTGCGATATTCTGCTACATAAGCAGACCCTGAGCGGTCTTCAAGAAATGCTCGGAGGTAAGAGATTCTGCCCCGCAAGCCGCAGGCGGTGAGTGTAGCGCCGCATGGCACATGCCCGCATGCGGTCACTCTCGAGCTTGTGTTCCTTCAACACTCAACTCTTTGCACACTTCGACCTCTTTTACTCTGCCAGATCACAAACCACGAACAAGACCCTCTCATCCTTGATACAAACCAAATCTCCAAACCAACCCAAAACATGGCAGACTCAACACCCTACCCCCTCACAAACCCTCCCACCGACCTCTCAGCAATCTCCCAAATCGACTCTTCAATCCTCTTCCCCACCTTCACAACCACCGATGCCTGGACCTTAGGCTGCTTGCTCCGTTCCCGGCTATCCACATTCGCCTCTCCCACCGTGGTTTCAATCACCCTCGCAAACAGCACTCCCTTATTCTACACCGCTGTGCGCAGTGGAATCACTCCCGACAACAGCACCTGGGTAGCAAGAAAGAGCGCCACTGTACTCAGATTCGGCACTTCCACTTGGTATATGCACAACAAGTTTGCCGGTGATGAAAAGGCTTTTGCCGAGAAATACTGTTTGCAGGATAAGGCTAAGGAGTTTGCTATTCATGGTGGTGGCTTCCCTGTTAGGGTCAAGGGAGTCGAGGGTGTTGTGGCTGTTATTGTCGTCAGTGGATTGAAGCAGCAGCAAGATCATCAGATTATTGTCCAGACTTGCAGGGACTTTTTGGATGGTGTCGGCGAGGGTGAGGAGAAGAGAAAGGAAGATTAATAGACATGTAACACTGCGAGCATTTGTCTGACACATGAATACAAAAACAAGGCATGATGCATTGGATTACCTAGAACTGCGAACTAGTGTGCTGGGGTGAGAAGGATGAATGATGAACGTGAAAATCAACAGCAGGGGGGGTATCGTCTTTTCGCGAATCGCAAATGAAAGCACGCCAGAAACATCAGAACGATGCAGCTGCCACATCTTCCTGATCCCATAATCAAAACTCCCAAAACGCCCATGCTTTTTCCGTCTTCTCCTTGGTATATGCATCATTACATCCACAGACATGGACGAGTCGAGATGAGGTCTATGCCTCGGACCTTACCTGGTATATAACCTGCATTGACATAGTTAGTATTCCGTTGCGGTACTATTGGTTAGCAGATAGGCCATTCGTTGTAACGCTGGAAAGCAGAGGCGAGGGAGGTGGATGGTGATGGAAATCAGGCAAAGTCGTCTTTCCGGCTTAGCTTGTGACCGTGGATGTATCCAGGAAGCGTTTTCCGTATGATGGTCAGCACATCCCGATAGATGTGTTCGTGGTGGTTTGGCGTTATATGGCGCACCATGTTGAGATGGACGTCGTTCATGAGGCACGAGCCTTCTTGCTGTCTTGCTCGTCGTCCACTTGATCGAGCTCGGAGAATGAACGTTTTGCTCCAGGAGATGCCTTGCTTGACGTGTTTGTAAGTACCGGCGCAAGTCCGGCGCCATCATCATCGTAGCTATCTTCGTCATCGAAGTTGATCTCGTCGTAGTCATCGTCCTCAACTGCGAGTGATTGACGCTTAGTGCTGTCCTTGCTGACGGCATCATCAACTACAGCACTGCCATGTTCAGCATTTACGACGCCATCGTCGACGGCCTGATCAGGAGTGCTGTGTTCTGGTCGCGTGTCTTGTTCATCGTCATGGCCGGTCTCAAGCTCATCGACATGCGAAGTCTCACCGGACGAAGTCACAACGTTGTCATTGTGTTCTTCAGCAGCGGAGGCTTCATCTTCTTGCTCTCCCTGATGATAGTGGCTGTCATTGTCGACCGTATCTTCTTCAGCGGCAAAGACACCTTCTTCTTCATGTACCTCACCGTCTTGATACTCGTAGTTCTCGTCAAAGAACTCGCCTTGACCGAACACATGCTCTTCGCCTTGAGTCTCATGATCTTGCTGTTCTTCGGCATGCTCTTCTTGCTCATCATGTTCGGAAGCGTTTTCGTCGCGAACAGTTCCATCGGCATTATGGTCCTCGTGAACTGTTTCATCGCCGACGGCAGTCTCCGCATCAGCAGTGACTGGGTGGGGTTCAACAGGTGCAGCGTCTTCTTCATCACCATGGGTTTCATCCAACAGCTCAGACTCGCCTCCTTGGGCATCAAAGTACTGAGTGTCATCCTGGTTGAACTCGGAATGATCGGCAGTATCGTCATCCACGTCATGCTGGACCGATGTTTCGCCTTCATACTCACCCTCTTGAGCAGGGCCATCTTGCTTGACTTGTTGCTGATCAAGCTGAGAAGCAGAGGCGTTCTCGGTGAGGTGCTCTTCCTCGGCAACATTCTGTGCGCTTTCAACGGTAGGAGCACCTTCTTCGATTAGTTGCGGCTCTTCATCAGGCTTGGCAGACTCGTCAAATTCATCGTCGAAGTCCTCATCGGGCAACTCGGTGGGCTCGTCATATTCGTAGTATTGCAGGAAGGAAAGCTGTGAGAAGCCTTTTCCTTCAGAAATGGCTTGAGTGATCGAAGCCAAGCGGATACTGAATCTAGTTTTGGTAGTAAGGGACACACGGAATGGTGGCGGGCTATCATTGCCATCAAGCTTGTGCAGCTGCAGGTACATGTCTAGTAGCTCAGAAAAGCTGGTTGAGAATGCGGGTGTCGAGTCCTGGAAAGAACAGTCAGCGTTTGTCGGCCAAGTCACACTCAGTTTTCCATAACTTACTTCGCTCACGTAAAGGTCCAACTCCTCCACACCCAGAACCAGCTCTTCGTCTTCACTAATGCCATCACCGAGAGCAGTGCGGCAAGCTTGGAGCAAATCACCAAGACTGGTAGTCACAAGATTTTCGTTTTGCAGTAGATACTGCTCAGGCACAGCAGGGTCTCTCGAAGGGAACAGGTAAACCTCGTTCTCTTGATACTCAACTATGGTGGGATGGAGACCAGTCACAGTAGGCGAGTTGACTTGCCTCTCACGAGAGTAATCATCAGGAACGGTGTAGTTTGAGAGGTCGGTCTCTTGACGGGTCAAAGTGCGTTTGGCAGGTTTCTCATCGTCATCTCGGGCAACGCCAGTCTGGACATCATCATTACCTTGTTCTGGTTGCTGGTCTTGTGTTGGCTCTTGCTGAGCGGCATGGGCGCTCTCTTCCAAGCCTTCGTTGGCTGCGTTGGAATTCTCGGTAGATTCGATGACAGACTCTTGAGCATGTGTCTCAGGCTGATCAACTGGAAGTGCNAGCAGTTGAGGGCTGTACCTCTTCCTGGGCCACAGGCTGAGGCTCTGATTGAGCAGCTTGCTCAAGAGGTTCTTGAGCGACAGGGTCTCGTTGGTCGTTGGTCACGGTTTGGTCAGGCGCAGAGTTCTGTGTCTCGACAGAGGTGCTCTGNNAGGTTGCTCAACAACCTCTTTTGATGGGGCAGCCTCGGTGTTGATGGGCTGAACACCTTCAGCCAAAAGCTCGGATGCGACTTCAGACTGAACAAGTTCAACAGGTTCTTCAGCAGTCATAAGTTGCTGTGCAGGCGCTTCAGGTTCGGTGACGAGGAGAATGTCGGGCTGACTGGGTTCTGCAGGGTTCATGGGTACATCTTCTTCGTCTTCACTAAAGTCTAACAGCTCCTCGTCTTGCTCTTGGGGCGGAGCATCGTCTTGCATCATACGGTCGGTATCGTCAAGGTGAGAGTCATCGATCATGAGATCGTCATCTAGGCGGTCGGATGTGGGATCTTCTTGCATTTGGTGATCGTCTACTTGGAATGATTGCATGTTGGTGTCTGGGGCGTCGGGGGCGTCGAGATCGATGTCGATGTCGGCGTCCATGTTGCCATACTCGGATGAGATCTCCATAGAATCTTCAGGCTGTTGTAGGCCAAAGGAGGGTTGGAGAGTGGTAGCCATAACGGCTGAGGGGCGAGATTGGTGATACTAGAAATCGGCAAGGGGGGTGGATGTTGTGCGCAGAGAACAAAGGAATGCCGGGGACGCGAGAGTGGTGGAACGTGGGCTAGCGGCTTGCCACACTGATGTACATGCAAAGCGTCGTAGAAAAAGTGAAAGCGTGTCAGACTGGTTCTTCGAACACTTGCGAGACAGTGTTGACACGTTTCAGTAACTATTGACGTGGGCAGATAGTACGAATTTATGGATGGTTGCTGGTTGTCGCGCGGCGCAGTGTTGGGTGAAGAGAAGAAGTGTCAGTCGGGCAGCAGAAGTCGAAAGGACGAAAACGGCGAGGCTGCAAGTGCAAGCGCGAGTGTGAGCGGCGGGCGGAAGTGGCCGCGGAAAGGCTTGGCTCGCTCATTGCTTGGCAGAAAGACGAAGGCCAGCCAGGCAGGAGCCACGGAGCGTGGGGAAGTTTAGGGAGAGGACAACTAAGGTCCGAATAACAGAGCTATACCACACCCTGCCACTAGTTGTCACGATCCTTCTTCTCTTTGCCTGATCCATCTTTCTAGCCGGCATAATGGTAACCACCATTCTCCAACTCTGAGCTCAAGCACATCAACAACTAATGCAATGGTATAGGTTGTTCTGGCAGCATCCATCTGCACGCGCGGCGGCAAGGCCGTCCTCTCGCGCCAATTCCGTGAGATGCAGCGATCGAGAATCGAAGCTCTTCTTGCCTCGTTCCCCAAGCTCGCCGACAGCGGTACCCAGCACACAACAGTCGAACAGGACAATGTCCGCTTCGTTTACCAGCCCCTTGACGAGCTATACATGGTCCTTATCACCAACCGCCAATCCAACATCCTACAGGACATCGACTCGCTACACCTCTTCGCCCAGGTTGTTACCAGCATCTGCAGAAGTTTGGACGAGCGCGAGATTCTGCGCAATGCTTTCGAGCTTCTGAGCGCCTTCGATGAGCTGGTTACTCTGGGCTACCGCGAGAACCTCACCCTGAGTCAGATCAAGACTTTCCTCGACATGGAGTCGCACGAGGAGCGCATCCAGGACATCATCTCAAGGGTACGCCTGTCTGATAACTATCTAGAACATCACATGCTTACACACTATCCAGNNAACAAGGAACTCGAAGCCACCGAGGAGCGCAAGAGAAAGGCCAAGCAACTCGAGATGCAGCGCAAGGAAGCTACTCGCTCTGGTCGCTCCAATATGCCCAGCGCTCCTTCATATCCTACCTACACTCCTCCTCCTACTCAACCCGCCGTCACCGACACCTACGACTCCTACAACGCCGAGAAGAACAAGTCATTCCAGAAATCTCTCCCTGCCCGAAGCAAGGGTATGCAGCTCGGAAAGAAGACAAAGACGACGTCCATGTTCGAACAAGTCCGCGGCGATCTTGGTCCAGAGGCAGAGGCTCCCNTCGTTCCTGCAGCTNCCAGCTGCCAGTGCTCCCGTCCAGGCCGCCGCCCCGCCGTTTCTTCAGATCGCGAAGGTCTTCACATCACAGTCGCCGAGACCATCTCAGCTAAGCTCAGCCGAGAAGGTTCTCTCGAGTCATTCGAAGTCAAGGGAGATCTCCAACTCCGCATCACCGATCCATCTCTCACACAAGTCCAACTTGCCCTTGCACTGGGTGATACCCACGGCGCACAGCTCAACTCTCATCCCAAGGTTGACAAGGCTGCTTTCAAAAACGACAAGATCATCCAACTCACCGACACCTCAAAAGGCTTCCCTGCAAACAACTCAATTGGTGTCATGCGCTGGAGACTGGCTGCGAAGGCTGAAGACATCAGTGATCCTCCGATTACTTTCACTGCCTGGGTGAACGAGACTGGCTCTGGCACATACAACATCACGCTCGAATATGAACTCACTGGTGGAGATGCCCTCAACGATGTTACTGTTTCGATACCCTACCAAACTAGCGAGCCTTCTGTTTCCAGCTTCGATGCTGTTTATGAGGTCTCTGGCGACAGCATTGACTGGACTATTGGTGACGTGGATGACACCAATGCTAACGGCAGCTTCGAATTCGAGGCCCAGGCAGACAGCGAGGCTGAGTTCTTCCCCATGAGTGTCCGATTCGCAAAGACAAGACCATATGTTGAAGTCGACGTAAGTTTACCTCGATCCTCTTGTCATGACTCTATACTAACTATTCTTCAGGTGTCGTCGGTGACTTTGTTGAACATGGGCCAGGACATTTCTTTCTCAAAGGACATCAAATCAGTGGCGGACGGGTATATGGTTGTGTAAGGGTTTATGTTTGGTTAGGCGTAATTAGATTGTGTCACGAAAAGCGAACGAGTATTGGCTACTGTCCCAGAGCATTCTAATCCTGACTCTCCATGACTTTCTCTGTCAACGTCTTCCGGTGAATTGCTCAAACTCTCCGGCTTCCTCGCGCAATTGTTTGTTGCTGCTTCAGAGCGCCAAGACATGGACTCTGCCTCGTTTCTAAACACTACCTATCAACATTGAACCACCTTTTGGTATTCCCAACTCGAGTGGGACCCCGATGAATTTAGATCTAGGATCTACTAACAAGTATGGCTGAAGAACATCGCCTTCCACTGCAGTCAGAAAAGTCTCTTTCGTACACCATCAACCCTCATCTCCTCGCCTATTGTCCCCGGACGGATCTGCTTGCGGTTGTCACACAAGATGAAGTGATCGAAGTCTACCGCATCGGCGGTCAACGCGCTTTTGTTGTCAAAAGAAAAAGCCCGTCAACAACTATCGTTGGTCTTGAATGGATACGTGATGGTCTGTCCTTGCAATCAGCCCTGCATATATAGTTCTAACACAATCATANNGGTAAATGCCTGGCTGTAGCTCTGAACAATGGCTTTGTTGATATTGTCTCTGGAGAAACTGGAAAAACTATCCGGCATGGCGGCGATGACCCATTCAATATCGATGCCGCAAATTCAAAGTCCAAGATCGACCGCGGTGAAATCACCTGTCTAGGTTGGGGCACTGTGCTCACACAGGATACCATCGTCTCGAAAGCCCCTTCGAAGCCTGTGCTGGATCAATCGATGATCAATGACTTATGGAGTCGCCTTGGACTTGATCCTGCTAATCAGCCACCTGCAAGCGATGAAGATGACCTTGAAACTCAAGGACAAGAATCTTTGATGAAAGATCTGCCCCGTCAACTGGCTTTCCTCGATGTTGAATCTATATTGCCTCGCCTCAGTCCGATTCCAACTCGACATACTGCTAGTGGACGATACGACATGTTTGCAACACAAGCAGCTCTAGACGACTATTTCGATTCAATGCAGAGGAAGGATCGATTGGCAGCTGATGTTATGTTTGTCGGACATGCTGGCGGCAGGAATCGAGTCACTGTTGATGACATTCTCGAGATCAAGTACACGCCTGACTTCCCTGGATCGGGCATCGAATCACCCATGGAGGAGGGTGGCGAGATATCACACTCCCTTATGCCTCTTATGTATACATCACATCGTCGCTCGAAGCACCATGCTCTCTTACGAGCAGAACGTGATGATGAAGCAACAGATGGACCTAATCAAGGCTTCAAGAACCTTCATATCAGTCTTTTCGACATACCACTGATGTCATCTGGCGGATCACATTTGCATCTGATCGTCTCGCGAACAGCACAACTTCGTGACTTGTGCGGATACATCTCATGTAGTATCGTGTCTGCCAAGAGCGATTGGAGTACTCATACTAATCTGCCTTCCCGGTTCATGGAGAACGTCAATGAGACACTGGAAGAGAAAGGTGAGGGTGCTCTAGAGGACAACTTGTATCATCTTGCCATGACTGGCAACTTTACACCGACGATGCTAGAGTGGCTACGCGATGAATTAGCCGAGCGCGGTCACAAGCGATGGGATCATGCCATGACGACACTTTACACTGAACTCTCCAAGATCCTACATACAAATCTGCTGCCTGTTCTTGAGCGCAGCATGGTTGTTGCGACAAGCCTTCGAGGCCTGGCACGGTACTACTCTGACACGCCTCACTTTGATGTACCGCCTGAGGTCTTTACCTCTATTCTCTCGACCCTGTCATCTCTTCAGCTTCTTGTTCATGAAGCAGTACAGATCTTAGGCACAGAGCAACGCCAGTTCAGAGCATTCTCAAGATGGCTTAGGCATCAAATCGATCTCGCAGCCGCAGACCCTGACTCTCTGAGTGCAAAAGACATGGCTGAGCGAGAAACACCACAACTCGATCTTCCCAACACGCTTGCATATCTCGAAGGCGGGTTAACANAAAGTCGACTGAAACCCATAGTATTCTCCACACCCGAGATCGACACATCACAACAACCAACAACAGAAGCCCTCATCACCAGCATCCACACCTCCAGAACCACTCCTCAAACAGACGCCGAAACACACAATTTGCTGTCCCTACACCTCTGGAGTGCACACCTCACCACCGTCTGCAAATCAGCCCACCACCACATCTCCCTCTGGCATCAAAGCTCCAAACCCCAAACCCTGGATATATCCTGCCGAACAAGAGCCACCGCTTCTGTACTCCCTTACCTCGATATCCGTATGCTAGAAACCTCTGCTAGCGTATTCGAGACTTTTGTCATCGGTGTTCCTGCTCAACCTACCAACCACCCCAACACTGAAGTCTGCGAATTGGCACTATGGACACATACCAGAGAAGCAAATGGAGCAATGAGAGAGACATACCGACAAATCTTGCTTCCATCGTCGAAGACACCTTCTTCCATCTCTGCTGTCAAATTCCTAGATGAGGAAATGTTTTTGTGTTTGTTTTGTCATGAAGAGGTGCATTATTTGCTTTGTTTGCCTTATCGCTGTTTTTCTTCCTCTTCGGAAGCAAAGAATCAATGGCAGACGATAGAGGAATTGGGACAGCAAGGATATATAGCTAATAAGTTTGAACAAGGATGGATACCGAAATGGTTAGTCGCGAATGGANAAAAAGGAAGAAGGAATTGTGTTGTTGTTGAAGAAGGAAGGAAGAAGTGGAAAACGATGGATCTGGAAAGATATAGAAGTGGAAGCTTGGTGGGAGGTGAAGAGGATGAGGAGAGTATGGTTTTTGACTAGAAGCATAGCAGATAGTTGGTTTGCAACAGCAAGTCCAATAATCAGAGCTTGTCGAAACTTGTGAATGTGTTTAAAAATGTTAAAGTTTCTCGCGTTTTTGTATACCACTAATACGCTTATCCAATCCAGAACGCTAAGAGAAAGACATAAGCAACAAAAGAGAGTTAACGAATGTGTGTTCTCCCATAGCCAAACCTTTCGCTCCAAAACTAAGAAATAACCAAAAAAAAAGACATCATAATACCAAACTCTTCACTCCTCCTTCCAACTCCAAACTAACCCTTTCCTTTCTCAACCAAACAACTCTTCAGCAGCGATTTCATCATTGCTTCCACATCTCCCTCTCCTTCTTCACAGCGTCCCAGGCCTGTTTCTGCCATATCTCTCCCCCAACTCAGGAGAAGAAGGATACTGCCGCGACGATCTCCTCGTACGACGACGATGACGTTCAAGATACGCCTCATCCACACCACGAGGTTTCTACACTCTTTGGCCTTCACCAGCTCCATTGGACACTTCAGCTGTCAAAGCACTACCCTGTCCATTAGTCGCATTTCCCACAGCAGCAGGAGTTTCATTAGCAGGCGTGAATGAAGATCTAAACGCGCCGTTGTTTCTGTTTTGATTGTTGGGTTCGGCGACTGGAGTGGAGTTGGCAGGGACAGGGGAAGTAATGCCGTTGTTGTGGTTTCCGAGCACGCGGAGCAGGTCCATTGTACGGTCTTGCTGTTGCTGGGTTTGTTGCTGTTGCTGCGTCAAGTCTTCTGGGAACGGTCTTGGTGCTGGTGCGCGGTAGGTGTTGTTGTTGGGGTCTTCGTAGCCTTGCTGCTGTTGGGGGGCTTGTGGTGGCGGATACGAGTTTTGCTGCTGCACTTCTGGGTATCCTGCTGCTTGTGGGCGCGAGAAGCCTTGGACACCCAATCCACCTGGTGTAGATGCTGCAGTGTGGCTAGGGTAGTCGAAAGGACTTCTAGAGTCCACATCCATGCTGGTATCGCTGGCGGCGTATTCGGCACTAAATCTCCTGGTGCCGTTTGCATATTCGTTGGCTAGTCTTTCTGCCTCTTCAAAGCCGTCCAGTCCTTGTACTTCCTCACGTGAAACCTCTTTCCAGTGACACCTTGCATGCTTTTTCGTGCATCCACCGCATGAGGACAAATTCTTCAGACAATCCATCTTCAGACGTCTGCAGCGGTCGCATGGGGGCATGACGCGAGAACCGCGTGGTAGACTCTCCATGTGAGATTGACAAATTGTGCGATAGGGTTGCGACACTTCTTGCGATGGTGGCAGAGGTTTCGAGAAGTTATGGCGGGGTTGCGATTGTGGTGATTCATCACGAACGTAGTGCGAGGCTTGGGCAGCGGCGGCGGCTGCTATGGCGGCGACATTGGTGGGAACGGGAGAGACTGAGGTAGAGGTGGATTCGAGGGCTGGTCGAGGGTGCTGGTTGAAGTTTTGCGGTGTTTGGAAAGGTGGTGATTGGGGATGTTGCTGGATCGACGAGATGCGGCGGTTGTCGGGTTGTTGATGTACCTGTTTAGGGAGAGATTGGAAGTGCTTGAGAAGGTCGTTACGGATATGCAGAGCGGGATCGACCTTTTCTGGAGACTGTGGAGGTTGGTGTTGAGGCTGCTGGGCAACTGGTTGTTGGTTGGTGTTGTTGACTGAGACGAAGGAAGGGGGTACGGCTTGCTGCTGGACTTGATTGTTGTGCGACTCTTCGGTAGATCTGCGTTCGAGAATGGCCATCCTTCTCCCCTTAAGGCGATGGGCCAGCTGACGGGTACGAGCAGCGACCGAATCGGCAGCGGCAGTGAGATCTCTCAAAGCTTTCTCGACAAGCTCACATGTGGCCACCTCTTTCTCTTCATCCTCCCAGATAGGAAGGGGTGGAATCAGGTCCTGACATCTTCCACTGTTGATGAACAAGAAGTCCTCTTCGGAAATCTGTACGCGCACCTGCTTCTGGGGGTAGTAGAACTGGCACACGCGACGGCCTTCGCTGAAGGTCGACAGGGTGAACTGTGAAGGATGTGCCTGCGCAAAGTGCACCACGTCCAGCCAAGTCACCTGAGGCAAGTCTGACTCCCTAGCATGAGAGTGCGAAGCGATGACTCGTGGAGGCGCATCGAAGCAGCGCTCAAAGCGCTTGATCAGGATTGGACCGAGAGGACGAGCACCAAGGTTGCTAGCCAGCGACTCATGACGATCCAGAACTTGGGTGTATGATGACAGGGTCTCAAGCATGCCAGGAAGGGTATCCTCCTTGGAGATGAAGGGAAGGTCGTCGATGCATTGTCGGGCAATGTAGTTGATCTGCAGCTGACTGCTCACGTTGTTCGTCTTTGGCGCCTTGTTCTGTGGGGCGATTTGTCCTTGGTATGAGACCAACGAAGGGCTTCTCTTGCGCTTTGCGCTGGGATTGACTGCATGGCATCAGTACAGTGTTTTGTGTGTATAGATCACGACATGGACACACGCAGGCCGNCGGGCATCGGTGGGCGGAGCGGCTTCGGACATTGTCAGCGCGGACGGCGGTGGGTGGTGTGCGGTGGAAGGCAGGTAGCGGTGGACGCTGGCCAGCAGTTATGAGAACGCGCACAACGACGACTTGTCACGACGACTTGAACGTGGATGGGAAAGCGCTCAGCTTTGTCGGCTTTGGGTGTGTCGCTGCCGCCAATGCTGCCAATACCCATCCACGCTGTCTATTTCAAAGCCTCTGACTGGGCCTTGGCGGCTATGGTCGGCCACCCAGCCCGGCACTCTCAACTGCCCTCAGTCTGGACCGGCAGCCTCAGCCAGCGTGCAGCGTGTATTCGTCACCGGCCGCGTAGCCTCCTGCCGCCCTTGCGCCCCGGGCGGAGCGGTGTGGATAGGAGCCCATGAACCATAGCCGGAAGGCGCTCCTTTACGGGAATAACAAGTCTGATTGATAGCCAGTAGTGTATTTGTGACCTTGATCTCACCTGTATAAGATAAGACTAAGCGAGGAGCTCTAAAAACGACGGTTTACCAGTGACAATCCACTCTCCCAACTCTAACGCCCCCAAACTCATGTTCAGAACTTCAGGCTATCACGGCAAGTCGTAAAAAGCCGCAAAGTCCAAACCGACCTGCCCTGCATCGCGGAGCGGAAAGGAAGGCGCAAACGCACCGACCAACACCGCTCCTTCCTCCCCTCGCACTCCTCTCCGCTGCGCGCTTCTCCGCCGTGCGCAGCTCCACCATTGACAGCTCTACGTCAGATTCAACTTCAACACACACAACACATTTCACCCAACACAATGTCAGAACGTGGTCAATTCAGAGGCGGCAACAGAGGAGGAAATCGTGGTGGAAACCGTGTTGGAAGAGGTGGTCGCGGCGGCGCCAACAACAACAACAACTCATCGCACAACAATGATTCCGACACACCGCGCCCGAAGAAGGAGAACATTCTCGATCTCAACAAGTACATGGACAAGGAGATCCAGGTCAAATTCAGTGGAGGCAGAGAGGGTGAGTTTTGTACCCCACCCGGAAGAAACTCGAGAACAGAGAAAGAGCATGGGGAAGCCATTGGAGGATATGAACGAGCTCAAAGGTCGCAAAGGGAATCGCAAATACTGACGCAATAAACCACAGTCACCGGCACACTCAAAGGTTATGATCAACTCATGAACCTCGTCCTCGACGATGTCAAGGAAATCACAAGAGGTAAGACCCCTCTCTCATCAACTCATATTCTCCCAATTCTGCCTCTAGAATCACCTCTTACTCCTTGTCCACGCATTACCCTCTTTACAGCTCGAGACAAAGCTAACATTCACCAACAACAGACGATGAAGGCAACACCTCATCAAGACCCCTAGGTCTGCTAGTCGCTCGCGGAACCCTCCTCGTCCTCATCTCTCCACTCGACGGCAGCGAAGAAATCGCAAACCCCTTCGTGCAAGCCGAGGATGAAGGTGCCGCTGCAATCTGAGAGAAACGACAACCATAAAGAGCCAGAGTTGCGCAACAAAAGGCGCACGAAAGAGCCAAGCAGACTGGAATGGCACAGGAGCTTTAAAGCTAGCCTCCACAAGCCAAGCTGGAGACGCAAAGAGATGGGAGTTGCAATTGCCGCAAGCAAGGTGAATTGACAGGGACATGCGCAAGCGCTTGGTTTTTGATCGAGATTTTGCTCGTCGAGCGTATCACCCTGTCTAATATCTGCGGACACTGCCAACGCCATTCCCTCTCACATCACATACAAAAACAATAGCGGTTCCTGATGTCCGGATGTCGAGCCGTACACAAAGAACGAAATGGAAAAAAATGTCAAACATCACTGTCATTTGCAAGTTTGAAGAATGTTGCGTTACTTACCGAAAAAGCTTCGTATAACACATACCAACTACTGTCAATACTATTTAGTGAGATAGATATCTGACCCCAAGATTAACAACGAACGAGAGAGCTATGCATCGTACAGATCAACGACCTCAATTACGTGGCACATAGGTGGAAATTGTTATTCGAAAGGTCAGGGCAAAAACAAGCTCATCATAGATAGACACATTTCGAAACGTGACAACAATGTTCATCATAGAATACTAAAGCATTATCGATCGTGATTACAAAAACAAAGCACAGCCCATCAAAGCTCACCCTCCAATCATTTAGGCAATACGGACGTTGGCGCCGTGGCTGTCTCCGTAGGGGTGATCAGTCTCCAGACCGCGCTCCTTGAGCACACTAGCAGGAGGATCCTTGTGCAGACGGTGACGGCCAGAAGTATCGGTAGAGACGGTCTGGTGACCATGCTCCTGGATATCACTGTATGGGGCCGAAGANAGAGGGTTTGCTCTCTGCTCCTCGAGCGAGGGCTCAAAGCTGGCTCCGGCAGCAGGGATAGAGCCGTCAGCAGCGCGTGCTTCGAGTTCACGTTGGTGGCGCTCGTGGGCTGCAATGTCGGCTTCCTGAAGACGACCCTGCTGGCGCAAGTCCTCTTCGGGCTCGTTCTTCTTGTCACGGTGGAGGAAGCCAAGAATGCCGTGGCGCTTCTTCTCAGGCTGCTCGTTCTCCTTGGTCGCTCTTTCGGCTTCCTTTTCGGATTTTTCGGCTTCCTTCTCACGTTGCTTCTCGGCCTTCTTTTCTTGCTTGGCAATTTCGTGCTTACGCTCCTTCTGCTGATGCTTCAGATCCTTTTCGGTTTGGTGCTGCTGGTGCTTCGCATCCTTGTCCATCTGGTGCTGCTGAGCCTTTCTGGCCTTCTCGGCTTCGTGAGCTTGGTGCTTCGCGAGCTTCTCCTGCTCCTTAGGGTCAAGAGCCTCGTAAGCGCCTGCACCAGCAACTCCGGCTCCACCTGCTACAGCAGCGTCACGACCGAGATTTTGGCGCTCAACTCTCTGCTGCTGAAGGATGGGGTCGTGGTTCGGGTCCACAAGGTTTGTAGTGTTGGTTGAACGAGGGTCGAAAGCAGAGGAACCGATACTCTCCGCAGGTTGATTGTGGTGCTTGCTGTATTCATAAGCACCGGCACCAGCAGCTCCAGCACCTCCGGCAAGTGCGGCGTCACGGCCATAGTGATGACCTTGTTGCTGCTGTGCGAGAGTGGGATCGGTACTAGGATCGACAACGTTACTGGTGTTGGTTGAGCGAGGATCGAAGGTGGAGGTCCCAAGGTCAGCGTCCGAAGGGCCGCCTTGATGTCTACCGTGCTCGTATGCACCTGCTCCGATGCCAGCAGCGCCACCAGCAATGGCTGCGTCGCGACCATAGTGATGGCCCGACTGTTGTTGTGCCAGAGCGGGATCAGTGTTAGCAGAACGAGAAGCGAACGGAGAAGTTTCAAGAGTGCTCTCAGCAGCTCTGCCATGAGGCTGCTCGTAAGCACCTACACCTCCGGCGCCTGCACCACCAGCCAACGCGGTTTCGTAGGCACGTTGACGTTCAATTCTCTGCTGCTCGAGGATTGGGTCATGGTTTGGGTCGACAAGGTTTGTGGTGTTAGTTGAGCGAGGATCGAAAGCAGAGGTACCGATGCTCTCAGAGGGCTGATTGTGGTGCTTGCCATACTCGTAAGCTCCGGCGCCAGCTGTACCCAGTCCTCCAGCAACAGCTGCGTCCCTGCCGTAGTGGTGCTCGTTCTGCTTGGATAGATCAGAGTCAACACGAGGATCAGCGCGGTTCATCATGTCGCTCTGATGAGGACCAGCGGTAGTCCTGTCCTTCATCTTCTCGGGCTCAGGCTGAACACGAGGGTCGAGGATGTTCATGACGTTGCTCTTGTGAGGACCAATAGTCTTAGAAGCAGGGTCGGTCTCGGTGCGGCCGCCGTGGTTGTATCCTTGCATTTGCGAACCGCCATAAGGTTGGCCACTGGCAGTCTCTGCAGCATTCACTCCATGGCCTGACAGTGGTTCTCTGCCATACTGCTGGCCGCTGGCGGTCTCTGTTCCACTTACACCATGTCTAGGGTGCTCGGCAGACTCATATGCACCAGCTGCAGCACCAGCACCAAGGCCGCTGGCAGTCTCTGATGGTCTCACGCCATGGCCCGGGAGTGCTTCCCTACCGTAGGGTGTGCCGCTGGCAGTTTCCGAAGCGTTCACTCCTTGGCCTGACTTGGCTGAGTGGCCGTACATTAAATTAGGGATGCGGGTAGGCTTATCGCCAGAAGCAGCGGAGGGNTCAAAGCGCTGGTCATCATAGCCCTCGATTTCGTGAGAAGGCCTGTGAGATCCAGCCTCATGTGCAGCCAGGCCAGCAGCACCAAGTCCACCTCCGACAAGAGCGGTATCTCTGCCCAGGTGGTGATCTCTGGATGTTTCTGATGGCAGATCTCTTGAGCCAGTGGCGGTAGTAGGGTGGCTACTGAGCGGGAAAGAGCGTTCAGTGGTCGATGGTGATACAACAGCTGAGCTGGTGTTGTATGCGTCTGGCTGCGATCGCTGACCACCAGCCATGGCAGCATCGAAATCACTTTGGCGCTCCTCTCTTTGCTGTGCAAGCAAAGGATCGTAGTTGGGATCCACAACCTTAGCAGTAAGATTGTTATGGTGCTGGGCGTGCTCGTAGGCACCGACGCCAGCAGCGCCAGCACCTCCGACAAGCGCGGCATCTCTACCATAATGGTGGCTGCTGGTGGGCTGTGATGTGTTCAAACCTCGCTGCTCAGATGCATAGGCATCTGAACCTAGGCCGGTAGAGCCTGATGTCAAACCACCATCTCTTCTACGCTCATGTGTATCAAGACCATCGTCCGCGGGAAACTCGCCGGGCACGTGAGGGTCGAGCTGGTTGGCGATATCTGTGCCATGGGGACCGTGTTGGTGGTGAACGTAGCCAGGAACAGCCGGCTCTTGGCCCTCGGGACAGGGGTCGCCATTATAGTTGTGTCCAAGACCTCTGTGTGCGTGTGAGCTGTTCACGAAGCCGCTGGGGTCCATGGTCTCCATCTGCGTAGGCTTAGGACGAGACTGTCCAACAGGAGTGACACTTCTGACAGGAAGCTTCTGCTGGGGTGCTGATAGACTGCCTGCAGTGGCATAGTCTGTGAAGCCAGTGCCCTCTACATTGCGAGGTTCCTGGCCGGCGCCAACAACGCCTGATCTGATGCTTGCTGTGCTGACATTATCGGTAATGTGGGGGCGAGAGTTGGGGTTGCTTTGAGAATCTAAGACATCTTGTCTGAGGCTTGTGTCCTTGTTGCTCGAACCAACAGTGTGTTGGGTGGGTGCAGCGCTTTCTCTGGTGGCAGACGTGCCGCTGGTGCTGGGATCGTTATACATGACATTTTCGTCCTTCTCGTGGCCAGGAGAGCTGTTGAAAAGACATGTTAGCAGGTAGCATGCGGGAAAGTATGAGAATTCTTACAAGATCTTCTTGAGCTTCTCCATGTTGGTGTTCGTAAAGTGTGGTCGTTAGTGGTAAATTTGCTGTTTCGTGTATCGTCAAGTACGGTCTTGGTCGTCAAGATTACAATTAAATTCAATTGCGAGTGTGAAGGGTTCAAGAATGGAAGGTGGCAGCTCCAAAGGTCCTTAAAACAGGAAGTCGAGGCATGCGCATGACGTCGATGGAGCCTCCACTTTGAGGTCCAGATCTACCACATCACAGCAGTTCAAGGCACTTTGATGCAACAAAACGGCTGTTGGAGCCCTGCACGACCAATTCTGCGACCAATCCACATCCAGCAGAAGCTTGATTGTGACATATTCCGTGTCTGTGGCTCGAGCGAGCGCCTGTTCTTGTCCTCAAATCACTCTTTCGTCGATGAAGCTCAAGATGCGGGAGCGAAACAAGGATTCAGTGACGCGGGCGATCGTCAGCTGCGTCGACGGCGGGGTATCAACCTGTCGTGTGGCGTCGGTGGCTTGACTTGTGCTCTTGTGGCTTTGCGTCGCTGTCTACTTCACGTTGCCAACACAGCCTGTTCCAATCACATTCCGCTGCATTCCTGACACTGGGAAAGCCATCGATGCAGGTGAGAACACCGCCAGCAGAGTCCACCATCTCCGCTGCAGCATCCTCACCAACTCAACTGCGTCCTAGTATCCCGTTGGAACGCCTCTTTCGTGCTGAAGCCTGTGTAGTCAGGCGGAAAGCATCTTTGGACAAGGCAGAGTTACTTCGTATGGACACCATGTTGGCGAAGGAAGAGACGATCGAAACAAGCAAGGGCAGTCACTGTCACAGTCAAGTCGATTTCGATACATCCAAACACCTCGAGGACGCAAGAAACTGGACAGTATACGCCCGCTAGGCTTCAGGCTCCTCTTCACAGTGAGACTGCCCCAGACACATGGGCTTCGAAAATGCTTCTTTTGCATATCGATCGTCGCTATCGTCACCGCCATGTCAATCTTGGAGTCGATCGCTTCTGCCACGAACTCCAAACTCACAACCACGAGAAGTCAGTACCGCAGTCTTCAATCTCCTGTCATTCAAGCCCCCTTCTCCATACCTCTCCGCACTTGTCCTTTCAGGCACGAGTTTGACCGAGTACCGCCGAAGCCAGCATCGGGCGGTAGTTCTCGGCCAGGGCTTTTGAGAACCGTGCTTTGTGTCGAAGTAGTGGGGAGACGCAGTCCTCCGCAACCACATCCGCAACCTGAGACGGCACTTTTCGTTCCTCCCATTGTCAATTGCCTCTTTTCTCCTGCTCTCTTTCTCTCTTCTGTCTCAATACGTGTTACTCCGCTTTCAATCAAACAACATATCTTTCCAAACTGTCCATTACTCCCTTTCATTGTTCATCAACGTCAAAGCCGCTCCAACGGTCCGCACGTCATAATCATAAATTAGCCGCGCCAAACCGACCGTTAATCCCGGACTCTTGCGCCTTTCATAACAGACAAAGGGCCTGGTTCCCACGTTCCTGGCACGAGGAGACTGGTCTTTTCATCGTTACCACGCGAGTGGCACGTTGATCATCCCGCAACCCACACCGCGATATTCGAGCCGGCCTCATCCGCACCTGACCAGTTGAGCGTACCATGGCGTTCCGCGAGCGCATCAAGAAAGCTCTGCGAAAGGCATCACCGAATTCCTCCGTTCACAAATCGTCCACCACAGACTCAAAAGAAGGCCGAGAACGATGGCCTTCGAACGTGTATAAACCTGGCGAACCAATGCCGCGACCAAAGTACCGTGCCCCGGTCAAGAAGGAACACAAGGAGAAGTTGGAGTCGTTCAGTTTTGCATCCGCTTGGAGGAGAAAGAGTTTCATGAGTGAATACAGTCCCATGGGCACAAGAATGCCGAGTCGACGAGCGAGTCTTATCAGCAGAAAGAGTTTCGGAGGTAGAAGCAGTTTGCGAAACAGCATGAACATGAGCAGGAGGAACAGTGTTTCAGGGGGTGTCAAGAGCGGCCGTGAAAGTCTGGAAGTTCCGCGAGAAAGACACGCTGCTCTTGCGCCTGCTTTGTCGACTGAAGTGGAAGCCTATGGTGACGACGATGTGACCAATGGTACGTATCGCACTACACGGAGCCAGTGTGAGACTTGGCTAACAACGATGTCCANNGTTGGCCTTTCACGAGTACACTCAAGAGAAGACAAGCCGCACCGACCCGTATACTCACGACGTCAAACCGCGGAATTACGATCGAGAGCTCCTGCCAAAGCATCACCGTTAGGACAGACAGCGGAAGCACCTACATCTACACCGACGCAAGTGCAGCCANAAGCTGCATTCGCTCACGATCACACACCATTCACCGAAGAAGAGCTGGCCAGAGCGCTACAACGCAGTCATCTGGAAATATCGGCTCACTAAGGGTTGTCACGAAATTGAATAATGAGGCGTTCTTGGGCATGTTGTTGGTTTAGGGTATACACACAGGTCATGGGTCGCTCGTTCACTCTGAGCACGGATTGGGATATGGCGTTCGCACGTCTGCTGTCAATATGGGATACTTTCTCTTCCTTGTTCATTGTTTGGCTATGAGCTTTTGTTGAATCACTGATACAATCGATTCTAGTACTTTTCTCTTCACCAATCTGCAGTATAGTCGGAACACAGATTCTTTTCTCAGAACTTCAAGCGGTACTGGTCGGATCGTTATAATATGTGCTGAATTGCCCTACGTTGGGTCAGAAATCTCTGAGAGCTGCTGTATCTCGCAGCGCGAGGCCATTGAAAATGTAGCTATCAAAATGCACAATGATGTTCGGGAAACAGTAATGTCCAGTGAGAGCATACACAGACAGCGGTTCTCAATGGACACACTTCTATTCCTGACTCTATTGTGCATTTTTATGACTCCAAAATTGCCCTAAACCGAGTTGGGAGTTGTTACTCCTGTAGAGCCACGGGTCATAATCTCTGGGGCCCAGATCGAGGCCTCAAAGCAACCGTAGATTTAGTGGAAATCAACCAAAGTAATCACAAGCTTCACATTAATTGGTTCTGTGGTGTAGTTGGTTATCACTTCTGTCTAACACACAGGCGGTCCCCGGTTCGAACCCGGGCGGAATCATTGCTTTTGCTGACTTGTGCGATGTTTTTGGTTCATGGCAGGTCGTGGTATAGAGGTCTAGAACGTGGATTGAAATTTCGGCATTTTTTTGTAGCACGTGCGCTCAATTCATGGGCTTCGCGGCTCCGACGCCGACGGGCTTGGCACAAGGCAAATCAAACTCCGACTCCAGCGAAGAATGCGTTGTATACTATAAAACTACACAGTTGGTGGTCTTGACTCTTCTAGCGGCCTGCTTGGGATGTATATTTTCCCGTCCGAGGCGTGGCCGAGCGATTCCTGCATGCCTCTTGTCATGCTGACACCGCATCGACGAATTGGGCCTGAACTAACTCGTAAACGTACAGTCGCCAAGCATAACTCTCGCATGGTGGTATTGGAACAGAGGAGGAGTTGAGACACTATCTAATTCGAGAGGCTCGGCGGCTGATCTGATGCAGTTCACCGCAGCTCCTGACATGCGTTACCAATCCTTCCAAAACTCACCGCCGCAGCAATGCAAAGATAAATATACAATGCTCGCCACTCTGTTGTATCCTGTATCTACCCTTGTTCTCATCACCATCATACCCTTCTTATACAATTAAATTCTATACTCGTACAAAGACATTATGTCTAACCTCTACATCGAATCCACGCCCTCCGAGGTCTCCAAAGCTGACGGTATCCACCTGTTGACATTCAGCACTCCCAATGGTCAGAAGGTCCAGATCTTGCTTGAGGAACTCGCTCTTCTCTACGGCGTGGAATGGACAACAACAATCATCAACTTCGCGCAGAATGAACAAAAGGAAGACTGGTATCTGAGACTGAACCCCAATGGCAGGATTCCCGTCATCGTCGACAACACCAGCAAAGGCAACCCTTTCCCTGTTATCGAAACATCAGCCGAAATGCTCTACCTCGCTGAGAAGTATGACAAAGACTACGCGCTGAGCTTCCAAGACCCGCTTGAGCGCAGCCAGATGATACAATGGCTGTTCTTCTGGCACGGCTCTGGTGCACCTCCATATGGCCAGCTCTGGTACTTTGGCAACGCAAAGGAAAAGCTACCTGCAGTCATTGAGCGATTCCGCACAGAAACTCTGCGCGTGTTTGGCGTACTCGAACTTCGCCTCTCAGGAAAGAACAGTGATGAGCAGCCCAGAGAATATTTGGCTGGCTCTGGAAAGGGCATGTACAGTCTTGCGGATATTGGAGCTTACCCTTGGGTTGCGAAGTGGGAGTTTGCTGGTTTTGAAAAGAAGGAGATGGAGGATTTCCCTAATGTACTTGCTTGGCTTGAACGTATCGAACAGAGAGAGGCCGTCAAAACTGGTACTGGGGACAAGTATCAGAAGAAGCCTTGAGTGGTATTAGAAACATTCAGAATGATATGCGAAGTCTTGATTCAGTACTCCAAATTCCTAGGCATGATAGATCAGAAGCGGGATATTCAATCAAGAAAGTGCGACCCTGCTCTAGGTGCGGTCAATGCGCAAAAGTTTTGCCCTCAAAACATTAACGATTACCAAGCATCACAGACATGTAATTCAGACAATCGAAGCGGATGGCCTAATCTCGTTTTCCATTCGTATTTTTCAAATCTTCGAGTCGCGGTAAAGCCCTACAGCGTCAAGTTGTGCTGGTTTTCAAAAACCTTCATCTAAACCTCCGTAAGCGACTCTCTCGACAACCATAACTATGTCGCATCAACAAACTCTGCAACTGGACACCTTACCAGGTGAAATACTGGATGAGATATGTGATTATTTGAACAAGAAGGAGCTGAAAACATTCCGACTGTGCACCAAGAGAATATCCTCTATCGCGACCACGCACCTAGCGAAAGACTACATGTTTAATCTCTGCTCTCTCATGACACGCCGCAGTCTGGAGAAGCTGGCTGAAATCTGCGCGCATCCTCAGTTTGGACCTCATGTCAGGAAGGTTCACCTCTCTTCCGGCCGCGTTCATCCCCGAGAGATGCGTGCACTTATCGAGAGAGTTGAAGACATGCAAAGACGAATCCCAGCTCCGACGTCAGCTCAAGTCAAGCGAGCGAAAGCAAAGATGCAAGATGCCATGAACAGATCTACGAAAGAGTACGAACTCGAAGCTTTGGGAGATGCGGTAGCACTGCTTTCTCGCGCATTCGCTTCTCTTCGCGCTTATCAGACGCCCATCATCTTGGATGTCTCAGACTTTGAAGTGCCCCGATGGGACCCAGTCACCATGTTCCTCGACAGATACAACCACTTCCATGGAGAACCGGAGCTTTGTTTCAAGTCAACCATGGAGCCTTGCCTTCAAGCAATCTTCCGCACGAAGATGCAGTTCGCCGAGCTTGAGTTGACCGTCGATGCACTCTCAATCGACCCTGATGAAAGAGGTTATAACACGAAAGACATGAGTTCAGAAGATCTAGAACTGTTGTCTAGCCTAAAGTCCGTGTCTCTCGACATGAACAATACGTTTGACGACGCTGGCACTCTATCTACTGGGCATATACTATCATATACCCATCAACTCGAGGATCTGACGTACAGACAAGGATGTGATGACCTCAATCGGGATGATTGGCTTACACCAGAGCAACAACCTGAACTCTTGCGCAGTCGACAATTCGAACGTGCCGATATCGTACTCGGATCTGTCAATTCTGATGGCTTGAAGTCCTTGTGGCTGGAGTACACCCCAATATCTTATCATGTTCTTGTCCAGCTATTGGAAAGGCATGCCGATACCTTGATCACTATCCACATTGCGCACACTTGCCTGCGCGACGGCACATGGGCCGAGGTTTTCTCGTTGGCTCAGAAGGCTTGTCGGTTCGTGACCAGTCTTGATGCCATCAATCTGAGCCAGGCCAGACCAGATATAAGGGATGGCGACTACCGCCCACTTCTGTTGCCCGAAGAATTGTCTCTTGAGTCGAGCGATGGTCGAGTAGGAGTAAATGAAGTTCTTGACAAACTTACCCTCGCTCCTTCTCNNTTGGAAGTATTGGACATAATGGATAGAAGGCTACGATCGCAAACCATGGACATATCAGAGCTAGCTCCATGAACTCCTGAACATTTCTCAGCAATTGCGTGATGGGAGCAGACTAAGCTTTTCCATACTTTGCCGAAATTCTGCAAAAAGCCACCAAAAGACAACCACGTCAACACTAAACACAATGCACAACACATCCGTATACTAGGTCATCACATAATTCGTCAAGGTATTCTACAATGCATCTCAGACCCATAAACGCCAAACCATCATCATTCACTCATATTGGAGCTGCCTGGAGTGAACAAGAAGAAGAAGAAGAAGAAGAAGAAGAAGAAGAAGAAGAAGAAGAAGAAGAAGAAGAAGAAGAAGAAGAAGAAGAAGAAGAAGAAGAAGAAGAAGAAGAAGAAGAAGAAGAAGAAGAAGAAGAAGAAGAAGAAGAAGAAGAAGAAGAAGAAGAAGAAGAAGAAGAAGAAGAAGAAGAAGAAGAAGAAGAAGAAGAAGAAGAAGAAGAAGAAGAAGAAGAAGAAGAAGAAGAAGAAGAAGAAGAAGAAGAAGAAGAAGAAGAAGAAGAAGAAGAAGAAGAAGAAGAAGAAGAAGAAGAAGAAGAAGAAGAAGAAGAAGAAGAAGAAGAAGAAGAAGAAGAAGAAGAAGAAGAAGAAGAAGAAGAAGAAGAAGAAGAAGAAGAAGAAGAAGAAGAAGAAGAAGAAGAAGAAGAAGAAGAAGAAGAAGAAGAAGATTGCATGGATGTATGGTCGACATATAGAACTTCCATAGCTCCTGCAGTCCATCGGCCATCCATCACCAGTAACCAGGGTCGGAACCATAAGCCTCGGGTACAGTATGGAGAAGGTTAGCAATGCATCTACGGTCAACATGTACGACTTATATAGCTCATGCGGTGCAGTGATCGACCACTGGTCCTGCTCGTCGGGGATATCCACCTTCCGGACATACAGAAAAGGAGAGGCTGTGAGAACATCTACGGTCAACATATGGATTCAGAAACATACGATGTTTCCAAGTCGCACCTTCCGCACGCCTTTCATCGCGTCCTCCACTTTACACTTTCCTTCCTCGCCATTCTCCTTTACTTCTTTGTCTCTTACTCTCTTCCACTATAACACACCATCGCTTCTTCCTCTCTTCTCTCTCTTGCACATGGATCCCTTCGACCCTCAGAGCATTGCGCGCCATAACGCCCGCCAGAACTCAGGACAACGCACTGAACGTGAAAGAGAGTGGTTACTGCGCATCGATCCTCACTTGTCAGATGATCAGCTTCACCATTGGACCGACGTGGCTGAGGAGCTCCTCACTCAGGGATATGACGGCAACTACGGACAGACACAAAGACTGGCAAGAGCGCTGCGCGCTACTATCCTCGATGTTCGGTTAGTACATGCACACCTCACTCACCACTTCCATCACTGATGTATCCAAAGTAACCTCACTTTCGAGCCGCGCACTTCAGACATGGGTCTTCTCCTTCAAGCTTTGAGAGCGACTTCACAGCCTCTTCAACCTGCACCATCATCACTCATTCAGTCTCTGGTCAATGCACGCGACTATCGACCTTCAGCGGCCGATCAATCTCAGGAACCCGCCGAAGACACTCAACCTGCAGCCGAGCAATCTCAGCAGCAAGCTCAGCTGTCTCCAGAGCATGCCGAGCATTCTCCTGAACGTGTCCAACAGTCTTCTGTGGATGAAGTCGGCCCCACCGCACATGATGTTTCCGCCACTGCTCTCGAGAACGACGATGATGTTTCCGCTATTGCTGTCGAGAACGACGATGATGTTTCCGAGAACGACGATGATGTTTCCGAGAAAGGCCATGATGTTTCTGAGAATGACGATGATGTTTCCGCTACTGCTCCCGAGAACGACGAGGAGAATGACGAGGAAAACGACGACGATATCTCCCCCAATTCTCCAGAAGATGTCTCTTCCCAAAGCACAGTTGCTCCTATCCTCACCTTCGGAGCTTCTGCTCCAACAACTTCGATCGTTTCTAGCAAAGCGATCAATTTTCGTACCGCTAACGATTACGCCGGCACAACTGGGATGGTATACTCGTGTCCAGTCCCCAACTGCCAGCACACAATCACTGAAGCACACACAATCGAGGGATTCTATAAATACATGGACAACGACCTTCACACGGCGTATTTTTATCAGCAGAGCTCCTATGTGTGTCCATCTGGATGCCACAAAGGTTTCCTAAACGACTTTGCTCTTCACCATCACATCTAGCAGTCTTTATGTGAAGAGAGTGAGACTCTTTTAAGCGATATCAGAACATGCAAGCAGTGCAACAATAGTACTTGCCCGGGCGTCATCGGAGAGTTTTCAGGAAGATTCCACGAGACTTTCTATATCCCTTCCGTATGCTGAAGACTGTCACAATGTCGCTGCAGAAATGCATAACAAAATCGTAAAGGGTGTGGTCTCCACAGAGAGAACTCCATTAGAGGATATCTCCATGGCCAGACTCAAACTTGAAACACAACTGTGCATTTCGACAGCTTACAACAACCCTCATACCTCGAGATGGAGAAGGGGGCAGTCGTGAGTTTGTGACTGTCTTTAGCACACGGGAAGGATGTTGACCGTAGACGTATAGCTTGATGAAACATTTTGTATGGTGCGACTGCTCTAGAAGGTATGGGAGCTAGAGGTAATTGCTACTAGACATCTCCCATTGCTATTAGACATCGGCCAGATATTCACTTGAACTTGTAACAGATCCGCAAGAAACGTTACATGAACCTTCAATTCTTCTTGGGGCACAAATCCCGGTCCTGTGACGCGCAGATGTCCACTTCCTGGACGTCTAGAAAGGCAGAGGTTAGGAGCGCATCTACGGTCAGCATATGAATCTCGCATGGCTTAAGATTGCACTAATAATCTACTGCTCCTAATCTTTTGGAGGATGTGTATGAAGAGGAAGAAAGCCGAGCAAACATGTACGGTCGGCATATGATTTTGAGGACATAGAAATTCTTGCTAAGTCGCACTAACTAGCGACTGGTTGGTTCTGTCCGCGCGCCTTCCATCACGTCTTTCTTTCATTCCCCTATTTCCCTTCTCGCCATTCCAAATGAGGTACTATGACACTTGCTACCCAAAAGCTCTGTACGTTCTGCATATAAGAGAGCGCTTCATGGGAAACAGAGAACGAATTATCCGCAATGAGATATAATGCAACTGTCGACTTTGCGCGAGAAACTGACCAACTTATTCAGAAAACAGTGCATGTATGCCTTATAAGATAAGCATTTCTATTTCCTTCCGTGGCCGTTGTCCTACATGATGATGCACTTACCTGCAGGTTGCACGTGGCTTGTAACCTAGAGTCGAAGCTAAGAAGCACTACAGCATGCAGCAAGGATATTCACTTACAGGACTTTTGTATATGAGATTGACAGATGAAGCTTGTTCTAGTCTGAGGGACGACAAGATACGTATGTATGTCTTCAGATACTTGGAAGACTCGAAGGGACTGATGGCAGATCGGATACGATTTCAAACAAGAGACTAAAGCCGCATTTGTGATAAACGAAAGCATGACAAAGTGACTTTGATGAAAGAGGGTAAACTGTGACAATGTCTTTGCTAGTGAACGTCGTAGAGGACAAGACCTGGGATTTCAAATGCATGCATGAGGAGGACTTGCATAGTCAGCAGCTCTACATGAATCGTAGTCGAGCGACGGTTTCGGCTGCACGAGTAAGGTGCTCCACTTTGAAATCATCCGATCAATCTCAACGATGAGCATGACCATGAAACAAATCGTGTCCTGTATACCATCTATATTCTTGCTTCGGCTTCTCTCATACATGTATCCACATCGCCTTCCACCGCCGTCTAGATCTCAACTCAAACACGCAAAAGCCCCTCAGACCTTAGATAGACAGGCAACGAAGATTTGCCTTCGTAAAAATGCCCAGAAGAATTGTGTGGGGTTGGAAGCTAAACCAAACACGGATTGTCCACTTTGAATCTCTTTCTCGTATGATTTACGTTAGGGGTTTAAGACAGCAGGAGCAGGGCCCGAAACAACAGGTGCGGGAGTAGGGGTCGAGAGAACAGGTGCAGGAGTAGCGGTGCTGTCGGCAACGGTCTGAGGAGGTTGTGGGGTTGTACTTGTAGAGTTGCTGTGGGGAGATCTACCGGATCGTGGAGGCGTGGGATGGTGCAAGTGGCTGCAGTAGGTTGTTCTACGTTAAAGCTAGATCAGCACCAACAAACATGAACACAGAAGATCATGGTAATTACCCGGGAGTCATGATGCCTCGCTGAGACTGTCCAGACTGTCTATGCTGATCCTGGTACCGTCTGGGCGGCTCATGGAATGGGAGAACATCGCCAGTGCGACGACGCTGGTGACGATGATTGCGTTGACCACGACGGCTACACATACTGTAGATTTTCATGACAAGCATGGCAATCGCTACAAGTAGAGCCAACAGCTCCAGTATGACGACAAAGAGTTCAGTACCCATCTGGCAGTTGAGACGAAAGACTGATGAGGCTTCTGGGAGAGACACCAGATGGGGGCACTCGAAGAAAATTGGGAACAAGTGAGACGATCAGAACACGAATGGAGTCAGGGGTAGAGGTCAGCTTTTGCTTGTGAATGGGATGTGAAGAGGAACGAATGTGGATCAGCAACAGAAGGGACAGAGGTGATTTTATGTCCAAAGGCTTCCTTGTGGGCACATGTTTCCTACTCTCTTGGCTTTGATGAGGGAAACCGTCCCAGCGAGGCTTATGCAGCGTGCAAGAAACGCTGGGTCCCTGTGGCTTGACCCCCATGTCACTCATCGACCATGTTCATAGATCAGAGCTCGGCGGCCACTATGAGAACTGTACAGAGACTGCTTTTGACCCTCGTACTTCAATACTCTGGAGCTTCATGCACATACAGCTTTGAACAAGCTGGCCAGTGATCAAGAGAATAATGAATGAGTTTGTGAATATGCGACACATTACCTGGTGGTGGAAGCGTCATCGGCCCGCTCGGGAGGGGAACCCTCATGGCTTGCACGTCAAGCTCCTTCGTTAAACCACGAGCACTGGACTCTGGTGGGCGGACTTGGAGCGGGCCAACCTTACCCGTCACTTGTTCGACGATACTCGCCCGGGCTTGTCAAAGAGCCATTTTCGGTTCTCAAGATCCGAGAAAATTGGCCAAGGGAAGTAATGATCTGTTGTTGGATGTGTTACCGTAAGGCGTGTACCAGCGTATCTGCAGGCAGAGGTCAGGATCAGTGACCCGGGTGAAGAGCGACAGGGGAATTGGTTATTGTCGTGTTTGATTGGCATGCAGTCGCCGATTTTGACAAGCTTTCGTGGACCGTCAAGGTACCTCGATGAACACCGCCACAACCTAGGAACATGACATACCCTCGAGAATTGTTTCCCGATGAACACTGCCAGAACCGAACGATTAAGCTAACCTTCTTAGATTGTATTGTTGCTGGAAACAGTGTCAACGTATTTATGTTCGAATCAAAGAGTTTCCGATCACTGGTTGCTCGTACATGGCGTGTGAACCATCTGGGGCGTGTCGTGCTCGCGCGACACCCTCCGAGCACGACACGCCCTCTTCCAGAAGTTTTAGCGTCCGTTAGCCGCCAGCAGACTAGACCAAAATCGGATATTGTTCACTTAGGGTGTCAGCTTGAGCCTCTCGTGAATAGTTTGTGAGGGCTTGCGAAGGGACCGAACAGAAACAGCGCAAGCGGAGTTACAACAGTAAGCGCGATACTTACCTCGTTTCTCCCACTCGGCAGCTGCACGACAGGCGACTTCGATGACATAGCTGGCGAACACGATGCGTCCAGATGCGTTGAGACCTAGAACAATCGGTCAGAGGAGTTATGATATCGCCAGTCGGACATTTGGGCGAAAAGTGACGGCTGACTAGACCTGTTCGTTTCATGTTTTTGAGCCAAGAATAATGTATCGTAGAGATACTTGTAGTATTTATAGCTTTAAGCACTTTTATGACGTGCACGCTCCGTTGTGCAAGTGCATCACCAAGTGTATCGACCTGCCAAGCGCACATAACTGCTATGCATGATGCTATGCAAGCATTCTCGGATTCGATAACAAGATTCATCATGACTCCAACCGATTATCGAAGCACACTGATCAGAACGTTGAATTCTTCTGCTATGCTTGTCGCACCTTGGAGCACGAAAAACGAATGGGTAAAGCCTTTGGTCTAGCCGTGAGCTTTGACTGAATTCGCGTACTTCAACACTCGCGAGCTCGTGACACTTACCCATGTACATTCTTTTCTGAGAGCCACAAATCGAGCTTGGCAGGCAGAAAGGTAGGTGTTGCCTAAACGTTCTATGGTTGACATTTGTGTGTCGGGGAGTTCTGGCCGCCCCGTGGTCACTGCAAACCCCAGTGAGTAAAGGTCGACCACATGATCCTGTGAACCACACGCGTGTATCGGTTACTACAAGAACCTTTTTCAAATGTACTTTCAGGTAGATTTTCCGATCAGGCGGGTAACATGAGCTTAGGGGTGTATGAGAAACGTATGTTCAGTACTCTCCAGCTCTAACCAACTCACCAAACCGACTCCCCGCTTCTGCAGCAAGCACTCTCGGATTTCCGACCTCAACAACACATCCCTTGTCCATGACAACAACCTCATCGAAGCCCATAATCATATCCAAGCGATGACTTACCGCTACGACAGTGTATTGCTCAAATTCTGTCTTGATGATCTCTTGCATGACCTTCTCTGTAGCTTGATCAACGCTTGAGCTGACTTCATCGAGCAGCAGAACACCGCTGTCGGCGCCCTGTTGTGATCTATGGCGTCTGCGGAGTAACACGCGGGTGAGAGAAAGGAGTTGGCGTTGGCCAGCACTGAGCGTTCCAGCGGACATACTTGCAGATAAACCGCCTTTCCCAAGGATAAAATCCCACAGACCGACAGACTCGAGAGCTTGTTGGCATTCTTCAAGGCTTGCGACATTAAGAAGATCCAGATTCTTCTTGAAGCTCGTTCCGTCGGGTAGGAAGACAGCTTCCTGGAGCACTGCAAGTAAGCGTTGTCTCAAAGTCGTTCTGTCGATTTTGTGAAGTGGCAAACCGTCGATCGAGATGTTGGATGAGGTCTCTGGAGTCGGGTCGAGCAGTTTCAGCAANAGGGCGAGAAGACTAGATTTACCGCTGCCTGTTCGGCCACACACGGCAATCTTTTTNCCAGCTTCCATGATCAGACTAACGTCTTTGAGGGCCAAGTTGACCGTTTCGTCGTTTGCAGTGCCAGCGCTGCTGNNAACTTTAGTTAGCACAGCCTAGAGGCAATTACTCGAGCCTGCTTACCCGTAGCTTGCAGAGACCGCGTCCAGACATATCGAGCCAGTCTGAGGCCACTGTGGGGANGGCAACATATCCTCTTCATCCTTATCTTCAGGCGTTACAGTCTCATTGAAAGTCTTAAGCCTAGCGATTGCTCCAATAGATGTTTCCAGCTTTGTGTAGAAGATGACAATACCTGAGAGGTTCTCTCCGAAACTCATAAGAGTGACCAGCGATGCACCGGTGAATCCAGAGCTAGAGTGCAGACGGACTGCAAGGGTCGTCAATACTGCAGCCATGATCATTACCACAATATCGAGCACAAAATTCAGCCATTGTTGTACCATAACCAGAAGGTATGCAGGGCGTTGACTATCATTCACCAGGTGGGCGTTTTTGTTGAGCTCTTCGGAAATGAAGCCTGGGGGAGTCAGTCAGCAGTAATACTGAAGACAGCACGATCGTGATTGAGCCGGATGATCAGCAAGTGATCTCTGCGGTTCTCAGCCAATGGTAATGAAAGGCTTACCGAAAGCTCTCAAAGTGGAAATGCCTTTTGCGGTATCAAGAAAGTGAGTGCTANNTGAGATCCTGTCAGTATGTCACATAAAACCAATATCGGCGTTCGAAGGAGGGCATGGAATAACTTACTACAGGGGGCTCTTAGCCTCTAGATCTAGCATCCTCAACTGTCTAGCGGTCCTCAAGTAAAACTTCTGTACAAAGTACAAGAGTACAACCAAGAATGGATAGCTAATAGCCATATAAGGAGATGACGTGGGCATGACTGCTGCTTGTCCAATAACTGAGAAAGCNCTGCACAAGATCGTGTCAGTATTGTACAAATACTTTTACGCTATAGTGACAGGTTGAACCACTGGCAAACTTACGGAGAACAGGAAGTTAAGCAGTGCATTTGGCAACTCGGTATCCACTAGGTTCAGATCTTGCGANAAGAGATTTGTCACAACCCCCGTGTCTGTGCCAGTGAAGAAGCTCAAAGGTGCTCGGATGAGTGTCCGAAGAGCATCTTTGTGGATGTTGGCACCGACTCTCTGGATAGAGACAATAAAGATTACTATGGCAAGCATAAGAAGTGAGAGGAGCCCACAGACTTGCAAGAATGCGTAAAGGCCAGCATAGTAAGCCCAAGTGTGGACAGGATGAGTTCTCACAACATCATCCGACCAGTAAGTGAGNCCCTAAATCGTCGACTCGGTAAGTAAAATCATATATAAGCTGTTTGTCCAAGACTCACAAATCGTTGGGAAGTTCGTGAAAAATCCCCAGAGGGCTGCGAAGAATATTCCAAGCGTAGCCGAAATCCAGCCCATGGCTTTGAGGTAATGTTTGTAGACAGTTGCATCGCCATTTTGCCTTGCAGCACGGTTCCCAGATATCAACGAGTATGCTCGAGATGTCACTTTGTACAGTGTGGATACTTTTGGTTCGTGTTGAGTATGCTTTGATTGTGCCGGTTCAGGTGAAGCCTTGCTAGGCGAAGGCTTCCATGACCGCAAACGATGAACATAACCTCGACTAGTCATCAGCTCATCAAAGCTTCCTTGTTCAACAATAGTGTTGCCTCCAAGAGCTATGATGTAGTCTGCCAAGGGTAGATGGTTGACACTATGCGTGCAGAGCACAACAGTTGTTCGTCGTTGCCTGAGTATGCCGTCGGGACCGAAAACACGACTGAAGACTTTCTCTTCAGTATCAGCATCCAGACCACTGAAAACATCATCAAGAACAAGCAGATCTGTCTGCAGGTAGAGTGCTCGCGCAAGTGAAACACGTTGTTTCTGCCCACCTGACAACGTTATACCGTCAGATCCGATATTCGTCATATCGCCTTGGGGAAGCGTGTCCAGATCGAAGGACAAAGCTGTAGCCTCGATCACCTCAGCGTAGCGTTGAGCGTTGTAAGGAGAAAATCCAATGATGTTATCTCTGAGTGATCCGTTGGACAGGAATGCTGTTTGTTCGCAGACACCCACGCGTGGAACACTGGTCTTTAGTGTCACCTCGCCCTCATAGAACGGAATCTCCCCCAGAAGTGCTTTGCANAAGGTTGACTTCCCTGAGCCAACAGGCCCTACCACAATCGTAAGGCCGTTCCGCTTGATCTGCGTGTTGATGTTGTGCAGAACGTAGTTGTCTGCTTCCCATCCGAACTTGGTGTCCCTGATCATGATTACACACTCTGAGTCTCGAGGTCCGGAGGGAATTTTGGAAACATCTGAAAACCTGTCCAGGCTCCTAGATCTTCTGTCAATCATTTGGCGGAAGTCCTCGCGAGTCTCGCATTCTAAATAGCCTTGTACACGGCTCAGGCAAGCCAGTCCGGATAGAACTTGCGGAACTGCTTGGAAGATCTGAGTCAGTGGATTCGTCAACAGCGTCAAGTATGAGAGACTGGTAAAGGTTTTGGAGACGTTCAGTGTTCTCTGTGCAAAAGCAAAAGTCAAAGGTGGACCAAGCAAGAACGGCAAGAAGCCGAGAAATGCGGCGATGATGGACAACTTTCGGAAGCGAGCACCGGAAGCAAGTTCTTCAACCCGAAGCTTCTGTATGAACTGTTCAACGGCTTGTGAAAGTCCAGAGAGCTTCAGACTCTTCATGCTACCAACGACGGTAGCAGTCAAGCCCACTCGCTTCTGAACTCCAGTCATCCATGCTCGTTGAGAATCTCCAGCGAACTTCATGAAAATGACAAGGACGATGAAAGAAGCAAGCACGACTCCAATCGGCGCTACGAAGACTATGCCCAATTGGTTGTACAACAGCCAGCTAGCGAGGGCGGCTTGTATGACACTGGCCCAGACTTCATGTAGAGATCTAAATCCTATGTCAATGCGCTCCATGTCGGTACTCATCAGAGTCACTGCGGCATTCTCATCGGAGACATCAATGCGAGCCTGTGTCGTTCTGAGAAAGATCTCGGTGACGAGTACAGATCTGGCCATCGTGCGAACTCGGTGGTAACAGTANCCTATGTCCATCTATCAGTCGGGGTCTAGCTATGTATATGGGGCTCACTACCAATATAGAGCCGAGGAAATGGCAATTCCAGAGTAAATCAAGACACTAGCTCCGATCAGACCGTATCCAACATTCGCGTCGAGTTCGGAACTCGAGAGATAGTCCAACATCTTCTCGATGAACAGAGGCTGGCAGAATGTGAATGCAAGCAGGGCCAGGCGTGGAATGACCGGTAGGAGTAAAGGGCCTGAAAGGGTACGTATCAGTGTCTTGACAAGACCATACTTGTCACCCTTCATCTTGGCATAATCCAAGTGTGTCGCGAAGCTGCTGTGCAGAGTTCTTGCATCCAAAGCGCTATCGAGCGGGTAGAGATCGTTTGTGCTCAAAACTCCTTTGTAACCATCCAAGAACATCTTGTTGAGCCAGGCGAAAACACCAAGGGAGAAAATGCCGCTTGTCTCCTCGGGACTATGATCTTTGTTGTCCCATGACAGCCATTGAGACTTCTTCTTGGCCTCCAACAGGAGGATGAGTGGTTTCACGGACAGCGCCGCGCAAAACACACTGCTGTAGGTCCATTCGGGAGAGTCTTTGGATGACAGGAAGAAAGTTCTTGCTTGTGCAGCATCTGGTAGCAGGGTCAAAGACAGGTAGAGCCCGAGGAGAACAGATGGTCGCGGACTTTTGTTGTGATCGACAAGACTGAGAGCTATCATAGTCAACGCGGACAGAAGCTTTAGAACCGATGCAGCCAGAAATGTACTCGAGGCTTGGAACCTGGACAATGATGCGAGGACCAGTAGTGTCAGCTCAAGACCCAGATAAGCAATGATGGCAGCNCTGCAACAAGTCCGTTAGTAGCGCGAAATACATAGACGAACACGGTTCAATGATCATTGACGTACCAGTTTGATCGATTGGAAGATCGGTGCCTTCACTAACGTAGGCTTTCGAACTTGAGCGACAGTACGCCATGATGAGGCGACAATGAAGAGCACAGATGGCACGATTGAGAGAAAAAGCTGTTCGAATTGGATGTTGAAATCGAACTCAATGTGGTTGAAGTTGAAGAGGTCGTGCTGACTCGTGTCGAACGGCATGTTTGTTTGTCGGCTGTCGGGAAGGTGCTGACGACGTCCAACAGCTCAACAGTGCAGTATTTGAAGTCCTACAAGAACGATGGAAGGTGCGACAGGGCACTCTTTGCTCATCTCACAATGCGAAAACTACTATGGAATGTCAGTCTTCGGGTCATTACGGCGCAGAAAGATAAGAAATACGGTTGCCTAGATATTAGACCCCCGCTTCGAAGGATGAGGCTAACCAAAGACAACCTCGTTGCTGGTATAGCGATGATACACGACAATATAATTTCGAAGAGACAACAACTGAAAAGGGTATCTTGTACAAAGTTCAAACAAAATGTTCCTGCGTCTCGAGGTGGCACGGCACACCACCATGCGCCGATGCCCAGCCAAGGACCAGGGTTGCCTTGTCGGCTTGTGCCTCGGTTAATATCCGTCATCTTCATCCTCGTCCTCGAACTCTTCCGTCCCAATATAGCTTCTGTCAATCGCGAAAATCCATTCGCCTTTATCCCTTTCCGTCCTCGCCGCAAATACCCAAGCCTTAGTACTGCCGTATACCGCAAAAACATTTTCAGGTGCTGCGACAGCAGGAACGCCATGTCTGCCCACTGCCGTCGGGGTGCCGCCTTCACGTCGAAGCAATTTTGCAATTTGTGGCGCCGCATCGACGCGTGAAGAATTGAGATTAATAGCACCGATCTCTTCGTGTTCAGTTGCGGTCGCTGAGTGAATGTGCATGTATGGTTGACGGAGCTCGACGTAGCGTCGGACCCAGCGTGAGGGTTCACGAGCTGCTGGGTCAGGTGTGAGGAGATATCCAGCCTTGAGCAGAGATGGGTTCTTAGGTATGAAGTGGACAGTCGCTAGTGACAGAGGTATGCCTGTTCCGTTGGTAGAAGACGCAAAAGCCGCGCCTTTGCGAGGCGAGTCTGTGTTTTTCTCTGTGAGGATTCGTTTCCCAATAGCCGGATCGGCTTTCCAGAGTGTGAGTATCTTTCGCAATAGCTCATTCTGTCGATCGCCTGGTACTTCATCGGTCGTCGATGACGGCAACGTATCTAACGACAAGCTGTGTGAGCTAAGTATACTTCTAGCAGCATCGATCTCGGCCATTTTGCGCTTGCTCGATCGACTGTCAATGAAGTCGTGAACTAACGAGACACCGCGAGGTGACCAGCCTTGGAGCATCTCTTCACCTTTGACGTATGTGTTCGAGGTGCTAAGTCGCCATAGGTCACCAGCCCTTTTGGAGGGTATTGGTTTGACGGTAACAGAGAAGGTCCCACTCGTTGAGCGGACAATACGTGAAGAACTGAAGAGCGACGAGAACAGCGAAGTCTGACGCATGAAAGATCGCCCTCTCATTTGTACCGCGAGGTCTGTTACGAACTCTATCGGCTCGGCCAACTTGGGTGAGGCCATGACCCATGCAAATGACAGCTTCACGCAGTATCCTTCTGCCGTGGGTCTATCTAGCAGCAGGGATTCGTGTGAACTAGAGTCCCAGTGTGTAGTGATGTGGATGCTGGTTGTGCCATCGGGGTTAGTGCGGACGATCGGAGGTGATACAGGCGTTAAGATCACATCGTTCTGTTGAGCGCTCAGATCGGGCACCTTGCCAGACGGATCTACCAGATGAACATTGCCAACTCGTAGCGATGTGACGTCCTGGAGTGGCAGAATGTTGCCTGAAGTGTGCGTCAGATCGAGTGTGATGCGACGTTGAAGACCTTGATGAAGCTGGTAAGTGCCCGGATCCATGATGTTCTTCTGCACAACCTCGACAGGCTTATAAGATCCATCTTCTCCAATTTCGAGAACTTGAATTCGGGCGAATACGTCATGTCCTTCTTCATTGTAGTATTCGTGCTCCGCTATCCGAGAATTGTTGCGCTTCAGTTGGGGCCTGGCTGCCGAATCACGCATATCGTCCCAACTGAGTAGCTTGTCCAGGTGCGTACCTGAAACTCTGGCGAATACAGATACTCGTAAACACGAGTCACGCGGACTGGCAAGCGGCAAGCTCATGCTGTGCACACTATCGAACCGAATTGGTCCTTCGTCAAAATCTGACACCATCTGCGTGGTGGATGCGCCATCTTCCTCAGAAATGCCTGGGAANAAGAGCTGTGCATGAACCTCGGTGCCTTCCTGCTCTGAGAATCCCACAAAGTCATGCATAACCACATTAAACTTGAGCGTGGACGAGGGTGCCTCTGCTGAGGAAGGCTCTAGAGATAGTCGGACAATGCCAACCATCGTGTTAGTATATGGTGAGTAGACGTCGAGTGTAAAATCTTGCACTCGACACTCGAACACAGCAGCCAAAGAGATGTCGGCGTCTCCGATTCGAGTATATTGCGGTAGGCATGACTCGGAGAATGGATTGTCTAGACGGAAATGCTTGATGTACTCCGGCCTATCCATGTATTGGAACACCTGGCGCATCAGGCGCACACGAGCACGCAGCTTCTGTAAGGACCATAGATGAACGACATTATGCTTGAAGTCGATCACTCTGACGGCCGTGCAGGGCTTGCGTGATGTGTGCAAGACCATATCATCATCTGCGCTTATGTCGCTCAAGACAAGGTCGTATGACGATCCATACGTATGTCCTGCGTCAGCAACGGTGAATTGAAAGACAACATTCTTGTCCATCTGCTGGCTCATCACTTGTGCTTCTTTCAGAATTGCTGCATTCTGAAGGAGAGCAGCAGCCATAGCGACGTATCTTTGCTGACGCCAGTGCTGTGTACACGACTTGACAAGCTGAAGCTGCTTCTCTGTGAGACCAGTCTTACGATCTACAGGCTGCGCAGTAGTATCTCGAAGCTCCTTCAATTGACGATCGTATTCGTCCTTCTGTGCTTGAAGTCGCTTCTCCATGTCCTCTTTCACGGCCTTGAGATTCTCTTCCATTTTAACCTTTTCGGCACGTATCGTCTCAACCTCGACATTCATCTCCTGAGCGGACTGTATTTGAGCTCGATATTCTTCTTTNTGTCGCTCAAGTTCCGTCTGCAAACCTTCTTTGGCTGCACGCAATGTTTCATCCTCGTCATCGTCCTGCGGAGTTGATGGCATTGTGAGAGCAGTGTCCAAAGAGAAGTTCTCGAGCGTCCCGTTCGACAAATACTTTTCTCGGACGGGGAACGAGCTGACCGAGTCAGAGTCGTCCTCATTCAAGTCGAATAGCCGGCTTTCCGGTCTGCCCCTTCTGACAGCCCTTACTTTCTGTAGATCGTCAAAGAGATTGTCCAACTCGTCGTCTGTGAGGGCGGAGATCTTCTGATCTGACCCGAGCATTGAAGATACGGCTTCTCTTCGGGCGAGGTCATAGTCGTTCTCACGCCCACTCAGACTACGCATAGGCATTGGTGAGTTGGCCTTGGAGTCCGTGTCATAGTCCGGATTCAATCTGCTAACATTACTCCACGAGCGATCGTGGCCATGGTTGACAGATGGTGATGGTGATGAGGGATCGCCAATCTCGTCTGCTGTGATCGAGTGCTTTAGTCGACTTCCTTCTTCGGCTCGTTCTGCTCTTGCTTCCTGTGGATGGTTGAAACGGAAGATATGGAAGTCGCCCAGTATGATACGGTAACCACTGCGCAGTCTCTTAGGCTGATCGACGCGCTGACCGTTGACCATGACAGCTGCATTATCCCTAGGAACTACGGTAACAACATCGTCTTCGTTCTCGAATGTGCAGTGCTCGTGCAAGATCTTGGACCCATTCAGTCTTATCTCTGCTGTCTTGGCTGTCTCGACATTGCCGACCGTAGTTGTGCCAGGTTTGATATTATAGACCAGGCACTCTGCGAGCAGTGGATCATCACTCAAGTTGACAAGATGAGGCATTTTCTTTGGTGTTGACAAGCCAACGAAACCTTTCTCAATGCTGATGCCGAGTTCTTCCAAGGCAGCTTCTCGCTCCTTATGGATAAGCTCCGTCTTCTGTAGCTTCTGCTCCCATGTCTGATTCAGGTCTTGGTATAGCTTCTCGGACTGATCCAACTGCTCTACAATCTCAGCCTTCGATACTTGTTTGACAGTGCCGTCAGCTTGTGTGATGGAAACCATTTGCTTTTCGAGAGGCGTGTCCGGCGGGTATTGTTCACTGGCGATGGCGCCGGCCTCGCCGGCTCCTCCACCCGTTGTAAGTTTTGAGCGAAGCTGGGCAAGTTCTTCCTTCAATTCTCTGATCATACGAGCATTGGCGTCTTCGTTGACGACGGCGTGGTTCTTGATGCGCTTGGCAGAGTCTGCATAACGGAGAGTTGACAGGGTTTCCTCGAAGTTGATGTCGGCAGGTGATATAGCAGCAATCATAGCCGTCATACTGTTACCACCGAGAGAATCTTTGAGAAGCCATGTAAGGACCGAGTCACGATAAGGGACCATGGAAGCGTTCTTCTTCTTTACGCCAGGTTTCGCGCTTGAGAGGTCGGCCAAAGCAGCGATGACACGACCAAGGGTGGAAAGAGATCGGTTAATCTCGGCGCCCTCCTTGAGACGTGCACCAGTTGCACCTGTAGACTGAGCTCTTTCAGAACCAGCCAAATCGACCAGCGAGATTTTGGCGGCCTTTTCTGTGTCCATTCCAGTGTCTGCATCATGACGTTTCTGACTCAAAGTCAGGGTGAAGACAGCATGGGATCTACTACTGGTTTCGTTCATGTTGGTGGCTGCGACGGTACGGGCCTTGTTACCCTCGTCCATGAGATGCTCGATCTCGGCGAAGGAGCGAACGACAAGTTTGGCGAGGTCTTCGACATAGGGACCGGTCGAGGGATGTTCGCGGACTTTAAGATTGCCTTTGGTCGAGGGATTCAACAAGTCTCTGACTCGCTCATTGTAGATTTCGAGGTACGAAACCTCGACGGTGCAGTTGAGGTTGTTGTCTTTCTGAGCCTCCTCAATGCGCTCGAACATGGCTCTGCAAATCTTGGGAATAACGCCTTCTTCTGGACCATAACCCATCATGGAGTAGGACTTTCCGGAACCAGTTTGACCATATGCGAAGATACAGTTGTTGTAGCCTCCGAAGGCATTGTCCAGCAAGGGCTTTCCGAGGTCGTCAAAGAGGTTATCCTGACCGGCATAGCTGGCATCTTTCTTGTTGAAGGACCAGTAACTCTTGTCGAAAGCGAACGTCTTGGAACCCTCGATGGCGGCCTTTGCATTCTTGTTACGGGGGTCGATGTTTGTTGGCGGAGAGAGCACGGTTTGCTCGCCTTTCATCTGCACAATACATTGTGCCTTGCGATCGATTTCNTGAAGGTTACAAAATCAGTCTTGTATGCATGCATGTCGAGGGCGCATAGGGGAAGTACCTCTGCTGTTGAAAGGCCGCACTCTCACAACGACCTTGATGTTGCCTCCACCGCCCAACGCCATCTTGGCGGTATTAAAGATAGCCTATATCGTGCGGTGATTATGTCCAGGAGAGTGATTGGAAGCGCCAGGATATAGACGGCATGGCGGAATTGTTGATGGTTGGCGCAGGTGATTTGATTACACACGACCCGGAACACACAACGAACCCCACACTCTACACCATGCCGTCACTCAGCCACACGCAGCCCCAGCCACTCCTCAAGCCACACACTGAGGCTGGTGAGCAAACCCTTTAAACATTTCCATCTGCTACACGCATGCAGCAGATCTATGTGATACTGCTCGACATATATTCAACTCTCTACCAAAACACTTTCAATGGCAGAGGACATGTTCAGACCTCCAGTCAATCGCGCCATGCGCGTCCTGGATCGCTCCTTCTTCCAGAAGAAAATCCCTGCCTCGGCTGCTCGTGTCGTCGACAACAAAACCATCTCCAAATGCAGGTCTGAACTGTTTCGCTCAAACGATGTTTTGCGTCTCGAAAGATATCAAATCGTCCGGCCTGATCCTAATGAGGCCGACGCCAAGGCTGGAAAGAAGTGCATCCTGCTGAGGCCGCAAGTCGACGAGAAGGGTAAGACATCAAAATATTCCATCGCTATCACTCCGTCGTCTAACGAGTTCACAGGTGCTGACTACCCATGGAGTAAAACTGTATCAGAACTGGAGAAGTCTAACATGATCAACATCATTCCTTATGAGGTCCATCTCGATTATGACTACTGGGATTATCGTACGTCTAGAGTAAACATCTAGCCCTACATTTACTAAAAATCAACAGAGGAAATTGCCAGCGCTGTGCTCCCTCAAAGTCAAGAGCATGATGAGATCCCCTCTGGCTTCACTCTGGTCGGTCACGTTGCACATCTGAACCTCCGTGATCAATATATGCCTTACAAGAATATCATTGGCGAGATTCTGGTCGACAAGAATCCTGCTGTCAGAACTGTCATCAACAAAATCGATGATGTTGGTGAAGAGAGCGAGTATCGCACCTTCAAGTATGAAGTCCTTGCTGGACCAGATGACATGGATGTCGAGATTCGCGAAGCCGACTGCACGTTCAGGTTCAACTATGCGAAGGTCTACTGGAACAGCAGATTGAACACGGAGCACCAAAGACTTGTCGATGCTTTCGGCCAGGGTGAAGCTGTCTGCGACGTTATGGCTGGTATTGGACCATTCGCAGTGCCCGCAGGCAAGAAGGGCGTATTTGTCTGGGCAAATGACCTCAACCCAGACAGCCACGCCAGTATGCTTGATGCCATCACTCGCAACAAAGTCGATCAGTACGTCAAGCCATTCAACCAGGATGGACACGTCTTCATCAAGGAAGCTGCCCGTAAGCTTTTGGAAACCAAGCATGAAGTGCAGGTTCTTGCAAAGCAAACGCGTACTGAGGCCAAGACAAGCAAGGCCCCACCCAAGGTCTTGCAGACCATCAAACAACCCAACACTTTCTCCCACTACGTCATGAACTTGCCAGCGACCGCCATCGAATTCCTGCCAGCGTTCATTGGCTTGTACACCGAGGAAGACAGAAAGCTACTTCCTGCTGATTTCAAGCTACCTATGATTCACGTCTACTGCTTCGATACCAAGAGCGATGACAATGTCCAAGAAGGCATCAACATCTGCAAGAAGATAACCGAACAAATCGGCTACGAAGTCACACCTCAGACACCCGAGCTCAGCATCTTCGATGTTAGAGATGTCGCACCCAAGAAGAGAATGTTCTGTGCTTCCTTCCGACTTCCAGAAGAGGTCGCATTTGCATCTCGAAAGTCTTTGCCTACAAGGTAGAAGCAATGACTCCTTGACTGCGGCCACGATTCCATTACACAAACTATATACCAAATGTTCAAAAGCTTTCAACAATCATGTTTCGCTAGAGACGCCAGAACTTCGAAATCGAATCACCAGAAGCCAAATACCTGTCTGTCGTGTATGCGTGCGAATCGACGAAACCAAAAACATAATCGGATTTCGACGTCCACTGTCCTCAACTCCTCACACGCTGCTCACCAGTAGGTTCGTCTTCCGGATCTTCGAAAGGCGACCTCACTCGCATCTGATCATCCGTTGACAATCTTCGACTGATAACATACTCCGCAGGCCCTGTGCTTCGCCGAGCAGGTCGTGCCTCGTAAACGCTAGCATTACTTGAATACAATGTACTAGCAAATGACCTTTGAGAGGGTGATCTAGCAACAGCAATCGCGTTGGCGTCCGAGAAAGGTGAAGTGAGGTGAGCCACAGGGGATACTGGTGATATCGGCGAAACTGGTGACGTTATTGCCAGAGCTGCGCTCTGTGTGGCTATACTTGGTTGTCGTCTCTCAGATGATGTATGGCTCAACATACTTCGTGCTCGATAAGGTGGTGGTGGGTCTTCGTTTGTGGCAGCTGAGTGCACCGAAAATGTGTCCAGGCCAGTGAAGTAAGTCGCATTATGAGACGAGGTGATGACGAGTTGAGGAAGTTGAGGGGTTGCCATCGCTTCATCAATGGGCGACAACATATGGACATCCGTACTGAATTTCTTCCCCGCTACCTTCTCTGCCATAGCCACGGGTCCTACAGCGTCGGACACAGCAGCGTTGTCAGCGCTGGAGGCAGCAACACGCCTTCGTCGCCTACGCAGGCAAGTCAAGGCTACCAGGCCACTCGCCAGCAAGATCACTATCGGAATGACGACACCAGCGATTATGGTCGTGTTTGGACCATGGTGAGCTTTCTCCTGAATGCCGAATCCAGGTGCCAGGCTTGCAGCGCCGGTCTCAGAGGATGTTGCAGTGTTAATGTACGACGGTGCGTTCGAAGGGAAGTTAGGTCGCCATGCTGGTTGCGTCCATGACATGCTGGTCGTGCTTGGCGTTGGGATAGTTTGCATTGTGGTTTGGAATGTGGAAAACCCATCGCTCGTCAGTGATGAAGCAGTGTTGTCAGCAGCACCTGCCGTCGCCGTTGTTGCCGTAACGCCATTCTCCAAGGTCGCTGTTGTGGCACCAAGAGCAAGATCAGTGGCCGTCGAAAAGACAGATCCCGTGTTGTCATCGTCCTCGTTGCTACCAAATTGCTGGTCATCGCCATCTTGATCATCATCCCCAATTTGTGCAGAAGCTGTCTGCGAAGCTCGTTGAGCTGAATACAACGATGCATAATAGGAGCTACGTGCGACCCAAGGAGGTTCTTGACGAGCTACAACCATCTTGACAACGATCAAACTCCAACAAACAATATTTTTCGAGGAGCTGAAAGAAGCAAATCGATTTCCACGGGCGTCGAAGAAGAAAAGAGGGTTTCGCTGAGAAGATGAGACATCAGCCGTCTTACTGATCTTACCTCCAGCTCCGCGATGTATCGAGGTACTCTCCTCACTCATGCGGCTAAGTGTATGCGGAGGAGCAAGTGGGGTTCCGATCTACCGCCGCGAAGACTCTGCCGATCTTTCTTGTCTTCCATCACATTCAACTCGAAACTCTGTCCAAAGACTGTTTCGTCGGTCGCATCTGCCTGCCATTCATCCTGTCAACCAGCAAAGTTGCATGCAAGCCGTCGACTCTCATCTCGGTCCGAGACGTCTACTCATTGGGAACCTCGACTCTCCACTTACAATACAGCCGGAACCTCACAATGACCGACCTGCAAGCCTGACTTTTGTACTCATATAACCAGGTGGGGCTTCATCACTCGACAGGCTATGTTCCTTGCTCGATGACCGCTTCCTCTTTATTTATGTTGCGGTGCAGCAAGGCCAACCCGACTAAGCTTGGCCAGCCTTGTACCAAGAAAGCAACAAAGGTCGGCGTTTGTTTAACCCGACACTGCGCCTCGTTTGTACTGCTACTTGAATCTCTCTGGCAATGTTGACGATAAGCTGTGTTTCTCTTTCGACATATGGTTTTGAGTTCTGGGAGCATGTGTTACATGAGCTCTGCAGGCATAAACCTGTACAGCCGTGACGTTGTCACACGTGTTGACAGCTTCTCTGCGTGCTCAACACGTTTCCGATCGATCTGTTCCTATGGCAGTACATCTTCAGAGTCACCTCTGTCCGGGAAATACGAATAAGATATCGTTCACCGGAATCAGTCATTCTGCCCATATTTGGTATCTTGAGCTGCACCATCGGCACACCTCAGCATCCAGGTGGAGCTCCATATTTCGACAAAGCTTTTCTCTTGCTACACCTTTGATGAGCGACTTACAAAAATTAAATGTCTAGAAGATGTATAGCACATTCGAGAGAACTCAGTCATGGCAACGCGCCGTCTGATAATTGTTAAACAGCTTCATGTCGCTTGACCAACCGGTGTTGAGCATTTACGCTCTTCTATGGCCAGCAGAACTCCACCACTAACCCTGCGAATCAATCTTCCTGCCCATCTCCTGCATAGCCTCGACTTCTTCTTCCTTAACATCGCCATCCCCAATCGTAGACACCAAATCCATACCCCTCTGAAGCAATTGTCTTGCTTCCCCACCTTTGCCTTGTCCAACCAAACTATCCATCAATTTCCGCATACAACCCAGATACTGCGGACTANNGTTGCACCCAACTCTTTTTGGAAGCAAAGGCAGCACTTGCATTGACATCTTCTGTACTTCGGCGTATTTACGCTGGTGGTTGAGCACGTCGATTAGATTTGAGGTGGCGGCAAGGTCCGGTTGAGAAGATGGAGATGTAGTGAGGAGCTTGCGATATGATTTTTCGGCGGCGGCGTATTGGTTTGTTTCGGTTTGGAGTATGGCTAGTGGGAAGAGAGTGGAGACTGGTGAGTTGCTTGTGGTTTGACCGCGGAATGGTGGATGCCCAGAGGGCTGCTTGCTTTGGTCTTCCTGGGCGGCCGTGTCTGTGAGAAAGCGTTCTAGCCGTGCATATCTGGTTGCCAGGCTTTCGGATTCCGTGGACAAGGTTAGTTTCTCTTCTAAAACGTTTGCCGGAATTGCTTGTTCGACGGCATTGCGCAAGTCGCTAGGCATTGATTCCCAGAACGCAGACTGAGTATTGTCGGCCATTGTGAAGATAGCGAGATGATGATGATGATTATGGTGATACTGGAGTCCAGCTGAGTAGGTATGGAAATGGTCGCCTTTTGGTTCTTAACAAGCAGAGATTTTATGCTGCTGCCTGGTGACCTCAGGGGTAAAGTATACATGTATCTTTTTGCAACTGGTTTGCTTAAGAATTATAATGCTACATTGTACTGTTAAAGCGGAATCTCTACGAAGGAATCAATGCATTATTGCTGCAATGGAGCTTGGATGTTCAGATGTGTAAACTCCGGCTAGGTTGTTTCCTAGCAGGTCGGGGTTGCAATATCAACGCAAGATACTGACGTTCGAACGTCATTGCATCGATGAAAAGATACTCGATACTCTCAATCGCGACAAAAATGGGTTTCATTGGCAAAGCAATGCTGGATGTACCACAAAATACCTTGCAGAATAGATCGCGTTCATGTTATGATGCTTCCTTCCTTTTTCATCCCTTTGTCATTCCGCTTCTGTAGCTGGAGCACCCAAAGGTAATATACAAGATACCTCCAACACACTTCAGCAGCGACCATGATCGCATCGTTTGCAAAGCACGATGCGTCACTTTGTCAGTACCGGGACGCGGTTGCCTTTCTCACGATGGTTACAACAGTGAAGGTAAGAGATGAAACTGGCAAGAACTGGTCAATCGTTCTCTCACTTCAGGCCTCTTCTGCACAAAATTCAACATGTGACTGATCATGCTCAGGCATGAAAACGACACTCACATGCCAGAGCAATTTGAGACCTATTTAAAGACTCATTGTATACGTCAGTGGATGCTCAGAACTTCACTCGACAGTCTTTACAGCTTGCCTGTCCAGTGGCTTCAGATCTTCGAGAAGAGGAGCCCCGTGGATGGGACGAGTCGGAGGGTGGAGAGGCTTCATCGACGCAGTCTCTGCACCTTACCCCTGAACGTAAAGGCGACACTCAGGTTAGTAGTGTCTTCGTTACTCCCTGCTATCCCGGTGACCCTACTTCCAGATGACAATCTTGATGATGTTCAGCTTGGGAAACAAGAATGATCTCCAGGCGGGAGAGTCCTAGAAGTGCACCTTCTAGCTGTACCCCTTACTCATTGCTCCGTGACTCTTATTCACAGGGCACAAGTCTACTTCAGTGTGAGATGATGGTATCGTTGGTTGATTATTGATGTGTATGTAGCCAGGTCTTCCTGTCTCTCATCGTTCTCTGCATTCCCAATTCATGTCGTCAAGAGACGTCCTGCCCCAGCGACACGGTGGTGCTTCACTCGCAAGACATCACCGCATCAGGGAAATGGCGCGTAAGTCGAGTGGCCTTTAAACAAAGCCATAGGTCGAAAGGTACTGCTTGGTTTGGAGACGCTCACAGTGCACACCGTTGATGTTAGACGAGAGGCCAACGAGGTGGACTTCGAGAGTTGGAGTTTAGCAGTGTCGGCTTCCACCATGGTCATCATGGCATCCACAAGCGCAGCGGTGCGCTCGACCTGGCGAGCTAGACGCTGCTCAACAAAACCACCGTTGGTGACGTGAGTCTGCCAGGCAAGGCGTTCGTCCATGAGACGCATGTACAGGTTGTCGTGGTAGTGCTTTCAATGTCTTGAAAGTGCGAGGCGATGCTGCATCTTACCACGCTCGCGCTTGAGTTTCCTATACAGAAGATCACATGTGACTGAACGTACTCAGGCATACAAACGGCACTCACTTGCCAGTGCCGTTTAAGACCTAATCGACGTTTCTATAAGACCCTAGTCCGAGGATGGCCGACCTATCCATATCGATCCCAACTGGGATCTCATCAGAGTCTCAGTCGCCAAAAGATCAAACAATTTCTTTCCCATCGACTGGGTCATCGTGGATGAAGAGATCTGTCCAGAAGCACCAGGATCTTGCTATAGGAGACCCGCAGGTTAGTGTCATCTTCAGTACTCCCCGTCGTCCCCGGAGATCATACTTTCAGATAAGAACCTTGATGATATTCAACACGAGAAGCGACAACGATCACTGGGAAGGAGAGTCCTAGAAGTGACCCTGCTAGCTATACCCCTTTTCCCATATGATCTAACAAGGGGTTCACGGCCCCAGTATATAAGAGAACGCGGGCCATACGTGGTCATCCCACATATCCACACCTCTCTCGTGATCTTATTCAACATCAAGCTCACATGTGTCTCGAGGCAGAAGCAAACAGAGTCGAGATATACTTGTTGGACCTGATTGCTTTCCCTGTCTTGCCTTCCATTGCTGAGTCAACCGCCGAATCTTTTCCAGATAATCGGCCAGGTGGTATCTCTGAGGCTGTCATCACCAGCTCAAGCGCAACTGTATGATATGCAGCCATCCAATGGTTGAGTTCCGTAAGTGTGAGGTGTTTATGGATCAAGAGTCGCAGCTGGAGGTCCAGCCGACATTTCGAAGAGAAGTGCTTAGTGAACATGGATATCGCTTTTATAGTGCAATCTCGATGGGTCAGTAGTTTAGTAGATGGCGAGTTGAGTGTTTGCGCATCGATGCGAATGACTCGAAGCTCTTTGATCTGTGGTCGAGGCAGTCCGCGCAAGTGACGGTTGACGACGACTATGCGAGCTCTACGTTCTTCGTGGTTTCCGTGAATAGGGACTTAGGCGTGCTACTCGCTGTGGTCTGTCGGATTTGAGGTTTGGGAAGGGTTTTCAAAGGGGCCTCTGGCTTCAAAAGGAGTTCTTACAAGACGCCGTTAACAGTTGGTGCAATGTGATGCCCGCTGGTCCAGAGAAGGCAAGGGAAATTGGTCCCACCGAATGACAAAGGACTGAGCAATGGAATGTCCATCAAAGTAGATTATTAGAAATTCGAGATTGTTCATTGTCATTCATTCTTGGAATGTTGTCAACATTCCCATTACATCCCAAACTTTCACACAACCTCTGGATCCTCAATGACAGGCGCGACCAAAATTTTACCAAACCTCTTCTTCTCTACTTTCGTCATTCCCGATACTTCCCCATCACTCTCCTCATCTCCCTCTTCCAAATCTTCTAATCCGCTATCTCTACTCGAGACATCAGAAAGCACCAAACTTGGCACCTCGCTACCACGTCTAGGCATCAGAAGCGATTCCGGAGACTCATAGTGTCTTTTGTGGATTCTCTGTTTTCGAATACAAAGCGTTTTACTTCTGCATCGGTAACAGAAAGTCGACCAGTAAGTGGTGGGCGTGTATTTTTGCACGTTTGTTTTGGTTTGCTGGTGTTGACGAGGCAGATGCAGAAGTGGTGCAGTGGTGGTTAGTCGTAACCCGTCTTTCGTAAGCAGAATCCCAAGCTGCAGTCCAGGTATCAAAGGAATGGTCGGGGATTAGTCCTGCCTCCACACAAGCTAGAGGTTTAGTCGCATCTGCCGTGATGGGAGAGATAGGCGCTAGAGAATCTTGTCGAGAGCGTGGTGATGAAACTCTGCTTCGGGTTTCCGAAATACGAGTTTGCGGCTTCTTGGGCGGTATCGGCTTGGTGCGATGCAACAGGTGTAAAGCTCTTCATGGCATCTCGTGCAGCATGTCGGGGCTTGTAAGCTCGAGATGCAGGAGCCAAAGATGGTGAACTGGGACGTTCCTTCTGTAAAGCTGTGGGTGTGTGCCAGCCGTGAACCAGATCCCGTGAGATTGTTTTGATGAGACCGAGACCAGGTGTCGAGTGCAGAGATACTGATGAGCGACGATGACGCGATGTCGTTGAGCTTCTACGCAAATCTTGTGATGGGTTGTATATCGAAGTCGACATGGTGTGTGAGGAGGATATCAAATGGCTGGGAACGCCAATAAAGTGATTATGATATTACAATATCAGAAACGACGAAACAGAGATGGAAGCTGTTGTTCAAGGTATGCTCAATGGAGAAACCGATGCTGTTGTGAATGGAAAGAACAATCAATTGGCGTCTACCTCGACTGATATATATCTCCCTTCCAACAACCAAAGTCGGCAGAAAAACACTTCTACACAGTCGGACCACATGCCCAAAAGCCAAACCACAAAGACTTCTACACAGCCTAACGAACAAACGAGGCAAGATCGACAAACAGTGTGGACCACACATCACGCTGTTACATGTGAATATGACGAGCCCAGCATCCCTTCGCCATTCTCAAGTCACGTTCGCCCAAATGCAAGTGTCGGTAGTACCATGATAGAAGTTGTAAGCGAAATGTCTTGCTCGGCCAGCATGCCTTGATCTTGTCCATACGTGCGGAATAGTGGATCGAGTCTTCTCGCAAGGACGACTATTGGTCGGATGGAGCGAAGAAACCCTCTCGGTCCAGCTGGGGAGACCAACAGAAAGATCCAACCAAGAGAGAAGTGCTTTGACCAGACCCCACAGAGCCTCAAATGGCCCATGAAGTGTCGATAAACATAAAGTCAGAAGTTTACAGCGTCGGAACGAACTCAACCACAGCCAATCCTACCAATCACGGACATTTACTAGGAAAACAAACTTCGATCGGAACAATGGCAACTTTTGACAGGTAGCTTATGTAGAAAGTCTATATTCTAAAACAGAATTCGAATGTGGCTAGCTCCATGCTAGTAAAGGCATGACTCAAATGGGGATTGTTGACAACAAAACCGTAACCATCCATCTGACACAAATTTCTCGAACTGTACAAGGTTTTCGAGGATGTGGAAGGCTCGAGGCTCAAGGCAACGGCCCACCCCTTTGTCATAGCTTTTTCCCCACGATGGAGGCGCAAGCAAACCATCATAGTGTCGAAACTCTACTCCTCATCCGAATCCTCTTGGTCAAGACTGAGCCAAGCAGTTCTGCAGCGAACGGCTTCGCTACGCACTGCTCTCTTTCCATCATCGAGACAGCCCATCAACCGCTTAACAACCTGTCTTCTGTACGGAACCACCGCCTCCCGCTTAAACTGAGTTGGGAGGTGTGTGAGGCAGCGCAAAGCAGCTTTGCGAACCTGCGGTGTGTTGCCTGGAGCTGCGGTACATGCAAGTAGGCGTGAAATCAACGACGAGGAGTGCTCGAAAAGTGCTGAAGCATTCTGCGTGATGATGGTTTCCAAGGAGGCTAGTGTTGCGGATTTGACATCTTGATGGGCCTGATCTTGCAAATCGAGAGATTGTAGCAGAAGCAACACGAGTGTTGACAAAGAGTTCTCAATAATCGTGTAGGGCAACCATCTGAGTATTCCAGATAGTGCGACAAGGTAGTTTGGTTTTACGGCCGAGTCAGCAGATCTGCTGGCAGTCGATATGGCTGGTACTGTCTGATTAAACGTTTTTTGTTTGTAGAGGCCAGAAACGTAGCAGTGGTTCTCCTTGGACAAGATGTCGTCAGGTGCGAGAATCGTAACGAAGCCACGGGCTGCCACGCTTCCGAATGTGGTATCCGACAACAGTTCCAACAAGCTTTGTAGATAGGCTGCAGTGTATTTGTTACTCTTGCCCTGGATCAACAACCCTTTCAGGATGGAGAAGGCGAGGATTATAGATTCAGAAGAGCGATTCTGACCAAGCAGAGATGCTACGTCCGTAGAAGTGCCGATCAAAGACTGCTCTAGATCTGTTGGAGGTATGAACTTGTTAACCACCAAAGCAGTCTGTCGAAGTGCCGAAAGCTGCACGTTTGGCAACGTTGACTGATTGTTTGCGGTACGAGCTAGCGCTCCCAAAAGATTTGTAGCTGACTCGGGAGTCAGAGCCTCACGTTGGAAAGCAGCATTGAGGTGTAGTGAAGCAATGACGGCAGCTTTCGAGTAGGCGTCGGATGAGTCCTTTCCGAACGAGCTAAAAGAGGACTCATACTCCGCCAGCACTTGATTCTGCAAATGCATTGTTTGTGGTTTGAGAATGAGATTACTGATACGGCCAATGATGTCCGTACTTGTGTGATCGCTCAATGAGCGAGAACCACCTTCTGAAAGACCCAGAGCTTGGTCTAAAAGTGGCTTTGCAATGTCTGAGAAATAAGAGAACTTGATGACTCCGTCTTCAGTGCCTGGAGATCCATTGGAGAAAGCAAAGAGAATGGCCATCAAGAGTGCGTGGATGTAGGTAATATTTGCTTCTTGATGCAAGGCAGCTTGTAGCTTGTTCTTCAAGCGCAACACGATCGTATCGAAGACTTGTGTTTCTGTGCTAAGCTTAGTAAATGCTTCAAGCACTTTCTCGTACCCCGAGCCCAGGGTAGGGTTATCTGGCAACTCGGCAAGGAACGTGGGGAGAGCCTTTTCCGATGTGACGATCGGGCTGTGATGAGCAGCCACAGCCAGTCCACTGATCGCTGCTCCCTCAACCTCTGAATTTGCAGCAGAACGTTCTTGAATGATGATGTCTGTGAAAGATTCGATAATGCGTGCAACGTCCCCATCGGCCAACAACTTCGGGATCTTGATCATACCGATAAGACCAGCGATAGCAAAAAGACGGAACGAGACTTCGGATTTAGGAGCGTTGATAACAGCTCTAAGCATGGCTTCCAGAGCTTCCGCACTCCAATCGCGCAATGCACTCTCATCAGCACGATCTGCCACAAGGATGCCTTCGGCGTTGTAGATCTTCCATTGATCCGAGACATCCTTAGTAGCGCTGATCAATGAATTGAGGACCTCGATCAAACCACGTCTCTTGGCAATTGATTCAGATGATTGGAAAAGCTCGAACAGATGAGGAAGAACAGCTTTGGTCAATGTGTTGGCAAGTTCGGGAGAAGTCTTTGCAATGCTGTTGATAATGCGACCAGCAGCCTGAGATTGTTTTGTGGGTGCATCTTCGAGATGTTCGTTGCACTCCTTGATGACAGGCTTGAGATAGGCAGTCAGTGCGCCTTCTTGGACCTTGCTCAATTGATTGGCAATCGCTGCAAGAATCGCAAGCGCCTCTTGCGCTAGGTCCTCCTCTTCAACATTCAAGATTTCAAATTTCAGCGAATCCCAAAGTGTTACTGAGTACAAGGATATGGTGGTGGGCTCGTAGTTGTTGACGCAGCCCTTGAGAGCGGCTAAGACGTCACGCTTTGTGTTGATAGAGCTGGAATCAAGTTTGTCGAGGAGGGCAGGGAAAGAGTACGGGGCAAAGTCCGAGGAGGCGGAGATGCAGTCTTGGAGGCGTCCTTTGAGATCCTGGGCTGTGATACCATATGGATCACCCGGAGGAGGCTTGAATGTGATAGGGAAGTAGTTGAAGACCGAGTCGAAAAGGTCCTGTGCATGCGGACCCAGGTCCCACTCAGTCATAGGGACTTGCAGGATGGAAAAGACAATCATTAGGTTTCTGGGGTCCTTCTCTCCGTCAAAGTAGGTGATGAATCTGGCCAGGAAGTCATGGTCGTCGTTGTGCAAATCCTTGAGCGCCTTTCGATAGTTCCTGAGCAACAAGTCCAAAAGCTGAAGAATTGTGAAACGCTCGCTTTGTAGTTTGTGATCCCGCAATGTCTGCGAGTCACTCACGAAGCTATACCAGAATTAGTCGCGTGCTTCACTACCTAATTGGACCGGGATAACCCACGTATTTGCGATGTTGGCTGCAGTATCTGAGTCCCATTTACCCAGTCTCTCCAAAGCCATTAGTGCCCTCGCACAATGACCTGTTCCTTCACTATCATCGGAAACCCTGGTCAGAATGAAGCCGCATAGCAGATTACGCTGTTGGCCTTTCAAGACCTTTGGGGCGACTTGTTCCAGGACATCAGCCAAGTAAGAGAGCGATTTGATTCGCATAGTTGCATCCTCATGGTTGATGTATTCGCCGGCATTTTCGATAAGTTCAACAAGCTTGAGGTCTCCATTGGCAAGAGCAGCGGCAGAACGAGCGGCTAGCCTTCTAGCCTCGTCTTTGTTTTTGTCGGCCTCGACCAGGTAGAGCTGTATATCGGACATGATCTTGTTGTGTGACTGTCAATTGCTCAATCCATCGAAGTCTGGATTGCGTGGGTAGTGTGGTCCTTTGATGAGATTGATTTCTGGAGAGCGCGGCGTGTTACGCAAATGACGTTGGTCGTGTTTTGGGACGGCGGAAGTCCAAGCTCTGCGGAGTTTCTGGCAGCTGATTGGACAGCGGCATTGCCGAAACATTTTTTTACATGATGGATGGCTTTCTGGTGGGGGAAACTGTGACTCGGAAGACTTAGGAAAGATTTGAATTGTAGGTTTGTACTCACTTCCTGTCGCAGGTTATAATCCAGAGCTTCAACAGCTACAACAGTCTCTTAAGAGTCCTGTTCCAAGACGATCGATTAGAATCCGACGCTATCAATATGAGCAGCAACCCCACTTCGTGCAAGGTCGTCCTTGCGGCCAACATCGCAAAGAAGCTCCAGGCGGAGGTGGCCGAAGGACTGGCCAAATTGGATCGCAAGCCTCACCTTGTTGGCTTCCTCGCGAACAAGGACCCGGCAGCGCGCATGTACGCTGACTGGACCGGCAAGACCTGTATCGACAAGTGAGCCCGACCTTCTTCTCCTACTCGTGCCTGAGTCCAGACAAGGGGCCCTGGGCTAACATGATCAAGCGGCTTTGCATTCACCCTTCGCGAGGTCGAGCGTGAAGAGCTCGAAGAAGCCATTCGCGACGCCAACGCCGACGACACCGTCGACGGCATCCTGGTCTACTACCCCGTCTTCAACACCTCGCGCGACCGTACCATCCAATATGTCGTCGACATGCACAAGGACGTCGAGGGCTTGTCGCCCAAGCTCATCAACAACATGTACCAGAACATCCGCTTCCTCGACCCTCCCNACAACACCCAAAAGTCCATCTTGCCTTGCACTCCTCTCGCCATGATCAAGATCCTCGAATACCTCAACATCTACAACACCATCTTGGACTATGGAAAGAGACTTTGGGGCAGAAGAATCACGGTCATCAACAGAAGTGAGGTTGTCGGAAGACCCTTGGCTGCTTTGTTGGCAAACGACGGTGCAGAGGTCTACTCAGTCGACGTGACTGGTGTGCAAAGATTCAGCAGAGGTCAAGGTCTGCGCAACCAGCAGCACGTTGTTGAAGAGAAGCCCGACATGACAATGGAGGATTGCCTTGCCATCAGCGATGTTGTCATCAGCGGTGTCCCCGGCGACAAGTTCAAGGTCCCCGTCGAGAAGATCAGAGACGGTGCCGTGTGCATCAACTTCTCAAGCGAGAAGGTGAGTTAGCCTCGAAAAGACGCCCGCAAGAGAAAAACAGAGAGCAAAGCGCTAACACAACACGTTCCAACACAAACAGNNAACTTCACACCACAAGTCAAAGAACACGCCTCCATCTACGTGCCCGCGGTCGGCAAAGTCACAATCATGATCCTGCTCCGCAACCTCCTGGTATGCACCGCCATGGCCACTTACTTCAAATCCCTGTCCCCCGCCCAACTCCTTGCCCTGAAAAGCGTCGAGACGCAACAAAATACATCAAACCATCCCATTGCTTCGGAAGAAAACACTTCAACCCCTCCCATCGATTCAATGCTTTCATCAAGCATACTCGAAGCTCCTTCTTCTTCCAAATCTGATGTTGAGATGTTGCTCAATCAAACTGCTGACCAGTTGCAGCGTATGGTGCAGAACAACCCTGCTGTTGACGCCAAGCCGGCGGAGGCTATCGAGAAGAAGGGTACTGTGGAGGAGGTTGTCGCTGCATAGATTGGACTTTTGGAAGGGGAAAGAGCATATCAGGTGGGAATTGGCGTTATCTGAATGATATAAAAGGAAAGGGAGGGGAAATCTATAGACAGTTCTTAACAGGAACAACTGCAATCAGAGAGAAGTCATTTGAGACGAAACCATTAACGGCATATGAACGTAGATTGCAACTTGTATGTTTTGATTTGAATTTTGCGTATTTGTCTTGAACCCCGAAAAGAAAGAACCATTTGATTTGATGACCCTGAACTCCACGCTCTGAAAAGAACACGACAAGTACTTTTGTTCCTTTTGTTGGTCCTTCCTACGACCAAACATGCAATGCTCTCATATCCCTATGCTTAGACGCGGATCTTCTTGATCTCGACACCGCCATCGGTATCGATGTCCTCGCCTTCGTCGTCGGAGACAACAGGGCCGCCCTCGGTGTCGTCGTCTCTGCTTCTCTTGAGACCCTTCATCTTTCTCGTTTGCATGTCGTTGAGGTCTTGCTTGCCGAGATGGATGCGGCCGACCTTGTCGCCGATAATGTCCGTCTCGATGTTCTTCTTTGACTTTGCCTGTAATATTGATCAGCATCTTTGCAAAAGAGACTTAGAGGGAGAGAAGGCGCAACAACATACCTCGAGACCCTTGGGCTTCTTCATGGCAGCCTTCATCATATCCACATCAGCCTCCTTGACTCTGCCAACGCGGAAATCCACTCTAGGACCCATTTCCTCGACTTCGACACGCGGCAAAGATTGTCCACTCTTCTTTGTCGAAATCATGTACGTGCGGAGACAGATCTTGGGTGCGGGTTGCGCGTCCTCCTCTTCGGCGACCGAGATGTGCACCATGTATTGCAAACCCTCCACATCCACATTATTCGTATCTTCGCCTTTGAANAAGTCGAGCAAAAGACTCTTGGCCATGGTATATGTGTTGGATACCGGCGAGTCAAATGCAGTACCAGAAAAAGATACCAAAGGCTTAAGTCCCACTCTGGCTTTGGCACTCTTGAATTGAGAAATCGTCCTGAAAGTCTCGGGATCCACGTGCAACTCCAACATCTCCAAGACCTTGTAGTCGAAAAACCTCACAAAGGTAACAGTGTGGGGACGCTTCTTGCTGTGCGAGCCAAACACCATGAGCGAGCAATCATTCTTCTCAGCGAAAAATTCCAGCGATGAAGGATCTTCGAAAGGGTGGATGTCGTTTTTCTTTGTGAACTTTNNTTGGGCGAGAGGGCGTTTTAGAGAGTGCAGGTCGCCCATGCAGAGTTGTACGATTTCTGAACAGGAAGTGTAGCGGAGGAACAAGGTCATTTTGGGGTTTTCGTGCAATTGGGGCGCTTTCTTGTCGAGGGCGCGCTTGCTGCGGGCATTCTTGGGTTTGCTGTTGGATCATGAAATGTTAGCGCACCGTTCCTTAAAGACTGGTGAAGAGATGAAAGAGCAGATACTCACATCTGTCTCAACATCATGATGGCGGTTTGTCGTGTGATGTGCTATTGTTTGGTATCTCGAGATGCGACTGCAAAGGCAAACTTTTGAGAAAGTCCACTCACGGAACCCGGATTTTGCTCTTATCGCGATAAGGGCAAAGCCTTGGCATTTCTGTCACTTGCTGCGCTGACCACCCTGCCACATCCATCCAGCAATATTTCTGAGCTCTACCTTGTCTTGACGAGCGAACACTTTCGGTTATATCAGCTTGAATCATCTCCATCGTTGGATACTGGTTTTTGAACTGGTCTAGAAGTGGGGTCAATGAATGCGTCAATGTCTACCAAACTCCAAATTTGTAAATCATCTGGAAAACTTCAGCCGTGACAGTCCTTCTGTCGTGATGAACGCGATAATGTTCTGATATCGGCACGACGTTATGTACATGTGGTATGCTGATGTCTATGTACTAGGCACTGGTAACGGCCGAGTTCTATTTGCGAATGCTTTGTCTCCGTAGGTCCTCGCGAGCACTCGCATCTTGCTCAGATACGGGTCATCGTCCAGGTAAGCACCCCTGAGCCATCTTTCACCACCCGCAAATGCTGTTCTGGCGTGCAGGACACGGCGGTTGTCAAAGATTACACACTCGCCAGGTGCCATCTGCCGTCTGTAAACATTATAGTCCACCTCTGTAAGATCTCTGAAGGTTTGCGCTGCTCCGTGCCATGCTCGTATGCTTTTGGCGAACTTCACGTCACCTTCAGTGTGGTGAAAGGGTGCTTGAAACGGGGGTGCCCAGTTCACTGCATCCATATAACTGTACACTTTGTTGCAATTCCCAGGTAACTTGGTTACGCCCTCGCGAAGTTGGAATGTGGGGCGACTTCGGAAATAATGGTGGTTATCGTTGTCATAATGGAAGTTGACTGGCGTCTCTGCAAGAGCTTCGAACGCGGCCTGATCCATGTTGTAGAGTTGTTGCATAGCATGGTAAGCATCGCTAAACAAAGAGACACCACCTTGTTCGGAAGCACGCAAACAGTGAAGGAGTTGCAGTCTGGGAGGTTGCTGCATATAAAGCAAATCCATATGGAAACCAAGGTGCACATCAGTATAAGCGACATTTTTNGCGTTCGACACACTGCGCACATCCCATGTGTCGCCATAGAAGGTGTTTTTCAGGGGTCCGATACGGTTGGCTGTTTGAACAACTGACGACTCTGCCTCGGGAACATTTTTGATGAATACCAGACCAAACGTCTGTAGTTGTTGCAAAAGATCAAAAAGCACCTTGTCATCCGACATGTACTCATTGTATTCGAAATCAAGCCTACTCTTCTCCAGCCGAGTACGGTCCCAGGACCATTTTCCACCCTGATACTCATGGGTCACTGGGAAGTCTGGTGACGATCCGAGCTGTTGAGTGCTCAGAACAGTTTCATGGTCTGGTCCAAAGCCGGGGACATCGTGCTTCCAAGTGATGACGACGTTGTCCGGTTTAGTCTCGATGTTCCTGATCCTGATGTTGGAAGGGATATCGGCAGAGTCGAAGCGTTTCTGTCGTGTAGAAGTGTCAACGCACTGGGAGCAAGTGCACGAGTCGCGAAGGAAGATGTTGTCGAAGACGCGACCAGGGCTCTTGAGCCTACCACCCGCTATAATCCTGGCAGCTTCCAATGTGCTGAGCCTGAGTTCTTTGAAAGTCATTCTACGTGGTGTCTGGGCGGGCGAATCATCTTGACTAGGGACTTGTCGTGGTCCTTTTGACACAAAAGACTGCTCCGTCGATTCACCAGAGTCAAGAGAGACAGGAGGATCGTGGGTTTCTGGTGGTTGTGCCTGCTCTGATGGCTCAGACGATGGCTGTGAGCTGCGTATCGTGGGGTTCTCTGGCACTCTGTCGTCGTTGACGTGGTCGGGAGAAGGCTTGTAGACTGGGGGAGGTATGCGACGAGGCTTGTACTCGCCCTCGCCAATCCTTCTTGATGATGCAGACAGCTTCTTGTTCTCGGATTTGTATCTGGGTTGTGTTCGAGAAGCTTTCCGGCCGGCCATATCTAGTGTCGCATTGAGTCCATCGGAGGCTGGTTCAGAAGCAGTAACGGGTTGGTAGGCAGTGGAGAGGTCAGAGCTAGCGTCAGGCTGACCGTGCTGTTGTTGTGCATCTTGTTGTGCTTTTTCTGCGGGCGAGGGAACCCTGGGAGTACGAGGAGGCCTGGAACGAGGCTTGTTGGGATCAGGATACTCGAATTCCATCAGATCGAGCATCTCGTCGTAGGTCGCGGGCTTTCCAGGTGTTGTCTGCCATCGTCGCGCGATACGTTGTGCCACAGGCGCGTGGCGTGCTCTGCGCAGGATAAATGCTGATGGTCGTACAGCCGCACTCATTGCTTCCTTGAATTAAGCAAGAAAGAAAGGAATCAGGTCGACATAGCGGTTCGGTCAAGGAAACAGCGACTGTGGAGTTTGACAGCAGCGGCGTCCAAGCTTTGTTCCTTCCTTCCCTCGGCTCTCCAGACTTGGACGCAGCTGCTTGCTTTCTCCTTCAAACCGACAGATGCATGTCTGAGAACAAGGTCGAGCAGCTCCGAGATGAGGGCTCTCGCATGCAGGTCGTTGCCGCTGGTGCCATAGCCGGTCTCGTCTCAAGGTATGCCCCCACAGCTTACGCTCTCTCCCTCGCGTTTTCTATCCAAGGCAGTCATTGACAGAACACTCTGCGCCNNAGGTTCTGCATAGCCCCTCTGGACGTCGTCAAGATCCGTCTTCAGCTGCAGAGTCATTCACTCTCCGACCCACTATCGTATGCTCATCATGCGCACAAAGGCCCCGTCTACAAGGGAACCCTTTTCACTCTCAAGACCATTCTTCGCGAAGAAGGCTTGACCGGACTATGGAAAGGCAACGTGCCCGCAGAGGGCATGTACCTCGCATATGGAGGCATTCAGTTTCTAGCATACCGCTCTGCTACGCAAGCTATCGATGAGCTCACGCCCAACTACAAGCTGCCCGGTACTGCTGTCAGCTTCATCGCTGGAGCTGTCGCAGGCACAGCTGCCACTACCGCTACCTACCCACTCGATCTTCTTCGCACCCGCTTCGCTGCTCAAGGAAATGATCGCGTCTACAACTCTCTTCTATCCTCCATTCGCGACATCTCAAGGAACGAAGGTCCCAAAGGCTTCTTTCGTGGTTTGGGCGCAGGCATTGGCCAGATTGTGCCATACATGGGCCTCTTCTTCGCCTTCTACGAAGCATTGAAGCCTGCTGTCGCCGGCATATCTATGCCTTTGGAATCTCTTGGTTCTGGTGACGCCATAGCAGGCGTACTGGCGAGTATGCTATCCAAGACAGCTGTCTTCCCGCTTGACACTGTTAGAAAGAGATTGCAAGTTCAGGGTCCCACAAGAGCAAAATACGTGCACAAGAACATACCAGTCTACGATACTGGTGTCATGCGCACTTTGACCTCAATTGTAGCCAAGGAAGGTGTACGCTCTCTCTACAGAGGCTTGACTGTGGGTCTGTTCAAAGCTGCTCCCGCCAGTGCCATTACCATGTGGACATATGAGAGAGCGATTCACAGCTTGCAGTCGTTCGAGGTTCTAGAAGGAAAGCATTGAGTGAAGTAGGACAATCGGGACATGCATTGATAGCATTGTTAGAAGTCTTATCCACAATTGAGATGCAAGCTTGAATCATCATTGTCTTCTTGCCCACCATTGTCAGTCATCTTCATTGTCTTCGTCAAGCTTCCATACACACGACCTCTTAGGCCGGAGCTCCGATACCTCAGGCACGATAATCCCGCAACACCGGTCACTTCGTACGTACCTGAGCTCGCCATGTCCCTCCTCCGGAACCAATCCCATTGTAACCGTCGTGTGTCGCATGACACCCAGACGTAATCAGCTAACCCAAAACATGTCATGCCCGGCGTGGGGTAGCTTTCCCTGGCTTTTGCTTTCCCTGGAGATCATCACGGAACCAGTCAGGAGACCATCTCGTTTGCAGCTTCCGAGTTGTTGTCGTCGAGCAATTGGCTTGTTTATCTCAAAGAAATTGTATGATGAGCATCTGCCTGGCTGTGCAAGTGTTTGCTGCTTGAATTGATGCAAGTAAAATGGTCGCACCCCCATGTGAGCGTTTCAAAGCTCTCTCAAGGTTTAGGCGCTAGTGCACGCCTTCCGTGGCCGTCCTATGGCATGCAGATCCAAGTGCGGGGTAAAACCCTGGGGAAGAGGGCAGTTGCAGGTACCTGGACAAGAGCGTGATGGATCAGCTCACCCCGAGCTACATGAGGGAGCTTCCTGGTAGCTAAGCTCTTCAGCCTGTGACTACAAAAGCCAGACATCTGCTGCCTTCCTGCCTCTTTCTTTTCTTCCCATCGGCTCTTCTGAGTCTTAAACAACAACCTTCAATCACTTAACCAACTCTCATACTACAATACCGGCACGATGAGTGCAATCGCTGAGGACGGTGATGGCAGTATGCCCGAGCCCGTCAAGGTCCTATTCACTCTCCACCAAGGCCTTGACGCCCTCGACTTCATCGGTCCTCTTGAAGTTCTCAGCCATGCTCGCCATGATATCAATGACCCTGGTAAGTTTCACCTCAAGCATCACGTGCTCTGATGCATTGCCATCGTGAAAGCTCAGTGACTGATCAATCACCTCACAGAAAGCAAGGCTTTCGAAGTCACCNTTGTCGGCGACTCCGAATTCGTCACCTCTGCTCAAGGCGTCTCGTTCAAGACCGACATGACCTTCCGCGAGGCCCACAAGCACCTCGCCAACTACGACGTTGTCATTGTCCCCGGTGGAGGCACTGATAACATCCTCAGCATCCCCTACTTCGGCAAGAACAAGGCAACCGAGCCCATGGCTCTGATCAAGTCGTACGCCGATATCCAGACCAAGAACCCCATGANNGAGAGAACTCTCATGTCGGTCTGCACTGGCTCCCTCTTTGTGGCCGAGACTGGCATCCTTTCTGGACTGTCCATCACCACTCACCCTGATTACATGATCAAGATGGAGAACCTCAACCAGAGCGTTTCTCATCGCGACATGTCTGAGCGCTTCGATGTCATGGAAGAGCGCTATGTCGTCAACAACCTTCGCTTCGACATTGACGAAGACGAAAACAACCCCTACATCCGCACACGCTCCGACTCGAAGACGGGCCGTCGTCCCAGCAATGCTCGCAAGGGCAGTTTCTCTTTCAAGCAGAGCAACACTCGTCGTGAGAGCAACGCTAGACGTGCTCAGCTCAAGCTCGGTGGACTCCGTGTCATCAGCAGCGGTGGCATTTCGACTGGTCTCGATGCTGCCTTTTATCTTGTCAGTGCTCTGGTCAGCCACGAGTCGGCCAACGAGGTCGCTCGCAAGATGCAATATGAATGGCACAAGGGTGTCGTTTGCAAGGGTATTGATGTCTAATTGACGCCCTCATGTATCAACAGAGACTCGGAAACTCGACGTGATTGTCATTTCCTCCAGTCTGCAGAAAGCATTGCAAGCAGGGAGCGCCTCTGAAACACGACGCTTGCCTCGCTTCAGCAATTTGCTATGAGATTTGCTTTTGTACTGTTATGGCCTTTTCGAACCTGGAACATGGTTTGAAAAGATGGAAGAAACTCCGGAAACCCTACATACCTAGCTAGCTATGCAGCTTGATCACGAGAATGAGACATGAACACTTTTAACATACACTTTTTAGATCCTTCAAGTGCCTTTGGTGAACAGGAAGGAGCCATGCAGCAGATGCAGCAGATGTCGGATGCGGAGAAGTGAATGCCAAGGCCGCAAGACCCCGCGGTTGATTTCCCAAACTGACGTCGAGCGCTGCCCTCCAAAACCGCCTCGTTCTTGTACAGACACAATCACCAAACAAATCATGTCCGAAACAGCAGTCCTTCCTCCCAAGCAGACAGTATACTGCGGAGGTAAGTTCCAAGATTCGCCACCAATGAAATGCTAGCTAACCTCAATTTCGCAGNTCTGCAGTCTTCCTCCAGAAGTAGGTTAGGCAGCGCGCCAGCAAAGAAATCGTATCAAGAGCGTGGGAGACTGATTGGGCACACTCGCACAGTACTGTGAATTCGGCGGCACAACAAAGAAGTGTGAAGAATGGCTTGAATCTAAGCACCCCGAGCTACACAACAAGCTCTACTCTGAAGGTTCGTTTTGCGACTCCACCTCTACACCGCCTTGTATACCACATTCCACGCATATACTCCTTTTCAGCAAGACCACACTTGCAGCATATCGCTCACCACTTTAAAACTACANNGATGCCGTAGCAGCAAACCTCTCCACCCTCTCCGTCGACGCCCAAAAACGCGCCGAAAAAGACGCAAAGAAAAAAGAAGCAAAAGCCTCCGCCGCAGAAGCCCGCCGCGCCGAAGAACTCGCAACCTCAAAGATCATCATCAAGCGCGTAGAACGCAACAAACGCAAACACGTCACCGAAGTTAGCGGCTTGGAAGCCTTTGGCCTAGACATCAAGAAAGTAGCAAAAGAGCTAGGCAAGAAGTTTGCGACTGGAAGTTCTGCTACGAAAATGCCGGGTGGTGTGGGAGAGGTTATCACCGTACAGGGAGATTTGAGTGAGGATATTTTGGAGTGGTTGTGTGATAAGTATGAACAAGTGCCTGAGGATAATGTTGAGTTGGTGGAGGATAAGAAGAAGAAGAACAAGGCTGAGCCGCCTATGGTTGCGCCTCAGTAGTTGGATGTACAGCGGAAGAGTTTAAGACTTTCTACTGCAGCAGAGACAGAAAACAAGCAGCAGTTTTGATACCTCGAAAATTGGAATTCCTCCTGTTTAGGAGAGAAAAGCAGATTCGCAATTTTTGTCCTATACGTAAGTTTCTCATGTCCAGGTGTCATTTGACGATACAGTTGGAGAAGGTGATCCTGCAATTTCAAGTATATTGTTCCTTATATGGAGACACCTACTCCAGCATATCACACTCAAGCTCTACGAAAGTATATAGTCGACAGTCGTGGTACCAGCCCGCTTTCTCGAACAATCATAGACTTGTGCTAGTATCTTGCTCTCGCCTCTTTTCACTGACTATCAGCCAACTGACTTTTTTTCTCTTCTTTTTCTTTTCCACCAGGACGGTTTGAGGAGGAGACAGAGATGTGTTGTGTTGCTTTACAAAGATTGTAGCCAGCTCTCGAACAATCCAACCTGACATTGATAGCTGTCTAAAAGATGTAGACGATATCTACCTAGCTTGCGGACCACACGAGAGAAAGCACAACATACTCCTTAACAAAAAAAAAAAGGTAATGAGAACGCCCAAAACTCCACGCACTGTTATGGTTCGAAGGAAAATCCGAGCTTTAGTAAGACGGAAGTCGGGTTTGTTTCTCGATGGCACGTTTCTGCATCCAATGATTTCTTTTTTTCAAAGTGGTAGAAAGTATACAAAAGACAGGGCCAAGATTTATACAAAATGGTATTAAGGATAGTTATTCTATTCTTACTTCCTTTCTATATACTAAAGTCTACAACTTCACTGCACTCCAACTATAGTTTAGAGCAAAATCTGGACTATAAAAAGGCACAATTGTTATTAGAAGTAGAGCGTGTCCATAGAGAGTCGACAACTTGTTGCCTCTTAGTAGATACTATCTTAGTTTCTATTACTATTCTGCATTTCTATAGGTATATGCATTATATACTTTAGTACATAGGGAGGTTAAATCCCTCTAAGTATTTCTCATCTGACACTATTAAAGTTAAGTAGATCTACTCTAAGGGATGTCAAACATGATCTATAGTCACAAAACATCGTTCTTAGGCTTTGTAGTGTTTCCCGATTATTGGACTTGGTCTTAATCAAGTCAATCGTGTCTTCCTGTAGACCATACCACCGTTAGCTCATTAGCCAGCGTTTGCCTTTGTGTCAGCGGTGAATATGCCTTTCGAGTGAGACTCCAGAAATTAACCACGGTCGAGTTGGAATGCAATCTAGAAAATACATTGTAGGGCAAAGCTCGATAACACTGTCCCATCACAACATATAGTGATGCATGGAAGGACAAACGGATATGCTACTTAGACTTTTTAGGATGATCTAGTAATAGACAATGAGTGCATATGTATGCCGTTACACGAACGTCTTGCCGAGGTGTTCAAGTAGCTTATCATCTGACTAGGCCAATCATAGACAAAGATCAAGTGGAAACATACCACTACACGATACCCAGACCCAAAAAGAATTGCCTTTGCAGTGATAAGAGCAGTCGAATGTTTGATATAGATTAAAGCGCCATACCCAGAAGGATTCAGGATTCGACCCCTTGCAGCTTCCACGTGTCCCTACAATTCGTAAGCCAGGTAGCACTTCCACCACTTTCCTAGAACCATTTCTCGCAAATTTCTCCTGGTTTTTCTAACGACTAAAAGTCAACAATGATCACACTAGTCGCCTTTGACCTCGACGGCACGCTCGCTGAGAGCAAACAACCCATCAAACCCGACATGGGAGAAGCCCTCTCAGCCCTCCTCTCAGTCGCAAACGTGGCAATAATCTCTGGCGGCGACTGGCCCCAATTCCACAAACAGGTCGCTAGCCGTCTGCCTGCTTCTGCAGACCTTTCAAAACTCTGGCTGATGCCAACCACCGGCACCAAACTGTACACACACCGCGATGGAGCATGGCAAGTGGTTTATGCTGAACTCTTCTCGCAACAAGAAAGAGCAAACATCATCAAGGCATTTGAGATTTCGTTGGCTGCTACAGGCTTTACTCCCGAAAAGACCTGGGGAGAACGTATTGAAGACCGAGGCAGCCAGATTACTTTTTCTGCTTTGGGGCAACAGGCACCGGTAAGCGAAAAGGAGCACTGGGATCCCGATTTTGCCAAACGCAAAGTCATACAAGCGGATCTGCAGACACGTCTACCGGGATTGTCCATCAACATGGGCGGAGCAACTTCCATCGATATCACCAGAGAAGGTGTGGACAAAGGGTATGGATTGAAGAAGCTGCGTAATGCGAGTGGAATCCCTCTAGAGCAGATGATGTTTATCGGCGATGCGATATTTCCTGGAGGCAACGATTACCCGGCTAAGGAGATTGGTTTGGAGACTGTCAAGGTCAAGAATCCTGATGGCACACTTGCTGCTATTGCTGGGATTGTGGCTTGCCTTAGATAGACATGGAACCAGCAAAACAAATTCCCGCTACTAAGGCTCAGTCGAGAAGAACCCGTTTGCGGAGAGAAAGCCACCAGATAAACCTGGTTTCGTTTCAAAGAATAGGAGAATCAGCATCTCCGAAAGTTTTGGTCCGACTCAGAGAATCGAACCAGGGACCTTCCAGCGGGGGTCGCCAACAACAAAGTGTTGGCGTGAGACCGTTGTGCCAACCCACCGCCTGTCGGTAAAGCGATGGTGGCAGGTGAGAGGGAGGCAGTAGTGCTGGTATATAAGGTGAGAGATTTAGTGTGTGTTTGGTTCAAGTCACTATTCACTGTGATATTGGTTGGTTTCTTGTCCCTCGTTGGATAGACATAGACGGCAGCTCAAGAGGCACATGGTAATCTTGCCATCATGTCATAAGACATATCGAATCGCTCGACTGTCATGCGTAGCGATCCGCCATGTGTTGTTGTCTTGATGTAATGTGTTTGATAGACATCACTTGATCGTGTTTCACTACTCCATTCAACAGCTTTCGGTACGCATGTGATAGACCACAAGCACGCACCTAGCACAAGTCGTAAAGTGTTGGCACATCTGAAAACGCTCGAATTCATCCTGTTGTACAAGAACGGACATCGTTCAGAACATAAAAGCTTTGCCAGACACTGGTCGCATCATTGTCCAGAAATCCGCTTGAAGGTCTCCAGCCAACCAGATGTCCTTTAAAAATCCTTCCATAACCTTGACAGATCCGAAAGAAAGGTACTCGTCAGCGATCTCCAGTGAGCTTAACACAGTCTGTTGAGCATCAGAATCGATGCAGTGGGCGCCGATCATCAGACATGGGAACAGCAGGCAATGTGCGAGTTTGCCAATCTCGGGTCCTTGTTGGAGTGCTTCGATGCCTTCTTGTACACTTTCTTGTACCAAAACATCGGAGATGTCGAGGTTGCATAGTGCGCGGTACATGTATATGCGAGCGCTGGCCCGATAAGCTGAACAGAAGACTGTAAGGGCATCGATGGTATGGCAGCCATCTGCTGGAGATGATGACGGGAGCGCCAGGTTTTCGAGACGTAGTTCTGTCCTCCCAAGTGTGAGCTGGATTTCCAGCAATGCTCGAATCGGGACAGGAAGGCCGGTGATATGCGCATCGTGGCCGAGTTGTGCTAGTTGCGCGAGCAGTGCCATGATATCAACGAAGGCATGGTCATCGCTGATGCCTGTCCACCATGCCTCGCTGCCAGCAAGCTGGAGCCAGATTTCTGGACCAAGATGTGGTGCTTCACCACCCATGATGGCGTATGTAAGATCCATCGTAGCATATACTGAGAGCAGTAGTGATATCGGCCCAGACTTGGCTGAGGACACCTCCTTCATGTGGTTTCCATGTTGAAGAATGGCACGACCGCCACGCAGATGGAAGCCTGCTGCGAGACCATCATCTTGCGGTTCTATGATACCGTCGAGCATGCATAATAATACACTAGACGGGAACGTGATGGCGTGAGAAAGATCGAAAGATTCCTGGAGTCGAGTCCGCAATGATCGTATAGCCGTCAACCGTGCCTGCTTGATGTGTGATAATGTCTCCTCCCAGGCAGCATGGTTCTTGAAAAGACGATGTGCGTTGGCGACAGCAATGACTGCCTGATGGATAGAAGAGTCGGTCACAAGCCACGCTGGGTCAATCCCAGGTCCGTCATCCATCAAGCTGAACCTTGGAAGCACTTCTCGTGAGAAATATAGTATTTGCCAGTCATCAGGTACAGACGGTGATTGGATTTGCAGCGTAGGCGTAGGTGACTTGACGGGTACCAATTGGCCAGCAAAGCGTCCTCGAGCTGCTACTCCATTTGCCCATTTCAAGCGTACACCATACTCGCACTTTACACCCGCAGCTTCACAGCGTGTGCATACTGGTTTCTGTACGTCGCACAAGACTCGACGATCTTTACATCGCCAGCATGATCCTTCGGAGACTCTGATTCTCTTGGGAGGCATATTTGTGTGCGCTATGTCCGTTGTTCATAGATCAAGATTCTTGTTGGCACACGCATGGTATACGAGGAATTTCGACAGAGCTTGGGATGTTATTGATGTCTAGGTACGAGGCCTCTTGTGGAATATCGAACGTGGAGTTGCATGCCGAAATGATCAAGTGGCGGTTGGTCGAGAGGATGCCGAACCGTCTGAAAATGCTTATCGACACGTTTAGAGGGGTCGGGATCCTTTTCATGATGCGAATCAATCGAGTAACTGAGTCAAATAATCGGACCCGTGACCCTTACTCGATGTTATTCCCATGATTCCCATCGTGGACCGGCACAAGAAGAGAGAAGAAGTCCAGCTCGAACGCCAATCAGGGAAGCTTCAGCCAATGATCAGAGCCCCGCAATTTGGTCTCGGCAGACTAGTCCCAGAATGGGCCTTATCTTGACCACCTCCTTCTCGCGCGTCTTCTGCTTTACGCATACACTCGGCACAAGGTCTGAGCCGCGCAGGGTTTGAACGTGTGCTCTAATTCAGATGACAAGATCATATACACCGCCGATAAGGCCAGCAGATAACTGCCTTCATTCCAGCTGAATAGTGGCCGCGAATGGCTGGTAATCCTCCTCTCCCTTCCATTGATCTTCGTACAGAGACTCGCCCATCTGAGATGCATCCATACCGATCATAACGTCNCCTATAGCATCTTTGTCAGCTTTTGATTGCAAATCTTTGTGCACCATGACTTACTTGTCGGTTGCCAGAACTTCCCAGCCTGGAACACAATCAATCAAGGCGATGAGAATGTAAGAGACACTGAATGCCCATGTAAATCCAATCAGTGCTTCCACAATCTGGATGCCCAGCTGTCTTGCGTTACCGTCAAAGAAGACACCACCAACAATCTCGGTCGCGCCATCAAGAGCAGCGACTTCCTTCTGAGCAAAAAGTCCTGTCGCAATGGTGCCCACAAAGCCTCCGATGCAATGTGTAGCAAAGGTATCGCCATTGTCGACCCACTTCCATCGTCTCGCCAGATCAGTAAACTTGATACGCAAAGCCTGTCTCGACACAACAGCACCAACAATGCCAAAGAAGAATGCTGTGGCCATGTCGATGAACCCAGCTGATGGAGTTATCATGACCAAACCACTGATGGCGCCCAAGAATGTCGAGTCGAGGGACCACTTGCCAGTCTCGTAGTAAGTCATGCAAGCCCAGGTCACTGCTCCAGACGCAGCACATAAGTTGGTCACACACATGGCCATCACAGACTTGAAGTTGAAAGCAAGCGTAGTGCCTGCATCAAAAGCAAGCCAGGATCCCCAGATGGTGACCAGAGCTAGCAGTTGACTCAATGTGTTGTGTGGTTTATGCAGGACAAGGTGCGCTGGTGTTCTTTCTGCCGATTTGCGCGAGCGGAAGAGCGGGTGCGAGAGGTAGATGCTGAGGGCCGTTGCCGTAGCTCCTGAACAGATGTGCACGGGAGAGCCGCCTGCGTAGTCGAGAACGCCGAGTTCTCCAAGGAAGCCACCGCCCCAGACCATATGTGCCAATGGGCAGTAGACGAAGGTGGCCCAAAGCTGCAATCATTGTCAGACTTCTTCCCGTTGTGTGTTGCTCAAGAAGATATTTACGAAGATGAAGGGGATGAGAGGCAGGAGTCTGCCTCGTTCGCATGCACCACCAATAGCGATAGCACAAACTGTGGCGCAGAAGATGAGTTGGAACTCGCTGAACAAGATGGCAGGAATGGTTCCCACAGGCTCAGCCAACACATCAAGGTGCATTAAATGCTTGAAGTCGCCAATAAAGCCATTGCCCTCTCCATAAGCCAGTGAGTAGCCAAANAGCCACCATTGTATCGTACAGACAGCGACAGCTAGCAGAGCTGGCATAAAAGACGCTAGTCCACTGCGTCGTGTAGAGTATCCAGAGTATCCAAGACCGACAGCGGGGATAATTGGCCAGCAAAAGACACTGCAGATGAGGATGAATGCTGAGTCTGTCTTATCACACGCCTCCCAAGCTTTGAGAACTTCGGTGGCAGCGATCATCTTGGGCAGTAAGCAAAGTACAGAATCTGTAATTCGGAAACAACTCCATGTTGTCGAGCACCTTGATGTATTTATGTGCCCCAGAACCGCAGACATGGAGATAAAACAAGTGTGGGGGTGGGAGATAGCGATAAGGATAGTGGTCAGAAAGATTTCCCTTTTGGGTATATATCTTGGCCGGGGGTTGAGTGGGTTGTTCTACTTCCTTGTTGATAAAACTCAAGAGTCACGAAGAAATGTCCATTTGGACCTCCTGTTCGAGGGCATTGTTGCCATGAAGGATGTAGGTTTGGTGTGAAGAGCACAGCTTTATGTATAGCCGTCTCTCTAGCTTTGAACACCCATGTGACGACACCCCAATGATCGTAACATCACTTGCTAAAATCAAATGCCTGATGCACCCTTTACTCCGTAGTCGTGCTGTCCATCCACCCCATCCCAAGAAAAGCTCCCAGCATCTCTCAGTCCCGTAGTTCGTTACAGAAAAGGGAAAAGGAAAACAAAAAGCAAAGAATAAGAAGAACAGAACCCCTTGTACACAGTTCACCAATCCTTGACCTCAAAACATCCATTCTTTTCTCGATGAGCAATCCACCTATCCGCCCATCCCTTCATCCTCTCTCTTCCCTTAGCACTCCCCACATTAACCGTAGGAATAATCTTCTCAATCCTCAGTGCCGTGCAGAACATACTCAACTCTCTAAAACTGCTGTGTTCGGAATACGGAACTCCAAAGCATTTAGCACGATTAGTAGAGCCTCGTTGCGGAGACAGATCTTTGATCGAGTAAGAAGATTTCCAAGATGTAGAATAGAGGATATTGGCAACATTAGGGGTTTCGAGACGCGAAGAGGGTGGTTTGTAGTTCCAGCCTGAAGGACGGAAACCGATGCAGCGGTCAAAGTGGTCGGCGTAGCCTTGGCGGTAATCGTCTAGTGTATCGGCACGGATCTCGAAGATTGGTGTCATGTGCACTTGGGCTTCGCGCGGGTCTGTAGTGAGCAAAGCAGATAGTTCTGGATCTTCAAGGGCGCGGCAGATGCGTTGTTTGCCTGCTGGGGCATAAATTTTCGACTTCAGGGCTTTGGCTATGCCGATACAGATGCGCTCTTTGCCGATTGAGTAGGTGCCTACGACGACCAGTAATCGTGCAGCTTTTGTGCTGGTCAATTTGCCGTTGTTGTGGAGTTTGAGTTCTGTCGATTCCGAGTGTTCTTGCTTGATATGGACATCCGAATCTTCTTGTTTAAGAGACGGTTGCGAGTCTTTGCGGACGAAGCTTGCCATGCCTGCACTCTCAGATTTGAGGGTATCGAGCACTAGAGGATCATCGTTGTATCTGACGCACATGTCCGCGCATGCCTTGATGACATCTTCTTGGTCAGGAAAGGCGTATTTGGGGTTCAGGTAGGTGGTGTCGAGATAGCAGACATCGATCTTCTGCTCTTTGTTNTTCCCGGTAATGTGATCTTGGACATCTGGTCGAAGCAAAGGGTGCTCAAGATGCATACGACATGCTCTGAAGTCACCACAATGTAGGATCCGTTGCAGCTTGAGTTCTGGTCCTTTGCTCAACGGCTTCTCGAACAAATACAGTGATGAGCCGGGACAGTGGTTCGCTGATATCATGGTCACCGTTACACCCGGCGTACCTGGGACTTCTGTCGGTACCTCCCAGTCTAAGGCGATCACGTACTCTGGGTTGACTCGCAATTGTTGCTTGACCAGATTGGCTGTGACCTTGCTGCAGTAGATGGGACCATGTGACCAAGTACTCGTCAGGCCGACGTAGTGGTCGCTGTGAAAGTGACTCAAGAAGTAGGCATTGCAACCAGCGACAGCGCCATATCGGAAAGCATCGACAGCAATGTTGGTACCAGGTAAGATCTTGTAGAATGGACATGTGCGGGTATAGCTTGGTTTTCCACGAGAAGCATTTTCAGCAGCGGCAGCATTGGCCCAAGCCATGTCTTCTGATCGACTAGTCATGAGTTTTGAGAAGGCGGAACTTGAAGCACCACTTCCAAGTGGTTGCGACTGAGCGGGTTTTGCTGGGCGGGCGGGCTTCTTGAAATGTGCTGATGAGATGGTGACCGGCGGTGGCTTTTCTTTCTTCACGGGCAAGGGAGTCGGATTTCCATCGAGACAGTTGTTGACGTGTACGCCTGCATCTGACTCTGCTACGCCAGCTAGACTGACGCTGCAGATGGGACATGTCGGGGCATCTGCTTCCGAAGTCTCGATTGGGTCGTCTTGAAAACTGTCATCTTCGCCGTTCTCGAGTTTGATCTGCTCTTGCTCCATCCACAACCTCTCAACATATTCCTCGCCCTCATCAAANACATCATCTTCAAAGTCGTCAGTCGCCTCAAAGTCGCCAAAGTTGTCCAAATCTGCTACTGACACGGAAGTGGGTTGGTGGATCAATGGTGGTGATTCTCGAGGCTCTGTTTTGATGATCGTAGGTTCAGCATCTGGGGCGGTATCGTTGATATCTTCATCCTCGCTATCAGATTCTTCCATGAAAGGACCAGAGGAAACCTTGGCAATAGGTGCAGACTTGATCTCTTCGGCCGGTGTGGGAGCTTGAGGTGCAGGCTTAGGCTCATCCAAGCTATCGACTGGTGACAGCTTCCGCCTCTTGATAGGACCATCTTCCTCATTGAAGCGTGGTTCTGGCTCTTCCTCAATCTCGACTTCATCTACCACCTCCTGGCTCTTGGTTGGCGAAGATCCGGGATTTGCAACGAACAGACCGTCATCTTTCTTGAANAAGGACAAGATGCTGGCATTGGGTTTGGCTGGTGCTTTGACATTCTTGGCCGGAGTTGACTTCTTGGAATTGGCGCTTCCTTTCCAGTAGTAGATAGCTTGGGCTGTTTGGAGCCGCTAGTGGTTCGCGATGGCATGGTTCTGGTAGCCATGGGTGGCGGCCGAGTCGTCGGTATAGCGGGTGGCGGGTTCGAAGAAGGAGTGGCGGTAGTATTGGGTGGCGACGGCGGTCTGCCTACGGATGGAAGTACATGCGATCCTGATGGTACTGTTCTGTTCTCTCGCGGGTTCCGAAACATGGAAGACGGCGAGTTCCTGTGTCGTTTGCCTTGACAAAGTTCCAGCTGATGACGCTGTTGCCGACGTCGTGTGCCAGCGCGTAGAGTGCTTTCGCGACAAAAATGCCAAGACTTGGGTCAATCAAAGAAAGTGCTAGCAGGACAACAACACATGCCAACTCATGAAAGTCACTCTGGTATAAGGGGTTCAATACGATATGCTTGTTCGCATTTTGGTCTATGTGGCAAGAACGACAACTCCCCGTCTCGGTCACCAACATCCGCTTCCTGATCCTGCCAATAATGCTCCGTGATGAACCATTTGCACAACTCTTGACATGCCGAACCGCCCGATCCTGTCAGAGGCTCGAGCATTACTACTAGGAAATAAGACGAGAAGAAGATTCAAAGCTAAACAATCATGACTGAGTGCTTGTAATTCTAGAGTGCCGAAAACACAAAGAGCTGCGACGTATCACGTCAGTCGTGTTCCCAAAGAGGCCGTCGAGTCAGGATACTCACATTGTTGGTTGCAGCAATCGCAATGCTATCCTCAAACGGATGCCAGCTCATGTGCAATATCTTCTTGTTGAAATCAATTGCATCCGCATCCGTCTCCTTGCGCATTCTGCTTCCCTGGCCCGCCGGGCTGTTGGCCCTGCTGTTGCCCTTCTTGTCCTTGGCTCCGTTCATCGGTGTGGGAATTCCAACCTTCTTGGCCTTGAACGCGCTCTTATCGGCTTGCAGTACCACTTCGGTGTCTTTACCCGCTTCTGATGGATAGATCATGAAGTTGTTGTTGTAAGATCCCGTCATGACATTCTTGGCATCGCCAGAGAAGACAACTTCGAACTTGTCGAAGATGCTGTCGTTCTCGTATGTATCGCAAAGGCGTGGTCGGAGATGTTCGTGGATAGGAATTGTCTTGACTGGTTGTCTCTCCATGTTCACGTCCCAAATCTTGACTGTTAGATAGTCGCGAGACAAGATGTAACGACCGTCATGTGAGAAGCGAACATCCGAGATGGATGAGATGATTTCTGAAAAGAATGACCTGGACGATGGATCTTCTTCTTGCTCGAATTCTNNGCTGCACGTCAGTGTTTTTCCTTGTCTATGCCTTCTCAACGAAAACTCACGCTTGGCGTGTGAGTCGCAAAGAGCTCTCTCACGCATGTCAGCCAACTTGATGGTTCCCTTGCTGCTGGCATACATGAACCAATTGCAGCTGAGTGGGTGGAATTCTGCAGCAGTAATGACCTCAGTCAGCTCCTCCATGTTGGCAGGCTTGATATCAACAATGTTGAAGCTCTGATCTTGAATGTTGAGGTTCCAGAGGTTGATGCGCAAGTCGTCACTACTGATGTATGTTTCGCCATCGCTGTTCACAGAGATGCTATTGATGTGGTAAGCGTGGGCGTTGGCGTACACGCGACGAGGTACTGCAGCAATGACTGTGTCGTGGTGTGTCATGCGAGGGAAGGTGAGGTCGGCGGTGCTGCGGAAGTGTTTGTTGGGAGCTCTGACGGGCCCGCCACCAACAGCACCGCCGGCACCAGCAGGAGTGAGGTCTTGCGACAGGTTGTTCTCGGCCACGACCTTGAGGNNGGATTTTTCAAAGACCTTCCATAACTTGATGGTCTTGTCGTTGGTCGACAGCAAGTAATGCGAAGCGTTTTGTCTCCTACACCACTTGATCTTGTTGATCTTTTCCTCAATTTCGAGAGATTTCAAGTAGTCAAACTCGGGCTCATGTGATTGGAACTCGGTGTGAAACTTGTACTCGCAGGTTTTTTTCTTGCCTGTGTCAGTAGCTGAAGGCCTTTCGTCGGGAGCGGGGATGGCTGGTACCGTCTCATTACGTTCAAAGAGAACAACGCGGCCACCCTTGTCGCCAGTGGCCAGGTAGTTACCTGTCTGATCGAACTCGACCGTTGAGATGATGTCGGCTGCGTCTTGTCAGCGGCGCTGCAGATGGTGGGGGCAAGTCAAGCATAACGGACCTTCTGTGATGTCCTCGACGTCTCCCNNCTTATCACCAAAGCACCTGTACGCGTCGTGTCAGCTTGGACTATCCTGCAATGGCATTGTCGAGTCTTGACAGGGTGGCTGGTGGGAGTGGACGATGTTTTCAATAGCAGCACGTGTGGGTCGACAGCCGTTCAGTGTCGGCCAACGACGAGCTTGTTGAGGAAAGGCTTGACAGAGAAGGTACACAGAAAGCAGGCAGGACAGGGACAAGGAAAGACTCACTGGGTGAACTTCCATGTCGGAGGCTGCTGCGAGTCTCCGTCGACCATGATTTCTGCTTGTACTGGAGCAAATGCGGGACGGTGTCCGGGAATTGACTATGTAGCTGTGGCTAGACTGGTCTCGCAGGGTGGTCCTGGCAAGACAGAGAGGTCGGATCTAGCACAAGAGTCGAATTGGACAGATGGGATATGGATGGGTTGCAAGCTTCAGCTTCGGATGATGTCAGGCAGAGAAGCAGCAGCTGTTGTGGATTGACGGCGCGGCGCAGCGACAAGAGGGGCGAGGCGGCGAGAGTGGGCGGAATAGCGGGGTGGTTATCGACAAAGAGCAACGCAGATGGAAACTGAAGGATGGCTTGTTGTTTGAAGACCGTGTCGTGGTGTATGGGCAGGGGTTTGGACTGCGAATTGAATCAAGGGAGAGAGCCCTCTGCTCTTTTCGCGGGGCAGACACACGCAGACGGCGCTTTTCCAACAGAGACGCCAAGAATCGAGATCTGAATTCACTTCACCTCCGATCGGTCTGTACCAGTACACACCCTGTCTCTTTCTGTTGTGTTTTGTCACTCGAAATGCACTTTTGTCAAAACCTTGTTGTTCTAGAGCAATGTTTCGCTGTTGACCACAGCTTGTCGGAGGGACCTAACACCTTGTTCATGCAGCGAAGCTGGACTTCTTTGTCCCGATCCGTCCAGCTCGTTGTTTCAGGCCAAAGCTGACATTACACACACCACAATCGAGAAGCAAGAACACCACAACAACACGCTTGTTTTTCGATATAGGCACCACTTTGTCCAGCACTGATCGCTCTCCTGAATGTTTCCATCCTCTGTGATGAAACCCCTCCACGATCCGAGCAGGCGCAAATACTACAAACGAGTGCAAGAATGCAACACTGCTCTTTGTGTTCTAGCCCGCCATTGAATGTCTTTCTCTGTTGCTGTCTTTGAGCTCTGCCCGCATGACACTTTCTAGACCAGGCCGTCTCAGATCACCTACTTTGTCTCTGCGCCACATGAGAGGCAATCACTGCTAAAGCTCTGGAAGCTTGAGAATAGCTATGTCCGTGACAGTTTTGAATGAATCGATACTTGAAGGCCACACACGTGAGTACTGCGTACAGAAGGCTGTATGCGTGGTAAAAACGAGCTGCTCCTATCGGATAGCAAAGCTTAAGGCACGATTGATGACCCCTACTCTTTTCGTAGACTTTTGCCTTCTATTGCAGAGGTCAAGGTTAGCTGAGTTGTCATGTGGTTGTTCCGTGTTTTCACGCCCATGTGCAAATGTTCCCGGTCGCAGCTTCCGCGACTCAGGTTGCTCCTTCCTTTCTCATGGTCATTTTCTACCTTCTTACCTTAATGTTTCTCTGGAGAACCAATTCCATGTAAAGCAGCTTCATGATAGAGATATAAAGTGTCAAGGCAAGTCGACCGGCAAGTATGGACAGAAGCCGGGACAGGTAACCGAGGTGTTGACCTCTAGTGAGCGTTGATTGGCCAGATCTTCAAGTCGACTCGAGCTTCGGAGCGATCATGAATGCTCCTCCACGACGTTTGCCCCGTCGCCCGCCGAGCCCAAGAAGTGTCCCTTTGCCATCGCTGTCTCTTCTACACCACTCTCCTCTCCTGCTCTGTTTGTCTTGTTGCCGTCTTAGAATCGGCTTTTCCTAGTTCACAATCGCAATCATGAGTTCATTCGGTTTGCGACAGTTCGCCGCTTCTTCGAGGGTGTGTTCCACTCGAAAAAGGCCTCAGAAAATTGGTTACTGACAGTAGCATTGCCAGTTCTCCCAAGGCCTTAGAAGACAGCAGGCTCGCGCCTTCTCTCGCAGCGCCCCCGCCGCCCGTATCATCACAAACCAGCCCCTTCGCGCAAAGGAGGCTTCGCCTTTCCTCAGCAACAAGTACCCCGTCATTGACCACGAATACGATGCTCTGGTTGTTGGTGCCGGTGGTGCCGGTCTGAGAGCCGCCTTCGGTCTCGCTGAGGCTGGCTTCAACACTGCTTGTATCTCCAAGCTTTTCCCTACCAGATCGCACACTGTCGCCGCTCAGGGTGGTATCAACGCCGCTCTCGGAAAGTGAGTGACGACACATCGGGTCAAGATTAAGAGTTGGAACTGACACACGACCAACAGCATGCACCAGGATGATTGGAGATGGCACATGTACGACACGGTCAAGGGTTCAGATTGGCTCGGTGACCAGGACGCTATCCACTACATGACCAGAGAGGCCCCCGCTTCAGTCATCGAGCTCGAGAACTACGGTTGCCCCTTCTCGCGTACCGAGGACGGAAAGATGTTAGTACAATTCGAGTTTCCCATACAATGCGACGCATACTGATCCTCAATAGCTNACCAGAGAGCCTTCGGTGGTCAATCTAAGGAGTACGGTAAGGGTGGTCAGGCCTACAGATGCTGCGCCGCCGCCGACAGAACCGGTCACGCTCTTCTTCACACCCTCTACGGACAGTCCCTCCGCCACAACACCAACTACTTCATTGAGTACTTCGCCACCGATTTGATCATGGAGAACGGCGAGTGCAAGGGTGTTATCGCCTACAACCAGGAGGATGGTACCATCCACCGCTTCCGCGCACAGAACACTGTCCTGGCCACTGGTGGTTACGGACGTGCTTACTTCTCGTGTACCTCTGCTCACACTTGCACTGGTGACGGTATGGCTATGGTCGCCCGTGCCGGTCTTCCTAACCAGGATCTGGAGTTCGTTCAGTTCCACCCTACTGGTATCTACGGCGCTGGATGTCTGATCACCGAGGGTTCTCGTGGTGAGGGTGGTTACCTCCTCAACTCCGAGGGTGAGCGATTCATGGAGCGTTACGCCCCTACCGCCAAGGATCTTGCCTCGCGTGATGTTGTCTCGCGTTCCATGACCATGGAGATCCGCGAGGGCCGTGGTGTCGGCCCTGACAAGGACCACATCTACCTCCAGCTTTCTCACTTGCCCGCTGAGGTCCTCCACGAGCGTCTGCCCGGTATCTCTGAGACCGCCTCCATCTTCGCTGGTGTCGATGTCCGCAAGCAGCCCATCCCCGTTCTTCCCACCGTCCACTACAACATGGGTGGTATCCCTACTAAGTACACCGGTGAGGTCATCACCCAGGACGCTGAGGGCAACGACCAGGTTGTCAAGGGTCTCTTCGCCTGTGGTGAGGCCGCCTGTGTCTCCGTCCACGGTGCTAACCGTCTTGGTGCCAACTCTCTCCTCGACTTGGTTGTCTTCGGTCGTGCTGTTTCTCACACCATCCGTGACAACTTCACTCCCGGACAGAAGCTTGAGGCCATCCCCGCCGACGCCGGTGCCGAGGCCATCAACGTCATTGACCAGGTCCGCACTGCCGAGGGTCCCAAGACCACCCACGATGTCCGTCTCGCCATGCAGAAGGTCATGCAGACCGATGTCTCCGTTTTCCGTACTCAGGAGTCGCTCGACGAGGGTGTCAAGAAGATTCGTGATGTCGACCAGCAGTTCTCCCAGGTCGGCACCAAGGACCGCAGCATGATCTGGAACTCGGACCTTGTTGAGACTCTTGAGCTCCGTAACCTCCTTACTTGTGCCGTCCAGACCGCCGAGGCCGCTGCCAACAGAAAGGAGTCCCGTGGTGCTCACGCCCGTGAGGACTACCCCGACCGTGACGACGAGAACTGGATGAAGCACTCCTTGACATGGCAGAAGAACCCCCACGGCAAGGTCGAGCTCGGCTACCGCAGGNTTACCGGCACCACCCTTGACGAGGCTGAGTGCAAGGCCGTTCCTCCCTTCGCCAGAAAGTACTAAGCAATTAGTTGCATTCAATAATACCCAAGTAGACGAGGAGAAGACGATTAAAAAGTCACTTCTGCCAAAGGTGTAAACGACGAAGCGAATTAGCAAAGTCTTTTCCTAGGAAAACACCTGAAATACACCCCGTGATCAAAGGAGTCTGGAGGAGAATTGACGTTAAACGGAGCGATGGGTTATTGCTTCTTTCTTGTGTGTATGTAAAGCCATTTTCTGAATTGTTCACTTTTTTTTCTTTTCTTCCGAATCATTGTTCCTTGTTTGTGCTCAAGTCTTCTGTGTCGCTCTCTTGGTTCTGATTCACGTACCTATCGTCCCTATGTGGGTCGTTAGCTGCCTTGATTGTGATTTTTGTTTGCGCAGAACCATGCGCTGCTTTGCGTGAACTTTTCATCTGTCGACCATACACTTGATATTCATGCTGGTGAATCGGCACCACTAACATCCGTCTCTGACTAGCCGCTGGAATGTGCTGTATTGATACAAAAGAACATCAACAATTAAAGTCGAGGTTGTGTCTAGATAATCGCTATTGGTCAGTACATCTTGTGGTCAATGAAGCTTTGGAAGAATTCTAGAACCAGATATTTCGAGTTATCTCCTGATTGACGTGGTTTAGAGTGGTGGTAGACCTACATGTCGAGTAAGGTAGTCAAGGCTAGTTATAGCATACAACAAGAAGGATAGAGGATGCTGGTGGCGCTTGCAATGTTGCCGTTGATAGTTGAAGATGTTGCTGGGGGTATCACCCTAGTCGCTATAGTACAGTTTTGTGCAGATTATGCACGGATCATGCACAAGTCTTATGCATTCGAGATCAATGAGATGGATGTCCTTTTCCTTTTCATTCTATCTCGATCACCTCTCTGTGTTGACTGATTGCATATCTAAGCAAACCCTCCTGGAAGTAACAATCCCCCGTCAAAACCAGAAGCAACAACCTGCACAGCAATTCCCTCCTCACTGCCCCTTCTTCCCACCCTTCTTTCCCTCTCCCTTCCTCCCTCATCATCGGAATCCTATAACTAGTTTCCCAGCCATACAATGCACCAGCCCCAAACACTAACCCCGCACCCACACACATCATCCCACTCAAACTATGTCCAAACAACACAGTACTAGCCACAAAACTAACCAATTTCCTTACGTTCAACACTATAGTAACTGTAACTGCAGATGCCTGTGCGGAAAGCAGGTTTACGCCTGTGATGCAAGCTAGTTGCGTTAGGGAGTTGAGAAGCAGGTAGATGATTCCGCTGGGCAGGTTTGCGGCTTGAAGGACGGGGAGACTGTTGGGGATGGCGAGGGGNGCAGTACTGGAGAGAGCAATGTATTGGCGATGGAGTGTGTTGGCCAGAGGAAGAAACAGAGGTAACGAGAGAAAGTGGCTGTAGAAGAGGTTTTCGCGCCAGTGGGAGCCGTGGGTGGCGTAGGTGTCCTGAACGTAAACGCCCATGTAGGCGGAGAGGATTTGTGCGGCGAGAAGAATCAGCAGGCCAGAGCTAAGGTCTGTGCTGCTTGCTTCTACGGATTTGCCCNNTGTGTATTGCCAGTCAGCTGTTTACTCTTTGTTTGTGGGTTAGGGGTGAAGGAGAAAACAAACCTTGCTATCAGCATCTGCAAATGCAGAAACCAGTACTCCCACAGTCAGGATGACCACACTGCTCACTTGCAACCAGGAGTATCGTTTGCCTTGCAACGCACCCGCCAACATCGTCGTCACCGAACCAAAAGAGCGTAGGATGATATGCACCGGAACGGAAATGTTGAAAGCGAAGGCCCAGTTGTTGAGCATGTTAACGGCAAAGAACATGAGTGCGATGTAGGCCCACTTGCGCATGGGGACTTCAGGAGATCTCAGCGTCAAGGTGGGTGTAAGCTGAGAAAATGATGCTGCCAGCGCGGTAAAGATGAATTGAGAGAGCGTGATTAGAAGACCTGTAAAGATGATAAGTACGGGCTTTGCAGTCTTGTTAAGATTGTTACGGACCACTGTCGGCTTCAGTCCTGCGAGAGATAAGTCAGCGAAAGTCCTTAGATATGTGTATGCCGAGGAAGCATTCGATAATTCTGTAATCGATCTGCAATAGTATCGGTTGATGACTTACTTGATGATCTTCTCTAGCGTGAAGACCTTTGAAGCAGAATCAGAATCCATATAACTTCAATCATTCTGTGTAAAAACTCACATTCGAGCAACATCCTCCAAAAATGAGGCCCACTGTGTTGAGCGATGCAAGAATGATCGACGCCATATTTGTGAAGAGTAAAGGCTCTGTACAAGCAAAAGTCAATCAAAGTTGTCTGGAAGTAAAACAGTGGATAGAAAGGTGAAAGGTGGAAAGTTGAGATTTGCAAGATCGAATGTGGAAGGAGTTGTTGATCCCCGCAGAGAAGGAGCGATTTTCGATACTCCATCAAAATGCAAAGTGTTTTGTGAAAAGAGATGGGATTCAGTGAGAGTGACAAAAGACTGAATTGCCATGTAGGAGATCTCAATCCCCGCAGGAGAGGCCTGTTTATTGATTTACCATCAGAATGCACAGTGTTTGGTGAGATGCAGGAGGATCCATTGAGAGTGACAAAGAAGCTAAATTCCATTGAACGGCAACAGCATTCTTTTCTTCACGGATCGTGACGGTTAAGGAGATGGTGATTGGTGCAGGCTGGGTGGTAATGCGAAAACAGAACGTCATGAACAAGGTTACTTACCGTGGCCTGTATAGCGAGTATCTCGTGCGGGCGAACCAATATCTGAACTGCTTTAGGGAATAATTCAATGATTCGGTGTTGCGAGAAGTATTCTCGTATGGTCGCGAAATGTATGGAGGCCAAGAACAGGGGACTGAGCGACGTTGCAAGTGTTCCTCACCGCTCACCACGAAGCGTCGCTTGCAAATCTCGTGGGAATGCTTGTATTGATTGATTGAATGCACAGAAATAAGACAAAAATAGTTCACAGAGACACGATTTACACTTGTGTCGTACTCCGAGTATAGCAAAGGGCAAAAATACACCATAAAAAGGCACAATTGTTTATGAAAGCAGAACATGTCCACAGAGAGCTGGTAAGTTGTTGGCTTTCAGTGGAACTATCGTGTTTTCAAATAGTATTGTGCATTTTTATAGCTACACGAATCACATACATTGCACACGGGGATAAAGAATGAGGAGAGCACCGGGTTATGATTTTCAATTGTTATTTATTGTTTGAAGTCCATCCCGATACTCTGAAGAGCATCACCGTCTCGACAAAAGCCAAACCGCCAAGCAGGGGCCCAGAGTGACCGTCATGTGCCCGGTTCGCGACGCGACACTGACCGGATCCCGTTCTTCGAATCGACCCTCGTGGCTCACTGGGAGCGGTAGTTGGAGAGCACGAAGGAGTCGCGAACACAGTCGCAGGTCTCCTGAAGAAGCTGGGCGAGAGCTTCAGGGACAGAAGGGGCGTAGAGTCTGCCGACAAGCAGAGTGCAGTCTCTGATGTCGACCAGGCGAGCTCCGTAGTGACCGTTCTCGGGCCACTCGGCGCTGGTGACAATGATGTCCATGTGATCGACCCTGTTGGTGAAGAGGACGGCGGCGTTNGCCTGTAGGCGAGGAGCAGTATTAGTGATCGATCCGGATGTCATGGCATAGAAGATCTTACCAAAGATCTGCTCGCGCAGGCCAAGAATCTCGGCGAGACGAGTGGTGCTGGTGGTGGTAGGCAGCGCGGTGCTGCGAGATTGCTCGTGGGACATGGTTGGAAATTGGATGCGTATGCTGATTGTGTGTTGGTGGATGAGGTAGGCGTTGGGGTGGTAAGACATGGAAGGAAGACGCGAGAGTTGTCCAGGTAGCTGATGTCGTTAGGAGTTCGTGGCACGTCTTGTTGTGGCAGTCTCTCGGCATGGCGAGTGAGCAGTCTCTCGGCATGACCATGAGCTTTGGGCAGACGCAATGCCGTTCCCGTTGGCAACCAGACTCTTGTGTGCCGATCGAGAAAATGGATAGACAGCCAATTGACAAGTTCGGCAGGCAAGCCAGCACAGACACGGATAGCAGAAAGAAAAGCATAGCAAAAGAAACCAGAACTTGATTGAAAGAGGCATGATCATCTAAGGCTCTCCAGGCCAAGGGCTGTGTGGAAATGCATTGCCTTGGCCTGGAAAGCAGATATTTGTGTTCAAAGCATGATAGTGCCTTGTTGGTGACATTATTGGGTATCTCGTTGGCCTTGGTTGAGTACTGAAATAGGCCTATCCTTGTCTGGCCTTTGCCGATGCCTGAGCGGCTTCTNNAAAGGGTTGTCAGAGAGTTGCATCGCATTGAGCAGCTTATTTCCTCGTACCTCTTCTGGTGGCATCCTCCAGCAGAGGAGTGTCGACAGATGCAGCAGGGAGATGGACGTATCTCACAACGCTTCCTCTGATGAAAACGTTCTTGACCGAGCTCTATTATGATAGCGCAATATGTCAGCGCTTTTGTCTTCCACCCTCTGGATATCCAGTCTCTTGTCATACCATGTGGGGATACTTGAGGTCGTCCAGAACGGTAATGTCGTCAAGCTTGATGTTGAGGTACTGGTCGACGCTCTTCAGGGTACCGCGGATTGAGATGTCATTCTTGAGCTCCACCGTGACCTCTTGGATATTGTCAGATTCAGGCGTTCGAGTATATCCTTCGCTCGGATGGGACTAACCGGTGTTAACGAGGGTCTTGAAGAAACTATGCGTACATGTCAGCCCAAAGTCGCAACAGCCTGCCAGTTGCACTGAAGCTCGAGAGACCGCCGTCCTCGCGGCGAGATTCCCGTAGACTACCAGCGACACACCTTCCAGCTTGACTTACCTGAAGAACAGCATCTTGTCGAGTTGATGTGATGGTTGCTGTCTCTACTGCTCGCGACAGCTTGAACGACTTGCGGCGAATCTCGAGCGCTGATTGGTTGAGCATTACGTCACGTGTAATCGCAATCTCTACCACTTTCACTCGAATATGGATATCTCAATTGCAACACTGAACATACAGCTATCTACTACAAATATAAGGATCATCGGTGTTTTGGGAGTGAAGCTCAAGCTGGTTCTGTTGCTTCTTCGGAACCATAGAGTGAGGAAGGTACAACATGTGAGGCTTCGCTTGGCAGGGACATGACCGCATCCGTCAACAGTCTTTCTTTACCCTTATTCATACAAACACCATCGACTAGATGGAGAGATTTGCTTGAATATACGATCCTCGATCCATAATGGTCAAGAACCACAATTATAAGCTTGGCTGATGAATATTCGTATCAAGAATAGGCCAAGCATCCGCGGTGCTCTTGAGCTTCAAGTATGATGTCGTCAACATGGCGTAGATCAGACATGATGGACCTTTGAGGAATCTCCATAATATCCTTCCCCCTCATAAGGCTTCCAACATCTTTTGATCAACATGCTTCGTCTTTTCTCTAGAACTGCTCAAACAACTGTCAGAAGTGCATTCAGACCCAACCCGACCCTTAGTACTATTACCAAAGCAACCATGAGCGGTATGCTTCTTCAATCGACTCAATTGTGGCAGGACATATCTAACATTTTTTGCANNGGAAAGGCAGAGAATCCTCAGCTGAAGAACAGCGACCTCTTCGATGTCTCGCACATCACCGCCGTCGTCACTGGTGGCGGCACCGGTATTGGTCTCATGATTACCCAAGCCCTTGTCACCAACGGAGCCAAGGTCTACATCACCGGCAGAAGAAAGGAGAAGCTTGACAAGGCCATTGAGCTGTACAGCACTGGTCCCGGAAGCATCCACGCTCTTCCTGGTGACGTTAGCGACAAGGAAGACGTCATTCGTCTTGCCAAAGAGATGGAGTCAAAGGAGCCCAACGGTATCCACTTGCTGGTCAACAATGCTGGTATCGCCAGAGACGACGACACCAAGTTCTCCTCCAACGGCCAGCCTGACATGACTGATGCTAAGGCCATTTCGGAACACTTCCTGAAGACAAAGCCCGAGCAGTTTGCCGACACTTTCAAGACCAACGTTGCGGCTGTCTACTACATGTCCATGGCATTCCTGCCTCTTCTGGCCAAGGGTCGCGAAGTTACCCCTGGCTACACCTCAAGCGTCGTCAATGTGAGCTCCATCAGTGGTGCCATGAAAGGATCCAGCAATGGTCAGTTTGCATATGCTGCCTCCAAGGCCGCTGCCACTCACGTCAGCCGTATGCTTGCAACCACCTTCAAGGACACCAAGGTCCGCTGCAATGTCATCGCTCCTGGTGTCTTCCCCAGTGAGATGACTGCTGGTAGCTCTGGAGACGACAACAAGAGCAAGCTTGACATGAAGCCCAGCAACCCTGCAGGCAGATTTGGCTTCGACAGCGACATGGCAGCCACCATTCTCTTCCTCGCTGGCCGTGGAGGTGTCTTCTACAACGAGCAGATCATGTATCCTGATGGAGGTACGTTAATACTGTACAACTATATATGTCTCTTGGCATTTACTGACTCTTTGATAGGAAACACTCTTGTCCAGCCTGCATACAACTAAGCCAACCTTCAGCAACGACGATATGACCATTATTCTATCACAAAGTAATGCTACAATAGCTTGTAATCAATCGACTTGATCAAACCGTATTATGCAGCATGCTGAGAATTGTTTCAACCATTGTTGATTTTCCGGTGCGTTTCCAAGGTGATTCAATGCCTTTGGTTGTTTCGTCATTTTGCTTGCGCCAACTTCTCATCTCACTCCTACGCGACATTGATCCAGACAAGTGAGACTATTCAAACCATTCACTCCATTGACAAATCTGAATCACCCTCATACTCATAATCCTTTTCTTCACTAATTTCCGCCTTTCATCAACCAAGCCACCTCATCTTCTGCTCTTTGTTGATTTTACATCACAAAGACCATCATCACCAAGATGCCCTCATACAAAGAACTCCGCGCCCAGGGTCTTCAACCCAACCCTACCGCATATCCTATCCCTGCGCGCAACTCAGCAGGCGAAAGTGTTTACATCTACCAAAGAGTCAAGTGGACCGGAAACTTCCTTGACGCTGAACTCGAGCACGTCGAAGTGCCTGCATACAACTGCCCCTCTTTCACTACCACGGCCCAGCCTGAGCGTCTTACCTTGAAAGACACTCCCACCACAATGCTCTCTCATCAATCTCCTTTGAGCAAGCAGGCTCTTGCTGTTCCTTACCCTTGCGCACCAGAGAGAGACGAGAATGGCCAGTTCCCAGCCAGACCCGAGAACCTCCCTGCCAGACCAGAGCGCCCAACAGAAGAGACGGTCAGCGAAAGGTCCTTCGGCAAGCTCATCTACACCGAGAGACCCCTGAACGACGACGAAAGAATTGCTCGAGACAGTCAGCACCTTGTCGAGTTGCAGAGATGGAGATCGTGGGCCTCAAGGATGCCCGAGGAGTGGGGACTCCTGGACCAAGCCGAGTACAGACAACTCAACAGCATGATGCCAACAGCCTCCATGTCGCAGGTCGACAAGCCCAACATCGACAAAGATGCCCAAATCATCTTGCTCTTCGCCTTCGTCACTGCGCTCCTGTATCTGTGGGGCATGCCAGCAAGCCAAATCCTCGCCATTGTGGTTCTCCTCATTGGCGTTATACAAATCAACCACCAGAACAGCCTGGATCCCATCGCGATTTTTACCTACACCGCCCTGAATCCCATCGGCGCTCTGTATCTGCTTGGCTACTGGATCTTGGGAATGATCAGCGTCGTTGTGGTCGTACTCTCCTTCGTCATGACCTCCACGTTGTGGCTGCTCAACCAAGTGGTTGCCTCCCTCGCAGGCGCCAACTCCGGATCTCGCACTCTTTACCACGATGCGATTGCTCTCTTGGATGTCACAAAGCATGATCTGACGAGGGATATCTCTGTATCTCGATTTGCCCCCTGGCTTGCTGCGGTGGTTCTCGCATGCTTGAATTACAAGATGATTCAGGAGCCCTCGACAATCTGCCTTCTCGCTTGCTGGGCTCTCTGCCTCTTCATAGTCATTTGCATCCTGTCGTCATTCACACAGCGGCCCCCTAGCGCAGCCATCGGCGACCCTGTCATCCCTCCCCCTACCACCCCTCCGGCTACCCCTGCTGCTCAGGTTGTCCCTGCCCTCCGCGCATCAACAACTCTGTCCGGTTACAGCGGTGTCACCTTCGCTGACCCGCTGTCTACTCCGCAGTCAGTCAGTACAAAGTCTTTCCCTGAGGGTCTTCGCCCGAAGCCGCTCATATACGACTTTGGCACGCCGACCCGAGGTCCCTTGAGCAAGGATTTCGGTGCTCGCCGTAGCCCAGCTGACTTGTACCAAGTCCAACCGACTTTCTTCACCTCCCCACCGAGGCAGACCTTTGCCTGAGTGCGGCATTTAAATGCACGAATATGTTTGAACAGCACGCTTGTCCATTGAGAGCTCAATCTTCTTGGTCAAAAGAGCGACTCTCGATGGACAGATCTGCTTTTCGGCATAGACTTTTGCATTTTGATAGTCACAGAAGCACCAGGAATGTGTTTGGGGGAGGTGTTGCAAGTTGGGTGGCAGGGGCTGGTATCTTGTCGCCTTCTCTTCTCTCAACACACTTCGCATCGGTCTGTGAAAATGCACAATCGTTTTAAAGATTCCGAGGTGTCCAATGAGAGCAGGCATTCATTGAAAATTCTGGAGATGAGATCTTTTGTTTCTTTGTTCACTTTTTTTTCTTTTTGGCATTTTTCTTGCCATTCAATTTCTTTGTTTCCAATCACCCGCTTCCGGTGATGAGGGCCCTGGTGGTCAATTCAGTCACACTTTTCTTCATGACATCTCTTGAACTCTGTCATAACAAGGGTCAAACTGTCTTTGGTTCAATATCTTGCTCAAGCGGCCAAGATGTCGCTCACACCACAAAAGCCCACTTTGAACAGCAACATTCTGGAACAGCTGCAGGCACGATTCCCTTCAGATGCGCCACAGAGTCCGTCATCACCAATCGCAAAGGGTATTGCAGCCCTTGAACGCCGAGCATCAAACAGGTCGGCAGCCGGCCAAATGAACAGAACTGGATCACCTTTCGAACGCAGTCGTACTGTATCACCTCTTCCTCCTCAGGCAAACCTCGCAATAGACACAACATTACAAGCCAGAAGTACATCATCTTCGCCTGGCCCACATAAAGGCAATCGTCGGGCACCTCCGCCATTGTTGAAGACCAAGATGAGACCGTCCAGCGAACTGTTCCTGCCAACACCCAAAACGGCAAGAAGTACTGGATTTAGATTCTCAACAATCATTCCTGAGGATGGCCTGGCGGTAAAGTCAGAACCAGCGACGCCAGAAGTCACAGCTCCAGTACCATCTTTCTCGTCGCCTCCAATATCTCCCGCGTCTGCCTCCATCGCCGATGCCATTAGCCGCATCGATGTGGGTGCATCCGTTCAGAATGCTATCGACAATCTGAGCAAACCAGAAGCGAACCGTTTCATCTTTCCTCCATTGAGATCCTCGACTGCGCCACCTGCCAGCTTACGTCGACAACCCAGTTTCGCGTCCATCAAATCATCGCGGTCGTTGCCTTTACGTGCACTCAGTACTCGGTTTAGTCGTCTGAGCCGTGCAGGAGGCAGTAGTTCTCGAGGTGCTGGAGTCAATCCCATGCTTTCGCCCAAGAAGCGTGGCTCACACTTCTCTGGAATAGACAAAGACCTTACAGCTGATAGAAGACTGAGCTTTATGATGGCAAAGCACAAGTCCAACCTGGAAAGCGTACTAGCATCCCCGATTGAAGAACAAGCACCTGTCAAGCCGGTACTGAAGAAAGCCACAACGAGTGTTATGCCTTGGCGCAAGAAGATGAGAGGTGAAACGATGAGCATGCTGCTCGATTCCGGCTTTTTTCCTGTTCAAGAGTTCATCTACGAGAAAAACGAGACTTCACCATCGATGACAACAACACGCAGTCCGAGCAAACGCAATCAGCTTGCTCTGAATATCCTCGTCAAAGACTTACCAACTGAACGCCCTTCTTCCATCCTCAACACGCCAACAAACTTTTTATCAACAAGGGCATTCAAGTTTGAGAAGGAAATCGACGCGAAACAGTCATCGTCGTTCACTGGGCACGCGACGCAGAATCTTGACCGCGGCTTCCGTTTCGAGTTCACAAGTCTCACCCACAATGGTTACTCACAGGACAGTGACTGCACCTCCCCTTTCTCCAACAAGTCCGATAACGCCTCTGACACCTACCAAAGCTCTTGCCGCCCTGACGGGAGGCTCTGAAAACAGTCCAAAGTCTGGTCAACTTTCACCCGGCATCTTGGAAGTGATCCCAGAAGACGGTGGTGTCACTGCCGCAATCGATACTATCTCATCACCCATCTCACAAACTTCTGTGCGCTCCATTCCTGATGCGCCAGCACTTCCTGACGCCACAGGGAGTGAAATTCATCTCAGCTCGGGCACCGTCCTCATGGTCAAGACACCCGAATCAACAGCCTGGCGCCGTTCAGTCTACATCCAAGGACCCATCAAACTGCCCACTCCGGCCGTGGTACCTCGAAAAGGCAGCATCGCCACCCTTGACCCCTTCCAAGATGTGCTCGGCAATGTCGCTGTCCCACGCCGCAAATCTGAAGACACTGCCACCGATGACATTTGCGAGTGGTACGACACCTGGCAGCACGATCCCGTCTCTTTCGCTTTAGACGAATTTACTCTCGACGACACTGATCTTGCAACCACATGGGCCATGACTCCACTCAATGAAGAGCCAGAAAGTCCTATTGATCGCAGTGTGCGCTTCCCCTCGCCCGCACCGCCACTGGCCAAACAAGTGGCAGCCGCCATGCTCGATCCAGGCACCTTACGCCCCGAGTCTCAAGCCATCAAGCCACGCCCTCGCATGTCTGTCCCTTTGACACCCCTTCCCGAACTCCCCAAGACACCTTCTGTGCCAAGCAGCGAGAAAGGTCACAGCAGAAACAGCAGTGGAGAAACTTCCTACAAGAGTTCAAACAGCGATCCTATCAAGCGCACTGATAGTAGAGGCAGCGGATTGAGCGGAGTAAGCTCTGTAGAGGAAAAGAGTTGGTTCGATGCAGAGAGCAAAACAGAGACCGATAAGGAAAAAGGAGAGAAAGTGTGCAAGGAACTGAACAGTTGGAGGCGAAACCTAAGATGAGTAGGATGAGGAGGTTTGTGCAGACTGCTTCTGCCATTCTGTAAGAAGAAGCTCTGCGGTGGACAGCGAGCAGACAGTTGAGATGACTTTTCCTTATCATAGCTGCTTCGAGAATTGAAGCACAATCATCAATGCCAATCTCAATATGCTTATCACAAATCGAAACTATCGAATCCGTATAGTCTTCCCACAGTGATGTGTAAATCTCTTCTTCTCATTACGCAAAGATGATCCGCAAGAACATCGTCTTGGAAAACTGGGCTTGACTTCCACAACCTGGTAGCACACAATATTGCACCCACATATTGCCTAAAGACTCCTTACCATCAATACTCGTATATTTCTAGCTCCTTGCATGCATTCTGGGTTCCAAATGTGTTGCTTCTTTACTGTTTGTCTTACCAGATTTCTCTTATCTCACCGTGATCTGACACTATACAAACAAAGTAGCCAGGAAGCATTAACAGGTTCTGGTGGAATGTTTCCAGACAAAAGTCTCACTCTTTCAAGTCTTAAAGACAAGATGCTTTCTTAGATGCTATGCAAGGTTTGTGTCGCCAAGAGAGATTAAGTCTTTGTTAAACATGCGTAAAGACAGTGCAGATCTTCCAAAGAATGCTTGTGGGAACAAAAGGGTAACAAACCAGCTACACATACAAAAGCTCAATGATCATCTATTGTAGTCGTGCCTCTACAAAACATGAAGTGTCGTCAAAGCCTCTACCCGTGCCAACCCCCACCAGCAAACAAATCAAACACTCCCAACCTCAGTCCCCGAATCTCTTGCATTACCTAATCAATTCTTGCATATACTACAAACCATCTACTTCACCATCAACCCCAAATCCACCTTTGCCAACAGATCAAAGCCCCAGCCAAAAACCAACAAAACAACTACTTCGGTCGAAAAAGCAAGACAAGAACCATCATGCCTGAACTCCCCTCGGTTCTCAAATGCCCCAAATGCGACGCCAATGCCGACGTCACCAAAGATGGAAAGTGGGCTCATTGTGCTTCTTGTGAGTGTCTTTCCTACTTTCCCTCGCACTTTCCCTGTTCACTACTTCCCTCCCCAAATCCTCCTCAAAAGAGTTTCTATGATATCATTGTTGTGGCAGATAGGACTGATGTTTGGAAAAATAGGCNNAACAACATCTTCCAACCTAGCGAAAGTCCTGACGTCAAGGNNGAGGGTGAGAAGGAAGAGTCCAAGTGAATGGATTTTGAGATTCTTTGAAATAAAATTGGGAAGGATGCACCATCAGCAGTGCGTTCGGATTGGATGGGATGGCTGGCAAGAACAAATTGGTATGGAAAATGTTGGAAAATAAGTTGCATCTAGATATCTGTATCAAAAACCAGAGAATGTCTACACTTTGATTCATGTAAAGCACTACGAAAAGCATGATGCGGAATCACAATGGAAAGAAAATCGATAATGTAATCTTTTGTTATCAATCAAGGTAATAGGCTACATCTACCAAATCGACGATCGTCTTCTCGCAATCGTACGCGCTGGAGACAATACAACGAACTCGCAAATCTACTGGTCCAGCTCGACGTAGTTGGCAGGGAAGAGACCTGACTGACCATTGTAGTGACCGAACCACCAGTCCTCGTCAGGGAACTCCTGTTTCTGTGTTAGCAATGTCTCTGAAGTATAGAAAGAAATTCAACTTACCACATCGGTGATCTTTGCGCCATCAGGGAAACTGAGCTCGTTGTCTTCGGCAGCCTCGTAGTCGTATTGCGCTGTGGCAGTCTGTCCACCAGCGGCTGCGGGAGCCGGAGGAGCATGTGTAGCAGCAGGCTCATCGCGAGCAGGAGCAGGAGGTGGGGAGCAGCACCGCCAGCAGCGGCANTCATCATCTTCCACGAGCTCGACGTAGTTCGATGGGAACAAACCAGTCTCGCCCTGCGAGTTCTGACCCATCCACCAATCCTCGTCGACCATCTCGATATTCTCGACGTACTCGCCTTCGCGAAGTTCAATTTCGTTGTCCTCGGCCTTTTCGTAATCGTACTGAACGAGAGCACGCTTTCCAGCAACACCAGCACCGGGGTTGGCAGTGGCAGCGCTTGCACCAAAGGTGGTGGCTGAGGCTTCTTCAGCAGCAGCGCGAGCATGATCCTCTTCATCTTCCGGTTCATCACGCATGTGCGATGCAGCGGCAGAGGCGGCTTCAGAAATTGATTGTGTTGGCATGGGAGGAACCTCGAAACGCTCTTCCGGAGCCTCCATAGGCTCTACAGGCGCTTCACGAGCTACGGGCATAGCGACGCGAATAGGAGAGCTGGGAGGCGAAGGTGTAGGGCTGCGTGGTTGGGCAGGGAGGAGGGGGAAGGCTGACATGTTCTTCCTCAGGTCTCTCGTCCTCTTCTTCTTGGGGAGGAGGTGGCACNNAGAGCGACTAGCAAGACCAGCGTTAGGCTTGCTAGAGAAGTCCATCGGAGGAGGCATAGGTGGTGCAGGAGAGTCATCACCAACGTTGGAAGCACCCATAGGAGCAGCATTCTTGAAACGGTCCTTGAGAGCACTGACACCACCAGATGGGATTTCGGGTTCCGTCTCACGCTCGGGGGATCTAACATCGCTCTGACCAGTCTTCTGAGCGCTAATGTTGCTAGCGCCTGTACGATTAGTCGAGACTGGGGCCCAAGACTTGCCAGTGTATCCACTCTGCCATCCTCCGCTTGGCTGACTTTGCATAGGCGAAGCAGCAGCAGCTGATGGTGGAGGAGGAGCAGTCTCACCAGCACCACTGAGACCACGCTCACGAGCCTTCTTCTCAGCCCACAATTGAGCAGGAGACTTGCCGTCGGTGCTAGCAAAGTTCTTACTAGCAGCACCAATGGGGGCAGAGGCAGCTGGTGGTGGTACACCAAAACCGACAGGAGTGGGAGCCTTGGTGCCAGCGAATGAGCTTGTTGAAGAGCCGAAACGGTTTGCAACCTTAGGCTTGGGCATCTCACTCAGACGTCCAGATTGGCTAGATTGACCGAAAGCGGCAGATCGCTCAGCCAGGGATTTAGGTGCTTGTTCTTCATCGTCGTCGCCAGTGCGAGATTGGTTCACAGGAGCAGCAGCAGGTGATGGGGCGGCCTGGGCCTTTGCACGAATAGCAGCAATGTCGACCTTGCCAACGGGCTCGTAAGCTCCCTTAACAACGGTAGGCCTGTCATCCTTCTGTTCACGTGCTTGGCTACGAATGGCATTGATATCGACCTTGCCAATAGGTTGGTAACCGCCCTTAACGATGTCGCTGGGGCCATCATTCTCTTGCCTTGTAGAAGGCTGGAAGCGCGAAGGCTCTTGCTTCTGGCTAGTGAGTTCGGCCATGTTGACCTTTGTAGGCTTGTATGCAGATTCCACCTTCTCAAGAGTGTTGCGGGACAATTGAGGCGCATCATCACCCCAACCATCGCTGTCGGTAGTTGTAGGAGCTGCAGGCTTGGATCGTGAGGCAAGAAGGGAACCACCAGTACGCGTGGGCATGAAGACGGGCTTGGTGGCAGCAGGTGGTGGAGGAGCGCGCGAGGCCGAGGCGCCCGAGTCGGAGGTCGAGGGGCCACCACCGTACTTGGCGCCGGACGCGTTGGACACCTTCTCGATGATGCTCTCGGGACTGAGATGGCTCTCTGAGCGCGCTGTGATTTCGACATGGTAGCCCNNTGTGATTGTCAGGCTGCTGTCAGAAGAGAGGATGGCTCGGGTACGTACGTGGAGCAACTTTGAGACAGCGCCGCGGTGTGTGTTAAAGTAGCCCTTTGTTCTCTCGGGAACACCCTCACCACACCACGAAATCAGGACACATTTGGGCAGGCCAGAGTTGGGATCCTTGATCTTGGCAAAGGCGAATTGGATGCGACCGTCGGAGAACTCGTCAAGGAGCTCGTCCAGCTCACCCTCTNNGTCGTCTTTGGGTCAGCTTGTCTCGGTGCGAACCCAGGCTTCGTGGTTCTACGCACCTCCAGTAGTTTGGACCTTGAGTACACTCTCCTTGCTCGAGTCTTGCTGGAAGGCACTTGTGAGGGGAGCTTGGACTGAGTAGACGGCCCATTGGGCGTAGGTCGACGAGTTGGACGAGGGCGCGGGACCGTCGACGATGGATTGGTAGCTCCTCTTGATTGAGGGACCGTTGGTTGACAGATTGAGAGATGCCATGGTGGCAGATGTGGGATAGGGATATGTCGAGCAGGCTGAAGCGATTCAGACTGCAACAAGTGACGAGCTTGACAAGTTGTTAAGTTGTTGGTTGCTGCTGCTGCTGCCCAGTGCCCAGGCCAGCGGGGTCTATGTCATCCATCCGCCGGCAAGTCGGACGCGTCAATCCCCGTTCCGCTCTCCGTCACAGAAAGTGGCCGTGCAGCACAGCCTGCCTGCTCTTGCTTGGCAAGGCAGGCACATTTGATTGGTCTGCGCTTTTCGAGCATTCGTGGCTTCCTTCAAGGCACTTGCGAGCCTCGAGCTTCTCTTCTCTCCGACTCTGTTGTTCTTTCCCAAGCTCTTTTGTTTTCCTGTCTTGCATCGCATTTTCAGCCAAAAGGTCAAGTTTTCCCCTCTTGACCGCGCGCTGCTTCTGCTCAACTCTCAGTGGCTGCATCTTGTCTTTGCAAGTATTTGCGCACATTTCCCTTATCACTCATCCATCTCATCTTACCCTGTCAACTCCTCCAAGAGTTGTTGCCCTCTCTATCTCTGCCCTGTACGAGTAGCAACTCCTTTGCGCACACTGACAGTCAGACTTGTCGAGTCAACTGGCTCGCAACCATGGCCTATTCTCAGTCTCCAGCTTCCGATGCTTCATCGGACCTATATGCAGAGGTAGATACGTCGTCGCAGCCCAACTTGACTTCGCGTGAGCGCCATCAAGTTGCTTCGCCAGCGTCCGACCAGATGTATGATGATAGTCCTGTACCGCTCCCAGCACAATCAAAAGGCAAGCGTAGATTTGGCGCCGAGGACCACCAGACCCAAGTACCGCAAAAGAAGCGCAAGCTTGTACTCACTGCAGAACGTTACTTTTCTCCTGCTATTCCGACTGTCGCCAACCTGCCTGCCGAGGTCTGGCAGCATGTATTCCTATACCTTACTCCAGACGACCTTAGTCGTTGCTTGCGCGTTAGTCGCTTGTTCCGCTCCTATCTTACCGATCTCACCGCCACTATGGGCATTCGCCTACCGCCTCATCGCAGTGGCTTGAAGCTTCTCGACAGCGAGGCTATCTGGACATCAGCCAGGAAACTGTTTGCCCCTAACCTCCCTCGACCCCTTGCTGGCTTTACCGAGATGCACATGTTCCAGCTTATCGGAGGTAGGGATTGTCAAGCTTGTGGTGCTTTTCCACTGCATCCAAATCAGCCCACTACCCCGTTCGACGCTGGGCCTGGTCCTGGCGGTGTGCGCGTTATCTGGTCATTTTCTGCTCGACTCTGCTCTGAGTGTTTTGAGCTATACTCTGTCAAGGTAGTATCGTGTCTTTGGTAGTCCCGCATTTTGATTGGTCTAATTTATGTGTAGGATGTCGATGTCGTGGTCTCTCCTGTCAACCCATTGAGAGCTGGCTTACCCTATGCTTTTTGCACACCGGATTTACACTACATTCCTGCTACCTTGCAGGCTCAGGCTGCTGCTTCCATCAAGGGCACGATGTTCAAGGTGTACTCGCAAAAACATATCGATGATCTTCAACAAGAACACCAGAATGCTATGGAGTTTGGCACTGCTGCTGCCGAGGAGTGGGTCAAAGGTCTGCCATTACTCGGAAAACAGCAGATGGCCGATGCTGCTCGTTGGGAAAGATGGGAAGCCCAACTTCCTCTTGGTTCCGACATTTCCAAAGTGCTTAGAGACTACTTCCGTTCTTATTCTGTTCCTATGATAGGTGAGGCTCCGGTCACTGTACCATCTGCTGCAGTAACTGTAGTTGCGACACCTTCAGTGAGTGCAACTTCACTTCCAGCGCCTCCTTCAACCCAAAGTAAGTTTTGCCGACTGGTGCATTTCCTTTTGTCATTGCAGTTTCAACTTGCATTCTATTTTGAGAAAGTTCTTGACAAATCTTCAAATGTTGTCATTTCAAGTCTTGCTTCACACCTCACGTATACGAAACAATCAAAGCGCAAAAAGACCTGTTCAAAACGTCCAGCAGTTATTGACTATGATCGCACAGTGAAACATCCTCTTCCAGCCCGAGTCGTTGCTGTCCCTACTGCAACCCAACCGAGCACCAGTGCTCAAAGTCCTCAACAACTAAGCAAANAGGAATGGCGCGCACCTCGAAATCTCAAAGAAGTCAACGAAGCCAGGGCTTCTCGACGGGCCGACATTGAGCGACGATGCTACACCGAATTTCAGCCACCACTCATGCCTAACGTCTTACAACACATGGAATCTTTCCACGCTGCTATGCAGATAACCACTCCATTGACTGACAGCGCCTGGGAGGTCTTGAAACCTCGCCTTTATGTTCAACGAGATGCCGCTGAGCAGATCGAGTACATGAGAGAGGAACAAATGCGTGCCCTTCAGGCAACAATTCCTGATCCTGCATACCACGCTATGTATAGCCAGCCTGTTGATCCAACGGTTCTTCAGCGTCAGTATGAAGCTGCCCAAGCACCAATCCGAAAGAAGCTTGGCATGTACGCCGACGATCTGATTCGAATCAAGTGGAAGAAGGGTAAAATCCTTACTCGTGAAAGCTGTCCCGAATTTGCGGTAGAGGTTCTGCTCTACGCCAGGAACAGATTCGTTCAAGTTGAGCGGCCGCATGACTTGCCCCAAGATCAGATAACTGACGAGTCTGATTCATGGTTCGTGAGTCTGGAAAATATGCGCTGGCTCTATGACCAGAAAGTCAAGACATACACCGACAAGTATTTGCGTGAGCTGTTTCACTGCGCCGAGTGTAAGTCGCTCGGCAAGTCTTACGCTTTCGAAGGCATGATACAACATTATGGTGCAAAGCATACAACCGAGTTCAGCAGGGGAAATATCGTTGTTCATTGGCAAAGTGCAGAATGGCCGGAAGAATCTCCTCTAGAACCTTGCAACGGCGCCATTCCTGATCCGACTTTGCCTCCCAAGCCATCTAAGAAAGCTACAGAGGGCGGCGAGGCTAGCCAACACCAAACATTGGATGAGTATGGAGCTCCAGCTCAACCTGCATACCCAGCTTATCAGAATGAATCTTGGCTTGCGAATGATCAGGCTGGATACTCGGCTTACCCTCCCGACGCCCATGCCGGTTATACTCCGTATGGCTATCCTTATGCAAGTGGCACTCCAGCAGACCCTCATCACCAGCATGGTTATTATCCTCCTCCCGCCAACCCTGCGAGCTTACACCAGGATCAGATCGGCTATCTCGCGAATGCTGCCAGAGATGTCTGGGACACCACTGCCGGAATCAAGGGTCTGGAAGAGTGTGTTAGAGTTCACACCGTACTACATCATGTTGTCTCGAGATTCAAGGCTCACTTTGGCCTGGAGCCGTCGCTCGATCTGCTTACCGATGCTCTCGTCAACCACGACCTCATGCGACCTCTCAAGGAAGCGAGTGGAATGGCCTGCATGACTTGTATATCGAGCAACCTAGATGGCTTTGTTGCTTTTAAGCCCTATGCGAACCGCATTGCCGACTACAAGCTGTACAACACTTCATCACTTATCACACATTTCAAAACGGTCCATCTTGGAAGTGACTCTGGACTGGATTGGAAGGAAGACATGATTGAATTACCTGAAGATGATAATATTCGTCAGTTGTTGATTGCGGTCGGCATGAACGACGAGAAGCTCGGTCTAATCGCACAAGTTTTCCCCAAGCTTTTTCCTAATCCGCTCCCAAAGATCGGAGAGGTCAAGGAAGCTTTTAAACCACTGCCTAAGAAGGATACAAAGTCAGAGCGTCGTGCTAATCAGAAGAAGAAGAAACAGAAGCGTAATAGCGGACATCATCCTGCTCCTCTGACTCAGGGCGAGACCTCGGAAGAGCAATCTGATACTCTCCCAGAGGCTGCCGAGGACGAATATGATCCTCGACGCCCAGCCTTTATTGAGCGAGATAACCAGGGATCAAATCGCAATGGCCATGGCAAGAAGTCACATGGTGACGGCCAACGACAACAGCCATCTATTGACCTTACACAACTTGCACCAGAAACTCTGGAAGCTCTCAGCCGCCTCCGCCCTTCTGACCCAGAGGTTCAGAAAGCTCTCGCCAGTAGGACCGAACGGAGTCCGTCTGTGCCCAGGGCTGGTGGTTCTAACCCTCCTCCGATTGACGCTGATCGCCGAAACCGCGCTGCATTCGACGCCAATCGTGTTGCCGCATATCCGCCACAAGAATCTCGCGATGACAATCCGCGTTCAAATGGTCGACACGATCGTGGTGGTGTTGAAGAGCCTCCTGAGGATTACACACAGATCATCCGTACACCTGCTGCTGGTCTGTACAATCAGCATGAGACTGCAGCTCCCGGTCTCTCGGTCCCACCGCAAGATCGCTATATTCGCGTTGACTCACGTGGACAACCTTTGGAGCATCTCCGGCACGAACCTGCGCCATACGGCTATGAGTATGATCCTCGCGCAGGATATCCAGAATTCTACTCTCGACCGGGATATAGGGCAGAGCATCCGCCTGTTTCCTATGGTTATGAACCAAGACCCGAAACGATATACGTGGATCAGTACGGTCGTCCAGTCGAGGTTGTACGTGTGATTGAACGTCACCCTCCACCTGTATATGACTACCCGCCACACCAACCGGAATACTATCAGAGAGAGGATCCGCATGCTAGGTACGTGTATTATGAGCAGTCGCCACATGGCCCGCCTGCACCACAGCCAGGGTATGCAGGCCCTCCTCGAGTCAATTACGGGCAAACGCCTGGTCCACCATCGAGATATGTGTATGACGACGGAAGGGCGTCTGTTCCACGCAACTGAGATGTGTATTTGTAGAAGAACGTTATTTTTGAAGATGGGCTCGACCTGTTGACTATCTGTTACTCCTAGTAGTGTAGAAGCTCTTACAATTTTGATTTCTATCTTGTAAGCATCTTGCATGACTAACGAATTGAAATTGCTCTGTGAACTATACAGAAGGTTGCCGATTCATTGTAGAAGCAATTTCGACGTCGCAATCTGGATGAACAGTTTGCCTGCGTCAATGAGGATGAATCACAAATTCACAATCCTTTTACCGTTGTGCGTCGCCGACAAGAGCTCCGCCCCCTCAAGTGTTCCTCTTCTTAGGGCAGAGACTTGGCATGAACTTGCCTTCTTAGGTAATACGATGTTCGCTCACGCAAAGCCATGAACTGAAGCTAGCAGAGCACGAGGCAAAAGCAGGTACGGTTTCGCGTGAATTCTAGAGGTTGGTACAATAGTACCTGCTTGCTAGCGACTTGTGCTCATGGGGACAGGTTAGAGGGCGGTTTCATGTGCGTTAAATCCGGCCGCTTTGAGTTTGCCCCGTTGGATCCAGACTTCGCGGACCCGGCGCGAGGTCTGTGAGACGCAAACTTCCATTCTTCCTGACTCTTTGCTCGTGACAGAGATCATGCGTCAGCCTCTTCTGCGCGTCGACGTCCTTCAAAGGGAGTGTCTGTGATATCTTCCGCACCCAAAATCCATCTCCGGTCGAGCTCCACCATCTTTCCTGGTCAGATTGATGCGACGTTCGATTCCTGCTGTGGACCGCCTTTCTTCCCGAAACCGAGGCCGACCAGAGAACTCTGAGACCCTAGACAACTCACTGAATGCCTTCCCTTTCCCGATTTATGGCCCAATAGACCATGAGTCGCAATATCCTGCCAGCGAGCGTCGCTACAGATCATGCCAAGCTCGACTCTTCAGCCGCATTCTCTCCAACCGCAGCTAGGTGGCACCCCGCCAAGGTCAAGAAACTCGCTGGTTCGGCGTGTGAATATTGTAGGAAACGCAGACGAAAAGTAAGCAAATCGTCTCAGTGTAAGTCTCTGTATACTAATGTGATCTGTCAACAGTGTAATGGAGAACAACCATGTCCACTGTGTGTGGACAACAATCAGGAATGTATATACGACATCACGAAAACAGAATCCCCAGGTCAAGTTGTCAAAAGGGNNAAGCACGCTCAGATGCAACAAGAACACGACGAACTAAAATCCCTTTTTGGCATCCTTGCGACAGCCAGCACCCAAAAAAGTCTTGAGATTCATAATCGGATCAGAGCCGGACAGTCTCCGCAGTTCATTCTCCAACAGTTGCAGCACGGAGACATACTTGTTCAGAGTAGGATCAACTCGGAAAGGCATGTGCGACACGTGCTCCTTAGCAGTCTCATGCAAACGAATGCTTCTTTCGACGAGATGATTGATTTCGTTGGCTTGACTGTCGCGAAGAAACCTGGTACACAAATTCCTACCACGGCGCTTCTGCGACAGCTTAGAGGAAAGCAGACCGATATTAAAGGATTTCGTAACCTTCTTGGCTACCCTCAGCCTTCGCCTCCGCAGCGTCGAATAGCCATATCTGACCTTCTAAGTGAACAAGACGAACCACCATCTCAGGCTGGAAGTGCTAGCCCGTCCTCTGAGGTCGACCAAGAAGACAACATCATACCCCTGGACCCACCTGTTAAGGTGTCGGCGAAGCCTTGGACTGCGGTGACGGACGATGACGACCTGGTATCTCACCTGATATCCTTGTGGCTACAATATGTCAACCCGTTCTTTCGGGCTGTGGAAGAGGATCTGTTCATCGAAGCTATGCGATCTGGGGATTTGCGCTCGAGATATTGTTCAACCTTTCTTGTCAACAGCATTCTGGGCCTCGCTTGTGTATGTTTTGTGTTGTTCATGTATTACGATTTAACACTGACGATTTGTTAGCTCTACTCGGAAAGAGAAGGTGCATTCTTCCAGCCCGATGACTACATAACGCGAGGGCAACATTTCCACGATGAAGCATTCCGGCTTTGGCAACTCGAAGAGGGAAGAGCCTCTCTAACAAACCTTCAAGCACTTGCTGTACTATATCCTGGGCAAGTAACCATATGTAGCTCAAAAGCTCAACGTCACTAATGCAGATGCAGCTGTATTCTAAGAGGCAAGGACAAACTAGGTGTGAGCACGTGTGCTATATTGACTCAACTGGGTCGGAGTGTGCCAGACACGCTTCAGCAGACTTCGTCATCATCATATACGCCCGACGAACTCAAAGCCTATCAAAGAGCTAGGAAAGGTGTCGCCTGGGCTGCTTTTGCATGCGATGTGTAAGAACGAAACTCTTCTCCATTCCACGTTGACTTGCCGTTTCCTTGCTAACACCTGTGTCTAGCGNCGACTGCGAACACAATCTTGCAACCGGCTTGGCACATAACCTGCAAAGAGGACCTGCCTACCCACGAAGAACTCGCGGTTGCAAAGTCATCGAATACTTGGACAGGTTATCCCTATCAAAACAGAAACGACTATCTCGACAAGGATGCTTTGTATATTGCTCATTGTGCACTAATCCAGCTGACATGGAAAGCACAACGCCTCCTTTATGCTTCAGATCGGAGCGATCCGCACTTCTTCGGTCACGTTGAGGCTCTGACCGAAGAAATGAACCGCTGGAAAGCTGCGTTGCCAGATAGCTTACAGTTTCATGGCAGAATGCCGGCACCAGTGTATGATCTTNTAGTAAGTCCAGCATGACACTAATACATTAGGACTTTGACTAATACAAGCCATAGTTCTTGCTATGCAAGTGTGGTCATTGCATTATATTCACTCTTCCAGCCTCTAGGGAATGCTAAACTTACCCCCTCAGAAGAGACTTCAGAATCGCGACCAAAACAAGGTTTCAGATATCATCAGGATCTGACTCCACCATACGAGACACCAAAACCAACACCAGGCAATGTCCAGGCCCACTTTGCTCGAACAATGAGCTATCGCGCGCTTGCCACTGCCCATGCCCATGCCGTTAGGCTGGCTAGTTACCGCCACCATTACGGCTTGAAGATCGCACCGCCTTATTTTGTCCAAGCAAATGGCGTTGTTTGCTTTACACTCCTTCGAGATCTTGATAACCCCGCTTCTGCGGCTGCGTTCAAGGAGGCTTTTCGATGTCTCCTTGGTGCTGGCATGCAGCTGCTCTGGGCTAGAGGTATGGCCAGGATGCTGCACCTCACCGCGAAGAATACGGGAATACAATTACCCAGGGCTATAGAAACGATCCTGGAGGCGGTTGCAGATACCGCATGGACAAAGACTGACACGGAGATGTTGAGTTCTTGCTGGCCCAACATTGCCATTGCCAAAGATGCAAAGGAGGGCGAAAGCGTCACGATGGAGGATTTAATCAAGAAGTGGGAGAAGCTTGCTGTTGATCCAGCACTAGAGGAAGTCAAGCAGTCCGGCAGGTGACCCTCAGGGTTATGACTAGGATGAGCGAGTTCTGGTTCACAGTCCACAAAACTGCTCTTCTGGTACCTGAAAATTGACTCTGAGCTATAATCACTCCGTCACGTCACGCCATAGAAGAACAAAACTAGAATTCCTCGGTCGGAATCGTGCAGTTTCCATCAGCCTTGTACCAAGCTCTTGCGTATTGCGCTCCAGCATCTCGGCTGTCGTTCAGTCGGCGAAGCGAAGAGTTGATCTCTTGGGCACTCCGGATACGCCAGCCGCAGGTTGATGACAAGGAAGATGGTCAATAGCGTCAGGATCTAGAGCGCTCAGCCGCCTTTGTAACAAGCGAACGTAACGGTCTCTTTGCGGCCGTTGACATCGTTCCCATCACTGACTGACATACAAATGATATCGTTTGTTGCCTGCGGTTCACAATGCCCTGCTGGGATTGCAGCAAGCACTCGGATATGGCTATGGCCGACAAGTTCACGCGGGCTTGTCGGCAATCTTTCTGGGATGTTACAGGCAGCGAGCGTCCTACCAATAGCGCACAATTGGTCTTTGACTTACAATTCCAGGTCAGCTGGCTGTCTCCTACAAATCGCGACCAGTGCTGAAGGTGATAGTTTTGTCCACCGCAAGGGCAAATAGTTGTCAAAGATGTCTAGGATGCAGCATGGGCAGGAGCGAGGGGCCAAGATGCACTCCAGCGATAGCGCAAAAGGATCTTGGTTGAAATATTCTACAAGTCTACAAAACCTTTGCCATGTATCGCTATCATTCGGTAGATAATGCTAGCTACTAGATGAGTAGCTGCTTCAGATATTTGCAGCGTGATCTGGCAATCACGACGTAAACGTTGGTGTCTATGCGCGCATGCTAGCAAGTTGACTATGCCACACCAATAGGGACACGCAGGCTGGAAGCCACTCATTGTTTATTGAATTCAAAAATGCCCGAATATAATTCAGTCATCCTCATGAATCATTTACCAGGAATCCGGGATAAGTTTCGTCTTATCGAGTTGGAAGGGAGCGACTGGGGCCACCCTATTCTAGGCAGCATTTGTGTTACGTCCGCCTTTCTCGCACTCTTCGGTCTGAACACCAGTCACTCATTATGCTATTGAAAGTGCATCAGAATCGACTAATACCGGCGCCTCCANAGTTGTCAGGTTCATTGCTTCCACGCATCGTGTCGTATGTCACCGCGCTGGAGCGTGGTGATCCAGATGCTCGAACTGCGCTATTACAGACCTTTCCTGTACAGGAGTCTGAGTATACGCAGCCGGACGATTGTCTCGAAGAAGCCAATCCCTACGGTTTCCACCACGACAAAGTTCAGTAAGTTACAAAGTCGAGGCACACTTTCGTTGGCGCGTATCGAGCTGAATCTGCTGATGAGCTCTTCNGCAACGACTACGATCCCCCGCTAGGACAGTTGGTTATCCGCATGCCTACAAACCGGCATGTTGTCCCCATACAGAGGTTTGTCGAGCTAGTCTTGGCCAAGATCACTGCCCAAGCCCACATCCTTGAGCAAGACCACCCAATCATTTCCCGACGCCTTCTCAAACTGCGATCTTTCTTAACGTCCGATATAGACCTACTCAGCGACGAGGATAAAGTCGGTCACAAGTCACCCGATGTCTACATTGGCTATTCAGACCGAGTTTATCCGCAGGTCGTCTTCGAGGTCGCGTACAACCAGGATCGTAGAGCGCTATAACGTCTGGCATGGGACTATATGATGGGCTCGTCTCACCCTATCCGTTGTGTCGTAGGCTTCTATCCGGACTATCTACGAAACCACTCGTCATTCTCTCCCCCTCCTTCTCATCATGTGAGTCTTAGCGTGTGGCATTCCTTAGTCGAAATCGAAGGAAACATCGAGAATATGGATGTCAAGCAAGAAATCAAAGACCAACGCCTTGGAGAACAGAATCCGGACCATGCAATAGCAGCCTTCTCTATACGGGATCTCCTGGACGATGAAACGCTGGAAAACATTTCGCCCAACCTCGCCGATATTCAGATCGTCGTTATCTCTGGAGAGATGATTGGCATTCTCGCGAGCGCAGAGCGTTGCCTGGAGAGATCACGGAGACAACATGAACACCTTCTTCGGGCCAGCCAGGATGGGAGCTGCAATTGGCGAAAGCGACACATTACGCCCAATGAAGAGTGACATACTCACAAGTCGCGGCTCTAGAAACAGACCGTCAGGTGGCAAGAATCATAAGCATCAAAATGCATAGTTGCGGTTTAAAGACGAGTGCAGCTATGGAGACAGCCTATCAAGGGTTTTCTCTATAGAGACAGGTTTCTTTACAAAACGACTGTGCACGACATAGAGAACACCGTCCGTGGTGCGCTAAAAACCGACCTAAGCTACGGTGGCCATCATCGCGAACCAGAAGGAGAAGGAAGTCCTCCCGATGAGAACCGAGAAACCCTTCTATCTGGGCTTTTAATGAGCAGCCATGACTCTAACAGCTCTTGGTGGAAAGGAAAAACTAGGACAAACAACTAGAATGGCTCTAGTCGAAGCTAGCTTCACACAACGCACTCCGCTCAATGCTCAAGTATCTGATCAGCAGTACATGCCTAATATACTAGAGGGCAGTCGCGAATATACCGCTGTTTGCAATTCGTAACGAATTACGAGAACCCCGGTGCCTAGCTTAAAGGCACATGTGGTGTTCTAGACGGCTTCTCGATACTATGCGAAAGCAAAGGTACATGAGGCGGCTCTGCTGCCTAACATTGCTGCCTGTTATGGCTGCCTAGCACAACGAAGGATCAAGCTCGGCGACTTAGACGTGGCAAAACAACAAGCCGAGGTCTACACAATGTCAGAAAAACCGAAAAGATATTTGAAAAGGACATTGGTGCCTAGGATCGCGGTTATAAATAGCCGGCCGAGACACGACTCGTCCCGAATCTTTGTTGGCGGTATCACTTACAAATACCTCGTCTTCAAACTCATCATTTACCTTGTTCAACTACCATTCCAGTACTACATCTCCAAGCACCCTCGGTATGTCAACCCCAAACAACACCAACTCAGCCAGCAAACAGGCTAGCAATTCCAAACCAGACATCAGCGATAACAATCCCTCACGTCGACCCTGGCGCCGCGACCCCAACGGAGTCGATAACATCGGCCGCGATGGAGTGCTACGTTCGCTAAACGCCGACCGCACTGTTGTATTGGATGTGCGCCGCCTTTCGCCTGAAGAAATCAAGGAGATTATAGCCCCAGCTGATCAGGCCACCAGGGATGCGTTGGTTGGTGTCGATGGCCGCGATGTTACTGATGAAGCGCAACTGTGGGCTGTTCCGGTTGTGAACTCAGTGGCGGATGAGTCAAAGATTTACAAGCCTGCTGTTTCGAATGATCAGAAGAGTATATCGAAGGACTCGTCGGATAGCACGCCTGCTAAACGAGCTTGATTGCCTTCTGTCAAGGTAGCTTCAACGTGACGCAATTGGCAAACACTGAGGTTCGTCGGTGACACAAACACCGTAACGAGCCTGAGATAGCGAAGAGGGAGTAGCCTATTATCGTTTCTCATCAAGTTATGTATGTCAAGGCCTCGACCGAGATTGTATAAGGATCTGGAGCCTAGACTTGAAGTATTTCGAACCAATGTCAGTTTCCCCTATATCCTAACCACGACCTCTCCATCTGCATCAATCCATTGACTTTCCACACGCTTCAAACGGGCTTGGCTAGCAACGTAGCAAAGCAACCAAACGTGTCCTACTACTTCGCCCCAGCAGAAAACCCTGACTATACCCAACTCTGCACCTGCATCTTGACCTTCATCTGCCTCTATGTCGTTTTCCCGTAGGCACCAAACGCCCCAACCACCAACTCCGCTACCAATGTTAGACTGCAAGAAGACCCAAAACTTGATCTGGATTTTTGGACTCCAGGAACGAGTGTCGATCTGCCAATATCCTCTTTCACTTTGTTCAAGCTCTCGGTGGGGCGAAGGTTTGTATTTCCCTTGCAACTCCGCGCTATCCCAGAACTGGCTTTTAAGTTGTGGTGTAATGTGCGATACAAACTCATCAGAGCCAGTGGGTGGATGTGGTGGATGGATTTGTAGAGATAAAGACTTGAAGATTTCTCGTTCTTGAAAAGTCGGTTTTGCTTTGGGAGTTGACAGAGAGTTTAGTTTGCGTCTCTTGACCTCGATATCGGCCTCTGAAGCTACGCAACTCCCTTCAGAAGCTGAAGACGTGGGTCGCCATGGACTCGACCTAATGGGAGCTAAAGCATCTTCAAGCGGGTTGGTCGGATCCGAAACAATATTGTCTGCTGGTGGGGAGGAGGTTGGTACATCTGTTGAAAGAAGAACTTCTCGTGGTTGAAACAAGTTGATCTTGGAGCTTGGCGATGACGATGCTTCAGCAGGTTTCACCCTTGGGCTTTCTTTATCTACAAAAGGCGTGCCACGTGCTTCTGGGCTGGACGAGAAGCGAGACTCAAATGAAGTAGGCAAAAGCTGGTCGAGAGTGTGCTGTCTTGGCGCAGGAGGAACAACGGTATCGCTGTTATCAGTGGGTTGCGTCCCACGAGCTTCTGGGCTTGAGGAGAATTTAGTGTCAAAGGAGGTCGGTAAAAGTTGGTCCAGAGACTGTCGCCTTAGCATCTTGGGCACGGCCGAATCATCAACCCCACTGGACTGAGTTCGTTGTGCTTGTGGTGCAGAAGAGAAGCCCGATTCGAAAGATGACCGTGCAGCGTGAAACGTGCTGCCTTCCTGCCTGGCTATACCTGAAGCAGGTTTAGCCACCTCATCGTCAGGCTGGAGTCCTCCAACTTGCGAGGCCGAAGGATAACGCAACTCGAAGGAGGAGGTGAAAGCCTGTTGCACAGGTTCTATTCGCTGCTGCTGCTGCTGCTTTGGGTTCACTGCACGGTCAAGAGAAGCGGAAGAAACCTCGTCTTGCCCTGACGCAGCCGAAGAATGTGCTGGCTGAATTTGAGCAGACATGTTTGCTCTTGGAGATTCAAGTGATTGGTCTGTTTCAACGGCGATGATCTCNTGAACACGCCGTTTGCCTGAGGACCTCATACCCTTGAGAGGTGATTCTTCCTCAATGATTCCGGTCCATGGTTGAGGAGCACTGCCTCGAGGTAGACTGCCCCAAGCGGAACTTGTTGGGGCATCAGTCTGATCACCATAAATTGGATCGGAATTTATGTCGCTGATTGAATATGTACTCGGCAACTGTGATGGGATATCGTCGCTTGGAGAGGAGAAATCGTCTTGTGGCTGAGGCTGATTCATGGCTCGAAGCAACGAAACTCGCCTAACGGGGGTCTCCGCAGGATATATGGTCGAGAGGTCATCAAGATAGCTCGGCGTGCCATGCTCGTTGAGTCGCAACAGTCTTGACGGTGTCGGAACATGTTGAGCTTGTCTATGATATCCATTTTCTGCACGAGATGTGTGCGGTCTCGATTCTGGAGCGGGCATAATTGATGCATCAAAGAGAGCGGACTCATCCGGTGGCAATGCATTGTGAGGCATGCGAGGTGGTAGTGATGAATTGGTAGGTAACGGAAGAAGGCTTTCATCAACACTCTCGTTCAATTGACTTTCCTGGATACTTTGATCATCTGAAGGTTGCGAAGGTGCAAACAGCTGGGAGTCCAAGGCGGTCCAAGCATCCTGAGTATTTTCCAAAAACAACGGAGATTCTTCATGTTGCACCGGCGCAGCTGAAGAACTCACTCCGATAGGTAATTCTGTTTGTGACTTCTCAGAAAATTGGTGAACAGAGACTATACTGGCAGAGTCGAAGGACAAATAAGCCTTTGCCTGGCGCTTGAATCTCTCGTCATCCTTTCGAGAACTGGGTGCTGAAGCATGCGCGAGCAGCTCCATCAACACTACTGAGCTGTGAGGTGGTAAATCCAAGGTCCATACTCCGGACTTTCCAAGATCGAGGGCAAGACCGCCCTTTCCAAGATTTGGCACTGGTAATTGATGGTGTTGACTGCAAAAGAAGTGAAGTCGAGGAAGGCACGTGAAAAGGCAACAAGGACGGAGTTTGTGACAAAGAAATGTCCGAGCCGCGGGGAAACGCTAACCAAAAGGGCAGGGTCTTGAATGATGTCAACCGCCATTTTTTGAAGGCGCAGACACACTTGAATGCACTTTCCTCGATACTTAGATCTATCCACGAATCGCTCTTGCCGCAAGACAGAATATACACGATGCGCGCCACGTTTTCAGCTCTCAGCCGCAACAGCGCGACCCTCACCTTGCGCGCACCTCTACGCACCTCAACACCGCTATCAGTGCGCACCTTCACTCCCACAACCTTCCGCACAATCTCGTCGACCACGCCGCGCCACGATAGTCCTAATGTGACATCTCGCGAAACTCTTCTACCTCAAACACACTACGACTTGTTCCCCTCGCTAGGCCCAGATGCGCTCCCACCAAAAGGTCCCTTCGCCCTCGACCTCTCCCTCCTACGCAAGGAATTCCTTCAACTACAAGCAAAAGCCCATCCAGACCTCGCGCCTCAGGAGAAGAAGCGCCAAGCCGAGGCGCTGAGCTCAAGGATCAATGAGGCATATAAGACACTCCAGAACCCATTGTTACGAGCACAATATATACTTCAGATGAGGGGAATCGATGTTGCTGGTGACGAAACAGCAAAGGTCGAGGATCCCGAGCTGTTGATGGAGGTCTTGGAGACGAGGGAGGTCATCGAGGAGGCTGCTACTGAAGAGGAGTTGCAACCATTGAAGGAGTTGAACGAGAGGAGGATCGCTGCTAGTGTTGGTGTGTTAGAAGAGGCATTCCAAAAAGATGATATGGATGCTGCTAAGGAAGAGGCTGTCAAGTTGAGATATTGGATCAACATCCGGGAGACCGTCAACGCCTTTGAGCCTGGCAAGCCTGTTGTCTTGATCCATTAGACGCCAACGCCGATCACGAAAGCATGTAGTTGTTATGTAGAATAGTTGATACCCCTCTCACTCCAGTGCGAGCGAAGACACATAAAACGAAAGACAAGGTCATTGTTCCAAGGACCAAAATTCATCATGATGCTATGTTTTCCCAATATGATGCAACCTGAGCCAATGAGAAAAGGCCATCCCAAATATCGTGACTTCTCTGTGAATCGTGGGTGCGTTGCTGAATTCACCATACACATTCCTCGACCTGTTTAATGCATAGGCAGACTCTCTGGTCCGAAGCTCATGGGCAGCAGCTGCTCCAGAGTAAGCACTGTTGATTTGCCGTCCTTGTCATACATCAAGATGGGCATTGAAGGCNNTAGTCCATTATCAGCATAGTTCCTCCTTCCATCTTCAACTCTCTTTTGACTTCCAAAACTTACCTCGCAGAACTCTCTGATGTACTGTCTGCACATGCCGCAAGGGCTGGCTGGTGGCGAGATGTCTGTGGCAACAGCCAAAGCGCGGATGTCTCCTCGTCGTGCACCTTCGACTACTGCTGTGCCGAGGGCAGTGCGTTCGGCGCAGGTACCCACAGGGTATGCTGCGTTCTCAACATTTGCACCGCGAACGATCTCGCCTGACTTCAGAAGCAGGGAGGCACCGACTCTGAATTTGGAGTATGGGCCTGGAAGGAAGGGAATCAGTATCGAATGTATGGTTCGGGGATTTAATTTAAATTCAGAAAAATCTGTGTTGAAGAAAAGATCTTGCATATAGGATCTGACTGGAAAGTGTTGAATGCTTTTGTCCTTCCCTCTCGTAGATTGTTCGAGGAGATATAAAAGAAATCGTTGTTCTTTCTACTTACAATAAGCTCTCTCCTTGGCTTCAATACATGCCTCGGACAAGGCTTGGACCTCCGAGGTCGACAGACCATGAATCAGCGCAGTATCATGGCGCGAGTGTTGAGGCTTGCTAGGAACAGATGGAGCTGACATCTCGAAAAGGGAAGGGAAGAAGGGGAAGAGAGGATGAACCGAGATCGATTTGGTCAAAGCAGAGCGAGCGGACGAGCCTTCTAGAGCAGCTGTCGGTGAACTCCGCTTCCGTGCAATTCGGTCTTGGCAGTGTAGCACTCCTTGTGCGACCACATCTCCTTTGACTTGATAATAACTATCGAAACATTACCTTAGAGGACAGTAAAACCAATCTTCCGTCGTCAAGTATACAAGAAATTTCAAAAGCTCTAAAGGTTGATATCAAAACCACTCTCCCTCTCCACTATACTGGATGACCCTCTCCACACCAGGATCCCTCCTCACTCGCTCCCTATACTCGTCTGTCATAGTGCCACTCCAAGGGCCAATGGGATCAGGCGCAAATAGAGCAATCTCTTTCTCGCCGATAGCTTTCGCATGCGCCTCGGGAGTGTGCCCTCCACGAAATATAACATAGTATCGCCATGGTGTAGTGCTTTCCGGGCACGCTTCGAAGGGGAGCTACATACTCCGTGATGTGTTCTTGCTGGTTTGTCGACGCCTGCTCCTGAGTCTTGTCTTGTGCGGCCATATGTCAAAGGGAGATGTAGGAATACGGCGGTAGATGTATGTTGTGGTCCAACAGTAGTGAAGCTTGTGTGAAGGGTGTAGAGTGACTCGAAACAGATTGCGTCGAAGGCTAACATATGAAGGCACCAAGAGTCTTGGTATTACATACCAAGCGCTGGCGCTTGAAGACAAACGTCATTTCTTACACTGACAGTAGGTCACAATTCACGCCACATATGATATGCGTGCTCTGCAAAAGTTATTCGTGGCATGAGAGCCAGATGTCGTTGCCTGGACTGAAACACGTATGTTTTTGCCAAATTGACTTCCTATTGCCCGGCACAAACACATCCCATCTTGGTTGTTTTCCTATCCATTTCTAGATAGGTACAGTGAGAGGGTTCATTACTGACGCTCCACCATCGACAACCATATTGGCACCAGTGACGTACGAACTGAAGCCTGATGCCAGGAAACCAGCCACTCTTGCGACCTCCTTCGCGGTGCCCGCTCTTTCGAGCCCAACAATTTTTCTTCTCACCTCTTCGGTCTGTAGATCACTAGGCGGCAACTGATTGCTCAGACCTCTCATATCCATACCCTGCAGACTGACGCCTACATCAATCTGACCGGGGCTGATGGCATTGATGCGTACGTTGCTACCTTTGAGAACAGCAACACCTGCGTGTACGACACCGAGAGCTGCGTGTGAGGACATTGTAAAGGCAGGGCCCCAGCAACCACCGTAGGTGCTGGCGACCGAGGATACGACAATGATGCTGCCATATGCTACGTCCTTGGGTGCAGCATTTGCATAGTTGCCTTTGGGTGTTGTCTTTGCCATGGCAGGAGGTGCATACTTCAATGCGAAGAAGGGAGCCATGCTGTTGGTCTCGAAGGTCTTGTACAAATCTGCAGGTGCGGTCTGAGCAATTGAGGGTGGGCCAAGGAGACCTGAGGAAGTCACGTAGACGTCCAGACTGGATTGGGATCAGCAGGACGTTATGCAGCACTCAATCGTCTTGACGAACCGGCCCCAGGCATTCAAGACATCATCAATCAGTGTCAGAGTATCCTCCTCTTTCAGACCGTACGGGTAGCCGATGACCTTTGTGTTAGGCCAGAGTGCGTTGACTTCGTCGGCGAGCTCTTGGTATGGGTCGGAGGGAAGGTCGGAGCAGGCGTAGATACAAGCGGCGCCATGTGCTNNACAAGGAAGCATTAGTCGTTGTCGAGCTCGGTAATGGCGAAGTGGGATCATACCGGCTAATTCGTGCACAATGGCCTTGCCAATTGCTTGTGTCGCGCCCGTCACGATACAAACGAAGCCATACTATTCTTCGTCAGTCGATCTGCTTGTCACTCAGTCGTGTGCAAGTCATACTAGCTTTCCATCTGCTCTATACGGCGAGAAATGCTGACTCTCGTCTTCCTTAAGGATAGTGTTGGAGCTCATCTTGTGCTGTCGTCTTGGAAAACAGTCGCCAAGTAGACTGATGTCTTACACAGCTCGAAAAGGGTTGATAGCGACATCTTCGAGCGATACGCTATCTGTATCACCTCTCGTGGCTTGTTGAGCCCAATCCGCTTGCTCTGCATGCAAGTCGACTTTGTTTATTCAAGCTTGAACGTCATTGGGACAGCTCTTCCGTGGAGATAGCGCATGGTTGCTGATAAGCATGCGTATTTAACAGCATGGTTGAGTATATTATGGCATGTTGACCACTAACCTAGCTATCTCTACCGATGAGTACCCTTACACGCGCTTGACTTACGCGCCGACGACACTTGGTCGTTCTCACGAAGAAAACATTGACACGAATCATGGAATGCCTCACTCATAGCAACACATGCTGAGCACAGCAGACAAAGAGTTGCCTGCTTCGGTCTGCCATGAAATCTGCCCGCGCAAGGTCGTCCAAACCACATCTCTCCACAGGATGAGCACCGGGCCTTGACTACAAGCAATCTCACGGTGTATACCATCATCAATCAGTTTCACGAATTTCAATAAGCTGTGCATAGAACTGATGGATCAATTCGCAATATGGGCAAAGGTTCGTTCTAGTAGGTTAATAGTATTTTCATTTGTGTTTCTGCATGAATAAAAGAAGAAAAATAGACGCCTAGTCACCATCGAAACGCCATTGCCTTCTGGATTTCTTTTCGTGCTTTCCCTACTCGGAAAGAAAAATAGTCGTTGTTTCGTAATGTTTCTCTTGTTTTTGTGGAGTTTTTCTTTTCGCGTGTGTTTTTTTGTGTGTTCTCGTCAGGTGTTATGTTTTTCGCAATGATCACAACTCAAATTAGTAAACAAAAGGAAGGTCAAGAGACTTACTTGACGAGGAGAGGTCCAGATTAGTTGTAGTAAGATCCATCGCGGCGAATGAAGCGATCATTGCGGTACTGCAGAGCAGCATGCTGGACAAGTTCAGGATGATACTCCTGCAGATGAGCATTGTACTGGTACAAACCGCGAGGGCAATGAACGCCACAGGCAGGGCAGACGTAAGGCGTGGGAGCGTAATGGACGCTGGTGGCGTGCAAGATACTCCTGTGTTGTTGAGAAGTTCTGTGACCGCAATAGCAGTAGAAGCGACCGTCGTAGTCACGACAGTGTGAAGTGTGGTCGAAGACCAGGTCTTGTCTGTAAATGTTCTGCGCAGTCTGTGGATACATGCGTCTTGTGCGGAGAGGGAGGTTGTCTGCGATTTCGTCAATACGACGTTGACGACGGATCATCAGGGGCTCATTATCGCTAGAGCGGCGACGGTCGATGCTCTGTGTGGAGTGCACAGACTGAGTTGACTGTGCATTCCGTCTGGATTCAACAGAAGGGACATACCTGATTGTGTTACCGGGCTGAGCGTAGGAGCTCTGCTGGGTGTAGGCTCTAGCATGAGCGTAGGGATCAGGTCGATCGTAAGTGGTAGGCTGGCCGTATGAAGTAGCTTGGCTGTAGGAAGGGGGCGATCTGTACGAGGTAGCTTGGCTGTAGGAGGGGGGCTGTCCATACGAGTCGGACTGGTAGTTGGAGTTTGGCTGGCCGGGAGTGACCTCGTACGTGCGGTAAGACATCTTGATGGTGCGTGTCTTGTTGGTGTTCGTGGAGATCTTGGAAACCGCATCCTCTCGAGACAGATACATTATGTTATACGAAATCACCACGGTCGCAATCATAGCTTGTCGGCTCTCCCAGCACGGAGTATCCAGCACAATAGACAAAGGTATTTATGGGATGACAAAGAGTCATGCACAGAGTTGAATGGGATCTGAACAAGTCATCAAAGAATCAGGAACCATGATCAAAGGAAGTCTAGGCAGAACCCAACCTGCTGACAGCACGTGTGACTATTCTAATTTCACAAAATATATAACGCCGCGTTCCAAGGGTGAAATTGCACGACCGCTAGAGGGTCTTGAGATGGGCCGTGTACTTGGATAAGAGTTGTCTTAACACCGTGAAAGTGTAACAAATCAGTTGCAGCCACGAGAGTTGGGGAAGAGGATGCACAGGTTGATTGAGCTCAGGTTTTGACATGAATCCATTATTATCATATGAGAAATGTACATTACGCCCATTCATAAGCAGAACCGTACTCCATTCTTACAACCACGTCCAATCTTTCTATTACGCACCACCAAGCTCCAGAGAGCTCGCTTCGGATTTCACGAGCGCGTGCTCGATCGCTGGGTGCTGTACCACTGCTAGTTCCCTGTCTCATTTTCTCTCGTCGCTACTATAGGAGTAAGCGCGTTCATCAGCCGAGATGGCCGGCTTTCGGCGTGGATCGAACACCAAGCCAGGATGGCCAATGTTTAGCAACAATGTAGCTGCCGTGATCATACTGTATGATAGTCAGATGAACGCTCGCTTCCATGGTCTTGCAGTATGAACTTACACGCTTTCCAGAGCAATGAATAAACCTTGATCATGAAGGGCTGATCCGCTATACCCGTCGCTCAACTCATATATACGGTATGCACATCTAATGAAGATGAGCACAACGGACACGCTCAGGCAAATCAGGAAGAACTTGAATCTTCCATCCAGACCTGAACTCTTGACCCGACCACTTTTACAGTCCTTCCAGTATCGGAAGCCGTATTGAACAGCCAGGACGATGAAAACGAGGAGGGTAAAGACCTGGAAGGCAAGACCAGCCAATCCAATATTCACTCCAGCTTTGGATGAACCATCGGACTCAGAGGACATTGCGCCTCCAACAGCTTGGAGTACTAGAGAGATGATGTCGCAAGGAATGAAGATCTGGTAATAGAGCGCTGGTTTGAAACTGGCCGAGGATGGTGAAAGCTGGAGGATACTGNNGCATCACAAGTCAGCATACATCATGGCTGTGGCAGCTGTTGAATAGCCTTACGAGCGATATAATGTAACGTAGATAGCTGCCGTCATGAACACTGGAGCCATTGTGATGCAAACTNNGCAACAAGTCAGTGAGCTGGCTTCATGGCACTACACGGATGACATACCGATTTGCATGATGAAACCATTGAAATCCCAGGGATCCTTGTACATGATTATACGGCCTCCATAGCCTATCATCTCGCAGATACATCCAAGCAGCATCAGGATGGCAAATGTACGTTGCTTGTACCATAGTCCTTGGGCTATATGGATGACGCCGCTGATACCGAACAAAGTGATGAAGATACTGTTTGCTGCGAGATTCGGTCGATACTGGAAAAGACTTTGCTCGATACTGCATTCTCGCAGATTGCATTCACTCCAGCCAGCGGTCGACATTGTTGCGGATTCGGTTACGATGTGGATGGGACAAAAGCCTTTTGGCGTTTAGATGATAGATGAGAGCAAGTCAAAACTTGATTGTCAAGCCTGAATATATATACAAACTGACCCAGGCATGCCATCAACATCCGTCATGGTATCGATGCTGGAGTACAGCCTCACACGGACGAACTGCATGCCCGTCTTTATTTTGAATCTCGCAGGCAGTGACCAATGCGGTTAGCTTGCACCCTACACAGCTGTCTTAACGCGGACTACGATTGCGAGACTGCGAGGCTTCCTGCGCGATCGAGCTAGAGAGTCATCGGATGAGGTGGATGTCATCAATCCATGTTGGTTTCTCGATCATATTCATTCGTTGCCCGAATCAAGAATCGAATAAAAATGTTGCCTGCTCTGAATGGTTGCCTGCCCCAGCTCCTTCGAGAAGAGGACTCGAGAAGAGGACTCGAGAAGAGAAGGAGCCTTGACCGGTCGGGCAGACTTCGTCGCAGCACGCACGGTCCACCTAAACAGCTGACTCCTTCCACTCCTTCCAACAGGACCTACATGGAACATCCACCCATCCATCAACCGTCCAGCAATTCGATTCGACCTAAGTATACCTCCACGCTGTAAGTAACATGGCGATGACAGAACGCCAAGTCGAATGTCGCTGCCTCTGGATGCAAGATATCCTGTATCGCCTTCCTTCTACTTGATCAACCTAGCATCTGCGCCTCCTCCTAATACAACAAATAAGCCAATTCCTATTCACTATAGGCTACTTCTAGAGTCATGGGCGTACCTCAGCAGATGGTAGCCTGGCATTTCTAGCAATCATGATGGTGTAGCCAAAAGCCTGCATCTCGAATTCACGTCAAGGTGCTTAAACCACCTAGAACCAAGCAAATGCTTGTCAGAGTCTTAACTATATCGCTCAATCGTGTCGACCCCAAATCTACCGAAACGCTTCTGCGCCACTTCGCCTTCTCCGAAGCGATTTCGCTAGGAGCTGGTTTTCCACAGGTCCTGCTTTCCAGAAAGGAGACCATGTGTTCGGCACTGCCAAGAATGCTTTCGTAGGAGACGTAGTGGCTGAGTATGCAATCGCGGAGACTGATCGCGTTGTGTTGCTGGGCAACAACCTTTGTGCCTATGAGGCTCCTCTTACGTGTTCTTGGAGGAGGTCAGAGAAAGCTGACCAACTGGAGCAACTCACTCGGATGCGCGATTTGATCTCTGACAAACAGATGAAAGTTGTGTTTGATTGAGTGGTGCTCTTCAACCAGGCCGACGGTCGACCAAGCATTGGAAAGAATTTCATGTGGTCGGACCGTTGGCAAGATTATCGTCAAGGTTGCCGGGACATCAGTTTCTCAGAAAGATTGAGACGGTGCCGTGTTCTCATCACTTAAGGACTCTCTGGCTTTTTACATTTCACAGTCTAGTATCGAAGTCTTATGTTGTAAGCTAAGACTTGTCCGCTGGAGTTATTGGGACACTTGCACCCACCTTACATCTCCACACCGTTCCTCATCCCGAACCATTGTCATGATATTTTCCCATCACCTCTCTAAGAACAAAGGCATCTCAATCTTCCTTGAGACTGATGCAGCTGGTCATCAGAACCCCGGCAGGTCAACACATCGGCAATCTCTTCCATGTCATTCTGCACGTGCGATGCAAATGACAAGTGCGCTGGTTTAGTGTCCCATGACGAACCTGCATTGGGCATACTTAAGTAGTATTCGAGCTAGAAGCTTTGATACACGCCGTCGATCAAGTCGAGAACAAGAAAGGACAGGTTTTATCCCTGCAGGCAATGTATAATCATTGACTCACATGATATGAACAATCTAGAGCCGTGAAAAAGGCGATGAAGTACTAATTGATGATTACGATCAGCTCGAGTTATATGGTAAAGGGGCAAAAGAGAGATAGAAAAAGACACCATCATACATCAGAAATTCCATCATTAACTTTTTGTCTAGTCGCCAACGTCTCTATACTCTGCTCTTTAACAACCACGGTATCGACCTCTACATAGTCATTCCCTTAGTCTGCTTCATCCCCTTAACATTAATCTCCCTCCACAGACTAACCCACACAATAATAGTCGCATACAAACAAGTACTAGCAACACACATAAGTTTCTGCGTCTCGCCATACGCCTTGTTAATCCCATCTCTCTCAGGACTACCAATAGCATAAGAACTCTGCACAGTCAAATCTCCATAGATAGATTGTAGGTCTGGAAGAGCAGAGGCTGGAAGATATTTGGCGAGGTTGGTGGGGAAGAGACCTGTCCACATTGCAGCGGCGATGGCAGAACCGATTGAAGAACCGATGTTGGCGATCATGAATTCGAAGGCGAGGATGGCGGGGATGTTTTGTTGCGCGCTGACGGCCATGACGGTCATTTGTTCGCAGATGACGAGGGTGCCGCCGCCTATTGTCAGAAGTTAGTATGGTGTAACGTGTAGATACCACAGCGAGGACGAACCGAATGCAATGAAAATTTGGCACATGACGATGAAGCCAATGTTGGTGTCTGGGTGGCGGAAGTAGATCAACAAACCCACGCCTAGAAGATTGACGGGGACACCGAAGTATAGAGCAATCCACTTAAGACGCCCGTTGTAGCGAATGACCACACCTACAACCAAGCACCAGAAAGTTGCTCCGATAGTGTAGATGTTGAGGATATAAGTAGCATCGCGAACATTGGTGTTGAAAACAACGATGAGCATGCTGTAGAAGTAGTCGTACCAGATGTTGTAACCAGAGTAGATGGCAGCAACCATAGCGAAAGTGAAAATGACGGTTCTGTCCCTCATCAAGTGCCAGGGGATGAATGTCACTGGAGCTACCTTTGCCTCCCAGAAAGAAAAGGTAAACATGAGGATAACACCAAAGACCAGAAAGCAAATGATCAAGGGTGACTTCCACTGTTCTGCTTGATAAGAGTATAAGCTGAAGGACAGCAAGAATAGAGAGAGTCCGGTAGCGATGAGGAGTATGCCAACAACATCGAACTGGACTGCGTAGTAGTAGACTGATTGTTTCCAGGTGCGCCCGCTGTCGTACTTGGGAATCAGACCTTGCTTCTCGGCCTTCTTCATGTTGTGCCACATGAGCCAAAATAGAGGAGCACAGACGATAGGGTAGACAATGGCCCAAATGCCGAAGCCCCATCTGAAGCCAATTGTACGAAGAATAGAGTTGGTAGCTGGTCCATAACACCAAGTGTTGATGAGCCAAGGAGATGCAGTGTATGCGATCCACTAAATATTTGTCAGCTCTGACTACCAAGTGTTTGTCTCTCAGGTTGGAAAACGAACCCAGGCCCTATTGCGTAGACTGCTAGTATCCGCAACGAAGATCGTGATGGTGAAGTCGATAGCACTGTATCCGAGTTGATAGAAGACTTGAGCAGCACAGTAAGTTGTGACGTTGTTGCAACCAGCCATCATAACAAATCCGAGCACAGTCGATGCAACCATCAAGGCGAAGCCTTGAGGACGACCCCAGACGTCGAGGATCTTAGCATATGGGAGCTTCCAGAGACCACTGATCAAACTTGAGATGATACCTGTAGTCGCTGTAAGACTATGCTGCTGGAACGACGAAGTCACGTAAGGGGTCAGTGTGCCTACAAAAACATGGCATTAGCTTGTGCCCCGACGATATTCTGGTTTGATAACTGACCTGCTNATGCCGCTTCCAAAGCCTTGGATAAGGTTGATGACCCAGATGATGATGTATGCAGCGATGAGATGCTCTCGAGACCAGACTTGGTTGATTGCTTGGGCGATTTGTACTCCGTGTTGCACTTCTGGAGATACTCCGTCCTCTTCTTGCTTGCTGTTAACCTGAGTACGTGGCTCATCCTTCTCGTTCATCTCTTGAGCACCAGTGACCTCTACATCGCTGCCGGTTGCAGTCTCTGCCACGACTGGCACCTCGTTGGGTCGTGAGACAAGATTGGGGATTCTGAGCCTCATTGTGAAGGATAAGACGAAGAAGAGAGAAAAGATATGAACGATCTAGCCTGTAGGAGCTTGAAAGAGGAGGGCGGCCGACATAATATATGCCGCACGACAGCCCCCACTTGTCCTGGGTCAATACCCTGCACGACAGTACTCGCCATAAAGCGCCACAAGGCAAAGAAAAACACAAGAATGGGCCCACACGAGTTGAATGCAGGGCTACGCAGAAAGTCAAGACCCGTTGAGGGTCTGAGTCGCAAAGTGCAGGAACACGCTATGCTGTTCCCATCATGCCCTGGATGGCACACCGTCTGGAAGGAAAACAAAACTCCTTTTCGTTTATCATTACCTCACGGCGATTAGATCCTGACAACGGATCTGATTCGATAACCTATCAGATCCGCTACGCATAGTGCCGGGTCCGAGCTACTCAATCCTTCGGCGCTTGGCAGCAGCCACAATGCTCTAGGTGCGATAATCTTGCGGATCAACCCAGCAATGAGAGCGCAAGGCCGCAGGATCTTTTCTGGCCGAACTCGGGGGCCTCTCTCGTACTGCGGAAGTTCTGGAATGGGCTCGTGGCGTAGAGTAAATGTGTCCGGTGCAAATGAGTCTGCGTTGGGAAGAGCCACGGATGACTCGAGCAGAGTCTTGCGGGGCTGTCAATTGGAAGCGTATCAACATCCACATTGACTGCTTTATGGAGTCCGACAGAGATGTTTAAGACCAGAAATCATCGCATGTTCGCACGTCTCAGCTGGCATGGGTTGCTTGATAACCGAGCATATGCGTGTCGAAAACGGATGCACAAAGGCCAAGACGCGTGAGGTGTGGTCGGGAACGCCGGACGGGCCCGCTTTTCCCAACCGTATCAGTAGATCAATCAGATAAGCCCAACCAGGAAATTTCATCGTTCCTTCCTCAACAATTGACTTGTGTGCTGGCAGCACGGAATCTGCAGATCGATCTAACCTGTTGTCACACAACAAAAAGATTCAATAACCTGGGCTTGCTTGCTTGCTTGCTTGTACAATTCTTGTAGTTTGTATTGTATTGTATACATGAGATTGACCGTGCACATGATTCATCTCATGATCCGAATCTTCATAACTCAGAACAAGGACACAGCTTCAAGTTCTGGTTGAAAGAGCTTCGATGATCCCACGATCAGCTTTTGTAGAGAACCAGAAGGAATTTCTGATTGAGACCTCGGCATGTGAGAGTAAATGCCCAGTTGCAGCATACATAAAGCTGTCAAGCTCGAAGCTGTCACTTTGAGTTCATCTGACTGACAGAGAAGGATGATGTAAAAGATCTCATGGGCTTGCGTTCACCAGGACTCCCTAGGAATACACGCTGGAGTGTTTGGCTGTTGTGGGTCATTTGACCCTTGGCATGTACCATGATGTGCATTTCATGCATCAGAGGGCGAAGATAGAGAATCCGTCGTCGTCATCGTCATATTTTCTGTCAGGACTGTGTGTGTGTCTGATCTTGGGGGATTTTGCTGGCTCCTGAGGGTCTGCGGGAGTTTTTTCCTCAGTAACAGGACTTTTGGGTTTAGAAGGCCCAGAGCGCGGGAATGCTAGGTTGTGAATACCACTTTGCGACACAGATTCCCGGTTCATGAGTGGGTATTCTACCTCCAGCTTTCCTTTCCATCTTCTACACAGAGAATCTAGGATATGAGCTTTGTCCTCGTGATCACGAAGGCGAGCTTTGAGCAGCGAGATCGCTCCTTTGACAGCATCGATGTTTATTTGGCCATGTTTGCGAGTCTTCAAGACCGGATTTGGTTCGTTGAGCCAGCTTGCATCGACGTGATCGAGCACGGGGCTTCCGTTCTGGTGCGACGGAGCGTTCGAGATTTCCTCATTGAGCATTGTGCTCACGTCATATAGATCACCCGCCAACTTCATGACGTTCTCGATCTGTTCGTACATCGAGACTTTTGGAGCTTCAGGATCTTCTTCTGCCTGTCTCGTATCGATCGGGCTTGGTGGTATATATCTTTCTCTCGGACTTTCCTTAATCTCAGTGCTGGCACCCAGATAGAGATTGGTGAGTGTTTTGAGATCGTAGAGGAATCCATTGATAGATGGTTGCTTACTCTTTCGCAAGACACCTGCCTTATCCACAACCCCAATGTGATTGCTCAAACCGTATCTGAAGGTATTCAGTAATGCCCTNTTCCAGATGTCCAGTTGATTTTGATGCATGGCAGTCTCAGGCAAAGGTTTGAAGTTGACATACAAATTGTCTGCTGTCGAAGGCGTATGGTACAACCTATAGCGGGTCATGGCCTGTACGAACCAATCGGGGCTTTTGCGGAAGACTTCGATCTCAAAGAAGTTCTCAACTGCTCTTGGGAAGACGTATACTAACAAAGGCTCTCTGTGATGCTCTTGCCTAAGGTCGTCAAGAGCTTGCGTTCGCCACTGTGATATGACTTGCAAGAAGGCACTGAAGCTTTCACCAATCCCTTTAGCCATATTGCGAGAGAGCTTGAAACTGGGTACCACAAGCGTTCCGTCGTGGAGTGTCGCGGACATATAATGTCCGCGGTCTGTCTCTCGTACGGAGTGTTCATTGCTGCTTTCTCGTGTCGCTTTGGTTTTAGCATGTTTGGCTGTCTCTTTCTTGTTCGGACTCGAAACAGCGACTGCTTTTTCACCATGGTCTTTGTCGAGCTTGAACTCTTCACCATCCGGAATCGCTTGAGGTCCAGGAGTCGACGATGTCTTCAGCGAGAAGAAGGACTGGGAATCCACAGAAGACGGGGTTTTGCCGTTGATGCTGTTGAACAACGACTTCAATTCTGGATATTCTCCCTCTATCAGATTTCCCGAACTGTCAATCCATCCGATGATGTTCTTGAGAAACGCGAATGCATGTGATCGCAGCATATAATCGCTGCCGGAACGAGGGCTCTCGAAGTCAAAAGTCGACTCGACCTTAGAGCTTTTGAGAGGGCCATTGATGTCCGCAGTAAAGAGTTTATGAACGCTCCTGGAAAGGCTAACATCGCGAGTCAAGCTCATCTTCCAAACNCTCTATTCTCAGGAAGCTCTCCGTCGGGTGTGATTCTCTGTAACGCTATTAGCTTGTGCGACGCCACCTGATCGATTTACGTGCATGATACGAATGTTGGTAATAATCCCTTGCTGGTCTTTACGCACAGACGGTCGCTCGCATCGCCACCACTGCCAAATCGGTACGGCCATAGACAATAATTCCCCACGAGTCATCGCTGTGGTGAAAGCTGGAATTGGAGTGACAATAGCGTTCTCAGCTAACACGATTGAGACGGGCTTGCCTTTGTACAGATCTTTATCATACACAAAACATTCTTCGTGCTGCTGAAATTTGTGATAAAGGGTATGGGAGACAGGCGAAGAGAGCATCGTCAACGAACCGTACTGATCGACAGATCCGATATAGTTCTTCAGAGCCTTCACAATCTCTGAGCGTATCCCAGTGCGCCCCGTCCACGACCCACCGAATGTTCTATGGTGTAGACATGAGAACTCTGAACGATCAGCAGAGATGGCCCATACGTAAGCGAGGATTTTGCGTGGACCTCTTCCTGCTCCGGCATCGAAAATCACTGTGTGGAGAGCATCTTGACGAAGATCAGGCTTATGGTAAACTTCCTTATGAACTGCAATTTCAATTTGCTGTGCAGATATGTGAGGGATGACCTTATGAGAGTATTGCTTCCAGATCTTCGAGATCGTCAACACCAGACCCTTGAAATGAGACAGGCTGATAAGGCTGTTGCACAGGTGAACAATGGTCCCATCTTCGAGTGATGCAGAGAATTGGGGCGTCTCAGCAGGAAGTCCTTCGTTAGGGTCTGAATAAGCAATACCGGGAGATGTTCCGATGCTTGGGAGAGTTTGGGGCCCAGAGGCAGTTGAATCTTGCCTAGATTCACCATCCGAGTCCTGAGTTGGAGGGGCTCCTGGGTCGCGCAGTTGTAGCAAACATTCCGGCGTGTTTCCTCCGGAAACGTCTGAATAGACTTGTTGCCACACTCGCCCCGTTGGGTGGATCGTCGAATTCGAGGCCAAGAAGCTTGCGGATTGATCCACACGGCCGAAATAATTGAAAAGAGATGGAAGAAATACTTTGTTTCTTGCGTCGTATCTTCTTCTTCGATCAACCATGAGCTTGCATGTGTATGAGTCGTATGAACGCCCTGCAGGGTGGACGCGAAGGTTGAGGGAACAAGTATAAGGGTGTGGAATCCGAAAACGTTCAATTGCTGAGACAATACGTTCCCAAACGAATAGTACGATGTTATGAGTTTGGTTCCTTCGCATGTTAGCTTTGACCATGGTCTCAGAGCCGCTACTTACGTTCTGAAAACCAACACAGCTTCTTGTGTGTCAACAAACGGCCCTGTGGCTTTGAAATCTTCCCAGAAAGCTTGGATAACCCTGAGTATGTTTTGATCTATAACTTGGCCTGCAGGAAATGAGACAATACTCCCGTCGGTCAGAGTGATCGAAAAGGGCTTTTCCGTCGATTTCAAGCTATACGAGGAGGATTGCTTCGCTTGCTGGGCGACATCACTTTCGCACACATTGTTCTTTGTTGAGCATGCAGCAGATTCACTTGCCGACTGCGGTCCACGCTTCTGAGAGAGTTACTCATCCGTGTGAAGATGTGTATCGGATGTATTTGCGCTCTCCACTGCTTCTCCAAGTCGCGGATTTGAGACGATTGGTTCATCTGTCGATGAACTTGGTTCTTTGGCTAGCTCGTGAATGTCGGAGTCTACGCGAACAATGTGCTGGTTTCCGACATTTTCTGATTTTATTCCAATCTTTTCATGTGTATTGATGTGATCTGAAGAAGTGCCGAGTCCAGTATTGCACGATGGTTCTTTTTAGCGACATCATGGCTTGAAACAATTGGTAAGAATCCCAGTGATCGTATCTGGTGGCGAGGCCGCACGATCAAGCTCTGTTGATATAGAAGAGCTTTTCGGAATGATGATTGTGGATCTCTTGAGACTCGCCTCAGGATCGCGCATCGTAACATCGGGGGTGAATTTTCGAAGGCTCGAAGATGTCGACTGCTTCGCGTTCCTAGTTGAGACGAGATTTTGAGTTTCGGCGGCGGCGCCTACAGGTACCCCATTGGCTGGACAGCACGCCAAGACCCAGCGGTAATGACGCCCCTACCGGCGCGCTTCGCGTGTTGTATCGAAGAAATCGTGGGTTCTCGAATTGACTACACAGTTTAACATACATCTCAGGATTCTCAAAGCTGCCTCGCCCTCAGACCTTGTCGTCCCTGCGATTAGCGATCAAGTTGTTGATGCCTTGTCTGCGGCAGGCAGTGTCCTCCTCGCGTGATCGCTGCGTGACGCGCCTCCATATCCGCTTCGATTTGCGCAATGCCTCCGGAGATTCATTCAACTCATTCCAAGAGCACACTAATGTATGAAAGCTGGTGTGTCTGCAAAGTCAAACGGACACAGTCATCTCTTATGTCCGACGGACGATGCAATGAAGCTTCTGCTTAATGGTATGTCTATAGAAGCAGCGTCAGAGGAAGAAACTTGTAACGATGGCTTTGTAAGACCGGCATGAATATTCATCCGTCAACATAGGCAGCGGCAGAAGTTGTGCCTGTTCGATGGTGTTTCAAAAGTCGTTGGACAAAGCGTTTGTCAGCGAGGCATCGACGTGCAGCTGACAAACCCCAGCTTGAGCCAATCAAAGCGAGCCCTACATTCCACAAGTATCTTTCCAACCACCAAGAACCTGGAATCCTTCGACGAAACCCCGTCTGATGCTGCTAATCTCCATGAGATGGCTCATGAATGATTTCAAAATCGCTTGGCATGCTTACTGAAGACAATCGCACGCAATCAGTAGCTTTGTAAAGATGAAGGTAGGTTGGAAGAGTATATGTATGTGGTACAGACGGACATCTGCCATTCTTGTGTCTCATCAAAGCTCTTCTCCTTCTTCAGAACAAGTACCTGCTCTGTAACATCTCACCACCTCCATCTCTGTGCCATACTCTAAACCACTTAGTCACCATGTCCGATCTTATTCGAGATGCCCCGATCGGGCAACTCATCCGATACTTGACGCGAAACAGAGTACTCCAGTACCCTGAAGAAAAGCCCGACTTTGTCTGCCCAAGCTCCTACTCACAACCCGAGTCTGAAAAAGCAGCCACTGAACTCTTCAAGACTGTGCCATCACTTTCGTCCAGCAATAACTCCATCAACGATGATTGCGAGAAAGAGATTCTCGAGCCTCACAGCAACCTCCACCTCACAAGAACGGAAACCGATCATAGTCGCCGCGAATTGAGCAAGACCAACACTGCCAGATCTGCTTTGTCGCATGTGGGGTCCCGCATCGCTCTTGAACAATCGAAAACTCGAGCAGATCTCGAGCAAGCCTTTGCAGCTGCTGCAGAGCCATCGCCTTGGCCAGAACCAGTCGTTCCTGTGCGCACTTCAGATGGAACCATTCTCGTAGACTGGTATACTACAGACGACAAAGCAAATCCTCAGAACTGGTCCAAGACGAAGAAAGGCCTGGTTACTTTGCTCATCTGTATCTACACGACAGCAGTCTACACAGGCTCTGCAATCTACACACCTTCAGCCGAAGGCGTCATGCACCGATTCGGTGTTTCTGCGACAGCGGCCGCTCTTGGTATTTCTCTATTCGTTCTGGCCTATGGTCTTGGTCCTCTGATCTTCTCCCCTCTGTCAGAGATACCCAAGATCGGCAGGAATCCTCCTTATATCATCACTTTTGCCATTTTTACCATCTTGTGTGTGCCCACAGCTTTGGCAGACAACTTCGCTGGACTGATGGTGCTGAGGTTCCTACAAGGCTTCTTTGGATCCCCGATTCTTGCTACTGGTGGTGCGAGTCTGCAAGACATGTTCTCGTTGATCAAGCTACCTTACATCCTCTGTTGTTGGGCAGCAGCAGCTTGTATTGGTCCTGCTCTCGGACCTATCATTTCTGGTTTCAGTGTTGCAGCTATGAACTGGAGATGGTCTCTCTGGGAGATGCTGTGGCTTGCTGCACCCGTCTGGCTCGCACTCTTTCTGTTTCTGCCTGAGACTTACCCAGAGACCATCCTCTTGCGTCGTGCTCAGCGACTCAGAAGACTTACTGGTAACCAAAATTTGAAGGCTCAATCTGAGATTAACCAAGCTCAACGTAGCTTCAATGACTTAGTTGTGGAAGCTCTGTGGCGACCTATCCAGTTAATTGCACTAGATCCAGCTATCGTAAGTCAAAGCTCTCAAACACATACTCTCTAATCACATACTGACTATTCATCTACCCAGGCCTATGCCGACATCTACATCGCCCTCTGTTACGCAATCTTCTACTCCTTCTTTGAAGTGTTCCCCTTAGTCTACATGGAGCGCTACGGTTTCACCGTCGGCGAAATGGGCTTAGTGTTTCTGTCCATCGCCGTGGGCGTCATAATCTCCATAGCAGCCTACTACGCCTACCTCTACTACATCGTCGAACCCTCCATCCGCATCCACGGCATGGGAACTCCCGAACACCGCCTAATCCCAGCTCTCTTCAGCAGTTTCCTCGTCCCCATCGGCTTATTCATCTTTGCCTGGACGGGAAACGGCACCATCCATTGGATAGTAAGTTGTATCGGGATCGTCATCAATATTATTGGTGTTTTTGTTTTGTTTCAGTGCGTGTTTGTTTACTTGCCGATGGTGTATCCTGCGTATGCGGGAAGTCTGTTTGCTGGTAACGATACGGCGAGGTCGACTTTGGCGGCTGCGGCGATTCTGTTTTCGAGACCTATGTTTCAGGGTTTGGGGGTTGGTGGTGGTGTGAGTTTGCTTGCGGGGCTTACGACTTTGTGTATTGGGGGTATTTTTGTTTTGTTCTTTTATGGTGAGAAGTTGAGGGCGAAGAGTCGGTTTGCTGCTAAGTGAGTATTACTCACTGGAGACGCAGGCGCGATTGAGAAGCAAAGAAGGTGTAATGAGATATGAGTTCGAGACGAGTGTATCACGAGGATTAGGGTATGGGGACTTGTTGAAGCATTAATATAGATGGAGCAAAGTATTCATGGTAAGTACGGTATAGGCAAGCGCAGCATACACCAATAGACACTCATCTCTTTCCTTGTCAGACGAGAACTTGCTTTTTCTGCTGATCGACTCACTGTCTCATGGCAAATGCTGAGCGAGACAAAGTGCATTTGACATCCCTCATCTAGTCAACCGAATGTACGCAATCACCTCTCAAGAACCATATGTTTCATCTTTCAATCATCCACCCCCACGGTCCAAGACTCGGCAATCCTGAACATATCTTCCAAGTCGTACCAACCATCCTGTGTCTTCCAGAAGTGCATAACCTGCTCGACGGTCTTGACATGGAAGCTCCTCAACTCATGTAGATCCACTTCAACCAACCTTTCCGCATCATCAAATTCTTTACAGTCTCCATTTTCCTGTCGAAGCAGAGCAAGTCCTTTCTGCACTTCCTCTCGTGGTCTTGCAAGTTCGCGATCGATAGCGGTGGCAGATGCTGTGAGGTCTGTAACGTAGATCCTGGCCTGCACGGTATGCGCCACAGCATCGCAATCGAAGCCCCAGCGTAGCTCCCAAGATTGATAGACATCAAATCTTGCAAAGGCGTGGAATGGGTCTCCATAATCGAGAAGAATGGATATGGTCTCGGTGGGAATGCGATAGAGATCGTGGATGCGGTAGAGTTGCTCGAAGAGAGACGGTGACATCAAAGGTCTTGTGTGGTCGCTGAGTGGGGAGTATTCGTCTTGTACCCAGGCGACATTAGTCAAGCCAATGCGTTTCCTGTAGCAACCATAGGTGTGTCGGTAGATGCAGATGCCTCTGATGTGATCATGTAACTTTTCTTCGACACCAGTGATCTTAAACAACAGATGAATGATGCGTAGACAGTGGTCCAACGTCTCTATATCTTGAGCTCCAATGCCCAGTTCAAGATTCTCAAATAGGACTACCAGGTATTCGGCACTGTACTGCTTGTTGAGTGCAAGACAAGGTGCATTGAGCAGATGGTCCTTGAGTACAGAATAGCTCTTGCTATTCCTGGAAGGCTGGCCGAGCAGGTCGCTGTCAGGGGTGTCCTGGATCACATACTCAAAGACCATGTCGCGTATCTCTTGAGGTAGTCTCTGCAGCAGATCGGATTTGGGAAGTGGCATGGGAGTCTGGGTTGCTTGGTGATGTCTTTCCAGAAAAGTAGCTTCCCCTTGATGTGGCTTGATATGAATCAGTTCGTGACGAGTATGGGTGAAGTTGCTCATGAGAGCGAGGCACAAGAGTAAGATGATGAGCGAAAGCATACTGGGGGCTGTGGTTTGGGAGGCCTGTTTGGATTCTAGCGACAACATCTTGCTTATTGAATACTCGTTCCATCTTATGCTGTCGATGATGGCAAGTAAGAATCTGAACCAGAAGCAACTACAACTTTGCAGATGTAGCTAGAATGCAAGACAATGTCTCGGATTCACAAAGGAAACAGCGGTGCGTTGATTAGGCTTTGTGTGATGGGATTCCACTTGTTTGTCTTGAGTCTTTGACTATGAGACCTTATGAATCTGTCAGCTCATCTATGAGACAGACAAGGAGGATACCGTACGCTCCTAAAACCTTCCACACCAGAGCCGACTCGGTTTCATGATGGCTTGCAAACTGGCTGAGTATGACACAATGAAAGAGCGCTATCAGGCAAACGCTCGCATCCTGCAGAATTCCGTAGAGTTTATGCTGCTTAGTAACGATATACCAATGGCTGCTTCATCGTGGTGAGTTCATACATCTTGCCCCTTGCGCCGCTCACTCTTCAATCTCTGAACTCCACGATTCCGCAATCTTGAACATATCCCCTAGATCATACCAACCATCCCGTGTCTTCCAGAAGTTTGTGGTCTCAGTAATGATGTACAGGTGACTTTTTCTAAGCCATACCATATCTTCCTCGACCATTATCTCCAGGTCCAGAATATCTCCCAACTGATGAGGTTCTGGGAATCTGATGCACATCTTCTCAATGATCTTGCCAAAAGATCTTCTCAAGACTTCGAGTTCGCTGTCGAGAACAGCAACCGAAGCATCATAGTCGTCGACGAAGATTTTAGCGTGCAGTGGACGCAGAGAGACGACAGAGTAGTTGTTGTGACGGTCCAGTGTTTGGAGACATGCCTCAATCGACCCGGTTGGATCTCCGTACCAGAGCTCGATGGATATCCTGTCAGATGGAATGTTGTACTCTTCGTGGGATCGTCTGAACACTTCCACAGGCTTGACAAAATAGTCTCTATCAGGATGATCATTGTATTCTCTCTTTCCAAACCCGCGCCGGAACCACGAGCACTGATAATAGTAGTTGAAACAGATGCCTTTGATATGTGGGAAAAGCGCTTCTTTGGCTGCTTTGATGCCAGTATGAGGAGCAGCAACGCTGAAACGATGGTTGATGAGTTGCAGGGTACCTTCAAGTATGTCTGGCTTTCGCTCGTTACTTCCGTATTCTGGGGGCCCTCGCACCCAAGGTTTTGTGATTCCATCATGAATTCTGACATGTTCGAGGAAAACCTTGAGGTACTCGACGCAGTATTGCTTGTTGAGTGTAACCCAAGGTGATGTGACAAGGTGCGATCTTATCGGAACGAGGTGGAATCCAAGCAGTGGAAATCTAACAGGTGGGTCACAAAGTAACTTGTATGCAGGAGTCTCTCTCTGTCGGACGTAAGACCTGATTGAGTTCAGTATCATGTATCCAAAGATCATGTCGCGGATTTCGCGAGGTAGCTTGTCCAAGTAATCGAATACGGGAGGTGTGTCTGCGCTCATCTTGACAGTTGATTTCGCTGACGACAGGAATGCGGCATCCCAAATTATGGGCAAAAGCCTTGGGTTTTATGCTTACCTTGTCACATTACCAACACCGTCAAGCATGGATTCAGTCAGGAGCGATAAGTTTGCCCAACACTTGAGACCACAACATAGACTTACAAAGAAGAGCAAACATGAAGACTCTGGAACTTGGAGCCGTTCAAGACATAAATTTAGACTTACAAAGGGACAAAGCAGCAGAATCCAAGCAAAGTGTCGTTTGACCAATGTGTTGTTGTCAAAACATGGTCCCTCTCGTCTCTGTCACATGTATATGATACAGGCCGTAGCGACACCACGACTCCTGCTATCGGCGCATATGTGTGAGACACTGGCTCCGCAAGCTGGGCTCTGAACAGCGCCTTGAACAAAGTCATGCTACGCGATACTTGCATTAGAGAACAGAAACATACGGTGAGTAGGCATGGTTGTCGCAACCATTGACTGTTTCATCAAGCAGAAAGAGTTTTTCAGACTCACTGTTGCTCTCTCAACAAAGGCTCAGGCCTCCTTGGGAAACTGCGCAGGAGTTCATGTTTGCTCGTGTAAGGTTTTTTCTCGGCTCTCGGGGATGCAGAATGCCATGATGTGTGCGTAGCAACAGCAGCACTGCGTTGTCAAGTATTCGTGCCGAGTAGCATATCCAGTGCTTCCATGCTGGAAGAATGAACTCATCAGGGGTCGCGATCGCAGTAGGTACGGTTTCGGATCCTCATGGTGTTACCTATCGCAATGCGTTGAGTCTTCTTGTCGTCCGTGGAAGGGAGAAGACCTGGAAATAAGGCAGCTGGTATTGCGGTGGAGGGGACTGAGGCATGAATCTCATGCTGCCGGACAAGAACCGAGACCACTGACAATGCATGACCGATGGAGGACAAATAGTAACTCTGATTGTTTCGAGTTTTGCCATGCGAAAAAGGGGTGAAAAGTGAGATGTGTAATCTGAAGTCAGAGAATCGATTGTTCAATAATTAGTTTTCAAGGGGTTGTGACTCAAGTCGATTGGGTTGTGTGCATTTCATGGCTCATCTGGAGTCAATCGAGTATCGAGATATTGACGAGTCAGGGGCTCGTTATAGGCGGACGATAATATTGCACACCTGTGCATAAGGACAGAGTCATGTATATTGAGTTTTGTGCTTGATGGAAGGGTCCAGAGCGAGCACTGAGGAAGAAAATTCAGAGAATCGTGCGAAGACGGGTGTCGGTTTCGGTCATGCAATGTGGACCTGCGGTGTGTTGTTTCTTGTAAACAGCTTCTTGTTAATAACGATGAGCGCCGTCGCCTGTCTTGACCAATGTCAACTGCCGTTCACGTCGTACGTCGCAAGCTCGGTCCTCGAACTAGACAGTTAGGAAGGCGGTGGAGGACTACCTAGTTTCAGTGGGTGGACAACTGGATGTTCTCGAGTTCAAGTAGTGCGATGAAAAATGCTTGACATCATCCAACGTCGTGGATTTTGAGTTGCGCATTTGCTGCAATTCGTTGGCGAATGGACCTGTTGCTGTCCTCCGTACGATGCACGAACTTGTTTTGTCCAAGTGTTCGCTCTGTGGATCTCCAGATCCAGGATCGGTGGAAGTCGGCCAGATCGACGACCTCTTTTCTCAGGAGTCGGCTTTCTCACCTTGACTGACGTGCAGAAAATTTACAAAGCCGCAGCAGACCGACAAGCGAGACTCCAGTGTCTCGTGCGAAACTTGGAACCCTTCAAACCCCACCAGTTATCCCCTTGTCAGATTGCCCGAATAAAATTGTGCACAAGACAAGGAGGTCAAAGAAGTTGACGCGGCTCGTGCAATTCCCAGCAACTCGGTTATAATTGAGATTTCATTCGTTGCTGAGATTGAGGTTATTTTGGCGCCAACTTTGCGAGCTCAGGGCGTTGAGTCAGCACAGCATTTTGTCGGGGAAGTCGTCCGCAGTACCGCACTTGTTTATCTGTGGGATCTCCAGCTTCATGCTAACAGGAGACTATGGATGAAGGCTGGAGTGAACTCAATGACTCACGGACCTCAGTATTGGCCATCAAATCCTTCGAGAGCCACAGAGCATCCAAAGCGGGTTTCGGGGACCACGCCAATGGAATGAGGCGGTCACTGCCTACAAGTAATTGTTGCAACCTTCCTGCCCGACCCGGGTGCGGGCCGACACAGGTCGTAGATTCGAAGATATCGGGTAGCGTTTTGAGTGTTGATATCGGAATCCGCATGCATTTTGCTTATCCAAGCCTCAACAGGCGTCGAGTACCACAAGTTCACAACCCAACCTTCCATGCAAGGATTGACGCTGTCAAGGACATTAAACGACAGCGGCTGGTATGCAGGGCTCAGAAGTGTATGTCCCTGCCACCTGATCGCATAAACAATAACATTGGAAGGACATATGCCTTGCAGCAGAATTCAAGGTCTAGGGTCCTTGATGGAGCTGAGGTCTGCCGCCGGCATGTCGCGCCGCGGGCCTAAAAAGGTGCGCTGCATGCTGTAGGGATAATTTGCTCCAAGAAGTTGAACGACAAGTACCTGCAGCGCGAGACGAGTACTCGAAAATATCTTTCGGATGAAAGAAAGTTGCACGACATCCATGCATACCTGCAGTGGGCGTGACGCAACATGAATTTTGCATATCTTTTCTTGTCGTCTTGCATATGTATGTACGACGTTTGATATCTGGGGAGCAGCAACGAGCCGTCAGCTTTGCGCAGTGACAAACATATCAGGTCTTGACCATTCGTGTATAAGCGCCTGTGTCATGACAAGTGACACTATTGACAGCGTCTGTAGTTGAGAAACAGCACGTCGTTGTGTGGACTACTAAGCTAGCACCCTAGGCCTTGAGTCTGAGATGAATTGCGCGATGTCCAGGTGCTCGGGATCAACATCGCGAAACCCAGCCCGCAGACATGCATACCATCGGGGACCCACCGGCCTTCTAACGGTGCGCGTAATCTTAACACAGCAACCGCTCGTCTAGCGTTTTAGCTCTCTCTACAACCCGACAACCAGGTCGGAAGCAGCCAGCAACCGTCGCCATACAGCCATTGCGGAGATGCAATCGAGTCTCTCGCATGATACATGCACCTCTGTCACCAACATCGAAGCATAGCAATATTCTGGCGCCAAAGAGCTGCATAGCCCCATCATGTTGTTGACGATGCAGTGAATGTCAGCTCCACCTTGGGCGTCGCTTTCCCGCGTCTCCGCTCCGACTACTCGTGGCTTCAGACTTTAAGCTTTTCACAGCTCTGTAGACTGAGAAAAGTCCGCAGACAGGGCAAGGCCAGTGCTCGGATGCCCCTCTCTCGGGTTTCGCCTTGGCCCCTAATAAGTTGATAAAAGTGCGAAGTAAACAGAAGCGCCGCGGTAACATCGGCGGGTCCTGCCAGACGAGGGCTGAGGCCGGGACGTGTGGTTGACGCCGCGATGGGTGGTGCGTGGACAGTGGACTCGAAGTTGGAAGTTGAGCGATCGGTCGAGTGCTCACGAGGCACGGGAAGCGCTCCATAGTGCCATGCGGCCGCCGGCTGCAGGAACACCTAGCGTGATGGGCATTGATGAGGGTGGCTTGACCTGTGAGCAGCGAGGGCCAGGTTTGAGTCCTCCTCCAGATTTAGCCTACCATGGACCAAGGAGACGCATCCTCTGTCATCATTCGGCTGACGTTCCCTGGTCGTACACGCTCCACACTGCTGTACTTTTGCGCCGTGCAACCTAGTTGCAGGCACAACATTGGCTTGCATTTTACCTACCTCTTTCCTTCCAATCTTTTCCTCCTTCTCTCGTTTTTGTCAACAATCACTTGTCACCCCATTGTGTATCCCATCTTGTGTCTGTCGCTATCGAGTCTTGTCACGCCGTCCACCTTCACGAGCAATTTCAACAGTACCTCGGCTCGGACTCCATCTACCTACAACAACCATTCCCAAGCTTCTGTCTGCCCTGTGGTCATGAATATTCTCCCGGACTAGATGGCTCCAAAGTGGTTCTCGCAAAGCGATGACAACTCAACCTTGTACTCAAATACATTGACTTCGACTACGACCGACCGAACGCTCAAAAAAACGTCACGTCTGTCAGCAACATTTGGCCCCGACTCTAGACCATGGAACTTGATGAGCTCTTCCTCTGACCGCAGTTCGTCGTCTTCGAGAAAACGGCTGTCACTGTTCGGCGCTCGTAACTCCACAGCCTCGTCAGCGGACGTTTTTTCATCTGGTCATTCTTCGCCTCGAGATTCCGCTTTCGTCCCTCCTGGTCGATCCGAAATTTCCCTCCGTCCTGAATCTCGCTTCAGCATTGATTCCAAGTCGACAACCATCGCCGTGCCACCTACGGACAGCTGGCGCTCGTCTATCTTTTCCCTCAGGCGTTCGTCCAAAGCTTCGAGGGGCCTGGAATCCAAAGATGAAACTCTGATGAGATGGCTGCGTAGTGACAGTCGTACATCGAGCTGGAGACGTGAGTCCACTGATGGTGACAGGGAGCATGAGTCAGAGGAAGCCTGTAAGTCGTGTGCACGGTTGTTTTTGACATACGAGGACTAACGCCTTCCGTCAANNGTCTACCGAACATTAAGGAAGAAGAACATCTCGGCTCCCTTCAACTTCCAGCATGTCACACATACACAGCAGGAACAGCTACCACAATTAGCATCCGTGACTGATAGCGAGCTTGTCTCGGAATTTTGGGCCGCTTCAGCCTTTCAAGCGCCTAGAAGCGAACTTCGCGGAATCAAAGCAGATCCTGTTGACAGCAGCTACCGTGTTCGCGCAAATGAGAGGAGACCATCTACCGCTTCGTCCGTTCGCTCCGAGTCCTTTGCACTCAGACACCGCGGGTCGAGCTTCACATCATCGGTCCATGAACTCGACAGCACTCCTCGTACTCCTTGCGAAGTCGAGTCCCCTGTGGATGAGAGAGCACGCTCATTGTCTCTCAGCTCAAGAACACACAGCTTCTCCCGACTGGACCTCCCCTCGCGGGAAAGATTGGCTGCCTTGGGAGCTGAGCAAAGGGAGCCACCTACCATGATTCATCCGGCTCTGCGTGCACAATCGACACCCCCTACAGTAGAACGCACATCCAGTCAGCCTCAGATCTTCGAACTACCTGGTACCAGTCTCGAGTCAGTACCTGAAGAGATGGAAGGTTGCGGACCCAGTCCAGCAAAAGCTCCCCGAGCAAAAGCCATGCTTGACTTATCACCCCTCGCATCTCCCNAAGCTCTCTCCGAACTCATCACCATCCCTCAGTTCGACTGCTCGTCAAAAAAACGGTCTGGTATTCACACCTTTTCCCGTTNNGGCAACGCATTTGCACAAGCACATGGAGGCTCCGGTGCCGAAGTACCTAGAACCTCTTCCGAGAGTCGACTCTCTTTCAGTGTCGATGGCAACGTACCCAGCTTGACTTCTGGTGAATCCTGGGAGAACGATATTGATTTCTGCTACCTAGTCGAGGCTGAATCATCTTGTGACTTTGACTGGGAGTCGGTAAGATCGAGCCGCAAAGGTTCCGCCTCTTCAGCTCGTAGAGACTCGACTACCAGTGTCTCTATGCAACGCGCCTCGTACTGTGATCCGCCACGCCGAGCAAGCATCAAGTCGCAGCCTGATGTCGAAGCACTTTTCGCGGATTTCGATGGCAGCTCGAACTTTGTCAAGGAACAAACTCGACACGACTCACCTCAGATGTCTGTCTCGCGTGCTGACTTGAGCCCGATCTTGGAATCACCTTCCAAAATCCCGACCACCGATAGCAGCTCCGAGACGGTCAGTCCGACGAAACCTGCCCACACTCGCTCCATCTCCTTGGATGATAACGTCAAGCGTGGCCGCAGCTTGGATAGAAGTGCACGCTGGTCGATCGCGTCACCGCTGTGTCTCCCTGAAGATGCCAAGCAACGCGGCATCACCTTCACACATCCTGTGTACAAGTCACGAGCAGTTCGCATGTCGGTTCCTGCAGGCTTCGCTGCCNCTCCACTCCCGCCCCCAAAAACAGCCCTCCCACCATTGCCCGCACAGCAGCCAGCGAAGCCTGTCTCCCCACCTGTTTCACCTACCTCAACATGGCCCAGCTCTTTCCCAACCATGCGCAGACCTTCTTCTGCACAGGATCGCGCCATCCTCCAAGCTGCTGGACGCTTTGTCAGGAATGGACGTGCATCAAGCAGACCCGTGACACCAAGCCGTCTTTCGCATGTCCAACACGCCATGCGTACCTCATCTTCCGTAGCCATGGACTCGCCCACTTCGCCCAAGACAACAGTTAGCACTGATTGCAACTACGGTGGAGTTTTGCCTACTCCACCCATGTCCCCACCCGAGCAACATCAAGGCTTCCAAGAATACCCAGCTTGGATATAAGCGAGTAATATTCCCTTGGGGCTTTACAGACTCGTCTTTTTTTCTTTTCCATTTTATCTTTGTTACGTTTTCATGATCACACGGCCGTCTACGAACTTGCTATCAAAAGTCATATGGAACATGATTTTGCCTGGTTTTTAGCGGATACCCAACCCAGAGCGCGGAGCAGCATGGGGGTGTTTGATTTTTATTTTGGATCAGTGGTCAGAGAAGAGGCATATGTATATGGGAAATGCAGCTATAACAATCAAACTTCATCATAATATGATTGCAGTCCCAACTTGTAGAAAATGCAGTGCTCGTATGATGTGTGCTCCAATGTTTGCTTGCTTTGTACTTGCATGAATCAAGGTGTGATGATCTACAGGTCACCCGAAAGTGTACCACGCATTAGTCAGGCGACCACATGGCATAGAACTACCTGCGGCTCAGGCACATAATGTACACAAGAGTTTTACAGCGTACATGATTACATCTCTGGATTGTGACAGACTTGCAGAGTTGAGAATCACATGTTGTTATTTGGGACAGGGTGTGCGGACCAACAAGTTGGACTTGCAAACTCGAGAAGGAAGCGGCAACCGAAACACAACGCAGAACTTTGTAGAACACGATAAAGCATACCGAGGTACGCGTAAGCTCTAGATTAGATTGGGCAGTATAAAGAAAGGAGCAGAGAAATTGGTCCGAATATAAAATTAAAATGGTCGAGCAGAAATGAGGATGGCGGCAAGATTAGGGAACTCGTGCTTTGGGCTGGCTGCCCCTCAATGAATTGTGGAGAGGTCGGATTGGGCCCTTGGGCCTTGCGGCTTTCGGGAAGCACATGGCCGCAATCCCCAAAGGCCGTTTATTTACCTTGAACCTTGTACGAGGGGTTCGTGTTTCCCTCACTTGCATCTCACCGCTTTCGTCTTTTTTTGTGTGCATTGGATTGCAAGACATAGTATTGCAGCGACAGAATTACGGCTGCCTCTTGGATAAGACGACACAGCATCGCTATTGTCGCACACAGCTCTTAAGCGCCGGCAGGTGTTAAGAGAAAGTCTTATCAGGACAGGGCGCGCCAGCCATGGCTGTGCTGCTGGAACAGAGTTGGGTCAAGGTGCAAGAGAAGACATTCGGCAAATGGTACATGAGAACCTCTTCTCCTAGAACCGAGACGGGCAGAGAGCTGACCAAGAATCCCAACACAGGCNTCAACAGCAAGCTGCAGGTCCGCAATGTGCAAATCAAGGACCTGGTCACTGACCTCTCCGATGGCGTCAGTTGTGTTCTCGGCACGCCTATGGGACGTTTTACTAACAACAATGTGTAGGTCATGCTCATCCACCTCCTCGAGATCCTCTCCCAAGAATCACTAGGCCGCTATGCCTCCCGTCCGAAACTGCGAGTTCAGCGATTCGAGAACGTCAACAGAGCCCTAGACTTTATCAAAGGTCGGCGCATTCAATTGACGAATATCGGCGCAGAAGACATTGTCGACGGCAACCGGAAAATCATCCTCGGTCTCATCTGGACCCTCATTCTGCGCTTCACCATCAGCGACATCAACGAGGAGGGTTTGAGCGCAAAAGAAGGATTGCTGCTGTGGTGTCAGAGAAAAACTGCTTGTTACGACGAGGTCGAGGTCCGAGACTTTTCGTCGAGCTGGAACGATGGTCTCGCTNTTGTATGTGAAACACATCTTTGACAAAGTCTCCTCTGAAACAATACTAACCTAACATCTCTCAGCTGCGCATTACTTGACATCCATCGTCCCGACCTTATCGACTACGACAAGCTCGACAAGAACGACCACCGTGGGAACATGCAATTGGCCTTCGATATCGCTTCCAAGGAGATCGGCATCCCGGATTTGCTCGATGTCGACGACGTGTGCGACGTTGCAAAGCCCGATGAACGTTCGCTCATGACCTACATCGCCTACTGGTTCCACGCCTTCTCCGCCATGGAACGTGTAGAGAACGCAGGAAGACGTGTTGAGAAGTTCGTCTCCAACATGCAAGGAGCCTGGGAGATGCAAAACAGCTTCGAGCGCCGTATGAGAGAGCTCCTACGCCAGATCGCCGAACAGCAAAAACAATGGAAGGAAGCCACTTTCGAGGGCTCTTATGCCGACGCCAAGATGCAGAGTTCCGAATTCACGGGTTACAAACGCAGCCAGAAGAGAAAGTGGGTAGCAGAGAAGAGCGATCTGGTCGGGCTACTGGGAAACATCAAGACAAAACTCAGCACATACCGCCTGCGACCATACGAGCCCCCACCGGAGCTCAGTCTTGCAGCACTCGACTCGGCCTGGGCTGGATTGATGCAAGCTGAGAAGGAGAGGAGTAGAGTTATCAACGAGACGATCCGTGACATCAAGAACGCTCTACGGAGGAATTTCGCTGACAAGGCCAACGACTTTGCTCTCGCTCTGCATACATTGAGTGTGAGCATTTCCGGACTCGAAGGTGAAGTTGAAGACCAGAGGGAACACATCACCAAAATCTCAGAATCGGTACCGCCCCTCGACGAGTATTTGACTATTATCGGGCGCCTGGACGAGCAATGCGAAGAGGCCAACATTGAGGAGAACGACTTTACAACATATACATATGACGAGCTCGTTTATGAATTGGGCCTGGTCAAATCGAGTGTGCAGAAGAAGCTAGCCTTTNTGGAAAACCAGATGGTGGCACGCAGCATGACCAACCTCACGCCTATTCAGCTGGAAGAGTTTGAATCCGTCTTTAGACACTTCGACCGTGGTGGCAGCAACTCTCTGCAAGAGCTTGAATTCTCTGCAGCGCTCGCAAGTTTGGGACTTGTGTATGACGAGGATGAGATGCATGAACGCTTCCTGGAGGTTAGCAACGGTCCTGGAGGCACTGTCAGCTTTGAGCAGTTCATTCGCTTCATGGTTGAAGTCACCGAAGACCAGTATACAGCGGAGCAAGTGTTTGAGAGTTTCCGCGAGGTTGCGGATGGCAAGGTAAGTGACACTCTACTCCAGCAATATGGCGAACACATGAGCGTGAGACTAATCAATATCTTCCAATAGCCATATGTCACCGAACTCGATCTCAGACACTCACTCATCCCCGACGAATTAATCGAAGATCTGGTCAAGACAATGCCACAACACAACGGACCCGACTTGCAAGAAGACCGAGACTTGGAAAAGTACGACTACATCACCTTTATGCAAAAGTACATGGGCGGCGCCACACCCAATGCCAATGGGGAGTAGAGAGAGGTATATGCAGCAGTAGGGCAGGGTGACTTCTATCATTCTCAATGCTAGAAGTTAGCCACATGAACAGATGCATACTAGCGATAAAGGAGTTTGTTGTTGTGCGTTGGCAGGGAAAGCGTCAAAGAGATATTGTTTTTGCATAGCGAGTTCTTCGGTCTGAGTTTCTTAAGCTTTCACAAATGTATATCTTATTGCAAAGCACAGGTTGTTGTCAACTTCTAGATCGAGATACATAGTAGAAGGTGAGCGTGCTATGGTCGAGACGGAAGGTGATTGTGCCCCTCGGCGGGATGGGCGGAGTTTAAGCTTCAGCATGGGCACAGAAGAGTGTTTCACATGCACACTTGATATAGAGCATTATCGCTATAGCGAGCTTGGCCAGTGTTTCACGAAGACAAATGGGTACATAGCGAGAGAATGTCGGCCAGATAAAGGACAAAGAGAGTGGGCATTCCACCAAGAAAAGAAGAGGGGTCTGTGATAAGGCGGGAGGTGCATGGCGATAGGAAAGCCACTGCGGTAGGGTTGGCCGTTCAGGGGCCGTTCGCGCGTGACGTTGGTTCAAAGGTGCATGGCAGAATAGATGGACATCTTGCTTTTCCATGTGCAAGAATGGTAGAATGGGTGTCATGTTGTAAAGAGTTGTATAGACAGAGAAGAAAACGTTCTCTTGTATATGAAGTGGCCAATTGCAAAAGGACGAGTGACATGTTTATGCAAGCAGAGGCAGTCGAGCGCGAAGGCGGTGAGATGGATTAGGGTGCACGGAGGCATGTCGAAACGCAGTGTCCAGTCCAAGCAGGTGTGAGAGAGTGCGACAGCAGCCCCTCGATCTTTTTCTACACACTCTCCAACCGTCCGTCAAACTCGCTCGTTTTATCCAACGTCTGCAGGCAGAGCTGTCATTGTTTCCTGTCGTCGGTCGTCTTTTGCAGAGCAGCCACAGCCTGGTTTCGTTGTTTGCGCCTCGCTCTTTCATCGTCACTGGCCAGCACAGGGGGGATCACCTTCAAGCCGAATCAACTCCGCATTCAGCGCCTGCACACTCGACAAGGGCCATCCACGACGTTACACGACACAACCACGACGACTTTGCGCATTCAACAATTCATCTCGGCTTGGTCAACGCCTACCAAACCTTGTGTTGCGCCTTGTCCAAGGGAAAAGGTCGACTTGTGACTGAAGCGCTCGCTTACAGCCACACATCATGTCGCAACCACACGGGTAGGTCCTGCTGTCAGACCAGTCTAACACACCGCCATGCTGAAACACTGTCCGCAGAATCTACTCAGAGGGCTCCTTCATGAACCCAGGTCCCGCCCCTCGTCCTCCCACCGACCGTCCTCGTCTCGCTCTTACCCCTAACGTTAACAATGTTGCCGGCAACATGAGCCAAATGAGTTTGCAATCGCCTGGCCCCGGCGCCTCCACAACCTCTCTTCAGCGCTCCATGACCGACTTTGGCTCGTCTCGCAATGAATCATCAGCCGTCAAGTCTGGTTGGGCCAAGGTCAAGGAAGAAGGTGGTTTCATGAAGGGTGTCTTCTGGTCCGAGAAGTTCCTCGTCCTCAGAGAAAAGGCCCTCGATTTCCAGAAGAGCGACACTGCTCCAAAGATCTCCTTCTCCATTCCTCTCAAGGATGTCCTTAACATCACCAGATCAGAAACCATTCCCTACTCGTTCGAGTTGACCCGAGGCACGCCTGGAAATGAGAAGATGGTCATCTGCAAGTTCGAGACGGACAACGACGTCTACGGCTGGATTGATGTCATCTACAACAAGAGTCCCACCATGGGTGGTGTCAGCCACCCTACCTCGTTCGCCCACCGTATTCACGTCGGCTTCGATCCAGTCACTGGAGGATTCGTCGGCCTACCAGTCGAATGGCAGAAGCTGCTTAACAGTTCAGCACTCACACAGGATGACATGGCTAAGAACCCCCAGGCTGTCGTTGAGGCTCTGGAATTCTACACAAGCAAGCTTCAGAAGAGAGCAGATGACCCCAAGCAATACCCCAGCCTCACCCCTACACCCCCGATCGATGCTTACGGCAACAAGCAGTTGGGCCACGGAAATGGCATTGCTCCTCCTCGTCCTCAACCTCCTGCCGCATACACCAGAAAGGAGAGCTACAGCTCTACCCGCAACGTTTCGCCCGCGGGTTCGCAGCCTCCACTGTCGCGCTCTAACACGGCGCCTCAATACGACCNNCCCCGCATCGAGGATGAGCGCAGACGCAAGGAAGACGAGAGACGTAGAATGCTCGAGAAACAGCGTGCGTACGAAGATGCTCAGAGAAGAGAGGCACAAGAGCTGGCAGACTATAACGCTAGTCTGCCCAAGCACAAGCTGCCCTTGGCTCAGCAGGAAATCGGAGGTGGTGGCTACTCTAGCGACCGCGATGCCAGCCCTTCCTCCAGATACCAACCCTCCAGACCCGCTCCCTCTGCACCTTCCTCCTCGAGTCAGAAGGTCAACCCAGTTCGCCAATTGACTGCTCAGCGTCAAGCTCCTACAGCACCCTCCCCTAATGGCTCGTCTTCTTCCATCCCTCGACCCAGCCCATCTTCTCAAAGACAGCAGTCACCTAACAGTCAGAGAAAGCCCAGCGGCCAAACAGGTTCTCCTGNNGTGTTCACATGCCTTCTGGTTCATCGCAACAGAGAGAACACTCGCCCGCTGCCCCCAAGCNCACTCAATGTCGCATCTAAGCAACCGACAGGTGCGCCAATGGACCCCATCAAGAAGGCCGAGATGGCTCTCACTGCTGCTCCACCTAAGAAGGAGGAACCTAGAAAGGATGTGCGCATGTCGAGCATGACTGATGCCCAGGTCATGGAGAAGCTGCGTGAGGTTGTCTCCAAGGAGCGTCCTTTGGACTCATACAACAAGCAGAAGAAGATCGGTCAAGGTGCTTCTGGTTCCGTTTACGTTGCTCGTATTCGTGAATCTGCTACATCTCCCACTGCTCGTCAACAATTGCGCGAGAATGGCCCTAGAGCTCAAGTAGCTATCAAGCAGATGGATCTTCGCAACCAGCCCCGCAAGGAACTGATCGTCAACGAGATCATTGTCATGAAGGACAGCAAGCACCCCAACATTGTCAACTTCCTCGATGCCTTCCTTCAGGAGGAGAGCAACGAGCTTTGGGTTGTCATGGAATTCATGGAGGGTGGTGCACTCACGGATGTCATTGACAACAACCCTAGCATTTCCGAGCCCCAGATTGCCACAATCTGCTACGAAGTAAGTGTGGAATTGTTCTCTGAGACCTTGATCACAAGCTAACAAACATCTTCAGNNACTTGCAAGGGTCTTATTCACCTTCACCAACAGAACATCATTCATCGTGATATCAAATCAGACAACGTCCTGCTTAGTTCGCGAGGCAATGTCAAGATCACTGACTTTGGTTTCTGTGCCAAGTTGACCGAGCAGCGCAGCAAGCGTGCCACCATGGTCGGAACACCTTACTGGATGGCACCAGAAGTTGTCAAGCAGAAGGAGTACGGCAGCAAGGTCGACATTTGGTCCTTAGGTATCATGGCTATCGAGATGATCGAGTCCGAACCTCCATACCTCAACGAGGAGCCCTTGAAGGCCTTGTACCTGATCGCCACGAACGGTACACCCCGTCTGAAGAAGCCTGAGGCTCTTAGCAAGGAGCTCAAGAGCTTCTTGAGCGTCTGCCTGTGTGTTGACGTCAAGTCTCGTGCTACTGCTGAGGAGCTTGGTAGACACGACTTCCTCAAGACCGGCTGCAACCCCAACATGCTTGCCGAGCTTCTGAGATTCAGAAAGCAGAGTGGTCACTGAGGGTGAACACTTGCATGATTATTTCGCATATACCCATGATACCCAAGTGCTGGCCTTTGCTTACATCGATACCACAAACGTTGTACTAGCCGACAGCCATCACCAGTATGCGGCAGCCGTAGAATTGATGACGACCGGGCGAAGTACGCTTTCACAAGCAAATAAAGAAAAAAACCACATGGCCTGAGGATATGAGGTTACAATATCGAAAGCTAGCCAACGACGACCACGATGATGAAAAGGAAAGGAGATCTTTCATGTTTTGTCTTACATTCTGCATCATCATTGAAGGTGGTATATCTTGTCCTGTCTCATGGACGAGGTAAAGAGGAAAGAGACAGGCTGCTACTTTACCATTTCCTTTTCACACTTCTCTTAGCAGAACGTTTGGATGCATGACGAAGGGCCCAAATGTTCGCAGACTTTCTTTCTTCAAGGCTTGCTTGCTTTTATCAGAATAGGTGATGGTTGACAACGGTCAAATGAGAACGCATGTAGCTGAGTGAGCTGGAGTCGTTCAAAAGGAATGAATGCTTTACATCTTAATTAGCCGGCGTTTGCAGGAGATGCTTTGGACAGGCACGGAGTCGAAAAAGGGTTGTTTCGGACTTTTAGAGCAGTCTTTTATGCATCAAGTCAAGATTTCCTCAAATTTGAGAGATTCATGTGCTCGATTGTTGATCCGAGATGTTGATAGAGTGAGAGTAGGCGAACGCCAAGATTTCAGACGGCCCACCGAAGTTTGCGCGGGATGTTGTCGACGCCGCCGACTTTTTCGCGGGAGCGTCTCGATTCCCTAGCAGATCAATCACATAGCAAGATGGACTCTATTCTTGGTCTCGTACAGGCACTGCCTGCTACCGACTCATGGGGACCTCCCGTCACCACCGACACCCTGCGCGACGGTCTCCCCTACGCTCCCTTCTCCAAGGGCGACAAGCTTGGCCGCATGGCCGACTGGACCGCTGAGGGCAAGGACCGCGAAGGCAGAGGAGGCAGACAACAATACGGTCGCAACTTCAGAGGTGAGGAAGATTTGAGAAGAGCCGAGGGAATACTGAGGCTGACAAGTCACTACAAACAGNACCAGCCCTACGGCGCCGGCGCAGGACTCCAAACCGCTCTCAACATCGAAGGAATCGGCGAGGAAGCCAGCTTCTCCATTGTCGACAACTCGCGCACCGCCGCTCGCCGCACTTTCGGCCGTGGTGGTGGTACCGTTTTCCGTGGACGTGGTGGTGCTCGTGGTGGCGCTGCTCAGCGCGGTGGCCGTGGTGGCACTTTCCAGCGCGTTGGTGGTGCTAGACCTGGACAACAGCAATACGACAACCGCGGCGCGCAACGTGGAGGCCGTGGTGGCCGCAGAGGAGGCTGGAAGGACTGGGACAAGCCGCAACGCACTCGTGAGGCTTCGGTCCAGCCTCGCGATACCTGGAAACTGCTCGAGGAGATTGACTTCAACCGTCTGATCAAGCTGAACCTGGACACTGGCGATGGCGAGGATGTTGAAGACTACGGATTCCTCTACTACTACGACCGCCAGTTCGACAAGCAGCCTGGTGCTCCTACCTCTTTCCGCAAGCTTAACGTTGTTGAGCGTGCTGCTTACAATGTCACAACTTCTCACGACCCCATTATCCAGGACCTGGCCTCGAAGGACGCCGCTTCCATCTTCACCACCAGCGATATCTTGTCCATGCTGATGTGCGCTCCTCGCTCCGTCTACTCATGGGATTTGATCATCACCAGACAAGGCAACAAGGTCTTCATCGACAAGCGTGAGGGCAGCAACGTCGACCGTGTCACCGTCAACGAGAACGCCGCCGATGCACCTCTTGAGACTTCCGAGGGCACCAAGGACACCATCAACAACGTTGGCGCCCTTATGGAGGAGGCCACCCACATCAACCACGTCTTCCCTATCCAGACCGTCACTGAGAGCCAAACGTCCAAGCGCGACATGGCCAACGAGCACCCCTTCTACAACCCCGAGGAGGAGACCGATCCCCCTGCCTCCAAGGCCTACAAGTACCGCAAGTTCGACCTTTCGCTCGAGGCCGACGAGCAGCCGCTACACATTATTGTCCGTACCGAGCTCGACGCTGTTGTCAAGAACGCCATCTCTGGCGAGGACCAATACCTTACCATCAAGGCTCTCAACGAGTTTGACAACAAGGCCATCGGCAGCGGTGGTGCTCTTGACTGGCGCACTAAGCTGGCTTCTCAGCGTGGTGCCGTTGTTGCTACTGAGATGAAGAACAACAGCTGCAAGCTCGCCCGCTGGGCTACCCAGGCCATCCTCGCAAAGGCCGACCAGATGAAGATTGGGTAAGTTTATAATTTGATGATTTGTACAAGAAAAGAAGCAATTGCTAATAACTATTACAGTTTCGTGTCGCGTGTCAACCCCAAGACAGCAAACGACCACGTCATCCTTGGAGTCCTCGGCTACAAGCCTCGTGAGTTTGCCGCCCAGATGAACTTGAACCTGAACAACGGTTGGGCCATTGTCCGCACTTTCGTTGATATGGTCATGTCGCAAGACGAGGACGAGGCCAAGTTTGTGCTTGTCAAGGACCCCAACAAGCCCACCATTCGCCTCTACAACGTCCCTCGCGATACTTTCGAGGAGGAAGAGGAGATGGCTGGTATTGATGAGGAGTAAGCTATTTCATGAGGATGAATGCGGAACATGTGATGTGCCTGTGCCTAGGGATAGACGGGGATCGGCATGTTTGTTTCGAGAGTACAGAAAAAGCGAATGTTATACTTTTACGACTTCAAGACTTTTTGTCCTTTGCAGCTCCTGATCAAGTATTTGATATGGGTCAATAATTGTGATTGATATCAAGACAAAGAAAGAGGTGGGCTGAAAGCGGTGTGGAGAGGGATCGGCTTGGCAGCGCGGGCGGTCGTCATCGTTCATGTGAAAGGGCAGGCATTAATTCCACGTCTCGGTAATCTAGACTTTCTAGCAACCTAGCATCCACATATCGCTAACCAATATGGTGTTCCAAAGCCATGGACCAGTGTCGTTCACAAAGACGACGCTGTCATATCCAGTGTATGCAGCCGAATTCGACCCCTATAATCGTGGCTTCCTGGTCGTAGGCGGCGGCGGTGGTCAAGGTCGCAGCGGTGTCGCAAACAAGATTGTAAGCTACATGTGAAGCCTCTGCAGTCGCATGACTGGTGTTGATATGTGTAACAGANCGCTATTGGACGCAAGCAAACGCTCGGCTCTGGACACGACTGCCGAAATTGACCTCTCGAGCGAAGAAGACTCCATCACATCGCTGGCTACTCTGGCTTCCAAGGACGGTCTCATCACGCTAGCTGGCATCAATTCCTCAGAAGCGGACCAGAAGGCCGGCAAGAATGAACATTTGCGTACATTCGATATCAGATACCCAAAGAAGAAGCAGGCTTCGGAAGAGAAGCAAGACAGCGAAGCTCAAGATGGTTCAATTTCTTTCGTTGGAAAGGCATCGCTCTTCCAACCAGCAACGGGCCCCAAGCCAGAAACATATCAGCGTGTGTTGCGACTATCGCCCACCTACAAGCGCGACTCGCCAAACAAGCGCATTGGAGCCGTTGCGACTGGACTAGCCAAGCGTTCCGAGATTGTCGTCTTCGATGCCACAAAGACACCTACAACCGATGCTGAGATCATCGCTCGTATTCCCATGCGCGACAATGCCGAAGCTGCCGACCTGGACATCACTGAGCTGGAGACCAACACTNTTTCCATCACCTGGGCTACCGACTATGATGTCTACGAGCAGACGGTCATGTACAACTTTGACACCAAGAAGGCCACCTTTTCTCCTACGAACCCGCGCAAAGTCTACTCTATCCCTAAGCCTGAGGATGCTAGAAAACCTGCGCGTCCCAAGTACCGTGCTATCAGATGGTTGGGTAATGAAGATGTGCTGCTCTTGAGCAACCTGCCCAATCGCTCTGGTGCCGAGTTGAGCATTGTTCATCTCTATCCATCCGGCCCAGCATTGATGGTCAAGAATAAGGTCTTGCCCGGTCATGTCAAGCAAGCTGTTGGTCTCGACGTCTGCAGTCTGGATTCGGATAAGCCTGGAAACAAGCAAGTCGTTGTTGCCATTGCCAGTCACGACATTTCCATCCCTGTTTATACTCTTGACTACAACGCCAATACCCACACCTTTGGCAAGTTCAAGCGCTTTACCACTCTTCGCGATGTACACCCGCTACAGATGACCTGTCTTCGCTTCTCACCTTTCCACAGCCCTGTTCGCGCGCCTCCGCCCGAGCAAGATAAGAAAGGCAATGCCTTGCCTATCAAAAACCCAGTCCACCCCGGTCCACAATATATCAAGCTTTGCAGCACCAGCATGGGCAATACTGTCGTCGTGGACACTTTCGCTCTTGTCCCATCAGAGCCTGCAGACCGCCTGAGTCGTTATGTTCTCTTACATCCATCCGACGAGCTTCGCCAGCGTACAACGTACGGCATCCTCATCGGTTTTGCCGTCCTGATTTTCGCTGTCCTGCTCCAGTCCATGTACTCGAACGATCCCTTCGCTCCTGGTCTCGCCGACTTCATCCCTCTACCAGCATCATGGCAACGCACTCTTTCGCACCCTGCAAGTATCGCCGACAGTATAGGTCGCAAGGGCTGGGAACCCATCGTCGATGCCGCATCTTCAGTTTCATCTGTCGCATCATCCGTCACCTCCGCCGTCCCCTCTGCAGCTTCCTCCGTCATGGCTGCCCCCCGTGTCAAAATTGCCGATCTGATAAGCATGCACTTTGCACTTCCCGGCGGCTCAAACCCTGAAGACAAAGCCGTCATTGTTCGCGATGAGGGCCAAGGCAAGAACCTCGCACTTAGTATGTGGGATAAANAAGAGTATTTGAAGCAAGACGAGAAAGCTAGACATTGGCATGAGTTGAATGATGAAGAACAACATGTTTGGAGGAAGAGGTTGGTTGATGCGGGGCATTGGACAGTTGAGGAGGGAGAGACTATTCTCAAGGGAGTTTTGTTTAGTAGTTGGGCTGGGTTTGTGGGGAGGGTTGCTGGGGAGGCCATTAGAGAGCTTTAAGGGGTTCGAAGCGCTGTGTATAACGATGAGAATGTGTCTTGTCAACCCTTAGAAATCATTCTTACACCCAGAATATCATTTGTTTGATCACAGTTGTTTAGCGTTTCTCAGTCTTGTGCGTCAACGCTTCCATCCGTGGCTCCGTGTTTTACACCACTCTTCCTGTGCGTGACAGTATGCGACGCGTGTAGCTATCACGACAAAAAGCACACTGTACTCTGCAACGCAATGGAAACATGGTGAAAGACACACGTGGAGACAGTCTCAACATATTGCTGAGAGAATAAAGAGAGTCATGATTAGCATGCATGTATCTTCACTTTAGAGTGGTCCAGCTCTTTGTGATAGGGATCGCTGGTTGACTTCATTATCTAATCTCTTCTGAGATTCTTGTGTTGGTGTCTCATAGAGCGTAGATCTCTGGAATTCCATCGATGGATCTGGTTGCAGACTTGGTTTTGGCTGGATAGTGGAAACCAAGATACAAAGCAAGAGCCTCTTCTAGCCACAGATGATAATACCTTTGCCTTCGCAAATATATCCTTTATCACAATGAGTGCAAACACACCACCCAGATTCGAGTACTTGGACAAACTACCTCCAGAAATCCGCGCCATGATCTTCGGGCACATAGTGCAGAGCACATTCGATCTGTAGACGCATGCCCCCGAGTCTGACATCTTCGAAGTCAGATGGCATCTCCTCAAGTCACCATGGATCACACTAAACAAACAATTCTGCATCGATTATCTCAATGCCTTCCTCGCTAAAGTCGAATTAGAAGCAACCTTTGCAGATCTGGCGAAAAGCTCAAAAGCGGCAAACGACAGCTCTTTCAAACGAAGCATTCTGGAAGATTGTCTACGACTGATTCATCGACGATTCAGGATTGCTAGCTCTGGTGTTGAACGTTTGCCACACATTAAAGGAATTTGTCTGAGCTATTATTGCAAACCCCCTATTTTTTGTCGTGGGTTTGGGAACATGGGTCATGGCATTTATCCTTCTGGATGCTGCTTCGAGAGACCTGTCAAACAACTGAGACAACATCATGAAGAATACAACATTCCAGCCAACAAACTTTACATCAAAGTCAATTACGGAAGTCCATATGAGTCAATCCAAGCCTTCAGAGACGAACAGGACAACCATCATGTCGATCGGCATTGGCCCAGCACCTCCCTACCTCGGGTACAAATTCGGATCCAAGTAGACGACTGCGAGGCATCAGTTTTCGCTCTCAATCGTGCGCTGAAAATGCTACGGCAAGCCGTTGAGAAGAATATCGCCATGCTTCGCCGTAAATACACGAATCCTAGGCATTTGCCTGACTTGCTGGAGTTGGAGGAACTGATTGAGAGAGATACATCGTTGCTTCGGGAGCGCCACTTAAGGACCATCAAAGAGATCATAAATTTCTGGAAGGCACAAGATGGTTGGTACGATCTAGATGACATGTTCAAAATTGCAGAGTCTTGGGGATCAGCGGTCGGTGAGTGATGAGTTGATGGAACGTCTATCGGCTTCTGCATTCACTGATTCATACGAGTTGGGAAGGTGCAAGTGTAGTTGAAGACCCAAGTCTGAGATAACATCAAAGAATACGGTGTGAACGGTTGTTTGCTATATTCTAACCTCGTTTGTCATACTTAGCGCATGCCCACAAGTTCTTTCTTTTTCTTATCCTCTTTTCTTCTGAGACAGCATGAAGCACAGAAGCTCAGAAACACAGCGTTACATAACCATTTCCTACAAAGAGATGCGATCGGAGAGAGCCCCTGCAAGATCTTTTTTTCTACAGAGATCAAACACGAACCTCACCCCATCGGGAGAAGAGGTGATTCACGCCACAAACAACCTTCTGGGTTATGTCTTCAAAGTTGTAATTTGCTTCAGTGTCGCAGCAGCTTGACTTCCGTAGTGGCTGATGAAACAGATTTCTGATTACAGCACTTCAAGAGAAACTCAAGGCTCAAACTGGAAGCAGCATCAGCGCACTCGAATGTCGCAGAAAGTGGATGCTTTCATGGTTGATCGTTCTTTCCCTTTGTTGCACTTTGTTGGTTTTTACTCTTCCCTTTTTCAAGTGATAGCAGAATAAGAAAGAGCGATCAACTTCATGAAACATTTCCCCCTATAGCGTTCTTTCCTTTTACCATGACTCAGGAGCTACTGTATCATGGCACTGAGCTGGTTCTGGCTTGTCTAGTTTTAGCATCGGCTGGAGAAGAGTCTGCGATTGTATGGGTCTCGAGTGGGTCACGAATTTGCTAGAGCAGAAATTGGACCTGTTTGAGATGGATGCACTTTTGTCCAAGTTGGTAGATGGTTCATTGCGAGTCAAAGAAGAAGATGCTTTTTAGAAGTCACTTGACACACAGTAAGTTTTATTCATTTCTAGCTCCCGATGAAGTGAGCTCGTGTCCTTGTAAGAAGGGAGCGATGATAAAAGTGCTATAGATATATGCGGAAAGTTCCTTTCTTCCTTTCTTTCCTCATTCGTTCTTCGCACGGAGACAACCATGATTTAGCATGGTCGAAGAGATATCAGACACATTGCTGCTTCTTCTTGGCCTTCCAGAAGTTGGTAGCCGTCTTGGCCATTTCGTTGTGGAATTCCAACATTGCTGGAATAGGCCACTCCTTGTAGTACTTCTCGATGATCTGGTCCAGGTATCTTTCCATAGCTAGGCAGTCATCCTCTGCAGAGTAAAAGTCCTGGAATTCACGCAGCTTTTTTNNGGCTTTGTAGGCTGAAAGCTGGTCTTTGATCTTTGTCTTCATGTCAATCATCGCTTGGACGGAGGCTTCCTCATCGGAAAGTATGACCACTGCCGAGATTCGCTCAAGCTTGTAGATCCAGAAATGGAAAGGAAGAAGCGCGAAAGGCTGGTTGTTAGGGACTTTGGACTCGATCAACTCGCTCGGTTCCCAGTAGTCAATGTTGATGTAGATCTGATCGGATGGAACGCTGTATCTTTCGTGGATATCCCAGAGGCGTTGCAGTGTTCTATGGAGATTGGAGAGTGTATCAACACTGTACCTGGCCACATCTATCATGAAGTCTGAACGGAGGTAGAGCGTGTTGATCCTGAGCCCTACTCTTTTGTTGCTAAAGGCATAGTTGATGCGGGCGTGGACAAACGCCAAAAGCTTCTCAAGGGAGTCAAAATCTCTGACGAATACCTTGAACTTACATCTCTTGAACTTGCATCTGTGCATCTGTTCAGGATGTGTGGTCTGAAGAACATTAAGGTACGGTTCATGTGGGCATGAGTAGCGTCCGTCAAATGCTTCCAAGTTCACTTCCCGAATGAAGACCTCGAGGAACTCGACACAAAGTTGCTTGCTGGTAGCCAGGAGTGGAGCGTTGACCAGCTCACGCACAATACAAGGATGGATCGCAGTGTCTTCGAGGTCATGCACCATAAGTGTAGGAATGATTGAGCTGTAAATCATGTTTCTGATCTCTCGAGGGAAGCGCTTGAGCTGGCCGAGGCCGTTCTGAGAGAAGATAGTGAAGTCAACTGGCTTCTGTGGGCCGTACGGCATTGAATCCTGAGCAATGGTTAGCATCCAGAATAGATAGAGTTACTCAAGCCCGCCCACCGTTGACATGAACAACATCGTTGTGAAAATTTGTTTGTTTGGTCTTTTCGCGTTTTGGTTCGAGGCAATGAGTTACTGGCGTTCTGATCACGAGTGCACGCGCTCAAGGGAGTGATGAAGATGAGGAAGGCGCAAATGTCCTTTGTTGTCCAAGGCGGCGTGGAAAACGCCCGCGGTGCCAGTGGAGTTGGAAGGATCTTCCTCGATGCAACCAGATGGAAGGAGTGAGATTTGATAGTGTTGATCGAAAAAGGTAAACAGGAACCAAAGAGTGACCTGGAAACAGACGGAAGGTCCGCTTTGAGATACAAGTCGTTCTTTCTTCGTCACACAAGTGAAGGCTTTTCGAAGTGAGGGTGAGTGACAGATACGAGTTCCAATTGTTTTGTTTGATAACAGGAGGCAAGACCATTGGACGGTTGCTGGAAGGAGACTGTGATCCAAAGGAGGAATTTGAATTGATTGAATCTTGTTGTTCATGGGCTAGAACCTGATGAGCGCCAAGTCGAAGAGACTGTATAAGCAGTTTGACCGCTCACTTTTCAACTGATGAAGGCTGTGGTTATGGGCAACATTGGACAGAAACAACTCTACTTAGACGCCTCAAGATCCTCCAATTGCTTCCAGTTATCCACCACAAACTCGCTGATGGCTTTATGACGTGGCTTGATCATATTATCAATCCCTCTACGATACTCTGCCATGATGGTAAGATCCAGTAGAAGTCCTCTGCAATGGCGACTGATCCATCTAGCAAGCTGTTCTTCGGCTCGATCAATAGACTCTTGGAGGTCGCTCGTGGAAGTCACAGTGTCCGTGACGTGTATCTTGATCACCCATGAATTGAAGCGATGACAGGCTTCTGGATCAGGAAAGTACCTCGTATTCCAATGAGATGCCGCTCTGATGGTCTTGATAGGGATTCCGTACTTGATGATGACAAAGAGCTTGGATGGTTAGATCGTATGAGTCTTATGGAGCTTCCAAAGGATGTGGATGTTTTTCATCAAGGCGTCCACGATCCACTGCCACAGAGCATCAAATTCGTGCAAAGTGCTGTATCACGAGGCATCCACAACCACTCCCAATTTCCCAAAAGCAGTGCTGATACCAGCCTCAACGTTCGAATCTGCCTTGATCAAATCAAGAAGATGTCCGAGTTGACCTAAGTCACTCCAAGTATCCACAAGAGTACAGTATCTGGTCTCCCTCAGGAAAGCACTGCGCATCTCTGCGGACAACCTTTGCTGATGAGACGAAGGGAGGAAGCATTCAGCTGTCTCAAGATCTTGGTTACAAGACATCCTTTCAGATGAGGACTTTGACACTCGTCAAGAATCATGCCGATCCAGTGGCTGTAGATGATATCGCGAATCTCACTTGGAAGACGGCCGAGCGATCCTAGACCGAGTGCAATGTTGTGAGTGATGAGCGAAGAGATCAGAGGCGTTGATGGAGGAGACGTCTAAAGCAAAATTAGCCTGATGCCAGGACGTTGAGATCCAAATTGCTCTTACCATCACGTTGCCCCCTACAACCTGATCTGCCATGAGATACGAGAAGACTTTTGCTTGTGACATCCAGCCATAGATTCAGGAGCCGAGGAGATCTTATGTGGTTGCGAAGGAGAAAGAAAGCGTGAGGCACGCAGTGGAAATAATCTGGTAGATTCGGCCGGCTTCTCACAATGTAAGATGTCAGCGTGACGGGTTTGATAGCATCTAGAAAACCAGCAATCAAGGCAGTGCGTGAATCTTTATTGCATGTCATTGCATGAAGGGACAAAGAGCATGAGTGCAAACCCAACTTTCTTTGAGATGACACTCAAACATTGTCGGTATGCTTTCCTTTCCATCTAAGTCTTCGACAAACATTTTCGAGCTCCTCCTCATCTTCGTCCTCCCAGTATTGCATCGCTATATCGATAAAGAGAAGGTGTGACTCTCTCACATGAGATAAGACGTACTTGACCATGGACCTCGCTTTCTCGATGTCCTCGAAATTAAGCTGCAGCTGGTGATTGCTAAGAACCGCTGGATTCTCGTATGTCAAGGTAAAACATGTGTACATGAGCTTCTCGATTACTCCGCACAGCCGTTCCATGTTCTGGATGGACTGGACTCTATCTCCTACGACAATCGCGATCGGTAGTTTCAGACAATCGCGCAAATCAGTCTGGGCTCTCAACAAGTCATACGCTCTGTAAGCGTACGCTTGAATTGGGAGGTATTCGATTATGGACAATATGATGTCGTCGTAGCAAACTGAGATATACAGTCGACTAGCTGGGATGCCACATGTTTGGTTGCAGCGCTTCAAAGTTTTGAGTGTCTCAGGGAACTTCACAAGAAACCTTTGCCTCGATAGACAAGTTCTTGAAGAATTCTCATAAGCGATACTCAAGCGGCAGCCTACGCTAAGCTTCCTTGTATGTGAAGCAACATCAGCGACTGTATCCAGAGAACAGAGCATCTGAGTTATGGCTGCTACCTCCCGAGTGCGACCTGCGAATAGAATGCTGATGCTGCGAAGGTATGATTCTAGATATTCTCGGTAGAACTGACGGCTGCACTTCGTGCGAAGCGCGGGTGAAAGTCTCTCGTCAAACACACGCCTCAGTCCCCCAATTCTTGGTGATGCAGTCACACAGTGTGCGCAAACCGAGCTATGGATTGTACGAACGGTGTCGAGGATCAGGCGGCCTGTACATAGACAGTCGTGATTTGGGAAGAGCAAGTCGAAGATCATATCTCGGATTTCGCGTGGCAATTTTGCCAAAGTGCCCAGTCCAGTATTCTCCATGTTGATGTTGACTTATTGTATGTTGTTTGAGTGCTTGAGATCTCAAAGACGAAGAAGAGGAGGTTTATAAAGAGGTGAAATGATGGATAGTCATTGGTGAGCAAGTTTGAGGAAATGGTGAGTCACGCCTAGCACGTGGCCATCTTGCCAGATTGCCCAGCCTGGAGTACACTATGTCGAAGATCTCGAAAGAGGAAGGAAGAAAATCTAAAGTTCGTAACTTGCCTATGCGGCGAGAGTCCGCGCTTTGGTATTTATCATAGTATTCGCTGCTCTCATGCACAATCATTTTGGAGAATATGAGTATGGCCAAAGGAAACCCTCCAAATAGAGTGTCTCAGCGGACATTACTCTCTTTCGGAAAATATTGTGCATTTCAACAGCTAAATGTGTAAGTCTGAAGCACACATGAAGTTCATAGTGTTTGCAGAACGAAGTTAATTCGCGGTCCACTACAGGGAATGATGATTGAAAGTTTTGATTATGCTGTTCTTCAACGCGCGATCTTCTGTCGCAATATCTACCATGCCTCTGCCAGAGCAAAAAAGTCACCCAGGCAGTACTCCTTGAACTCTTCCGCGTCCTGCCAGGGCTGCACAACCTGATCGATAAGCGCTTTGTGATGTTCAAGCATGGCCGATGCGATTGCTGGTAGTGCTCTTCTGAGATGGTTATTCAGATCTCTTTGGGCATCGGCCCAGTTGTCATCCTGATAGCCTTTCTTTTCGGCCCCCTGAATGGCTTCAAGATGCTTTTCAAGTCTTCCCTGCATGGCAAGCAGCATCTCCTTATGTACTTTCTCAAGAGCCGTAACGGATCTAGCTTTGGAAGACACGTCAATTCTGATCCTGTGATAACGAAGGTAAGTCTTGATAACGATATCATAGAAGAGGTCGGCTTCTATTCCCCAGGAGACGTGTAATGGCAGAATGTATCTCATCTCGACACAAACTTTGTGCAACGGTATGCCATAGACATCAAAACAGCTTCTGAGCTTTCGTGCTCTTCGAAGAAGCCGGTGTATATCATGGGAAAGTTTGGTCTGGGAGACCTGGACGGTTCCGGAGTCGTTTAAATACTCATCGAACAATTCAGAATCCATTTGGAGGCCAATGGCTCTGATATGGGTAGCGATATCGGTCATTGGGCTGATGAGACGCAAAAACTTGTTCAATCTGTCGATCGACTTGTTCGAATACTCAGCGAAGAACTCGTTGTTTCTCAGAAAGGATTCCAAGAGTTCTCGACGCAGCTGTCTGCTGATCGGCACGAGCCTGTGCAGCGATAAGATTCTGAAGCAAGACTGTGTCAACTTGAGAGATGCAGCGACATAGCTGAAGACCATGTCGCGAATTTCACGAGGCAACACGATCAAAGTGCCGAGACCGTCTTCGTTCATGTTGCAAGAGTAAGGTGAACCGTGATGATGTCGATCGCAGTCTTGATGAAAGCTGAGCATGTTAGCGGAAGCTTTCGATGCGCAATATACTATGAGGAAGCTACGCACATTTGGTTCAGAAGCGCCAAAAGTTCTGGTTACCTTCAAAGAGTGGCGAGTGTAAAGTCGTCAAGCGGGGGATGACTGGAGGCCGAGAAAGCTGATTTAGATCGCGTCCGAGGAGAGCAGTGAAGTGGTTGTCAGAAGGTGTTTTCGAGAGGGGAGACAGCGCGATGTTGTGGTATGTGATAGCAGCGACCCCTGCGGTGGTGATCCTCGATTGGTGTTCAGTGCAAGAGATGAGTACGATAGACGAGTGCTTGGAGTGAGTTGAAGGATCTGATAGAGTGACGCGTAGTGAAAGACCGAAGACGCGTGTCAGGGGATAGTGTTTCGGAACAAGAACAGCTACCACTGAGGACTAGTAAAGATCAATTCCTCTCTCCATGTGCAAAAGCATGTGATGTGTGTGATGAAAATGCACAATCCCACTAAAAAACAGGGTAGTTCCCACTAAGAGACTATTCTTTAGCAGTTCTCTTTGGCCAGATCTTTGTTTCTGGGTGAGATTGTGCATTTCTATAGTATGCACACTCTCTGCTATAGTTGGAGTAATGGAAGTTACATCCTCTAGCACACATCAGTGACAAGGACAAAGTTTCGCACTTTCCTTGATCAAGAGTGTTTGTTCCAAGGCAAAGAGTTTCATTGGACCATTCTGTTCTTTTGCTCTTTGTGACAAGGATTCCATTCGGCTTGCTACCTGTAATCATCTATCACTGCTTTTGGACATACTCATCAATGATCGATGCTGCATTGAAGTGCTATGCGCCAGTACCATGGAGCCAGTCTAGAAAGCCTAGAGTGCCAAAGTTGACCCTCGACTTTTCGTGATGCAAGTCATGTTTTCTTGCGAAGACCGTGAAGAAGTCGTACCCACTATGCGCAATCACCGTCTCTAGTGTAGCTGCTGTCCAGAACAAGAAGCATGTAAGAATATGGCAACCCAAAATCTGTGGAGGTAGCCAAAATGGAAAGATGGTTGAGACAAGGTACTCCAGCGGATGTGCATATTGTGCAGCCAGAGCGATTGGGGCTTTGAATTGATGGTGCTGATTATGTATGCGCTGATAGAATTTTTTGACGTGCAAGAGTCGATGAGAGTAGTAGAAGATGATCTCGCAGCCCAGAACGCAGATGACGAGGTCGCGCAAAACTTCAGATGCACTCGGAATGTCAGGGTCGAAGCGGTACAGAGATGTATGACCCATGAGATGTAGAGCTCCTAGCTCAAGTACTTTTGCTGCCGCCATCAACAACTGATTGAGAATGACCACATCAATGCAATGCCAGATCTGAACATGAGTTGGCGTTGGTCGCGACTGGATTTTGTGCCGTAAAGAGAAGGAGGACAACCAATGGTCGACACCGAGTGACAGGAGGGATGGCAACCAGAAAGCGATTATTTGGATACCGAATGTACCGGCCAGTTCGATCTTGGATGGTGAAGCAGACTTCAGGACATCCGTCCAGATTGTCTGGATGACTCGAGCCATTTCAAGAATTCTGGCGACTGTGCTCGAATGACCAGAAGTGTGGAATTTTGCAGAAGCCTGCTGTCGATCGCGAAACCGAACTGGTCCAGGAATTGACATGCGATTGCTCATTTGCATGCATCAAATTTTGTAGCATCCAGAAGGCTATACAAGGTGATTTTGTCAACCTGAAGCGACGGGAATATTGATGTTGTGAAGAGATGTGATAACACTTACATCAATGTGGTGGGTAGAGAGATTGTTGACTGAAGCCAAGGTATCAGGCCACAGCTGATATAGTACAAACGCTTGTTCGTCAATGTGACGTGTTGCGCATTTCACGGACCACGTGTCAGCATGAGGAATTGGACTGAATCAAGGAAGCCACATTAATCTCTGCACAAATAACTGCATCTCAATGAGTTCATGGCAAGAAGCATAAGTGTTGGTGAGGAAGGTACATCTTCGGAGGTGGTTTGTGTAACGGGAATCCCGAAGGTTGATTGCGAGCCAAGAATAAATCATTGGCCAATGAAGCGACGACATAATTGCACAGAAGGCACGCAGGAATGAAACAGACAACTTACGCCTTGTGAATACGGGAAGTGAATTTTGTTGACCTATCTAGATCCCCGCCGGACGGTCTGAACAACTTTTAGCTATAAAAATGCACAAATGTGTTCCGGGACCGAGAGAGTCCAGTGAGATGTGTAAATCTACTCAGCAGCCTCCTTCTGGCCCTCGTAGGCTGGTAGACGAGCAACGACATCAGCCCAAGTCTCCTTGCCCTTCACCATACGGCTAACTGCCTTGATAATATCAGCCTGGCTAGCGCGCACTTGCTTGGTAGAATCACGGTCTCTGAGAGTGAGGCTGCCATCGTCAAGAGCCTCGTAGTCGATGGTAATGCCGAATGGAATACCGAGCTCGTCGTTACGAGAGTAACGCTTGCCGATACTGACACCAGTTTGGTCAATTTTGAATGAGATAGACTTGTTGTCGAGGGCCTCCTCGAGCTTGGCAATAAGAGGAGCAAACTTGGGGTCCTTCTGGAGAGGGCAGACGAGAACCTTGATGGGAGCGACGACAGGTGAGAAGGAAAGAACGGAGCGGGCCTCATCGTTCTCACGAGTCCAGTAGCTGTGCTCCATGAGAGAGTAAAGAATGCGACCAATACCGAAGGAAGGCTCGATGACGTTGGGCACGAACTCACGGAAAGTGATAGTCTTCTTTTGCTTCTCGAACTTGACGATGGAGGTGTCAATCTCGACCTTGCCGGCGGCGATATCCTCAACGGGAACCTCAGCCTTGCCCTCAGACTCCATGGTGATTTGGAGCTTCTCCTTCATCTCCTGAGAAAGAGCCTCAAGAGCGTTCTCGATGGCCTTGGCATCCTTCTTGAACTTAGGACCAGCCTTCTTCTTGTCAATGACAGGAACCCACTCCTCGATAGTCTCAGGGTTCTTAAGCTGCTCACGGGCACGAAGGACAGTTCCAGTAGCCTTCTCGTGAACAGACAAATCGTAAGCAGAGCGGTCTGCACAGCCAACACACTCAGTCCAGCCGTAGCTGTTGAGCAACTCACAGTCCCAGCAGTCGGAAGCGTAGTGAGCCATCTCGTTGGCCATGTGCTGACGGAAGCGGAGCTTGTTCATGTCGATACCAATCTTCTGCATGAACTGGTAGATGCGAACAAGGAAGTAACCAAGGGTCTCGTTGTCGACCAACTTAGTCTTGACGGCCTCTCCGATGGCGACCATGGTGGGCTTGGTGCTGCCGGAAGTCTGAGTGTTGCGGTCAAGGAGAGGAAGCTTGACATCAGCAACGGTGTGGAACTTGGGGTGAGCCTTGCCGCCCTCGGGGTCAACGAAGTGCTCAATCTCAGCCATCAAGAATTCTCTGACACGGAGAAGACCAGCGCGGGGAGAAAGCNNTAGGATATATCAGTATGTTAACGTCATTAGTAGATATGCTGCACATACCTCGTTTCTGAAAGAGTAACCGATGGAAGCAGAGGCGAAGGGAAGCTGGCCATCACTGTACTCGAGGAGCTTTTGGAAAGAGAGGAATTGACCCTGAGCAGTCTCAGGTCTGAGGAAAGCAGGAGAGTTGGAAGAAGCACCAATCTGAGTCTGGAACATGAGGTTGACCGAAACAGGAGGCTCAACCTCGTTACCGGAAGAGGGGTTGCGGATATCGTACTTCTTGATCAGCTCACCCATACCCTCACCAGTGTAGTCATCGAGCATGGCAAGAACGTGTTCGTACTCCTGGCGGACAGCATCGTCAAGCTTGACGGCACCCTTGGCGGCCTTTGATTGCTTCTTCTTCTTCTTGGGGTCCTCTTCCTTCTCCTCGACCTTTTCACCACGAGCCTCCTTGTCAGACTTGAGACGAGCTTCGAGCACGTCGCCAATCAAGTGATCTGAACGAAGAATTTCACCAGTCTTAGGGTCCTTGCCTGTCCGCATGTCAGTTTATCAAATCAGAACATCAAGCTTTCTTGGTCCTTTCATACACATGTAATCGGCAAAGCGGTCACTATAAACTTCAAGTCAGTAAATTCGTCTCGAATACAATTTGGCAATCCAATTCATTGCCGATTTCGAGATATAGGATACTCACACGTGACCAGAAGTCTTCAAGACTTCATAAGGGGTAAGCATAGAACACTTGAGAGCCATCATCTTCTCAGAGCGAATGAAGTGATCACGCCAGATCTGGATGACCTGACTCTCAAGCTGCTCAAGGGGAGGGCCATAATCGAAGAGACCCTTGACTGAGCCGTAAGGCTCGAAACTCTGCCACAGGAACACCTTGCGGCGCAACAAAGACTCAAAAGCAGCTCTGTCAAAGGCCTGACCCTTTTGAGTAACGTAATCAGTTGACATGGTGGGTATGTTTCGCGTGCGAGTCTGTACAACAGCACGACGAGTGAGAGGAGTTAACGAAAAGGCTCTGGTTTGCCTTGTGGGTGTGGTGAAATGCCTATTTGTGACCTGGCGCAGGTACTTGAACATAAATTGACAAAAGAGACTTGTCAAAGGAAAACAATAAGCCGTGAGATGGCGAGGAGTGATATGGTATGCTCAAACGCTTGCTCATCGATGCGGTGTCTGGGCTTCGAAAAGTTATAGGTGGCCCGAGCTTGCTTGTGCGACGATTAACTCCCGAACAAAAGTACGGCGATATCACAGGTTGCAAAGATGCACAATATGATATGGAAACAGAGACAGGTCCATTGAGGTTGATTGATTTACAGTCTCTCTCTGGTATCTCCTTGTTTTCGAAAGTATTGTGCATTCTAATGGTATATTCTCAAAGGCTCTCGCGGACGGAGATGTCCTTCCCCATATAAGAAAAACTCCAGCGTTCTCTATCAACTCCTCCAGAAATTCTCCCAGGGTCTCCAAGATTTTTTATTTCCCAGCAGCTACCCACTCTCAGAACATCCACCACACAACCGCCACAATGGTCTCGCGTAATCCAACCAAGATCGGCAACAAAATCAAGCGCAAAGAACAACACGTCAAAGCAAAAAGAGCAAAAGAAAACGAAAAGCGCGACGATAGACTGCGCCGCAGACGCACAGAAGACAAGAACCCTGCATTGAGGGAAGCGCGCAGAGCAAAGAACATCCCGCAAACAATCGACAGAAAGAGAACGTGGGATACTGCAGGTGATGGCGAGGAGAGCGACAAGTTGGGGTTGAGTGTGGATTTGAATGCGATCAAGAGGAGGAAGATTGAAGATGAAGAGGACGAGGCTGAGCAAGAGGAAGATGCAGAGGAGGAAAAGGACAGTGATGCAGACTCGATGATCGACTTTGACGAGGACGAAGACGATGAAGACGACGACGAAGACACCAAAGCCGCAAAACAGCAAAAGAAGGACGAGGCCTTAGCAGCAAAGAAAGCTCGCGCGCCCTCGCCAACACCCTCGACGGCAGCAACAAACCTGTCCCTCACCCCCGAAGGCCTAGCCTCTAAATTCCCTTCTCTGTTCGAGCAAAGCGACAAAGATCCTAAAGTTCTGGTCACAACGAGCATCAACAGTTTCCTGCACCAAGAAGCCGCTCTGCTCACATCTCTGTTCCCCAACTCGGTCTACATCAAGCGCACAGCACACTTCCACGCCCACAAATACTCCGTCAGCGAAATTTCCTCTTTCGCTTCAAACAGAAACTACACACACGTCGTCATCCTCAACGAAGACCAAAAGAAGCCTGCAGGACTGGATATCGTACACCTTCCCAACGGCCCCATGTTCCACTTTTCCATCTCAAATTGGGTGGAAGGTGCAAAGCTCCCCGGTCACGGAAACCCTACTTCGCATGATCCTGAACTCATCCTCAACAACTTCCGCACTCCGCTAGGTCTGTTGACTGCTCATCTCTTCCGCCAAATCTTCCCACCGCAACCGCAGGTTCAAGGACGTCAGGTTGTGACGCTACACAACCAGCGCGATTACATTTTCGTTAGAAGACACAGATACGTCTTCCGCGACAAGCGCGCGACCGAGAAAAGCATTGTGGGTCCAGATGGAAAATTGGTCGAAGGTGTGGAGGACATCAGAGCTGGACTGCAAGAGCTGGGACCCAGATTTACACTCAAGTTAAGAAGAATCGACAAGGGTATCCAAAGAAGGAGTGGACAGGAATGGGAATGGAAGGCTGGTGACGAGAAGGTTAGAACGAGATTTGCTCTGTAAAGAAAAAGGTCTCATCTTCTGTTGTACATGCATTGCAGGGCGTTGGTCAAGGACTTGAGGGATCGAAACGTTTGTTTGCTGAAGGCATTATGCAATGTTGCATTCTGAGCAGAGAGTGGGTATATGTAAAAGTCATCCTCTCCAAGAGTCAACCTGTATAAAAAGACAATGCAGATCATCGCATGTCGAATTTTCTGCTGATGATATCCAGTTCCGTCCAACGCCAGTGACCAAAGCCTCGATTTATCATGCACGTGTATTTCTCTACCATCTCTTTACGTCGAACTCAGCCTACCTGTCAAGACCAAATTAATCAACTTGATCAGGATATTGCACAACAAGTACGCTGAGAGTAATGGTGCGAATAGCTGTAAGGGCTCCCAGGCGGACTTAGGTCTAACTTCTGTCTCAATGTACTGGGCATGTTTCTTTTCTTCCTCGGACCTGTCCACTGCATCGACAGCAGCTGGATCANNGCAGGGGAAGCGTCCGTGATCGAGATAATACTCGATCAAGTCGTCCTTCTCCCTCCAACGGTCCAGCAACCACTTTTCGGTTTCTTCTTTTGAGTGCAGAGGAATATCGGCAATGGCGAAACGGCGCCAGTGCATGTTGACTGATTTGGGAGCGCGGCCTTGGAAGTAGACAGATCGGAGTGTGTAGAGTTGGCCGCCATAAGAGCCACGAGGAACACCTTCATAGGCGATCGTACAGTCGTAGAGCCAATCCACGCCCTCCTTTAGTTCTTCCAAGCAATAATGAAGACCGGTGCTGCGAGGCAGGAGCTGGTGCTTCATGTCTGGTATGCCTGACTTCTCACTCCATCTTGCAGACGATTTGCGAGTGTTGGGACTGAGGTTTGTACCTTCGGGGAAGATCAGCAGCCATGCGGGATCCAGGCCACTCTTATCTTTTCGTCCCAGGACAGGACCGGTGTGTCTAGTGGATAGCTGTTGCAGACGATGTTTTAGACGCGGTTGGTCCTTTGCCCATTTCCTGCTCATGAAGATGAAGTTGTAGAACATCATGCCAGGGCCGATCATGGGGATGTATTTGAGACTCTCTTTCAAGATGATGTAAATATGGCCGTGACATGCCGCGGTATAGCTGACCCACCACAGGTAGGTCCAATCGGTGTAGATCTGGTGATTTGCGATCAAGACAAGACGTTCGGGGAAGTCGCATTCGAGGCGGCCATCAGGGAACTGTCTAAGTTGACCACTGACTGAGGCATCGCCAGAAATGCGGATGACAGTGGGAGCGAAGAGGTATGTGCCGGTGATGAGGACAAGGGCGAAGTACTGCTTGCAGACAGCCTGCCAGGCATAAAAATAGTCTTTGTTGTAGAAGTAGAGAGGAGCGCCGAGAAGTTGGGCCGAGTGGATGGCTAGGGCAGCGATGGAGAAGAAGACGGCGAAGCAGGCGATGCGGAAATATTGCATAGGAGGGCCATGCTTGACTGGACCAGCCGGGTGGTCGTCATTCTTCAAATTGTCATTGTTCGAAGTAAGCTTGATCTCAGGTTCCACGGCAGATTCGGGTTTGGGTATAGGACGCTGGCGGACGCCCTCGGTGTTGATGCGCGACATGTCTCTGGGTGCGACAGTGGCAGGTGCGACTACGAAACTCCAGAAAGCATTTAAGGCAGCGACAACAAGAATGGAAGGTGCGTAGGGTCGAACAAAGAGCGACTTCTGATCCATCCATCGCGTCACTCGGAGCTTTGCAGCCCCACCATGTCCCATGCATGGCAACCGTCACAACGCGACTGCCCCTTTTGTGGCTTTGGACCATCTGACATGAACAAATGACACGGCCATGTCTGCCTCTGTTGCGACACGTCGCCAGAAGATGCTTCTCCCAGTCGTCCGTCCGCCGTGAGCTTCGCGACATTGCTGCTCTGCCAGACCGCATCCGCCCTTCGTATCAAGGTACTTTTCTGTCATCACGCACGTGTAGAACTATCATGACGCTGACAGGCCCATCTCAGNAGACAAAACACCAGGATCTCCTATCGCTACAATGGCCTCAGCCACCTCGCAATATCCTAATCGTGCACAAGACTGGCTCTGACGCCGTCGCTGAAGCCGTCCACGAATACGCCAACCACATCCATTCGACTTACCCTGACGTCTCTCTCATCTTCGAGCCCAAGGTCGCCAAAGCCCTGCATACCGACTTCTCTTTCCCCATCTACACCACTACAGATGAGTCCACGGATGCTCGTCTGCAGGACAAGGTCGATCTGACCTCAACCCTCGGCGGTGACGGCACAATTCTTCATGCTTCGTCTCTGTTCGCGAATGCCCGGAATGTGCCCNCCATTCTCTCCTTCAGCATGGGTACCCTAGGCTTCCTTGGAGAGTGGAAGTTCTCCGACTATAAGCGAGCGCTTCGTGAAGTCTACATGTCAGGCGCAACAGCAGGCTATGGCAGTGCTCTTCTGGAAACAGAGTCTGGACAACAANAAGACGTCTTATCAGGCTGGAGTTCTGTCCGTGGTATGTCCATGGGTCCATCACGCTCCTCCCGCGTGCTTTTGAGGAACAGACTGAAGGTTGGTGTCTTCGCTGCAGATGGCACTCCCATCACCCATGCCGATCCCTCGGCACCCATGTGTTCTTCCGACTGCGAAGCCAACAGTAATTGTGATGTTTTTGCCATGAACGAGGTTCTGCTCCATCGCGGTCGTACACCACACCTCAGTATCATAAATATTTATGTTGGTGGTCGATTCTTGACTGAAGCAGTAGCCGATGGCCTGCTAATAAGCACACCCACCGGCTCGACAGCTTACTCTTTGTCCTCAGGCGGCAGTATAGTTCATCCCCTTGTCTCTTCCCTGCTCCTCACTCCCATTTGTCCACGAAGTCTCTCCTTCCGCCCACTTGTCCTTCCTGCCAATACGCCTATAACCCTGCGGCTGTCTCCTAAGAATCGCAGCGACGAAATCGAACTGTCCGTCGATGGAGTGCGGAGGGAGAAAGGATTGACACGAGGCATGGAAGTCAGAGTCGTCGGAGAGGAAGTCAGGAGCGAGGAAAGGACTTGGGGCGGTGGTGGTGTGCCGTCTATCGTAAGGACTGGAGGTGCCAATGGTGCTGAAGGCCATGATCATTGGGTTGGTGGCTTGAATGGTCTCCTAAAATTCAACTTTCCTTTTGGCGAGGAGTGAAATTATATTTGCACGATCTTAGATCATTTAGGAAGAAAAGGCATAGACTTGCAGATCTTATATATGATTCATTGCTATCAAAAGGTGAGTTGCATCCACAACGAGCCTACCTTGCGTGAAGATTCTTCGAGTTGCGCTCTTTCCATGTGCCGAAGTCTATAGCTCCCTTCGTACTCCGGCTATAGCTGAGAGCAAACTGTACCCTATACAAAGACACGATTGTTTTCGCAGAGTAGAGGCGTGTCCACAGAGAGTCAAAGAGTGGTTGCTCTCAGTGGACATTGTGCTGCTTCCTGGTACTATTGTGTGTTTTTATAGTTATCCACGTTACATACTTTGGCATATGGGAGGAGCCTGTTTCATACATATCTGCCCTGCTCGTTCGCTCCTCGTACCGCTTGCTCTCGGAATCTTATCGGGGGCGGAGGCGATGCTGGCGATTTAGAAATGGAGATAGGAAGGAAAGCAAAAGATTGGTTTGTCACCGAAGAGATTCGAACCCTCCAGTTAGCTTATTTTGCACATGTAAACAAACTTCACTTCCGCAAGCTCTGCGCGTCGCTCATCACATCTCTATCTCTTCATCTCCCATTGCAATCATTCTTCACAAAACAACATCACATCAATCAAAATGAAAGACCTTATGATTCCCATCGTAGCTAACACCTTTCAGGAGGCGTGTCAGCTTGCAAATGATGCGAGAAAACTTTACGCCAGTGTTTCGAGTCGTGTTCCTCTTGACGAGGCAGCTGTGGCAAGGGCAGCGCAAATTCAACGCCACTACGCGGGCCAGTTAGGTGAGTGGTTGAATCGCGATGCTGTCACCATGGCGCCCGCTTCGGCTGGTGATGGTTCCAGCAGTACCGCCCTGGTCCCTGTCTCGAATGCACTGGTAAGGACCGAGACCGCCCCTCCCCCCAACCCTCCACCAAACAACTCCGAAGTTGTGATCCGCCCACGCAGTGGACAGCTTGGTTTGGCCCAGAACAAGGGCAAGGGTAAGGCAGCGGCGTCCGGGGAAGACGTCGATACGGACAACGGCGGCGTGTCCTCGGGCTCGCAGGTTGGGCCTCCTCGCCCTGACGGTGAGCCTTCTTCGGAAGACAAGTCCGACCGAGATGAGGAAGACGATGGAATTGGAAAGCAGTTGGCCATTGAGGGTGGCAAGAAGAAGAGGAAGAGAACCAGAACCAGCCGCAGTGATAGGAGAAAGAAGGCGAAGGCGGCTCGAGAAGCCAGCCAGGGTGGGGCTTCTGTCCCTGCTCAGACTGCGCGCCCGCCCGCTCGCAGTTTCCTCTCGACAGCCACTCAACGTGGTGGTCGCTTCCCTTCCGCTCCCCTGCCGCCCATCAGCCGTCCGATTTTGCGTCGGCTATGGAGCGTGTCGCCCAAACGCCTGGCGCCACGCTGACTCACTTCTCCATCATAGATGGTGAGTCTACTCGTGGCCGTGTTTACGGCACTGGTCGCGGCGGTCGTGGTGGTCGTGGCCGCGGCGGTCACGGTCGCGGTGGCAGTTACAATGCCCCGCAGAACGTTGACCAACGCGGTGCGGTGAGCAAGCGTGGCGGCGGTCCTGGCCGTGGCAGAGGTGGTGGTCGCGGCGGAGGTGGTCGTGGTGGAGGTAGTTCCGGTCAGGGCGGTGGCTCTGCTGGCGCCTCTGGCAACACACAAACCTCGTGAGAGCTACCGAGGCAATCGAGACTGGTTCTCGCTGCTGTACGGTTCTCTCTAACGCCATCCAGACCCCGGGTAGGAACTGACGCAGGTCGAGACTTGTTCTCTCTGCCGAACGGTTCCTCTCGAAACCTTTCAGACCTCAGGGAAGGAACGGACGCAGTCGAGACTGGCTCTCGCTGCTGAACGGTTCCCCCTAACAAAAAATACAAAAAAAAGGGCAAAAGAGAAAATCATCAAAAAGGTCAAAATTGAAAAACCCAGAAAAAAAAAAACAGGAGTCAACCTCGTATAAAAAATCACCCTGATGATATGCTTCACCTCTACGTGGTATCAGGGACGAGTAGCCTTACCGGGCGAAACCAAGTCAAGCATACAGTACATAGAAACATTCAAAAGATGCTGTGTTGTGTACGAAGATCCGTTGGAGTCACCGCTGGGCCGAAGTATTACCGGAGATTTATGGGGAATTACCATGTAAACACAAGATAGAATCCACTGAGAAGCGACAAGTTGCCTACTCTCTGTGGACACGCTCTGTTCCTGATAAGATATAGTCTCAATTTTGCTCTGAAGTGCAAGGTCTTGCAGTTGCCTCTAATGGCATCGATACTCGTTGACTACGGGCCTTCTTGTTATCATCGGAGCTCTGCTATGCACGCCCCCCACAGCACAAAGCTTGGCCCAGCCACTTCCTACTTCCTGCCTGCCTATCTTTCAATCTGTTACCCAAACTCTCTCATGATACGAAGCGACCCGCATCATTTACCAAGCAAGATCCTCCAACATGCCTGATTCAAGTACGGCTGAGCGTCGACGAAGTAAGAGGCACGCCAATGCTGTAGCAGAGGAACACTCAGAACCCGTGTCAAAGCGCGTCAAGACTGAAGACTTGATACGAGACCAATCGCAGAATGAGGAGCACTCTGACGAGGACGACGTGGTGGAAAACGCCAGTGTCGACGATGTCGAAATTGGTGATGATGTCAATGAAATTACCGAATCGCATGATGCCGACCAGGATTCGACGGCACTCGTAGCATCAGAACCACAATCACGCAGACTGGCAACTACAGGAGAGCTCCTGAATGGTTATTTCTCCCACCGCTTGGAGGATCTCGACAGTATTTTTAGCACCATCACTGACGATTTTCGAGAGGCGTTAACGTCAAGATTGAATGTGGAGGCCAATGAGGTCCTTGAGTTACCTGATGGTGGCCCACAAGCTGTCCTGTCCCAATGGAGAATCAAGTACCCCGACGAAAAGAAACTCGCCGACTTTGAGAAGTACAAGTCCTGGAAGATCACAACGAGCAAGGATGCGCAACATGCTATTGAAGCGATAGAGAGGTGCAAGACTGCTAGGACCGCAGTCAGCGACGACCTGAAGTTCTTCACAGAGTGGCAGCAGGATTGGGAGGCAGATGCCATGTATCTCATCAAGGAAATGCGGAGCATGTTCGGTGATGTGATCAGGCCTCTCCAGCACCACAAGATGCAGCTGGAAAGAAGTGGCAAAAAGTTGAGTGACGAGATCACCGGGTATGCAAGGCGTCAAAGTACCTAAATGGGAAGCTTGCCCAATTACAAGACAATGTGACACGACCAGTGGATGTCAAGGCTTGATCACGAATTCATACTCGAGGGAGATGTACATGAGGCACCTCGCACATTCTATCATTAATGATCGAGTCCGTCTGGATCAATCGTGCGTCTAGACTGCCGACCAGTCTAGATTGATGCATACATCAGATGGGTATTTACCCAATAGCTAATTTCAAGCATCCATGAATCTAGTAACACGTTCCTTCAGTGCCGCCTCATTCTGCACGAACCCATCATGCAGTGCCAATGTACGCGANTCAAAGTCTGCAAACTTGGCTCGAGTATCTTCTAAGAACAAAGCCTCTGCACGAGCATACATCTGCAGAACATTATACATCTGTTTCTTTGCCGCTTTCTCAGCTTGAAGCTTTTCNAATGCATCCTGAGCTTCTTCTAGCGTGATGGTGTTGGTGGAAAGGTTCAATCCGGATAGGCCGTTCTCCTTTCTGTAGGCAGACTCCCATTGCTGATAGTCGAGATCGATGTCCAAATCTTTTGAAATGGGCATATGGTCTTGCAAGGGCTCGAAAGGACCTAACAAATTTTGGAAGTCGTCCTTCATTTGGTGTAGCCATTTTTCNTTCAGCTCTGTCAGCTGGGCTTCCCACATGGCGTAAAGAAGTTGAGCTGATGATGCGTTGCCAGATTGTGTATTATTGATGCCAATCTGGCGTTTCCTCTCAACCTTGTCACTGGAAGCCACGACCGGTGCGACGGGGACCGGAGGCTTGTTAGCAGCCATAGGGGCGGAACTGTCTACCGTAGTCGAGGGAGTCTCTGCAGGAAGTTCTTGCGCTTGCTCTCCTTCAGCTGATGCTGATCTTTCTTGAGCAAGATCTGTTGTCACATCTTGGGTCGCACCTCCCTCAGCATGTTGAAGATTTGGAGATACCACACTAGCCTGTTGTGAATCGTGTGTTGCTTTCAATTGATGTGCTTGGACAAGCTTGTTGATAGCAGCGGGATCCGGCTTCTGCCAATTATTGTTGTTATTAGCCTTCGAGTCGAAAGACTGGTTGTTCCTTGGTCTAAATGGCTGGCTGTTTGGATGGAAGCCTTGATGACCGTTCGACCCGAAGTTTTGGTTGTTATGCGGTCTGAAAGGCTGATTGTTTTGTGGCCTGAAAGGTAGATTTTTCTGTGGCCTGAAAGGCTGGTTGTTCTGTGGTCTAAAGGGTTGATTGTCTCTTGGTCCAAAGCTTTGATTGTTCTTTGGGCCAGCAGGTGGAATGTTCTTTGGCCCTTGAGGTAGCATGTTATTGTGTCCAGAGGAAGGATCGTTCTTTGGTCCAGGCACCTGGTCGCCGTTGTTGGCAAGTTGCTGTTTCGAGCCTTTCTTTTTGGACATGATGGAAAGTATATTGATCTACAAATAGCTAGTGTCTCAGATCAATAAACCTTTCGATTTTGTTTCTAGCTGGCTTTGTCTGAGCTATCAAGTATCAAATGATTTTTCGAGCACATTTTGTAAGCTCTTGTCAATAGGCAACACTTTCGAAAGACGCGTCGCGCGTGGAGTTCGTGCAGATGCTCAATCAATTTAACTTTCGATCGAGCTTCATCATATCACAACTTTTTTTTTCGAGCACCTTTGGGAAACACAATCGCCGCCAACCGGGTCTCGAGTCACATTAACCTTCCACGCTTTTGAGCTCGGATCGAGCATGTGGCCGCTGTCGACATGGTGACCCTGTCCACACTCGGTATCAACAACAGGGAGCTCTTCCACCGAATGGCACCAACAAGGTTTTCCTTACTTTCATCAGCTTTGTAAGCCTTGGACAGTTAATATCATTGAATGCACTAGATTCCACCAAAGTCACTCTACAACTGGTCAAGACACTCCTCCAGCCTCCAAGATCTGCTCGAGATGATCACGCAACACCGAGTTCCACAGTGCCTTGTTCTTGTAACCAGCCACATCCTCTGTGAAGCTTCCAACACTAGTCCGCAGAGCAGCTGCAACTTCTTTGTCTTTTGTCACCTCGGTGATGGGTGTGATGTATGTCCGGATAGAGAAGAGCAAAGCTCTTGATCTGGGCAGACGTTGGAGGAACTGTCTTTCTACTNNCCGAAGATGTAAGTCCTTCAGGTGTACTTTNTTGTCCACGTCCAGATTGTGGTGTGAGTGTGGGTGGAAGAGCTCATCTGAGTCGTCGATCGCGTAGTTGAACCTTGTGATCGCGCAGCCAACTTGCACACGCATGAAGAAACGATCCATTGATTTGGCCAACTTGGTTTCGTATTGAGGCACCTTGCCTGCATGGATCTGCCACAAACTGTGGCCTATCCGATCTTTCATTCTCCATCCGGCTGCCCTTAAATCAGATATTGTTAGGTTCTTTTGGGGATGGACTTGCCTGGAAAGCAGACTNGCTCCGGCCTTCAACGATGACACGCCTGTTGCAGAATCCGTTTGCACGATCACGAAGTCTTCTGGCGCAAGCAATGACATAACTTCAAGTGGATGATAGCGGTTCCATGTTGGAGCATTNTTGCCCAAGTCCCATGTCTCTTTGGTCACCAAGTTTTCGAGTGTTTGCTTCTCAGTCCACTGAAANATAGTGGGATATCGACGCGGAAGGTAATCAGCAAGCAGATATAGACCCTCGAATGCCGCTTCTTCACACCCCGGTAGGACTTGTGTTACGACATCTCTTTGCTTCTCGAACAGCTCCCTTTTCAAAGCCATCTTCTCCAGATATGTGTTGTCGATTTCGATCCAGTCTTGAATGGCAGTGCGCTTGATGCCTGATGGATTCGGTTAATATCATGCCGGCTTGAGTGGATCATCGCTTTTCTTACCCATTGTGACATGATACGGACCGTTGTGCCACGGTCTGTAAGCAATTGGTACAGTGTTCTGCAAGTCAAAGCGAGCCGTATATGGTTGGACACCTGAGAGATCAATGGTAGTGGGTTCNTGCTAGCTTGTAAGCGATGTCTTGAATCAAATGCTTCTTTATGAGAATGCCTCACCATTATTCTTAGCCTCACGTCGTTGCTTTGCAGGACGAGGCCAGAATCTCGAAATCGAAAAGACAGCAACAATCAACACGAGTATCACTACCATGAACGCCATCTCTCCGCTTATCTCATGTAGCAAATGTACAGGAGCGCAGAGCTATTTCTACCACACGCAGGTCATGAAAACTCAAAAAGCTTTCCTCTGGTGAGTTATACGAGACTCTGATCCACCCATATCTCTGCTCGTTCAAGCCGGACGATATCAATCAAGAAGGTTGGCGAGGCCAAGGCGATATAGGGCTCGGTTATCAGCTTGCGCCGGGTGAATCGATTCCGTTGCGGGGAAGCCCTCCATACTCCTGCCTGATTCTGTCTTCACTATCGTGATCTTCAACAATTTCCAAAGCACATCACAGGCCACCGTGGTACTGGTGTGCCTCTGTCTGGCCATTGTCGGGAAACACAGATACCGCCAGCTATCTAAGAGTGCTCATTGGTATTGATCTGCGCGACTTTCTTGACGAGTTTCTTTTCTCGAAGACTGTGCTGGGCTTTCGAGTCGGAATAGTTTATTTCATGTGAACTTTTAGCTGGTTCTGAGCAGCACTCGGATAGAAGATTTCTATGTACAGACCGTCGTCCTAGCATGCGTATCATTACATTCATGCGACAACGTCAGCAACCGGAGGGACAACAGGAATGGTGACATTCTGAATCTTCCAAATCTTGCCGTTGTCGATGGCGAAGGGCTTCGTGTTGGTTGCGTTGTTCGATTGATAGAGTGTGCTGCCAAAGTTCTTGTCGGCCCCGGAAAGTTTGATGGTGATGTCCTTCCAATATTGGACATCAGTTGGAGGCGTGCATGACTGGCACTCAACGGCAGTGTTGACCATCGTCATTGTTGGTGAAGTCTTGTTGTATTCGGCGTACAGCGCTCCAGTGCGTGCATTGCGAGCAGTTTGGTACCACAATCCAGTCTTCTGGTTGACCAGAGTGTAGTTGAAAGTGATTCCATCCTCAGGGGTTGCGGCCAACGTACGTTCTTCGCCAACATATTGGTTCCAGTTGTTTAATTTGGTGTCCCATCCGTAAACTTCTGCCGAGATGCANCCTGAAGCATTCAATTAGTATCTTGCTCCGTTCAGGAAGATCGAGACTTCATACCACAAGGAGTCTGCCTTTGCACCCTTGCATTCGCTTTCGCCATGGCTGTATGAGCCGACAATGCCTTGGACCAAATCTCCCGTCTCGGTCTCATTGTTGATTCCGATCCAGTTGTAAAGACCACCAGCTTGTGTCTTGGGCATGTTTCCGGGGTAGATCGTGGCAACAACGCCTACAATTTCGACACCATCAACAGTGGGTCCAAGACCTATGAGGGGTCCCCAAGTAATTTCATCCTGGTCGATGCGCTTGGAAAGAAAGCTTTTAGGAGCAGCTCTCGCCAGCGACAGAAGCGATGAAAGAGCGAACAGGTTCTTATATTGCATGGTGATCAAATGAATGGATGGCTTGGCCCAGGAAAAAGAGTGTGTTGAGTATGGCAGGAGCAACCAGGCTGGCCAGAGAATATGGTTGGCAATGCCCAGGGCTTTAAGACCAGAGCAAGGAAGGCTGTGTCAAGTCATGATTGGTACGTGCTACAGTTCATTTCAGTCAAGCATGCGTCAACACTCCAGATTTCGCAAGCCAAGGGTGTTTCTCGAATGTTTGAGGTTGAGATGACAACAACCTGGGCGCAAAATGTCGTGGTATGATCGACACAGGGCTGCGCCGATACTTCTGTGTATGGACGATGCCGCGTGTCAACCAATCTTACCTTTGGAGGACCTACTGTGGTATAGGCGTTCGTCATACTAGCTTGAAGATCCTGCTTTTCTCACGAGCCGAGAGCTATTAAGATGAGTCAAAATTGGTCATGGTGAAACGCGACGACAAGAAAGACGAGCTTGGCTGCCGAGCCAAACACGCGATTCACCTAAAGAGCGATGTATCCAGGCAGTACAGCCTCAGGCCACCTCTAGTATCATCGAACGCTTTGCAGCAGCAGACCCCAACATCGATCAGAGTTAGGGTTTAGTATCTCTTGTTATGGTCGTGTATGTAGCGAAATTGATCGTGTTTGAAGGGGGAGGAGAAAGTTCGGCACACGCGCGCCCCACCTCACAAGTGACGCGAAGCTCACTCCGTTCGCTCTGCACTTCTTCTTCAAGCCGACACAATCGCGTTCGGACAATGTTGCTGCTACTAGCATTGTCTGTATGATGGAAGCATACGGTAGCCATAAACGACTCGATGATGTCAAGACGGATCTAAGACGTCGTGCAAAAGTATGAGATAATTCGGATGCTGTCAGCCGAAGCTACCTTTGCGAGTATGTACAACTCCTTGATCTATCTCTAACTCTACCAAGGAATTGGTTTGCCGTCGTATTCCCAGACCATCTCTTCCGTCTTAGGCACGTTGATGTTCAGGAACTGTCCATTCTGTTCCCTACCGCTTTCCAGTATGAGCCTCTTAACCTCAGCCACACCCACTTCAACGCTAAGATCTGCATTCGCAGAGCCCATATCTGTTCTCAACCACNNTACATTGGAGTTTTAGCAAACACATGCTACTGATTTAGTCCAGGTGTTGCTTACGCCAGGAGCGATGGCAAGGATAGTGAATCCAGCATCTGAGTACTGATTCGCCCATCTTAGAGTAAGCATATTGAGCGTGGCCTTGGAGATGATATATGCATCGAGAGGTATCGCAGCAGTGCGAGCAGCATAGGCGAAAGAGCCGAATCCAGTAGANCCTGATAGTCTCATCAGTTTCCCCTACGATTCTGATTGGTGTTGGTCTACAGACATGTTGATGACCTTCTTTTGTGTGCCTTGCTCGAGCAAAGGCATGAAAGCAGCAGTCACCCTCTGTACTCCTACCACATTGACATCCAGGATCTGAGTCAGCTGACCGGGATCCATATCCTTTATCAAACCAGGAGTGAAGCCACTAATCCCAGCATTGTTAACCAGGACATCGAGGCCATGACCAGATAGCTTGGTCTTGACGGTTTCAGCTGCCTTCTGGACGCTGGCATGGTCGTCGACAGAGGCAGAGACGGGGTATAGGCGGTCAGGATATTCTTTCACAAGCTGGTTGATGGCATCAGATTCGGCGTTGCGAGCGATGGCGAAGACTTTGGAAACTTTGGAGGCTGGTAGTTCGAGCAGTTGCTTGGTAAGCTCGAANTCAATGCCTCTAGAAGCGCCAGTGATGAGGTATGTTGCCATAGTGCTGGAATATTGGAATGAATTGTGAGTCTTTAGAGTCGGAGTCGTTTGGGAAGTCTGTCATTTGGGTCTGATATATGACTTTTGTATCTCTTTTCAACAGATATGTATAGGTGTTTTGAAATCAGGTCCGGAGGAAGGAGCATTGAATTCCTCCGTGGCCGAATTTGATTTCTCATCCCTTCACAAGCAATTATTCAGCATGCGCTGGTCACGCGAGTTCTTTACTAGAAAATGAGAGCTCGAAGAAACGATTGGCCATTGGAATATGGTCTGCAGATTCAAGATGCAGAGGTTAACCATCACTTTAACCGAGGTTCAAGCTTCAGGCACAAGGTTTGATGGACTCAAAAATGGGGGCACCTGCCAAAGTCAATCTCCGAGACAAACCACCCACATTGGATGATCGAAACAGCATACGAAAGTACAACCACATAGTGACAGGATTTCTTACAGACTTGATGTCTTCAGCGTTCGGTCCTCACTCTGAGTGCATTCCTGAGGCTTGGATATGCGGAAGCTATTGTTGAGCAGTCAAAGCTTCTTCTAGAGTCCTTTTGTTGAACATACGAGGCTAAGACGGGAAACCGCATGAGTAGCGATTCGTGCGAGCTGCAATGGAGCGTCATAACAACAGAAGTGGGCTATTTTCAGAGATGGAGTCTAGCGATGAAGATCATCACGGCAGAGTTATAAAAGCTGTATCTTCCGTATGTTTTCTGCTACTGACTTCTCTCCTACCCAATCACCAAGCAACATATCATGAAGACTTTTACTCTGGTTAGCCTGTTGGCTGCTCCTCTCACAGCTGTGGCAGCACCTGCCTGGACCATGTACGCTTACAACGAGAGCGTGCCTGAGATTCATGGCAAGCCTATCAATGCCGACAGCGGCTTCTTCTGGATCAACAAAGATGCCGCAGCCGTCTGCCCTGACTACGACCCCGAGTGCCCAGCCTCAAACAGCACAATCGTATCAGGACCTGTCTATGGCAGTGGATCTGCTTCAAGCAACACATACTGGTTCATGGGTATTCTGCAGCAAGGCGGTCAACAGATATCCCCTGCGGGTCTCGACGACTCTTGGGGTGGCTTGTCACTCAAATACGCCGCTGTGGGTGCTGCAGACAGACGCATCGGTGTCTGGGACGTTTCTCGCAACACTGGAACAAGTATGATTCTCGACAACAGTACTGTCAGCTCTCTCGGCGCCCCTACCATCCGGACCAAATACTATGGTCGCCAGTACACTTGGATGGCTTGCCCCGACCCCCTTCCTTTCCCAGCCCCCGATTCATACACTCAAGTCGATCTGAGCAAGCCACTCAAGATCTACGACATCACTGTTGGGGATGTAGACGCCTATCCATACTGCGTCCGTCTTGAGGTCACGCTCAAGCCCACCACTCTGGCTGCACCTCAATACTATTTCTGCGAGGGCTGTCAATACAGATGCGACGCTCTCTACGGTGCCAGTGAGTGCGCTGCTGAGGGGGCCGCTTGTCTTGAACCCTACTGTGGTGCCTACACTCAAGATACCAAGTGAGCCAATACCACTGCATGAGTTATGTGTTGAAAGAAAGGATACTGTGATCATATCTATATTCATGTAGGCTCAATCAATGAACAAACCGGAAAATTCGTACAAGATCAACCAGTCTTCTCGTGCTCAATCAGATAATCTCCAACTTCCTTACAACTCTCCTTCATACTAGTCCAGTTTTTCCCGGCGATCCATTGCAATAGCTTTTCAGCTCTGTCTTTNTCCTCAACCACTCCAAGATCTTCTCCCTCTTCTGGATCCTCATCTGCAAACTCTCTGTTCGGGTACAACTCCTTGTATCTCCTCAAGATGCCATTCGCATTCTTGGGTTCTGCATACCCAAAGATTCGCTCGTTTTGCACATCAGGATGCAGTAAGGCAGCAACATGCAACAATGCTGTATCCTGCACAGCGATGTAATACTGCGGAGGAAGCATTCTTCCNCATTGCATATCACCATTGAAAAGGGCAACCGCAAAGCTTACACTACTAGGCCAGCCTTGATGTTCTGGCGAGATGGGTAGACCAAGGTTGAAATCAGGGAGCACGGTGTTGACGACCAAATCTCTAGATTTGTTCTCCTTGGCCCAGTTCCAGATGGCTTGTTCGGCTAGAGCTTTAGAGGCACCATAGGTAGACATGCCTCTGTCTGGGGTGTAAGGGCCTGGTTGTCTGGCTTGTTCGATGGAGCCGTCAGCCCAGGAAGAAGCGGTTATGGTGCGAGGAGTGTTGGGTACGCAGACTGATGCCGCAGCCGATGAAGAAGTGAGGACAAATCTCTGGACGGAAGAAGCTTTTGCCGCAGCTTTCAAAGCGGTAGTTGCGAGGTTGACGGCAATGGGGATGACAACATTTGGGTCTGGAGAGAAGCTGACATCACTGGCTACGTGAGCTACACCGCTCACACCNTGAACTCGCCCATTAGTTAATCGCAGGTGCAAATTTGCTTGTGAGAGAACCATACCTTGCATAGCTTTTGACAGTCCTTCCTCATCAGTCAGATCAGCCAGAAACCATGTTTCCAAAGTTGCCTTTCCATATTTCGAGTCAAAGATTTCGAGTAACCAGTCAGCTGGTTTCCTAACCACACCGCGAACCTTGTATCCTCTGAGCAGCAGTTGGTCTGCTAGATGGGCGCCAATGTAACCAAGTACACCGGTGATGAGAATAAGAGAGCCCGGTTTGAGGACTGCGGAGTCAGGAACAGAGACGGTGGCTGTGGGAGACATTTTGATGTTTGAACATGTACTGAGATTGATGGTGTAGTTGTTGCTAGAGACAAGAGAAACAATCCGCAGAGAATCAAACTATCTCGCAGTTTTGTACTTGCAGTCAGCATTAATCTCCGCCCGGAGTTTAGAGTCAAAGGACTGACGTTGCGGATCCTCCCACAACAGGGTAGATGGTTGCTCCGATTGTGCCTACCCCTCTTATCACGTGGAATGCTGAATGATTATTCTGCTTACATACATGAACTACTTCTGCGAGTACAGCATCGTAGCCGCTGACGATACGCTGTGTTATTCTCACTCAGAGCACGACATGAACTCGACCCGTTGAGTGGTGAGCTCCGAGACGTCATGAGTTGAGTTTCGGAGAATTGTGGAGATCGGCATGCAGCACAACCACAGCAACAACAAAGTTCAAGTGAGGATATCAGGAGGAAGTAAACACTTTTTGGTAGTTGATCCAACTTGACCTGCCTTCGTCACCAGACGTATATGTACATAAATTGAAGTTGTAGGACATACTAGACAGGATCGCTCTACTCCTCTGCACCGTCCTCGTCCTCGTCATCATCGTCATCAATCACCTCGACCGCGCCAACGACATCCCATCTATCACCTTTGGCGCTCTCGCTGACATACTTGACAAATCTCAACACGCCTCGATCTCTGAGAACAACAGACAGTGTATTCCAGTTTGCTGGGTTTGAGAACAGGATGCCATCGTCTTCTTCATTGCCAGCTTGATAGATTGCAGGGTCTGCTGCCTTCTTCTTGTGCTTGGCAATGCGACGGTTGCCAGCACCTGTTGCTGAAGCAGCATTGGGAGGGATGTTGACGCCGTGGTCAGAGTGAGCATCATCGTCGTCGTCTTCATCCTCATCGTCGTCATCGTCGCCAGCCATGTAGAGCTCGTAGCCGCCTACATTGTCGTCTTCCTCTTCTTTCGTTGTAGCAGCCTTGGCTTTGCCCTTTTCTTTTGATCCGTTCTTCTCAGCTCCGTTGGCCGCATCCTCTTCCTCTTCTTCCTCGTCGGCGCCCCATCCTTTTGAAGGTGTGACGTTAAGACAGTATTCGAGCTGTGCCTCGGACTTGTTGTAACCGGTTGCCAATGTGTAGTCCAAGCTCTTACGGAAGCGGCGCGCCAAAATACTGCTCTTTGCTAGTGTCAGACCAGTGGCCAGACTCAGCCATTTGCGGAAAGCAAGAGAGGGCAGGAACTTGTTGAGAAGCTCGTCGTATGCGGAGTTGTCGGTAGCAGAAGGGTTGGCGTGCTTGAAGCGGTAGCGATGCTTGTGGGGAGGAGTTGCCGTGGCCCAGCCATCAGTTGCAGGTTCGTTCTTGCCATCATGAGCTTCAATGTCTTCGCGCAGACGAGCACTGAACTTCTTGGAGAGGAAATTTGCGAGCTGCAGACTTGACTCCTCGGCAAAGAGTTCGGATAGCTCCTCGACTGTGTCCGGTGTGAGATACTGCGGCGTCATGTACTGAATCAGGAAATCCATGTCCTTCTCATCAAACTCGACTTCCTCTTCCTCTGCATCCTCGGCCTTGTCCGTCGACTCGTCGTGGTCGATCCACTGCTCTTGAGGCAAGTCAAACTCGTCGTTCTTGCTCTGCAGCTGTTGCAGAGAACTGCGCTCGGCCAATTTCTCTTCAAGTCCTGGCTCGAAGCCATCTTCTCCCTCTTGCGGAATGTGGAACCAGCCAGAGATGGCCATGCGGATACGACCACCATCATCCTCGCTTTCGCCATCCTTGCGCTTGAAGACCTCCTCAACATCGTGGAAACTCTGACCAGGCTGGACAGTGAAGAAGGACAACTGATTCCAAGCTGGCGGGATGACCTTTGTGAAATCGTAGTGTGGCACTCTGACCTTCTTGCCATCACTGTCTGTCTTTTCCTCGGTGGGGTACAGACGCAAGGCACCACCCCAGTTGGCCTGCCATGGCGTATCCGGGTCGGTCAAGTAGAGGATGTAGCTGACACGTCTGGTACCAATGACATCATCATGGCACAGCAAGTGGCAGCCGGGAGCGTATACATTGACAGCCATGTCCGTCTTCTTTCCCGATAGAGGGCCAGCGCCCGAGACTTCCGAAACCCATGCGCGGAATTCGGCAGAGTAGAGCGAGTCGCGCAGGGTGAGTAGCGAGGGTAACAGCTTGAGTGCAGAAGGGTCGAGACCGGAGAGGTTGGCAAGGTCGCCAGACTGGTGAATCTTGTAGATGTCGGTTTCTTTTGGTGTAAAGTGGACATTGTCGATGATCTCACGACGGACAGAACGGAGGAGGGAGTCGTTGATCAAGCCAGACACAACGGTGTGCAAGTAGNNCTGAAGATTGTCAGAGCCAGGCTGTATACAAGCAGTCAACGCGACATACGGTCCGCTTTTCGCATAGTCGTCGCGGTATTTTGTGACGACATTACGGTCGAACAGCTTGTCGCCAAAGTTTGCGTGGACGTCCTGTGACCTCGCTGTCTTCTTGGCCGAACCGTTCGAGTCGGCCTCTGTGCTTTCGTGCTTTCTCTTGACCATTGTAACAAGTGATATGGATAGATGGTGGTAAAAGAAGTTCAAAAAAAAAAAGTTGATTCGAGGGTCCAGCAGCTTGACAAGTCTTCTCCACAACGCGCAACCGTCACCTGAGTGGACACGCCATATTTTCCCGCATCATACCTATCTCTTGGCTGATGACTTCTATATCTGTTATCTGATCATCTCAGAGACACGCTTGGTGAAGGTGGAGTGCAAAGCAAAACAAAATAGTATAAACGACGCCTCGACGCGTCAAGCGGTGGCTGCTACTAAACCAATTACTGGCGCTCGGCTAGACTAAGAAGCATAAGTTCGTCAAGGACAAAGGAAAATGAGGGGACCCTGTTGTAGGTCGCTGACTGTAGACGGAATTGGAAAGGAAAACGCAGAGAACGACAGCTCAACCTCCTAGATGACAAGACGTGTGTATGCCGTCTCTCCTCCGACTGGTCCATCTCGCATTATGCACACTGCTCTTTCCTCTTGGTGTATGGGCTTGTGGTCCAGGCTGTTCAGGTCGCCATTTTCTGACATGCTCGACCAGATGGTTATTGTTGCGTGTTTAACAGCAGTCCTCTGCGCACTCGCCTGTACCGGTCTTGTCAGTTGTGTGTCCTTTGCCTCGTTGTCGCTCGGTCGAAACTTACAGCAGTCGGCGCAGCACTCGCAGCCTTCCTCGCAGACGAAACAACAGCACAGCACTGCCAAGCTGTAGTATAGTGTTAGTCCGTGATTTGTCCTCATGCTCTTCATCAAGACTCTTACCAGGAGGCCAGGCATCCGCGGTCCTTCTTCTGTGGTGCTTGCTGCATGGGGGAGGTCCTTGCTGGTATCCCATCTGAATGTCGCGTTAGTATGCTGTCGAGAAGTGCGGAAAGGCATCGCATACTTGTTGTTGAGGAGGGTAGTACTGGCCCTGAGGAGGACCGTACTGGCCTTGGGGAGGACCGTATTGACCCTGAGGGGGACCGTAGTAGCTATGACTCGGTCAGTCGGCGGTCAATCTGAAGCGACGTCTTGCTGCGACTTACGCCTGCTGGGGCTGCTGGGGATAGTAGTTGGACATTTTGGATGCGATTTGCGTAGGAGCGATGGTTGCAGTGAGAGCAGATGAGGATAGTGAAGAGCAAGAAGATCTGTGGCGCAAAGAAAGTCGAAACGCTCGTCAGCTTTCGGTCCGCCTGATTTTAGATGGTTTGAAGTACGAAGTACGCGTCCCTGGCCAATACGATCTTGGGAGACGGCGCTAGGTAACCGATATCCCCCTTGGCGCCACAATCGTTCGCGACTCACCTTTGGAATGCCTTTTTCTCCTTTGACCGTCAGGAAAGAGGTAGGTGAGAGAGTTGATGCGATTCTCCGTATAAAAAGCGATCGTCGACTTGTCTGCTGACCTGGACCTGTGCGGAGACGCGATTCGAACTGTGATAGGCACTAAGGGTCTGGGTATGACGCTTGTCCGCAGCTGTGGCTTTTGTACAAGAAAGCTTGATGGGTATGCTTGTTGTTCTTTGCGCTGTACTTGGCTCAGGGATGTGAAGGTCAACTGAAAGCGATTGCTGGTCGACGCTCGAGAAATATATACACGAACGCTGTCGAAAATGCCTCGCCCTCATCTGCCAGCCCGTTCGTCCTATTGACGAATGACGAACTACTTGTGTACACGCTGAGCCACCCAGCTGCGCCCCAAGCCACACCGACCCTCCCAGACCTTTCTCCAAACGCCAGAAGAAACATGTGCTTCGAACCTGTCCGTCAGACACGCTCACTTCCTCGACACTTCTTTCGGGTCTTGCAGTCGGCTCCCGCAGCCGCCGCAGGTACACGCATTCACACCCCATGGTCTGTGACCCTAATGTTTTCCTGGACATTGTAATACATGAGAGTCTAGATATCAAACTGGACGTGTTGAAATCCATTGTTTGCGCGTTTATCAAGATATTATCGTAGCTAAAATGAACAAACCGCTGATCGGTTCTCCATCTCGGTTCATATGTAAGACTGTCGTGAGACGCCGCCCGAAGGGTTGTCCACCAGAAATGAAAGTGACCGCCAGAAACTCCTGTCGAGGTAAACAAGCGAGAAAACAGTGTTAATGAAAAGAAAGAAAAAAGAAGACAGTCTACCTCAGAGGCTTCATGCGCTGCTGATACCACCCGTATGTTAAATAGGAATACACCCAGTATGCGAAAAACTCCGTATGTCAATCCCTGTTGTGAATACCAGATGCATCACCATCCGAAAAGCATTAGACTCCGTATTGCGCCCTATTATTGTCGTCGTTCGTCGTAGTATCGCGTCTCAGTTCGGGAATAGCACGGCGACTTTGTCCGACGTGCTATCCTTGAGGCTGTAGGTGGATCACTCTAGTGATGTCTGGGAGCATTGCCGTACTCTACGCCCTGCATTCCTTGGGGGGCAGTACTGGATGCGTTGTAGTGTTGCGGAGGTGGAGGAACAGCGTTCATGGCTGGCAGGGGAAATTGGCGAGGCTGTCCATTGGCTTGGGCTTGAGCGTGGGCCTGTGACATCTTCGACGTACATGCACCGTAGATGTGTGGATGACCAGGCTCCACCAACCTAAGACGTTCTTGCATGACGGCGATTTCGGTTTGAAGATTGTCAATGGTCTGTTGAGCCTCGCGAGCATAATCCGAAGCATCACGAAGGCGATTGACCTCGTTCACCAGTCTACCTTCCTGGGCCTGAGTGTTCTTGATATACTCGATCGCNTGCCATACGTTAGTAACTCTCAAGAAGAGGTTTGTCCAGCTGAACTCACCCTTAGTCAAGATCTCCCATTTGCTGGCCTTTGCGCCGCCGTTGGTTGGGACAACTCTGTTAAGCTCTTCGAACAGATCCTTCATCTCGCTGCGGCGCTTGCGCTCTGCAAGCTTGTGGCTGATTCGCAACTCGGGTGTGCGACTGTAATTTCCACCACCCGAGAGGTTGGCCTCGTTTTGGAGAGCAGACACCCTGTGCTGGCTCATGCTGTGGTGGTGGTGGGTCGGTGCGTCGTCTTCAAATCGCCTCTGACCATAAGGAAGGCCTTCACCCTGAGAGAAGATGCTGCTTCTAACAGAAGATGCAGCGTAGCTGTTGGTTCGAGAAATGCTGTGACGATGAGAGTCGTCGCTACTTGATTCGCGCCTTGATTCTTCGGCGATAGAGTCATCAGGAAAGGCCCAGGCATGGCCAGGTGTCGGCTTGGAAGCCAATGGGTCAGGACCGCCTGGGACTCGAGAGGCACCAACGATCGGAGGGGCAACTCTTGGACCTTGACTGCGAATGCTACCACGACCGCTCATGGGCGACATGGGACCTGAGTTGTTTGGTCGGCGAAGACTGGCAGCCAACGAGACTTGAGAGCCATTCTGACTTTCATAGGGAGACGTGGGATTGTTGAGGCCTAGGTTAGAGATACCGTTATGGACACGGCTGTCAATGCTACTTCTGCGCGAGTCGAAAGATTGATGGTAGTCCACACTTCCACGGTTGCCTGCATCGAAGGTTTGATTGATCGAGGGCAAGATTGTACTTGACTGCTGTTGGTGTTGAGAGAGTCTGTTCGACGTTGGTGTGTTTGGTATCGAGTTTCTCGATTGACCGTCATCTGGGTTCAGCAGGGTTGCGACTTGAAGAGACTGGTTGTTCATGTGGGGCTCGACAGCTGAGAGGGGTCAGCTTTGCTCGAGTCAAATCAACAGACACGGGAAATCCGTCAAAGCTAAAGCTACAGCTCGGGCGTAGTAACAGTGATCTTGGTGGGTGGAAATGATAATATTGAGGATTCTGGGAGCTGACTTACGCTTCATCTGAGGATGTATCGGTGGCCAAGTGCCCGAGTCTCTTGAGGGAAGATGAGATGGCTGGCGGTTTGGAGGGGAGTACTGGTTGGAGCTGGGCAGACCGTTCGTCAGAGCTGCAATAGAAGGTAGCATCTGAGATGGCGAAGGTTGCTGAGATTGCTGATTTTCGGTTTTCTGGTCGGCCATGTTTATGCCAGGAGGAAGTCGTATGGCAAGTCCGTGTTAAACGTCGAAGCGTGAAGGAAAGAGAATGGTATTCACGAGCGACGGTTAAGAAGGATGGTGCTCACGAGCAGCGGGCAGCAGAAAGAACGACGAAATCAAAATCTGCTTTTGTGCAGTGGAGCCTCGCGTCACCTGCTTGAGGTAGTTTGAGAGTGACTCCAGTAGTAAGGTCACGAAGCAAAGGCAGATTTGATGCTGTCCAGTAGAAATCCTGGAGAACGTAAGTGGCCTGCTCAAATGAACGCTCACGTGCCCCGCCCACAAAACAAAAGAACGATTGACTAATTGACGAGATAAGAAATGCATACCTTTATGGAAAGCTCAAATAATAAGAAGGTGAGGACAAGAGGATAGGGAAGAGTTGTGGAGGCGCCGACAACGTGGAGACGTCGATGAGGATTCTCGAAAGCGGATGTGGCTGCAGAAATGGCGTGCGCAGACGCAAAGAGAAAATGTATGCGGAGGTTTTCAAACGGTGTTGCAATAGGTGTTCACGAGAAGAAAGCCAACGCCTGGTTCTAAAACCGATGTGGTGGTGTTCAGCTAGTTGAAACGATGCCTTTTCGAATCCTTCGCTGTTCCTCGGGCGGATCGCGGAGAGAAAATAGGAAGAAAAAAGGAGAAAAATAAGACAAAACCGGCCTCGACGAAAGGTCTCGAAGTCAGAGACAAATTTGAGGTGCAATTGATCCACACGGAGCGCTGATCGGAGCTTGAAAAGAAGATTGTAGCAGAAGTGGCAGCAAGAGCATCAGACTCCGGTTACTGTCTGACAAGAAGAGGCGATTGGATACACGGGGCTCCGTCGTGCTGTCAAATGTTTGGCCAGGTGCTGGGATGACTAGAGCGTGGTGTGAGGGGGGGTGCTGCCTTTGTCCGTCAGAGCGTGCCTTGCATTCAACGCTGGGCCGACTTGCGCAACGCGCCAAAAGAAAGAGTCGAGTGTTGCGGAAGCTGAAACAATTGAGTCTCGAAATGTGCGAGAAGCAAGCGCAACCGTCAGAAGCTGCGAAGTCCGGTTAAATTAGTGGATGGAAGGGACGACGAGGAGGTCCTGTGGAGGGGAAGGAGGGAGAAATGGTTCACAAGAGTTACGCCGGGAGAAGTGAGCAAGAGTTGCAACGAGTATCGCGTGAAAAGAGGAAACTATGCAGACCTCGGAATGGTCACTGTCTAGGATCGGCAACGAAACTCACAGCACGTGGATTTTGCTCTAGCCCCGACTGCCCTGCGCCCGCGAAAAATAGCGGGAACCAAAAGAGCCAGGTGGGTTTTCTTGGGCTCCTAAAACCATTCGGCCGTACACATATCGAGGCTCCGCTTTCAATGTCTCATTGCCGCGACGTGCACGGGATCTACATGACAGGGACAAGACTGGCGATTTGGAAGCGGGCGTCTTTTGTTTCTCTCAACATCAACTCTATAGCTACACTGGAAAGTACTCGACAGTGCACGATGATTCGTATGCACCATGAAAATCTGCTGTGTGTGCATGTTCTGTGTACATGCAAGTTGGCGCTCGTTGCAGCCGACACACGATGCAGCATGGCAAGTCCNNCTCGCGGTGTCAGGAAATGAGNAGTGTCGAGTGATGCAGCGGAGATTTTTATTGCTGGTACTGCTGCTACTGCCTGTTGCCGATCAGACGGCTCTACCTATCCGGAGGCCAAGAAGGAACAGAGCATGAGAGAACAGGGATACCATTCGTCCTTCAGTCGCAGACTGGCCGCCTTCCCCAGCGTTGGAAACGGGGAACCAATCGGCAGGGTTGCGCAACCAGATCTACTTCCGCGTGTGCCGAGCAGATTGAATAATGGAAATCAGTTCATCAATCGTCTTTGTTGTCCTTCTGCCCGTTGGCAGCGCCTAAAAGCATGAGGATACAGCCTGGTTCTAGCCCAACGCACGCCAGGGGTTGCGGGTTGAGGAGAGGGAGCGCGGCGGACCACTCTTGTGCGCCTGTGTGGTCACAACAGGACGCATTGCAGACTCTCCTTCGTCATCCTGGTAGCCGGAAGAAATCCAGCGTGTCACAGGCAGAGCAAAGAGAGCAGTATCAACCGTGCGCTCTGCTGCTGAGCCATTGCAGACTTTTGCTGAGGCATCCCCACCTTGCCTGTGTTACAGATACATGGAGATATCTGCGGCGGGCTAATGCACGTCATCTGCGACTTGTGGTGTTGAAATTTCTCGACCAGTCACGGCAAACCTTATGATTCAAGAGATCATGGGGTGGTCAGAGTTACCAAAGCAGCGCGACTCTGTGAACGTCTGGGCGCTGAGCATTTCTCCGGTCATGTCGCACAACTATCGTGTGGACCTTCTGTGGCGCGCCTCAACATGGTCTCGGAGATGGGATCTGATTGACGTGCAAGCAGGCCCTTTGTAGGCTAGATAATATGCATTAGAAAAAGTATATGCTTTTGATCCTTCACCCTTGACGTGATCGATGCGGCAGAAACGGCTCGTATGTCATGATACAAGCAGTCGCATTTGAGTAAGAGATCAGCGAACACCATGGAAGTGAGATCTAGGTGATGGACAACGTGGGCCGCACGCGGCGAGAGGGGTGAACAGCCACATGTCCGAAAACAAGCCCGGCGCAAGCTCGAGATCGCCAACTCTTTTCATCCTCACACCTCTGCTCTCATCAGCTCGGTCAAACAGAACCCGGATCGTCCTCTGTCCCGCCACTAAGCGTTTCTTTCCTCATAGGATGTAGTCTCTTTTCCCAAATCAGAAGGTGGTCAATCTTTTTTGACTTTTAGGAGACAACGAAAGCCACACCCGCAGCACATGGCTCAGGCTGGTCGAAGATTGTCGGTCAAGGCCGGGCTCCACATCTGAGATCAGCCTAGTCAAACACATGCTCATGCTTCCACGTCCCAATGAGCAGGGTTACAACGGGCAAGGTCCAAAGTATAATGCTATGGTTATGAATAGACACAACTTCATGACGTTTATGCCGTTTGAACCACCGAGTCACTAGCTCAAGACTCAACTGGCCTAGTTCGCATGTATTGCTCGTTGTGGCCACATGGGCAGGCATAGATAAAGTACATACAGGTAGCTAGACTACCGCTACGGTTGTCTCTGATCACAGATTGGATTGTGAACTCAAGCTTAAGCACCGCCGTTGAGTCAAGACAACAGCGGTTCGGGCATGATCGGGCTGACTCATGATTCATAATACGAACGTAGAGTGAGCGACAGGGGTCTCTTGGTGCCTTCAAACACGGGGTCGTTGGGTGGAGATTAGGCGACAGCAGAGACAGGCAGCCTTATGGCCAGGCCATCCACACATGTGGGCACATCTCTGCTGTCTTGTTGATAGTGATACACTGGTTGTTACACACGTGGGTTCGTGACATGATCTGACGTGCAGAAGAAGCATCATTCAGAGCGGGACGGTCCGCGACATGAGAGTTGTATAATCTCGCATCTGTTTGAGCGAGCGAATGGCGGCAGTGTGTGAGGACCCATGTGGCTACCAGGCAGAGGACCGTACTCGCAAGGTTGTGCGTATATTATTAGGCGACCTGCAGGCAAGATGACGGTGGTGGGTAAAGTGTAAACGTCGACGGAGGAGGTCGTGCGCAGGTCGAGGATCAGGTGGTCAGGAGGGTCAAATGGCTCGTGACAGGTGGTCAAGGGCGGATGAGATAGGCGGCCAGAGCTCTGTCAAACTTGTCGACGCGGATGGGCATCTCGAGACTGTAAAAGGGGTTGGCCATGACGAAGTCGGCATAGATGTCGTAACATCTGCGAGCGATCTGATCTGTGTTGGGTTGCTCTGGGCTGGTGAAGAGCAGGAACTTTGTGCCGGTGGGAGTTTGAAAACAGGTCAGACGGAAATGCGACGACTCGAGCGACTGAATGCCAGTGGCTTGGTTTGCACGATTGCCTGGCGGTGCAGGTGGGGGCGCGACGGGAGAAAGAGAGCGCGAGATGGCATGGATGCCGTGAAAGGTACCGGCCAGGATGAGATAGTCGTTGGAGTTGAGCTGCTGGAGACCGGGTGCGAAGGTGCGATTGTAGATGAGTCCACCAGCCTTGTTGATGACGAGCAGAGCAAAGACGACCCTGCCGTGAGAAGGTCAGCGATATTCAGCCAGGTCCACAAACTTCTCTAGTACGAACATGGTGAATGCGCGCGACTGTCTGCCAACAGTTCAAGCTCAAGCTCTCTCGACGCTGTTCACAACCGGGGACGACGCTGAGGGCGGTGTGGAGCAACCCCAAGGGCTGTCAGCCCGTCAGTTGACGACCAACCACTTTTCGATCACAAAGCATAAATCATTCTCATCCTCTTCTCTCATCCAAATTCTGCCACAGAGAGACCAGTCCACCAACGTGGGCGCATGTATGAGACATATATAGACGTCTCCGCCTCACTCTCAATCTCAATCTCACTCACACTCGTGTCTGGCTGAGCAAGCGCCGTACCTGCCCCGCCTGCATCTTGAATATTTAGCTCGCAGTAATAGTGACCATCGCATTCTTCCTGCCAACACATCCACAGACTTTGCAGCATTACAACTGCGAGTTTGCACTCGACCCCTCTTCTGGCGCTTCAACTCTGCCACTTCAACTCTGCCTCTTGACATGCCATTTTGTTAGCACGACCAACCTCTGGCCATCACTCATCCTCGCTCAAAATGGTCAACAACTCGTCCACCATGCGCATCTTGCGGGCAAGTATACAACTATTGCTTACTCATCGTGTCTGACCTTTCGGTAGGNAGATCAAGGACCTCCAAACTGGCTCAGATCTTTGTACGCCTGCTTCTACTTTTCACTCGCGGTATCCCAGCTAATTGCGCNTAGCGCTTGCCGTCGCACATCTCGAGAAAGATGTCAGTAATCTGCGCTGCCTTATTATTGGCCCTCCCGACACACCTTACGAGTTTGGCTTCTTCGAATTCAAGGTGAAAGTCGGCCCTAAATATCCCTCGCAACCTCCAGTGGTGAAATGCTTGACAACAAATGCTGGCCGCTGCCGATTCAATCCAAACATCTACGCTTCTGGAAAAGTCTGTCTCAGTATTCTCGGTACATATTGTCGTCGTCATTAACAACGTTTCATGACTGACCATATCAAGNGCACATGGCGTGGTGAGCCTGGCGAACAATGGAGTATCGCTCAGGGGCTGGAGAGCGTACTCATCAGTGTACAATCGCTGATGTCTTGCAATCCTTACGAAAACGAACCCGGATTCGAGACCACCAAAATTACTAACAATGAGGCTGGAGAGTATGCGCAANAGGTTTGTTACATTCCATGTACTTATCCACGCACAATGCTGACAATTGCTGGGCAGATACACCATGAGACTCTCAGGATAACTGTGCTCCAGCGCCTTGAGCAGCTGCTCCAAATCAACGACGATGATCACACGACGGCCGGTACCGCGCCGAGTACTCCACCTACTGACTCCGACGATGATGAAGTTAAAGAGGTTGGGCCTTCAACTGCTGAGAAAGAGGGTAACACGGACCTCGAATTCAGCCCTTTCACAGACCTCTTCAAGCGTCGCTTTCTGTGGTACTACGACGCTTACATCAAGTCGATCGACAATGCCTTGACGAAAGTCAAGGACGGCAAGCAGTTTACAAATACACCGTTCGAACACCCCGGTAACGATATGCGTGGCAAGTATGCCTATGCTTCGCTGAGAACACGCTTCCATCGCGTTTGGCAGGCTCTCGAGGCTGAAAAGAACAACTACTCCCACGGCGGCAAGCAGTTACTCTCGGATCAACACGGCACAGCCATGAACCTCCAGCATCAATTTGATTCGCTGCGCTCTTACTACGCTGGAAGTGATGGCCCCTCTGTCGTAATCAATCTCGTCGACGCCAATCCCCTTGTCTGGAGTCTTACTTTCTTTGGTCCTTACGAGAGTGACCTTTCAGGTGCAATCGTTAATGTTCACCTACACTTCCCTTTCGACTTTCCAGAAGCGCAGCCAAGAGTCACGGTCCTCACACCCCTCTTCCATCATCGCATCAGCACTACTACCAAAGCACTTTGCTATTTTCCAACCAAGCTCTACGATGTGCAGAACCACATTGAGAGCATCATGGCTACAATCATCGAAGAAACTCCATCGTATGACCCGCGTGCGTTGGTCAACCCTGACGCATCGGTTTTGCTTTGGGGTGATGAAAATGGTAAANAGACTTACAGGCGCAAGCTGCGCAGAAGCGTGATTGACTGCGATGAGCTCTAGGCGAAACTCATAGAAGATGGAGTATCGCCACGACCAATATTACCTCTTTTCTTAGCGATGGCGTTGGGCAAAATGAATTCTCGATAGAAGGTTTTTCTCCACTCTTCGTCCAACATATGCTGCTACTCAGCAGGATTGGACTGTGGTTGGTACTTGATAGCAATGCAAAGGCTTTACACAATGTTCTTTATCTTCTCCTTGGAATTACTTAAAGCATGGAAGAGGCAAAGTGTACCAGTGATCAACGTGCCTATATACAGTCGACTACGACTTGCATTCCTTTCTGTGGACTTGATGTATGCTCATCGAGCACGTTTTTGGGTAGTATGAACGGGCATCTGGGCATGACCTTCACAGGGTTCGTGAGTAGCTCCACGCTTCGACAATAAGGACAGGCAGCTTGACCCACCAGAAGCTTACACCTGGCTACCTGCATGAATACAGATTTCTGTTAACCCAAGCCTGCAGTCAAGACGTCAACAGGGCTACCAAGGGGCATGGTTCGCATTTACAACACATCTTCATGTTCCACAGTCCCTGTCGTAGGGACAACCCTGACTCATGTCTGCCGTGTACAACATTGCACGAAAGACTTTTGTCTCATCAACGACCAACCCAAACCAAACAGTTTGGTTTTTAGCCCACCTGCAGTCCATCAAACATGTCGTACCGAGCTTTCCTTGCTGGTAGCCGTACTGGGTGGTAGTGCACGGACTTGATAAAAGGGGGTGACGTGCAACTTGCATTGTCCATGTCTCGTTATTGGCCACGGCGAACGACAGCTTGCTTCGCGTGCGTGAACGTTTCGAGTTGCTGAATCATGGTGTAATGGACAAGATACCAGGCGCGTAGGTGGTCGTTGCACCAAGAGGCAGGTAGGTTTTTCCTTGCGCGCGAGGACACGGCGTGATGCGCGCTTGGGTGGGAGGATGAAACGATGTTGTGGCCTGGTTTGAAAGCGTCCGTGTCTCTGCTGGCTGCCCAAAGGCTTTTGATCCTTTGACCAGGTGCGACAATAGAGAGTCGCGTTTGAAAGGTTTGCTGGTTGAACACTCTCAGAGTCAGCATGTCGCTCTGGTAAGGTCTTGGATGTTCTGATGATCCTCCTGGCTCTTTGGTATTGCCATCATCTTGTCCTCACGATTCCAAGATATCCTTGTGTTTTTCTCGTCTTCTCACACATTGCTCAGCTTCATGCCAGGATCATCGAAGCCCATCATCATGAGACTCAAAGCGTTGTTCGTCATCTTCTCGCTCGCACTGCCCACCTGCATCGCCACACCTGTTCCTCCCTGTGACATGAGGCCCCTCGTGAGTGCCGACATCACAGCCATCGCACCGATANGTGCGTCTTGCGTTGGAGCACCATATTCTGCCGAGTGCGCAACTGCCACCGACGCAGCACCCTGGGTCAACCTGGCCTTCCACTCTTTCGGAATACACGCCTTTGGCACACAGGCCGCTCTGCTCTCGCTTATGCTCTACGAGTCTGGCTCTTTCAAGTACAATACCAATCACTACCCTGGTGTGCCTGGCCAAGGCACTCGCAACATGCAAAGTCCAGGCTTCAACCTTAAATACGCCCAGTGGCTAGCTGCGAACATGACAGATTCGGGTATATCGATGCAGCAGGTGCAAGAGGCGGAACAAGAAGGTGCCGTCCAAATACTGGCGCTCGTGAATGGTGATCGCTGGAGTTTTGCATCAGCGGCGTGGTTTCTCACGACGCAGTGCGATGAAGAGATCAGCCAAGGACTTGCGACCTCAACAGAGGCAGGTTGGGAAGCATACCTGACCGAATGCGTGGGCACGACTTCGACAGACGAACGAACCGCAATCTGGAAGAAGGCTATCGCTTTGCAGAGATGGTAGCTTCTGTTAAACTTCATCTCCTTCTCTGACTCTCATCTTCCATAGACGATACAGATATCTGTCAACGTCAGGATAGGATAGGCTATGCAAAGTAGTATGTCCTCCCTGAGCTCTAATGCCATCGCCATATCAAGTCCATATTCGGGATCATTCATTTTCTGTAACAACTGTATCTGCTTGGGAGAATGGCCAAGATCATGTAAGCTACGTGATGCACTCCATCATGTCATCTAATCTTCTGTCCTTTCTTCCAAGCACAAATCGAACACAGCTTGACCTCGCCCACGAGAGTTTAGGAAGAACGGAGGGCATGTGGTCTTTAAACTCAACAGATACAGGGTATTTCTGAAGTACGAGATCCATGTGGCTTTCTTAACTTGTTTCTTATTGTGTGTTCTGACCTGAGATCTTCAGTTGCATATGCTTAAAGCTAACCACTAATCACATCTGCGAACAGAGGTCAGAGACCCATCCCCTAGGCTTCTACAGCACGATACCCCGGGTGTCGACTGGTGGTCTTTCAATGCATCATCCATAGAATATCCTTTATTTCTGCTTGATCAGCGGTTCTTGCATGTAGGAAGCCCACATGAGAGTCTCTTCAGGAGCTCAGCAACATGAACACGGCCACCGGCTTCAGATAGACCTGCTGTTCGTCCAGATGTGCTGTCAGCGGCGATCCGAGAGGTTGTGAGCGCACATGTCATGATCCAGCTGAGTAGACGCGTGACGGGACAATCATGTGCTGGTCAGCAGTAGCCCAGAAGCTCTGTAAATGCTGTCTGAGATTGTATTCCTTTCTTCCCATTGCGCCATCCCCTACTCACGGTGTAACACTTCTTCTGCTCCAATCGCCAGTCTTTAGTCAAATCGGAAGTTGCTACACAGCATAAACACAACCAGAATTTCATCCAACAGCATGAAGAAGGACCGAAAGCCATCACAGCAAGTTCGAAAGAAAAGGGGGCCGGCAAGGAAGCTCTCGGCGCGAAAAACGATGACCAGAGTGCCACTATGCCTGGTGTCAGGATCGAGAGTTCGAACCTCAAGCGCAAGCGTGCCGATAGCGCAGGTTCACCTCCACCAAAAGAAGGCTCCAGTAAGCGTCAGCGTGGTGAGAAGGTCGGCTGCTTCAGAGTCGGCACATACTCTGCCATATTCGAGCAGAAAGACCTTGACGAGTCTTTTACCCTGCACTTGCTCGTGAACAGCAACGCTGTACTCGACACCGATGATGAAGACGTCTGGCGAGCTCAGGAAGCAAAACTGCCAACGGCTTGCCTCAATACGGACAGGTTCACCGAAGCAACCCTACACACAGCTTGGCTGTTTCTCCGAAATGGCAAGCAACCTAACATGTCGACCTACGCCATCGATCAGAAGTGGGATGTGGGTGAGAAGTTCAGAGAACTCTCAGAGCTTTTCCCTGACAAGGGGCAGCTATTTGCTGCTGCCACACTGTTCGACTTAGGTCTCGCAATGCGATGCCCTAAGCTTCAGAGAGCGGCATACGATTGGTATGCAGAAGTCCGTTCGAATGCCTGGAGCCCGAAATGCTTCGCAAATCCATCCTTCTGCAGATGGATCGCCGAGAAGGTACCCGAGGAGGAGCATAGAACGACGCAGTATTCATCATGGTTGAAGGTTCTCAGAGAGTACGATCCCAACATGATGAGGCTGAGAAAGGCCATGATCGAAACCACGGATGATGGCTTGGCTGGCCGGGCTACAGACCTTCCAGAGCTCGAGGCGTTGGAGCCTGTATGGCTCTATGACCATCACCTGAGTGCCGAGGGCTCAGCAGATGTGGCAGATCCCGGTCTTCAAGGAGCCCCAAGCGGAGAAGAAGCCCTTCTCTCAGATACAAAAGACGAGCAATCGGACGACGAAGAAGATTGAACGGCAAGAAGAGCGAGCAAAGCCGCGAAATAACCACGGTCAGTCTCTATGGGATGCCTCGTATCCAGGAAGAAGTTATTCCAAAGACCGACTCGCGACAAATCGTATTGAGGGAAACGGCAAGACTGCAGAATGGAGCATGATCTTGCTACGGAAGAAACGAAGAGGTACTGGGGCAATCAACTATCTATGTCTTATTCAGCTTGCTACATCTGCTCTGTTTATCAAAGATAATGGTTGTTTTGAATGCGCTTTGATTGCAAAGATTATAGTACGTACAGTACAAGGACGATTTGGCAGAACGATATTAATGCTGTACTATGACATGGAGTTTGAGAAGATTGAGCTTTGAGTACCTGATAACTCAGATGAGCAATAACAGATATGGAAGATTCCAAGTACTATTCCATCAGACAATGTTGACAATTTAGTCAAGCGGTCCAAGAAAACTTTGCTTCCAGAAGAAAGAACAGACCTTCGTGAGAAAGGGAAAACCTCTAGATCTATGCGTGTAATGTGTGTAGAAACAAGTCGACGCTGGTCTTGTCGGTATAAGACATGGGTATTTGCCAACGATGACTTGATTCAAGAGACAAGAAGATTCAAGAAGGACAGTGTTCAAGCAGAAAGGAGATAGATAAGCTAATCCGAAAGTCCGAAGTTTAACCGTCACTGAGCTTGCTCTCTCTCACTTCTCTCTCTCCCTTGTACAATCGCTAGTAATTGCAGTCATGTATTCGACAGCAGTCTATGCGGCTACTACACTCTGTACAAGCTTATAAGTCATCAGACATGTTGTAAGTTACGATCACTGGATTTTTGTCGCTCTCAATCTTCTCTTCCCAATGCTCCCTTCTGTAAGAACAGCCGTGGATATTCTTTCGATGAGAACAAGTATCAAGGTACAGTGTTTTGAGTAACAACATAAATTCAAGCTCGAACTTCGAGGATGCGCTTTAGACGATGTATAGTATCAACACATACCCAAAGAGACATCTTTGACAGATCAGACATGTATACATATGGTAAGGTAGATAGGCTTTTCTTGTGTCGTCCGCCAGAAAACCAGAAAGACAGACAACGACGCAGTGAGGGCAGAATGGCCAAGAGAGCATCAAAAATGTTTCTTCACTCACTCGAGCAGACTCACTTATGAGGGCAATTTCGCATCAGTACTCGAGGCGTCGCCCTTCGTCGAGCTCTCTGCGTCGTCCACGTTAACGTCGTTATATATTCGTTTACTCGCAAACATACTATCGGCGCGACAACCATGAAATTGCTCAATCGACTCAGCGACAAGATCGCCGGCAAGCCCTCATCCAGCCAGCCAGCCGAAGACACTGCCCAGCTCCTAAGCTCTTCCAGCGACACTTCCAGCAGCACCACACCCCTCCACGCCTCTCTGCCTTACGGATTCGAGTGGTCCCCCAGGCCTTTGAGTCACGGACAGACCTGGATGTTGTCCACCACCACTCTCGCCATGGGCAGAGACTACAAGCAAGCCTCAAGCCTGGCTTTGCTCGACAAGTGAGTACCGACTAGACATATCCATACACAAACACCCGACACAATCGACTGACACGTTTGTCAGGNNATGTGGGAGAATCGCGAAAATGGTGACGCCGACTTCCGTATCAAATGCAACGGATGTGTCTGGAAGGTTCATCGCTCGGTCCTGGCCGCAAACAGCGAGTACTTCGCGGAGCTCTTCTCTGCTCCCCAGCCCAAAGTACGCGATGCACTGATACAGCATGAACAATACACTGACAAGCACAGGNGCACTTATCTTACCATGATCGAACTCGAGCGTTGTGACGATGACACCGACGGCGGTCGCATTGACCGCTACGATCCCAAGTACATCGAAGAAGTAATCCACTTCTTCTACAAGTTCGACATCTCTCAACGCGTCACTGAGTTGCCTGCATACGAACGTCTCTGCTTCCTCGCTAAAGTCCACTGCACTGCTACCCAGTTCCGTGCTCCCGACGTGGTGAAGGCGTTGACTGCCATCATGGGCGATTGCCTTCCCCAGTTCAATAGCAATAAGCAGCAGGTCAGCGGCCCCTTTCTGGCCGACTTCGCAAAGCTTTGTCGCTGGGTCTTCGACCAGCCAGACTTCCCTGGTCTTGTTTGGCAGTTGAAGCTGTACCTCATCGAGTACTTGAAGGCAAACATCAACCTCTTGCTTCAGTCGAAGGAGATGTGCGAGATGCTGCGTGACTGCATCTTTGGTGGTCTGAACAGTGAAGGCATGGTACGCGAGCCTGTGGCCAACTAGCGCTTCGTTCGATTCGAAGCTGCACCATGTATTGAGAGAAAGATTCATGAGATGAATGTTGGACCTCAGTAGACACTGGATTTCATTCTAGAGAACAAGATGAACTGCAGGGTTGTTCGAGCAAGTGAATCCATGATGGGTCACTTTGGTATTGGGCTTCATCACTAGTCCTTAGCAATACTTGTTTCGTCGTCTCAATCCCCCCTAAATCTTGTTTTCTGTTCACCCTTCAGGTATCTGATAATCACTGCGCCATCTCACTTTCACTGCTGCTCTGCCAATCGCCTACCTTGATCCGATCCCACAAAAGCCTTTCATACTTCTGATTCGTCTCTCCTTCCAACCTTGCATCACACAAGTTTCTCCTACAATCCCTCTATAGTCATGGCGTCTCTTTCACCACCTCGCTCACGCTGCGCATCTCCTCTGTGGGACGAATGGAGTTCTGACAGCACAGCTTATGACATGTCGACTTGGAGCATCAATCTCTTCAAAGCTCATTTCGGAAAATCAGTTCTTCAGCAGTGAGTGTCTAGTCACGGTTGCTTTGACTCGTTACTGAACAGCTCTAGACTGTGGGAGGACCGTGAGAATGCCGACTTTGAAATCCACTGCGCAGATCAGAAAACAAAAGTACACAAAGCAATCCTTCGTGCTCACTCCGAGGTGCTCGCTAAAATGTGTGATAATCGCTCCTTCAAGGTATGTTTCTCAGAACAAACGCCTAGGATCTGGGTCCGCTAATTCATGCATAGGAAGCTGTTTCTGGTGTGCTTCAGCNTCCAGGCCAATCCCTACGAAGGCAATCTTGACAATCTTGGTGATGGAGACGATCCCGAGATCGTCAGAGAGATGGTTCATTACTTCTATCATCTTGAGCTGTCANCAAAAGCCAGGGCAATCTCACCCAGACCTCTCGAGATTGCTCATGTCGAACTTTCTCTGGTTTATCTCGCCAGATTGTACGTGCTGGCCGAGAAGTACTTCATCGAAGGGTTAAAGGCGACAATCATGACCGACTTCCGCGACAGTCTGACACGCAGTTTATTCCACCCAGAGCTCGTCGAGGCTTGTCTGATCATCTACAAGAAGACTGTGGAGCCAGCTGGCGAGATTGGCTTGAAGACGATTGTGGCAAAGGCTTTGGCATATGAGTTGGGAGAGGTTATGAGATCTAAGATGCACGACAAGCTATTCCAAGAGATCCCCGAGCTGGCCCTTCGCGTGCTCAAAGAGGTCTCCAAACTGCCCAACTCCTGCGACTCCCGTCGTTCATGTAGTTCCATAGGGGGTCTTTTTGGTCTGTTCGATTGAAACAATGGGAATACATGCCTCAGATCGGCCTCATGAGCGGCTGACTGGATGAGGGCATCTCAGACTCGGACATCGGTAGGCAATGCTTATCAACAGGAGAGCATTCAGATGAGCACCCACCTTATGCAAGAAGATAAGCGGCACTATCCAATCCTCATAGGTCTTCAGATACAGATAAAGATGCGATGGCGCGATAGCATCAGGCTGAATAGAATGACCTATCCTAAAAGCATTTGTTAAATTACCACTGCTCATGGGCTCATACAGAAGGAACGATGCGTACCTCGTTGTATGCGACTGATCCTTGTCTCTCAAGCTTACTAACGCATAGTTTGATCCCTTACTCACTTCGCTCCTTCCTCTCTGCCTATGCGCTTCTGTACGTTGGGCAAACTGATCCTTCTAAGCCTTCCATCTCCGCATCTTTGTCAATGCAACCAAAAATCACTTGTCTATTGTCATGACGCTCTATCACGCTTACGCTCCCAATCCGACGAACCGCAAGAACAACATTGGCGAAATGCAGACGGAGCTGAGCACAAACATGAAGCTCAGAACGTCAACGACTTTACTGTCAACGTAAGTTGGCTGCTTCCTCGAAGTGAATCTATTGAAGCTGAATACACGCAGACTCTGGCACGATCGCGTCAATGCAGACTTTGAGATTGTTTGCGGAGCGTACAGACTCAAGGTGCATAAACTCTTGCTTCGAAACTACTCCGACGCGCTCGCTCGAGTTGCAGACAACAAATCATTCAAGGTGGGTAGCTTTGGTCATCCATCATCTTACAGCCTGATTAATACAATACAGGAAGGCAAAGCTGGACGGCTCACACTACTTCCCAACCCGTATCAGAAGAAGGATCACGACCCGAACGAAGGCGATGATCCTGAAATGGTCCGGGAAATGATACACTTCTTCTACCACCTCGAGTTCTCCGACATCAACAAGATCAAGACGACTCCTAAGGCTTGCGATCTCCTCTTCTTGGCGCGGATGTGGACGATTGCCGACAAATACTTCGTTGACGAATTAAAGAAGTATGTGGTGACGCTGTTCGAAGGGATCGCCAACGCGTTTCGTGAGAGTTCGACGACACACGACTGCATGAACGACGATTTCGAGTCCACACTGAGATACGTTTACGCCAATCCTGATGACGAGCTGTTCGAAATTCAAGGTCTGCAGCTCGTACTGGCAAAAGTCCTTGCCGATATGGATGCGCGAAAATGCTTCGCTACGGACGCACTGTATGTCGATGTTGATGGACAGCTTAAGCACACCAATGGCCGCTTCAGAAATTGGATCAGGGATATACCGGAGCTGGCAGCGCATATCTGCCTCATCCAAGGTGGAGGCGTTTGAAAAGAGGATATGTTGTGCTGAGAAGATTGCTATTACGACGATCAGAAGAACATAGTCTTTCCATTGCAGGACATTAGCTTAACCAAGTCAAATCAACAGAGACATTTCGAATACAGTTTCTTATGGAACTTGCAGGCTCCCGATAGTGTCAGAAGGAAGGAAGGAGGTGAGGTCAAGATCTATATCGGCAGCCTCGGCCCGAAGAGTCCTCCGCGTGCGTCTTGTCTCCTTCCTTATCTGACAAATCAACTCGAGGCGATATTCATCCACGTACCTGCTTCTCAGAAACTTGATGCAAGTCACCTTTTCGAGCAAGATTGGGAACTTGTACTACAGAAATACTGAATTGGTTTTGATTTTTTCACATAAGTCGAAGCATTTTGGGAATTATTTCTCCGGCTAAATTGCACGTTTCCTTGCGTCATCGATATTCACCAAACTCTCGCGTCGATTGTTTACCAAAAAGAGCCTCAAGAGGTCCAATACTGGATGAGTGCTACCACCAAACAGGCGGACGAGCGGGCGCCGCTACTTGGTCCACAGCCAAGTACAGTAGATGCGGGCAATGAACACCTACCTGAAAGCGAAGTCGAGGACGACTCAGGTCGCATCTCCGTAGCAAGAGCGGCAATATGTGTCGTTGCTTTAGGATCATTGATCTTTNTACAAGGTATATATAACATTTTGAGCTTGTAAGCAGAACAAGAAAACCATTAACATGTCTCAGCTACAAACATTTCGCTTCTTACCACAACACAATCTACTATTGCAGCCGATCTTGATGCTTTCGAGAAGACAAGCTGGTTCACATCAGCATATCTTATTGCTGTCTCTTCTACATCGCCATTGACTGGAAAACTCAGCCAGCTCTTTAGCCCGAGGAATTGCATCAGCGCCAGTGCCATAGTCCTTGGACTGGGTGCTCTATTCACTAGTTTTGCACAAGCATTCGCTGGCTTCATTGTTGGTCGCATTATTACTGGTATCGGAGCTGCTGGCGTATTCACAGTATCCATCATTGTTGTGCTCGAGCTCAGCGGACCAACCAAGCGTGGGGCTGTCATTGGTCTCTTGAACTCTGGCTTCACAGTTGGCGTTGCGGTTGGAGCGACAGTGGCAGGTGCATTGGTGAACAGAGTTGGCTGGAGAGCGCTTTTCTGGATGCAGACACCGCTTGCTGTTGTTGCTGGCGCAGCTCTCTACTTGGCAATTCCGACTCAGTTCTCTGCTGCTAGAGGCAACAGTAAAGACAGTAGCTGGAAAAAGCTAGGAACATTGGACTACCTTGGTGCTCTCACCTTGACCATTGGTATCGTTCTGCTTCTTTCAGCATTGTCGAACCCTCGCCGCATCCCCATCTTGCCGATTGTCTTCAGTGTCATTGCTCTTGTGACATTCGTCCTCAACGAGATGTACCTGGCTACCGATCCCATCATCCCAGTCACACTGCTCAAGTCTCGAGGTATGGCCTTTACTTGCTTGGGCACAGTGGGCTTCATGATGGCTCGCTGGAGTGTCCTCTTCTTTACACCTACCTACACTCTTGCAGTACGTGGCTGGGCTCCCGCCGCTGCTGGCAGCATACTGATCGCCACGAACGGAGGCTTTGCACTTGGAGGCATCCTTGTTGGTGTCTTCCACATACGACGCCAGGGCAGTTTCTACATTGCCTGTGTGACGGTATACCTCTTGTTCCNNCCCCTCACACTTGTGGGCATTGCGATGCTCTCAACTGCTGCAGCTTCTTCATCTCTATACATTCTGCTGCTGTTTTTGAACGGTCTCACCGTCGGTGCGGCGATGAACTACACACTTGCTCATCTTCTGCATCTGACACCAGCTTCGACGCATTACATTGCTACCTCACTCATCGCCACCTTCAGAGGCTTCGCTGGATCTTTCGGCTCAGCCATTGGTGGAGGATTATTCACTCGTCTATTGAGAAAGTCGTTGGAGGACAAATTCGATAGCAGCGATGCAGATCTTGTTCGCCGTCTTTTGGGCAGTCCGGCTATGGTCAGTATGTTGAAGGGAGCGAAGAAAGCCAAAGCTGTTGCTAGTTACGAAGACGCACTGAGAGGGTTGTTCTTGGCCGCCGCTGGCCTTGCAGTTATCATGGTGCTCGTGCAAGCGGCAACTGGTTGGAAGGGCGTCGAGGATGAGCCCAAGAGCCAGGGTGGGGAAGAAGAAGTCACGCAATAGTCGTATAGATTGAGAGACCTCGAAGCAATATTGCACCATTTTGATGCAACTGCATCGTTTGGTTAACGTATAATAGAATGATACACTCTCGCGAGAAGTATTCTTGCTCATGCGAATACACTTGCATCAAATCGTGAACATCAACCGAAGCCATTGCCCTTTGGTTCGCCCAGCTCGAGAAACCCACCACTTCAACTATGTAGATATTCAGGATATTGCGAGGCTGCAAAAGAGTTTCCAAATGTTGGGATATATGTTAGTGGCTCTGGATCTCGTTTCAGCGGCATCCCGTACAACATGCTGCAGTAACTGTGTGTTTGTTCATAATTAATAGCCTAGCTTCATCGCGGTTCGACCCATCAACCTGTCCCAAGCTGAGAGCCGACCAAGTTTCCTCAGGGTGTATACGAACTCCTCGGACGGAATGTGTTCTGCTCTTTGAAGGACAATCCCAAGAAACTCATCGTCTGGCGATATTCTTCCCGAAATATGATACCAGTCGAGATTTGATGGAAGAGCTGTCAGCTCTACGAGTATAGCATCGAGTATCTCTCTCCTAGTCTTTTCTTGTGGTTCCTCCTTGGAAATCCGCAAACTCGATGACTTCGCTCGAAACTTCGGTGAAGGACGAGTTGAATACGTCGATGGATCTATCAAGTCAAACCATGACTGCTTACGCTTCAGTGCCTCAAATGTAATTGAAGACAGTCCAGATGGGATATCACCAGAGTCGTTTCGACAGTGGCGATGCATGCGGTATGCTTTCTTCGCATAGAGAGCGATCTGCCTCAGGTGGTCGCCATACTCAGTAACAAGCTTGTATGGGAAGACAAATGGCGTGCCATCTTTGTAGGTGCGGGGATCTACTTCTTCGCTGTAGTCCATACGGTTAAGAAAAGAGACAGTCCTGTGACAATCGCAAGCTATGTTGACCATCCAGACAACAGTATCTGGCAGCGGCAATGACAAGTCGAGCCAGCTACCATCAAGCGTAAAGTCCTTGGGGGTATGTCCAGTAGCCGAGAACCACATATCTACAGCAACACGACCTCTGCGAAGTTCGCCTATAGTATTGACAACATCATAGATCGAAACCAGCATTGGCGTTGGAGCATTCCTTGGGAAGATAATGTTGCCAGAATTCATGAAGAATCTTTGCGAGTGTCTTTGCCAATGTGGTGTTGCGGTAGCAAGATCGAGTTGTTTCTCCATATAGAGCAGATGTGGGTCTTCGCACTCTTTGAAAGGCAGAGCCATCCTCGCATGTGCAGTTGATTGCTGTACAGCATGTCGCATAGCGCGGTTGACGGCCAAGCAACATGCAATGTCATGGAAATCATCGAGATGAGCGAATATGGCATCAGCAAGTTCTTGTACAGCAAAGAGCCGATTGCAGGCAGGGTTCCCGGCCTTCGAGCGAGGCTGTTTCTGATCAAGCCAGTAGGATATGGACTTCTTGCTTGATTGTTGCATCGACAGTTGGATACGACGCCTCACATATAATCTTGTCGTCTTCAGCATGTTCTCAGCAAGGAGTTGGTTGCGAGGCGTGAGCCTTGGTTGGGTATCTGGCAAGACCAGCTCGGGATGGCGGTATGTCGACATGGCAAGCTCACATTGGAATGAAGGGATGGGTACATGTCAGAGAGGAGGATGCTCAGAGGATTATCATATGTGGTTCACGCATGCAGTGTGGCACAGTTTACACCCAACTTCCAAGACCCGAGTTTCACGCCAGGGATTGGAAGGAACGAGGGAACCAAGCAAGTTGGCGTAGATTGCCGGCTATGGACGGCTAGCGTATGGGCCCGGTAACAAAACGTCCAATGTTTCTTATCGAACATCTTCAAATCTATCTCATCTCCGATGGTCGGGATATAGGTAGCTTGATTTAGACTACTCAGAAGTATCTGGATCTCTTGAAGAAAGAGATGAGACTAGATCCAATCACCTCCGTAGTAATGGGTTTGCACTCAAGACTTTTTGTCAAGTCTAGGTACCTTATGCAATGATCACAGCACATGTGTATGCATAGATACAATAAAGCTTGGCATCTGATGTGCTGCATAAGAAAGCTATGACGCTGGCTAGCCAGTCGATTGAGCGGCCGCGGGAGCAACAGCGTCATATGGCATTTGGCTAGACGTTGGATACTACAGTTCGTCTCTGTTTCCCACGCCAGAACGGCATCCCAGCGCGACCGTCGACTGTCTGCCAGACGCCCTCGTTCTTCTTGGACGCACAATTTCTTCACGCATCCGTATTGCTTACTTCTTGTCCTCCGTTTCGGACTCGCCGTCCTCCCTGAATCACTTCTTGACACGCCGTCAAGTTGTTGCGCCTCACACGCTCCTGCGACTCGTCGTAAACACTTCTCTCGATTCTTCTAGCATTACGGCCTACCTTCCATCATGGCATTTCTCGGAGTATACCGAGCCATCTACGACTATGTGCCCCAGAGCGAGGGTGAATTGACTCTGACCGAGGGAGACTTGCTTNTTGTTTTGGACAACAATTCCGACGATGACTGGTGGAAAGCAAAGAAGAAGGCCATGTCTGACGATGAAGACGAGCCAGAAGGCTTGATCCCAAACAACTACATTGAACAAGTCTGTCGCGTCCGTAGACCCCAGTGGCTTGTTCCTGCTGACCTCTCCTNNCAGGCGCAACCTCTATACCAAGCGAAAGCCTTGTACGACTACACCAAGCAGACCGACGAGGAGCTCTCATTTCCTGAAGAAGCCCGCTTGGATGTCTACGACACGTCGGATGATGATTGGACACTTGTTGGCTTGAATGGCGAGTATGGCTTTGCTCCAGCTATCTATATCGAANAGGCTTCGGCTGGCGCCGCTTCATCTACCGCTCCCGCTGCACCTGCTATGCCTGCGCGCCCACAGATTGCCGAGCCTGAGCCTGAGGAGGCCGAGTGGAACGAGTCTCCGCCAGAGAGTCCGGTACAGAATCCGGCTGCTGCCCTTGCAGGTATCATTGCACAAAAGACTGGCCAGTCACAAACACAGGCACGCTCATATCAAGCCCCTGTGGATCGCGGTCTCGCTTCGCCACCCCTACCTTCACGACCGCAATACACTCCTGACGAATCTGAAGATGAACCAGCTCCCAGCATGCCTCCACGACCAATCTCCAACATTTCTCGTGAACCTGTTGCCTCGCCAATGTATTCTCCTGTTGAGCGCGAGCCACAAGGCGTCAGTACTTCACTTCCTTACAACAGAGCAATGGCTATCGACGACGAGGAGGCCGCTCTCAGGTCGCCTGGTGGTTTCCGGCTGTACAACATATCCGAGGTCGTTTCGCACATGGGAAAAAACAAGAAGATGCCTATCACTTTGGGCATTAACCTTGCCAAAGGTCTGGTTTCGCTCTCTCCTGCCAAGGCGCGAGATGGTCCATCTCAAGAGTGGTCAGCCGACCGACTTTCCAACTATTCGATTGAGGGCAAACATGTTTTCCTGGATCTGGTCCGCCCTAGTAAGAGTGTCGATCTTCACGCTGGCGCGAAAGATACTGCTCAGGAGATTATTGGTATTCTGAGCGAATTAGCAGGTGCCTCAAAGGCTGAGGGACTTCGCGAAGTTTGGGCAGCTAGCTCTGGCACCGGTGCCGGTGGAAAGAAGAAGGGTACAATGCTATACGACTTCATGGCGCAAGGAGACGATGAGGTCACTGTGGCCATTGGTGACGAGGTTGTCATCTTAGACGACACCAAGAGCGAAGAATGGTGGATGGTCAAACGCCTCAAGAATGGAAAGGAAGGAGTCGTTCCGAGCAGCTATGTCGAGATTACTGGAACTCTTCCCGAGCCATCATCAGCCTACACTGGTCTCAACGCCGCTCGTTCTACCGTTGAGCAGAACAGACTTGAAGAACAGCGCCTTACGAGGGAAGTAGCTAGGTCTTCAACGATACGCGATTCAGACGATGGAAGCAGACCAGAGCGTCACAGCAGTTTGGCCAAAGAGGATCACCGTAAGAGCAGGCACAGCAAGAGCGACAAGAGTGATAAACCGAGTAAGTTTTGCAGTTTGACACGAAATACATCAATCTAACGACATTCAGAGCCGAACGCTGCAAGAGTGCGCACCTGGACGGATCGATCTGGTTCTTTCAAGGTCGAGGCCGAATTCATCGGCTTGAAGGACGGCAAGATCCACCTCCACAAACAGAATGGTGTCAAGATTGCTGTTCCCGTTAACAAGATGGCTATTGAAGACCTCGAATATGTGGAAAGAGCGACTGGTGTTTCTCTCGATGAGGACAAGCCGCTCTCAGAGATCAAACGCAGAAGCACCGAAAAGAGAAAGGAGCGACCAGATCGACTACAGCAATCCGGCGCTACAGCAGGTGCTGTTATCGAACAGAAACCCGACTATGATTGGTTCGACTTCTTCCTCGGTGCTGGTGTGAACCCACAGATCTGCGAGCGTTATGCTGCCGCCTTCAGTCGCGATCAAATGGGCGAAGAGATTCTTCCTGATGTCGATACCCAGCTGCTGCGCACACTCGGCCTCAAAGAAGGCGATATTCTTCGTGTGATGAAGTATCTGGACAACAAGTTTGGTCGTACTGGGTCAAAGAAGAACGTTAGCTTCGGTGAGGATGATGCTGATGGTGCGGCCAATGGTGAGGGCGGTCTTTTCTCTGGACCTGGCGGCGCTTTGAGAAACAACACCCGCAAGGGAAGGCCTGCTCCCGCCGTACAGACGAATGATGTTGTTGATGCCGACGCATTCAAGCAGAAAGACGAGTCATCTAAGGTTGAGACACCTCTTGCTTCTGCTCCTGCTAGACCTGCTCCACCCGCTGGATTTGATGATGACGCATGGGACGTCAAGCCGTCGAAGACTGTACCAGCTGCTGAAGTACCGGCTCCCGCTCCCGCACCTGCAAAGGCTCCTTCGCCGCCGCCAGCTCCTGCTGCTCCTGAGCCTCCAAAGCTCACTCAGAACATGTCCGATCTATCTTTGCTTTCTCCCGCATTGCAACCAACTCCCGCACCACAAGCCGCACCTCAGGCTACTACTGCGCCCCCACAACAGCCAACAAGAACTGGAGCTGACCCTTCGTTCTTCGACAAGCTTGCTGCTCCGTCTCCCTTGCAGTCACAGGTGACAGGAATGAGACAACGCCCTGCAGCTCCAGCACAAATGCAGACCGGCAACTCGATGATTGCACCACCACCGCAACGTGCGGCTTCCGCTCCCGGCCTGCCTCAGCAAGGCTTCGCTCCGCCAGCTCTGCAACCTCAAATGACTGGTTACCAGGCACCTCCTGGTCAAAGTCTCCAGAGTTTACAACAACAGCAACAGTTCCAGCAACAGCAAATGACCGGATTTTCCCAGCAACCTGGCTATCAAGGTCTTATGCCTCAGGCCACAGGCTTCATGCAGCAGCCCCAGCAGGGTGGCTTCCCAGCACAGTACCAGATGCCGCAGCCTACAGGCTATGGCCAGCAACAGCCCTTCCTCAACGGCCAGGCCACAGGCTCGCCTTTCGCAGATCCTACCCCTCGTCCCGTTTTTCAGTCACAGCCTACTGGTATGACACAATCTTACACCATGCAACCCCAGCAAACAGGTTTCGGAATGCCACCACCCATGCAGCCTCAGCAGACTGGACTTCCACCAGCCCTTCAACCCCAGCGTACAGGCTTTACGCCTCAGAGCCAGTTTGGTCAAAATTATGCCCAGCAGCAGCAGAACGGCTTTGGCAATTATGGACAGCAAGCACCACCTATGCCGCCCATGCCTGCTCAACCCACCGGCTTGCAGCCTCTTGTGCCTCAAAAGACCGGTCCTCCTCCACCAGTCCGCTTTGGCGTTCAGCCTGCTGCCAGATTGACGCCACAGCCAACAGGTAGGGCCAACCTGTCGAAGGCGACACCACAGAACCCCTTTGGTTTCTAAGAGCGGATACGTGGACATTGTTCAAGGATCGAGATGTATGGACGGTATGTTTAAAACAAGGAGTGGTTGTCTCTAAACCATTGGTGGGATAGCTTAATAGGTCTTGAGTGGCCCAGAGTGTGTATATACTATAGTCTTCTTTCGTTATTCATTTCATTCCACTATCTTTTGTCTTTTAGAACTGTCTGCTTTCTACCTTGGCCGCCTCTCTTTTTGCATGTAGATGTTTTTTATACATCACGATGAGCATGGCTTAGCATTTCCCTTGTATGAATAACTTCTTGAACATGTCCTCAACTAACATGATTCACGCAACTTGGGCTTACGATAATCGAGGAGGCAGGAAGAAGAAAAGAAAAATGGTGTTTCCGCTATAGCACAGATAGATCTATTTACACAGCTCGAGACTCCACAAAAACGAAAGAGTCTCATGTGCTTTTTGTCTTTTGTTCCTCGTTCCACTTCTCCAAAGACCACCCCTGCATCCTCATCAACTCAGCTTACAGAAACCATCAACCTCAAATTAATGAGTTCGATGGACTAGATTTAAGCCTTGGAGACGATGCGGTCGACGTCAGCGACAGCCTGGTCGAGGATCTGCTTGAGGGTCTTGGGGTTCTCGAGCTCCTTGTCAATCTTGGCGATGATGGAGTCGGCGAGCTCCTTCTGCTGGCGGGCCTTGACGGCACCCTCGTAGCGGACCCAAGAGTCGAGGACGGACTTGGCCTCGTGGGCGAGGTTGACCTTCTGCTCGAGCTCGTAAGCCTGGGCCTCGAGCTGGGCGGTTTCCNNTGGTTGAACATGTCAGTATATATAACATCAGCATTTCTGAAGGTGAATGGTTAGTACCTTGGAAACGGCGAAGAGCGATTTGGTAATGTCAACGACACCACCGAGGTCCTGGACGCTGGCAATGCGCTTCTGGACGGCGTCGGTGTGGTCCTTGCGGGCAGCGTTGAGGATGTTCTTGATCTTGTTGGTCTGGTTCTCGGCCCACTCCTTGTAGGCGGGACCTCCGTAGACGGCGATACCGGTGTAGACGGAAAGCAGACACAGCATGACGATGGACTCCTCGTTGACGACGTAAAGCTCGTTGCTTATGGCGGCGATTGAGACACCGGCACCGGCGGAGAGGATGGCGGTCTTGCTCAACAGGTTGCTGCCGGGCAGAGAGTCGAGAATGCTCTTGGCCTTCTGCTCGGGCGAGGGCTGGTTGCTCTGCAGGCGGGCCTGGACGGCGGGCACGGCGGCCTTGTGCAGGGAGGAGACGGCGGCGGTGGGACGGGCGCGGGCGGCGCCCATGACGGAGCGAGCAACACGAGAGGCCATTGTGTTGGGTGTGAGTGTGGAGAGAGCGGAGAGGTGTGCGGATAGCAATTCACTGGTCTCTTTGGCAGCCCTGCGGCAGCGCTCAGTCGGCGGTCGTTGTCAAGCTCTGAGCGCGGCGATTTCCGGCAACGAGCCCTGAATCTTCCCGATTGGGAAACTGCCAAAGAATTTATTTTATACAGGCAGGAACCACCACTTTTGTGTTGACAACTTCTTAGTAATAAGTAAAGGAAGTTGCGACTAGACTGGATACTTGAAAATGCCCGGACTTGTCGAAAAGAAGCGCAAGCGTACCGATGCCACCGCCGTCGCAAAACCTACAAAATCGAAGAAAGTAAAGGCTGCCGGCAACGATGGCGACGACGACCCTCAAGCGCAGATGCTTCTGCTAGAACAACAAATTCTCGAGTCACCGTCAAACTACCCGAACATTACTAGCCTGCTCAAGTTCTTCAAGTCAAAGGATGCAACTCAGAAGATCACGGCTGCCGTCGCCCTCTGTCGTACCTTCTGCCGCTTGATGGCTGCCGAGAGAATGGTCAAGCAGAAGACCATGGACGAGGAAGAGATTGGACAGGTGGACTGGCTTAAGACGCAGTACAGGGAATATGGGCGACAGCTAGGTCGTCTGTTGGCAAGCGAGGAGCTCCAAAGCACTGCTTTGACTCTGTTCATGCGCCTGGTCAAGGAGGAGACATCTCAGGATGGCCGTCGCGCTGAGCAGGCTTGGAGGACTGGTATCTTTGCAGACTTGATCCTGGGCCTTGTGGCATCGCCAGATGCTACTGGTGCACGCGAGGAGTTCATCGAGAAGTTTGTCGAGGAGCACGACGACGTCCGTTACTTCACCTTCTATGCTGTCGCAAATATTCTGGCTCGCTCGCCCGAGGGTTACGATCGCCAGACTCTGGTCTCAAACGCTCTCTCACTGCTTCTCCTGATCGAGAATGCTCCCGACTCGGACTCCCAACTCGAGGACTGGTACGGACAAGCTCCTGAAGGCCGCAAGCACGCCCTTCTGTCTTTGTCCTCGCATCGCAAGACAGCACAAGAGGCGTGGCTCGCTATCTTCCGCTCAGCCTTAACCAAGGATGAGCGCAAATCCGTCCTTCACCACCTGACCAACCGTATCGTACCCTGGTTCACCAAGCCCGAGTCGCTCATGGATTTCTTGACAGACAGCTACAACGCTGGTGGTGCCACTTCTTTGCTAGCTCTGTCTGGTCTCTTCTACCTCATTGCTGAGAAGAACCTCGACTACCCTGCCTTCTACACGAAACTCTACTCTCTGCTCGACGACACGCTACTACACTCGAAACACCGCAGTCGCTTCTTCCGCCTCCTCGACACCTTCATGAGCTCTACCCATTTGCCATCGGCTCTGGTCGCCAGTTTCATCAAAAGATTGTCAAGGCTAGCGCTGCACGCACCCCCTGCTGCTATTGTCGTGGTAGTGCCCTGGGTCTACAACATGTTACTGCGTCATCGTACCTGCACATTCATGATTCACCGTGAAGTCCGTGGTGCAGCACAACTCAAGAAGCTCGAGGCTGAAGGTATGGACGACTCGTTCTCTATTTATGAAATGGACCCCATGGAGACCGGTGCCATCGACTCATCGCTTTGGGAACTCGAGACTTTGGCCTCGCACTACCATCCCAACGTCGCAACGCTAGCGAGAATCATCCAGGAGCAGTTCACAAAGAAGAATTACAATATGGAGGACTTCTTGGATCACAACTACCAAGGTTTGATCGATGCCGAGTTGGGCAAGGAGATGAAGAAGACGCCGGTGGTCGAGTTTGAGATTCCGAAGAGGATCATCACGGCTGAGGAGGGTGGATTGAACAATCTCGGTGGTCTGTTACAGACTGCCGTCCAGGCACTGTAAACTTTGTTATCTATCACTTTTGGCATCAGGCAAGGCGTTGGTGGCAGTTCTAGGCTACATCTTGCGAGATTCGGATTCAATGCTTGTGAAGTTTTTCATCATTTGCTCGAATGCTATGCTATTCTATTTTCCATATTCCCTCGTCTCTTCTCGCGATCCCAAGGTATTCTCTAGCCTTCTGCGAGATGTCCGTATCGCATCTTTTGAACCCGTCCAGTTCTTTTGAAGAAGTAATTAGAAACACAAAATAAATTTCCCTCCCATCTCTCCCAGTCAGATTGATACAACTCCGCCAACACCGGCGCCATGCACAAAGAAACAAAAAAGGTTCATCGGAGAACAAGACATGCACTTAAACGAGCAAAACAGCGTTCAAGCAGCCATCGTTCTCGGGGTTGTTGGTAACCTGGGCCCAACGACCCCAGACGACCTTTCCACCAGCGGTGACCAGACCGAGTTCCGAGACGTTGACCTCGATGATTGTACCCTTGGTCAAGACACCGAGTTGGGTGTACATGGGGTTCTGGGGGTTCTTCTTGACGGAGATGATGGGAAGCTGAACGGTGACACCGAGTTCGGGATGAGTGACGTTTGCCTTCTTGTAACGGNNGAGACCCATGGGACGGATGAATCTGNNAAGATTGTGTGAGTATAATGTGGTGAAGTAATCGAAGATGGCAGAAACAAACCTCTCGTATTTGACAGGACGACGAGTAAAGTCGGGACCGACGAAAGTAGGCTTGGTGATCATTCTCTTCCAGCTCTTCTTTGCAGTCTTCTTTCCGGTCTTGACGACCTTGAACATCTCCTCCTCGGCAATACCTCTGACCTTGGGCAGAGGCACGCTGAACTTGGCGGCCTTCTCAGCTCTCTTGTTCTTGATGGCTGAGGAAAGAGCCTTTGCATTCTGCTCGTTACTGCGGTCGAGCAGGTAGGCGGGCAGAGGGGTGTTGGAGGGCTCTGCGGCTTCGCTTGACTTGACGTTGCGCTCCTCGTGAGCTCTGATCTGCTTCTTCATCTGGATCTTCTCCTTGCGGCGCTTCTCCTGGTACAGCTTTGCGCGCAGACCGCGGTAGTTCTGAGCCTTCTCGGAGCCGGCGTGGCCCTCTCTGGCCTGTCTCTTGCGCTTGCGCTCATCGTGGTCGAGACGCTTGCCATGCTGCTTGGCAAAGCGTTCCATATACTCATTCTGAGGCATGGCGGCGGTGGATTATGTGTCGTGGTTAGGCGTGGGTTGGTGTAAAGGATTGGGAACCAGAAAAAGATGGACTTCTTGCGGGGAAAGCGAGAGGCAAAGTCCCTGCCTGCGCGTCGGCGAGACTTCTTGGCATTGAAAGAGGCAGGCTCGATAATCTTCTGAGCGTCGATTCAAGCAGCGACCGAGTCTCGAATTGGTAGCCAGATACACAACATGTTTCTCTCTCGAGCAGCTAAGCGGGCGTGCTGCCTGGACTCGCGCCTCCTGCCGCCGACCTTCCTGCTCCCTTTCACCGCACAATTGAGCAGCGTTTCGCACACGACCGACGCATCAAACACTCCCGAAGTTCTTCTCAACTCCTCCGCCGCAAAAGTCGACTCTCCTCCCAAGTCAACAGCTGCTACAACTGCTCCTCCTTCGGCCAGCCATGCCCCGGCATCCGCACCTAAGCTTCCTACACCCTCTCAATCGCCTCCGGCCTTGAGCGATTCTGTCCGTGAATTGTTGCCTGTACTTCGCGCTCAGGGTCCCCACTACATTACCGCACACATCTATGATCGCCCTTATCTCTTGACTGAGGGTGATACTCTGCGCGTGCCGTTCCTCATGCACGGCGTTCAGCCCGGCGATGTCCTGCGTTTAACTCACGCCTCGTCACTCGGTTCGCGAGACCTGACTCTGAAAGCCGGTGCCCAACCTGCCAACTCTCGATCACCCACTGCATCCACTATCTCGGTTGTCAATCCCACACCTGGCAGCGTCTTGACCACCGAGAGCAGAAGGATGCCTGACGGAGGCCACTTTGTGCCACATCTTGCCAAGGGCAAGCACGTCTATGTCGACGACAGACTATTCGTGTGCAGAGCCACTGTCATGGGTACCGAGGCTGAGCCTATGCGTATCAAGGAGAAGACAAAGCGCAGACAAAGGAGGGTCAAGACTGTCAAGAGCAAGCACCGCTTCACTGTGCTCAAGATCAAGGAACTGAGGATAAGAGGTCTGGACGAGATTGAGAGTGGTATCGACGTTTAAAATTACATTCGGTGAGGCTGCCCATTCATGCGCCATGACATTTAGGGCTGGGCCGATATATCTAAAAGGCAGGCCGGTTGGGTGTTGGCGTTCAGCCTTGTGTATCAAAATTTTTGTACAAAATACATTTTCGTTCTGGTTATCAAGAGTTATGTTACATTTCTCGCCTAGCCTGCTTTTGCCAGAGCGATGATCCTCTCAGTAATGCTGAAGCTGTATTGAACTAGATGCCTGATCTTCGGTAATAGTTGTCTCATGCAGGTAGCCTTTTTTGTGTTGGCAGGCCGACATTCACACAAACGATTTTATATTCGACACTGACTGTGAAGTTCTCAATCTTTCCTCTATTACAACACACATCAAGGTATCTCAGCAATTTCGTATCCTGGACCATACAAGCAGCGCACTGTACACAACGTGAGTTGGCTCAGACTTTGACCATCTTGCAACTTCTACTTCAAATGATCAGTTACTGATAGATCCTGGAGAGTCTTGCTCTGTTTCCTGCACATCATCACGATGACCACCAGTCAGGCTACTTCTGACCTGAAGAGCTTCTCGGGCCTTGTATCCTTCGGTCATCCTCCAGTCAATCTTTGCTCTCAGACGGCAGCAAACAAGACGGTAGTGTCAAGAACCAGTCTCCGCCATGAGAACAGAGAACGTGGCAACAGAGGCATGTTCCGCCGAATGCAACACAACCGCTACCAGCCCCCGTTCATATNNGGGAGCCGAATCAAGGAACAGGAACCTGCACGTCAACCTCCAGCCCAGAAGACAACCTTTCTCGAACTACTGCGGACCTACCGGGATCCTCCTCATAGCTGGGGCCTACCTGCTACCAAACCCCTGGATTGCATTCTTGGCCTCGGCGAAATCAGCAACGCTATTCTGAGTAACCTCAATCGAAGGGATCTTATGAGCTGCTTGGAAACTTCACGCATGCTCCGCCGCGCAGTGCAGCTCTCTCCGGCTGCTCAAGCACGTCTCGCCATACTACCTTTTGAGCCAGCAGGCGAGCTCAACGACTGTGACACTTGCCAGATTCCGTTCCCACGAAACTCGAGCCCTATGCTGATCACCAAAGGAGTTGTGTTGCCATCACCAAAACAGAAGAAGGGGAAGGACGTGAAGGAACCGGAACACTTCATCTTTGTCGACGTGCGGTTTTGGTCCGCGCTAGAAGGCCGCAGCCTTCACGACTTCGACATTGTGGGCAGCTGGGCAGATATGAAGCTTCCGGATATGCCATCGCCTCTGACTTGGGAGGTCTGGGTTGACTGCGAGTGTCGTTACATTGAAGAAGACTTTCACGGCGATCGTGGTCCTCGTACTCCAGATGCCGCCACGCTTTGGAACCACAGGCTGATTACTCACGACAAGCCGCTGAGAGAGATCGCAGAGTGCGCAAGGGAGGTGTACAAGGCCCACGGACAATGTGTTCCCCGTCACTTTACACATATGTCTCTCAGATGCTCTGCGGAGACGAAGGTAGACAAGGAGGGGTTCGTTGTGTGCAGCGGAAAGGAGGAACCAGACACAATCCTCTCGGCAGGCATTTTCGGAAAAGTGCTCAGAGCTTACATGAAGTAGTGGTAGGGCTAGTTTGATATGTATTCTTGTATCGCATTCAACTGCTGGTGTTATGAGAAGCAGAGGTCAAGGTGTAGGAGCACGGCCACAGAAAGCACAGGGCAGCGAAAGTCATGCCGACCAAAATGCCGACCATCGGGTTCGAAAAATGCCAATTTTCTATATAGCTACTCCTCACTTTCACCCCAACCCCAGCCCATATGGATCTGGACAGGCGAAGGATCAATTCTCGTCCAATTGTTGTAGTATTTGCTCGTGTTCTCAAATTCAGAGACAGTAGCCCAAGACCCGTTTTACCACAGGTAGGCTAGACTTGCTGCATATCTCGATCCATGCAGACCGGGGTAGTCATGGCCTGCGGCCCTCGTGCCGCGGATCTGGCCAGGCTTCAAATCGGCAGACCAAGGGAGAACCAGAACGACTCTTGGGCAGGGTCTGCACGACAAAGGTACGGAAGCAGGTAAGCAAGCAAATATTATTGTCAACAGCACATGTCGCATCAACTTTGTTTCTCTTCCATCAACATTCTCCATCCCGTCCTTTGCGACCATGGAGGACAGTGCACAACTCGAAGATGCGCTATATCGAGCTTGCATCACAGCAGACTTGCCACAGGTCAGACTTCTGGTCCAGGAGCAGAATGCATCTGTCAACAAAATCATCGGACCCCCTGGACAGCTGGAATATCCTTTGAACCATGCGGCCAAGACGGGTTCAGTACCACTGGTACGCTTCCTGCTCGACCATGGTGGAGCGACTGTGAATGCAGCAGCACTACAAATCGCTGCTTTTGGAGGAGATCAGCCTATGTTGCAACTTCTTCTCGAGCCCATCAAAGCCCAATTGACGACTTCGGGCATGTCTAGGAAATGGCGTGGAGATCTTGCCTCAATTCTAGTCGGCACGACCAGGAGAGGTCGTAGCGAGACCGCTGAAGTTCTCAAGGTGTTCCGTTCAAGAGTGGCAGAGTTCGACAAAGCTGTCGATTCTGGTCTTCTGGCAGCATGTGCTGCGGGTGACATGCGCTCTGTCAAATACTTCATCGGCATGGGAGCCGAAAACAGAGTCGAAGCCATATGCACTGCGTCCGAATACCATCAGTCCGAACCTCTGGAATACTTTTTGAACAATCATACATTCGAACCCGAAGATCTCGTTGATCCCTTGATTTCAACAGCCGGCGGCGGCCACATGCCATCTGTTCTATTACTCATCGAACAAGGGGCAGATGATGAAACAGGCGCTGCACTGGCTAGAGCTGCGAAATTCTCTCACGCAGAAGTAGTGCATCACTTCCTCAGCACCTTCAGATACACAAAAGACAAACTGTCGCTAGCACTTGCAGCAGCCGCTCGTGTAGGCGATACGGAGATAGCAAGCACACTCATCAATAGAGGGGCTCACAAAGGTGCTCATGCGTCTGGAGCACTGACCTTCGCAATCCAAAGAAGTCATCTCGCAGCGACAGAACTCTTGGTTCGAAATCTTGCACCCACTCAGACAGAACTCTCCACCGCGCTGGAAAAGGCAATGTTCATCTGGCTACGACCTGCACAGACATATAAACCTCATCTCTCGAGAACTTCTAGTCTTTCGTCTAGAAGCACAAACAGCGAGATCGAACCAACGATACCAGAAGTTCTACAAAATCGAGAAGAGTCTCGAAGACGTATCGTCGATTTGCTTCTTGAAGCTGGTGGTCGATTGTCTGAGCTGTACTACTGTCGGCTTTTGGAAATGATGATTCTCACTCAGAACAAGTATGGCGTCGAGCTATTACATGATAGCGCCAGATTCACCACGGTTGAAACGCTACCTGATGAGTATTTGGTCAGCCTCGCAATATATCATCAACAAGACGACATGGTGAATCTGTTGCTCGGCTTCCCTGTAGCGCGCAGACCCGAGCTACCAGAGTCGACAGAGCTCAATAGCGTACAATCTTTTACCGAGGACACTCCTGCATGGGAGTCGAAGGTTTACAACCCAATTCCTAGCCCACTCATATTGGCAGCAAAGTTTCAGAACGAGGATTGGTGCAGGACACTAATCAATCGAGACGAAACCGACGTCCACGAATGGTGTTATTATAGGCCGACCAAAAGACTCTTAAGCTATTATGGGTCCGACNAGAAAACACAAACACCAAAAGACGAACAGTACGAAGAACTCGGCTGTCCATTTGGCACCGAGGAGTTACGTGATTGCGCTCTTTCTATGGCTGTTCGCTCACGAGATGTACCTATCGTCCGTCTGCTCATCGAAAACGGTGCAGACCCCTGGGTGAATCGACAAGGCGTTTCTATCCTTGAGCTGGCAGCAAAAGAAAAATGCCTACGAGACGTTTTGTTGTTCTTGGAACAGTCTGTTACTAAGTTGAACGTCGACCGCCAAGAGTGGGATGGCGGCAGGAGCATGTTGCACTGGGCTGCGATATATGGCAACAGTGACTTGGTTGACTTGTTTTGTAAANAAGGAGCAACTCTCGACCTCTCGGACGCAGTGCTCAGGACACCACTGCATCTCGCGGTGGCCGCTGGAAATATCGAGACGGTCAAGGGTTTGCTATGGGCTGGAGCCAGGACATCACGCAGGGATTTGGGTGATTGCCTATGCGTAGATGAGCTTGCCACGAAGCTAGCCCAAGAAGCTTCGTGGGCAGATCCATCACGAGCAGTCAGATTTGAGATCAGTCGATTCCTGGAGGATTGGGTGAAGAACAACATGGATCATCTCGATGCTGCCAACATCCGTCGAGAGTCAGAAGCAACTGAAGAGAGAGCGAAGGTGGAAAAGACCACACAGTCAGTCGGAGATGATTTACTAGACCATTTTAGCGATGAGGACAGTGTGCATTGGAGCGATGACGAGTAGTAGATCATTTAGGGAGCGTTGGTTTAGATAGACACATGAGCTCGACCTCTGGCAGGCATGGGACAACATTATGTTCAACACAAAGTATGACTGATTGATAATGGGGAGTGAACAATGTAAATCGTGGAGAGCCGCTGGTCCCCGGAATCGGTCGGGACGAGGACTCGGTCGTAACTTCTGTCTGGGGTGACAAAACAGCTGGCATACTATCGCTCGGCAGGAAGGAGCGAAGCTCAGATGAACAACCTTGAGAGCTGGACAAGCTGCAGAGACAAGGAAGGGGTACGACAAGCTGTTTTTCTTCACTGTACAAAGGACAGACCGAGGTGTAGATACATGATATAAGCAGGGCTCACCAAGCTACGAAATTCAAAAAGCTGTCAAAAGGAGTGGCCAGTGGGACGCTTTGACCACCCAATCCGAGTGCTTCGTTGCGGCAAATCTCGTTCAACCTCACCCTCCTCCTAGAACCGACCTCTCATCACCCTCTATCTCCACTCCATCCTCCATTTCATTGGGACCCGTCACACCCATCGGGCTTCTGAGAAATTTCTGTCATCATGTTCAGAAGCGCCCTTCGCCAGAGCGCCCGCGTGGCCACCGTCGCCGCTGCTTCGTCGAGAATTTCAGCTGTACGTTTCAACAAGCTCCAACCACTCGCCGACACCTCGCCTGCGACTCCAAGCTCGAAAATCATGCTATACCTGGCCAACATTGGGTCCGACAACCATCATTGGACCTGTCGCCACACCCAATGGGTGCTGTCTGCGCGCCGTGTTGGCTGGTTGCGCGCTGGAGCTGTCGCTCGCGACGTCGAAGCTTGTCCGCCTTTGCCAAGTCTTGCAACACCTCGCTGACATGTTTCCTACCTACAGGCCCGCGCTGTCGCTCCCGTCGCCAACTCTTTCCGCGGCTACGCCGACAAGGCCTCCCCACTGAGGTCTCTTCCATCCTTGAGCAGAGAATCCGTGGTGTCCAGGAGGAGTCTGGTCTCGCCGAGACCGGCCGTGTCCTTTCCGTCGGGTACGTCTACGACAACCATAGCATCATCAAGCAAGACGCATGGAGTACTAACACACAATCAACAGTGATGGTATCGCTCGTGTTCACGGTATGGCCAACGTCCAGGCTGAGGAGCTCGTCGAGTTCGCCTCCGGTGTCAAGGGCATGTGCATGAACCTCGAGGCCGGCCAGGTCGGTGTCGTCCTTTTCGGTTCTGACCGTCTCGTCAAGGAGGGTGAGACCGTTAAGCGTACCGGAGAGATTGTCGACATTCCCGTCGGTATGGAGCTTCTCGGCCGTGTCGTCGACGCTCTCGGTAACCCCATCGATGGCAAGGGCCCCATCAAGTCCACCGAGAGACGCCGTGCTCAGCTCAAGGCTCCCGGTATTCTTCCCCGCCAGTCCGTCTCCCAGCCCGTCCAGACTGGTCTCAAGTCCGTCGACGCCATGGTTCCCATCGGCCGTGGTCAGCGCGAGTTGATCATTGGTGACCGTCAGACCGGTAAGACTGCCGTCGCTCTTGACGCCATGCTCAACCAGAAGCGTTGGAACAACACCTCCGACGAGTCCAAGAAGCTTTACTGCGTCTACGTCGCCGTCGGTCAGAAGCGTTCCACCGTCGCTCAGCTCGTCCAGACCCTCGAGGAGAACGACGCCATGAAGTACTCCATCGTCGTTGCCGCCACCGCCTCCGAGGCTGCTGTAAGTTGAGACCTTTTGTCAGCATTCTTTCGACTTTGCTAACGGTTCCCTCTTCAGCCCCTCCAATACATTGCCCCATTCACCGGTTGCACTGTAAGTTTAATACCTCCTTTTCCTGTGCAAAGGTTTGCAGTACTCCCGCATCGGAAGCGGGGCACCTATGGTACTATAAAAATGCACAATAGTTTTCAGAAACAGCAAAGTTCCACTGAGAGGCGACATTCTGTTGGCTCTCTCTGGTCACATCCCTGATCTGGATACATTTCTGCATTTTTATAGATACCTAAGTTGCATGCTTTGGCACAGGGAGAGGCCTCATCTGCATCTGCATCATATACTGACTCACAAACAGATGGGAGAGTACTTCCGTGACAACGGCAAGCACGCCGTCATCATCTACGATGATCTGTCCAAGCAGGCCGTCGCTTACCGTCAAATGTCGCTCCTTCTCCGTCGTCCTCCCGGTCGTGAGGCTTACCCCGGTGACGTTTTCTACCTCCACTCTCGTCTCCTCGAGCGTGCTGCCAAGATGAACGACAAGCTCGGTGGTGGTTCGCTCACTGCCCTGCCCATCATTGAGACCCAGGGTGGTGATGTCTCCGCTTACATTCCCACCAACGTCATTTCCATCACTGACGGTCAAATCTTCTTGGAGGCTGAGCTCTTCTACAAGGGTATCCGTCCCGCCATTAACGTCGGTCTTTCCGTCTCGCGTGTCGGTTCCGCCGCTCAGCTCAAGGCCATGAAGCAAGTCGCCGGTTCGCTCAAGCTCTTCTTGGCCCAGTACCGTGAGGTCGCTGCCTTCGCCCAGTTTGGTTCCGATCTCGATGCCGCCACCAAGCAGACCCTGTCCCGTGGTGAGCGTCTTACTGAGCTCCTCAAGCAGAAGCAGTACAGCCCCATGGCCGTCAACGAGATGGTTCCCCTCATCTACGCTGGTATCAACGGTCACCTCGACAACGTCCCCGTCGCCAAGATCCTCCAGTGGGAGTCTGACTTCCTTAACCACCTCCGCTCCAACGAGAAGGCCATCCTTGACCAGATTGACAAGGAGGGTGCTCTCAGCAAGGAGCTCGAGGCCAAGCTTAAGGATGTCATCAAGAGCTTCACCTCCAGCTTCTCGTAAATTTCTCACTAAAAATCTATAACGGGGAAAATTGCGGGATGGCCGAAGAAGCCGTGTGTATAGTAGAGCGAAAGTAGCGTCTCATTGAGTTTTTCTTCCAAACTTTTCAATGACAAAGTGTATAATCTTCGTTCTTCTAAAACATGTGATTATGGCCACCTCAGATGTTCTTGCCACATCCTAACTCAGCTTGTTGTTTACATATCAGTTCAAACACGGCAGCTGTTTGCAATACGATACGCAAAGAAGGCACGACTCACTCGAACATAGCAAGTGCCCCTGACTGAATTGCATCTCCACCTAGCGGACTTGAGCAATATGGCTGTCGAAATGCACAATGATCTACTGACGTCAAGTTGGTTCAGTAAGAGCAATTAGATCATGGCCTCTCACTGGGACTGCCTCCCTTTGGAATAGTATTGTGCATTCTGATAGTCACAAAGCAAGGATTTATCCTATAGGGAGTCGTGTGCCCTTGAAAGCATCATCGAACAACCATCATTTCTCATACAACATAAACTCATGACTACTTCCAGCAACAAAAGTTGATCTGTAGACGTTCTGTACCTCATCACCTCAGTCTTGATCAGGTATCAGTGAATTGCACTCTTTCGTCTTTCTCTTGTCTTTCTTCGGTCTTTTTTTCGTCTTTTTATTTCTCCGACTCTAGCTATCTGTCTATCATTGATTCGTCTTCCTTTTGCATTTCTTTTTTTTTTCTCTTCTCTTTTGTCCCGCTCTGACCTGGTCAAGATAGAGACACCCCAACTAACACTAAGAAAACAACGATGCCTAAGAGCCAAGTCTCTGTGACCATGGATGCGTATATGCCTAGCCAGAAGATGTAATGCCATATTACGTCTAGAGATCGGAAGCTATTGAGGACTGTACTTGAGTCTGATGAGAAGTTAGTCCTATACCCCGTTTGAATTGACGAGAGATAATGTGTTCGAGGATGTGATGGGGACAGATGAATGATGAGCAGATTTGGAAGCAGCAGAAGTGATCTGATCAACTGAGAAAGTGCTGAATAGGTAAGGCAGCTGGGATAGGGTTGGACATTTCGCTAGTGCATTTGATTGTCGTCAAGAGGTCACTTGTGGCGGCTTAAGGAGAGCATAGAGGAGTGTAAGGGGTACATGTTGGGCATCAAATCTTATCTTACTCATGGCTTGCTGGAAAAATGTGGTGTACGAAACACAGGGTGGGGTTCTGTGCAAGAACAATGATGGGAGTACATAAGTATCAAGACGTTGAATGGTTGTTCTGGCATGGTAGTGTTCACGTGTAATGGTATTGTATTCTTGATGAAGGGATGAGAATTTGGTGTATAGTAATGTGCAATGTGCTTGCGTGTGGTATCATGTATTCTGGAAGTATGACGAAAGGGAATGGGGGAATGGTGGCAGATCCAAAATCGAGGTGAAAAAGAGGGGGAAGGAAATCGCTAATCCAGAAACCCAGTGCATGTGTAGAGAAAGAAAAGCGTTACTTGAGCTCCGTCTTACCCATAAGATCTGCGAGCTCATCAACCGAGTTGTCCTTCTCTTGGGCGACGTTTTCTGATTCGGCTTGGTCGGCCTGCTTGAGAACGCGTTCTTCCTCGGCGTCTTCGTCGTCGTCATGGTCTTCATCTTCATCGTCACTGTCCTCTTCCAGATCATCAAGCTCGTCGACACCCCAGGTCTCGTCGTCTTCGTCGGCGTCCGGAGCGTTCTCCTCTCTGCGCTCGTCGAGCAGAGTCTTGAGAGCCTCAACGTTGGTGTCCTCCTCGGAGAACTTGTTGCCGTTCAGTTCAACACGCTGAAGAGCAGGCAGGTCGCTCGTCTGGGCGACCTTGCACAGAGCCNNCTCAACACCCTTTGCGTCAATTTCGTTGTACTGGAGGCGAAGTGTCTGGAGAGTCTTGTTCTTGCCGGCCTTGAGGGCTTCTGCGAGCATGACAGCACCACGTGCGCTGAGCAGGCAGTCGCCGACACCGAGCTCTTTGATGACGGACCAGTTTGCGATGACATCGGCNAGAGCACGACCACCCATGGCGGTGAAGGTGTTGTCTTGCAAGTCCAGGACCTCGATAGCACTGCACTTGCTCAAACCATTTTGCAGCAGGGCAGAAATGCCTTCTTGACGGATACCGTTCTGGACCATGCGGATGGTCTTGATCTTGTTGTTTGCCGAGTATGCTTTTACCCAGGCGTCCATGGAGCCATTCTCCAGTCTGTTGCGACCGCAAATGACAGTCTCGAGGTCAGGGATTGTCTTTCCATCTTTGCGAGCTTGGTCTTTCTTGTCGGCGAGGATGGTGAGGGCTTCAGCGACGAGGGTTCCGGCAGCAGGACCAAGGCCGTTGTTGTTCAAAATCAGGTGCTGCAGAGGCACGTGCTGGGAGAGGAAGGGCTGCAGAGGAGCGACAGTATTGAGACCAAAGGCATTGTCGGAGAGGTTGACGGTGTGGAGTTCGGGAAGGGCGAGCAGAGAGGTAAGCAAGTGAGTGAGTGCATCAGGAATCTCGGACAAGAGACGCGATGTGAAAATGTCGGCAAAGTTGGCGACNCTGGATGGAGTCAGTCAAATTTGACCGTTGCAAAATAAGATATGACGGCGTACCTTGAGCTTCTTCTTGGTCTCGAGGACTTTGGCCAGGGCTTCACAAGCTCCAACACCCAAAGTGTTTCCGACAAAGATAACCTCCTCAACGTCGTTGTTGGCCTTGAGGTCAGCGATGTGCTTGTCCATGTCGGCAGCCGAGTCGAGTTTCAGGGCCTTGCCCTCGAGCGAAAATACGTTTGCCATGGCGATTGCTTGGGAGGATGAACAGAAGAAATGGGCGGAGAGGGAGCGGTATAGAGGCAGAGAGGGGGTTGCGACAAGAAATTGATGTTTCACATAGGCATTGTTTATTGCGCGGGCCTTCAAGCTTCTAGAAGGCGCTTGGCAATGACTCGGTTCGCCGCTGGAATGCCCGTTCGCTGCTGACATATTGCCCTGCCATTGCCTCATACTTGGGCCGACTGCTTGAATCTTTCGACTTGGTCTGTCGCAAACCAATTCCTGCTCTTTCCCTATCTTGAAACTCGCCAACATGTCTCAGCGTATGTTATTGTATGCTTTGCGACTCGCGCCTGCCAATCTCTGACTCGTTTTCAGCATCGTCCACTGCCGCAACGACCAACAACCTCGCTGCCGACCTCAAGCCCAAAGGCGAAGCCGCTGCAAAGGCANAAGGTACTTAGACGCCACACAACCTTTCCCATTTGAACACGCCGTCTGACCAACTATCACAGCCATGCTGTGTCTGCAAGGATGAAAAGGCCGCTCGCGACGAATGCATGCTTTTCTCTACCGCCGCCGATCCCCAAGCCGACTGCCAGAACATGATTCAAAAATACAGAGCATGCATGCAAGGCTACGGCTTCAGCCTGCCATAAATACTCGCCTTTCGTCTCCATCTTCACTATTCAGCATTGCGACCGGCGTTATAGGAAAATCGGCTACCCTCTAGACTTTTACATCTATGTATAAATACTGTACAATAACACCACTTCTCTCAATTCTTGGCCCCTTACGAGCCTTGTTCGATCGGAAAGCGACAATATCTTCAGCGCGTTCGCGATCGTAGATTTCGCGCATCTTTGTAGCGTTCTTTGCGTATGACCTTTTCGAATGCTGTTTGGCGCGGAGTTTGACTTTCTCGGCTTTTTGGGCGAGCTCGTCCGATGCTAGCAAGAGGCCCTCTGGAGATTCGTTGAGTCGCGTATAAAAATTGAGTGGGAGATTGTCAACTTCGTCACGCTCCCAGGGCATGAAGTCCAACCACATTTCGTCCATACAGGTTGAGATCGTAGAGAAGAAGAGATGTGTAAAGACTCCCTTGAACTTCATGAAATGAAGGCGAGCTCGAGGGACGATAATCGGGTCTGGAATGAGAGTCCAGCAGAGTAGACCAATATGAGCGAGCTTATAGCCTTAGTCGTAAAGCTGACGAACAAAGCGAAGAAGGTGGGGATGGGTCTTGTCTGAGTATTGTTGATGTGTGTCGAATAGCTTTGTTTCGTATTGGTGCCTGAGCCAATGCAAAGTGCAGGTTAGCAACCAGGCTTGGTAGACTTCTAGATCTATGTATAAATACAGTACAACAAAATCACCTCTTCTCAACTCTGTTGGCCACCAACTATAACGTCTTCTGCTTGTCGTCTGATGTCTTCCCAAATTGCAACAACCTGCTTTCTGCTACAAGGTGCCACAGACACCACAGATAGCACAAGCCGAATCCTGCAGCTCCTACACAGACATTGCCTACAACCCAAAGATCGGGCATGTTGGCTGGCGCCTGCACAAACCCCTCGGCAACATGCCAACCCATCATTGCTACGTAGAACAGAAGGTGCACTGCCTTGACGGGTAATGACAACCAGACACCTTGCTCTCCAGAGTAGGCCGCAAGCGATGTTGGCGGGAGACCCATGAGGTATGCCCAAAGAAGAGTCAAGACGAAGTAAGGGATCCTAAGTTCGTCCCTTTTAAGCAGAGGGAACATGGTCCAGCAAGCCAAGGTGTTGGCAAATCCAATCCACGCTCGCAAATCGGGTCTTAGTCCGCCATGTCCAGCCATGAGCATCGTCATTGGTAATAATGGCAGCAAGACGTTCTTTTCGTGCACTTGGTAGCTGCAAAGGAAGAAGCCCCACGCTGTAGTTGCCAGTGCCCATGGCACAAGCTCCTTCTTCGGCTTGAGGAAGATGACCAAGCATGGTGGGAGAATTGACAGGCTAGTAAGCCCGAGTGCTGCCCTCGACAGAAGACTTGAGTCGTATCGATGCAGCTTGTGCAGTCCGGATGCATGCACGGCACACCAGATGTTTGCCACCTTGTCCTCGAAAAGTCCGCGCGAAAAGGGGAAGATACGGTGAATAGATTGTGCAAGCTGGAAAATAAATGGATAGTACCATGCCTTGGTCGAAATCTGGATCGGAAGGTTCTCAAGTAGCGGAGGAGCTTGTGCATCAAATGGCAAGAATACGCCTTTCCAAGAGTCGTAAGCGATGCTCAAGAGGAACGGCAAGAACAGAGCTGCAAAGGAGACGATGGTGATGATAGCTATGCTCATCAGCCTACCGATGTTGATGCGAGGGAAGACACAGATTCCCAGTAAGTAAGCAAACACAGCGGGTGCATAGAANAGAGCCATTTGCTTGAAGCCAAGCGCTGCAACAAAGTACACGCAACTCCAAAGATGACGGCCTGCAAGCATACTTGACATGGACGCAAGCATCAAGCCAAGCATAACAGTATTATATTGAAAGTGTCCGTGGTCAATGAGCATCGTCGCAGGTTGCATGAGTACAGCAGTGAGGGCAACTGAAGATTCCCATGTTGTAATGCCGCAGAGCTTGCTCATGTGACGGATGAAGATGACTGCCGCTGGCACCAGGATGAGATACTCTGAGACGATGACTGTGGCACGCATGAAGATCTTCAAATCAGGGTCATCGAGCCCCCGTGAACTTTTCAGTGCGAACCATGATGGATTGATGAAGTTGCCGNNCTGTTCATATCAGCAAATGGCTAGATAGCATTGTCGAGGGGGTACTTACACTTTACCAAGAGCCCAACTGTGGTAAGCTGTCAATGGAGGATAGTCAAGACCCCACCATTGCAGGTCGTGAAAGTACCAATGTGAGACAGGTAGGTGGTTGGTCAATTCCATCCAGTGACGCTGCGCCTCGAAATCACCATGCATAGGGGGTTTGTCAAGACCNTAGGTAGGTGAGTTTGAGGAAACAAAAGGGTGCGAGATTCAAGACTTACCAGAATAGCCCCAGAAGCCAGTGGCCCACCTGAAAAGTCCTACAGTCATGAGGNNGATGAGCGGCATCACAATCCATTGTGACACTGTCCCNCTTGCGGGCAGTAAGAAAGATACCAGGGGGAAAGCTGGCTTCTGCTGCTTGGTCTCTGCATCTGTAACGATCAAGGCATTACTGCGAGGACCAGAAACCTGGTCTTCCCTTCTCTTCTTGCGAGGGCGATGTGATGTGGGAGCCATGTTTACCTTTATTAGGGAACCATCTCGGTTCTCGACTGTCCACGCTGGCAAGTCCGAGACCCGTCTGGGACAGAACCCTTGGCTTGATGCGGAGGGCGGTCACCGGGAGCCGGGCCGAGGACGTTTGAAGCCGTGCGCGACAAAAAAAGTCGCAAAAAATGGCAGAAAGTCCTAGCGGCCGAAGTTGCCTGTGGTATAACTAGCACGTCGTACTGCCTGTGTTTTTCTCTTTTGCATCCTCCATCACCAGAACTTTCCTCGTTATTTTTCGTGGAATCTTCATCTCAACTCTTTCCATTCGACTTTTTATCACAACAAGTGGGTTCGTCGCTCCTCTCATCAGTGGGTTCAAGTCTTCTCTTCGCGTTGTTGGTTTTGCGTGAAGCAGACTGAGATGTCACAATCTCTTTAACGTGGGTAGTGGGCACATGCGCAATCAGGACGGCTTTTCATCAGACCATCTCGCGCGCAGACTCCTGGCTTTTTGTGGGAACACATCGCCTTGACATGCGTGCGAGAGCAGTGGGCTTGAGGGCTTGTTGGCTTCCATCACTTCGTGTGATCATGGGTTACTGAGGGCTTTGCCGCACACTGCGATCATCACCGGTCGCATACACCATACTTGCACGTCGTATCTGCTGTCGCTGTTGCAATCTGCGACAGCTTGACCGATCGACCATGCACGCCACCACACGCGAACCGCCTTACCTGTCACCTCATCAAGGTTCCGAACCTGACTAACCTCGACCTCCAGAATACCAACACATCACAATGGCAAAGGACAAGAGCACCAAGAAGGCCGCCGCCCCTAAGGTCGAGGCCACCAAGGTCAAGTCTGGCCGCGTCACCAAGGCCGAGGACCCCAAGAAGAGCAAGGACGTCGCAAAGAAGGTCGTCGAGGCCGCAAAGAAGTCCAAGAAGAGCAAGAAGGAGCCCACTCCTGAGCCTTCCAGCGACTCTGACGAGGAGATGGACTCGGACAGCTCCAGCTCTTCCGACTCTGAGTCTGAGGCCGAGGCCAAGCCCGCCTCCAAGAAGGCTAAGAAGGAGGAGTCCTCTGACTCTTCTGACTCGGACAGCTCCGACTCTGAGGACGAGAAGCCTGCCGCTAAGGCCGAGTCATCCGACTCGGACTCTGACAGCAGCGACGACGAGTCTGATGCTAAGCCCGCCGCCAAGAAGGCCGACTCTGACGACTCCAGCTCTGACAGCTCTGACTCCGAGTCTGAGGACGAGAAGCCCGCCGCCGCTAAGGTATGCTCAATTCACATCCCCATACATTCTCATCTCATGTACTAACATCTCGTTGCAGGACACTTCCGACTCCGACTCCGACTCATCCGACTCCGACTCATCCGACTCCGACTCTGAAGAGGAGGTTAAGAAGACCGAGGAGCCCAGCAAGAAGCGCAAGGCCGAGGAGGCCCCCGCTGCTTCCTCCAAGAAGGTTAAGGTCACTGCTGAGGGTCAGTTCGGTGAGCCTAGCAAGGTTCTCTTCGTTGGCGGTCTCTCATGGAACGTTGATGAGGACTGGCTCTCCAAGGAGTTCGAGGAGTTCTCTCCCGTCTCCGTCAGAGTCATCACCCACGCCGACTCTGGCCGCTCCAAGGGTTTCTCATACGTCGAGTTCGCCGACGTTGATGCTGCCACCGAGGCTCTCAACGCCAAGCACGGTACCGACCTCGATGGCCGTACCCTCAAGTGCGACTTCAGCACTCCCAGAGACAACAGCAACCGCAGCTACGACAAGAACCAGGTCGGTGCCCGCGCCAACGCCTTCGGCGACAAGCAGCAAGGTGCTCCTTCCACCACCCTCTTCGTTGGCAACGTTTCATTCAACACCACCACCGACAGCCTTACTGGTTACTTCTCCGAGTTCGGTAGCATCAACAGCATCCGTCTCCCTACCGACCGCGAGACTGGTGCCCCCAAGGGCTTCGGTTACGTCGAGTTCGGCTCCGTCGAGGAGGCCAAGGCCGCTCTCGAGGGTCTTAACGGCGCTGACGTCGATGGCCGCAACATCCGCCTGGACTTCGCTGCTCCCCGTGACAACAACGGCGGCGGCGGTGGCTTCGGTGGTGGCCGTGGCGGCGGTCGCGGAGGACGCGGTGGCTTCAACGACCGTGGTGGTCGTGGTGGTGGCCGTGGCGGCCGTGGCGGCTTTGGCGATCGTGGTGGTCGCGGCGGTCGTGGTGGCGGTCGTGGTGGATCTACCAACCGTGGCGGCTTCGGTGACTTCCAGGGCAACCGCGTCTCTTTCGACTAAGCGTTTCGCTCAACATCTAATCGGTTCATGTCCATTATCACAAAAGTTTGGCGTTCACGGATACCTGGGGTAGCATGATCGTTCGGTCAATTATACGGCAGCGAAAGACATGATTGCTGGAAATGGGTGCTTTGTACAATGACGGCGCTAGGTGAGTCGTAGCTATTCGATACCGTAGTAGTTTCATAGCATGTTATGAGATCAAAAGATATACCTCCAACAAAGGATCGCCGCGTGTCACATGTGCAGAAACTTATGGCGGGTACACGACCCAGGGTCCTGCAGGTGATATACAGCATGCAGGTGGTTGGGCATCGCTCAGCCTTTCGAGGCAGTATCAGGATACATGTCGAATTCCTATGCAGCCAAGAGGGCCAGGCCAATCACGACAGGGTATATCCTGATCCTTTGTCGAGTTGCAGACGTGGTTTTGATAGAGCAGATATATGAAACGAACACCAAGAGGAGCGAAGCTTAAAGGGTGGCCACTTGATCGGACCGTTGCGTGACCCGTGGGAGGTGGGGTATACTCATACACCGACTCGGATCGCATCATCGACGACAACGATCACTTCGTCTCCTGCCAACAAGTTGCACCCCTTAGTTCTTGGGCCTTGACAGACTACAGTCGCGGCCGCATGATTCGTTGGTGCCTGTTTGCTTAGGAACATTAGGCTGCACTACTCTATCCTATCTCTGCCTCCCTCGGGGTCGTCTCCAGGTCCAGCCACCCCTCTCCTCGTACCACTCATCATCCGTCCTCTGGATTCGCAAACCACATAAAACTTTGAACAAAGACACACATAGCCCATACGCGCCAACATCTACCATGTCAAACCACTTGAATGCTGGGAACAGAGGTCATGGACCGTCCACTGACGCAGGCCGGACTCGGTCAGAAGGTAAGAAGCAAGCGTGTGACTCGACTACATCTTCGTACCTACTCACCTCCTGTCTTTACTCTGCTTGTTGTGCTCGTCTATCTTGTTACGCTTCTTCCTCTTCCTTCATGGCTGGCATGGACGAGGATCATGAAGGCAGTGCTGACGCCAGTCGTCCAGATTCATGGATTGAAATCTCATCTCAACCCTCGTCGTCGTCGCTCTCCTCTGCCGCCGACGAGATCGTAACCACAGGCCTTCGTGTTCATCAGATGCCAGCCTCATACCGCCGAAGACGCCAAAGACCTGGTCGACCCTCGCGACTCAACATCGCCAGTCGTGCCGGAAGTGCCGGCGCTGCCAGCAGTCAAGAAGAATACGAAGAGAGCGAGAGCGACGACGATCATGTCATGACTTCGTCTGGTGAAGGGCTCAGACTACCAGCCACGCACGTCAGAGATGCCATGGTCGAGTCTTCGGACGATGACGAGAACAGAACAGCCGTCAACTATCCCATCAACAACGACAACGTCTTTACACCTCAGCCGAATGCTTTCTCTCATCCCTCAAGTCACTCTGCCAGACGCGCCAGTCAGCCCGTCCCAGGCTCATACTTTCCCGCTCAACCCGAACGTCGTCACTCGGCCAGGCACTCGTACCCTTCTCGTGCAGAAGCCAGAGTTCAACACTCGCCCTTCAACATGCTGTCCCCGAACCACAACGCTGCCGCTGATCATGAAGCTGCTCTCCGTGCCAGTCTCTCCACTCTGCAGTCTTTTGCTGCCGCTGCTCGTGGTCTGCCAAAGTCAAACACTCGCACTACAGCTGATGCCGCTCCTCCGGCCTCGAACAGGATTCAGCCAAACACACTGCGCATGGTGCCTGCCTCTGCTCTCGAGAACAACTCACCTCTCTTAGCTCCAGTCACTGAACCGACGTTTAAGCCAACCATTCGCCGTACCTCTACCTCCACCTCCGCTTCTGCCGAATGTCGTTCTACCAAATCGGAGGGCAAACGGAAAGGTACCTCTGGTCGCGGCTCATCCAAGGAACGAAGACTGATCAAGAAACGCCGTAACTCTGGCGCTATCTACACTGCCGACGACATGACTGTCAGCCCGACGCTCTTCACATGGGTCGTCAGCGTGGGCGTGGTAGTTGTGTTCAGCGCCATCAGCTTCTCCGCTGGTTACTCCATGGGCAAAGAAGCTGGCAGGTTTGAAGCTGGTATGACTGGTACTAGCGACGGAGCTACAGCATGCGCACGAGAAGCCGGCAAGAGCGGTCTGGGATTTAGAAAGTCCAAGTTGTTCAGCATTGCCTCGAGCGTTGGTGTTGGTGCCTAAGTGGAGTTGATGCACGGTTCTTGTGGACAATACAGAGATGAGGACAAAGATGATGGTCTGGTCATGATGAGATGTTGTTTTAACGTGAATTTACAGAGACGACTGATTTCTAACGCGCATGAAAGGGATCTTGGGGACAAGGGAGTACAGTACATGATTCAGAGGGTTGGGTTCGAAGGCGTTCGCTGTGGACTCTTGGTTCTGGAGGGCATAATACCACTTTGTCGATTGCGAATGGGCTGAAGAGGATTGATATACCTGGTCAGCATGAGTTGATATGCAGAACTATGAAATTGAGAACTACACTCGAGTATGCAGTCCTTCTATCATGTTGACCATTGGTCAGACATTGCAAGTTTTGAGTTCTATCAATTATGGCTGCAACTTCACGGCTTTCACACCAATTGTTCCAACAGCAACACACTAGTGCAGTACAAGTAAACAAGTGATACCTATATAACTAGACAGTCTGCATGAAGCATATACAGATGGGTGAATACGTATAACTGACCATTATGAGCAACCATGCACGCTCCTATTTCGAGACAGGGTCATACCCTCAGCGAGTGAGGCGCCTCATCACGTATCCGATACAGCGATGTAACAGAGATCTCATTGCACGGAGACAATTGACAGTATCGACAGACCACTAATACGCTATGTACTGCCGAAACAGGTACTTCTGCTTGTGCGAACTATGACTCGAAAACGACAACAGCGTATTCAGTTTCCACCAACCTAGTCTTCCACAGCAAAGAAACCAACACGAAAGACANNGAAGTTGCCGTTGGCTGGATCCGAAAGAGCAGCTTGAGTATCACTCCAAGGCTCATCCTGAAGATTCTGCTTGACGGTCATTGAGTCCCCGAATGCTGATGTTGTGTACTGCAGCAGGAGTTTACTCAGGTCAATACCAAGAAATTGACATCTGAACTGCATTCGGATCTGCTCGTACAACAACGGCTCCTCGACCATCTGCCTTGGATCCTTTCTTAGCTTCTGCAACTCCGAAGGGGGGTCTACGCCTCTGGCTTGAGCTCGATTCAAGGCGCGCCTGAGTCCTGACTTTATGCTCTCGGGCTCTAGATCATGATCCCAGATGACGGCAAAAGACCTTGGAACTGGAGTGATGTTGGCAGTCGGCTTCTCTGAGCTGGCAGCGTCGTTCGGCAGAACAGAATCGACCACAGGAGCATGACATGGTGTTATTTCGATGTGGTGTATAGTGGAGTAGTTAAGTTGAGCAGTGGATTGCTTGGGACTAGGGGGCCGNAGGCCATGGGCGACGGTCATCTGGCTTGCTGGCTTTAAGATAGTGGTAGGTATAGATGGAACAGTCGAACGCATCCATAGTGGCTTGTGTTCATCGTTGACAGGTTGGCCAGATTTGAAATTGTCGTTCTTGTATCTAGTGTCAAAGACGTTTGATTTCATAATGTTTCGCACGTGCCGAAGGAGCAAAAANCATCTGTTGTATGATTCGAGAAAGTCCTCGCCTTGCAAGGGTGACAGGATTGGAGCTCTGACTGGATAGCTGATTTGAGGGCATTGATGGGTGGAGTATGTCATGTTGAATTTCTGGCAGTCATGTTGGTGCTGCAGCTGATTTTGCTTATCTGGGGCAGCGGTCATGGTGGCCAGATCAGATTTCAGATTGATTAGCACAATTGCAAGGTGTTCCGCCTTTCTGGCGTTTGAGAGACCTTTGCCATCAGAAGTGAGTAGGGACCAGTCATTGCCAGGTGTTGCTGTCTCTCCCGAGCGCTCAGCATCGCGCAAAAGGGTAAGCGCCAGTTCTTTGTTCAGCTTGTGGTTGATAGGATAGATAGCCACCGTGGCGCGCAGCAGCGGCCATGAAATTGCGCAAATGTGGAGTTCAGCTATTGAGATGAAGCCAAGATAGCCAGCAAGTTTTCTTTCGGCCTGAGCATCAAAGAATGTCTCGGGACGTTTGGGGTTTCCAGGGCTGTTATGCAGAGGAGGGTTGAGGGACTCATCGTGAATAACAGCATCCGCATCATCCTCGTCTAGTCTGGCACGTTTGGACGGCGGCGGCTGGTTAGGATCAGATTGTGGTGGACCAGCGGTTGACTCAGCCGTGAAACTAGCATAGGTCAGATTGACCTGGGTTGGTGGTCGCGGAAGAATTTGTGTCGGTAGCATCTCTGTTATGCTTGGGCACTGGAGAGCAGCAGGTGGTGGTAGAGGCGGACCGAGATATGGCTCAACCGTGTTGACGCGGTCGATAGGATGAGCCATAAGAGCGAAGACGGAACTACCTATGTTGAAACAAGATCAAGTAGTGACATGTGAATAATGGCAGGCACGATCATGAACCCGGCCCCTGACCGGTTGCGAACGGAAACGTGTTGTCACAATGCACGATCGCTCTAAAAATTCAGAGAAGATCCAGCAGGAGATAATGAAGGCAGGGCTGCGAGTTCTCCAAGCATTAATTGTGCATTTTGATATTACCAAGAAAGACGTTAAGGAACAGCCGAAGTGAGGTGGTACACTCTTTCTGCACAAGCATAAGAGTCAGACCTTTTGGAGGCAATACTACCGTCTTTGCGGTCTTGGAGGCAAGATCTCAGTATGTTGGTATGGGAACAAGAGACCGGGTTCGCGGAGTCGGTGGATACAGATAGCTGTCAAATGGAGGCACAAGGCAGGCAGCCGCTGTCCGTACTTGGCAGACTTTAACTCGAAAAGGCAACTGCCCGTCGATCGTTCGCGTCCGTTCGGTTGTACCGCAACTGGTTCGCGACTCGCGACTGCTTCATCTCTGTTTACACAGTCGCAACCAATTGACTCGATACCATTCAGAAGAATCTGTCCCGAACCATCCAGTCGCTGGCGTCATTGCCCATCGCCTGCTAGCCTAGACTTTTGCACTGCCTGCAACAGACAAGCCTCGCCCGAATCTGGGGCGTACCGAGACATTCGAACCATACCAAGACCGTCGCGAAAAAGCATACTATTGTGATCCCACCTGGATCAATATCAAGAGTCGGGAGAATTAGACAGAAGGGAGGCGCGTCGTTCGCTTCTTCACTACTCTTAAGTCTGAGCCCCGGCCCTGGCTGCCACTGAGCTACGGCTGGGGTTGTTGAATACTTCGATACTTCCCTCCTTGTCCTTTACACCTCACTTCATCCGACACCATGGTTGCTACAAGGGGAACCCCCATCCGGACCTTACGCCGACACAGCGTCAATCTGCTCAACAGGAGACGCAATCTACTCAGCAAGCTACCCAACAAGCTACTCAGCAAGCCACTCAACAAGACGAACCAGAACTCGACGAGGTCGAGGTCGCTGATGTCGTCTGCATTCTCCACCCATGCTCGCTTGCTGCCTATCAAGTTGTCGTCAATACTGCACTAAGGGCTCCTCAACACGTACTGCAGAATGTGACCCCTAGCACCTACAGTGACGGCCTAAGCATGGCAGATCTTGAANAAGAAGAGACATTTCCAGCTCCTGGAGAAGACCAGAGACATCCTCTAGATCTCGCTCTGCGTATGTCTGCCAAAGTGCACAACCCCGCCATGGGCTTCGTCTTTGGTCGCAACCCCAATGCTTGCGACGTTGTCATTGATACCGATACTGTCAAAAGAGTCAGTAACATGCATTTTAGGATTTACATGACTGACGCTGGCGTCTGTATGCTACACGACATGTCCACCAACGGCACCATAGTTGATGGCAAGCTTTTGAGAGGCAGGGGCAGTAACAACGCCGCTACCATGATGCTTACCGCAGGCTCTGTCATCCAGATCCTGTCGACGAAAAGAGACGAGAGCCTGAAGTTCATTTTTCGCATTCCTTCACGAGACAACCACTACGAAGAGTATGGCAGAAGATTTGCCGCCTACTTGCATCATGTTAATCTTGCAAAAGAAAAACAACCACAAAACGGCCAGACTCAGGTTGCGCGACCTGGCACCAAAGGCCAGTCAAAGGCCACGCCCAGTGTGAAGCCTATTCTGCTGCAAGGAAACCCCTTCGGCATGCATTGGAGCGGTGGTGACAAGTACAACGTTACTGGCCATCTTGGAAAGGGCGCTTTCGCCACCGTGTATCGGCTTAACAGCAAAAGCAATGGCCAGATGTTCGCAGCAAAAGAGCTGGAGAAGAGGAGGTTTATGAAGAATGGTGTTATTGACAAANAGCTCGACAACGAGTTGCGGATCATGAAGGGCATCAGTCATCCGCACGTTGTGCAATACATTGACTGCCACGATGTCAAGAACCATCTGTACATCATCATGGAGTTGGTGCCTTTTGGTGATTTGCAGCAATGGCTTGGGACGAACGGTCCCTTACCTGAGGCTCTTGCCAAACCAATGGCTATCCAAGTCTTCGATGCGCTGGCGTACTTACATCGTAACATGATCACTCATCGCGACATAAAGCCAGACAATATCCTCATTGCCGACACCAACCCTCAATCTTTCAAAGTCAAGCTTTCTGACTTTGGACTCTCCAAGGTCATCTCCGACAACGAGACCTTCCTCAAAACCTTCTGTGGCACGTTGCTCTACTGTGCGCCAGAAGTCTTCCCTCATTATGATGCCCACTTCAATGTTCAAGGACGCAAGCGCGACCGCAAAGGCGCTTCGCAACAACGAGGAAAATACCACTCCTACAGTTCGTCTGTCGACATATGGTCATTTGGAGGAGTACTGTGGTATGCCATGAGTACGAAGCCACCGTTTGAAGGCATTGCAGACAACACTGGCAGAGCCATGTTCGAACGAATTGTCAGCACCAGTCTCGACACGACCGTTCTTGAAAAGCACCACGTCTCCGATTACGCTATAGATTTGTTAGAAGACATGCTTAACACTGATCCTGCTGTTAGACCGTCCGCATTGCAATGTCTCTCATACCCTTGGCTAGGTGGAGACGCGAGTCAGATCGAGGACGAGCCCCAATCAGGCCTCCTGACGATTGAAGAAGAGGAGACAGAGGCAGGTGCAGCTCACGATCTGTCCCAATTGAGCATCCACGGAAGGTGGAGCACGACGAAAGGGGCTGGCGTAGATTCTGGCGACTCGGATATGTTAGATCCTCGACAGTCAAAACGGTTCAAGAGTGGACAAATCGTCTCTCAAGCGAATGCGCCCTCACCACAACCAAGTCAAATCGCGCGCCCGTCGAACACTGCCGAGAAACCTGGCATCGAGCAGCTTGCGGTGAACCAGCAACCTCCACGTCTCTTCGGCGAGGTCGAACCTTCGTTAGTAAGAAGTTCAGGTGTGTTCGGCACTCAGCTTCAGAAACCCATTTTCGCACCACTACCAGGACAGTCTGATTCAAGTCTGCCAAAGGCTCAAAATGTGCAAAATGAGTTGTTCACATCTGCTGCCAGTCACCAACCAGAAGATCAACTCGAGGGTGTCAGGAGGAGAGCATCATCTGAGAGCGATTCACATGCCTCTCACAACTTCGCGAGTCTCGTGGGGGCTGAGTCAGATTTGCGAGACCTTAATATGCACTCCTCGCAATCTGCGTTCTCGGCCACTGCTGATGAGAGCGAACCTACCACTCCCACCACGCCAAATGATCCACCTCAAGCGTCTGCAGGCCAGACTGGTGGGAGTATGGAAGAAACGCCTCGTCCAGCTCAACCGACTGAGAGAAAACTATCTTTCAATCGACAGATCAGCCTCCCCCTCTCTGCATCATCCTTCTATGACCCTTCAGATCCTAGCACGCATTCTCTCGAGTATGCCTCCTCTGTCAGCGGCCATGATTTTACCAATCCCACTCTTCTCCCTGGAGCGAGTTTCCATTCACTCCCACCAACGACTGCCAATTCCGGGGTTGGTTTTGAATTCGATCGGCCACTGCATACAGTTGCACAGACACAGCCTGAATTCATTCGTCCTGCACCCCGTTTGGGTCGTCTGACAACAACCTCCGACTCATTCTGCGCCGTGACGATCGATCTCGCCTCTCGCATCACGACATGGGGTCGGAGCCCTCTGAACACTGTCATCTTTCCAGATCCGTTAGACACCCGTGTACCCAAGCGCGGCATCATGATCTATTTCCATGCCAAAGGCATCGAAAAGCTGGAGAGAACCGGTGGTGACTGGACGAAACTGCCCGACCTGCATTGCTTGATCGCCACGGACAGTAGCAATGGAGTTTTCGTCAACAACGTCAAGCTCAACGCCAAGGACGCAAAGGGCAAGCAGCTCTACGGCAGAGTACATACTGGTGATGAAGTGACGGTCTGTCAAGGACACACCAAAGCAAACTTGTTGAAGTTTACTTGCATCTTCAACCATGGCGAGGCAAAGGAACGACGACCATCCGATGCACCAGGATTTGAGATTGAGAAGATGGGACACGAATAATGCGAAGCAGAAACAACAACAAATTATGTATATCTTATGACGGACAAGCAATGGTATTTGGGGCATTTATGATTTTAAGGACATCAAAAGGATTGGCAGTTTGCATTTCATTTCAGAACATCATTTTTTAGATCAACAATGTAGATGATGCATTACATATTTATCGAATGTACTTGAGCAATCTAGAGACCTGTCGACATGTAAGACGCTGCGGAGAGAGCGACTCGCACTCGATTGCAAACGTGTGAGGTAGAATTAGGAAGTTGTGATGGACTGTGCCTTCTATTCGTGTATGTAAAAATTGATGGAGAAAAACGCCGCTACCCATGCTGAACAAGATAAACGATGCAATTGTACCAGATCCACAAGAACTCTACTTCTCAATCTGCGCCAGTGGAGTAGGATTAGGCGTCCTTAGCCACTCGCCGTTGAAGGCATTGATGAGCCAGTTGCTCAGCNNTCTGCAATACTTGTTAGCAAATGACTTGAGCGTGTCAGGGAGAGAATCCAACTTACTCTCATATACAACTCTGTTAGCATTGTGGAAGTAGATACTGTGATCTGAGTCCGGGAAGAAGTGCACATCATAGTTCTGCACGTTTGCAAGATCCAGTTTATCTAGCAGACTCAACGTGTTTTGGAAGTGCACATTGTCATCAGCAACACCGTGCATGACCAAGAATCTGACGTTCTTGGAAAGAGCATCGACATTTGAAATGGTCGAGTTCTCATAGCCAACAGGGTTGTGCTGGGGGGTGTGCATGTAACGTTCAGTGTAGATACTGTCGTAGTATCTCCAGTCCGTCACGGGAGCGACAGCCATGCCGTATTTGAAGGTGCGGCCAGCGTCTTGCTCAAGGGTCTTCAAAGTCATGAAACCGCCATAACTCCAGCCCCATATGGCTATGCGCTCGGCATCGACGTACTTCTTCGCAGCCCACATCTTAGCGGCGGCGATCTGGTCGTGAGCTTCGTAGTGTCCCAGGTTGCCGCGGACAATGCAGCGGGTGGCGCGACCGAGGTGTCCAGTGCCGCGGCCATCGAGAGTGACTACGATGTAGCCGAGAGATGATGCGACGTAAGACTGGAAGTCGAGGTGGAAGGTACGATCGACCTGCTGAGAGGCAGGGCCGTTGTAGAGGAAGAATAGAACAGGGTACTTCTTCTTCTCGTCAAAGTGAGGTGGGCGACGCTCAACGAGGTTTAGGTCGAAGCCGTCTACGTTGATGATTTGGTAAATCTCGATGGGAAGTTCTGTTTTGCTGACAAGCTCTCTGAGAGGCTTGTTCTCCTCAATGGTCATCTCTAGCTTATCACTGTTGCTAGGAGTATTCAAGACCTTNTGCCAAGGGATACCAGGGCCCTTGTTCGTCAGTAGCAGGTAGCCTCCACCCNNCTTTGAGAAAGATCCAGAGTAATATCCAATCTCACTGTCGTCAGTGATAGATCTAAGGTCCGATGCATCAAGCTTGACGCTGTAAATGTGTCGCTCGATGGACGACTTCTTGGTGGCTACAAAGTATACGAGATTGTTTTTCAAGTCCAATGCCGACGGGGCATCGACGACTTCCCACTTACCCTTGGTGAGCATGATCGGCTCCGGGTTGTCCAGTGGTGTGAAGTAAGCAAGATGGTCGTATCCATCATGGATGACGGTGTCGATGTATCCCTCATGTTCTCTACCTTTTGCAGGATCGGACGGAACGTACGTGGTTGTTTGAGACACTTCAAACCAACCTCCATCAAGGGCATTTACATCCACCTCTCTGATGGTCTTGCCTTCTCTTCGCTCGGCATCAATCAGAACGACCTTGAGCACATCACTTTCACGATTGGTTTCGCGAACGATAACCTTGCCGCTCCGACCAGCCCATGTGACTTCAGTAATCAGACGATCTTTGTCTTTAAAATCTCCTTGGATGGGAACAGTAAAGACCTGACCTTCAGCCATGTCGTACAGCTGTAGGGTAACGATAGACATTGGAGCGCCAGCCTTAGGATACTTGATCTTGCGGACCTCTGGGTAGTTTTCCTCTCCTGGCTTAGGTTGCTTGCCGCTCGGTCTTGAGAAAAAGTACTGGACAGGATATTCAGGTACAGCGGCCTCGTCGGTGCGGAGGAAGGCGAGATATTTGCCATCGCCAGACCACCATGTAGCCTTGTTACTGGAGAATACTTCCTCTTCATAGACCCAATCCGGAACACCGTAGAAGAGCTGAGCACCACCATCAGTTGTGATAGATTTTACTTTGTTGTCAGATAGATTTCGAATGTACATGTTGTTGTCCCTGGTGAAGACGACGGCATCGCTGTTAGGAGACCATGAGGCATATTGAATTCGCTTGTTGGGCTCAGCGGGGTCAAGAGGCTCAGCTGTCTGGCTATCGACGTGGAAGATCCAGTATCTGCCGGTGTTCGAATGTCTCCAATTCTTCTGGATGTGCGACTGAATGAGAACGTGTTTGTGGTCGGCGCTGGGCCAGACATTACTCGGACTGATGGCTTCATCGTTGTAGTAGAAGCCACCATTCTTCATCAACGTCTTACTGTGTTGTTTGGATGCTTGTGCGTCTTGCATATATCTGACTTCCTCGACGACCAGATAATCTCTGCCTACTTCTCCTCCCCACTGTAGCAACAAGCCGTCCTCTCCTCTCGCGCCTTCAATCCATGATATACTGTGACTCTTGGGGTAAAACTTCCCTTGCAGGACTTGCTCGAGGGTTATCTTCTGACCGTGGCCAGCCGTCTTGGTGGCATGGGGATCGTGAGGGCGACTGGCGAGCGATTTGTGCGAGCCAGAGCTGAGGAAGAGGGCCAATGCGGCAAGCCAACCTACAGCGGCTATTGAAGCGACAATGTACAGGATACGACGAGCCTTGAAATCGAAGCCACGGCTCTTGTGCTTCCATGCGGCTCTGTCATCGAAGTCGAACTCCTCGGAGCGCGGCTGCGAGTACAGGGCTTCTTTGGCCTCGATAGAATTCGGATGTCCTGATAGATGTTCTAATACAAGCGAAGTGGTGGATATGGACGATGCGGATGGTCGTGGTTGATCAATGTCGTCTGTCTGGTTGGCATCGTGCCTAGTTAAAGGCAGCGCTTCTTCGTCGTCTCGGAACGTCATAGTAGCCTGCTTTTCCTCACATGAAATGTCCTCGAGATATGCAGGCTTCTGAGTACTGAACACAAAAGACCGACGTATTGACACTAGGTAGGTTGAGCACAAGGGAAGTGACTCGTTGCACCAAGACTCCTGTCCCGTACAAACGGCAGCCACTATGGTCCATTGTCGCGTCCAGCCTTGGCATTTTTCCCATTCATCCCCATTTGCGGCCCTCTTCAGTTACCGTGTTCGTGTCTGCGAAGACTACATCCAGGAAGAAAAAAAACCATCAGAGCATAAACAAGGCACTTGTTAGCTTGATAATAACATCGCAAGGCCATATGAAGGTGCAGGGTTCTTGTTGTTGGGAATGTGGCATGATGTCTTGGCTTTCGATTTACCTCGGTATAGCAATCACTACCAGCATAACTGGAAGGCATGGTATCTTGTTCTGAAGGTCACTTGCTCAATCGTCTGTCGTCTACGCCTTATCGCCATCTGACTATCGTTGCTTCTGGCAGTTCTGCCAAATTTATGTTTGAATAGTGTCTGCCATGCTTGGCCATCTGGCAACAATTTATTAAACTGGAATTGCTTCCGTGTGAAGCCGCTTCTCGCATCTTCTGTTGTCACTCGATCACCTTTGTTTCACTGCATCTGGTCCGAACGAACAGTTGGAAAAATCTATCACTTTTACAACGTCTGACCATCTCGTAACATCGCCGAGGCCTCCTTACTATCCACCGTGCGACAGAAACTTCACTCGAAACAACATCACACGCCTCGGCGCATCGTAACGACATCATGTCTCTTAATCTCGAAAAGCAGCTTCTCTTCGTACGTTCCGTTATGCAACTGACTCTGCCCTTGCCAGTCGATCTTGCTAACTTCTTTCGCCAGTATGGTTCTTACCACCACAACCCCGTAAGCTTTCAACCATCCATTGGAGAAATTATAAAGCATTGACCTAACTAAAACTAAGATCNNAATGTTGGCATTCATATCACCTGCGTTCCTCTGATTCTGTTGACTGCTTTCCTCTTCGTCAGTAGTGTTGACCTGAAAACCTTCAGACTTCCTGCTGACGATCTCACAGNNTGCACCAACACTCCTGCGCTTCCCCTTCCGGATGCCATCACCATCCCCAACCTACCAGCCAACCTGGGCACTATTGTGGCTTCGCTTTACTCTCTCCTCTACGTTCTAATGGAGCCTGTCGCTGGAGGAATGTTGGCACCTCTACTTCTCTCTGCCACTGCCTACGCCAACCATCTCACCTCAACCTATGGCATGACGGCTAACTGCTATGCTCTTGGTCTGCACATCTTCGCTTGGCTTGCCCAATTCGTCGGCCACGGCATCTTCGAAGGCCGTGCTCCTGCTTTGCTCGACAATCTCGTCCAGGCTCTCTTCCTAGCCCCTTTCTTTGTCTGGCTTGAAGTTCTCTTCTTCCTTGGATACCGTCCAGAGCTCAAGGCCAGACTCGACCAATCCGTCGCCAAGGAGGTTGCAAGGTTCAAGGCGTCGAAACCCTCCAATGGCAAGGCCAAGGCTAACGGCACTACAAATGGTGCAGCTCGGTGATGCAGATCTATGGTCGGTAAAGATCTTGGACTACAACATGTGCTTGCCTGGTGCTCGGCTGGTGGGTCAAATTTATCCCTCTTGGATTATGCTGGTAATATTCTCAGAGGGCCAGACTTCACCAGTTTTTGCGCACTGTCCAAACTTGGAAGCCGTGTGCTTGAAAAGCTTTGGATCAAGCGATTGGTAGTGCAAAGGAACGAATGTTTCCTTCCAAATATCCGAAGTAAATCATGGAGTGCTGGTGCTTTCCAGAAGAAAGTACTTTGCAGTGGAGAAATCTAAGTCTCCAAGAATAAAACATGAGCGCGCGATGCCGCCTATATCTACTCAACTTCGTTCTCGTATTCTGTCCTCGTACATCATCGGAAAGTTGCATGTTTGTCAAGTTCAAGTGAAGATAGATCTCGTTTCATTGTGGTATAATGATTCCAGGTTACGTTCAGGTTTAATACTGAAACATCTTGGAATGTGGATAATAACGCCGCCGGAGCAAGATGCTATACCTTGCCTTCGTCAATTGATGGACAACGTTGGTGAAACTCAGGCAAGCGGTTCCTTTTGCAAGTTGGTTAGTACATACCTAACATCCTGTCGAGTTCAAATGGGTTCTTACCAGCTGGACACGACTCGCAACTGCTTCTTTGAATGCTTGATTGATGATACTGCGTGTCTTTCCATCACGGACCACTACAGTGACTGGCATTTGCTCGCCTGGGTTACCAGGCATCTCCCCAGCGAAGTTGCGTGGGTCTAGAGGCAATTTTGCATTGGGACTGTGCGCGATCTTGAATCCCCACAGTAAGCGCATGATGGCCACAGCAAGGGAGCGTTCAGCCACATGGTACCCAGGACAGACCCGGCGCCCCGAGCCAAAAGCAAAGTGATCTCTGTTACGCACATCACTCGCATTGATGCTTTGCATCGTGTTTGTTTGGTCATCAGAGTATCTCTCGGGCCAGAAACGATCAGGGTCCTCATGGCGATCGGGATCGTGCTGTATTGCCCAAGCATTTAGATGCAGTCGAGAGCCTTTAGANATTCGATAGCCGCCATACTCGAGATCGCGAGTCGTGGTATGCGGGTGACCAAGGCTCACAGGAGGACGCCATCTCCATACTTCCTTCATCAAACAACGTACATAAGGTATCTGTTCAAGGTCTTCAAAGACAGGTAAACGATCGCCAACAACGTTGATAATCTCTTGATGTCCCCTTTCCTGGACTTCGGGGTAAGTCATCATGGCCTCCAAGAACGACCAGGTCGACATCTTACTGGTGTCTGCGGCACCAATGATGAGCTGTAGCGAAAGGTAGGCTGCTTCCTCTACACTGTTGAAGCCAAGGTTCTTCTCGTCCTCCAACACACGAGGCAGGAAGGCATCTTGCATCACATTACGAGACCTTCCCTTCCTGATCCGCATGAGACGTTCGACACACCAGTTCATGTCATACTTGAATCTTTGCCGAGCACTACGCTCCCATGGTTTAAGCAACATCGGGAGGTTGTCTAGCCATGGCAAGATATCAACGATGTGAGTGCCGGGTAGTGTGCCCTGGATTTGTGCCAACCCGGTTTCGTAGATATAGTCGATCGCGGGATCGTTCGTGTCTGGTATATCCATGCCGAACGTCTGTGAAGCGAATGTGCTATAAGTATACCGCCCAATCGCACCAAACAATTCTGTGCTCTCACAGCCTATAGTTGGGTTGTTGGCAAGCTCGTGCATAAACTTTGCCGTCTCGTAGTAAAGAAATGGTAAACCAGCATCTGCTCTTGGTATACTAGTCAGACCGGAGTGGATCACTTTGCGTTGATGCTTCCAGCGTGGGTCGCTAGCATTGAGTAGCAAGACATTGAGTTGGTTGCAAATCTGCTCGTTGGATACAATTCAGCGAGGTCGCTCGGCCGTTTGAGCAGACGACTTGTCAAATATCTCCTTGACTGCAACATCAGAGTTGATGAAATACTCCGTGAAGGGACCAACGCGAACACGGAATATCTCTCCATATTCTTGGGCCCACCGTTGGAAGAGCAGGTGCTGTTGTCCGATTTTGGATGCAGCAATGACTTCGGCCATGTTGCCGATCAGGAACGAGCCAGATGGTTGTGGCGGGAGCGGTAGCATATCCACTTTGAGCTTGTACTCTTGAAGCCTTCTAATGAGAGCCAGACATCCAATGATGCCTAAAAGGATGATACAGCCTTGAATAGTGATGGGCGGAGAAGTGATGATTGACATTTTCGAGGGAAGTATGATACTGATCTCCATAACGTTGTCTCTGCGGCACTGACCTAGACTTTTATATATGTTCTTCTGCCGCATTGTTTGGCCTGACCTTGCCCTACTGATGAGATAGGCTTCGGATTGGGAAAATGCCGTTCCGGTCGATATTTAAGGTTGTTCTCCACTCACAACCACCTTGTGGGGAACTGTGGGGATGGTCCAGCTAGAAAGACACGGCGTTCGTGACGACTGATGTTGTTCTCACGGTCCTGAACGATCCGAGACTCCGGCTATCACGTCGATAGCTTCGAATGGAGTGACCAGCCTCACAATTTGGCAGTCGCACTCTTTTCCAGCAANAGGTTTTCCATTCTATGCTGCCATTCCCTGATCATGTCTTCGTCGATGGTATTGCCATCATAGGAGACGTTGGCAGCAATTCCGTCGTCGTCGCCCCATACTCCCACGAGAAATTCACCGTCGCGCGCTCGAACGTTCTGTTTACTGAAGCGATAGTCTGCCACAAAAGCATCCTCACCTTCTCGAAGGTCGCCATTGACATCGAATTCTCCTTGACGCCATCCAGATCGACCAACCGAGCTTACACCACATGTAGCCATACTTCCATTCTGTGCTGCGGCCAGGTCGCCCTGAGGGCTGTGATGTCCCAGGCTGTGTCGAAGTTCTTCTGGAAGCTTTGACCGCAATCTTTCCATTGCGCCGATATAGTTCATAGCGATGACCCTGCCTGCACCTCTACTTCCCATGTAGGCGAGTGAGTTGGACTCTTCTGCTTTCTCACGCTTTTGATACAACGCAAGCTGGCGATGTGCCTGCCTGACCAAAAGCTTGAAGCGAGTTTCCACATCGAGTGACGATGATAAGAATGGAAGTACCACACCATCCGAGAATGCTAACATCATGGAGTTAGGTGCTTCGTGATGCTTGAAGAAGGGCCGTGGATTGATTGGGAAGCTGCCAATGAACGGACGGCAAAATCCTGACGCTTCGTCTGGGTGAAGGTCCTCATGCAGAGACATCATGACCATGGCGACTAGCACAAAAGCACCTGCACCAATGCTCGTACCTGCTTCTCGACACCAACGATGAAGCCTCTTAGTTGCGGACCGCGGAACTTTGGCCATACACGTGAACGTGTTCAATGGGGGTTTGGCGTTGTAGTCCAGATATGAATTGTAAGTTGGAGGCATTGCGGTGGCTTCCTTGAGAGGAATATCACGACGCAGCGGGTTAGGAAATGCTGCCGGCATTGGTTTCTTCACATGTCGGAGTACCAGTGTCAAAAGCCAAAACCAGCGCCTCTTCGCTGCGAAGCCGGAAATGCGAGGATACAGATCCTCTTGAGGTAGCGGAAGTCGAGTTCGGATCGATGCTCGACGTGAGAGGCCATTGGCGGCATCTTCGAGAGTCTTTAGAGGTGTGTTGAGAAGTCTGACGAAATGGCTTAACCATGTAAAATTAGTCAGCCCATCAGTGATCTGATGGCCTTCGACAAACAGAAACTTCAAGCTGGTCTCCGATCCTACGATGTCACCTGTTGGGAAGACGAACAGCTTAGCAAGAAACTCATCAGCATGTACGACGCGGCCTGTGTTTTGTGCATGGCGATAGAATTTTGCAAGACCATGTTCGTCCAAGGGCTGTTCAACGAAGGACAACGATGTGGCGGCATTTGTGATTGCCTCTTGAGAATCTTGGGGAGAGTCGATCAAGAAGAAGCGTCTTTGAGCGGCATTACCAGTAGTCATGAATGGCTTGCGATCCACAGCCTTTGCTAGCAGAAGGACATGAGATAAGCGGAGGACTGTCCATGCTAGAGTGATTCTCTGGCGAAGCTGCACATGTGACAGACAATGCTTGACGGCAAGTTCGATATAGGCATTCACGTCCGCACGGCCTTCATAGTAGATGCCATCTGAGTCGAAAGCCGTCTCTACTATACCCAAGGGCCGGTAGAAGCAATGTCTGTCATCAATCTGTACCCCATGCCATTCGTGGTAGTCCGAGGCGTATTGATCGAGCCAGTGAGCCTGGTTCATGAGGCGTGACGATCTGATTGCAAAATATTTGTATATTCGAAGATGGTCTGTCGACTGGTTGCGGCGATAATGTTCAATTACAACTGCTCAAGCATTTGAGAGAAAAATACACCACTTTCCCCTCGACATGATGAGGTAATCGAGACTTTAGCCGTCGTGACAAAGTCTAAGATACTGCAGAGTAAAGTACTGAAAACAGTCCAACACAGGCGAGAGGTACACTGGCTCCCCTCAACAAGACAGTCTGGCTATCGCAAGTAAGTAGGCGAGGAGCACATCTCGGATCAATTCATTCTGTTTGATGAAAGGTTTGCGACAACAAGGCGCATGTGCACGTGATCAGAAAGAGGAGCAGTGGTTCCTTCCAGAAGCGGAAGTCCGGCGTCATCCTTGTCGCCCTTCACTGTCTGCTTGCTTCATCAACACAACTACCTACCAACGTGAAATTCCTAACCACATCGCGACCTCGATCGTGAATAATTCGAAGTCATCGTGTTTCTAACCTACAGTGAGCCAAGATGAGTGAAGAGGCAGAGCTTCGCGCCAAAATCGCGGCGCTTTCAGGTAAGATCAAATGCATCGCATCATAACATGACCCTAACCTCGCTGCAGGACGCATCGACCAACAACGACAATCCGGCAGCGCCCCTCCTACGCCGACTTATGCTTCCCCAGCAGGACGCGGCTCAGGCTACTATCCAAGAGGTCGTGGAGCTGGCTGGGCAGGCCAATACGTGCCTGATCGATATGCGCCATACCACCAACCTCGCGGCTTCTCGCACAAACCCGCATATGCTCCTTCGTACCGCAACCGCTCCCTCATTGTTAACAGCTCCGTTGGATCGCCTGCTGGACAACCAGCTTCTCCTGCAACGCCTGCGCCTACCTCTGCCGACAAGTTTGTCTCGAAGCGCGACCGCCACATGCAGCTGATCAATACTTCCGTCTATGACCAGAAAACACAACAGCGCCAGCTGGAAATCGAAGCCACGCTACGAGAGAAACACCGCCTTCACGATGCGAAAGAGAAGGCCAGAGTCATCGGGGCTTTCCAGCCACACCAGGCTGCCTCAACTACTTACGGCGTTTCGCCAGCTGCAGGGACCGACACGGTGCGCGACATTCAGATAAACAACCTCCGATTCCGCGTAGCTGCCGATGGAAGCAAATTAATTCGCATGTTTGGTGAGAACACCCATGTCGGCCACTTTACGCATCAACTCACGGGCATAGACGACTCAAACACGGATCCGGGAGCCACACCCAAGTCTACTACAGTGGCTGGTGTCACGTTCCATAGAAGCAAGCACGGTAATCTCTATCGTGCTGGTCTTGTGAAGAAAATGATGAGGTATCGGATGAAGTGTCAAGAGCTTTGGGTAAAACAATTGTTGATTGATTGGGTGACAACANGGGAAAACAACATCAAANAGAGCTCGGAACTGTGTCCAATCTTTACTGCTACGGGTACCGAATACTCCAACCGCCATANNCAAGCCGGTCCTTGCGCGACGGATCTGAACGAGAGCAATTATCTCAGCATTTCCGTTGGTAGGCCTTTTGCATTCTTACTGACTTTTTCTCTCANNGGTATGTGCGCCCACGGCAACCGCTGCCGCTATACCCATGATCCGAACAAGATTGCCGTCTGCAAGGAATTCCTCCGATCTGGTCGTTGCGCTGTTGGTGATGCTTGCAACCTTTCACATGAAACCACCCCTCACCGTGTCCCCGCTTGCACTCATTTCCTTCGCGGCAATTGCACCAACCCAGACTGCCGCTATGCTCATGTTGCTGTCAATCCTGCCGCACCCGCTTGTCGGGCGTTCGGAACTATTGGCTACTGCGAGAAGGGTGCCGATTGCACTGAGCGTCACGTATTTGAATGTCCGGACTATGCTAACACAGGTGTATGCCGTAACAAGAAGTGCCGACTTCCTCATGTCGACACTGCGGGCAACATGCGTAAGGCCAAGTCGGCAGAAGCTAAGATGAACGATGCAGAGACGTCAGATCTATCTAGCGACGAGGAGAGCTACGACAAAATCGACTACGACGACGTAGACTCTGACGATTTCAGTGACAATGAAGTCATGGGCGGCACTGATGAGCGCGACCATGAACTCTCTCAGCAGCAAGATTATGTTAGGCTCTCTTGATCACGTTCCTCATGAGACCTTGGCTCTTCAGTAAGCATGCCAGATCAGACAGCACACTATTGGTTGTTGGCATACAGAGCGCGCTGTGCATGGAGCCAGTTGGCATTTTTGAAGATACCCTTGGAAGTGCAAGAATTACTCAAAGAAGAAAGCGATGAACGCAGAAGACAGAAAGAAAAGATGTTAGTGTACTCGAACAGAGCGAAATAACAATAGCAAGAAAGAAATGGAAATGGTACATGAAAAGAGCTGAATCCTTTGCGTCTTTACGAGTCATGATACAACAGTAACGAATGTTGTATGTCCAACCATGTTCACATAACAGACAGTAGGATGATTTCATTTGACTTTCGTATGTTGTTGCACGATGAGATCAGGCCAGGGTATTTTTGGAGGTTCAGCTGGTCGATTCATGAAACAACAGAGTACATGAAGGAGGGCTTGGCCGGATCAGCACAGCCGCAAGCGCTGCCTCCAACCAAGTTACCATTCATGGCCAGCATTGCCCGTCTGACCTGTCCATGGCTTCCACGCAGACGACGACGAAACCTCCAATCTGCCGGCTCTCTCGACATTTCCTGAGGATTCGCTGAAACGCTCCTCGACTCCACATCGCTTATACCATCCTCTACCCCTCACGCCCACTATGCCACTGCGAGACGTGCTCAAGAAGCGCTCCAACATCCAAGGCGATGCCACGAGTACACGTAGCATCAGTTCCAACTCTCTATCAACCCTTCCCAATCCCATACCAGAGTTCACTTTCATGCGTACGACGACCCACGAGCAGGAAGTCATTGTACCGCCCTCATATCCTGGCGACGAAGCCCCACTAGCCTCCGAACAAGTGACCCCCGAGAAGAAACGCCGTAGCATCTTTCGCAAGAGCAGTGCAAACCTTGTCTCCACTATAGCCAGCAATAACCCTCTCCCATCACACTCCGAAGAAAAGGAAGCTCCAGCTGCACTTCCAGTACGACCCAAGAATGAACGCAAACTCTCCGAGAGACTGCACTTTGGCCGGTCAAGGGGCCTCTCTAGGAGCGAGAGTAGCTCACATCTACCTTCTGACCTAGGCGACGCACCTCAAAATACACCAGCACCCTTGGATCCTCCGGACGCCAAAGGCAGAGTGAAAGAGACAGAGACCAAAGAAAACAAGATGCAGCGCGAAGCACAGTGGGAGAAGAGAGCTACCGTGATGGCCCTGAAGAACCCTTTGCTAGATGGGGAGAGGTCAGAGTCGAGCGAGAAGAAAGGTCATCGAAGGAGTACCTCGCTCGAGGAAGGTGAAGCCGATATCCAAGAAGCCATCCGTCTGCACGAGGAAGGCGATCTGGAGCGTTCGACGCAAATATTCGGAAAACTTGCAGATCCGAACGGTGCCAACAATCCACTCTGTCAGGTACTCTATGGACTTGCTCTTCGGCATGGTTGGGGGATCCCTCCATCTGCAGATGCCGCGATACACTATTTGAGTTTGGCGGCTTCAAACAGTGCAGCCATCGAGTCAGCCGCCTTATCCTCAGGATCTAAAGCAGGTGGTGAAGCANAAGGCGAGCTGGTTCTTGCCATCTTTGAACTGGCCAACTGCTTCCGCTATGGTTGGGGTATCAAAGTAGACAAGGTGGCTGCGAGGAATTACTACGAGGTTGCTGCCAACTTGGGTGACCCTGATGCTTTGGAAGAAGCAGCCTGGTGTTACATGGAAGGATTCGGTGGGCCGAAAGACAAGGTATGTTGTTCTTACTGTGGTCTAATACCAGATAGTGTGCTTATGCAATCTACAGNNTTCAAAGCAGCGCAGTATCTGCGATTGGCCGAAGGTGCTGGTCGTAAAAGTGTGGGAAACAGCTGGATCTGGAAAGACAAGTACAGTTCACCGACGAAGTGATTTTGCCGAGCGTTCGACCCTTCTCTCTGACCATCACAAGGGAGCACTCAAGTGCCAAATACAGCCATTACAGTAGTGTATAGCACGTCATTGCGTTGGGACCCTTTATGAGGGTGTTCACCTCGCACCGGGTGCAATGTCCGGGTCCAAGGGCATTGGACCATGAGCTAGTCACCACACAGAGAGATACTCGAAGCATTAGAGCTTTGTAAGGTGTCGGCGTGGGAACATGTATACCACAGACCATAGGCATAGAACACTGACCAGGATCAAGGTGCTTCACAGTCCTGGATTCGTTCAAAGGGGTGACCGAAGATGGAAAATCTCTCCGAGGCAGAAACATTATATGATCATTTAGCTAGTGGTGGTATAGTGAACGATGAGGATATCTCTGAAGAACAAAAAGCGCATATAACATGATTAATGCAAACACCCAAGGCATCCTTCAATGCAAATCCGTCCCATATATAGAAAAAGAAATGAACAATTGTGAATGAGAAGAAATCAAGCAATCTAGTCTTGCTCATGGGTATTGCTCTTGGCCTCGTCTCGATCGTGTCTCAAGTCCTGGCTCCACTCTCCTGCTGTGGTGTCGACTTGAGTAGGACTTACAGGACCGGGGTTCTTGTTGGCGTTTGCTTTGCTGACATCCACACCCATTTCGCGTGTGATCTTTTCGTCGTGGAAGCTGTCGGCCAGATCACTGTCCGCTTTCTCTTGAACTTCGGGCTTATCATCGCAACCAACTGGTGTCCGGCACTGCATGCGAGCTGCATCCGGTGCCGTGGCCCAGATGACATCCTTGACTTCTTTGCCGACTTTTTCGATCACATCCATGGCCCAGATGACATCGAGGTGCTCATATCCTTCGATGATTTTCTTGTGCACGACATTGACATGAGGTTCGCGGCCACGATCGAAGCGCCTAAGGAGGCGCCGTCCATCAACCAGATCATCGTTGCCAGCTACCCACATGGCCAATGGAGGAAATTGTTCGTTGAACCAGGCATACTTGCCTCGCTCTTCGCTCTTGTCTCGGTCCTGATGAGGTAGTCCAAGTTGGTCCCTGCTAGGTCGTTCTCGGTCATCGCGGTCAGGAGACTTTTCGGTGTCGGTGTGTTCGCCATCATAATAACGGCGGATTACTTCATCCTCTTCCTCGTCCTCTTCATCTTCCATGCGACCCTCTTCTCTTGTGGCAAGGATACACTTCTGCTTCGCAAAGCACTCTCTTCCGAGCCACCAGCGCATACTCTCAGCGCTAACATAGACAGGCGCAAATTGGAACAATCGATCGCGCAGATCGATCTCCCATCTAGTGTCGGTCCAGTTGAAAAGGAAGCTGAATACGCGGTAACCCATTGCGCCGTATAATTTGGCTGGAAGGATCTTGTGCATCCGCATCATAAACGGAATGAAAGCATGGATACCAAATATACAGCGGAAGAAGTTGGGGTTGATCACGCGCATGAACTTGAAGTATGCCTTGCCAATCAGGGGTCCAGCATAAGCGGCTGGTGCCAATGCACAGAAAACTGAAATCTTCTCGCCGATGTCCGGGCGTTGCTCTTTGGCAAGAGCAACCAGAGTCTGCGTTGTACCTTGGCTATGGCATACCAAACCAAGCTTCTCGAAACCCGTCTCTGATAGTACGCGCGAGATCAAAGCGGGGAGATCCAGAACGCCCATCTGACGAATGTTCCAGGACCACATGCGCGGATCGGAGTAATCAAGTAAGGTGTGTCGAGGGTTGAAGCCACATCTGTTGTTCCCGAGCCAGACATCGTAACCGCTCTTAGCGAGGTANAAGGCGAGACTATCGTCGTCAGTGCAACAGTATGCACCAGCCGACTGTAAGAGACCGTGGATCATCAAAACGGGATACTTCTTGTTACCTGCTGGGAAAGCGCGTTCGGCCTCGCCAAACTCTGGATCCGATGTGGTGGTCTTGAAGATCTCGGGTCCTCGAGGTCCATGGGCAGACGGCGATACTGGACGATACTCCCGAGGATTATATACGTGCCACAACTCAATGATGAAGCCATCCTCTGTTTCGACATCGAACATCTCAACTTCTAAACCCACACGTCGGGCATAATATCCAGGATCGCAGACCAGAGGGTCCGGGCCGCCCTCTGTAGGGACAAACTCACCATCTTGTGGAGGCGATGTTTCTACCTCAGCAGGGGTTGTAGGAGGCTTGCCTTTTGCCCAATCGCGATTTGCTTCTGCACGAGCCTTTTTACGCCGTTGTTCTTCCTCGAAAAATGGCCTCNNCCTCTTATCGGGATTCTTGAACAGGAGTCGTAGTCGGATGTGTTCGTAAGCGAGTGGGATGCTGGTGAAGGCGGCACCTAAGACGATGACCAGAAGGAATAGAAAAGACAGGACAGAACTCGTTGTCCTGAAGAAGCAGCAGTGCAGTGTTCTGAGAATACTCGGCGGACCATAGGTAGGAAGGGGTGGGAACATTGGATTCGTCCGCGAAGGGGCAACGGCTTCTCTCAGAGGGGCACTCGGCTCGCTGCTCTGGCATACGCCGTCTTTCTCGAGAATACCATGCATTGTGCCATCCCTGGCCTTGCGTGATGTGTATTTGACGGGGATGCGGCCATCTGACTGGCGGTCATCGAGTTGATCTTTCAAGCGATTCAGTTTCAATGCTTCGTCTATAGGCACAGCGGGCAGGCGACTGCCGTTAGCAGTCACAATGACAGGATCCTGAGCTGTCACGAATTTGGCTTCGACGGCCTGGGTCGAGTCAGAATGGCGCTTCCGTTCCTGCTCGGGGGTATATTGGGCGAGACGCTCGGCCTGGTGGGCGAATTCGATGGCGACTTCTGCCTTGTTATTCAATTTGGTTGAGTCGACGCTGCCGTCCGGCTCCGAGTCGTGTGTGTGCGACGAGACATGCGGCATGTCGATAAGGGAGGGGATGTACAGCCAGACAGCGGTATAGGAGAGATCAACATCAGTCGAGACACAAGAGGGCGAGTGGGGTATAGACAAGTCAGGAGAGGCAGATTGATGGGAAGGAGGAGGCTCTGGGCGGGAAAAAGCAGAGGGCCATGGTTTGCGTACAGAGCAGCAACAGTAGAGTAACTTAGTGCTTGTCCATGCCGGTTGGAATCAAAACATGGCTCAGCCGCATGCACTTTTTCGATGCATGACGCATGTGCTTCCCAAAGCCACACACGTTGTCGACCCGACCGCGCCGATCAACATTACTGGACTGGACGATACGTCGCTTGGCCCATGAGACACAGTGATTCGCTACCCTGTCATAGACTCAGCATTATGTGGCCATAGGCACCCTGCGTCAAGACACAGCAACAGAGCGTGGCTAATTATCCCAATCATACGCAGGGTGCTCGGTGGATGCTTTACATCTCAACGACCATGGTGATGGCTATCTCCGGGTCTGCCGTCTCCACAGATGAACCTAATTACATGTCTTGTTTGGGCAGGCGGTGCCGGCTGTTTCCAACTGGCATGTGTGATTAGGTTGACCAGGCCTCGAGGACCGCTACTCGTCACTTGATCTTTAACTCGATGCCCCTTAGGCATCTTTGTCAAGAAAAGAGGTAGGTCTTAAGCAGTCTATGGCATCGCTCGGTCCTACATCTCTATCATTCAACACTGGAGAGAGAAATACGGCGCGACGATAAGCGCATGTGCCTATCTTGCCAGGCCGACCTCGGCTGTTCGGGAGCTTTCCCCATTGCCAGGTTGCCGAGACCCCACGAACGTGTACACTGCCAGTTGCCAATGTACAAGACATAGGTAACAACTCATATAGCTTGCTTGTAGCTTGTCCAGCAGCTGGTCGCATTGTCGCATGCCTATGGCTCCCATCGAAGCGTCATCCGGCCCTTTGAAGCGCAAGAGAGGCGCCGCCAGANGACCAGACAAAGCCCCCATCTCTGGTCATGCCCACCTGGACAGCAAGCTCAAAGGAGAAACTGCCCTGCTTTCCCATGATCTGGTCGACGACTTGTTTCCTTCCTCGTCTCCGGACTCTGCTTCAATCTACCATGTTGCCATCACTCCCTGGGCTCCGTCTACTGTCGTCGCCGATGCAGCTACCCAGTGGGTCATCATACCATGTCGAAGACTGCCTCGAGGTCACCCCGATCTGCCGCACTCTTCAATCAGGATTTCGGCCTTCTCTCACGTAGCCCAGGCTCTCCAGCGAACATTGCATGCTCAATCGCCTAACCGCTCTCTCCGCCCCACATCGACCCTCGAAATCTGTATCACCCACGTCGTACCACTTCCTCTCGACCTAGTCTACGTTTCGCTGGACATGACGGCCTTGGAAAATGCCAATGGCCCTCAAAAAAATAATGGGAGCGCCTCGCTGCGAGTTGCGAAGGGCGGAAAAGAGAAGCAGCTGAGATCTGCAGCCGCAGTGGGTTCCGAGCAGATTACTCGGGTTGTACGGGATGCCTTGGATACTGCTCGGGTTGTGAGAGCTGGTGACATGTTACCTCTTACACTCCCACGTCCTCAGGCACAGGCCTCTGCATCACCTGCTCTGATCACAGCCTGTGAACCCGTCTCTCAGGGACTTGTAACTCCAACAACACAGATAGTTGTCGTTTCACAAACTGAGCGTCGCACAAAAGCAAATCGTTCTGTAACTTTCTCGCAGCCAGACGAAGATACTGCTAACGAAGCATTCTACACTGCCGCTGAAGACGGCGCACATTCATCGGCAAATTCACCACCCACTGATACTGTGCTGGACTCAGACTTAACTTCTGATGATGCTCTGTCCGATTTGGGTGATCTTTCGGATGATCCAGATGATATGATCTCTTTAAACTCGCCTTCCGTTGGATCTCAGCCCTCGGGAATACTTTCTGCCAGGTCGAATGCAACTCCTGGACTCTTTGGATCTCAGCGAGGTATCAATACTCCTGGATCCGTGTTCTCGTCGATGACGTCCACGACTATGAGAGGTGCTCAAGGAGGACGGACCAAGACCTTCAAGACCCAAGGACTTCTTGAACGCATTCCAGACGGCTTTCTCTATCCGAAACCAGGCTCCCAGCAGGACGAGGAAGCTCGAGTTTATGTCGACACGAGTGCTTTGGCAAAACTTGGTTGCTTTTCTGGTGACTGGATCCAATTGCAAGTAGCGGAAGATCCTACGAGTGCAAATTCTTTGATGGCCTTTTTCCGAGATCAAGAGATGGATGAAAATGCTACATGGAGGCCACTCAGAATTTATGGACTTCCCGAGAGCCTGTCGGTCAAGCCACAAAAGTATCCACTGAATAACAAATCTAGTCGACGCGACAGCATACCCTCATCACACTCAATCTCTGTCGCTCCTGCTATCCTCTACCTATCACCTGTTCTACTAGCCAATCTTGGGAATCCTAGTCACGTGCGGATAACGTCCCTGCGCATCGCCGATGTCTCTAGCTTCTTACGTCCTGGACAAACCAAGTCAAGACTCCAGAGCTCATCTCTGCCACCTACCGCCAAGGAGGTGACTCTATCCAGGCTGTCAACGCCCCTCTCGGAGGAAAAGTCGGCTCAACCGAGTTTGTTCGCCCGACTACAAGATCACTTCAAGCAAAAGCAGCGCATTGTGAAGTCTGGTGATCTCATTGCCATCCCAATCGATGAAGCATTAGGAAAGGCAGTGTTTGAAGGAGGGGCAGCAGATGAGACGAATGACATACTGACACATCTTGAGTCTTCTTCGGGCAACAACTCCACAAAGGTCCGATCCCATGGTTCGGCAGTTGCATGGTTCCAAATCGGTGATGTGAGTTCACCTTTAGCCAACGATGCTCAGGATGCCGAAGAATCAGGACTCTGGGGAGGGGTTGTGACAATCGACCCTGCGGAAACTAGAATGAGTCAATCAGGTGCACTGCAGAGAAAGCTGCCTGCTACGACACAAAACTCATGGGAGTTCTATTATGGCATCAGGAAAGTACCTAGGTCGGCCGTGAGCGGAAGTTCTCATCTTCGTGCACCACCTAAAGAACATGTACCAGTATTGCAGCGGCGCATACGTGAGCTTATGGCAGCCGCTATGAGTCCTCGCGCTGTCCACCTCGGTCTTCCACCTCTTGCAATCCTCTTGACATCAACTCAGAGAAACATTGGCAAAGCATATACGGTTTCACGTGCTTGCCATGATCTAGGTGCTCACGTCTTTTCTGTCGATGCGTATGAATTGGTCTCGGAAGGAGCTGCTGGAGGTGGAGACACCAAGACAGAGGGCTTTCTCAAAGCTAGAGCTGAACGAGGACTACATTGTGGTGCGCAGCACACATCGCTCTTAATTCGTCACCTGGAAGCTCTCAATTCAGATCGTATGGCTGGAGCTCTAAAAGACATCCTGGCGAGCTGCCGTGTGTTGATCGCTACATCGACAGAAGTCGATAAGATACCTGATGCTATTCGTGGTCTTTTCACGCATGAACTCGAGATGACGGCGCCTGATGAAGCGGAAAGAGAAGGCATTCTCCAATCAATTATCGCAAACTCAGGTCTCGTTGTTTCACCTTCGGTCGACCTGGGCTCTGTGGCAGTGAAGACCGCTGCTCTAGTCGCTGGTGATCTTGTTGATGTTGCCGAAAGAGCTGTACTCAACCAGGCAATCCGCCTCGAGTCTCTAGCAGTTTCGGCTTCTGTGTCTCGCGAAGCAGCAGTTTCGGTTAGAGACATCCAGTTAGCTGGTGGCGACTCCGCTACATCGCTCACGTCTGCAGATTTCGAGAAGGCCGTTGATGATGCCAGGAAAAACTTCGCAGACTCGATTGGCGCGCCCAAGATTCCTAACGTGCAATGGTCGGATGTTGGAGGTCTAGCCAATGTTAAGGAGGCCGTTATCGAGACCATTCAGCTGCCACTTTCCCGTCCAGAGCTTTTCGCAAAGGGCCTGAAGAAGCGTAGTGGAATCCTGTTCTACGGTCCTCCAGGAACCGGTAAAACATTACTGGCGAAGGCCATTGCAACAGAGTTCAGCCTAAATTTCTTCTCTGTCAAGGGACCAGAACTACTCAACATGTATATTGGCGAGTCCGAGGCCAATGTGAGACGTGTCTTCCAAAGGGCTAGAGATGCAAGACCTTGTTGCGTTTTCTTCGACGAGCTCGACTCTGTTGCACCAAAGCGAGGCAACCAAGGCGATAGCGGTGGTGTCATGGATCGTATCGTCAGTCAATTGCTCGCCGAACTGGATGGCATGAGTGATGGAGACGAGGGTGGTGGCGGTGTGTTCGTGATCGGTGCTACCAACAGACCGGATTTGCTTGACCAAGCACTGCTGCGTCCTGGTCGTTTTGACAAAATGCTGTACCTTGGTATCAGTGATACGCACGAGAAGCAGCAAAGGATTCTGGAGGCCCTTTCAAGAAAGTAAGCAAAGATTTGAACCGATGAGACTCAAGTTCTCCTACTGACATTCTCCTGTTAGANNTTCACACTCGATCCGAAATTGGATCTTGGTCGTGTGGCTGAGAAACTTCCCTTCACATACACTGGTGCCGACCTATACGCTCTGTGCTCTGATGCTATGCTCAAAGCCATTACTCGATCTGCTCGAATTGTGGATGGTAAAGTGGCCGAGATCAATGGCGAGCGAGCTACACGTGCCCCACCTCAGCCTCCCATTTCGGTAGCTTACTTCTTTGATCACTTTGCCACTGAAGCCGACACGAGCGTTGTCGTGGCTGAGGAAGATTTCATGGCCGCCGAGCGTGAGCTTGTCCCTAGTGTAAGCGCCGATGAACTAGGCCATTACGAGCGCGTGCGCCGTGAATTTGAAGGCGGCAAGGAGAAAGAAGAGAACGCAGCTCAACAGACAAATGGCACAGGTGCCAACACAGTCGCACGCAGCCAGATTGCGCAAATGCTGCGTATGCAAATGCAGAGGGCGAACTCGGAATCTGGCGGGAGCGTCAATGGCAAAGGCAAAGGGGTTGATCAAGAGGCTACCGACTTTGTTGATGAAGATTTTGTCATCAGGACTGATCATCTGTCAATGAATGGGTCTGGCGAAGGAAAAGGCAAGGGCAAAGCGATTGCTGAATCTTCAGATGGCGTACAATTTGGAGATGCAGCTGGTGATGATGAGGACATGTACGCATAAAACTTTGCATAAACCTGCTACTCTGACTGTCAGAGCCATCTCACACGATTTCCAACACCTCTTAAACTGTTGCTGATCTGCACATGCCTTATTGCGTGGCTGACAGAACGCACAATGGGAACTGGCAGCGCTCAATCTGACAGGGTCGTGCCCACAACAACATCGGCTGGCATAGAAAGGCAGCTACCTCGCGACACTCTACGATTGAGTTGACGCAACTGCAATTATTCTATGTTCCCGTTTCGCCGAATTTTAACGACAAGGTCGAGATAGAGCTATGTTATGTGGTTGTTATGCAACAAAGTCGCGGAACGAATTTGAACAAGGGAATCGTGAACAACCATCACTCACCAAGTCAAATGTAGCCGACACAACAACCAAGATAAAGGCCAACGAATCGACACATGAAACTCGAACTATAAGCATGATTTGGTATGCGTATCGGTTTGACACTAATCTTCTGAAGGTAGAATCGGTATTCAAGAACGTCTCAATGCCTGATCTGAAAATGGAGTATATTGAGCACTACGTGCTCGTTTGCTCAGACGTGCAAAGAGATTATACGGGATTGATGTTCAGGTCCTGCTCGCTGCTGTAAAACCAGGTCTTGAGAGTGATCGTAGAACATAGGCGCGAGAGTGAAACGAGAAACGTCAGATCGTTCTACAAGAATAGCCAGGAGAGAGAGGGTGTAACAGTAGCGCCTGAAGGTGAGTCTGACGCCTACTGTTCCCAACCTGGCCGGCTTGGGGTTTGAAGCGGCTCTTCGGTCTGTTTCCTCGCTCGTTGGTTGTCCGAAACGTCCGGCAATGGACGGTGAAGACGTCGCTAAACTTGTAAAGATCATTAATAATCTTCGACTTGAAGCATTCACCGAAGCGGAGATTTCTCGCGTCAAGCTGCCATCAGGTCTGAAATGGTCTACAGCATTATTCTTGTGCCTATGAACCGGCAGAATAACAAGAGGAAGTGAGATAGATGACCGGCAGGAGAAGATCAGGCTGAAGAACAATAGCTTGACGGAGAAAGTGCAACTGTCAACAAGCCCGCGTCTTGAGGCAAGCTAGGAGAATATCCAGCAGTAGACACCTGCCGTTTGCGTCTTCGGAGGTGTCTCCAACGCGCATGTTGCCAGCTCCTAGCTTCCAAGCCGCAAATGGCTAGAGCTTGTCAGCTACGCGCGGGGAATCCTGTTGGGAAGGCCAGTCTGCTTCTTAGAGAAGCTCGTGATTTTTGAGCAGCTCGATGTATGAAGAGCCATCTCAGACGATGAATTGGCTGCGAGAAGGACAAACTCAGGCCTGGATAAAAGCACGACCGCTCGGTATCAAGTTCCCTTTGCTGCTAGCGTTTTGGCGGCTTCGGCATCAGGGCGGAGATACTGACGCAGTACCCGGCTCGCCGTCGGACATTTCGAAAGGTGCATTGACGCGAGTGATGTGCTTGTCCGGAGTCGGACTCGAAGAAGAAAGGGATTGTCGAGTGGCATTCAAAACAAGTGAATTCTCCGACTGTTTGCGCGACCTCTGGAATTCGAATCTCTTTGTTTGAGACTTGTATCTGTACCATCTTGCTCGCATTGCTTTGTTTGCGCCGAAAGCAGCTGCTGAACGATATAAGTTTTGTGACGCGACTTCCATTTCAAAGCACACTACGTCAGAAGACTCGGTCCGTCCTCTCGATCGTTCCTGCCCCTCCAGAAGTTCGGCCGCCAAAGTTCCTCAACCGATAAACAGCTGCACTTATCCTTCGCTCTGTTCCACCCTCACCCACTACCTTGGACCTCACCACACATCTCTAACTCTCGACACAATGGCTGACACTGTTATTACCCCGGAGGTCGAGTCCAACGCGTAAGTGACAAATCTCGCCTGCTTCTGGCATGCCCCATCACTCTGCCGTCACTCGTGAGGCAATGCAGCTATCTGCCATCAGACTCGGTCAATCGTAGCTCATGTCGACGCGCGCTTTGCGACACCCACAATCGTCTTCAGTTGCGAGCGAACAAGCTAACTCGAACACACAGCGGCACCATGGAGCTCAAGGAGAACACCGTCATCGTTGTTCTCGGTGCTTCGGGTGATCTTGCAAAGAAGAAGACCGTAAGCACATTTGCCAGTCAATTGACCTACACGAGGACTCTGCTAATCATTCGCACAGNNTTCCCTGCTCTCTTCGGCCTGGTAAGCTTGCATCAAGCGTGAGCTCCTGTTGAGCTTTGACTGATAGCAACATATAGCNACAAGAACAACTTCCTCCCTAAGAACATCAAGATCGTCGGATACGCACGAAGCAAGATGGACCATGCCGAGTTCATTAAGCGTGTCAAGTCGAACATCAAGACTCCCACCAAGGAGGTCGAGGACCAACTGGAGGAGTTCTGCAGCTTCTGCACATACCTCCAAGGCGACAAGTACGAAGAGGACAAATACTACGAGGGTCTCGAGAAGCATCTCAGTGAACTCGAGAAGAAGGACAACCAGAAAGAAACTAACCGCATCTTCTACATGGCTCTGCCCNCCAGCGTCTTCATCATTGTCTCGCAGATGCTCAAGAAGCACTGTTACCCCAAGAACGGCATTGCCCGTATCATCGTCAGTGTCCAGTGCCTTGTGAGCTCGAATTGCTGCTGACAACCATCTACAGNNATTGAGAAGCCCTTCGGTAAGGACCTTGGCAGCTCCAGAGAGCTACAGCACGCTTTGGAGCCTAACTGGAAGGAGGAGGAGATCTTCCGTATTGACCACTACCTTGGTAAGGAGATGGTCAAGAACATCTTGATCCTCAGATTTGGCAACGAGTTCTTCGGCTCCAACTGGAACCGCAACCACATCGACAATGTTCAGGTATGTTGACATGACTTTATCGGACTGTCCATTGGTTAACACCAGGAAGNNATTACCTTCAAAGAGCCTTTCGGCACCGAGGGCAGAGGCGGCTACTTCGATGAGTTCGGTATCATCCGTGATGTTATGCAGAACCATCTCCTCCAGGTCCTGACCCTGCTCGCCATGGAGCGCCCCATCTCATTCTCTGCCGAGGACATCCGTGACGAGAAGGTCCGTGTTCTTCGTGGCATGCCCNCCATCGAGCCCAAGAACGTCATCATCGGCCAGTACGAGAAGTCGCTTGACGGATCCAAGCCTTCTTACAAGGATGATGAGTCTGTCCCCAAGGGATCCCGTTGCCCTACTTTCGCCTCAATGGTCGCCTACATCAAGAACGAGAGATGGGACGGCGTTCCTTTCATCCTCAAGGCCGGTAAGGCTCTCAACGAGCAGAAGACCGAGGTCCGCATTCAGTTCAAGGATGTTACCTCTGGAATCTTCAAGGACATCCCCCGCAACGAGCTTGTTATTCGCATTCAGCCCAACGAGAGCGTGTACATCAAGATGAACTCCAAGCTCCCCGGCTTGAGCATGCAGACTGTGGTCACTGAGCTGGATCTCACCTACCGCCGCCGCTTCTCCGACCTGAAGATTCCTGAGGCCTACGAATCTCTCATCCTCGACGCCCTCAAGGGTGACCACTCCAACTTTGTCCGTGACGACGAGCTCGATGCCAGTTGGAGAATCTTCACTCCTCTTCTCCACTACCTCGATGACAACAAGGAGATCGTCCCTATGGGCTACCCTTACGGTAAGTTCTCTCAAGTGCGTGTCACGTCAATTAGTACTGATTTGGATTGCANNGGCTCTCGCGGTCCTTCCGTTCTCGACGATTTCACCTCCTCGTACGGCTACAAGTTCAGCGACGCTGCTGGTTACCAATGGAGCAACCTTCCCGAGAACAAGCTCTAAAAAGCAAAATGATATATACCCGAAATGAAAGACAATCGAATGCTGGTGTGCCGAGCAAAGGCAAAAGCAGATCTCGCAGGATAACAATGGTAGAGAGCTGTCCTTCACGACATTTTCATGCAATGAAGGGCGGCTATGCATGAACGCATCTGAAAGAAACTTAATGACTCGTCTTCTTCGCTCCATAGCAATAAACTAAGAAATTATCTCACTATATCACACTCTCACAATGCTCTGGAATAATCATGTGCAAGGTTTGCTACTTGTTGATTGCTCTTGTTGAGGCTCAGTTTGGAATTAGCCTGAATGTGGCCGGCTCACGATCGAAGTCCGTGCACCCAAAGGAGAGACAAGACCCTGTGGCTGGGGCTTGCTTCAGCCTTCCGTTCCGCGTCGTGTGCCCTCTTGCCAGCTCATGTGTAGCATAGTTAGAGCAACCACTTTTGACCAAAACATCAATCTTGAACACGCCTGTAGGACTCCATGTCAAAGTAGTGGTCGGTGGGTGGAGCAATTATGGCACAGGCGCAATGGCAGGGGACACCTCATGTCAAGGGCTCGAGCGAGTCTATGCGTACGTTGCTGCTGACATTCAGTTTGATTGGCTTGCAGTACGTCTACATGCTCGAGGAAGCTTGAATACGATTCTTGATATTGACTGTTCTGACAGATNTCACATGGGGCACTGAGATGACCTATTGCACTCCATATCTACTGCAGCTTGGGCTTACCAAAAGCAAGCTCTCGCTCGTTTGGATCGCTGGACCATTATCAGGATTGATCATGCAGCCAATTGTGGGTATCATGGCCGACAAGAGCACCAGCAAATGGGGTCGTCGGCGACCGGTAATGGTGGGTGGTACGGTCATCGTGAGCATTTGTCTCTTGGTCCTGGGCTGGACCAAAGAGATTGTTGCTGCATTCGTTGAAGAAGGAGAACTGGTTGGTCAAACTCCAGCGCTAAATTATGATTTGAGAACATATTTTGACATTCAGCAGAGGCGTGAGGCGACCATATTTCTGGCTGTTCTGTCTATCTATGCTCTTGACTTCGCGATCAACGCTGTACAATCATCATGTCGCAGTCTTATCGTAGACACTTTGCCCATCCCAAAGCAACAGTTGGGCTCCGCCTGGGGTAAGTCTCAGTAGTCTCGCCATTGTGATCAGCAATCTGATGTTCTACAGNCAAGCAGAATGGTGGCTGTTGGCCATCTTATTGGTTATGGCGCTGGAGCCCTGGATCTGGGCCTAATCTTCGGAACCCTCATTGGCGACACTCAATTCAAACAGCTTACTGTCATCGCCGCTGTAGCTCTCATAGTGGCTATTGGAGTCACCTGCTGGGCTGTCGAAGAGCGCGTACTTATTGCTAAAGGGTTCGGTTCACACTGTCTTCCATTGGGTCTACGACTGACTTTGAGTACAGAGNAAGGCGTCAAGGATGATGGTATGGTTGCGGTGCTTGCGCAGATTATCAAGACTACCAGAAATCTACCCAGACGGATCCAAATGGTAAGTCTGATTCAGTATCGACTGGCGCAGTCTAAACGTAACGCTGACATTCAACAGATCTGTTGGATCCAATTCTGGTCGTGGATCGGTACGTGATCACAGACGGACCTCGAAACTTGCTGTCTGACATTGCAATTAGGCTGGTTTCCGTTCCTCTTCTACAGCACTACATGGGTTGGAGAAATCTACCTCAGATACGACGCGCCTCCAGAGGTCAAGCAATCCAAGGATCCGCTGTCAGACATTGGGCGCATTGGAAGCATGTCGTTGATCGTGTTTTCCTTTGTCACGTTCGTTGGCTCAATCACGCTTCCATGGATGGTCAAGTCTCCTGAAGATGACAAACCGGACTTTACCCCCAGACCTCCTGCAAGTATTGCTCCTATTGTCAAAACGGTTGTGGAGCGCAAGCCCAGCCTTTTGACTGCCTGGACGGTGGCACACCTTATATTTGCAGGATCGATGATATTCGCACCGTTCGTCACATCACTACGCTTTGCAACAACTCTGGTAGCAATCTGTGGAATGTGAGTAGCTCGAATGTCGTGCTGTATTGTATGTTTACTGACAATTACAGACNCGTGGGCACTTGCCTGCTGGGCTCCATTCACCTTTATGGGAGTTGAGATCAACAAACTTAGTAGCAGCTTGCCTACCTCAAGACGCGGCAGTCACCATTACCAAAGAGTGTCCGATGGCTCTATTGAGATGAATTCGGAGGCTAGGAACGTAGAGAAGTCCGACGAATCTGCCACCGGCGAGCTTGCTGGTATCTATTTGGGCATCCTAAACCTCTATACAACACTACCCCAGTTTATTGCGACGGGTATCTCGATGGTCGTATTCACAGTTCTTGAGCCTGGCAAGAGCCCGGAATTGGCAAAGGATGCACACCCTGACGAGCATCACAGTACAGAGGGGTTCAATGGCATAGCGGTGTGTTTATTCATCGGTGCCTTGTGCTCCGTCGCGGCTGCAGTTGCTACTCAGAGGTTCAGAAATACTGCATAGATAGAGAGCAAATGTATCATTATCAGATTCCTGCGAATATTGACGTGAAAGTGTATTGACGTGAAAGTGCCAGCCTGCTTCAAGTGCGCTATGCATAGAACGATATGCAGAAGATTAATACACTTCACATGTCAGAATGTCGGACGTTCAAGTCACCCCGAAAGCCGATGAAGCCACGATATCAATGACGTCGAGTTCCCAATCGAGCTCAATGGTTTGGTGGTGAGGTCCAAGCGTATTGTGGATGTTGCTGGGTCGTAGGAGCAACGTTACTGCTGCAGTTGCTCTTTGCTTCTGTCTACAAACGATTGTTTTCATATCAAGATATACCAGAAGTCTGAACAATAGTCATGGATTATAGTGTGTTGCACCTCGAAGCCTACAAGAATATGACCACAAGCTAATTGGGATAGACACTATGCTCGAGAAGCTGCTGGATGGTGGTTATTTGCCTACGTCTGTCATTCGCGCTGGTATTCGCCAGCAGCTGCGCCAGCGATTGTCATCTATCGCGTCGACATCAAATGCTTCTGCTTACGACACCAAGATGAAGTATGTCGAGCTGCTGCGCGAGAGACCAATTGCGATCGAGACCGCAAAAGCAAACACACAACACTATGAAGTCGGTACTGGCGTGCTCACCAACATGCTTGGCCCGAACATGAAGTATTCGTGCTGTCTCTATGAAGGTCTCAAGCCCGGACAGGGCCTTGGTGAGGCAGAGCTTTTGATGATGGAAGACTATGTCAAGAAGGCCGATCTGAAAGACGGCATGACTATGTTCGACCTTGGGTATGATTTGAATTGACTGAAAAGACCAGAAAGGACGAGCTAACAGGAAGAAGATNGTGGATGGGGATCGCTCAGTCTGTTCCTTGCACAAAGGTTCCCAAACTCGAAAATCACTGGCTTCTCCAACTCGCGCACGCAGAAGGAGTACATTGACTCGCAAGCCAACAAGCGAGGTTTGAGCAACCTGACAATTGTCACGGGAGATATTGCTACATATGAGTTCCAAGCACCGCTGACAGAGTCATTCGATCGTGTATTGTCGATAGAGCTGTTTGAGCACATGAAGAACTATCAACTTCTGCTCCGCAAGGTGTCGAGTCTGCTCAAATCGGGTGGCAAGCTGTTCGTACATATCTTTGCACACAAGGACAGCCCCTATGACTTTGAGGATGGATGGATGACAGAGCACTTCTTCACGGGTGGCACAATGCCTAGCGCAGACTTGTTGCTTTGGTTCCAGGACGATTTGAGATGCCAGCGCATGTGGTGGGTCAATGGCAAGAACTACGCGCAGACTTGTGAGGTAAGAAAGAAGACAGGGAAATTGAAGGCGAAAGAACAAGGCTGACTAGTGCAGGACTGGCTCTCGACCATGAACAGGAACAGACAAGCGCTCTGGCCGCACTTGGAGGAGACGTATGGCAAGGACAAGACTCTAACGTGGTTCCACCGATGGCAGATCTTCTACCTCGCATGCGCCGAGTTGTTCGCGTATAATGGTGGAGAGGAATGGGGCGTGTGCCATTACTTGTTTGAGAAGCCATAGACGAAGGAATTGGTATTGTGGTATAGACATGTACGAGTGAAAAATTGAAGAACAGAAGCGCGAATCGTTTAGTGATCCCAGGGGTGCTTCCAGCCGAGAAGAGCAGGGCCGTCCTTTNNGGTCAAGGTTAATACGAGTGAAGCTATCGGGGTAGGCGAGTCGAGATTTGGTACCTTTCTGGCTCTGTACATCAACNNTAAAGACCGTGTCAGACTTGTCGGATGAGTATTGAGAGGAATTGAGCAGCTTACGAAGAACCACATGCTGGCACCGAGGCCGGTGGCAGCGAATCTGTAGAGAGGACGGACAGGGTGGATGTGGATGGGGTGGCCGCCGTGGGCACCAGCGGGACGTGAGGGACCGGCCATTGTGTCTTGAGGCAGTCAGCAAGCAGGTCTACTTGAGATCGCGAGCAGTTGAGATGAGGGCGTACGTGATTTGAGTTGGTTGGTAGACGACGTGCTAGACGTCGTTGTCGATGTGTGACGGACACTTTGGCGCGATGGGATATGCTTGGCATCAGAGAGCACGTCGGACTTTGACCGTGTGGAGAATGACATAGACACGAACACTCAGTTGATCATGTTTGTTCGTATCATGATTTAAAGCAACAAGCCTTTCTCCTTCTCTTCCTCATCTGTACACCATTCGCACCTGCCCCTCGTAGTCACATCCCTCTCGACCACAACGCGCGCTCCACCCTCCATCCCTCCGCATCCGCGCGCCGTCCGAAAAGCGATGACAATCAACTGAGTCGCAAACATGACCATGACCGACTCGAGCCAGCGCCGGTTCCGTGGATGCGCTGCCATTGATGACTTTGACATTGTCCAAAAGCTGGGTGAGGGTACCTTTGGTGTCGTTTCCAAGGCCCGCTCAAAACGTACTGGCGCCATTGTCGCTCTCAAANAGATCTTGATACACAACGAANAGGATGGCTTCCCCATCACTGCCCTGCGCGAGATCAAGCTGCTCAAGATGCTGTCTCATGCGAACGTCCTGACCCTCCAGGAGATGGCTGTCGAACGCCATAAAAGTACGCTACACCATTCCCTTCCGCCATTGCCAACTCTCGCCTGACCCACTCACAGAANNGACGTCAAGAAGCGCGCTACACTCTACATGGTCTGTCCATACATGGACCATGATCTTTCGGGAATGACTACCAACCCCGATATCTCCTTCACCGAGGCTCAGATCAAATGCTACATGCTACAACTGCTCGAAGGCTTGCGTTATCTGCATGACAGCCACATCTTGCACCGCGATATGAAGGGTAATTTGCGCCACGGCTTATACATCTTGTCCTAGTCTCTCTGACACCCAGCAGCTGCAAACATTCTTATCAACAACCGTGGTTTACTCCAGATTGCCGACTTTGGTCTCGCTCGTCACTACGATGGCCCTGTGCCTCAGCCCGGCCGAGGTAATGGTGAAGCAGTGCGCGATTATACCACCCTCGTTGTGACACGATGGTACCGTCCTCCAGAGCTTCTCTTGCAGCTAAGACGATACACTCCGGCCATAGACATGTGGGGCGCTGNNGGTACGTGACTGCATATCCTACTCAAGTCTTCTACTCTAACATCGAGCAGTTGCGTTTTCGCAGAGATGTTCGAGGGACGACCANTCCTCGAGGGCAAATCCGATCTCAACCAGGCACAGATCATTTTCGAGCTAGTTGGTTCCCCGAACGAGGAAAACATGCCAGGCTGGTCGCAACTTCCTGGTTGTGAGGGCGTCAAGGAATTTGAACCTCAACGTGGTTCTCTTCGTCAGAGGTTCCGCAAGTAAGTTCCATCTGTTCTGTTGGCAACAAAGCACCTCCTGACACGCAGCCACAGCTTGCATCCAGAAGCTCAGAATCTGCTCGCAGAATTGCTGAAGCTGGACTGGCACAAAAGAATTAATGCCTGGGACGCCCTCCAACATCCCTACTTCAAGACTCACCCACTCCCTTCCCGACCCGAGGACCTACCACGTTTCGAAGAGTCACACGAGCTCGACCGCAGAAAGCACCACGAGAAGCGTGCTGCCATGCCTCCTGCTCCAGCTGGTGGAACTGTTGGCATGGGCCCTGACGAGGCCTGGGGTGCCGGTGGTGGTCGTAACTATGGTCCTCCAAATGGTTACTCTGGCTACGACCGCAGAGGTCCGCCTCGCGACCAACGGGCTCCTCCCCCAAGAGCTTACGACTCGCGCCCTCCTTCACACGATACCCCTCCACTAGCAAGAAGACCAGCATGGCAAAATGGATCCGACTCGCGCAGGCCGTTGGCACCACCGCATGCAAACGGTTCGTCACATCTGCCTCCACCTCCTCCAGACAATCGTCTCCCACCTCGGCCTTCGCTGCCTCCACCAGACGGCCGTCTCCCACCCCGCCCTCCGCCTGTGAACGCAAGGGGTGGGCCGAACATCGATACATACATTCCAAGTTATTCTGCTGCGCGCCGAGACGACGCTGCACCACCGAATGGCAGGCGGAACTCCCGTGATCATGGATATCCTCGAGATCGCCCTCCACCAAATGGAAGAGACCGAGATCGCAGGACTCGTAGCAGGAGTCCGGATCGTGAGCGTCGTGAGAGGTTGCAAGACAGAGAGCGTGAGCTATACAATCGCCGCTGAGCTTAACTGCGATTTTCGCCGCCAATGGTCAAAACCAGTCATCTCTGCCTGACTGACTTGCTGTTCGAGCATGTGCAGCATCTCGGAGTGCAGCTGGTTATCAGAAGATTTTCATGAATATATCCTTATCATAACCAAAAACAGAGTTCAGAGCTGGAGCTGCGTCCAGACTCCTCTTACTCACGACATTGAGATTATATAGCGAGGCGTTGTCGGTTTTTGTTTTCCACAGCGCAGAGCATAAGCGTGGCGGATATGGAGGGGATCGTTTGGCTTGAGTAAAGGGAGAGACAGCATCTCCCACCAAAGATACCCAATACCAAGATAATCAAAAGTGTCCAACAACTGAGTTACAAGGTGAAGTATATTTAGCACGTGCATTTGATCTGCAGTTTCAGACCTGAGGCAAGTCCTCACGACGCGAGATCCACACTCGGGCCTCATCATTCGTGCTATACACTCCAGTGGCAGGTTTGTAAATTGGCATTTTCCAAGCGCCGCCTCCGACAGGCTCCATGTTCCACATACTAATGAATGCCGCGGTGAACACCAATGCCTCCTTCTGGGCGAATGCTCGGCCTTTGCACATTGAGTGTCCACCACCTGTGTTATTGCTGTCAGTGATGTTTCGAAAAGGATGGATGTTTTTCAACGCACCATATGGTCTTATGGTCCCTAAATTCACAGATGTCTCCTCACTTCCCNNTTGCTCACGTTTGATATGCCTATCTGCTCTCCACGCGTGTGGGTCATCAAAATAGGCTGGATCTGTGTGGTGGATCGAATGAGCGATATGGGCATAAGTTCCCTTTTTCAACAAGAACTTCTCAGCATCCTTGTCCCTAGAAGTTGGGAGGACAAAATCTTCTTGCATGACTCTAAAACTCCAAGTGGCCGTATCTAAGCGCATGGATTCGACGTAACAGCTTTTGAGCAACGGACATTTGCTTGCTAGGGCTTCGTGATCGAAAGTTTCAATTCGTGGCGGTTCCGGCACGTTGAATAGTTGTTTCGGCTGGACGGCATGCACAAAAGGTGCAATCTCTTCGCGCAGTAAGGCCAGAATTTTCTTGTCGGCATAAATGTGGTTGAGCATCCAGAATACTAGCATGTTTGCATTTGCATTCATCGCCCATAGCAAAGCAAGCTCCAAGGCTACTCGTTCGTCCATCGTAAAGTTGAGCTGGCGGTATAGCTTCAACCTATCAGTGATGACAGGCCCAACATTTTCAAGACACTGCCATTCTTGGCCTGGATCCTCTCCGTTTGCTGCCTTTTCCATCGCTTCTTCGAATGCAAGAACGGCATTGAAACAACGACTGCGAGCGATTCTTGCTTTCCAGATCTGAGGAATGGGAAGCCAGGCGGGGAGTCCAGTTGCCAACCATTTGAACCCACTGTCCACGTCCCAGAGATCCAGGAAGAAATCGGGGTTATTGTCTACAAAATCAGTGCCAATGAGAGATGGGTTGGCAGTGGCAGCAATGAAATCGCGGATCAAGTGCATCATGCTAGCCTCGACAACTTGTTCTCCGTTGGGTTTAGTAATTGTTTCGGCATTACTTGTTCGCTCCCACCCCAACTGATCAACTCTGCTCTCAGAGAAGGTGACGAGGTTGGCAATGTTCCGTTTTGTCACATCGATCGTGTTCTGGATCATTTCTTTCAGAGATGAATCTGAGAGCAAATGCTTGTAGCATGTGTTCAATCCTACTAGGGCTTGGTCGTATCTCTGCATGGATGCTTTCGAGGTTGGGAAACCAAACACAGCAGTCATGATACGTTTCCCCACTGAGTCCATGTTGGCAATCGAGTGTTTTTGGTTCATCAATGATCCACCCATGGAAGGTGCAAAGACGACATTATGAGTCGTGCTGCCCAAGTTCAGTGCAAATACACCGCTCGTATACGTGTCGCGTGCTTTGTTCAACAAGCTTTTTGGAAAGAGACCGAACTGTGGTATATGTCCGAGGACAGGTATCCAGTATGGTATCATCGGTACGCTTCTGGACCCATTTTGCGCAGGCTTCGAGGTCCCGAGAAAGCCACTGAGGAAACGAGTCGTAATTGCGATGAACAAAAATACGACTACTGCAGTGGCCCATGTTGTATCCAGTCTTTGTGATGCTGTTGGCTGAATTTGTAGCCTGGCGACCGGCGTTACAGTGGCATTGGAAGCCATCGCTTCTCGTTGTACAAGAAGAGCGATCCAGGGGTAAACGTTAATGGTCACCCTGTCACTAGTCGGGCTCAAACTCTACTTTATGCGGTTCCCGAGGAGCTATCTTCCACAAGTTCCAGAACTGACAATCCTCAAGACCAGCTTGGGAGATTCCTGAGTTGATGCGAGAAAAGTTAGTAGTCAGGAGAATCGCAGGACTGCTGACACCGGATGACCTGTTCTGAGATGGCGGCGACTCCCAGTTTCTTGGCAAGGGAAGATTTCTTGAAGACCGAGCATCGTCTAAACAACCACTCGTCTGATGCTAAGAGCAACATTCCGACCATTCAGGTTGATTCACCAAAGAAGTCACTTTTCTACACGTTTCGCAGCAATGGCACCTAAGCAGCTCAATTTCATTACCGGCAACAAGAACAAACTTGCCGAAGTTCAAGCAATCCTCGCCCCAACTGGCGTAGACCTCTCAAACCAATCTGTAGACTTGCTTGAAATCCAAGGCACAATTGAGGAAATTTCCAAAGACAAATGCCGCAGGGCAGCAGACACGGTACATATGAAGATGATTGAAATGTAGTTTTCAAGTATGTTAAGCAAGGTTCTATCTAGGNTTGGCGGCCCAGTCCTGGTGGAAGACACATGCCTGTGCTTCGACGCCTTCGATGAACTCCCAGGCCCATACGTGTAAGACTTTTACCAAATCAAGCCTTGAGACGCGTCAACTGAATGATTGAACATAGCANAGTGGTTTTTGAAGTCGCTCGGCGTCCAGCAATTCCACAAGCTTCTCGCTGGGTTTGACGACAAGGGTGCCCAGGCTGTGTGCACATTCGCATACTCTGAAGGCCCTGGCCACGAGCCCATCGTTTTTCAGGGAAGAACCAAGGTTGGTTGCCATAAGACAAGTTCTGCTTACGACAAGCATGCTGACCAGTACGACAGGNGCAAGATTGTTGAGGCCCGCGGCCCTACCGATTTTGGTACGCTTGCTTCTACTTGTTGTCTTGAGATGAAACTGATTTGAGCCACAGGTTGGGATGCATGCTTCGAATACGAGGGCCAGACATATGCCGAGATGCCCAAGGCCGAGAAAAACAAGATCTCGCACCGCGGAAAGGCTTTGGCCAAACTGACTGAGTGGCTTGACGCACACACGGAGTAAGAAATCATTTGAGCTGACAGGCAGGGCTGTATGTAGATCGAGTCAATCATGTAGAATAGACATGACATACTTTATGCCTCGGAATGATCCTTCTTCCAGTTTTCGATCCATGTCTGGATGCGCTCGAGGTTCTCGTCAATCTGGTCGAGATCATCGCTCTGCAACTCGACGACAATTTCCTCGTCATAAGAATCGCGTGCTTCCTGTAAGAGTACCTCCATGATTTCGGCGTCCATGTTTTCGTCGAGTTTCTTGTCACTGTAGCCACGGTCCTTCAGGCGATCGTAGAGAACAGTGCTGTCGCAGCGAATGACAACAACAAGATCAACCAAGGACTGAGGGAACATGTCGCAAGCGTGCCAATCAATAATTTGTCCACCTGCCTCGAGATCAGGCTCAATTGCATCTAGGAGNCTGCCCATAGATTAGGTATTGCACAGCAAAACATGACGTCGCCGACTGCTTACCTTGTCCTCATCGACAATGACACTGTTCAGCTCATCATCAAAACCATCCTCGCAGTCGCGCTCCTTCACAACCTTGTTGACATTGAGATGAGTGAGGCCAGTGCTTGATGCGAGCTGCTCGCAGTGAGTAGTTTTTCCCACGCCGGGAGTTCCAGTGATGATGATGTTCGGTGAGGTACGCATTATGCTGTGTGTTGTCGAATGTTTGTTTCTTGGTTTGAGATCGATCTCAGAAATCTTTGCCCCGCGCACGAGCCGCCTTCACCAGTTCTCGACGATGAACTCGTCTGTACGCTCCACGCAATAGACACAAAACTTGTGAATTGATAGATGGCTAATTTGAGGCGTAGGTCTCGATGGTATACGATAAATTCGAGGTTAGAACGGCGTTTGCAGGCCCCGTCGACACCAACACTCGTAGCGGCATCGTCTTCACGAGAGGATTGATATCTTTTCGTGATATTTGGACGATCCCTCTCCTTCTTAATGGGCTTCTCTACCCCTTTGATCGTCTCTGGTTCATGTCGCTTGTCGTGTTGTTTGATGATACGCCAAGTATATACTATTCTCGATGCTATAGAGTTCCGGATCGTGGTGTGTTCACGTACCACCTGCACTTCTGGCCCTTGTATATAGTAGTCTCTTATATCTGACCACTATGTTGTCGTCTGATCTGGTGCCATGGCTGCCATCGCTGTCTTGCTTGATTGGGAGGTCCTCACCCTTGTCGACGACCTCGTTCTAGATAGCAACACAACTCCACGCGCAGTCTATACCATTGGCATTCTTCCATTGCTACAAAGAACAAAACATGAGACACTTAGGGCTGTTGGCAGATTGTAAATTATGCTGGTCAACCTCAAAAGCATCATACATTCGACTCCCTGTGACAACTGGAACTTCTCTACGCCTTACTAGCAACCAATGCTGCCGAACATCACCCAGTACACCGGTCCAATGATGGCCGGTTCTCTCGTGGCAGCAGAGTGATCAAGTTCATTAATCTAAACCTTGCGTGAAATCGACAGCGACCCGCTCACGGCTCTTGGACAAAGCTTCTCGTTCAGCATTACACCTCAGGAGAGCCTGCCGTCATCAGGCATTGCCTCTAGGTGTTCTCGGATCATACTAGGAATTCCTTTGAAGGCAGAAATTGATCAGGTTCACTACAAGCTACACGCGATTCTATCGCCAAATCGAACATCCCTTTGGAAGACGTGTATAGTATGATCACTTCGAAGGAGAATATGCGACAAGACAATCGATTATTCTTGTGGAAACATTCTCGTCACGGTTGTCGCTCGAATCGACCTCTCGCCGTAAGGAGAACAAGCTGTATTGTCTTCTCAAACGGGCTAGGTCTGCCCTGGTTCCTCACGTGTCAGTGCCAGGTTGGGTTAGCGAACGTAGGCGGGGACGCATGAGCAGAAGTGCCGAACGGAGGAGGAGGTGAGATCAGGCAGATGGACGACATAGTTATTGTAACAATGACACTCTTTAGCCATAGTTAAAAGCAATGAAGGCGATCCGATTGTTGTGATAGTCGCTTCATCTGCCAATAGGATTGGTCATAATCGGAGTTGTGGTAGTTAAGATATTACAGGATAATAAACTACTTGAGTAGCTTGACGACGTAAACACGATAAACTGGACTTGTATACTACTTTCAATACCACTTTCAAACCACCTGGATCTCGTGGAGAAGGAGCTGGCGATCATCACACTGATCTTACCTCTTTTGATTGACATTGTCGCGTCGGTATACCATATACCATTAATCACTCATTGAGTCTCGAATCAATCCCATCGCTATACATTGCCGTGTCATCTTCGCTGTATGCTGCGAGTCTCTGTACAAAAGAACGTGTTCATCGTTGAGCTGTCCATTGTCTTGTGGTCGACTCATACCCAGCTCGAATGAGGCCTGAAGCTTGGTATACCAATTTCGCGACGCTACTCATCGGTTTCGAATACTAGGTACTTGAGTCTTTACCAACTATTATGCAATTTATTGATCAATAGAAAGAAGTCACTTCGTTTGAGGCTCATCTATCTGGGTATGTAATGGTGAATGTAACAGCGTGAAATGCTTTGCAAAGGACTTTTGGAGCTCATCTACTCCATCTGTTCTATATGTATAACAACAGCAACGCTATGCTAACCGCTAATCGAGAAAGGTGAAAAGATTGGTGTGAACCACGTTGAGGGCTCTGTTGGCCTCGGCCTCTTCGATCACGCAAGAAATGTTGATCTCGCTGGCGCCTNNGTGAAAGATTGTTAGCAGATGTGTATGGAGTTGACGGACTTGATACGTACCCTGAGAGATCATCTCAATATTGATGCCGTTCTCACCGAGGACACTGAAGAAGCGACCACTAATACCGACCATGCTGCGCAGCTGGCGACCGACAAGACTAATGACGGCCAGACCAGGGACAAGATCGATATCACCCCAAACACTGAGGTCGTCAACGGCGCCCTTGAGAGCAGCAGACTCGATTTGAATCTCTTCAGAATCGGGGCCGGCGCCAGACAGGAGGGCGACCTCGGAGTGCAGGGCCATGGAGACGTGCACTTCGGACGAGGAGATGAGGTCGACGGACAGATGCCACTTGTCGAGAACAGAGAAAATGGACATCAGGAAGCCATGAGCACGCGTACGCTTCTTGGAGTGCACGTTGAGCACGGTAATACCGCGCTTGATGGTGACAGCGGTAGGGCGCTTGGGTCCGTCGTGGGTGCTGAGACTGACCAGACTGCGGTTGCGGAAAAGAGAAGGCTTCTTCTCCCCAAGGTCATCGGCATGGTCAGGCCAGATGATGGTTCCCTGGTTGCGAGGGTTCTTGACATTCTTGATACGAATAGGAATGCTAGCTTTGATAACCTGATCCATGGTGAAGGGATGAATGACTTCAGATCCATAGAAGGTCAACTCGGCCGCCTCGGAAGGAGTGACTGATGGCAACAGGCGAGCGGTGGGCACCTTTCGAGGGTCTGCGGTGAAGATGCCGTCAACCTCTTTCCAGATCTGCAACTCCGAGGCCCCAATGCCGACAGCAACGAGAGCGGCGCAAAGGTCAGTGTAACCACGTCCGATCTGAGTAAGAAGACCACCAGGGACGTCGCCGAAGTAGCCGGTAATGACAGGAACGGCATCGCCGCAGGCCTGCACAGCCTTTGCAAGGGATCCGGCCAGATTGCGGTAGAAGCTATCGTCAATGCGCTCGCCGACGGGGAAATCGATGACATTACTCAGGTCAACGTACTGAGCGTTGCATCCACGATCCTGCAGAACGGCTGTCATGTACAGACAAGACAACTTCTCGCCTTTAGCGACAATCTTGTCCTCTGTACGCTTGCTGACCTCGGTCAAGTGCTGAGCGGACTCGAGGATCTTGACCAGGTTGTCGCATTCGGCATTGACACAGTCCGAGTATGTTTCCAGAATTTCGGCTGAGGAGATGGTATCCTTTGCGACGGCTATGTGGTCGGCGCGGATGACATCGACAATGTCGACATATTTTCGCGAGCCAATGCGTTCGGCCTCACGAGCGGCGCGCAGCAGGCGGTTGGTGGTGCCCTCGCTCTTGGTGTAAGTGCTACGTGCAGAGCACACGATAGCAGTACGGTGTTCCTTGAGGCTGGCACTAAAGACAGGGTCAGTACAAGGCTGGATCTCAGAGACAGCATGCGACNNGTACATGACAATGTCTTGGGCAATGTCGACGGCGAACTTGCCGACACTGGTACCGCCAAACTTTTGCACAACCCAATTGCCGCCGCCGGGCAGGTTCTTTTCCTGCTGGTGAGGTATTGACTGTTCGAATCCGTTGGTGTAGGCCATTGTGAAGGTGGTGGAGACTTTGAGCGATCGTTGGCGTGTTCCTGATTTGTTTGTGTCTTTGAAAGTGGTGGTATTGTTCTCCAAAGCGAAATTGAGTCACTCACGGTTGACCCGATGCGCCCCGAAGTCGCTGAAGACCCAACTGCCCTAGATGCCCCACATCAGCATCATCATCATGCTCTTGCGTCTCTTTTCGTTTCCATCTTCCATCTCCGTCAATGGCTTTTGATCGAAGTAGTTCACTGCTTCGACCACGGCCCTCGCAGTATCAGTGTGTTTTCATCGTTACACCTTGAAGACAAAGAACCTCATCTGGCTGATTAGTGCGCCTCGTCCTTGTAAACTTTTTATCTGGAGAGATCTGAAAAACTGGGCAGAATATGACATCCTTCAATGTAAGTCATGACACCGAATATCTGTTTTGTCTTTCCCTGGTGTTTGATCTTCAAATTCTTTTATCCATGTATGGGAAGACAAGATAGATGGAAAACACCATCTCAGAATGGAGGATGGAATATTCGAGACAAAGAGAAGAGACGATACCCTGTGATCGAGACTTTACGGTTCTAGCAGTTTAAGACCATAGCATACAAGGAGGTAACGTTGTTTCATTTCGTTTATCAATCAACACCTGGCTGGGCTCGGCAGACGCGACTCGTAAGTTGTGTGATTGCATGTTCGAGCAAGTCTCATAGACTCCACTCTGCATATCATGCGTGGTAGTATCGTCCTGGAAACCAGTTCGAGTTTTGCTATCTTCACTGTGAAGGACACGAGTCCAAGACAGCCATTCGGTTTCATCTCTGCTACTCTCTTTCGTGTTTCCTTCACTTTGTTTTCGACACAAAACGACGTCCAGGACTTGTGCCCTTCAGTACTTTCCTTCAGTCACTCCAACGTTCCAACACCTTCCGGAGACTGCGCCATCTCTCTTGCTGCACAGATACTTAAACTTCCATCCTCACCAACCTCCTCTTCATCCTTCATCAGTCACAACACTTCGCCCACCATGTCTTACTCATACGCCACAGCCAAGGCTGTCCTCAGCGATGTTGACAAGGACCGCATCCTCGCTATGCATCTCAGCTCTGACACGGTCAACGATGTGCGTTGATAATGAGATCTTCAGATCACATACCCCTGCTGCCGAGTACTAACTCATCACCAACAGGTCGACTGGGACAAGGCAACCCAGGCTTACGGCGCCGCTAGCGTGGAAAGCATGAGAGTCTCCTATCACAACATCCTCAAGAAGATCGAGAAGGCTGGCGGAAAGACTGGTATCACTGCTCCAGCCACTGGGGCTGATGGTTCTGCTCCTACGACTCCCAAGACCCCCAAGACGCCAAAGACTCCTAAGGGCAAAGGTGGTCGTCCTCCCAAGCGCAAGGCCGAGAACACTGGATCTGACCAAGACGATGATGATGCACCCAAGACCCTCCGCAAGAAGGCCGCCAAGAACATCATCAAGGCAGAGGAGGATGAGGACGAAGGTGACGAGGAGACTATCAAGACTCCCAGAAAGGCTGGTCGCCCTCGCAAGACCCCAGCCAAGTCCACCACCAAGTCTGCAATGAGCAAGACTGCTGCTGCTGATGATGATGATGATGATGATGATGACGCTGCTAAGGAAAGCAACAACGCTTCTGAAGAAGTTGAGCCTGAACAGGAGGATGAACAGACTTCTGGAATGATCAAGGCGGAAGACGAGTCCGAGTGTTAGAGCTTTCGGGACATCCACATTGCCATCGTTCGTTCAGACCGGCTGCGCTTATACATCCACGTCTTGCCATGGCATTCTAGGAGCTGCTGCAGATGCTAAGATTGCATTTGATGGCTGCACGAACAGAGTCCAACAGGAGTTAGAAAGCTTGGGTCGAGGTTGAGGACACTGTGGTGATTATCATGGTCCTGGGAAAGAGACTTCCTTTGTCTTTTCCTCTTCTTCAACTAGTCCTCTTCAAACAAATACAAGCACTCAATATTTATTCTCTGTCTTCAAGTGACGTCTTTGTTGAATGCGGAGAGATGGTCTGGATGGGATGCGATGAGAAGCACGCGATAGCGACTCACTGACAGCTCTTGAGACCACGGCAACAACAGCTTCACCAACAATCTGAGCAGATGCGATAATTGTGGATTTGTATGAGACGAAAGACTTTGATTGTAGGCGTGCTCTTGGTCGCGCATCAAGCGAATGACCTCTCCATGTGCTAAAGTCTGTGACTTCCATCGTACTCGTACTCCGGAACGCAAAGTATACGCCATGGAAAGGCGCATTTGTGTCGCGAATAAAGACAGGTCCATAGAGAGTCAATACTTTGTCGCTTCTCAGTGGACACTATCCTGTTACCTAGTAGTATGCATTTCTACAGCTACAGGCGTTACATGCTTTTTAATCGGGAGAGTGGAAGGACGACTTGAGTTGCGGCTTCCGCCAAGACGCTAGCGGCTAAGTCCTCGGCGCGACGCCCACGCACACATCGGTCGAATTCCTCCCTCGCGACTACCTGACTGACGAGCGACAACGTGAGACCGACAACACCTATCGACACTCGCCGGGACAATCAAAATCAACACAAAATGCCATCCGAGCAAGGTCACCGCCGTGAGTTTCCCTGAAAGTCTGGAATCTGGTTCTCGCGAAGACGCCACTTGCCAGATGAATGTTGAATGTTTTTGAAGAAATGTCTGCTAACACACTCCAGTCTACGTCAAGTGAGTACAGAATCCGAATCGCTGCCACACATTCCTTTACTACGACTCTCTCTTCGCATTCAAATCGATCACTATCCGTACACACCAAACGACATCCAGAAAAACATACACATCCATTCACAGCGATTCAGACGATGCATGGCCATAGAACGTATATTGACCTCGTTNCGCACAGGGGACGTCACCTCAGCTACCAGAGAGGCAAGCGCAACACCAACCCCAACACCAGCTTGATCAAGATTGAGGGTGTCGACGACTCCAAGGCCGCCAGCTTCTACCTCGGAAAGAAGGTCGCCTTCGTCTACCGCGCCTCCAAGGAGGTCCGCGGCACCAAGATCAGAGTCATGTGGGGCAAGGTCACCCGCGCTCACGGTACATATCCCATGGACAACAGAAAGAGTCAAGGAAGACATCTGACGCAAAATTTACAGNGCAACTCTGGTGTCGTCCGCGCTCAGTTCCGCAACAACCTCCCTCCCCGTTCGTTCGGTGCCACCGTCCGCGTCATGCTTTACCCCTCCTCGATATAAGTGCGGCAATGACGGATTCGATGGGATAACGAGCATGATCAAGTGTCGCAGCGGTGTTGGTTTGCAGTCAACCTGGTCTCTATGACAAAGCCAGTGGTTCAAAAGGAAGGCGTTTTCTCAGTCTGGGAAGGGAAGCTGCCGACTAGTTTCATGTCCAAAAAGAATCGCAAAAGCCTCCCGGCATGGCGCAATAGCCATGATGAGATAAACTGGTCCCCGTCGTCTCGAAAATTTTCACGTTCCAAATTCAACTGCAGCTCCAGCGTGAACCGGCCCAGATTGTGATTTGTATAATAGACTTAACGAATGCTAGAAATGGTCAAGAAAGTCATTACATGAACATTGAGCCAACAGAGACAGGGTCGCACTAAACATGGCACTCGCCCAATGCGTTCATAATTGATGCCATAAGCCTGGGTGTCGAATTGCGCACAGAGCCCATGTGGAGGCTTCGGCTCTGAACAAAAGATGGCCCCGGATTGTTTCCCAAACAGGAAGGCTTATCGTCATCCAGCCCGCCGTCCCGTCTGCCGTGCGATTCTGCTGGAAATGCTTTCTTTTGCTCGTCGTGACTTTGAACATCCTCTTGCTTGCCCACGAGTAGTGACAGTTACTGTCGCTTCTCCTCGACAAACACCAGGTGTCATGGATCGCAATGGTTCGCGAAGCCGTCGGCGCTCGTCTGTCGCCGTCGACGATGACACGGCCAGCCGCCGCAATCACTTTTACCGGCGTGAGTCCAACATGAGCGAGTAAGTATACCTTTCGGTCCAAGTCGCTATGCCGCTCGTGCTTATAGAANGCAGGGTTAGTTTCCTCAGCAATGTTGGCATGGCCAACGACGAGATCTTCTCGGGCCCCATGTCCGAGAGCGTACCTACTGCCAACAGCTCCTTTGCACACCGTCGTTCACGCGCAGACTCGACTACCAGCTTCACCTATTACGATGATCAGGACGAGGACCGGGATATCTCCGATGAAGAATGGCTCCAAGAAGAAGCCATTATTGACGAAGAAGCTGAGCTCGAAGAAGATCGTGCTGATGCTGAAGATGGCCATGCCTTTGCTGAGCCCGATATGGACCTAGAGTCTAACGATCGGCCCTCTCTGCACAGTCGCAAATCTTCTGGATACTCTCGATCATCGGCCCGCAGCCCACTCTTGCGACGTCGACGCTCTTCGGACACGGACAGAAGTGTTCGAAGTGGCTATGGCTCGGGCGGCAGAATGAGCCAGAAAATCTACATACAGAACGAGGATATGACCATTGTTGTTGCTGGTTTCAAGACTTCTGTTCTCGGCTACTCTATCTATCTCTGCATATCACTTTGTACTCTTGGACTTGGCTCATTATTATTCCGCTGGTTGCCTCGATGGCGCGTACGATTGATCGGCTCCCCGACTCCTCTGCATAAGTGTGACTGGTTGGTCATTGAGAATCAGTGGAACGAAATGGTCGTGCAGCAGCTGAGCAAGCAGAGTTTTGACATGCCTCTTTCTTCGGTCTTCGGCATGCCAGGCAAGGGGAAGATGCGCGAGTTCGATGAATATAACGACCCAATCCTCGACGAACTCCGCATCATGGATTACCGCTATATTCGTTTCTGCTTCCACCCCTTCAAGGACAAGTTTATCCTCGGGAACACCTGGCAAGACCCCGCTTGGACAGATGTTGTTACCATACGTGCTGGTATCGATGGTGAGGAGCAAGAAAACCGCGAACGTATTTTCGGCAAGAACATGATCGATATCGAGCAGAAGTCGGTCGGCCAGCTCCTTGTTGACGAAGCCTTGCATCCGTTCTACATCTTCCAGATTGCCAGTCTGGTCCTCTGGTCTGTGGACGAGTACTACTACTATGCTGCCTGCATCTTCGTCATTTCTATTGTTAGTATCGCTTCGACTTTGATCGAAACTAGAGCGACTATGGCACGTCTTCGGGAGATCTCACGCTTCGAGTGCGACATTCGTGTTCTCAGAAGTGGTTTCTGGCGTTACGTTCAGTCTAGCGATCTGGTCCCAGGAGATGTCTACGAGATCACAGACCCAAATCTGACCCAGTTCCCTTGTGACAGTCTTTTGCTTTCCGGTGACTGCATAGTCAACGAAAGTATGCTTACAGGAGAATCAGTCCCAGTCTCAAAGATTCCAACAACCAATGAATCACTGGAACTACTTGATCTAAGCGCTTCTTCTATCCATCCCGAGGTCGCCAGAAACTTCTTGTTCAGCGGCACCAAGATCATTCGTGCCCGCAGACCCCAAGAGGACAAGAGTGACGAAGCCGCTGCGCTGGCTCTGGTCGTTCGTACAGGATTCAACACCACCAAAGGAGCGTTGGTTCGCTCCATGCTTNTTCCCAAGCCTTCTGGATTCAAATTCTATCGAGACTCGTTCCGCTACATCGCAGTGATGGCAGGTATCGCTATGGTTGGCTTCGTGGCTTCATTCATCAATTTTGTTCGCCTCGGCCTCGAATGGCATCTCATTGTCGTTCGAGCATTGGATTTGATTACTATCGTTGTTCCCCCTGCGTTACCCGCCACTCTAACTATCGGCACCAATTTTGCTCTATCTAGGCTGAAGAAGAAGTTCATCTTCTGTATTAGTCCTCAAAGAGTCAATGTCGGTGGCAAGCTTGACGTGGTCTGTTTTGACAAGACCGGTACTCTGACTGAGGATGGTCTCGATGTCTTGGGAACGCGCGTAGTACACCGACCTGCCAACAGATTCAGCGACATCCTCACCGACTCTTCTGCTCTTCTGCCAGGCGCAACTTACGAGCGCGACCCTACAGTCGACTACAATGCAAACAAGGCTATCTTGTACACCATGGCTACTTGCCATTCTTTGCGGATTGTCGATGACGAGTTCGTTGGTGACCCTCTGGATCTCAAGATGTTCCAGTTCACCGGCTGGCAATACGAAGAAGGCTCTGAACGACCTGGCGCGTCTGATGAGGATGATCAAAACTCTCTGTCGCCATCTGTAGCCCGCCCCCACCTGGTATGGAACTTGNATCTGGATGAAGACGAGACTTCACCCAACAACAAACGAGCAATTGAACTCGGAGTGCTGAAATCCTTCGAATTCGTCTCTCAATTGAGGCGTGCGAGTGTCATCGTACGTCAGTTCGGAGATCCAAGTGGCAATGTCTACGTTAAGGGTGCTCCTGAATGTATGAAAGACATCTGCCGTCCTGAAAGTTTCCCACCGGATTATGAAGAGCTACTCAGCTACTACACCCACCGTGGTTTCCGTGTCATCGCTTGCGCAACCAAGCATATCTTTAAGCTCAACTGGTTGAAGGTGCAANAGATGAAGCGCGAAGAGGCCGAATCTAACCTTGAATTCGTCGGATTCATCATCTTCGAGAACAAGCTTAAGCCCACTACAACTGGCATCATCGAAGAGCTTCGTGATGCAAACATTCGCACAGTCATGTGTACCGGAGACAACATCTTGACTGCTATTAGTGTCGCCAGAGAGTGTAACTTGATCGACAGATCTGCTCATTGTTTCGTCCCTCACTTTGTCGAGGGTGATTCACGTACAGCACTATCTCGCTTGAGCTGGGAAAGTGTGGATAACCCTGCATATCAGCTAGACGACAACACTCTCAAGCCTTTGCCTCCGCCTGCCGAACACGACTCTTCTCTGCCATACGACGTCTCAAACTTGCGCAACTACTCTATCGCAGTCAGTGGTGATGTTTTCCGCTGGCTTGTTGACTTCGCCTCACCAAAGGTTCTTCGTGAGATGCTAGTCTGCGGCCAAGTCTTTGCGCGCATGTCGCCTGACGAGAAGCATGAACTTGTAGAGAAACTACAGAGCATCGATTACTGCTGCGGTTTCTGTGGTGATGGTGCCAACGATTGTGGTGCTCTCAAAGCTGCGGACGTAGGCATCTCCCTCTCTGAAGCTGAGGCCTCAGTTGCCGCGCCGTTCACCAGCCGTATCTTCGATATCTCCTGCGTACCAGAGGTTATTCGCGAAGGTAGAGGAGCGCTTGTCACAAGTTTCAGCTGTTTCAAGTACATGTCATTGTACTCGGCTATTCAATTCACTTCTGTGAGTTTCCTCTATGCATCTGCATCTAACCTTGGAGACTTCCAATTCTTGTTCATCGACTTGGCCCTCATCCTTCCCATCGCTATCTTTATGGGCTGGACAGGTCCATACCCTATCCTCTCCAAGAAACGACCTACTGCTAGCTTGGTCTCGCGCAAAGTCCTTACACCCCTACTTGGACAAATTGTCATCTGTGTTTTGACCCAATTGGTCGGTTGGGAGATTGTGCAACGCCAACCTTGGTATCAGCCACCCATCCTGGACAAGGAGCACTCAAACTCGGAAAACTCACAAAACACAACCCTCTTCCTGATCTCTTGCTTCCAATACATACTTTCGGCCATCGTGCTCAGTGTCGGACCTCCCTTCAGACAATCTATGACACAGAACCGTAAGTTCAGCATAGTGATTGGGGGTGGGAACATATTCACTAACAAATTCATAGTGCCTTTCGTCATTACCATGGTAGTAGCTGTTGGTGTATCTGCCTACATGCTGTTCGATCCCGCCCCATGGCTTGTCAGCCTGATGGAGCTTACCGACATGTCAACAAGCTTCCGCATTTTCATTTTGGTCCTTGCAACCGGAGGGTTTGCCTGTTCTTACCTGGCTGAAAGAGCTGTTTTCCCCCCTCTTGCCAAGTGGATCGGTAAGGCTAACGCCAAACTACGACCGAGTCACCAGAAGAAGAGAAAGGAGTACAAGCTCATTGCGGAGAGCATGCGCATTTGAGTCGGCTGTAGAATAATGCTTGTCTGCTTTTCACAGAGAGATGAATGATCATAGTTTCGTTGTATAGAGTACATACATGCGCAAAGCAACCTCAATGTCCTGAACGAATACGTATGCCGAGCTATCTGTAATGGTCTTGTAGTCCCAGTTCGTGAAAGCAGCACTAACGTTGACTGCACTCTCCTGCTTCCTTGTGCATCGGCTGGTCTGTAGTATCATAAGCATCGGAGAGTCGTGAGAGGTCACACCACGGTAGAGGGCTTCTTTTCTTCGAGGACAGAGCGCCGTGTGTGTATGGAAGATATTGTTTGCTGAACATGTTCCTTTCATCTTTAGAGGGCATTCTGTCTGCCCAACTATGCATCGTAAACAGCAAGTATTGGCAAAATATACGTGTTATCGTCTTATGATTAATCGCTTACTGTATGATGCTTAGAACGGTATGGTCAAGATGGCCGTCTGATTAATATGCGTGGAAGACGTCGTAGTATAGAGCAGGGTTACCCAATCAACATCTATCGAACAGACCAATATCACTACCACGCTTGAACAAGAGTACTGTAGAGCAAATGTACCGCAAGGAGAAGGGCCGACCTAAAGTATTGGTAATTGCCTCACCCGAAATAAAGATTTATGTTGTCACAAGAATTTTGTGTTGGGTCAATGACTGAGCTTGGAAAGAAACATTATTTCGGCAACATCTATGCTAGATAAGAAAGACAGTATCATGCCTTGACAGAAACATCAAGACCGGTGACAGATATCCTGGTAACGATCACCAGGATCGCAGCACCTAAAAGGGTAGCACCAGAAAAGACCTGCATGCCCACCCAATTGCCGCTGCCCACAAGCAGACCTGCGATTGGCGTGCCGATAAGAATGCCAAAGGAAGCACAAAANGTGTTCATACCCATTCTTCCACCGACTGTACTGAGATCTTCCGTGATCGAAGCCACAGTGGTAGGCTGCAAACTGACGAAGGCACCAGACAGAGCACCGTAGAGAAGAGCCCAAATGATCAGACCGCCGGCAGTATGATGAATGGCTATCCAACAGAACCCGAGGATACTCGCGCAAAGGTTACAAAAGCCGAGCACGTTGAGAGCACCAACTTTGTCCGCAACAAGGCCAGGGATGATTCGACCAGCGATCGATCCAGCACTCATCATGGGAAGCATGTAGAAAGAGAGGGTGTCTTCCAAACCAGACACATCTCTCGCATACGTAGAGATGTAAAAGAACGGAACATAAAGCCCTACGAAGCCTACGAAGCTGGCAAGGCTAAACAGGGCATAGGCGGGTTCCTTGAAAGCGGCAAAGTCCAGTAGCTTTCTGCGTGACTTCGGAAAAGCGCGAGCCTTGATGCAGAAACAAGGGACAAGCAAAGTGGCCAAGGAGATGAAGCCGATGACTCGCGTAGCCCACCCGAACCCAATCTGAGGCTCGAGACGACGGAAGATGATAGGGAAAATGACGCCGCCGAAACTCGAGCCTGAAGCAGCAATGCCCATTGCAACGGCCTTNTTAGTTGTAAAGTACGAAGGAATGATGGCAATTGAGGGGAGGAAGAGGCAGCCAGCTCCCCATCCAATACAAAGACCTTGTGCTAAACAGAGTTGCCAATACTCCGAACAGAGACTTGTCATCATCATTCCGAAAACAACAAGCGCAGAGCCGAACATAACAAGCAGTCGAGGATGCCCGTGGTCGTATATGAGTCCAGCAAAGACAGTCGCACTACAGAGCAAGAAGGCCTGTATCGATCCTATCCACGATATATCCGAATTGCTCACATCCGGTATAAGAGTACTGCTGTAGAAATCCTGGAACACACCGAATGCGTTGACCATGCCCCACGCGCTCATGAAGCACATGAACCCCGACAACACTTGTAGCCATGCAGTGAATCCACCATTTGGTATCCCATTGGGTATAGTAGATGTGGGCTGGCTTCCAGAAGGTTGTTCCTGAGATTGCGCTTGCGCTTTCTGATCTAGTGTGTTTCCAAAGCCTCCCTGATCCGATGAGAGTGCTGGAGATTCGATATCAGACTTGACATCTGATTTGACAGAAGATGTGCTGGATCGTCGAGAGTCTGTCATGTTGTAGGAGAAGGTCGAAATCCAGAATGTTTCGATGCTTGGATTGTCGAAGGAGACTGTACACACATCATAGCAGAACTATTGTACCTACAGGATGTGAGTCAAATATATTTTGTAGGCCGGACGCCTTACACATACCATCAACAGCCGTGATTTTTGTATACAGGAGCCGGCATTGTTGCTACATGAGCAGGACCGAAGTGATCCCTTTTATCTCGATAGAAGTTGCCAGAGGCTTGGTCGGGATCCACTTTGGGTCGCACAGGTTTTGGATTTCGGTACTCCGAAGGACACTTGTATGCGCAACTTGATAGACAGATCTGATACACACCTCAACCGTCGTTTCTTGAGCATTTTGTACTTGCGATATCTGTTTGTTGCCTAATTTGACATGTTCTGGTGTCGGTGGTCGAAGTGAGGTTGCGAGAAGAAAATTACAGCGAACTCTACATTCAGGCTAGCCGCAGATCGTTTCGGAATGGCGTCGGGCAAACCCTTAAGTAAAAGGGCTAAAACATTTGCCGGGACGAGAAGCGAACAAAGACATAGACATCACGCCAGAGCTCTCGTAAGAGGTCGGAAGGTGCTGCTTTTCGGTTCAAGAAGTCGGCAAACACTCAGCATGACGTCCGGTACCAAAATCTGATGCTTGAGGAAGAGAGTACTCAGTTCTGCTTGTCTCCTTTTGGTTCATAGCTCTGCATCTATCTACACTATGGTATGAGAGGCCGGCACGACTTCGAATAAGTCGACGCTCACAGGCTACACGCTGCAGCAACGCCGTATAGCACTCTCACTCCATATGGAGAAACTAGAGTGGAAAGTGCTTTTGTATTGCTCAACACCACGCTGTTATAGGTCTCGTCATCTGTCATAGGGTATCTTCTTTATTTCTTGGTGCGATCAGCAAGCTCTCCAGTGGCAGGAAGCTTAGGAGCAGCGCCTCCCTTGGTCTCTGCCTTACCCTTGGCCTTCAAGCTGGTGGAGTCCTTGGGAAGCTCCTTGGTGAAGGGAAGGAATTCAGGCTGGCCAGGAATGTACTTCTGCAAGACCTTGGGAACATTGATACCATCCTCGGTCTGGTAGTTCTCGAGGACACAGCACAAAGCTCTCTCGGTGGCGCAGAGAGTGGAGTTGAGAGCGTGGACATAAGACTTTTGGTAGCTCGAGTCAGTCTGCTTCTTCTGACCATAACGGATCTCAAGCTCGCGAGTCTGGTAGTCCAGGCAGTTGGAGCACGAGACGAGCTCCTTGTACTCGCCCTGGAAGGGGAACCAAGCCTCGAGGTCGTACTTCTTCGAGGCAGCGTTGTTGAGAGCACCAGAAACGATGGCAACAACACGGTATGGGAGGCCAAGGGACTTGTAAAACTCTTCGGAGGTGTCGATCATGCGGTCAAAGTGCTCCCATGATTCTTCGGGCTTGCAGAAGATGAATTGTTCGATCTAGAGGGATGTAAGTACGAGCAACAGAGCAGAGTTACAGATGAATTGAATTACCTTCTCGAACTGGTGGACACGGAAGATACCCCACGCATCCTTGCCATGCGAACCAGCCTCCTTTCTGAAGCAAGTACTGTAGCCAGCGTATTTGATGGGCAGGTCCTTGTCTTGCAGCCACTCGGCCTCGTGAAGAGCGGACAAGGGCTGCTCAGAGGTTGCGATCAGATACTTGTCAGTCTCCTTAGAACCATCCTCTGTGACCTTGTACAATTCCTCGTCGAATTGCTCGAGCTGAGCAGTCTTTGCCATGGCATCACGGTTCATGAAGAAAGGAGGCATGTTGGGCTTGTAGCCCTTGTTGAACAGGAATTCGAGGCCGTAGTTGATGAGAGCCAGGTTGAGGAAGAGACCGTAGCCAGTCAAGCAGTAGCCTCTGTGGCCAGCAACCTTGACACCGCGCTCAGGGTCGTAGCCGTCCAGACGGGTGAGCACCTCGTGGTGAGACAGGCAGTCCTTCTTCGCAACCTCAACGCCCTCAGGGGTCCAATCACGGATCAGCTGGTTGTTGTCCTCGTTGTCGCTGACGGGCACAGAGTCGTGGACGTAGTTGCCAATTGACTTTGCTTTCTTCAGCAGAGCAACGTGCATGTCCTTGGTAGTGTCCTCCTGCTGCTTGTGACGGGCCTGCAGCTCGTCCTTCTTCTTCAGCAAATCGTCGGCGTTACCCTTGGCTTTCTTGATCTGTCCAATCTCTTTCTGGAGTGTGTTGATCTCGGTCTTGATCTGGTTTGCAGCATATTGGNNGCTTTACAGAAAGAGCGTGTTAGCAGCATCCAGTGAGGGTTCGGTGAGACGAGATAACCCACACTTTCTGTGGTCCTCAAACATGGCGATAACCTCGTCCACTGCCTCTTCGGGGGCATGGCGTCTGCGTTGACTCTCCTTGATCTTCTTCACATCACCGCCGCGCTCGGCAATAAAGTCGTTGATGTCCAACATGGTTGTGCGTGCTGAGTCTCTAGTCAAGTTTGGCGGACAGCTCAGCCTTTCTTTCGTTTGCGCCTAGAGGGGTCCAAATCTTGACTCATGTGTTGCTATGATTCGAAACAGTGTTGCCAACGTCACCAACACTTGCCAACGTTGCGAACTGATCATTCCATCGAGGACTTTGTTATTTGTACACGAAAACTACAACATCAAGTAATTATCCTTGTACTATGCCAACAACCATCTCGGCTTTGATGATACCCAGCCTAGCAGCCTCATATCCTCAGTAACGACTGCTTCATCCACCAACAGCCCCATCCCGTCCGTCCATTCGCTCTCTTCGATCAGTCAGACACTATAGATGTCGTTCAAGCTTAAGTTCCCTGGATCACTTGCGACAGAATGCCTTCCGAGCTGGGAAGCTCTCACAACCGCAGTTCTTCTGTGTACCCACGATCCACCAGCGTTCGCGGCGCTTCGGCCCTGTAACAGCTGAGGGAAACTACCTCACAAAACCTCGGCAAGCCTCTTGAGGTAGCCTGGAGAAGCTGGCATGTCCTTCTGGATAAACTCGTGACCATGTTGATTTCTTCGATCGCCTCTGAAGACGTTGTAATAAGTCGATTTCAGCCATCTTGGGGACCATCATGTACAGATTTATGATCATGAGGCTCACACAAGCGGTCGAAATCTGGAAAACTGACATAACCCTCNTATTCCGCGTTAATACTGCACTAGTTTCTAGATATCGATCGAGATCACTTACCATGACGGTTTTCAGACAACCGACGGCTTAGCACATCCCACTGCACTTCTTGAACATCCACAGGACATTGTCTTGGAGATGCTGGAGGGCTACTCCTAGGGGACGTCCTGAGAGAGGCAGATGCGACCTTGAACAGCAGAGAGGTAGCTCCACCTTGTGGTGATACGCTGCATTCCTGACGGGCAGTGTGCGAATTCTGCCTGTTCAAAGAGGGTGGGCTGGTGGTTGATCTTGTGAACGGTCCGCGCTTGAAGATGCTAGATGCTGACGATGACGACGACGACGAGCGTTGAGATTCCCTAGCCATGATAAAGGATGTAAAAGGTGCCCAGTATGGTTGCGAGGGTAGATATAAATGTTGGATCGTTTCTGAAGGACTGTTTGATCGTGCAAGAGGGCCTAAGATTATATCAAATAGTAGAGATTGGCCCGAGGTCGCGTGAGAAACACAAGGAACTTCAAGGTTTGGGCTGGTAAGTGAGGGGATGGTAGTTGGGTGGCGCCGCTTTGTATACACTTCGGTAGAGAAGACCGAGAAGTCCAGTACCGCACAGTCATGGTGACGCCTCGTGTACCTGCGGGGCCTAGCTTTACACAGGGGCCTCTTCAGCACTGATTGTGTAAACCTTCCTTGAGTCGATAGTCGCCTGCTAGTCAGTCTACGTGGATGATGGCTTTGACATGAACACAGGAAGCTCATTCGCCGAACGACCTCTTCCTCATCGGCCAGACCGTTAAGTACCCGCGCGGCCACTGTACCTCGATCCTACAGTATCCCACCACAATATTTGTGTGACATGCACTGACAGGCCACCATCAGAAATGGGGCTAACAATCCTCAGCATGGTAACGGTGCCCAATCTTGACCCAGGAACCTGGCGAACTTGCAGGGACGGGCGATGTTCCGCCCAGCGCGCCCAGCGGTGTGGCTTTGACCGTTTCCTCTGCGTATGGGGCATCTCGGATCCGCTTACTAGCAAGTGTTCGCGCGACTCTAGGACACCTGGGTGAACATGGTTGAGCTCGTTGCTGTTGTTATGTGCTTTGTTTTATCGACCCCACAAGCTCACCGACGTGTTCGAGTTTGGATGGTTCACAATCAGGCAGATGACACCTCGGTGTAGCCGCCTGTTGAGATTCGCCTAAACCATGCATAGCAGTATATTGTTGCCCAGTCGCATGGATAAATACTCGAGTTATCCCGCGAGTCGAAGCAGTGAAGAAATCAAGTTCCGGGCATTGTCGGACTTGAAGGAAGCACGCCAGCGCATTCCCTGCTGTCCGTATTGAGTAAACATCGATCGGATGAGCACGCATCTTGATTTTCTTGCACATGGCCGACGTCCCATGCAACCTGCGACGCGTGTGGAGCCTGCTGACGGGCCGTTCCTACGGCACACATCTCCTGCCCAAGTCGGTAATTCACGCAGCGATCTCAAACTGAAGATGGTCAACCTCTTCCCACGTGTTGAAGATGCACACTGCTTTCGGAAAAAGCAGAGAAGCCCACTGAGAGCACAAGAACTGCTCAAAACAGCCCCACTGCATGCGACTGTTCAAGGAGTAATAAATCTTAACAACTCATGTGTGTCTGGACAAAAGTGTAGGAGAAGATCGAAAACGAGCTTAATAAGGAGTAAGTAAAGTCGTATATCTATCCTATACTCTCTCTAGCAAGAAGCCAACAGTTGCAGATTGCTTATGCAGGAGCAATCCGGTCAGTCGAGGATGAACATAGTCTGTCATACTCGTACATGCATGAATCTCCTTGTTGATTCTTGGAGAAGCAACGAGACTTCAGCTCTCATGATCAGTGCTAGAGAAACGGTCAGCAAGATGTCGTAATCAAAGCTGTACACACTTACATCGACATCCTCCCAAGCGCGACCCTGGACATTTGACAGCTCGTCCATCGTCATCACATTGCCATTGGTGAAATAACCTGCAGCTATCTTGGCATCAATTTCTACTCTGCTGTCGGCAGGAATCATTTCGTCGGGCAGTTCAACTCGCTCGTGAATTGGAATGCCTTGTTCAACGATGGCATCATGCTACACAAATTGTCAGCTATGAAGTTCGTGGTGATTTCGTCCTATCAGAACAGGTTACACCGAGGGTGTAATAAATTGGAGGGGACTCAATTCGCAGCTTGAGGCTTGGCGGGATTTTGTCAACATCTCCTTCACACCAACACATCCTGGACCACGTTAGGAGAATCAAAAATACTTACTTTCATGCTATAGTCAATTAGCCATACGTTCAAATAATCAATATATCCGTTGTATAGAGAAATGATAAGGTTATGGACTTACTTTGACATGCTCAACCTAAAGCGAAACAGCATTAGCAACATCTCTGAGAAACCAAAACGGATGAAGGGGCACAAACATTCTATCAATCTTGGTGATACCGAGCCAATGTAAGATGTCGGGCATGAGTGCTTGAAAGCGCATGTCCTTGACTCCGGCGATGTTTTCCGTGCGCTTGAAGTATTCGCTTGCGCGATCGGCACCACGTTTCCTTGCATTGTATACAAGATATTTCGTGACCTGTCACTGTCAGAACATTTTCCTTCAACGAAATTGCAACTGAGTAGTTTACCTCTCCAAGAGCTCTGCCCTCTTTTCTAAAATATATGACAACCCCTGATCCACCCTTCTGTGCTTCTTTAACTGCTTCCTCGATACCGAATGTCAGGTAAGGCCTGCATGTACAGATGTCTGAACCGAACACGTCTGAACCATTGCATCTAAGTCACGGTTAGCATAGTCTGACCAAGTCGCGTGGTCATAACACCATAGCTTTGCTGAGAGAATGCGCCCAGACGCCATGGTGTCGTTTTCAATGTGACTTACTCATCATGGATGCGTAGGGCGAGCTTTACGTTAGGATCAGACATCTTCCCAGGATCACCAAAGCAGTAAACAGTCAATCCTCCGATGGGAGGCAGGAAGGTCTTGATGTCTCCTCGCGTGATGAGCTCGGGATATGATCCTCCGGTGTGCTCGAAAAGAGAACGTCTCAGAGTGCCTTCATCGATACCAAATCGCTCCGCGACTCCAGGCAGGTACCAGACTGGCTCCACTGCGAACTTCGTGACTGCGAGCTCGCCAGTTGCGTTGAGGCAAATCTTGCCATCTGGTACCAATCTGCCGGCCTTGACACTTTCCTCGAGTTCGGGAACCTTCATGTGTGCTTTGGTGATCGCGATCGTAGGTCGGATATCGACGTCTTCCTTTTGAATGATATCCTTAAAAAGCCAAGGGGAAAGATGGCCTGTCGAATGAGTGTACAGTTAGCATTTTTCGGCATAGTCGTTGGTAGGCTACCACATAATCATAACAAGTATGTGCCTTTACAAGGACAGGATCAGACTCTCGATGCGAGCCTTGAATGCTCTAAATGCACTCCTCACTGTGCTGGCTGTATTGGTTCTCATAACAACACTTACCAAGCGGATCCATGGCAACGATCTTCTTGGGATCGGACCATTGAGGGAAAGGTCCAATATTGGCTGCCGGCTCGGTGTTTGTGAAATCCGGACGGTGATCGGTATTAAGGTTCTTGCTCGCTACGGCGAGTGCATTATCTGCAAGTATCAAAATTATCAGCACCATGACATACAAATTCCTGAATCACATCTATGCCATGTTCCTCAACATCATGTTCCCAGCTCCTTTAAGCACTCTCCGGACATGACGTCCTTCAACAGTCAAGTATACAAAGGGACATGGGCGCAAAATCGAAGAATTTGTAGACCAGATTGTACAACCTCCCCATGTGCTAAAGACAGTCACAGTATAACTGTCGAAATACACAATGTTTTCGCGACAACTCTGGTCTCCATTGAGAGAACCTTGATGAAGGCTATCTCGATGGCCAGACTTGTATTCGAGTAAGATTGTGCATTTCGATAGCTTGTAATAACCCATTATAGCTCGGGATGGAGAAGGGGTAGTTGTAAATTGTGATTGTCTTTGGCACACGGGGAGGAATATCGACTTGAGAGAGATTGGAAATGGGCTTTTGTATACGTACATATCGCGTAGGAGCCACCATGTGCACCAATAGCATTGCGTCTACGAATCGAACTTGGATTCCTTGAAACAACCACAGGACCTCGAAGAGATGGGTCCTTGTTGCCCCAATCCATAGGTAGGGGGTCAACACCGGCCTGGCCTGGGTATGAGGTAAGGATGATCTTGGAGGTCATACTCGATCTACGACCGGATCCTGGCACAGCAGACAGATCGGGACTCGAGGGTGTATTCTCATTGAGAGAGGGAGCAACGGGATCCGCTGGAGGCTGCCTGTTGTGTTCCACGGCCGTAGGGTCTACAGTCATGTCCTTTACTTGCTTGACACCAGCAAGAATATTGACTCGGCCATTGATGGCATCAACAGCGGCAGCAAGATGAGTGTTCTCCTGTTGGATGGTCTTGAGACTAGCTAGGATTTCCTGCAAGATGGCAGCATCACCACTTGCACCGTTCGTCTTTTCCATAGTGTGTAAGATGTTGTTGATTGCTGATGGTTGTCGGCAGTGATATCCAGAGGAATGGATGTCAAGAAGTGGGAGTGAATGTGTCCTGGTACAAAGGGGTCATCGATATCAACAGCTGTCTCGGATTACTTGCAATGGTCATTCCCCGCTATCGAGGAGCATGTGATTATGATAAGGTTACCTATCTAGGCACAGATCCCGGTGCCTGTCTTCCTTCGTTTCATGAGTGATCATGCCCTCGGCCAAGGTCCACTAGATACGGCCATCAAAGACCAATGTTACAAATCGAATAGACCAAGTAGATAACACACGTGCTCGTGCTATGAAAGCAAGCTGGATCAACGGGCCAGAGGGGCACTGAAGGACCCGGCCGCTCAGCTCCGAAGGCGAGTCTTATCAACCCCGCGGCTATGAACCCCAGCCGACATTTGTTGACGTTCGCCGTTCCTTTGAGTAACTAGAGCATACCTCGAAGAAGAACCTGTAGAGACATTCTGAACGTATTTTGAGACAATTTCTTCGTATCTGTGTAGAAATCACATTTGCAGTCAAGCGGACATTCCTTCTGAAGTTGTTGCCATGTCGTGAATCCTAAATGAGATGGTGGCTGGTGTTGTTGCCCCGCAGAATGTTCAAGCACGGCGGCAACAAGCCTAAACGCCGATCACGACAATGAAGCGCTACACGTACCTCGACGTCAGTCAGATTCTCATTCGTCTGAATCTTGTGAACTTTCATCTGAACTTGCGATTTTTCCACGCACGCCAGACACAGCTATCATGGTAAATTGCCAGTCTTCTCATCAGCTGAACCACACACGCTCATACAGAATAGGGTAAACGCAAGTCGGCCAGCAAGCCAGAGGCCAAGAAGAAGGTGCGCAAATCATGCTCGTTATTGAGGCCCGCAAGCACACGACTAACCTCACAACAGCGCGAAGCTCTATCAACCACCTTCCAATGCCTGTTCTGCAACCACGAGAATTCTGTCTCGGTCAAAATCGACAAGAAAGCCAGCACTGGTGAACTGACCTGCAAGGTCTGCGGACAAACATTCCAAACCGTGACCAACTGTACGTTTACAGGAACAAAGAAGAGAATTGCCACATGCAGGAACTTCAATAACACCTATCCTGCAGATCTCAGCGCGCCCATCGACGTGTACTCGGATTGGGTAGATGCTTGCGATGCTGTAGCCAAACAAGCCGGCGACAGCACATCGCAGCCGAGAAGAGACACATACAGTGGCACTGCATCACAATCGCGCTCGCAGGCTCAAGGAGCTGCTGCCAATACTGCAGCCGACGACGGCTTCATCGACGACGACGAGCTTGATGCAGAGGCAGATTACGCCGACGAGTAAGAGACCGAACAAGAAAAAGAGCACGGGTTTTAGCAGCGCGCGGATCTCTAAGACGGAGGGCCAGTTTTTCAAGTGGGAGGCCTCCAAGTCTTCGATATGAACAGGAGTTTACGGCATGATATACCAAGGCGCATGACACAACACACGGATTGACACAGGAAAGAACATGGCATAGGGGTTATCATATGGATTCGGGCACCAGGAGATGAGCGTGGGCGCCTGCGACTTATTCTATGAAGGGCGGATTGGCCCAACAACCACGCTACAGAGTGTAGAATCGATCTCCAAAGTCTCCAAGACCCGGAACGATGTAGCTANNCTCACACAATTAGCAACCGTTTCAAAGGGAGCAGCAGTTTTCAACGTACTTCTTTTCGTCTAAGCCTTCGTCGATGAAAGCGGTAACAATTCTTACTTTGGGGAACTTCTCTGCAAAGTTGTCGGCGCCCTCGGGACTGGCAATGAGATTGAGGAAGAGGATGCGATCCTCTGGCACTCCCTTNTGTCTCAATACTTCAACAGCCATCAAAGCAGAACCGCCTNNAGGCACAAATCAGCAAGAGGACAAATGGTTTCGCATATTGGTAAGTCGAAGCGTACCAGTAGCGAGCATAGGGTCCAGCAGCAGAACCCATCTGTCCTTGATGTCTTCGGGCAGCTTCTCGTAGAAGAGACGAGGCTGGCTCGTCTCCTCATCTCTCTGGATCAGAATCTTGCCGATGCGTACGCTTCTGCAGCAGTCGCGCAGACCCTGTTCCATAGATTCGCCGGCGCGCATGATGCTGACACCGCAGATCTTTCCCTCGAACTTGACGCCATTGTAATGACGGCCGACGGGAGTGGTGATCTCTTGCTGAATGACTGGCAGGTGGTTCAAGCCTTCCTCGACGAGCAGACGGATGATGCGGTTCGAGTAGAAGATGAAATCGGCACGGTTGGTGCGGTGGTCGCGGATCATANNCTGCTCAAGGAGTTGGCGGAGAGTGACTTGGAACGTCTTCAACAAGGGACACACCTACGTCAGCAGAGCAATGAGCTGAGGCGTCTGCGGTAGGACGTGGACGTTGTCATGGCGGACTTTCTTGGACACGGTCGCTGTAGGCTTTTCACCCTCGGCGCGGTAGTTTGGACCCAGGCATTGGGATGGAGCTGACTTGTCTGACATGGTGCAGCAGCAAGGAAGAAGCGAAAGAGGAGGAGCAAGAGGATAGAGAGATGTTGATGGGATGCAGGCGTCGATCGAGGAACAGAGTGACAGCTGATAAGTGAATAGGAACTTTCTTATCTGAGCTGCAGCGTCCGAGTGTCGTGTGCCCCGCAGAGAGCGGCCAACTGAGCTCTCGCCCTATTGTACGGCTGGAGGCTGAAAAGACCCTGTCGCCGACCGTCGCCTAAAGAGCAGAAGGGTCCTGTCGTCGGCACTTGTGCCCACTCCTAGCTTATCGTGGCGACCTGCAACTTTGTTGATGTCCGTTTGCGCCATCCTCTACCAACCATGACCCTCTGATCGCATCCAAATTCACTCTGCATAATCCATGTCGCATTACCAACCGCTCTCCATCACGCTATGAGGCATCGTGTCTAGTCTACGCCCCATCACTGCCGAAGACCGACTTCACTTTCGACCTGGGACGATCAGAGTTTCAGAAACGCCCTCTTCACATTTCTCTCCAATGTCACCTCTACCTGTGCCTTGATCCTTTTTAATGACACATTCCATTCTCTTCACGGCCGACTTCTCTTGATCAACTTCATCTCCTGCCGGCATTACATCGCTATGACGACCCTCCCAGCGAGCTACGGCAATGGCGACCGTCGCAAGAGGCCTGTTGTCACCTACGGGAGACCTGCGCGCAATCCGACCTTCTCAGCAACCAGTGTCGAGTCGTTCTATGACGAGGCAAGAAAGGTTGCTTCGCCCTCCAAGCTAAAGCGGCCGACTGTTAGCACGGCCAGAAAGTCCAAGGATGCAGATGATGAATTCGATGTACCAATGTCCGACGACGAAGTCACCACCGCACCCTCCAAGGCGAAGAAAAATCAAAAGCCTCTGACCAAGATCAGTCCAGTCGCTGCTAGAAGCGACGGCAATGGCAACATCAATGGCGATGGAGATTCGGCCTCACCACGCAAGCGCAAAAGAACCGTGTCACAAACCGCCCAGTCTTCAGTCGTCCGGCCACTCGCAAAGGTTACCAAATCACAGGAGGTGGGACCAAAAACCGAGAAGGTTGCTGTTGACTCTGCCCAACTGCGTCGCTCGAAAAGGCAAGTTGCTACTGCAATCCCTACTACCTCGGCTCCATCGTCACGCAACATCGATCGTCATGTGGCACAAGCAACACGATCCTTAGGCTCATCAACTAAGTCTGCCTGTCCATTGTCTCCTGTTGTCGCATCCCCAACAAGTCCGGCAGATTCGTTGTCAAGCATCTCTACGACGCCAAAGCAGAAGAAGTTATGGCATGAGCTGCTTCTCTCAGATCNNCCCCCTGATGAGGGTGTCCAAAACTCGACTCTTAACCCGATACATCTTTCACCAAATCGCACTCTGAATCAACCAAATTTGTCAACGCCACAGCCTCTTGTCACCAACGGTTCGAGTACAACCAAGGCTCGCATTGTCGATCGTCTAAAAGGAAAGACTGTCTATGCTCAAAGTAGTGACGAGAGTTCCGAGGATGAAGCAAACGAGCCACTGGAAGGAACGACATCTCAGCATTTGGAGGTACCAAGAACGTTTGTGCAATCTGTGTCTCAGGAGCCTATGCAGCACTCCCAGTCACAGAGCCGAGTGCAAACACAGCTGTCTTCAACCAGCCAAGGAGCTCAAAAGGTAACTTACGCTCGGTCACGCACGTATTTGCAGGATAGTCTTGAGGATATGATCTTTGGTGATCTACCCATTGATGCAACTGAACGACCCATTGCAACCGCCCGGCGAACCAAAGCTTCTCCAAGAACGACCTCAAAATCAAAGGCTAGTTTCAACAACGATTCGGACGAGGAATCTGTACAAGGCATTCGAAGTATACACGACCTCAGGGCAGCTGGACACAAGAGCAGGTTTATGGACGATGTTACACGTCTTCTTGATGATATCAAGAATCCAAAACCATCAACTCGATCGCAACGGCGCATGGCACTCATGGAACTTTCTGGCACACTTGCCGATGGTGAATTCGTTTCTCGATTCATCGAGAATGGATTCGATGCGAGCATAACTGCCCAGTTTCAGTATGCTGGCATGGACGTTCTAGCTGATATGTTGTTGTGTGTTGTCCTTACACGAATAGCACAAGCTTCCATTCCACTTCTCCAAGGTGGTGTTCTAGAATTCCTCACACCATACCTAGATGAAACAAAGGACATCAATCAGATCGCACGGGAGAGGAAGAGTAACATGTCCAAGGTTGCTCAATCTGATTACATCGAGTTCATGGACAAGGTGAAGTATTCTGATATCTGGGAAGACTGCTCACCAGAGTATCTGTCTCCTCGTTCAATCGCTCTCGTGAGCATCAACTGTATAGTTGTTGCCCACAGGCGCAACAAGAACAGTGGCACTATTCTCTCTCCCCAGACCGCATCGAAGCTCGTCAGTCTAGCCACCAATCATGCATCAGGGCCTGAGCATACCGCACAAGCTGTCATCAACCGGGCACTAGCAACACTTGAAGCTGCTACCACTCTCGATGTGGACAGCGCGTCATCGGATGTCTGGTCAGTCGAAATACTTGCACAACTTGCTGCTGCCCTGCCCCAGTTCCTTAGTATGTCAAGGCATTCCCAGGAACTTGCCCTTCGGTTCTGCTGCTCTGTGACCAATGACAACAAAGACAACAGCAGTGTGTTCTGTGAGCCTCATGTCATTCAACTGATAGTGTCGTTGGTCATTGACGGCTTCAATTCGCGCAACGCAGCAGTTGGGGTAGAGCTGGACTCTGACCACGACTTTCTGGTTCTAGCCCTTGGCTTGATGATTAACTTGACTGGAGTGAGCGACGCTGCACGCGAACATGCTGCTCGTGTAAAAGACGAAGGACTTGCTGCACTAGTAGACATCTTCGTCAAAGGTCAGAAGAAAGCAGCTGAGAGTCAGTCAGAAGAAGAGATGCAAGCCCACATTCCGTATGCTTGGTTGTCAGTTCTCCTCGGCTACATCTGCTTGAACAAGGATGCTAGAGCACAGATAAGCGGCTGGCTGCCCGGTGAGAATGGAACCGTCCTTGTGGATGCTGTGGAGGGTGTTGCGATGATGAGCCAGCAAGTGGACAGCCAAGTCGCGGAGGAGNAAGGGGAAATATCTTCAGGATTCACGCAGAAGCTACAGGCGCTCGTCGCTGATTTACGCGATGGCGTGTAATCGACGGCAGTCGAGACATGGAAATAGCCACGATGATACCCACTAGAAAGTATTCTATTAGATAATCAAAACGTCGCATAAGCACGTTGAACAGTGCATCTAGACTCGGAATGCTCAACAAACAGATCAGTTCTTCCAATATCTAGAGACAAGACATGTGGGTAAGCATAAGCATACGAGGTTCTGAGGGCAGCAATGTAAACAAGTGGTGGTGCTCGGTAGAGTATACAAATAGTGTTGAGCGAGTGTGTAATTTCGATCGAGTAATGGAGAATTGGCCTGACCAGTTAAACAAGCAGTTAGACTTTCGTCACCGCTCTCTCAATAGCGCCGCCAATCGGCTGCGATGCCCCAGACTTCTTTTGTTCATCCAAGAGAGCAGATCATCGCCGACTAGTTCAGAACCTAAACGTATAACGAGAACGAGATCCCCTCTGCCACTTGCAGCTCACAGCAGACACTTACCACTACAACACACACCCGTGCCATCAAGGTCTTGCTCTGGACACGAGACGACCCAACAACACCCACTCTCTATCTGCGCAGTTCACCACAACAGTGACACAAATTAATCAGCTCGCCTCTTAGTGAACCGACCACCTTTCACTCACTACATACCACCACGACCGTCGCGTTTGGACAGAAAGAGCTAGGACACAATGCCTCCACAACAGAAGCAGCGAAAGATGGCCATTGTCGGCAGCAGATCCGTGGGTAAGCTGTCAACAGCCATGCCACGACTGAAGCCAGCAAGCTGACACATCTCAGGCAAGAGCTCGCTGACTGTTCAGTTCGTCGATGGCCACTTTGTCGACTCTTACTACCCCACGATTGAGAACACCTTTTCCAAGGTCATCAAGCACAAGAACCAGGATTTCGCTGTGGAGATTATCGACACTGCCGGACAGGTACGCCATTATGGGGATAGAGTAACATCACAAGGACCATGCTGATACTTAAGCAATGAAGNNGACGAATACACTATTCTCAACAGCAAGCACTTCATTGGTATCCATGGATACATGATTGTCTACAGCGTCGGCAGCAAGCAGAGTTTCGAGATGGTGAGGATCATTCGCGACAAGATTCTGAATCATATGGTATGCCAATTCGTGACGCCTGCCCATTAACTCATCTCTAACACAACACTCCAGGGTGCCGAATCGGTCCCGCTGATCATTGTCGGCAACAAATCCGATCTGCGACCTGAGCAACGCCAAGTCAAGCCTGAGGATGGTCGTAAGCTTGCCGAGGAGCTCAATTGTGGCTGGACAGAAGCAAGCGCCAGGTTCAATGAGAACGTTGGTAAGGCCTTTGAGGGCATGGTAGCCGAGATCGAGAAGGGCCAGGAAGCTGGCCAGCCCAAGGAGGGCAAGAACTGCATTGTCATGTAAGAGAATCATCACGGTCATACTATCACTGAGGGACACTTCTGGGATCGGTAATACCGCACTCTCTGGATTGCGGTTGAAGCAGGCGCTTTCCCAGCGCTCAGTGAGGATGTGAAGGGCGAGGATCGGACATTGGTCCAGGGTCAAGGTTGTGCAACATGCACATTATGCAATCGCTGGCTTGTGGGTTTATCGGCAATGGTTTTTCACTGGAGTTCATCATAAGGCGCAGCTGCTGGTTAGGAACAGGGTCATGGGTATCAGGAGGCTTGAATTATATAAAGGCTCACGTCGAAACTACTGTCTAACTTGACGACTTTCGAGCTGCAAAGATATCGACTTAACGTGACACTATCAGCATAATATGCTCGGTCCTCGCTCAGCCGTGAGAGCAGGAAATCCGGGAAGGTACAGTGCACACAGTCAAAGATGAGTGAATGGTTCTTTTACGACATCATCTTGTGCGATGAACAAGCGCTGCCGCCGCAACAAGTGCTGATACGAGGAGAGGTGGCTGCTCCTGGCCGAATCATAGCCTCAAGCATTGTACGACAATAATTTTTGTTGATGCTCTGCCTGTACGATCTCGAGAAAGGAAAGTACCTGAATAAAATCATTGCTGCGAGGCAGGGTCCAGTCGTTCTGTGGGGCCTGGCCAGAGAGATGCGATGTCATGATTTACCATCCATGATTTTGAGTATAGTGATGGGAAACTCGTCGGGCGCCTGGATGATTAGTCCAGCGTATATGCTGACCTCGTTGTAAAAATATATGGGAAGATATAGACAGAATAAGACAGACAGAATGATAACGGTGAAGAGGTGCCACTGATGGTTTCCACGTTGGGAAGGAAGGGCCGAGCTCGATCTTGGCGGGGCGTTCTCGGGAAAACCCAGGAAGGCACGCACAGTGCCACAGCCAAATTCGAGATCCGGCTCACATTGAAGATTCCTTCTCCGACGACGACGACTTTTCCACAACCAGTCTTTAATTGCCATACAGAGACGCAAACATGGCTGTCGGCAAGAACAAGAGATTGTCAAAGGGCAAGAAGGGCCTGAAGAAGCGCACCGACNCCGTGAGTGAAGACGATTCGCTGCACCATTCGACATCGACGACCCATGGCCCCCATCAACACACTATACATTCGCGCGCATACTACACCACGAGCCTTTAACTGACACACTGCGCCAACAGCTTCGCCAAGAAGGACTGGTACAACCTCAAGGCCCCTTCCACCTTCGCCATCAGAGAGTACGTTTTCGCCAATCCGATTTGCGCCCGCCACTGGACGAAAAGAAAATTCTTTACTAACACACCACAAGTGNTTGGCAAGACCCTCGTCAACCGTACCACCGGTCTCAAGAACGCCAACGACGCTCTCAAGGGCCGTATCTTCGAGGTTTCGCTCGCCGATCTCCAGAAGGATGAGGACCACTCCTTCCGCAAGGTCCGCCTGAGAGTCGACGAGGTTCAGGGCAAGAACTGCTTGACCAACTTCCACGGTCTCGACTTCACCTCCGACAAGCTCCGCTCGCTCGTCCGCAAGTGGCAGTCCCTGATCGAGGCCAACGTCGTCGTCAAGACCACCGATGACTACCTCCTCCGTCTGTTCTGCATCGCCTTCACCAAGAGACGCCCCAACCAGATCAAGAAGACCACATACGCCCGCAGCTCGCAAATCAGACAGATCCGCAAGAAGATGACCGACATCATGCAGCGTGAGGCCAGCAGCTGCACTCTTTCGCAGCTTACCCAGAAGCTCATCCCCGAGGTCATCGGCCGTGAGATCGAGAAGTCCACCCAGGGCATCTACCCTCTCCAGAACGTCCACGTCCGCAAGGTCAAGCTCCTCAAGTCCCCCAAGTTCGACCTTGGTGCTCTCCTCAACCTCCACGGCGAGTCCAACACCGACGAGTCCGGCCAGAAGGTGTGTTCAGCCTCGACATCTCAATATATCTTCTGCCTAATACTAACCTGTCACAGGNTTGAGCGCGAGTTCAAGGAGACCGTCCTCGAGAGCGTGTAAGCATTTGACGAATGGATTAAGATGGGTTTGGGTCCGCATGACACGTTGTTGCCCGGCGTTCGACGTGGAAAAGGAATGCTTTAGGCATCTTCGTGTTAGCTACTTTTCATGGCAAAAAGAATCGTCAAAAGCTTTCCGAATTTTCCAATTTCAAATTTATGATACCACGCACATCTACGCCTTCGAACTTCCTTTGCCTGCACGACCTCTTGAGTGACTTGAAACACGATCTGTTATTCGGTTGATATCGATGGCTACATGCTACTTCTACTCTTTGTCCTGCAAAACTCGACGACGGCTGATTACATGCATTAGTCCATGACATACGAGTACACAGCGTGCAAACATACCGTTTCTAAATTCTTGAGGCTTCTCGCTGATGACCCAATGGCCGCTGTCGACGTCTGCAACCTCAAATCTGGGGAAGAATCTCCCAATGATGGGCAGCGTCTCGTCTGCCACATAGTGGCTCTTGGTACCTCTGACGAACAGAGTGGGGCCCTCCCATCGTGCTTCTTCTGGGTCGGTGAAGGGAAAGTCGGCCATGTTGTCTAGAGCGTTCGCTAGGTACTTGACAGGGACACGGAATCTCTGGATGCCGTCCTTTCCGCGAGCGAGGTTGGTGAGTAGGAATTGACGCACACCGACGTTTGACTCGAATTCGGCCAGGATAGCGTCTGCCTCGGATTGCTTCTGTACGTTGGCGTCTTCAATCTTGCGCATACCCTGGACGTATTTGCCAAAGTCGCTCTTCAAGGCTGCGTCGACAGGTGCGTTGTCGACGGGAATCAGACTTGCGATAGGCACTTTACCGCGCAAAGCAACTGCCATGACTGTTTTGGCGCCCNNCTTGTCCACCGTCAACATGGTTCTGCAGCATGGGGTTGTGGTATAGTCATGCAAGACGTACATGGAGTGGCCGATCAGAGCAGGACGCTCAATCTTGTGCTCTTGCAGAAAGCCTTCGACATCCTCGGCGAGGGCTGTGTAGTCGTGTCTGGGGTCATGGGGTGATTCGCCGTGGTTGCGCAAGTCCNNTGGACAGGTGATATCAGAGGTGGTGGTCGCAGACGTTCTGGAAGGGTGAGATACAATGGCGTAGACGGGACGGTTCAGATCACGAGCAAAGACTCTACGCTGTGGTTAGCCTCGAACAAAATGGAGAGTTAATAGATCTACTTACTTGCTCATGCTCCGGTTGTTCTTCTTGGAGCCGAAGAGTCCATGGATAAAGACGATCGGATCCTTCTTGGATTCAGGCTTCTCGGCTTCATAGAAGTCGTAGGCAAGTTTCAACTTGGCATTTATTGGGCTTGACGAGAATGTGCGGAGCTTGAGCGGTTGGAAGGCTTGCCGCGACCAGGCGAATGTTCTTGTTGCCAGCATCTTCGAATGCTTCGAGGTCACATAGTGCTTGATCCTGGACAAATGTTGAACGGAAATTGTTTCGGATGTTAGGGCATATCCGGCAACAAGAGTGAAGCTTCCTGCGGGCCGAGCCGCCGCTCGGACTTCATGATCCTCGCGCATGATCATGATCATGTTTCTTTTCACATGTCGATGCAACTTCTATCACATCCGTGTCCACCAAACATTCATAACATGAAACGCGCCTATCAAAACGACGAGCAATTTTCTGCAAAGCGACAGAGGAGCAATGGACACGATGGGCACTCAGATCATCGTCCCCGAGGCTTACACTCTCAATCTCGACACTCTAAAAACTCGCAATCAAACCAGCAAAATGCTCCACTGCCCGATTCTACCAAACATCTAGAATCACTACTCAAGGCTCTGGTCAATCGCGGAGACAGTACTAGACAACTTCTCGGCCACGAAGCATATGAAAGCGCCGTCAAATTATCTACATCTTTCTCTTCAGTCAACACAGCTACCGCCTCACTGGATCTGTTTCAACCTTCGACCGTCACAGGCGCTGAAGTCGGCTCCCACAACCTAAACACATCTTTCTCTTCCACATCTCAGCAGTTTCCTTTGCCAACACTACCTCAGGTTCCTGATAGTCCCTACTCACGGGCGCCTTTCGTCCACAAGTCTAGCAGCCAACACGATCGTACTTCTGCTATCGGCGACATGACATACGAGCGCCTGGAGTTTCTGGGAGATGCCTATCTGGAAGTCATCGCTACACGTCTCATCTTCTCGCGCTATCCTCATCTTGCCGCTGGTCGTCAAGCACAAATCCGCGAGCGCCTGGTCAAGAACGACACATTGACCCAATTCAGCATGGCCTACAAATTCCAGGACCGTCTGAAAGCTGGAGGAGGCGAGCGCGAACTTTCAAAGGCTTCTGGCAAAATTCTAGCCGATGTGTTCGAGGCTTACGTTGCTGCTATCATCCTCTCCGATCCGGTAGACGGCTTCAAGCGTGCAGAGACCTGGCTCACAGAGCTCTGGGCACCGATCCTACTCAGAGAATTTGGTCCCATAAGTTCAGATGGCGGTGCTACATTCAACGAGTACAATCAAAACGCAAAGCAGGAGCTTCAACAGAAGATCGTTGGCAAGGACGTCAAGCTTGAGTACCTTGAGAACAGACCAATGGAACAGACTAAGCACATGCAAAGATACTTCATCAGCTTGTTTCTAACAGGTTGGGGCTACGAGAAACAACTTCTTGGTTCCGGCGAGGGTCAAAATAAGGTCGAGGCAGGTAATCGCGCTGCCATGGATGCTATGGTTAAAAGCAAGGACATCATTGATGAAGCCGCTCGCAAACTCAGCGCTTTGCGTGAGCAGAGGAAAATGGAAGCTGCTGCCAAAGAGCTCGAGGCAAGTATGGTCCAGCGGTAGGCGTTGAGTGAGAATATGGGCAACCCGGCGTGGGTTCTACTAGCTCATGTTGGCCCATCATTCTTAAGCTTTCAAATATACCCCTTCAATCGATGTAGTTCATCAAATGTCACAAAACACAACGCTCATCAGAGCCACTCTGCACCACAAGATCACTGCATGTATGTTACGCTGTGATTGTTGCTAGACAACCAATACTCGAACATTGACAAGAAACAGAGTTTCTTATCCTCTGGTTTCGTGGATAAGTATTAATGTCGATAGCTGATTCCTGCTATCGTTGTTCAACGAGGTGTGGTATATCATCCTCTACCCACTTCCTTCCTCAGTCTGCCAGCTGCGCTGGTTGGTGGTGCTTCTGGCCAGCTGTCAACTGCCTCCTCAACCTCGTCCAGGAAGCTCGCGCTGTTGTGTATTGAAGTTCCTCCTAGCACCACCCTGACATCCGGACTACTAGCGTTGACCTGTGCGACCATCTTCGCTTCCTCATACGTAGCACCGCCAATCATAAACACAATGATGTCTTGCGGCTTGTCTCGTGTAGTACCTCCGCCTTCGACGAAGGGGTACTGATTGTCTCGAAGACGACCTTTGATCAAATCCTGTATCGTTGTCTCTAAACGGGGCGAGTGCTGTGTGTATACATTCTCAACTCCACCAAGACCTCGGTTGAAGCGCTCTCGAGCACCTTGGAATATGGAGGACGGTTGGAAGAGATCTGGAATAGCGCCAGTCTGCGGCAAAGATTGCAAAGAATGCGCGTAGGTAAGAAGCTTGGGTATCAGGTTGATGCGATGGCGGGAGAGACCACCAGCTACGGCTAGAAGGTCCATAAGTGCTGGTGTCGAGTTTGAAGGATGAGAAGCGTATCTAAGAGCGTAAATAGCTACCAAGCGCAGTTTGTTGTCTGGAGGCGTTTTCGGATCCTGTATAAGGCGTTGCAAGGTCTTCAGGTCATTCGAGTGGTTCTCATTGCAAGCAAGACTTTGTTCCAGCTCGCTGATATCCAAAAGGTTCTCCTCTCCGACTCTGCGACTGAGTTCGGTGACTAAAGTGACATGCTTGGTGACATTTCCTGATAGGCGGCGAAACTCTGGATAGTCTTCTACAAAACGCTTCATGTCCTCAATGGACTCAAGCTTGTGACTCGACTGTTGCTTTGATGCGAATTGCTCGACATAATCTTTAGCATTTTGCCCGAGATCGCCGAAGTTAAGATACATGTTCTTNTTGAAGAACGGATCTTGATCTTGGCTGATAAAAATTTCCTAGACGAACTCAGTAAAGACAAAATATTGATACGGGAAGGACATATAGCGTACCTTGAACTCTGGCCGGACATCTGGTACATGGCTGAGATTGACTCGGCCGTTTTTGATACCCAGGAGTTCATGCACCATGGCTTGATAGGTCCATTGGGTCAGCAATGGAGTAACGGGATCGTCTCTTCGGTCGACAATGAGAAGTATGGGGGCGGTGTCGGTCTTTCTGAAGTCGAATAGTTGTTCCTCTTGGGTCATCTGGTATCGAACTTCTGTGGCTAGCTTNTTCGCAAGTAGACTATTCTTCTGGAAGCGGATCATGGGCCGTTTCTTGAGAGATAATAGCAGAGCAATAACACCGTCGGTAGCCCTTGACAGAGAATCCTGGTTCCACATATCGGGGCTTGAGCTCCAGAGGCGGTGTTCAAGGGCGAGTGAGGTAAGGTCTGGATTGACGACCAAGTAATCGGCGAAACATTCATGGACGGCTTTCACGACCTCGTGATCATCGGCTTCGGCAAGGCGTTCAAGGGAGGACTTCTTGACTATGTTGCTAAAGTCTGACCTTGTATCAGTCAGAAGATCGGTCCGTGGTGGTTGCAAGATGGAACATACANNGATGTGGTATTCGCCATATTTGGGATCGCGAAACTCGTCTATCAGGAATTGGATACTGTCAGGAGAAGGGCGTACGAAACAGAGGCAGCGAAGATGGCGCATCTTCTCCCTGTTGTGGTTGTCCAAGCGATCGGTCAGGTAGACTTGGTGGTTTAGGAGTGCGGATTGCGTTGTCGCTGATGACACGACCGAGACCNNTGCACTAGGAGTTAGCTAGAGGCTACCTATCATCGTCGTGCGACTCACAGTATCGTTGTCCAAGAGTAGTATCTTCATTTTGGCAGCGTTAGAGGTGGTAGCGCCATCTCCAGTTGACACCATCTTTGTCACGTAGCCCGAAACGGCTTGGAACGCGTCCATGGCTGCTGGGGAAGCCAAATGCCCTTTGAGAGAGAGATGGTATATCGCGACTGTGTTGCAGACTTCGAGAGTCCAGCGAAGGTCGGGTGTTTGTTGTATGATCCAAGCAGTGGAGTATGATGGTCCCCTCCGTCCAAGCTCCCTTATGTGGGGTCGGTAATGCCACCCTGTCCTTCGACATCCAGGAAATTAGTAGACAAGTTCAATCACGATATTATATCAACCTTGACCCATTCTTCAAGAATCGATCTAAGAGCCAATATTTTGACTTCTTGTATTGATTCGTGGTGCAGTCAAGTCAGTACGTTGTCTTGAGAATGAATAAAATGGCTTTGTATTCGATCTTGAACTTGAAACTTGCCGACGGCAAAGGAAGTCGGCCAACTCGTAGATCCCCATATCTAGATAGATAGCCCGGACTCAGGTGACTTGGTGCTCATTTCATTTGATCAGTAGCACATCCCTCCGCACTGTCTTTCGACTCTGGTCTTCTGGTCATCTTCGTGCTGCAATGTCGAACTTGCGTGACCAACTAGTCCAAGATGGTTTTGTGCGGATCCCTTCAGCTCTTCCACAGGATCAACTTGAAGCTCTGAGGGCTGCTTGTCAAGATGTTACTCAGCTAGCAAGAGCCGGAGAGTGGCCCNTTGTGAGAACTCTCCCAAAGCAGTTCCCTCCCTGGAGCTCAGACACATCGAAAGGCATCTGGGGTGTCCAACACCTCATGCACCCGGATCTCCCTCATCACAATACCTTCGCCGCATCGTACTTTGCGCCTTACATCATCAACGCAGTGACCGAAATCCTACAATGTAGCCCTAGCGACCTGGTGCTAGAGTTATACAACCTCTTGATCCGTCCTGACGCGGACTTCGCTCTTCGGTGGCATCGGGATGACATTGGTCCGGAAGTGTCAGCTCAAGAGGAATTGAACCGTCTGCAGGAGCCCATGCTGCATGCCCAATGGAACTTAGCCTTGTATCCTGATCGTTCTTTAGTCGTCGTACCCGGCTCCCATGTACGTTCAAGGACAGAAGAAGAACGAAGCGCAGACCCATTCGAAGAAAATTTGCCAGGACAAATGGTCGTCGAAATGAATGCTGGCGATATCATCTTCTACAACAACAACATTCTACATAGAGGCGTCTACAGCAGCGAAGCGGAGAGGATGACTTTACATGGATCCATGGGTATTGTTGGCGCTGACCCCGCCAGAGCTAGGAACGTGCTGCAGCATGGAGTCGGTGCTTGGGTTGATCGTTGTGACTTCAGCAGGTTACAAGACCAGGTAAACGATCAACAGCTTTCTACTTTGGCACAAGACATGCGAAGCAGGCTGGTCACGATGGGCTCGGGCCAGGTTCTGAGCTTCTCCCAGCCGTTCAACGAGTGAGGGGTTGACACGAACTCGAGGACCTTCGTCAAACGGTCAAACCTTTCTGGAATGTGGCTTGCGACGCCAAGTTGGACTGGGTTCTACTTCGAATGGAATCGGATCTTAGACAGAGTATATGTCGCATGGTGCCGTGTCCGGTGTCGGTGAGGCCGAAGCCATTTGTGACCTCCTCGTGTACTAAGAGACGTAACGCGTGTAGCTATGAAAATGCACAATACTATGAGGAAACAGGAAGATATCCACTGAGAAGCGACGACATATCGGCTCTCGATGGACCTGCCTCTTCTTCAAGAATATCTGTGCCTTTCTATAGTGTACATTTTGCTCGTCGTCGCAAGCGGAGTTCAATGGAGGTTACAGAGTTTAGAACACGGGAGGAAGGATGATCGCGTAAATTCCAGAGAAGAGACGACTCGGCATACACGGGAGTTTTTCTCCACATCTCTCCAGGTTTTGTCCGAGGGCCAAGGAGCAATGACGCGCATCATGATCCCCCCCGCAACAATATTGCCAATGCACGATGGAGCGAGCCATGCATCTTTATGATATAAGGACGCCATGTCTCGAAACCTTTGAGCTGATCTTATATTGTTTCCTGCAAGATGGCTGGTATGCGAGTCTTACTGCCTGGTTTGCTGGCGATTCTGCCCCACTGTTTAGCACAATATGCCGATTTCTCCATACCTTCGACATATACCAACTGGGACAATGAAGGCTGGGAATTGAGCACAGATCGCCTGATTCAGGGTCAATACCAGTCTCGTGCGCCTATGGGTAATGGGTATGTTAAACACTCACTTCAACCACCTTAGAATGATTTCGTCTGACCAGTATGTAGATTAATAGGCTGCGGGCTCGCTGCTGCAGGTCCCTTCTTCGAGGCAGATGTCAACCTGACCGATCCCAACGGTGGTAACCTACCAATCAACGGATGGCCTTTGGACAATCCCAGACAAACTTTCTGTACGGTCTCGGGTTTCTTCAACTCTCAGAGAAACACCACTAGAACCAACTTCCCCGAACTGCTTCTGAAGGNNGGTGGAGAAAGCGTGATTGCTGGTATTCCCAACTGGCCGAACCTGATCCTCCAAGTCGAAGGTGCCACTCTGAATGCATCTGTGGATAACTCTACAATCTCTGACTTCAAGTCCACAAGATCGCTGAAGAATGGACTTCAGACATGGAACTACACCTGGACTCCAAGCCCAAACACCAGTTTGGCTGTCTCTTATGAGATGTTCATGGATCGCTCTCAACCAAATGTAGCTGCAGTCAGACTCTCCGTCAAATCCGCCTCTTCAATCAATGCTACCATCACCGATTTGATCGATGGAAGAGGTGCAGTTCGATCTGATCCCCATTCCACAGGTATGCTGGACAACTCCAGCACGATATATTCCGCAGTATCGCCGCACTGGCTGGGGAACATTACTGCTTGGATCTTCTCGACCGTAGAAGGACCAGGTCTATCTGTTTCGTCTCGCATGAATGCCTCATCCAGTTTCTACCTTCCGTCCAATGACAGCACCATCGGACAATCCTGGAATGTAGCATTGAATGCTGGTTCAACCGTCACTGTATCGAAGTACGTCGGTATTGCGTCTTCTGATGGATTTAGTGACCCACAGTCTGTTGCTCAAGCTGCATCTCTGCAGGCTTCCAAGACTGGTTTCGATGAGCTATTCAAAGGTAGCTCGCAAGCCTGGGCCGAGATCCTAACAGACGACATGGTGGACGATTACACTCTCCCTGATGGTTCTCTCCCACAAGACCAGAACGTGGTCGACATGCAGATCATCTCAAAAGCCAATGCTCACTATCTACTTCAGAATCTCCTGCCCGAAGATGGAAGTGATTTGAACCACTGGTCCATCAGTGTAGGTGGGCTCGGGTCAGACTCCTATGCTGGACTGATCTTTTGGGATGCCGATATTTTCATGTCGCCTGGAGTTTCTGTCTCGCATCCTAAATATGCCGCTCAGATCCCCAAATACCGTGTCATGTTGTCACCGCAAGCAGCGATCAATGCTCGGGAGAACGATTTCTCGAGCGAGGCTATAATATATCCCTGGACAAGTGGCCGTTATGGTAACTGCACCGGCACGGGACCCTGTGTTGATTATCAGTACCATCTGAACAGTGACATCTTCCTCAACAATTTGCTATACTGGCGAGTCACTGGGGATGACAGCTGGTTTAAGAATCAAGCCATCCCTGTCAACGACGCGGTCGTGCAGATGTTCTCCGAACTGGTTCGCTACAACCAGACTGTTGGTGGATACTCGATTTCTAATCTTACTGATCCAGATGGCAAGTTTAATTTCATAGGTGTACATGGTGCTAAGCTAATATCACACANNGAGTATGCAAATCAGGTTCCTGATGGTGCTTACACGCTAGCCTCAGTCGCCAAGATCATCGAGTGGACTGAGGGATACTCTGAAGAGTTCTCGTTGGATGTCAAAAGCAACTGGTCATCGATCGCAGAGAACGTTGCCTTGCCTTTTGCGCCGTCAGGAATCTTGACAGAGTTCCTTGGTGCAAACAATACGGCAGTGATCAAGCAAGATGACGTTGATCTGATCAACTATCCTCTGGACTACAGCTCTGAGAATTACACCAGAGCAGACAAGCTCACTTCATTGGACTACGTAAGTACTAGCTTGGACATGCTCCTCCAGACACATACTAATGAGAAGTAGTACGCTGTCAAGCAATCTCCTGATGGACCTGCAATGACTTACAGTCTCTACTCAATTTCCGCCAACGCACTTTCTCCATCTGGTTGTTCTTCGTTTACATACGCACTGAATGGATTCAAAGCCTACACTCGTGCGCCTTGGTATCAGTTCTCCGAACAGCAGGTTGACAATTTCACGCTCAACGGTGGTACGAACCCAGCATTCCCTTTCATGACTGGAGCTGGTGGCTGGCATCAGGTCGGTCCCATGGGATGGCTCGGTGCTCGAGTGGTGGAGGATCAACTTATCCTCCAACCAGCTCTACCGCCTCAAATCCCCTACGTCAGCCTCCGCACAATCATCTTCGGCGGAGCAGGAATCAAGGCTACCATGAACTACACTCACACCAATCTTACCCGGGTGGACGTATCCACCTATCTGCCAGCCAACAGTAGCGACATTTATGCCAATCAATCAATGCCGATCGCGATCGGGTTCTCCATTGAGGAAGGCCGTAACATCAGCATAGCTGTTGGTCAGACGCTGACGATAGAGAACCGTGTATACTTCGACAACATCACCACGGCAGGAAATCTCGTCCAGTGCTTGCCAGTGATGTCCGAAGGAGAGTATCAACCGGGTCAATTCCCTCTTGCAGCTGTTGATGGAGCGGCCAGTACTCGCTGGCAACCCAGGACTCGTCAACCTGCATCTCTGACAGTTGACATGCAGAACGTAGACTACCAGCCACTGACTGGTGTATCGTTCGACTGGGGCAGCCGTCCGCCGACAGCAGCTCGCGTTCTTGTCTACAACTCTACAAGCGGATCGAATGACAGTTCTACTGATATTCGAACTGCAGCCTTTTCTGACATTGCCATCTCGATGCCGTATAATGCTGCTACCAATGATATCGTCCAGGAGTATACGGGTAATATGTCTTACTTCAGGTTCTCGACTCCTATCTGGTCAGGCCAGTATGTCACACTCGAGATCAGTGGCTGTCAAGCAACAGGCGACGAGTTGGGCGCAACAGTAGCCGAGTTCAATCTATTGGGTGCTGACGGTGCAAGTGTGGTCGGGAGCGGTGCCGGTGCCAACGGAACATCGTCGAACGCGACCACGAGCGTTGTAACTCCGAGTTCAACGAGAGGATCAGTGAGCTCCCTGGCGACTGCATCGATTACGGCGACGCGTACTCCAAGCTCTCCGTCTCTTCTTGCATCAAACACAGGAATCAAGCCTGTCAGCAGGTCTGAATTCTGGTGGATGTTTACCAGTTTCGTGATGGTTGTTGCCTTGCTGTAATTTTACAGAAGTCGTTGCATGTAGTAGTGGATACTTAAATACCAAGAACACGGCTAGATGACTAGATGGCTCGCGAGAAACAAAGGAGAGGAAGAAATGAGATGTTAGGCAGAATCTTGATAGTCAGCCATCACAGTATTCGAGGCAAACTTGTGCAATCAAGAGTTGATAATGCAAATGTGCGTGATATGCCAAACAAAGACACAGATAGAAGTGCTTGGAAGAAGTTGGAGGGCAGGTGAAATTTGGTTAGGGTCCAGCCCCACGGCGACAGCCGACCGAGGGGGACCGTGGACGTGTTCATAACTCCAGTTCTTTCCCCGTCAACCACTATCCTTGCTTGCTCGTCAATCGCAAACCACAGCAGAAACCCGTCAAGATGGCTCTCAACCCCCAAGTGACCAACCTGGTCATCATCCTGTACGCACGCGACACCTGTGGAGATGGGCCGGACGCGAAAACTGACCAGGCGGCAGGTNTCATGATGCAGGTTTCCAAGAAGGTGCCTTTCGAGGAGCCCAACGTCCTGATGGGAGTTCGCGCACTCTACATTGTGTCCAACCTGATCATTGCCGGCATCTACCTCTACGTGCAGGCGCAGATCAACAAGAAGAAGGGTCAGTAGCATCCGGGAAGCGCGGCAGCGAACAGTATCAAGCTGACCGAATCAACAGATCTCACTGTCATCAAGTACGTTGAGCCTGCACCTATGGGATCGACCGAGGAGCCCAAGCCCGTTACCACTACCGTGCACGCATACGACACTCAGCAGCTCCGCGGCTTGTTCAAGAGCCAGCTTATGGGAGTTGGCATGATGGCCGTCATGCACCTCTACTTCAAGTACACCAACCCTCTCCTCATCCAGTCCATCATTCCCCTCAAGGGCGCCTTCGAGGGCAACCTTGTCAAGGTCCACCTGTTCGGACAGCCTGCAGTTGGCGAGCTCAAGAGACCCTGGAAGGCTTCTGGTGGTTTGATGGGCATGCAAGGTGCCGGTGACATCAAGACCGACAAGAAGAGCATCGAGGCTGCTGAGAAGGCTGGCCGCGGTGGTGCCAAGGAGGAGTAGAGAGCTAAGCACGAGCGCGAGCACGGCATATAATTATGCGCGTGCCTGTACGTCTAGGTAGAAAAGTGGATGCGTAATTCTGTCATAGTACAGGGCAAACCACAAGCATGTTCGAAATGGCCAAAACAATTGACCCAGTGCCAGTGCGATGGTTGGTGTTGATACGTGATTAATGCTTGGGTTAAGGGGGTGATTAATTATTGTTGCGGAGAGCTTGTGAGTTTAGCCGATGTATGTGCTTTGTGGACGTGCGTGGCCGGAGCGGTGCTTTGGGTGCATGTGTTAAGTTAGCACAGTCGACCCGTACATGACATTGCACAACCGACGACGACGACGACTGCCCGAGCTGAGCTAACACCGGCAAGCGCCAGGCAGCACCACCCACTCGCCAATGCTCCAGACGTCCTGAAGCGCACCACCCCCGACAGAGCAGGAGAGAGCGACGACGAGAGAGCGCGTTCGAGGCAGAGGCAGCACGAGACCGGCTGCCATGGCATACCAACAAACGGGCGGCATGCTCAACAACGCCGCGAATGCCGCCCAAGCGAACGACCACCATGGACCCCAGGGTGCCGAGTACACATTGCAGGGTATGTCTGACCTGAACGCCGACCTGCCTTGGCCTGGCTGACGCTACCAACACANNGGCGTCATGCGCTTTCTCCAGATCGAATGGCACAACCACGAGCGAGCTCGGAACGCATGGGACATTGAGCGCGCTGAGATGAAGGCCAAGATCGCAAAGCACGAGGGCGAGTGTCGCCATGCAAAGAGAATCAATGAGCAGCTCGAACGACAAGTGCGCATGCTGGAAAGCGCCCTCAAGCAGGAACGGAGGAAANAGGGCAGCGATCCCAATGCCCCTCTACAACCAGACACTGCTGCCTCGCAGTCTACCAGGCGTCAGTCTATACCGAGTCAAGTCGCACAAGGCCGTCCCACTGATCTGTCATGTCTAGCATCCCACGACGTCCACAACTCGTTCCTCGACACAACCCCTGACAAGCAACAATACAGAGACAAATCCAAAAAGTTCCTGGACCGATGCCTCCACGAAGTTCAATATCTGCTGACTCCTCCACCACACCCTCCGCCGCCTCAGTTGTCCTTGCAGAATCCCTCGGCTTCGTACACTGGTCTACCTGATCCGCCAGTCTCTCTCGATGAGCTCTACCTGCGTCGCGCTGGAAGACCGTACCCTCCTTCTAATCATGTACAGCTGCAGCCCTCAGTCAACCTTTCCGCCGAGGAGCAGAAGCGTCACCTCGCTCTGTCTATGCCTCCTGCACAACCTCCTACCCATACTCTACCTCAGCCTCCACAGTCTCCATCTGTACCGCTGGACGAGCCTGTAGAGCAGGTCACACACTCGTACGACTCTTACGGTCGTCCAGTCGCCTCTACTCCAGATGCAGCTCCTCGCTCCATTGTTACCCAGGACTCGTCGGCTGATGGCTGGAACTTCGATGACCAACAACCTTTACCCGAACAACCTCCTGCTGAACTACCCCAACCTCCCCGAAGACCTGACACCGATTTGTTCCCTAGTGCAGCAAACCCTCCTTCAAGATCTCCTCCTCGTACCGGTTCAGGCCGTCGCAGATCCTCCGGCTCGCAAGGCATGGCCAGGAGAAGAAGCTCTGGTTCCCACGATCTTCACGACAGTGGTTCAGAGCTTTCCGCAAAGACAGATCCTTCTCAATTCAAGGTCAAGTTTGCTCTCCGTGGCCATCTCGATGTTGTCCGCTCGGTGATTTTTACTGGTGGCGGCAGCCCTTCTGAACCCGAGATCTGCACGGCTGGCGACGATAGCACTATCAAACGATGGATCATACCTGCCAGCTACAGCAATTTCCAAAACTCTGCGAACAATGATCTTGATATTGCTTGTTACTTTACCCACCGTGGACATGACGGCGTTGTTACTTCTCTCGCCGCATGCCCTTCAACCAGCTTCTCTACCGGCGGTCGTGTATCAGGAGACGGGTGGATCTTTTCGGGTGGTCAAGACGCAACAGTACGTGTTTGGGAACGTGGTCGAGTTGATCCGAAGGCCACTTTGGAAGGCCACACAGACGCTGTCTGGACTGTGTGTCTCCTGCCTGGTACCGTCGCATCGGTTTTCGGTTCCCAAAGCTCGAACTATGGTGGCCCTGACCGTATTCTGCTCGCCACCGGTTCAGCAGATGGCACTGTCAAAATTTGGTCTGTCAGTGCGCCTCCACAGCTGGTTTCTCCACAAGCAGGATCGCGACGTGGTGGTAGCCGTCGTCATTCTGTCACATCTGGTAGCAACCATCCCAGTTCGCCTCAGCCCAACGTGGCTACAAGTACGCCCTTCCACTATACGCTTGTTCACAGCATTCAGCGCGAATCTGCTTCAGGCGCTACGCCTACTTGCATTTCTCCTCTCAGTCCTTCTGGCGAGAATTTCGTCGTATCATATACCGACTCAAGTGTTCTTATCTTCGATACACGGACCGGTGAGGAAATTATCGGAATGGCCAGCAATGAGACGTATGACGGAACTCTTTCTACAAGCATCAATGCCGTAGTTGCCACCAGCAGTGCATCACTTGGCCTGGAATCGGGCTCCTCGTACATGGACAGAGCGGATCAAGAGGAGTCTGTAGGCGCTGGACCGACAGGCTCGGCGCAAGGTGTTGAGGGCGTGATTGTCAGTGGCCACGAAGACCGCTACATCAGGTTCTTCGACGCGAACAGTGGTAAGTTTCATTGCTGACAAAAGCTCGAGATCAATCTTGCTAATTCACGCTAGNGACAATGCACGTACACAATGCTCGCACACCCCTCGGCCATCTCATCATTATCATTGTCCAAGGACGGTAGAGAGGCAGTTTCAGCAGGTCATGATGCATCGATCAGGTTCTGGTCGCTTGAGAAGAGACAGTGCACGCAGGACATCACGTCGCACCGACCCATGAGGGGTGAAGGTGTGTGTAGCGTGGTGTGGAGTCAGGATGGCAGATACGTCGTCAGCGCAGGAGGCGACGGCGTAGTAAAGGTGTTTGCGCGATAGCGTCACCGTAAATCTACCTTGCGCGTACTGGACTTGATCTAGTACTTGAACGCAGAGCACATCTCGAGGCCAAGAAGGAGGCTGAGGTCTTGCTAGACAGCATCATTGTACATTAATGGGGCCACCAGAACCCTTTTCCCAATCCACATGTTGCAAACGTGAATGTAAAGTCATGTTCGGTTTTATTGCTATCTGTAGAGGAATATGAACCTATCTGATGTTGGGCGGAAAAGCAAGCCCATGAGACGGATGAGCCAAAACCCTACTTGGTGCTTGGAGTGAGTGGTACAGCATCATAATGTCGTGTTCGCGTAACGTGCATTTTTTGTCACAAAGGCATGGCAATTAAAAGAAGGAAGGATAGAGGACAATCAAAAGGCAGATTACGCCTCGCCAAACAGCCTTGCCGTGATGTCACCCATGTACTCTTCCTCGAGTTCGTAGTCCTCGCCGTCGTTCTTGTCAATACCAGTGAACTCAAAGGCGGCAACTACGGTTGGGACGTCAAAGCCCATGGCAGAAAAGCGGTCCACCAAAGATTTGTTGTATCCGTGATACNNCTGTAGCACGTGTGTTAGCCAAGTCTGTTTCTACACCAGTTGGTGCGTGGAAGCGTACTGGGCGAGCTTTGCGGCTTCTGCCCTCTCCCTTTTCTGGTCGTCCTTGTGCTTCAGTGTCTCTTCGGTGACACCTCCACTTCCCTCTGCACCGGTGCTGTCTGAGCCGGGAGGACCTTGGGGAGCACCAGCGTACTTGATTGCCCATTCACGGGCAACGTGTTCAAACTCTTTCGGATTCGTAATGAGCATGCGAGCAACTTCAGCGTCTTGAGGATCCTTTGGTTCGGGAGAGGATAGTAGTGACTGAAGCGATATGAGGGCCGACTTGAGGGTGAGGACTGGGGACCAGGCTGAGCCTAGAGTGTCGAGGCAGATGGCGCCNCTGAGGATCGGATTAGCAAAGGGAGACTTGAGGGGTATAGTGGTTGGACATACGGTGACACTCGAGATGTTTGGGTGCCAGATCTTCGTGGTGAACTTCATGACGGGTGGCTGAAAAGGATAGTCGTTGGGGATCTTGATGTCGACGTTGTAGGTGGCACCATGGTAGGGGNNAGTGTCGGGAGGGCCAAGGAAGACGCCCTTGAAATGTGTCAAGTCATCGAGAGTGTCGGAGCCGGTTTGGGCCTTGTTCAGCGGCTCGAGCGAGACGCCCGAGTGCGAGTCCTTCTGAACGTCCTGAATCTCCTTGACCAGGCGGCGGTTTCTGTTCGCCGCCATAATTACGGATCTTGCCAAACGGTGGCACAGAGAGCGAGTGCTTCGATCAGAGTTGGAAGTGTATAGGTCGAGTCCGGAGCCGAGTGAAGGACGGGTTCGAGCTTGTATATAGAATGAGGACAGGTTAAGATAGTGAGACCAGAAGGTGTGTGAGAGGTAGTCGAGCAGATGTGATTTGAGCGTATGTCTCTTGAATCAAGGTGGAAGGTGAGTTGACGTGGTGCACAACAGGCACATGTCATTCATTCATGGCGGCAACACTGAGCTTTGACCAGCCGCGCGCATCATCGCCGACACAATCGACCGACCCTCAGTCTGCAGCTCCCAGCACCCTTTGCCCATCACTTCGCCATCCATCCACACTCGTCTTTCAACTCGTCAAGTCTGTCAAAGCACTCGCTGTCTGAAATCTTGACACAGAACACAACCTCGCCCGCCCAGCTCTAGCCACTGTAGCCAACTTCCGCATCAATCATGGTCCGCCTCCGTCTCGTCGCTTGTCTATCCTTTCCATCGTGCTGACCATCACACAGGGTGCGAACCAGTCTGGCCTTGGAGGTGGTCCTCCCGGTCAGGGAGGCGACAACAAGGACAAGAAGGATCCCAAGGTAACTTCGCCTCCAACCANCCTTCTCATAACAGATACTCACATGTCCACAGAAGGATAAGCCCAAGTACGAGCCTCCGCCACAGCCTACTACTCGCATCGGCCGCAAGAAGAGAAAGCAGGCCGGCCCAAATGCTGCCGCCAAACTCCCCAACATCTATCCCACCGCTCGCTGCAAGCTCCGATACCTGCGCATGCAGCGCATTCACGACCATCTGTTACTAGAGGAGGAATACGTCGAGAACCAGGAAAGATTGCGCAAGGCCAGAGCTGCTACCGCCCAACAACCCTCATCCGCCCCTGCTGATGCTGATGCTCTGGACCGCAACGCCGACGAAAGAAGCCGTGTTGATGACATGAGAGGCAGCCCCATGGGCGTCGGCAACCTGGAGGAACTTATCGATGACGACCACGCCATTGTTTCGTCTGCCACTGGTCCCGAATACTATGTCAGCATCATGTCCTTTGTCGACAAGGACCTGCTCGAGCCTGGCGCCAGCGTTCTTCTGCATCACAAATCCGTCTCGGTCGTTGGTGTCTTGACAGATGACGCTGACCCTCTCGTATCAGTCATGAAGCTTGACAAGGCCCCTACCGAATCATACGCCGACATTGGTGGATTGGAACAGCAGATTCAAGAAGTCCGTGAAGCTGTCGAGTTGCCTCTTCTTCATCNNCCTGAACTGTACGAGGAAATGGGCATCAAGCCGCCAAAGGGTGTTATCCTTTACGGTGCTCCCGGCACAGGAAAGACATTACTTGCTAAGGCCGTTGCAAACCAAACCAGCGCTACCTTCCTGCGTATCGTTGGTAGTGAGCTGATCCAGAAATACTTGGGTGACGGTCCCAGACTTGTGAGACAGCTCTTCCAAGTTGCCGCAGAACATGCCCCCAGTATTGTTTTCATCGATGAGATCGATGCTGTTGGTACAAAGCGTTACGAGTCCACTTCTGGAGGTGAGCGTGAGATTCAACGTACTATGCTTGAGCTTCTGAACCAGCTTGATGGTTTCGATGATCGTGGTGATGTCAAGGTCATCATGGCCACCAACAAGATTGACACGTTGGACCCTGCACTCATCAGACCTGGTCGTATCGACCGCAAGATTCTGTTCGAGAACCCAGACCGTGAGTACTTTGAAACCTGCACATCCGACTTCAGCTAACATGTTTTGCAGNAAAACACCAAGCGCAAGATCTTCACCCTCCACACATCGAAGATGTCCCTGGCCGATGATGTTGACCTAGAAGAGTTCATCAACCAGAAGGATGACCTTTCAGGCGCTGATATTCGTGCCATGTGCAGTGAAGCTGGTCTCATGGCATTGAGAGAGCGCAGAATGAGAGTGAACATGGCCGACTTCAGACAGGCAAGAGAGAGCGTGCTCAAGACCAAGAGCGAGGGCGAGCCCGAGGGTCTTTATTTGTAGTTTTGGTCATTAGAATGCTGGACCACGTGCATGACCGATCGTTGTAATACTATAGCATACAATGGGAACCCAAACAGATGATGATATGAGAGCTGTCTGTGCATGTTTTGTGTATTTTGTGTCTTTTGTTCGGTCTGTAGGAAAGATCATCGCGGAACGGCAAGAAGCTTCCAACAGGAACTTCGAAAAGCCGACCTCGGCGTGATCATCATCAATTATAGCTATACCTACAAACCTACTTCTACCGAGTCAATTGCTTCTTGAACACCTGGGTACTGCTGCGAATGCTTTGCTGGATCTGACAATAATTCATATATCGGAGTAGTGCACACGTGCAGGGATGCAGTCACACGAGCAGATTGCCTACCTAGGCCCAAAAGCTTCGTATACACATCAGGTGAGATATAACCACATTTTCGGCTGCTTCCTATCTCTACAAACATGGACCTTCAACCTTGAGAATCCAGAAAATTCTGCATTGAGATTCTTCTTACGGTCCAGAAAAACGAAGTCTTTTCCAATCCCCTATGCAGAATCACAATTCTTCCTATGGACATGAGGCTCATTATTGGAACAGGCAACATTAAGCGCTTTTGATTCAGACAACTACACATTCTCGCCACAGACAACGATTGAAGATGTCTTTAGCCAAGTGCAGTCTGGAAAGGCCGGGTTCGGTGTAGTCCCTTTCGAAAACTCGACCAACGGATCTGTAGTCTTCACCTTGGACCTCTTTGCCGACCAGAGCGCAAAACACCCAGATATTGTGGTTTGCGGTGAGCGCTACGTCGAGGTACATCACTGCTTGCTTGGACATCCCGCAGCTTCTGGTCAAGGGCATGCAACCGCACCAACCAAGGCACTCCAGGAAGGAACCAAGAGTCCAAGCAGTTCTGGCCATGCTACACCTATTCCTGGCAACCCCAATCCCAGCAACTCGCGCGCAGCTCCATTGACTTCTCTCTCACATATCAAGAAATTGTATTCGCATCCGCAAGCTTGGGGCCAATGCAAGACCTTTNTGTCCTGCTATCTCAAGGGTGTCGAGCGACAGGACGTTTCATCCACTTCCCGCGCAGCGGAACTTGTGGCTGCCGACGAGACAAACACGACAGCAGCTATTAGTAGCGGGATTGCAGCTCAGATGACCGGCTTGGACTTTCTGGCACGCGACATTGAGGACGAAAAGGACAATGCTACACGGTTTTTCATCATTCGGAGAAGAAGTCTTGAGGACACGTCTCCTGCTTCCGACAAGGAGGACAGTCAATCGCATACTCGGGCATACAAGTCGCTGCTTTCCTTCACTGTTTCTCACACCGATGCAGGAGCATTGGCCGACGCCCTGGCTGTCTTCAAAACTCACGGCATCAATCTGACCAGCATCAACCCTCGCCCAAGCGGAGAGGCCNCCTGGCATTACATGTTCTTTGTCGAGTTTTCGGGTAGACGAGGTCAAGCTGCTGTCGATGACACGCTTACAGGTCTGGACAAGGTTGTCAGATCTTGGAGATGGCTAGGCAGTTGGGAGAACGCTTTGCAGCAGAAACAATGAGAATTGTTGGAAAGAAATTAAGGGTATAGAAACTGAACAAGAATACTTCGGAATCATGCAACTAGTGCTACATCCACCCCGTGGTTTGCAGGCTACTGTGCCTGTCTCCTGCCGGCGCCGAGATATGAAACGTGAGAATGAGAAGTCCGGCAAGACAGATCTTGCCGTTCGCTTGGAGCTTGCAACATCTCGAGATGCAAGGGAGCGCAAAACGGAAGGAAGGAGGGAGGAGGTGTGTAGAGAGAAGCCAGAACAAACAGCAAAAAATGAAACCCATGAAAGCCAGTCATCAAATCCAAAGCCCAAAAGCAGACAATGCGACACACGGTTTAAACGCGTTTTGTCGCCAGCGATCCATTCTTGGCATCTATGCGATGTCCTTCTTTCCCTTCTTCTGTTCGACCTTGAGCAGTAGAGCGCGGTTGATGGATGGAAGAACACCACCAAAGGCGATGGTGGCGCGGATGAGAGTGTCGAGCTCCTCGTCACCACGGATGGCGAGTTGAAGGTGGCGGGGNGTGATGCGCTTGACCTTAAGATCCTTTGCGGCGTTGCCAGCAAGCTCGAGGACTTCGGCGGTCAAGTATTCGAGGACTGCGGTGACGTAGACTGCCGCCTTTGCGGCGACGCGCATCTTGTTCTGCGAGTGCGACTTGAGGAAACGCTTGACACGACCGCAGGGGAACTGTNNTGGATCACAAGAAGGTAAGAATTGGTTTGACGCGTCATGGGTTGCGGCTAGCATTGAGAAGAGACATACCTGCAGGCCGGCCTTTGCCGAGTGCGACTTTTGTGTCTTGCTAGAATCACCTGCCTTGCCACCAGTCTTGCCGCCAGTCTTTCCTGTAGGTAGAAGGCTCTCGTCAGCAAAAGAGAGGTCTTCGGTTGGGACACGCGAGGTGTAGATGATGTTCTCGTACCCTTTCCACCAGGCATGTTTGCTTTCTCGTGCTTTCGCGTGTGTTGCTGGGTTGTCCGAGAGGATGCGACCGAATCTACGCGTGTCTTGGCGTGTTATTTGATGGTTGTGTTGGAGTTGGCAAAAGTTGGGTCGTGGAATAGAAAGGCAAACGCGTCGAAGCTGCGAGGGTGGGGGCTGCTCTGTTTCTTGGGATGATTCCATCAGCTCAGGGTTTTGTTGGCAACTGAAAGCCAACGGTCCGTGATACGATCCAGTCCTTGGCGCCGTGCTAGGGTGCAGAGGTATGCTTGACACTGAAGAATGCAGAAGCCCCGAGTCTGCCATTGTTTGCCACATATGTGCATATCCCAGTGTCCAGAGCCGGTGTGGTTTTGTGATCTGTTTGTCCCAAGTCAAGTGACACAGCCTGTAGCTGTTGAGAGCCATACCAAGGCATTGTCCCGTCCTTGTGCCATGTGAAGTATCAGTGTATACCCAGGCCGAATCACCTACCTGTCCAGATCAGTGCTCTCGAAATTACCCGTAGGAGTCTGAGTCCTTGTCAAGAAAAGCTGAGCGTGCTTTATTGCCATTTTGTCGAGGCTCTTCAGCACCACGTAGTTGTGGGTAGTGTCTGCAAGGCCAAGCTCCCTGATATCAGTTCAAGAAGACCCTGCAAGATCCAGACTAGAGTATCCGATGTTGCCTTTCCTTGGTCTTATGCATCCTGTACCTGATAGCAAGTTGTTTGTATTGCACTTCTTCTAAGGCCTGAACGCGGTTGCTGTTCTGAAGTGGATTCCAACTGCCGAAATCTACCCGGTCTTGATGATTGTCCTCGAGCAATGCCTCGATCATGTTACCAAAACATACCACTAGCTACCAAGAAACAAACCTCACGAGGTTAGCTGTGACACCATTATATGCAGGAAGGCTTAACCCCATGATAGTCTCAGATTTCATGTTTTTTCCTTCGAAGGCAGCTCTGGCACTATGATCGCTTGTCCACTGACTGAACTATTCATGTTACATTGTTTCACCGGGCAACGAACACTGAAAACAACCTGATTGACATCGAACGGAAGGAAAGAGCGCTGGAGATGTCTTGCAAGCAGACATGGAGAGGTTATACCCAATGAGTTCGTGCCAAAGAGGCCACGCAATTACAAGCAGGGTCACCTGGTCAGCGAGATGGAGTTGGGCAAATCCTGAGGCATATCAACCAAACTCCAAGAAATCAAGCAGCGGCATGACACGATTTTACCCAACGACTCTTGCGCTCCTATAACAGAGGTTCGCATGTTTTGATGATGGCTCAGAGTTTGGATCTCAAGCATACTGTTGGCTATAAAACTACGCTAAGGGCCACTATTGTAAATTTTGCTCTGAAAATGATGGCAGAGACATGTTCTGGGATGTCCAGAATGTATCAGTATACAGCATCCAATCGTCGAAGTTCCAATCAAGCATGTCGGAATAACTAAAGTCTGGGATCAAATCACTGTTGGTGGTGGTCATCTGCTGAATACTGTTGATCTCCGTAGTCGGCGCGTTTGTCTTACTCTCAAGACGCCTCTTGATCTTCGTAGGAGTTGGTACGGAGTCCTTCAGAGGAGCCACCTTTTCGGAGAAGTCTGCATCTTGATGGGCCATGATCTTCTTGCAGATACTGAAGAGCCTGTCACTGCCAGGCCGAGACGGTATGTTGCGACCGATTGGACTGATCTTGCACAGAAGCATGTCGTAAACGACGAATGTATGAGTCCACTGAATGCCGCCAGTGCTTAGAATTTTNTCCTCGAACAGGTCGAGAACCTTTTCTGCAAGCTCAAGGAAGGGCTGTACCAAGCTATGCAGATCTTGCGACGATACATCCTTATCGTCAGTGTTTCCAAGCGCCAATGTACTGGTGAACACTCTCTGGATATCCGATCGCACCATTAGCAGGAACTTAAACCCTTTATTTGACAAAGCAGAAAGCTTGTCCACGATTGAGACAGCAGCAGACTTGAATGCCTGCTTAGAGAAGTTGGTGTGCGTCTTTGCTCCAGCCTGGCGAGCTGCATGAGCATGTAGAATGATCAGAAACTGTTCCAGTTGAACATGAAGAAGCGCAATGCTTTGATCGAATGCCGTTAGATCCTTGAGCCTGCCTCCCGCCCATTCAGGCAAGGATGCCAGATTTAACTCGAGTTCCTGTGTAGATGCCAACACCTCCTCATACGACACCTGATGTAAAGGTTGGTTGAACATGGTGATGATTTTCCTTCTCAGACCTCGGCTTCGGCAAGACATACACATGTATGTCATCTTTGTCAACTCTGTGAGAGGTCTGGATGTCCGCATAACGACGGTCGATTCGTCAAAATCTGTATCGTGCAGATTTGAGGGAGGACCGATATCACTTGCAACATCCAAGGAAGTTGCAGGCATGCCCCTATCGACGGACATTTGCAAGTCCCATTCGACAATGAATGCCCATATTCTTCTTCTCATCTCATGTTCGAAGACCGAAGACAGTCCGTTCTTCTGCAGCAGTTCTGGATCCCGGTGCATGCCGGCAGATACAGCGATCCGTAGTAGGTTTCCCGATTCGACCCATCGTCTCTTCATCTTCACTTGATGAGTCTGCTTGGCAACCAAAAGAAGACACTGAACTTGGAACCATGCCAGGTTTGTATGCTTTGGGCTTGATTTGGCTACCCAAGATTCGCATACGTGAATCAAAGTGATAGCTGTTTCACGAGGAACTGGACTGTCGGCCATATAGGTCTGCGGTTGCCCATGAACAAGACATTGACAACATGCCATGATCATAAGTACAGTGGCCATGAAACCGGGCTTTGCATTTAGCGGATCCTGCCACAATTCCTCATACTCTCGATGGAAAGTGGGAAAGTGTAGTATTGCGTAGGTACAGTCAATATTTTCGATGTACATTCTGACCAGCAGATCGACTTTGGCTCGTTCGGGAAGGTAGGCGATTAGAGATCTATGCGGCAAGAGCGCTTCTTGTTTGTCCAGGGTTTTCTTCACTTCGCGCAGTTTTGCGACATCTCTCCTGCAACGCACAAGTTCCGGGTTGCGAGAGACCTCTTCCCGAAAGAAGTTGTGAGCGGTCTGCAAAAACGATTTAGTCAGTGCTGTATGCGAACAATCTGAAGCGCTAAATATCAACAAAAACATCATTATTGTCACAGCAGGAAGCTGAGCGCAAAGAGTGAGGGTAACAAACAGGATAGCGCAATAAGATATGTGAGATTGGCTTACAAGTGTCATCGCACTCCTGGCATCAGACGGGCCATAGAACGTCGTCTTGAATCCTTTACCTCTAAACAATATCCTTTCCTTTGCAGCCGAGTCGCTGNNGAAGCCATTAGGGGTTTCGACAGCTCCATGGATTTGGGGTGTCGCGATCGAAACTGTAGCAGGAGTCGTAGGACTTGCATGAGCAGTCTGCAATCGCTCGATCATACGTTCTTGGTGTAGGAGTCTGTTGAACATATCATCCCAGACATCCTTACTTATGGTCACCGACTGTTGTCGTGGAACATAAGATGTACTCTGCGCGCTGGAAGCGTGCTGAGAGGGGCTGTCATCTTCATACGAGCATGGCTTGCCAGCCTTCTCACACCTTCCACACACCGGAAGCGCTCTGTCGCATTGAACCTTCCTTCTGCGACAGTCCATACAGGATAGAACCTTGCGACGGCGTTTCCTGTCAGGGCCCAACTCTCCATCAGGCGAACGTTCGTGCTCCATGACTTTTCTGTATGGAAGAAGTGCAGCAGCACAGAGAGCAACCGCAGGATAGATGACCATCGACGCACCAATGTCGCGATGAACCTAACCGCTTTAAGAGCTCTCGGCCGAAGACCTCGGCCGAACGATGGGAGCTCTTAGAACAAACCCGCTGCTCCTATGACTCTTAGTTCTCGCATTCCTACTTCTCAACATGATTCAATCCCACAAGCTATGAGTCGGTGACTATCCAGTTTTGAGGAAAGTGCCAGTGCCTTACTCTCGAATCATGAGAGCAGAAGATCGCACCGAAGTGCCTTGTTTGTGTGCAGTGCTTGAGAACGCCGGGAGTTTCGATTAGTCATTTTGATTGTCCATTCTCAAGGCCGCAACCTTGACATTTTTACAGCGAATTATCACGTTGACACTGTGGTAAAGTTGTATATATCCTCAGCAACTTTCTCTGATTGCTTTATCATAGCGGTTTGGCTATCATATTGGAGGTAAGTCAATGCGATATTCCGCTTATCTCGCTTTCTTTGGCAAATCTAGCCACCTGAACCCTGGAAAGTCGGCGCGCGGAGTTGCACGCTATTCTGCTTGTAGGAACTCCATCCTTCTATCTTATCGGGTGAGTACTTGTCACATACCCATAGCGGGCTGCTTCGACGTGGGGCAATGGTAATCCCGCGTAATCTGTCTGTGCTAGAGCTGCCACGACTAAGACGTACCTCATGCGTATATAATAGAGCTCTCCAGTACCAGCTTTTGTGTCTAAATTTTGTCCACATCAAATAGTCTTTGTACCCTCGATTTCTATCCCACAAGCATTCACACAATGGTCTTGGAGAGGGTTAAGCAGATGGCAGCTCAGTTGACTGGCCAGCTGCCACCACCCCACCCCTTAGATCNNCCCCTCTCGAGCAGTGAGATCAAGGAAGCTGTCGAGATTGTTCGCAAGGAGCACAACGATGTCTTCTTCAACGCTGTTACCCTCTGGGAGCCTAGGAAGAAGGAAATGATGGCCTGGCTGGCATCGCCCAATACTGTACAGAGACCTCATCGTGTTGCAGACATTGTTGCAATTGGTAGGGGAAGCAAAGTCTTCGACGGTACCGTTGACCTTGAGGAGAAGAAGATATTGAGCTGGGAGCTCACAGAGGGCGTACAGCCATTGGTGAGTTCCATGCGATAATGTAATTAAGGCACTGGCACTGACTGAATCCAGATCACCATGGAAGATCTGAATACTGTTGAGCAAGTCGTCCGTACGGATCCCAAGGTCATCGAACAGTGTGGCATTATTGGCATCCCTCCACAAGACATGCATAAAGTTTACTGCGATCCATGGACCATCGGTTATGATGAGCGATTCGGAAGCAACGTTCGTCTCCAGCAGGCTCTGATGTACTACCGCCCTCATCCAGACGACAGCCAGTACACATATCCTCTAGATTTCTGCCCTATTTTCAATGCAGACACTCAGGAAATCATACACATCGACATTCCCAAGGTTAGGAGACAGCTCAACCAAGCACCACCCAGCAATTTCCATGGTGAAGCGATCCAGAAAGAGATTGGCCTCAGAACCGACGTCAAGCCTATCGAGATTACACAACCTCAAGGCGTATCTTTCGAGCTGGATGGACGTACCCTCAAGTGGCAGAACTGGTCGGTGCACGTCGGATTCAACTACCGTGAAGGTATCGTCTTGAGTAATGTCAGCTTCAACGACAGAGGCAATGTCAGACCCATCTTCTACAGAATGTCATTGGCTGAGATGGTGGTGGTAAGTTTCTCCTGCTTCGCGTCACTTAAAGATGGCTAAAATTTAACTTAGCCTTACGGCCAACCAGAGCACCCTCACCATAGAAAACATGCTTTCGATCTTGGTGAATACGGTGCTGGGTACATGACCAACAGCTTGACGCTTGGTTGTGACTGCAAGGGAGCAATCCACTACATGGATGCCGAGTTCGTCAACAGAGCGGGCGATGCGCAGACCATCAAGAACGCCATCTGCATCCACGAAGAGGATGCAGGTATATTGTTCAAACATACCGACTTCCGCGACGAATCATGCACAGTAACTCGTGGCCGCAAGCTCCTCATATCTCAGATCTTCACTGCAGCCAACTATGAGTACTGCGTGTACTGGATTTTCATGCAGGATGGTACTATTCAGCTCGAGATCAAGCTGACTGGTATCTTGAACACCTACGCGCTCAATCCTGGGGAGTCGGCCGCTCCTTGGGGCACTGAGGTGTACCCAGGAGTCAATGCCCACAATCATCAACATCTGTTCTGTTTGCGACTAGATCCCAACATTGATGGACCGAACAACACTGTATTCCAGGCTGACGCAGTGCGTGGTGATGGTGAAGTCGGCAGCGCAGAGAACTACTATGGCAATGCCTTCTATGCCAAANAGACACCGCTCAAGACCGCTGCCACTGCCATGAGCGACTACGATGGCAACACTAGCCGAACTTGGGACATGGCCAATACCAGCAAGATTAACCCTTACTCAAAGAAGCCAGTCTCATACAAGCTGGTCAGCCGAGAGGTTCCGCCGCTTCTGCCTAAGGAGAACAGTCTTGTTTGGAAGAGAGCAGGATTCGCCAGACATGCTGTTCATGTCACCAAATACTCCGATGAACAGATCCATCCTGCTGGTCGTCACGTTCCTCAGACTTCTGGTGAACCCTCTCAAGGTATCCCTGCTTGGATTGCGCAGGAGCCAGAGGCAAATTTGGAGCAAGAGGATGTGGTAAGTCAATTTCTTGATACAACAATGGAAATTTTACTGATATAGAACACCTAGGTCCTCTGGCACACGTTTGGCTTGACACATTTCCCTGCTCCTGAGGACTATCCAATCATGCCTGCAGAGCCTATGACAGTATTGCTTCGACCTCGCAACTTCTTCACCCAAAATCCCTGCATGGACGTGCCTCCCAGCTACTCAAGCACACCCACACAGATGGCAGCTGGCAAGGGCGGCATCAAGGGCGTTGTTGACGGTATCAGTAGGTTGGCATTTGCAGACAAGACCAAGGCTGGAAGTAATGATTGTTGCGGCAAGTGATCGGACTGTTGGAAAGTATGGCACGTAGAGAAGATTTGCAGCACCTATTTTCACATGCTCTGATATAGCACAAACATGCATTAGCGCCCGCGATGATTAGCTTGTATTGCACATGATTGATTGCCGATCTCAATGAGCAAAATTCTAGAGAAATACCATCAGTGACGAGCCTTAGCATTGACAAAGATGCACGTAGACGACTCAAGTCTGGTTTGTACAAGAACTAAGTGTAGTTATAAGAGGTATAGAAAACAATCAACATGAGAATCGAAAAGAAGCTGGTGTTCAACAGAACCTCGCGGTTACAATTCGTGAGACATGTCATGCATTAAAGAAAGTGGCACCCAATGCCCCAAACCTTTGACCTCTTTGAATCTCTTAAACAAGCAAAATAGCAAAAGGCCTTCTCGTTATGGCCAATCCCTCCCGCTACCGCTGTACGCCTAAACACCATGACAGCCGCTAAAGATCAAGCTCACCGACCGAAATACTATTTGGCGTATTGGAAGTTACCGAAGACACCACCTGCAGGAGTTAGCGAGCCGTGCTGAGAATAATGGGGAGGTCCTGGGGTACCGGATATGGCAGCGTGAGAAGTGGTTGGTGTACTCGGTGCCTGGTGAGTGGTGGGAGTGTGGCCTGTGTGGAAGTTGAGAGCGCCATTGGTCTGTGGAGTTTGGTGGCCCTGACTCTGGAGGAACTCGTCCCTAAAGGCAGCACTCGCTGGTGGACCAACGCCGTGCAGACCGTAGATTTGATCGGCCAATTCGAGCGGTGCGTGTCCGTCGAAGATCTTGCTACGCATGGCCCAGAAGACGGAACCAGTCAGCCAGGCATCGGAACCACCAGTGTGAGGAGCACCTTGGCGCACGCAACCAAGCTCTTCTGCAAGATCTTGTAGACCAGATTTTTGACCTAGAGTATTGATGACGGTTGAGGCGGTGGGACTGAGACGATTCTGCGGAGCTAAGGTACGCTGAGCATGCCGTAATAAGAATTTGATATCCCAAAGTTTGGGAAAGTAGATGTTGACGAGATCGCGGAACTCTGATTCGTTTTCAGGCAGCGGAGCGTTAGTCAGCAGCTTGATCAGATAACCAAAGTCATATCCCGAGTGAAACGAAAGCCAATTGACATCGTCGACGAAAGTAAGGCCCGAGGTGGTCAGAGCAGCACCAAAAGCATTAAGGTCAATGCCTTGTTCCTGGTGCTTGGCGAAGTCAAGACCCGCCTTCTTCAGAAGCTCAATTGAGCCCTCTGCGTACATGTCATGGTCGAGGGAGAAGCGGAAGTTGAAAGACCACGTGCAGGGACACACGACCAGGTTGTTTGGCAGTTTGGGAAAGAGCGATGGATCTGGTTGTTGTGGTGGTAGCTCTCCATCTGCGGTCCAGATGGTAATTCCCAACTGGATGGGCTTGAGGAGATCGACGTTGCAACGAAGGGTTTGGTAGTGATATGAGGCCTTATTCTCAAAATTACCAATAGGTCGGGCTACAATTCCAGGAAACTCGGCGTCCNNTGTGTTCCCATCGAGTTAGCGGCATGGAAGGGTATGGTAGATCGAGGAAGCACAGCAACGTACCATGCTCACGTAAGGATACTTTGTAATGAGCTGGCGCAANAGAACCATCTCGTGCTCGAGGTTGTGGGCCCAGACTTCACGTATCCTTCCGGCTAGACCTGACTTGAGGCCTAATTGGGCGGCCTCGGCCTGGTGGGCCTGTTGTTGTTGAAGAGCAGCGCCATGTGCAAAACCTCGGTATGCGGCCTCACTGCCCAGTCCTGTGCCTCCACCAACTCCTTGTGCAGCATTTGCTCCAGCTAGGGCACCGGCGCTAGCATAGGCGTTCTGTAGAGCGACATTGGAGGTCGGAGGAGCGAAACCATTCACGGCAGCATAGTTGGATGGGCGGGTCAAAGGTTGCGGCAGTGAGTGCTGTTGTTGCTGGTAATGGGATTGTGGGATGGAGTGGGCGGGATTGAGATGCACGAAGGGATTCGACATGTGGCTCGCATGCATGCGCCCAACTGCTGGCGGCATCGTGGACCGCACTCTCGTAGCTGATCTTGTCGGCAAACGCGTGGATGAATGAAGCAGATCGAGGCCGTGAGCGTAGGTGAAGCTGTTGAGAGTTATTCGTGTCTTGTAGCTAGCTGTATGGTGCTACTCTAGTGCTGGTGGAGGATGCATACCGGGACGCGGGCGCGGAAGTAGCCGCCCTCCAACTTGGACGTCGCAAGAGCTGCCTCGCATCCGCTATTCACATCCAGCAACCCATCGCCCGACCACATACCATGGCTCCTCGTCCCAATCTCACTGGCTTCGACCCTCAANAGTTCGCTGCCGCCTCCGGCCAGCCCAGAAACGACCCCTGGGCCAGANTAGTACGTCAATCCGCCCACCATGATCCAACCATCTCTCTGACGCAACCCCACAGCGAGGCCTGGAGATACACCGGCCCCTTCTCGCGCTGGAACAGATTCAAGGGCTCCTTCCCTGGTCTCGGTATCGCCACTGTCGCCTTTGCTGGTTACCTTGCCTACGAAGCCGTCTTCCTCGGCGACGACCACGGCCACGGCGACGCTGGTCACGCTAAGGACCACCACGGCATCGCTGCTTGATTCACGACTGGCTTTTCAATTACTGTTATTTGGGCGTTAATGGGGGACCTTCAACTTTACCGGCAATTGATCCTGGCTCGCTGGATACTGAAACGAGAAAGACATTGGTCGCCTCTGCCATAATCATATCCAACCGCACCCACCAGGCCATGCCACGAGATATCCGCAGATGCCCTGCCATGTGAGCACCTGCCGTCAGATTCTGGACCTACGTTCATGCGAGCGTTTGCCTGTACATATAGAGCATCAATCAGCCCTTATATGGCGCTGATCAAAATGTTATGCAATGAATCATCAAGTCTCCCTTCTTTGGCTCTCCAAGCAAACATCTGAGAACCAAAGCTGTATGTTGTGTCTTCTAGTCTTCTAATGACTGTCGTCTCGTCCGTCATTCGTCCGTGTTCTGCGAAGAGACCCAAGTTCAATCGATGCCTCCTTTGCTGATCATATTCTATGAGGTTACTACACGTGTCCTCGCTCCGATATACCTAGCTTCTCTCACTGGTGAACACTTCCCCATGCATCTTCTGCCTTTGAGACCTGCTTCTGTTCAAGTTCGAGCCCATCATGATACACGAGTCGTTATCGCTTGATCTAATCGCGGCAGCTAGTCATTAGCGGCTTCCCCACTCCAATGACGAGCCTCGGTGTTATTGCTGGCGCAGAGCGCGTCTGCTGCAATGCAGAGGTGCATATTGTTCCGCAATGTCATCGCCCTCGACCTCCTCCCCAGATGACCAGCGCCAAAGACTCCAGCAATCAACGATGCCTCGTGTCTACCCTCCGATCGAGGGAAGACAGACTGGTGCTGGACTGTCTCCCTCGCTCATAGAGACTGTCGCCGGCTTCAGCGCCGGAATTATTTCTACTCTGGTTGTTCATCCGTTCGATGTCGTCAAAACACGCCTGCAGGGTGTGTCTTACCCTGAACATCTGGAAACCCGGTCGCTTGCTAAAATAGGCCCTGTACAGNTGGATCCGAGCACAACCAGCCACTTGGGCGACTCAGTGCGCATAGTCAAGAACATTGTCAAAAATGAGGGCGGATATTCAGCTTTGTACCGTGGTCTTATGCCCAACATGGTCGGAAACTCTGTCAGTTGGGCCTTGTACTTCCTCTGGTGAGCCTAGCCACACCTCTATCCATTTGGCGCGTGCTTACAAGTGTGGAAATAGGNNTACGGCAACATCAAGGATCTGATCAAGACCGCTCGAGGCAACCCAGATGTTCTTACATCCTACGATTATTTCCTGGCTTCTGGTACCTCTGGAATATTGACTGCGCTCTGCACAAATCCCATATGGGTCATCAAGACGCGCATGCTATCTACCTCCCGTGATGCACCAGGGGCATACAAGTCGATCCGTCAAGGAACGACACATCTTTGGAAGACAGAGGGCTTGAAGGGCTTCTATCGCGGCCTCATACCATCTCTCTTTGGCGTCAGTCACGGTGCTATTCAATTCATGGCATACGAACAACTCAAGAACCATTGGAGCACAAGCCGGGGTGGCAGAGACAACCTTACCAATCTGGATTTCCTGTTACTGAGCGCCGTCAGCAAAATGTTTGCTGGTAGTGTCACTTATCCCTATCAGGTTGTGAGAGCACGTCTTCAGACGTATGATGCCGACTCGCGATACAAAGGTGTGAGAGACGTTGTCAAGCAGGTCTTCCAGAAAGAGGGTCTGAAGGGGTTTTACANNAAGGGTACGTACTCCGCCGCCGCCGTTACTGTGTCATTTTCTAACTCGATGGTTACTAGGCTTGGACCCAACATTGTACGCGTCCTCCCCTCGACTTGCGTAACCTTCTTGGTGTACGAAAACACCAAATTTTACCTGCCTCGCTTCTACCAGTCGTATCAGGAAGTCAGAGGGGTCGACTGAGATGCACAATTGTTGTGGCAATACACCTCAAAACACAGGCGGCACACCGCCCAGAATCGCTCCCGCAAAGGGTTTGCTTCGACAGAGGAGCTGAAGGCCATCACCAGTGTGATGCAGATCGCGACCACAAGAAGTGCTGCCATATCCTAGCTCGCTGGGACATTTCCCATCTGGTCGTACTGAGCTCAAGTCTGGTTAAGGCGACTAGACGCTTTACTATACCCTGAAAGTATACCAGAGCATGAACGTGGCACAGCAAACGGTGAACAGAAGATTGGTAGCTAGAACGAGCCAAGCATAGCGATGGCGTCAAGAATATAATAATCTGCGAACGCAACCAGATACAGGAGGAGGGTTCATGGTCTTTTTTTTCTGTCCACGGTGAAATTTGCTAGAATATAGATGGACGAAGACGCTTAGATACAATGATGGAAGGAGCGATCGGAGCGGCCTACTGTTGACAACTGAAGACAACTGTTGACAACTGTAGACATCTCAATAACATCAATCTTCGAGACCATCATTGTGGACGAGTGTCCTCTCGCAGCTCTTTGCTTCACATACCACTCATTAACGCACTGCTTGGAATACACCATGGAGGGACCAGACACCTTCGTACAGCTGCCGCTGGCCATCGACCCCAACACCAAGGCCATCTCTTCAACATCGTCGTCGGGCGCACTCGGAGCCGAGTTGGACGCGCTCAATGCACTCCATCGTTCGTTCATCCAAGACCTGGAAGGACCTCTAGGTATTCCGCCACCGCCTGTCCCCGTCAATCCCAAACGATCAGCACAGATCACCAAGCTCAAGGAGAGCGGCAACGCTTCTTTCAAANAGGGCGCATACCCCGACGCTGTTCGCATGTACGGCCTCGCTATCGACATGGCTATCAAGCGTCCTGTATGGGAACCTGCCGGTCTTGTGCGCGAAGAGCTCAGTCAACTATACAACAACCGCGCCCAAGCATACATGGTTCAACAAATGTGGCCCGACGCTGCCCTCGATGCCTTTTGCAGCACCGAACTGAAGAAGGTCGCCAACACAAAAGGGTGGTGGAGACGCACCGTCGCCCTCAAGGAGCAAGGTCGCCTTGATGAAGCTTTGGACGTTGTCAAAGAGGCTGTTGACTTTGAGTCTGCTGGGCCAGACAAGGAGGGTGTAGAAAAGCTTTCCGGTCTCATGAAGGAAATCGAGGCTGCTGTGGAGAAGAAAGCACTTGCTTGATTTCGTTTACATCAAAAGACGACTACAACTTCTACGATCGCTTATTGGATTATGCATGGCGTTGGGGCGCAGGGTGATAGAGGCAAGAAAGCCCTTGCATTTTGAGGTGTTGAGACAATACCAAGAGGCGAAAATCAATGGCGACAACGAGTTCAGTTGCTGCGTGGACAATCTGAGACACCTACGGGTTACCCAGGTTCTGTGCATACTGACTGTTTCTCGACTCCTATGATTATCAAACGATACCCTGATTTTTCACTCTTGTATACCACTTTCTACAACACTGCTTCCAGGACATCGAACCATGCGCTTTGCCTTTATGTCCGATCTTGCGATGCATCACAGGAGTAGGCTTTCTTATCATCAGATCTTCGATACCTCAACAGCGACACGTCAGCTTGTTCTGCTCTAGGAAGGTGCCATGCTGTCTTTAGAAGAGAACAAAGCGCAAGATGTATTCGAGAAAAGAGACATGGCGTTACACGGCCTAGCAGCAATAGGTACGAGCTAGAGGTTTGTCGAAGCAATTAACCGTATGTCGAATAATCCCAGATGCATCTTGCAGATATGATTGAGAGATCTGTTTGCACGATGCAGCCTCCTCTGTCTTTGTACTGCTGAAACCGATGCTCAGAATTCACGCGAGACGATTTCTGAAACACGTTTCGAATGAGCTGATGCGAGACATAATCGACATGCAGATCAATCTCGGACCGCATCCCGTACACGAAAGTTCTGACTTTGTAAGCCTCCTGAACACGATGAGGACTGCTCTGGCTATTCTTGCACCTATCCAGATCTCCAGTGTCCAACTTTCCAAGGTCCTGACCAACATGGAATGACAAGTTAATCGATCGCGCACCTCATCTGCAAGAGATGGCTGGCTGGCCAAGCCGGCTGCTCTCGCGTGGCGCCCAGGGTCCCTAGCCAACGGCCGCGTCGATCATCTAGCCATGGTTCAATAAACATGAGCCATCCACTCAAGAGCCTCAGATCGGTATTAATATAATGAGCTGAGACGTACCTACGGTGAGACCATAGTTTTATTACGAGTTTCCTTCAAGTCCCGCAGCTTGTCCAGTGGCTCAACCCTCAAACTTGTTTTGCTGCCCACCTTTAAGTACTTCAACCCACATCCCCTCTGCTTGCTTGATTCAGAAGCTCTATACCGTTATTTGGGATACCCATTCCCGCTCGGGCGCCTATCCGCCATGTGGATTTCCCAGAACCCTCTTCACAGGTTGAAGATCACTGGTCATCTTCTCCAAGCAATCCTTACCTTTATCACGGGATGTATGACTCTGGCTATCTTGACAGAGAAGAGAGAACATGACAGTCGCGTGCAGTGGTGTTTTGCTTTAGTAAGACTCGGCTACGCCTCTCGTATACTTGGACTTGACTAACATCTCTTAGNNTGTTTCCTTACAATGCCTGCTTTAATGTATCAAGTCAGTCATCGAGAGCCACCGAATATCAAAGCACTCCTAACAGTCTGTAGTNGCATAGTACCTTGCTGGACGAGGCTATGGCGTCTCGCCAACCCTTACATCTTCTTCGCGATCGACTCAGTGTTCACTATTTTCTGGATCTCAGCATTCGCTTCGATGTGTGCCTGGACAGCCAAGGGAATACAGAAAGGTGCTGCTGAGAAGAAGTTGAAGGCGAGCGACGCATCTTGCTCAACCTTTGCTTTTGGGTCGACATCAGCATGCAATCTTGCAAAAGCCACGACGGGTCTCGNNGGTAGCCTTGTGGTCAGTACATTCTTGAACGTCCTCCAACGCTTGGCTAATGTATACAGCATTCTCTTCCTGGCCGCAGCAGTCATCTCTGGCATTGATGCCTATAAGTTCTGGAAGTCAGGGAATGTACGCACTCAGCCGGACGTCTATGGTCAGACTCCTTCCCGTGCTTCTTCACCAGAGGGCAAAGACGAGTGGTCGCTTAGTACAGACGATTTGCATGGCGCGAAGAGTACGTATGCTTCCGATGCGTATCATGGCTGGGCCCAAGACCACGAACCTGCGTTCTCGGAGTCAGATACTATGGAGGGGCGTCATCCTGGCCGCCACGTGAGGTATGACAGCACGAAGTCGATACCCTATGAGAGGGATCTCACACCTAGTGCCATGAGTCCGACAGCAGAGTTGCGCTATACAGGAATCTTTCCTTCAGCGACAGCAAACTACAGCTTTTCGAGAGAATGAAGATGCCATCATGAAGAACGAATAGCGACGAGACAATAAGAACTCTCTGTGAGGGTTGTCAGTAGGAAATACAGAATGCTGTCCAACATGTCCACCCCTGAACCACTTAGAGTCTTACAACCGAATGTACCCAAGTTTCATGATATCTGTCTGTGTCAAGTAAGCTCGTTGTCTGCTGTATCTGCTCTTAGGTAGTTCTACCCGAGCTCGCGTCACTAAGTGCAATGTCAGAAGATAGGATGAATCAGACCTTTGCCCGGAGCTAAAGACGGTCACAGTATAGCTATAAAAATGTACAATGATCTCGTAAGGATTTTGATTTCCATAGGGAAACTCCATTGCAACTATCTCTTTGACCATATTCAGAGTCTGAACGGGAAGGAGTCAATCGCATGGTGACAGGCGACCAAAGGTGGAGTGCGGGGTTGTTTGGAGAGCTTGCCGTTGGCAGAACTGACATCAGATTCGCTGTCTCCTTGAAGAACAAACTTTTGACAACATTCACAATCCGATATCTATCTTGCACAGCATGTCGGCCAAAATCCAGAAGACGCTTGCGCGACAGCAGGAGAAGTAAGCAATCGTGCGCCTCACTTACAACAAGCCGCTGACAGCAACTCCAGGGNTCAAAGAAGGCCAATTCTACGAAGCTCACCAACAGCTGCGCGTCATCGCATCCCGCTACACGAAATCAAGTGACTGGGCCTCAGCAGTCGATCTGCTCGCGTCAGGAGCCTCGATGCTCCTCAAGGCTGGTCAAGGAGCATCCGGAGGTGACCTATGCATGTTCCTCATGGACGTCTACGGCAAGGCCGAATTGAAGCCCGACACGACAAACAAGGCACGCCTGCTGAGTCTGCTGCGTGAATTCCCTGAAGGAGAACCTACGAGGAAGAGATTTGCTGGAGAAGTTGTTGNNGGTACATATACCGGCTAGTGATCAGGTAGCTCATCAAGCTGACTAGGCTGCAGGTGGTCATCGAAGTTCGGCGAGTACCCTGCTGGAGACCCCGAACTTCACCACGTTATTGGTACCCTTTATGCCGAAGGTACGTGTTCACGAGAGAACAGGCATATACTGGTTGGCTGACAATCGANNGAAGACGGCGAGGCTATTGAAGCAGAGAAACACCTCACCCTCGGAACTGCAGACTCACCATCCACTTTCGCATCGCTCGAATACAACTGGTATGCATCGGACGAGCCTTCGACCGCTCCGCTATACGCCGCACGTGTTGTCTTCCCCTATCTGCTGGTTGGCAATCTCCGTGCCGCAAACAAGGCCTTTNTGCTTTTCACATCCAAACTGTCATCGTCAAATCCTGGACTTGGCGTGCAAGAAGTTGGTTCAGCCTCATCAGATCTGCGCGTCTACCCTAGCCTTCCGCTGCTCAACTTCCTCGGTCTTCTCTTGCTGGCCATTGAGAAAGGGTCTGCCGATGTTTTCAAACAACTCAAAAGTCACTACGCATCGTACATCAAAGACGCTGGAAACTGGGACGAGGCACTCGCTCAGGTTGGAGAGATGTACTTCGGCATCAAGATCCCTAGCCAGAGCAACCCGCTGTTTGATATGATGAGTTCGTTTATGGGAGGTGGTGGTTCAGGAGGCCAGAAGCCTGCAAGCAGAAGAGTAGAAGCAGCACCAGCACCAGCCCCAGCATTGGATTAGAGATGGTATCGGACGGGTAGCTGTAGATATGCCCTTGTCAAGATTGCCTCTTGGCACTCTCTCTGGTCACAACCCCAGACATCTTCTTAAGCGTTATGCCACGAGCACTCGTCGCAATTGTCGTACACTGTGGAGACTGATGACACCTGCCTGTATTGGATTACCCATACTCGAGCAGACGTTTATTCTTATCAATGTGATCGGATATAACGGCTTTATCGGGCACATCGTAAGGCCAAGCTTTGAAACGGTTCCTGAGTGGACCGAGTAATCGTCACTAGTAGAAGATCGATGGGATTCTGACGGCAGATTGCAGCTGCTGCCTTCTTCCTTCTCTTTGTCCATCGGTCGACGTGCCTCTGTATCGCCATCACACGACCTCCATCGAGCACCCATGCGCGACCCGGCCGCATACCAGACGGTATTGCAGTCTCCAGTCGGCTTGCATTACCTCGGCGTTTCGAGCCATCCCAGTCAGCGCCAGCCACTATGCCGCAACGCTGAAGGATGGGGTCCTATCAGCCCTTTTCGCTATGACTTTACGCCCTGCTTCCTCGATGTCTGGATAGCTTCCGTCTCTGTCTTTGGCCTCGTCTTCGGAGCCGGTGCAGTCTATTACCTGTTGAAGAAATGCAGTCCTCAGCCCGTCAAGCAAGACTGGCACTTTTACACAAAGTTGTCCATCCTCGCCGCTCTTTGCGCCACCACCATCCTTCAAGCTGTCTTTCAGATCATCAACTTTGGCAGCGTCTGGGCTGGCGACTTCCGTTTCTGGGCCAGCGTCTTGAATCTCGCCTCTATTGTCGTCATCTTCTACATCCAGTACATTGAACACTGGCGATCCCGTCAGGCCAATGGAGTCGTCCTGGTATTCTGGCTGTTGCTTCTCATTGCATACGCTGTCAAAATGCGTTCTCTAGTCTCGCAGCAACTATATCGCACCGAACTCCCCTATTTTGTCACCTTTGCCGTCAGTGTCGCCTTGGCTGCTCTCGAATTTGGCCTCGAGTGGCTCGTGCCCAAACGTTTGAGCGACTACGATGCTCTTGGGGATGAAGATGAGTGTCCAATGGAGTACGCCAATATCTTCTCCATTCTGACCTTCTCCTGGATGACTCCAATGATGAAATATGGCTACAAGAATTTCTTGACCCAGGATGAGTTATGGAACCTTCGTAAANGAGATACAACCTCTGCAACCACCCAAGCCTTCAACGATGCGTGGGAGCAAGAGCTGGAAAAGAAGAAGCCAAGTCTATGGATCGCCCTGGCTCGTGGCTTTGGTGGTCCATACGTCCGTGGTGCAATGATCAAGACCATCTCCGACGTCTTGGCCTTTGTTCAGCCTCAACTTTTGCGTCTTCTCATCTCATTCGTTGATTCCTACCGTACCGAAAATCCTCAGCCTCCTATTCGTGGAGCCGCTATCGCTCTTTCCATGTTTGCTGTATCCGTCTCCCAGACGCTTGCCCTGCATCAGTACTTCCAGAGAGCCTTTGAGACTGGCATGCGTATTCGTTCATCATTGACAGCCGCAATTTACCACAAGTCGATGCGCCTCTCGAACGAGGGCAGATCATCAAAGTCCACTGGAGATATTGTCAACTACATGGCCGTCGATACGCAGCGTTTGCAAGATCTTGCCCAGTATGGTATGCAACTGTGGTCTGCGCCTTTCCAGATCACGCTGTGTATGATCTCGCTCTACCAGCTTGTAGGACTGAGTATGTTCGCTGGTGTTGGTGCTATGATTGCCATGATCCCCATCAACGGCGTGATTGCACGTATCTCCAAGAACTTGCAAAAGAAGCAGATGAAGAACAAGGATTCGAGAACACGTTTGATGACCGAGATTCTGAGTAACATGAAGTCAATCAAGCTTTACGCCTGGACTACTGCCTTCATGAACAAGCTGAACTACATCCGTAACGACTTGGAGCTGAACACTCTTCGCAAGATTGGTGCATCTATGGCTCTGGCCAACTTTACCTGGTCAACTACACCTTTCTTCGTGTCTTGTTCGACATTTGCGGTCTTCGTCCTCACAGGCAACAGAGCACTTACAACAGACATTGTGTTCCCCGCACTGACACTTTTCAACCTCCTTACCTTCCCCTTGGCCATCTTGCCCATGGTAATCACTTCCATCATCGAAGCAAGCGTCGCTGTCAACCGCCTGACAGATTTCTTTGTCGCGCCTGAGCTGCAACGTGACGCTGTGCTCAAGTATGATGCGGTCACCGAGCGTGGCGAGGAAGCAGTTCGCATCAGGGATGCGACGTTTACCTGGAATAGCAACGACTCTCGCAATGCTCTTGAGAACATCTCCTTCTCCGCTCACAAAGGCGAGCTCTCTTGTGTTGTTGGCCGTGTTGGCGCCGGAAAGTCTTCCTTCCTACAGACCCTCCTGGGTGACCTCTACAAAATCAAGGGTGAGGTTGTCTTGCGTGGAAAGGTGGCCTATGTTGCTCAATCTCCGTGGGTTATGAATGCCAGCGTTAGGGAGAATATTGTTTTCGGTTACCGTTGGGATCCTCAGTTCTACGAAAAGACTGTTCATGCTTGCGCTTTGAAGGAAGACTTTGCATCGCTGCCAGATGGCGACCAAACCGAGGTCGGCGAGCGCGGCATTTCCTTGTCTGGTGGACAGAAAGCTCGTCTGACACTGGCCCGAGCTGTCTACGCTAGAGCAGATGTTTACCTTCTCGACGATGTCCTGTCGGCCGTTGATCAACACGTGGGAAGACATTTGATCGACAATGTCCTGGGTCCCAATGGTCTCCTCAATGGAAGAACGAGAATTTTGGCTACAAATTCTCTACCTGTCTTGATGGAAGCAAACTATATTGTTCTTCTGCGTGAAGGTCGCATCTTGGAACGTGGTACTTACGAACAACTCATGGCTATGAAGGGAGAGATCTCTCAACTCATCAAGACTGCTAGCAATGAAGAGTCACAGAGCGAGTCGCAGAGCGAGACGCCAGATAGTGACGACTCGGCCACTGTTTTCGAGAGTGATCCCAACTCCGCGCAAGGCGAACTTGAGATCACGGAAGCTGAGGAAGGCGAGACTCAACTTGCTCCCATCAACACTGGTGGTGGTCGCCCAGCCCGCAGAGCAAGTGGTCTTTCCTTACGTCGTGCGAGTACTGCAAGCTTTGCTGGGCCTCGGGGTAAGCTCACAGACGAGGAAGGCACTGCCGGTCTCAAGAGCAAGCAAAACAAGGAATTCTCCGAGCAGGGTAAGGTCAAGTGGTCTGTCTACTCAGAATATGCCAAGACCAGCAATTTGGTTGCTGTCGCCATTTACATCATCACCTTGGTCGGGGCTCAGACCGCTCAGATTGGTAAGTGTGTTCCTGGTTGCGCCAAAGAAACGCCTATCTAACTATCTCAACAGNGTGGCAGTGTCTGGCTCAAGAACTGGTCCGAGATCAACGGCAGATATGGCGGTAATCCTCACGTAGGAAAATATATCGGCATTTACTTTGCCTTTGGTATTGGTTCCGCAGCCCTGGTCGTCGTACAGACCCTCATCTTGTGGATCTTCTGCTCAATCGAGGTGAGTGTGCATTAGACTTGCGTACCGGGCCGTCACGCTAATTTTCGTCTCCTGCAGGCTTCGCGTAAACTTCACGAACGAATGGCCTATGCTATCTTCAGGTCACCTATGACCTTCTTCGAGACTACCNCCGCAGGACGCATTCTTAACCGCTTCTCAAGGTAAGTGGCTTCTTCTTGTCCCTGCATCTCTGCGACGTTGTGCTATCGTCCAAGTACCGGACATGTTACACTAACGCACGTGCACTTTCCAATCACCGGGTTTGATACTAATCATCGCTCTTCGCNNAGTGACATCTACCGTATCGATGAAGTCTTGGCGTAAGTAATCAGATGTGTCAGAGTATCCTGGACTTGTAAGCTGACCTGATTCGTTAGTCGCACATTCAACATGCTCTTTGTCAATTCGGCACGAGGTATGTTGTGTCCCGATGCTACTGCAAGCAACATGCGTATACTGATTGACTGTTCTANNGCTCTCTTCACTCTGGTCGTTATTTCAACGTCCACCCCGGCCTTCATCGCGCTGATCGTGCCATTGGGCGGTCTCTACCTCTACATCCAAAGGTACTACCTCCGGACTTCACGTGAATTAAAGCGTCTGGACAGTATCAGCCGCAGTCCTGTATATGCTCATTTCCAGGAATCTCTGAGTGGAATCAGCACAATTCGTGCTTACCAGCAAAGCAAGCGCTTCGCCATGGAGAACGAATGGCGTGTTGATGCAAACCTCAGAGCATACTTCCCTTCTATCAACGCCAACCGCTGGTTAGCGGTTCGACTTGAATTCATCGGCTCTGTCATCATCCTTGCTGCCGCTGGTTTCGCAATCATCTCGGTTTCGACTGGAAGTAGTCTATCTGCCGGCATTGTCGGTCTAGCCATGTCCTATGCCTTGCAGATCACCCAATCACTCAACTGGATTGTGCGCCAGACCGTAGAGGTGGAAACCAACATTGTTTCGGTTGAGCGCGTCTTGGAGTACGCACGTCTCCCTAGTGAAGCTCCTGAGATCATCTCAAAGTACAGGCCGCCAGTGAGCTGGCCTTCCAAGGGTGCAGTCTCTTTCAACAACTACAGCACCAGATATCGCGAGGGGCTTGACTTGGTTCTGAAAAACGTCAACCTTAGCATCAAGTCGCACGAAAAGATCGGTGTTGTAGGCCGAACAGGTGCCGGCAAGAGTTCCTTGACTCTCGCCCTGTTCCGCATCATAGAGCCCACCGAAGGTGATATCACCATAGATGATTTGAGCACTAGCTCTATTGGATTGTTGGATTTGAGAAGAAGGCTTGCTATTATCCCGCAAGATGCTGCTCTCTTTGAGGGTACTATTCGTGACAATTTGGATCCAGGACATGTTCATGACGACACGGAACTCTGGAGCGCTCTAGGTATGTTCGGATTCTGTGCCTTGCTTTACGACTACTAACAAACTGATNTAGATCATGCGCGTCTGAGGGACCACGTATCAAGCATGTCTGGAGGACTTGATGCCCAGATCCATGAAGGTGGCTCCAACCTGAGTCAAGGTCAGCGCCAACTGGTATCTTTGGCGCGTGCATTGTTGACGCCGAGCAACATCTTGGTGCTTGATGAAGCAACCGTAAGCCTCATGTCCTTTTGAACCGCCATGTTTGAACCTACTAATGTGTTTCATTCCAGGNCCGCTGTTGATGTGGAGACGGATGCATTACTGCAGACCACGCTCAGAAGCAACATGTTCAAGGATCGGACGATCATTACGATCGCCCACCGCATCAACACCATTCTGGACAGTGACCGCATCGTGGTCCTTGATCACGGACGTGTGGCCGAGTTCGATACGCCTGCCGAACTGGTAAAGAAGAAGGGTCTGTTCTACGAGTTGGTGCGTGAGGCTGGTCTTCTTGGAAGCGTCGATGTCAGCATTGCAGCAGAATAGTTGGTAGTCTTGCATAGATCTGTTGTACACAAACGACGATAATTGCCCCATGCAGGGAGAATATTGACAGCTGCTATGTGTCAGTCACGTTAGTCGCCTGATGACAGCCATTAGTGTCTTGTTCTGAAAGTGCAAGTCCGTCCTTTCGCTATCATTGTTGGGGCATTGTCTCTACAGACGCCTCTCTGCTAGAAGCCATATTAACTGCACCAGACCCGCTGCAAGGAAGTACTACGCGGGCGGTTCCCGAGATGTGTGCGGCTCAGATCTCGCAAGATCACAGCATCAGAGGACGGTTGTGGCCCGAGCCGCTGAGCTTGAACCAGGGTAAGTGACAGGAACTCTGAAACAAATGCTCTCAAAGATCCAAGGACTGTTCAGACGATGGTCTTGTCGACAGATGCAGACGATAGATCTCTTAAGTAGGGCCGGGGTTTGCATTGCGAGCGTTTCCCAATACAGCATGGCTTTGGTGGAGTGTACATGCCGGGGGCGGCGCGGCTTATGGGTCTGCTGTCCAAGGGTCCCTGATGGAATTCAACCGGCGCATCTTCATGCTGTCCTCTGTGTCACCACACATTCAAGCAAACATCTTCAAGCCCGGATCTGCCTGTTCTCTCTCAACGACAGATTCAGGCTTGCGCCAGATCCAGGCGGGGAAGGTGTTTCCACCCGGAACTCAGTCTGCAGATCGGGACTGACGGCTTTGATGGCCGGGCATGCATGCTCTTCGCATCGATCAACCAGAGATCAAGCGTGACGAAAGGCCAAGCGAATCGCGAGGCGTTTGCACAATCTACGAGCAGAAATTATCGAGCATCGACCCAGCGCGAGGCAATGCATTTGCATCTTGCTGTCTAGCGAAGAAGCGGAATACAGGGTAGTTTTTGGTATCTGGACCGAACCGAGTTGATGGATTTTAGGATCTGTCGTATTGCTGAATCTATTAAGTCCTCCGGAGCCGCCCTCTAGAAGATGCTTTGAATCCTGTTGCGTCTTTCCTCGTCTTTTTGTCCTGTTCTTTTGTGTTTTTCCTGCTTCCTTCTCGAATCATTCCTTCCCGTCGGCAAACAAGGCAAGTGACAGCTGTTGTTGTAGCGCCGCGTGAAGACACCACCGAGGTCAGCTTTCGTCTTGCCTGAACCCCGCACCAGATCGTGGCATTCTCAGCCTATCGTTCAGGTTAGTCGACACTTTTTCCCTTGTGCTGCCGTTCTTTGCCTGTCGCGTCAATCTACCCACCATTGCCTTGTGGCGTTGACGAGCCTCGGGGTGCCCGACTTCTTCCAAAAGGAGCTCCTTCTGTCTCACGTCCTTGTTTTGCAAGTTCTCGTCACATTTTGATCTCCTTGTCATCGATTCGGTTTCAAACAGAAGCACCCATTCTCCGTTTCCCTCTGGCTGACCAGTTGTAGTCGAACAAAGCTCAGGCACGATACGCGCTAGAAAAAGCCAAACACCTGGCAGTTTTGGCCGCACGAGGGTGAGCTTAATCCGTTCCCGAGATCATCGTCCCGCTAACGTCCGTTTTGACTTTTTGTTAGTTGTGGAGAAAACTGATCAGTCCCTTGCATCTCTCTACAGGGGTGAACCTATATGCTTTAAAGGTCTCTTGGTAATTCAGACATGGTCTCGAGTTCTCAGCCTGCGAATAGGTACGGGAACCATGCTGGCGTTGGTAAGCAGCTGGGCAAAACTCCAGCTTCTAGCGTTTCTGTGAGCAACTCTTTTATATGTTTCATGATTCATGTCCACTGACTGTGCCAGTACCGCCCCATAACGTCGTCGCGGGAACAAACTCTTACCCTAAATCGGCAAAGGAACGTCACGCTGGAACGTGATGATTCTTCAGCAGTGAGTAAGAAGAAGTATGTCGCGAATAGACTAGACAGCCTGCCTCCTCATGTCCTGGACCGCGTTTACCAAGTCTGTATCAACACCGAAGGTCCTTTGCAGATCACAGGCTCTGAGACGGCTCTAGACCCTCGAGCANGCCAGTACGTCCATATCTTGGTGTTTCAAGAATACCTGTGTCTGACGAAAACAGGAATTCTGCAAATCGAAGAAGAGCCAGAAAAGCAACATGCTAACGCGCAACGAAACACATCAAAGCGCAAGGCAGTCGCTTCTGCGGAATCTTCTGATGAAGAGAACGAGGAAAACTGGTCAAACCATGGCAACATGCAGATTACATTGCACATTGCCAACGAGGATGAGGTAGTTCACTTTNTGAAAATGCGGTTCACCCAGATCCAGCAACTTGCAACCAAGGTCATTGCCAAAGCATGGATCAAAGCAATATGTCCGAAGAAGCAAGCAAACTTTCCCTACGTCGACAGCAACCCAAGACCAGACCAAAGTCAGAAGCGCCGTCGCCCACGTCACGATGGCGCTCCAAGAATACCGCTGTTTTGGCCCGATATTGAGTTGTGTCGACACAAAGAGCCTGATCATACTAGGAAGACTGGTGCGTTCATCCATACAACGGCATGATATAGTCAACTGATTTCCACAGAACGAACTTACCTCTTGGTCCATCTGCTTAGACTGCACTGGACTGAGCAAGATTGGCTCGCCTCTAACGGGCGTGGCTCAGAAGTCCCTCAGAAGATCAAGGATCGCAACTGGGTTGGATTTTTGAGAGACGCCTTTCCGGTCAACAAGCTTGAAGAAGTGCAAGGCAGCAACCCAGACAAAGCGGCCATGCGAAGGAGATACTTGAACCAGATCTACAAGGTTGCCGAGGACGAACAAATGATGCGCCACAGAGTGGGTACGTTAGCGCGCTCTTACCACCCAGACTCCTCATATCTAACCGTATGANTAGGTCCAGCGAATCAGAAAAGAAGCTTCACTGCTGGCGCTGGTTGGATTCCAGCAGGCACTCAAACTGCGGCATCTGCGAGTCAGAGCGACCGCCCAGATAGTGATGATGAAGAAGACTCGCCTATCCTCGACTCCTCCACAATGGCACGCACGAATTCTCATTCAGAAGACTGTGCAATGTCACCAGAACCCGAGGAGCAAGCAGATGACTCTGGATCGGCATCCTCTTACTCAGGAGTCGAGCTAATCAAGGAAGCCAAGGTCGAGCAAGTGCCTTTCAGCGGATTTCTGCCAGGAGACGAAGTCGCAGCGGTCGGTCCTAGCCATGGTCCAGATTTGAAGTTCGACCCTGCAGATGAGCCTATGACGATTCCACTTGGATCCGTGCCGCCCAGTGAAGATATGGACTACTATGAACCATCATGGGGTGGCAGCACGACGATGGCTCAGACACCAGAGGTATACCAGCAACCTCAGTATACCGGTGCTCCTACTTCATGGTACGGAGGTATAGCCATAAGTCATTCGCAAGGCCAACTGCCTGCTGTAGCTGTCAGCAACCAAACTTGGAACGACTACCGTCATGGATACGGGCCATATCAAACAGCGGTGCTCCCTGACAAAGCAATGAGCGAAGCAGTATCTCACAATGCTGGGTTTGGCAACGTACACCAAATGGCCATGTCGGGGCCATTTGTCCAGCCAATGGTGACAGCAGTTAATGAGAGTCAGCATGCTATGTATCAAGGCCCCAGGATGCATTACAGCCATGATGGCTATGAGCAGCACAGTCAGCCTGGATACATGGGTACGCAGCACCAAGAGATGTACACAAGGTGGCTCTGAAGAAGAGCGAGAGTCAGTTTTGGATGAAGAGAAGAACGGCAACGATGATGACAAGCACGACAGCAACGAGACTGACGATATTGACGAAATTGCATGTGGCTCGGCGAATGAAGGCGACAGGCGAAGAGTGCTGAAGATGATAATGGCTTGCACAGGTAATGGTGTTTTTGAATATCGGTGTTTCCTTGGTTGAAGACGAATTTCCTTGGGTTATGGGCAAGGCCGAACGAACATAGTTGATGATCAAGGCAAACGTGGATAACGAGATATGTTGGTGGATTGGAGACGACAGACAACAGCAGATAGTGGATAGCGGATTAATGGAACAAAGTGCATCTCTAAGTGAAAAGCTGACTTGTCGCGTGAGAAGAAATGGAGAGACAAGGAGTGACGAAGCACATGCAAGAAAGCTTGGACACGGATGCGGTGCTTGGTTCCGCTTGCGGGTCATGGAACATCTGAAAGCAGCATCAAAGTTGTAGCGCTACCAACATCATCAAAGAGACGCGGCAATCGACGACGCTCCATGCTCTGCCAAACATAGCGATCCAGCGACAGCCATGTCGTTTGTCAGTGGAGGTAGAGGAGGTAGCAGTCGCGGTCGCGGCTCATCACCATTCGGAGCCCCAGCTGGTCCAAAGACAACGCGTCCGACATCTTTCGCTCCACGCGCCCGAGGAAACAACCAAGTCCGCTTCAATGCCCAGACGAGAGGCGCGAGTGAAAGAGGAGGCAGAGGTTCGTCTCGTGGTAGCAATGCTCCGCGAGGAGGAGGCAGAGGACGCGGAAAGACAACACCTGCACCAACACCCTCGCCCTCGCCCTCACCCCTTCACCGCGCCAGCCCAATTGAGCCATGCCTCGCCTTCGTCTCCGTCCTCCTTCGCCGACCGCTTCCAGGCTGTACGATTCCTCCCACCATTCCATGGCTGATATTCTCTGACCCACGGTACAGCTCAAGAAGCGCCGCGAACAAGAACGCGTCCACGCCATTGCCCAAGGCTTCCTAGCCGACCCTGACAAACCGCGCACCCTGGCCGAGGCCATCACCCCCGTAGGAACCTGTCCGGACATGTGTCCAGAGTTTGAACGACTCGAGCGCGTCGTGCAGAAGGATGTGTGGGGCCCCGAGCTCGACGACCAAGGTGCTCCTGCCGAGCATCGCATGGTAAAGAAGTTCAGGCGTGCTGCGGCTGGCATTGACGAGCAATTACCCTCAGACTTGCGCCCTCCCACTACCCTCAAAAACACTGTCGAATACCTCTTCAATGAAATGGTCGCCAATGCCGAATCACTGGGCAGCGTACACCACTTTGTCTGGGACCGCACTCGCGCCATCCGCAACGACTTCTCAATCCAACAGATCACTAAACCTGCTGATGTCGAGATCGCCATTGAATGCTACGAACGTATTGCCCGCTTCCACATCCTGTCGCTACACCAGCTCGCCGTGCCAGACAAGCCCTATGACAAGTACGACTGGTACCAAGAACGAGAACAGCTGGACCGTACTCTGTTGTCGCTGATGCAGTACTATGACGACTCCCGTGGCCGTGTCGACTGCAAGAACGAGGCCGAGTTCCGCGCATACCTCATCATTTTCCAAGCTCAGGACCCAACACCCGATCTCGATGAAAGAGTCAATACTTGGCCCGTCTCTGTCAGATCTGACAAGCGTGTGAGAATTGCTCTACATCTCAACTCTGCCGCTTCGAACATTGTAGATCCTCAAGGTCCTTTGAAACCTCGGGCTGTATACCCAGTCGCTCGAGAAGACTGGGCTCACTTCTTCGACCTCGTCCGCTCCAACAAGGTCTCCTATCTCATGGCCTGTGTATCCGAAATCTACTTCAAGCTTGTCCGACGAACAGCTCTAAACGCCATCTGGCGTGGCTTCAAGGGCCAGGTCTTCGAGTTCACCCTGTCCTTGATGACCCGCATACTTGGCTTCGATGATCCCGAGCAGACCGAGACTTTCTGTCAGCATTTCGGCTTTGTCTTCAAGGCGTCAAACTCTGGCGGAGAGGATNTTTTGGATCTGGACTCAGTGAAGGGCAAGGCATTCCCTGTAGAGACGCCTGGCTTAGAGCATCAGACATTCTCAGAGGACCTGGTCGAGGTAAAGCGTATGGGCCGTAGTTTTTCTGCTGTGATAGGTGGTTATACTGTAGCAGAAGCGCAAAGCTCTGGCTTGGTCGATGTCAGTTATGACAGCCAGATGGAAGATCATGTGGAAGATCAGGCGGAAGATAGCCAAGCTGAAGACGATCCTGATTCTCTCTTCATCCCAGAAGGCCCATCCAAGTCAGCCTTCGGCACTGCAGCAGCTCTAACGTCATCTCCATTCGCAAATCCGTTTGCTCTGAACAAACCACCTGGAGAAGCGCAACCGCCGTCACTCTTTGCTCAACCAAAGCCAACGAGCTCCGCTTTCGGTCAGCCCTCAGCATCCACTGGCTTCAATTTTGGGAAACCTTCAGTCAATTCAACTTCTTCAGAGGCACCAACATCTGCCACAGCATCTCCGTTCGGCTCTGTCTTTGGTCAGCAGCCTAAAAGTGAAGATCTCAACACTTTTGCAACCACGAAACCTCCCGTCACTTCTGAAGTCATCACTAGCACCGAACAACCAACCAAGGCCCCTGACAGCCTATTCTCTTTCACGAAGCCTGCAACCAATAACGAAAAGGACTCACCAAAACCTTCACCCACACAAGTAGAGGCGTCTGGACCTACAAACTCTGCAAACGGTCCATCTTTATGGGGAAGTCCTGTCTCTAGCCAGCAAACTTCGTCTATTCCCGCTCCGTCATCATCCATCTTTGAAGCTCCTCCAACCCAATCACTACCGAAACCTTCCTTCAGCTTCTCTTCTACCTCTCAAACGACTGCACGACCTCCTCAGTCACCACCAGGTTCTTCAAAAAGCCCTTTTAGCTTTTCCTCTTTGACGAGTGATGACAGCAACTCATCAAAGCCAACACAACAATCAATTGAACCGACACAAACACCTGCTTCCCTGTTCAGCAAACCTACCATCTTCCCCAGTGAACCGCCTACTGTTTCACAAGCTCCTTCGCCACCAGTTACAATCAATGGGACCCCTGAAGTTTCAGTTTTCAACGCATCTCCTGCACCAAAGCTTCCGCAGTTCAACTTCAGCCAGCCTTCTCAGCCCAAAAAGCCGAGCCCTTTATCACAGTCGTTTTCTCTGGACGACAAAGCTGAAAGTGCGACAACAAAGGCTCTGACCGCATCACTACTTCAGTCTTCAACTGAACCAGTGCCGCAAACACCCATCGCTTCGCCACCCAAGCCCACAAAGTCGAAAGATGAGATACTTGAACAGCTCGCTCGAGAGGTCGTCTTGGATGCCGACAGAGGGTTGATCAGACAGTTTGTCGAGTATCATGCTCGCCAAACAGTCATGGAAGTTTATGATGAGCTATATATGGAAAGTATCCGCGAACTTGCAGATACTTTCAGAAGAGAGACTCTTTCTTACAGATTTGGCAAGAGATGGCGCGAGATCTGTTGGCGAAGGAGATTGGCACGGCAGGGTCGAGAACGTCGCAAACGCGCCAAGAAGGATCAGAGTGCGCGCGAGCTAAAGAGGAAGCTCGCTGCTGAGAAAGACGCAGTCGACGATTTCCTCAAGTCTACAAGGTCCACAGTGAATCTAGGCGCGAGCCTTCGAGATTCTCGATATAGCCTGGACTCCCAGCCCGATGGTCAAACATCCCTCGAAGAAGCCATGGATCAGTCGACGACGAGGGACCCGCATGGAAACAAGAGATTGAAGAGCCTGGACAATATCGACCTCGAGACGCCCAAACGAAAACAGCCAGCCGCAACTCCGCGATCCAACTTCCTCGGTTTCCAGTATGCTTGGATCGCAAAATCGTCCTGCTATATCTAGTACGCCTTCCAGGTCCAACTATTTCCGCTTGAAGGCTATGGGTATCAATCCTGGGGGAGAGACAAACCCGACACCGCAGGTTAGGAAACGCACAAGGGAGGACAGTGAAGAAGCCCAAGCCCAAGCACAACCTCCAAACAAAAAGTCCCAAACGCCACCATCAGCTATAGTGGCTCATCCATCGAATTCGACACGCCCACTCGCCTCTGGAGGTGTTGTTACCAAGTCCCTCAGCAGTAGTCTCACAGGCACTGAATCACTGTCCAAAGCGCGTCAAGAAGATGAAGAGCTTTTTGCCCGGGCACGTGCCGCTAGACAAGCCATGGCAGACTCGAGTACGTGGTACAGGTCAGAGATCCGAAAAGATGACGCCAGGCGCAAGGAAGAAGCAGGCCGTTCATTGACATCACCATCGATGGAGCGCGCGCGTGAACTCGCTCGTTTGCGCTCCGCAAGGCCTGGTGCCGCATCGCCCGACGTCCCTGCTTATAGATTGAGAGAAAGTCGTTTTGTGCCTCGAGCACAGTACAATCTGGCAATCGAGAAGGCGAGGCAGAAGATCGAATCCAGGTCAAGAAGCCCATCTCGGCTGTCGACGCCTAGAGCTTCTCAATCACCCAGCCGCTCCGCTGGGCAAAGCTTAATGCCCTTGTCTACAGCGAAAACTCAGACGTATTCTCAGTCTGCTCCTTTGGAAGGACAGGACACCCAAGCGACTAACAGCATGGTACAACTTGCTGCTTTGCACAAAGCCCCGAACCTTCCGCATGGCAGTACGAGGCGACGTTCTTTGCCGAGTCTGCAGACCCAGCGCTCTCTGGAGACATCAAAGAGCATGGAACTAGTCTTGAAGACCTGGCTCAAAACGCTATGAACCAGTACGTTGATCTGGGATCAGACGATGAAACCGAAGACCTGCAACAGGTCGAAAACTCGGACCAGAGCAAGTTTGGGATCAACGACATGGTCGACACAGAAGCGTTTGCAGACGATGACGACGATGACGATGAAGAAGCTAGCGAGGAAGCTGGGGATGAAGGCGAAGAATATGTAGGAGGATATGCTCAAAATCCTGAAGACTTCGAGGATGAAGAAATCTATGATGAAGATGATTCCGAGGAAGAAGAGGAAGAAGAAGAAGAAGAGGGACTTGAAGACTTCGACGAGGAAGACGAAGATGATGAGGTGTCAGACACGTCCGCCATCAATGTCAGCAACAACATCAAGGCAGGAACCGGCACAGCCGATGATGCATTTGAGCTCAGCGATTAACAGTTGGACAAGAAACTTGGTATATTAGTCTGTGGAGAAATGTAACCAATGGATAAAAAAACTTGAATATCTTGCAAGAGAGGTCATCAGCTCGTATCTTTCGAATGATCTGCGAACTAATCTGAAGTGATCAATTTAGGAGTATCGAGGTTGCATACGAATGAAACAATCCTTAGACACGTCCATGGTTCTCGACCAATAATGCCTTCATGTAGTCGCTGGGCTCATACCTCCACTGCTCGTTGATGAGTGCCTTGCCCACAGAGTCCCGTAGTCGAGTCATGACTTCTGCTTTAGGTCTTTCGAGTTCTNNGTGATTGTCTGTCAGCTAATAAAGGTAAGGGAAGAGAGAAGAGGACAGACCATGCTCATCCCACCTCTTGCTGTTCCTACCACCGCCAGCGGCAGCCCCAGATGCCCAATACTCTTGCACAAGAGCTGTTAAACGTCGTTGTTCTTCGAGGTCTTCNTGGGCATTAGTAGAAGTCGGATCGAAGACCAAATCGACTGTCATACCTTCATCCTCTGCGCTATTCGTATGCTCTCCCAGAGCAGGTACCTCGTGTAGATAATTGCCCCGTTCGTCTCTGACTACCATGTCTNNCCGAAGAGGTTCAGGCTGGTTCTCTTCGTCAGGTTCGATGGTCGTTTCAGTAGCTGCTCTGGCTCGTCTGGTCCGGGTTGCCCTACTAGCAGCAGCAGCACGTCTGCTCATCCTGTCTCCCGCATCATCCGAGTCCTCAAGGACTAATTCATTCAGATGCGTTGAAGAGGGGCCGCTCGTAGTGGGACGTCTTGACAGTGCTGGGGCAAAGAGGCTGCGCGCGGCCGTATTAGCCCGCAAGGAGTGGCCGCCGGAGCTGTAAGTGTCGTGCAAGCGGCTTGTTGCGCGTGAAGTGGGACGCCGCGGTGCGTCGTTGAAGGGATCATGAGGGCGAGGCGGCATGTCTTTGATTATACTGAAAGAGTAGAGTAATTTTTGCTTGGTTGTTGGAATAATCTGGTCGCTCGCTTGTTTGTTGTCGTCAACACAGTCTGACAAACTCCGAAAGTCACTCTATGCGAATGGAAATGGCGTTGGTTGCCCCTGCTCGCGCTCGCGCTGTTGCTTGAATCTATCAGAACTAATGTAAATACCACCACAGCTCGTTTCGTGCCAGAGTCACAGAGAAACCAACGAATCAGGTGATACTCTACAGTACTTCACATCATTGCTGATAGCAAGTAAAGGGGCTTATATATAGATATAGTTCAGGGTCCGGATCGAAAGCATGAAATTTTGTGGTCCAGATAGCACTCGTTCAGAATGCTCACAGCGAGGAGATGACAAAGAGACACGAATGCCAAGCTGGCCAGGATGATGAAATGCAAAGTGGAAGTCGAGTAATAGACAGCGTGCAGGGCAGGAGCGACGAGTCTCTCACAGAGTGGTTCGTCGCACAGGCACCGCCAAGGCGCTCAATCTGGCAGGAAGCCCCCAAAGTACCGACCAAAAGCTAAACGTAGCTGCAGCGAGAACAGGCAGCCCCTGGCACTCTCTTTGTTTGGCCGTTGAGACTGCTTTTCTTTTCCACTCGGTGCTCCATCTACTCTACTCGACCATCCTTCTGCGACGCACCATCCCAGGACCGTCAGTCGGCTGGCTTCTTTCTTTCTGGCCATCGTCCGCCATGCGCTAGCCCTGAACCTGATCCCTCACACCTTGTCCACACATCACTAGACCCCTCACCATGTCGCTCTCTCGCTCTCCTTCACCCAAACGAGGCGGCGGCTGGGCAAGTCCTGGACTCAATGCCAACTTCGCGCAGAGCAGAAGCTCCACCNCCGTGACCTCGTACAGCCAGAACCACTCAGTCACATGGGCTTCCGCCCAAGCAAGAAGCCATCAAGTCAACGGATATCCGGCATATCAAGAGCCTACCTCGGGCTTCTTTGGCAAGCACATGCGCAAGATCTCGGCGAGTCTGCCCTTCTTCACCAACGGCCCCAAGGACGAGCGTGAGGCTGAAAAGGAGAAGGCGGGCAGAGGTAGATGGGCTCCCGCACGAGGAGGCTACCTTGCCAATATCAAATCCATGCTTGGTCGCCATATGCTGAGATCAAAATCTCGATTCGTCTTGGCTCTAGTCTTTTCTTGCTTATACTTTGTTTCTATACTACACGTATGTCACCCGGAAGAAAAGGGCCAAGTCTCAGCTCACTGACATGATCAAACAGCATTGCATTACTGGTTCCGAAGAAGCTCATGGTTGGGCGGCGGCAGCAAGTTCGTCGTAATTCTGGCAGCCAACATGGGAGGAGGAGTCATGGAGTGGAAAGGGCCTCGCGAATGGGCCATTGAGCGCGACAGTGTGCGCAACAAGAAGAATTACGTGCGCCGATGGGGTTATGAGTTGGAAATTGTTGATATGAGCACAAAGAAACGCTACGCGCACGAGTGGAGAGAGAGCTGGGAGAAGGTCGACACAATTCGCAACGCCATGCGCAAGTACCCGCAGGCCGAGTGGTGAGTTCTGTTTGCTGGAATCGACGACAGAGACAACAGGCTGACTGATTGGCGCAGGTTCTGGTGGTTGGATCTTAACACGTTCATCATGGAGCCATCGTATTCGCTCCAACAGCACATCTTCAACAACCTGAACGACAATGTCTACCGCGACATCAATTTTTACAACCCCCTCAACATCTCTCACNCCCCTACTGCAGCCCACCTGGATCCTGAGAGTTTGTCACCCATCGGAGATGGCAAGCCCGACTCAATCAACCTCATCGTACCCCAGGACTGTGGTGGCTTCAACCTGGGATCCTTCTTCGTCAAGCGTTCGGCATGGACAGATCGCCTGCTCGACATCTGGTGGGATCCTGTGGGTTACGAACAGAAGCACATGGAATGGGAACACAAGGAGCAAGATGCACTGGAGTACATGTACACCAACCAGCCGTGGGTGCGGCCTCACCTTGCTTTTATTCCTCAGCGCAAGGTCAACAGCTTCCCTCCAGGCGCGTGCGGCGACAACGGCGAGGATATGAACATTCACTACCACGAGCACGACCGTGACTTTGTCGTCAACATGGCAGGCTGCGAGTGGGGCAGAGACTGTTGGGGTGAGATGTACAACTACCGCCAATTGAGCAACAGACTCAATCGCAACAACTGGGAGAAGTTCAAGGATGGCGTGTCAGGAGCCTTTTCGTTCCTCAAGTCAAAGAAGAAGGAAATCACAGGGACGGAAAAGGACAATGAGGAGAAGAAGGAGTCATGATATTGAAAGCGGACGATTGGGATACAGGGGGGACATTTCGGAGTCATGTATACATTTGCAAACGATCCATGTTGATTTCTTGTGCCTGCCTTTGGCCTGTTCCTTTCTTGCGTGCATTTCCCCAGATGTGTAAGTCTCAAGTGTACAGGTGCGAGCGAATAAGTGGCTAGTCGGCGACAGAATGTGACGGTATGTTGTGCGCGCAAAAGAAGAAAGGGAAATGTTTCCCGAGGCGTATGGAGAAGAGGTGGTCGACTAATAGGTTGTAGAGGGATGAGGGGTGTTGGTTGGAGGCTCGGGGGTCGGCATAAGGGTCTATGAGCTGCTGGGAGTGGTGTTCTGTTGCTCGAAGAGGTAACCCTTGACCTTGGCGTGCTTCAATTGCTCGAGGTAGCGCTCNTGTCAAGGTGTCAGCAGACGAAGGGATGGTAGGGTGGTCGCATGTCGGGTCCTGTACTGACCTCTGAGGTGGCCGCACTTCTCGAGGTGGTTGACGCCCTCACGGTAGTAGCACTTGCCCATCTCCTCTCTGAGTAGGCGGGCCATCATGCTCTGGACCCATTGCTCGCGCAGGACGGCATCCTGGGCTGCCTTGAGCTGCAAGTTGTTGTCGTAGTCGACGCCCTCGAATGTTGCCGGCACCTTGGGCTTTTGCATGCGGAATTGGATTGACTCTGGTGTCGGCATCTTGGGCGAGTATGTATGTGCGTGTGTGGATAGAATTGGTACACGATTGCTTGTCGTCTTTTCTTCTGCTTCGTCGTCGTCGTGTCGATGGCCGTCACTGCTGCACCGAGCGATGCGCGCGAAGTCCGGGAAAGCGGTACAGCCCAGAATCCGACCAATCACAGCCGCCTCACTTCTTATTACTCTTCCTCCACGACATCCTTCCCGACTTGCTCTTTTCCTTCTTGAGTGCTATCTTTTCCGCATGCTTTTCGACTTTTCTGTCAATCGCGTCCTTTTCGGCCAGCATCGCTTGCGGCGCGCTGTAACTGACTTTCCACTGCCATTCGTCGTATCGCACCACCTGCTGTTGCTCGAGCTGCCCCAGAAGCTCGCTTCGTCGACGCTGACATGTCCAGCAGAGGCTTTCGATCTTGTTGCATTGATAGGGGTGTGTCTTCAGCTCGCATCCTGACGAATACGTCGACACTGGTGAGATTGACGCGTGTCTGCACATGATCAACGGTCGCTGGCTCATACACGAATGCCCGCATGTCGTGAAGATGTACAGTTTGTGATAACACATCGTTACTTCGCTCTCTATGAATATTCATCCAATTTCGTCGAGTCTCAGGCTAGAACAGTTATGATATTCGCAGGTACACTTCCGTTTCCGGTTGTCGTACTCTCTTAAAGGACATGTAAGTTCTTTGTTCAGACTTCTTGCATCTTGCGATAGATTCTACATTTTTCTGCTCCTCTGCGCCATGCCTGAACGACATGTGATGAACCTGCTCATGATTTGCTGTCTCGGCCATTCAATCTTGACCGATGGCGACAAGATCATCAGGTCTAGGATCATGTCTTGAGCACACTTGGAACATATGGCTCGAGACTCTTACATCACGTTTCTTTGTTCTCTTTGTATGAATAGCCTGGCATTACTCCAATGTGCTGTCCCATTCTCAAAGAAATACTTAACATGCCTGCACTTACCATTTGCTTCAAATTATGATCCACCATCCATCCACACAACAGGGGACTCTGACCTGTACATACAAGCATCACTCGAGAGCTCAACAGTCATGGCCACACCAACCAAGACATTCGATCTCGGAACATCTTCAGAGCCCATTCATGTCTCCAAGGTCGCTCTGGCCATCATCATCACATTCAGCATAGTCAGCCTGGTCGCTCTCGCAATAGCTCTATGGATCTTGTTTCGCTTCACCTGCTCGAGTCGTCGAAGAAGGGCAGGCTATGCAGTCAGAGATGGAAGAAACGAGCATACGCAATGGTGGAAGCATGCGAATCCGGCCGTCGGCTCTAGCAAGTCGTCTGAGATGTCCTACGTGGGCATCATACCCGCCCCCGAGATGGCCACAGAAGAGGGGACGCTAAGAAGTCGATACACTGGAGAGAAGAGTGCTTAGCTTGTGAAGCAAGGAGAGACGGGATGCTTTCTTGTACGCTTGGTGTTTTGTACATATTCGTTTCGTGTTCATTGCATTACAACAAATCAAGACGCTATGCAACATGCCACCTGCAAACATGGCTCAATACATGTGAATCAAAGGTTTCAATCTTGAACACTAACCGGCGCCTGTTCAGCAACAGCGGCCTCTTGATCTTGTGTCTTTGGCTGCTCTTCATCCTCCTCTTCTGCCTCAGGAATAGCGATGGATTTTTCCAGCTCTTTGATTTCTTCTGGATCTGCAATGCTGACACTGCTTCCTCTGTGCTTCTTTTGGATAGAACCTGCAGGAGTGGCTGTGGCGGAGTTATCGCTTGACTCGACGGCTGTCAAAGGTGCAGATGATGGTGCTTCGGATGACTCTTCTGCGTCCGAAGGCGCTGTTGCATTGGAGGTCTGAGCGGCAGTGTCTTCAGCGGAGCGGATGCTCTCGGCCTTGGTGTCGGAGGATGAATTCATGGTCTCGGGCTTGGTAGCAGCGTCTGCTTCGGCCAGACTCGACTTGAGTGGAGCGACCTTGGTATCGTTGATGCCTGGTGTAGGACCTTTGCGTGCAGCACCTATACTGGCGGCTTCTGTAGCAGCTTCTTTCATGGACAAGGTCGCCATTGGCGACTGCAGAGATTCATGCTTCTCGTCGGTTGATTTTGTTGCGGTTGTTGCAGCGGTAGCGGTAGGCTTGATGGGAAGTTGGGCGGGAGGTTGGGTGGTGGGGTGCATGGTGGCTCTCGTGGTTACTGCTTCACCACCTGGCGCAGGGGCGGAAGTGGCAGGTGGTATATCGCCGATGTTCTCTGTGATCTCGCCAAACTCGTTCCATTCTTCAACTTCATCGAGGCCCTGTATCACCAAGGTTTAGTAGGTTGTTGCTCGCAAGGAAGTCGGCCAACATACAGCTATCACATAGCCCTCCTTGACCAGAGCAGGAAGCTTTTGCCTCCAGAACGACGACCCCACAGCTTCTTGGCCAACTCGTTTGTCGCCGTGTCAATGGCCATGAAGGGGATTCTGTTGGCATTGAGGATTGTCTCGATACGTGAGGTTGCTGTAACGATGTGTGAGGATCCGGCCGTCAGAGATGTAAAGAGAAAGACTCTGCCATCCTTGTCCCATGCACTGAGGTCGTGTGTTGAAGCCATGTCGATGTGTGTCAAGAGTTCTGCTGTCTTGTTCGTGCTCCAAGTTTTGTCGAGAGCTTAGGATAGAAGTGTTTACTTCTAGGGGTCCTGTCCTCCCTCTGACGTTGTTACGCGCAGCCTTTTGTGGGGTATCTTGTTTCAGCTGCATCAGCGAGCACGAGTATCTTTAGCACAGACATTTGATTATCCTCGCTGTCTTTGTGATTGCCAATTATTCCAAAATAACTATCGTCTTTAAATATGCATCATGATGAGTTGCCAATCCCTCCCTTTGTTTCCTGCCGAACCTAACGCCCCTCCCATCACTGATCAATATGCCTCGATCTGTTGAGGCATGGCAACATGGCCAAGAGACACATTCTCCTTTGCGATGAAGAGATTGCTGAGAGCATCACGCACCTCGAACTCTTCCAACACGGCTCCGAATCTGCAACTTGTTATTAACACATCCCGTTGCTTCACCATCTCTCGTCACTTACCCNNGTAGCATCTGACCTTTCCAGCTAGGTCAGCCTTGACGAGCTCAAAGTCTTGAACCGTCATCTGCGAGACCCTACTGTCCTGCAGGAGCAGCATCCACGCCATGACGGGCGTGAGTTCACCCTCGAGGGGCAATTGGGCGCTGAGGTCCAACAGCTTCATGAGGTCGGGAGCCTTGAGGTCTGGCATTCTGTGACCGTATGGGTCTCCAGGCTTGTTCATGATGTGTGACGCCGGAGGACATGTTGCCATCAGCGCGTGGCCGCACATGTGATCGTACTCTGTATCGTCGGGCCTCTCCATGGGGTGGTGGAATGGCTGTCCCTCAGGATTGTGTGAGCGGACCACGAGGTATTGCATGTGATCCATACAGGGCCGTTCGAGNCCTACGCAAAGGACGACGTCAGCCCAATCGCGAGACGATACAATAGCGGCAGTGAGGTAGCGATATGAACTATTGGTTCGGTGGGGTGAGGGATAGACTGCCCTATTGTAGGGCTGCCCTTGGGAGTCGTACGTCAAAACAAAATCAATGCCGATCTGGTCGTAGTCCAGATGTTGGGTGGGCAGTTGACTTGCGCTAGCCATCATCGGCTTGGAGTCCTGGGAACGAAGAGGAGGACTGAAACCAGCGGTGCTGGAGTCTTGACGGTAGCTGCCGGAGATGCTACCGCTGGAGCTGCCGTTGTACGATGCAGGCATGCCACGCATCGCTGGGAGCGATTGAAGACTGTCAAGTGGGATGCCATGGGCTAGAAGGAGTTCCTTGAGACGCTTGTTCTCGTTGACAACAGCGTCGCGATCCGAGACGCTTGATCCATAGAGTTCCTTGAGACGAAGTACTTCGTGTTCGAGAGCCTTGATGTACATTTCCTTGCGTTCTCGATGTGTTCTGAAAATGGTTAGGCGAAAATGATCGGACTGACAGGATCATCGACCTGCATACCTCTGAGCTTGTCTGTTTAGTTCCTGTCTGCGGGTCAAAGCAGGTTTGCTGTCGGGCTTGGGCCCGCGTCGTTTTGGGGCCGCTCCATCTGCATCTGCGTATGAGACAAAAGGTTTGCTGCAGAGTTTGCCAAGCTTTGCCTACCTTTTNGTTTGCTTCTTGTCAAGGCCGAGGTTTTTCAAGAAGCCAAAGTTCGACAGCGGACTTCTATCAGAAGAGTGCTGGCTCTCTGGGGATGTGTACATCAGCGCTGGATTGTTATCGGGGAGTGACTCGTCCGGCGATACGGATTGCATCGGGACGTGAGCCATGATGCACGAAAAGTGTTTGTGACAAAAACCGCAAGGAGGGGAAGGAAGGGAACAAAACTGGGGTCGGTGGGAGGGAAGGCTCTATGATATACATAAAACGTGCAAACGTACCCAGATCGTGAGCACTACTCGGTGCCTGGGGACCGACGTTAGGAGCCGACATGTCTAGCGCTAGACTGTCGGTGCAGAAGATTTGACTATCGAAGAGGCGCTGGCGAATCGCGACGGTCTGGAACGCTGGGGGAGAAGTCAGTCGTTATGAGCAAGGTCAATGACGATCTAGGAAATCGCTCGGAGAGATCCGCAAGGTCCAGCTACATTTGTCATGCGAGACGAGGAAGCTTTTCCATGGACGCCAAAGGACGGATGATCGAGCGTGGCAGGTAGGACCAGGGATGAACAACAGTGCAACTTACAGCAAGTTTAGAACATTGTTTGGACAAGATGGTATGGAAGAAGTGCTGTTTGGGGATCAGGATGAGTATAAGTGCAAACTCCTCTTCTTGCGCGACGCGAACGCGATCACACCAAATCTCGACTCGGCCGGATCCGTAGCAGGGCAGGTGATGATGGGGCAGAGGGACAACGGAAGATGGGAACCGTTTCGTCCGGCGCAGGGAGAGACAAGACAAGTCTCAGAACGACAGTACGCCTCCGACGTTGCGGTTGCTGCAGGAGCTGCTATTCAACCCACTCGTCCGTACGTTGTGCTGTGTGTCAGAGTCCTGATGTGGCAGCTCGCAAGAGAAATGGTAGAAGATGAAAAAGCGGTGGTCATGGCAGAAGCGAGAGATGGGAAGATGGCCGTGTTGCGCCAGAGTGGAGTCGAGGTCGGCGACCAGCGATCCCCCAAGCCAAAAGCGATCTAGTGTTTGCCCTTTTCTCATGCCTCCATGTCGCGCCCGCCGCCTGTGCGAGCCGTCCCGCCGGATCTCTCTATTCTTCTCTTCACATCTCGAGCTCCAGCGGTGACGCTCCAACAACGTAACCACTTCTGCTGTACCGCGGACGCAGCCAGCCAGCACTTGCCTTTCGAAGCCTGGCACCTGGGAAGCCCCTTGGCAGAATGGCGTCCCTGAACAGGCAAATCGTTGCTTGCTTGTTCTTGGTCTTGCGCTTTGTTTTTCTAACCTTTGGACCCTGGTTAGCACACGTCGTGATCGCCGACCTTCTGCTGTCCTGCCTCCTTCCCTTCGCCTTTATCTTTCCCACCTACACCTACCATTTGGCCTCTACCATTGCTGAATCGGTATGGCGTGGAGTACAGCGCATCTGCGAGGACTCGAATGGAGCAGACATCATCCTGGCTGGTGATGACTTGCCTGCTGGTGAAAGTGCGATCGTCGTCGCAAACCACATAGAATGGTCCGATTTCTACCTTATCCAAGCCTTGGCCATCCGCGCTGGTATGCTTGGTCGTTGTCGATGGTTTGCAAAGAATGCACTCAAATGGGTGCCTGTACTAGGCTGGGGTCTGTTGGTTATGGGAATGCCACTAGTTAGTCGCAAGTGGGTCGAGGACAAAGATGAGATGGAGCGGCTGTTCAGCGGCATCCATAAAGGGCGCTGGCCTATCTGTATGTGTTGTTCTCAGAAAGGTAAATGACAGCATTGACATGGCTAACTTCTCAAAGGGCTTGTGTCTTTCAGCGAAGGCACGCGATATAGGCCGAAGAAGCATGCAGAAGCAACGCGTTGGTGCGAAGCCAACGGAAAGCCAGCACCTCGACATACTTTGCATCCTCGCACAAAGGGATTCGTTGCTACCGTCCAGCAATTACGCAAGACGCCTCATGTGAAGGCTGTATACGATGTTACTGTTGCCTATGCCGAGCATGACAAGTTCATGTCTCCGCCGTCTTTCTTCAAAACTGTCTTCCAGCCCAATCTGGCACAGGATTATCGGATGTATGCTCATGTTCAACGCTTTGAGCTGAACTCTTTACCCAAAACAGACGGCGAGATTGCGCGGTGGCTCGAAGAGAGATGGGTTGACAAAAGTGAGAGACTGGCAAAGCTAAAGAAGGCACTGGACTATGGAGAACCTTGGAAAGGGACATTGAACAAGATCTGAGTCGATGCCATTTGTCGACAAATATCATCTGGTCCTGGTTATCTTTTGTTCCGACCAGAGCGCTCCTAATTTCAGAAAGAGGCACAATCTAGCTTGCCGCCTCTCAAGCTAATGTAATTAACCTACCATAAAGTACATGTTCACATAATCACCGATTTTACATTCACCACTTGTGAATACCGCGAAGGTTTTGGAGAACAGAAAGGTCCGGAAAATGAGTGAAACAACTGGACCATTTTTGCTTGTTCACTGTGGTCGACTCTCTCCAGTCTTGTCACTTCTGCTCCGAACTCGATGACTGCCTAGTTCACTATCACAGTCGAAGACCTTAAATTGAGCCTCTGCCATTCACATTCTAGTTGCACTTGCACAACAAAGCATCTTTAAAGCTCTCTGTAAGTCCAACCCTTAAAACCTTGACACGCATCCGGTCTTGGTTCAAGTGAGTATTGACCGTTCTATTTAGTCTGCCATTGTACTTTGTCGCTCACACACTTCAGGCCAGACACCTTGAACACCTTCTCGACTAAAATACAAACATCGACATGGTAGCCAAGGATGATGGCCCTCCAGGCCCGATCTACAAGTAATCCCCCTTCTAGATATCCATTTCAGCAAGACGCTGACGAGCCTAGATACCTCACTACTGAAGATCTCGAAAGCTTCCGTATCAACCTTGTAAAGACACGCGAAATGACAGCAGTTATCGAGGCTGCTTTCCAGCAACTCAACACCCAGATCCACAGCATCAACACCAGCGGACCCGTGTCCACTACCATCGACCCTATCAAGAGAGAGATTCGCAAATGCAAGGAGGTTGTTGACTCTGCTATGGAGACTGCTCGCACTCAGGAGGAGGCCTCGAGGGTTCTGATCGAACAAGGTCGCTTTGGTGACGCACTCACTGCCATCAACGAGGGACTGATTGTCATTGGCGAACTGAAGAAACCACTCATCGGGATTCGCGATCAACTCAAGAATCTCAGTTCCAAGGGTCGCACCATTGTCACTGAAAGTCTTCGTCAGATGGGCTTCGACAAGGAGGTTGAAGCTTGGGATACCAGTGTAACCGAATGGACTGGACGTATGGTCCTTCCTACCTGGAAACTCTAGATATCATCACAGCCTCGTCGAGATGGTTGATATTGGATCATCTGGAGTTAGCAGGGTTAGGATCCACACAAATTCGAAATCCATATCTGCCTACGCCCTTCGGTGTGTTTCTCATCAATCAAATCTCTTCCTATGGTAACGTTGGCTGAGTTAGCCAGCCTATTGATTCGCGTGTGACTTGTTCTTGGTAATCATTCAGTCTGTAACTGATACAAGGTTTCTCATAATCACTCTAAGCATTGATTCAGTCGGGTTGATACCACTTCATATGCTCGTCATGCAATCCCGCACATACGTCGAATTCCTCCAGCCAGAGAGTAGTACTCTTGCTGGAAGAGATAGTGCAACCAGACGATGACTTTCCACATAGCAGCAACCCTGATGGCAATTGACCACATGCTCATGATCATCGACCTAAGGTTGCGTCCTTGACTCTAGAACGAGTAAAGGTCAATACACAGTCCTGATGCCCCATCCTCAATCGGTGCCTAACACTGTATCTACACGCTGCGTGGGGTAACGAGATTGACATAAGGCGAAGACCAACAAAGCACTCGACGCAAGAGTTTTAGAACTGGGCATCCCTGCTGGGTTGGCATGGCCAAGTCGTTCATCATCCCGGCTCGTAGATCGGGTGACGATATTGCCTACACTGCAGATGGATGACCAACAGCATAATCGAGACGCACGTTCTGCCGACGCTATCTTCGATAGAACGGTAAGGTGCTGGGCTGTACCTTAGATGCACAGATATATCTGAAACAATGAATGTCATTGCAATCATCCTTCACAGACCGCAACCTTGAAGTCGACGGGTCGGGTGGCTTGATAGCGCGACAACCTCAGCTGTCAGAGATCCTTGTACTTTCTTTGGATCCTTGTCAGACAGCTGTCCTACTAAATGAGCAAAGGCAAAGAGTTTCCCTTTCTTGCGACCTCTACCCTACTTCATGATGCATACTCGAATGATTTTCTGCTGAAACAACCTCCAAGAAAACAAAATGCAGAACAACAGCGCTGAAACGAGGAAGTTGAGCGATCACAAGAAGAAGTCAACGAAGAACGACGAATGGAAAGGCATAAGTGGTCTCCTAAGATCTCTGCTTCTCAAAGAGCCATCGGGCTTAGCTCTTGCAAAAGCCCAAGCAGACTACAAGCTTTCGGCAAAATCCAAGTCGACCAACAGAAGATCCGCTGGAACAACACCGATTCTGTCCCTGCAATCCCGGCCTTCGATGTCTTCGTCTTCTACATCGTCTAAGACGAGCAAACCTTCCAGTCTGTAGTATCGATCTCGAGAGATATCTCGGTATTCGAGAGGTGAAGCTCGGGACCGCCTAGGAATAACGTTAATTAACCGGCCGTACATCACGGCTCACGAACCAATATCAATGACAAGAACGTTGATACCAAGCTTCCAATGGACGCAGTCCTATCGACTAGCGGTTTTCATAATATTCTTGCTCGCTCGGCTTGGAAACATCGCTTCGGCATCGTTCGACACGCTGGATTTACCGAGAAACCGATCAAGTGGACGAAGGAGCATATCGAGTTGACAACCAGAGATCTCTTGCTCCAATGGGTCTCAGCATGACATTCAAGCGCTATACGACAACCTGGAGGCGGGGCCAAAAAGACACGACAATCACTAGCAGTCATGTGTTGCGATTTCCAGCACGAGAAGCCTTTTCTTGCAGCGAAGTCAGACTCTGCCAGAAGCAGTAAGCTTTGTCACATGATTCTTCAGTCACGTGCGATGGTTTCACTCGAATCGGTCTTTATGAAGCTTCACGCTGTTCTCATTTAGGGTCTACCCTCCCCATGTGCTTATGACAGTTATAGTGTAGCTATAGAAGAGCATGATACTTGCGTGTAGGATACTGTCTTCATAGGGAGAAATCTAGGGAAGGCTATCCCAACGGCGAGACTTATTCTCGAATAATGACTGTGTATTTTGATAGGTTATGAACAGCCCTCATAGCTCGGGATAGAGCAGGAGCTACAAGACGTGACTGTCTTTAGCACATGGGGAGCACGAACGATGGCAGAAGAGTTCGTCTACATACACGGTGCCCTTCTATATGGAATGCGTTGCTTGTCGTCTATCCATTATTGATGCGACACGTGCTATTGTCCTTTTCACCTGCAGGTGCACTTTTGATGACGAATATGCATGCTCTTGATTGGAAGATGACCATCAACAAGCTCATCCGTAGGATGGACATGACTCATGTGCACGCGCTGAACAACCCAAGAGGCATAAGGATTCAAAGTTCAGTTTTGATTGCATTGCTCTATTTGATATTGCAAGCCAGTAGAAAGAAACGTTTTGGAAAAGATTGTGAAGAAAGAGAGAGCTGTTAGCTCATATCAGCTTTCCACATCGAAGAAGAGCCATTAACCGTGAGTACCGATTCCTTTGCGATTTGCGCCAATACCCCGATTAATTAGCAAAAAGTACAGCAACAGCCTTCCTGTTATCGTGCGCCTATGCAGTGGTCCATGAAGACTAAGATGCGTGGTTGCGCGCTTAGAGAGCGAAGTAACCGACGGCACCAAGGAAGAGGGCACCCATCATACCAGTGGTGGTCTGGTGAACGCTGGCAGCAGCATTTCCGGAGGCTGATGCGCTGGCAGAAGACTTGGAAGAGGTTCCAGAAGCAGCACCACCCTTGGTAGAGGAGGCAAGAGTAGAGGATGCCTTCAGGCTCTGACTAGAGACAGTACCGTTGGACGAACTGCCGCCAGCGATGGCACTGCTCACGCCAGCGGAGGGGACGACAGCTACAGGAGCGGTGCTGACACCCGATACGGCGGTGGCTGTGGTAGCGTTGATGATAGGAACAGGCATGCGAGTAGAGAGGGCCGAAGAAGTAGCGACAGGGGCGACCTCAGCGCTCGATTCGGCGACCGAAGCAACAGAGGAGGCAACAACACTCGATGCCACAGCGCTCGAGACCGACTCAACTGCAGAAGAGACGGAGGCAGCGGCACTGGGTGCGGATGAAGCAACAACAGAAGGAGCAGCCTCGGTGACAGGAGCCTGATATCATGTTAGTTGATGATGCTCTCCTTCCATTGTGACTTAACCCGAAGGGCAGAGATAGGACTGAGAGCTTACCTGGATCTGACCGTCCGAGATCTGGGTGACAATGCCAGCAAAGGCAGTGCTGGCCAAAGCGCTGACGAAGAAAGCGGTACGCATGTTGATGTGTTGTTGTTGATGAAAGTTGAGATTAGAGTTTGGTGTAGTTGGGATTGGTGATTCGGGAGAGTCTTGGATATGTAGCGAAAGTAATTTGCAAGAGGAATGCAAGAGCGAGAGACGGAGTTCGAGGAATGAATGAGTGATCGCTCAATAGCTAGTGAGGGCCAGGGGTTTTATGGCAATGGAGAAACATGCAGCTGTTAGAGCCTAGACTGTAAATAGAAGGTTTACGTCCCCTTTGGCGTGTCCAAACAAGCTCCAAACAAGTTCGCTAGTGTCCGGCGCTGCATATTGTGGTGGCTGGCCGCCGAAGTTGCAAGGCCAACTGGAGCTGCAATTGGTGCATGGTTCCCCATTCCCCAGAAGCTCTAGCATCGTTATGGCCCGCCTTGATGCAAGGAACCCTGTCGAAAGCTGCATCGCAGTTTCATGAGCGAGAGTAACAAATTTCGGCTAAGATGCATACAATCTTTGACCTCTATTCTCGATCACTTTTTGAGAAGCTCATCTGAGCACACACAGGATACGCGTCTCTGGTGACCGAACCATGAAAGCTACAGCGAGCACAGCCAGGCGACGTCTGGTCGTGACGCTAAAATGTGCGCGACAGGCGGACTATCTCGCCTAGTCCAGGAACGCCTACGCGTACGTCCGTTGCTTGACCCTTGAAACCAACGCTTCGACGATCCGCGTGAAAGCTTTTTTGCTGACCCAGGTGCAAGTTGCAAGCGCAGCCTGTACCTGCCCAGCCACGAGCTGCAGCATTATTGTGTAGGCTGGACACTATTGTGTGACGGCAAATTATCCAGGCCTCTCGTATGGATGCAATCCTGACTTTGTGGCAGTGATTACTGCGCCTTCGGGACTGGCCTCATCCTGGTCCCCAACCACTGTCCTACTGCAATGCATTGATGGCGCTCATGACTTTTAGTTAGTCATGCCATCTCGCAGTCTCGGTCAGTCGATTCAGCACGTACTCGGTGAGCCGCGTGTTATGAGACAGGCTTTGTACTTGGCAGTGGTGATGTGTTCTGTGGCTGAATCGAATAAAGCCTTCTCAACATGGCCCGGCGATATCGTTGGGTCCCAGTAATCAAGTCGATTGAGGGGGTTTCCTGAAGTTTTCGGGCATTTGCTATAAACACATACGCTGTATTGGCCGGTCCCTTTCTTCTCGACGCAGTGACGAGCGGTAATCTTTAGAAGTATTTGAGCTGGCCGCTTTGAATACTCTTGTATCAGATAAGCAGAAGAAGCCTCATTCGCTGTATTGCTTTTTGGTCTCTTTGCAAGCAACTCTGCGATCAAGGTGACGGTGTAGGCGACAGCCTATCTTCCAGCGTATGAGTTCATTGATGCGTTGCTGGCAGAGCGGAGAAGTCATATTCGAGTTGTCGAATCGAGAAAGTTGATGACTTATTATGAGCAGGGTCGCAGGAACAGCATGATAAGTGATGGCTGCTGACGCCATTTTGGCCCCACCAAAGATTGGGCTGGCCGGTCGCGCGACAAAACCAACTGAGCAAGAAACCAAACCCAGCCAGACATAAGTTAGCAGCACAACCATAACGCATCGCGCCACCTTCTCATACCAGACGACAGCTCACACGTCGCACTATGGCCGCATCAAATCCCTGCACGCTGACTGAGGTCGCCTCAGACGCCGACTTCGCCAACTACACCAACAACCTCCCTGAGTCGAGCACACTGCTCATCTACTTCCATGCTCCATGGGCCGAGCCATGCAAGCAGATGTCCACCGTCCTGTCTACTCTCGCCTCCACATACACCGCCACTTCGCCGCCATCCATCTCCTTCCTGGCTCTCGACGCCGAAGAACTTAGCGATGTCAGCGAGCACTACGACGTCACCCAAGTTCCCTACATTGTCATCCAGAAGGCCGGCAAGGTCCTCGAGACCATCTCTGGTGGAGATGCCTCTCGCGTGCGCGCTGCAGTAGAGAAGCACGTCGGTTCTGGCAGTGGCAACGCTGGTGGTGCAGGCTTGCCTCCAGCACAGCTCGTCAACAAGCCCGAAGGAGCCAACGCAAAGAACCTGGCCTCTTATGCACCTTCAGCGAACGACCAAACTACCGCTCCCGAGTTTTCGGCTTCTGAAGCCAACCCTGAGACGAGCAAGGAGGAGTTGAACAACAGACTCGGCGAGCTGGTCAAGGCCGCTCCCGTCATGCTCTTCATGAAGGGCACTCCCTCGGCACCACAGTGTGGTTTCTCGCGCCAAACCGTCAGCCTTCTTAGAGAAAAGGGCGTTCGTTATGGCTTCTTCAACATCTTGGCCGACGACGATGTGAGACAGGGTCTCAAGGAGTTTGCAGACTGGCCTACCTTCCCTCAAGTTTGGGTTGGTGGCGAGTTGGTTGGTGGTCTTGATATCGTAAGTGTAATCGCTGATGTTTTTGTGTCTTTTCCATTTTCACTGACTTTATTCTTCACAGNNCTCAAGGAGGAATTCGAGAACGACCCAGACTTCTTGAACGACTACTCGGTCAGCGGCAAGAAGGGTGGTCCTGCTGCTTAGTTTACTGGCAGCTTTCACAATGCACCAAAGCTCCATTTCATGTCACTTACTCTCCCAAAATGTTCTTACGCTCAAACATAGAAACGATGACGCCTTCGATACCATCAATGCAACTGTTCTTTTGTAATTTTACCATGATTGGCAACCAGCTTCACAGTTTGTACACCAATACTATATACAGTATTTAACTAGGGTTGTATTTTCTCCCAAACAGCTTCCATATCAGCTTCGTCAGCTTGCTGGACTTTAGGAAGCAGATTATGGTGAGCAATCGAAACGTGCTTGCGCCATACCTCTTCAGTGGCGAACTCGAGCTCGCAACCGGTATGTACGCATGGAAGAGAGTCTGAACCGTTTGTGCTTCGAATATAGTCGGTACACATCTGGAGTCTNCTGTATATCTTGTCAGCGAAGTCTCACGTACTGCCGTGACAGCAAAGACTTACGCTATGGCAATCAATCCATGGACAATGGAATTCGCCTGTCGATTCCTCATCCGTTGATTTCTCTTCATCCTTGTTCATTGCTGCTTGTTTCTGTTGTGGTAAGACCTCCCTTGATAGCTTCGAGTGCTGCAATATATGACTTTGGTCCAGACTGGCTCTCAATGGCGCTTGCCTCCCTGTGACCATAGCCGAGTTCTGTTCCTGTTGCTGTCCTTGCAAGAGTGTCTGCTCAGCGGTTTGTGTCTGACCGCTGTACATACGGAACAGAGACGCCTCGAACTCGGCCCACTCCTGCGCGTCCTCTCCTCCACAAAGCTGATTGTAAGATGACTCGAAGGTGTCCGCCTGCCTCAGTCCTGCAGTACTCTGCGGAAGGGTTGCAGCAGGCATCTGTGAAAAGATCAGGTTTAGTCTGCTGAGTGCTCTTTCTTTTCGTCGTGCTGATTCTGTGTCAAAAGCACTTTCTACAGCGAACACTTGAGTTTGGCGTGCTGAGAACAGGTTTTGGTAGTTATCATCACTCGTCTTGGAGGAGGACTGTTCAAGATGATCATTCCAGTTGACAGAACCTAGTGTCGAGTCGTCACCATAGTCATCGTGCTGTTGGAGCTGTGTATTCGTATGCCACACCTGTGCTGGTGACTTTTGTTTCGACCGAGACATTTCAGGTTCAAAACTGTCGTTTCTTCTAAGATGGCGACCATGCCAGCTCTCGCTATCACCTCCACCTATCGACTCAAGGTCCAAGGTTGATCCTGATCGAGAATTCGATGCACTGTCGACTTCCATGTTGCATTTATGGAACAAGAAATCAGAAAGTTCTTCTTCAGTATCTGAAGCCGGGTTGAGGATAGATTGACGTTTCAAGTTCCGCAGAAATTCGTTCCCGTCATGTTGCCGGCTTTTCAATATCTGAGGCGAATGTGGTGAGGATGATGTTCCGTATGATGGTGTGGTAGAGAGTTTGTGAGCACTTCGCAGCGTCGCGAGCTCATTCGTCGTTTCCGAAGCGCTATAGCCGTTGGTAGAGTTCAAGAGTAGGTCTCTCGTTAATCCCGCCGCGGAATCTCTAATCCTGGAAGACAACGTTGATGATTGCATGTCACAAGACGTCGGATTCACTCCTCGCTCACCAGTGCAAGGCAGGTTTCGAGAAAGCTCATCAAAGAATTGCGTCAAGGTGATGGTCGTAGGCAATGTCGAAGCTTACCCGTTTAAGCGCACCAGGTAAGCCTGAGAATAACGATGCTTTCAAGAGAAACTGGACCACAGAACAAAACAAATGACACGGCTGACAACTAGGTAAGACGAATGAAGCAGAGTAAGATATCATGGAATCAGAGAAGAAGAAGAAGCAGCTCTCGCCGCTTACCGGGCAAAACCCATGCACGCGATACTTCTCTACTTCAGGGCAAGAAACGAGCTTCTTTGCCGGTCTCCCCACACTTTCTCGAATTGGCAGTCACAGTCGAGTGTCTCTGTGTAAGGAAGGTTGTTGCGACGACACAATTATCACTCCATAATCAGAACGATTCACGAGTATACAGCATAGTGGAATATCAGAGTTCGCCTAATACAGCGAGAAAGACTCAATAACTTAGTGGTATCATAAAAACTACAACGCAATGAATGTCTAAGCGAAGGATATGCCTCAGAGCTCATCTTTATATGTCTCTTCAGAGCCCTCTGATTCATGGTCATCCTCAGACGGAACGTCGTTGCTGGGCTTGGTTCCGACTTTCTTCGTTTCAGTAATCTCAGCAGTCTCTTTCTTAGCCGAGTCTGGCTCTTCGTCGCCGAGTAGGACACCTCTATATTCGCGTCCGTCGGGGGTATCGAAGACTTTGAGCTCCCAGCCTTGGCCGTTCGCAATCTTTTCCAATTCCTTCTTCAGCGTCTCGACACTCTTTGCATCACCAAGGCCGAGCCTCTTCAGCTCGTCTGCAGACATGGCCTTGCCAAAGCTATCAGCAATGGTTTCGACGAATTTGTCCTTGGTGCCTCCCACAATGGCTGATTTTTCAATCTTGCTGCCTTCAGGAACCCACTTATGAGCACCAATGGTGATACCTCCGATAGTCACAGGGGCTTTGGACTGCGAGCCAGCCAAGGGGTTGGGAATATCATGGCCGAGCAGGTCGGAAGCAGCGGCAACAGCAGCCTCGTATTCAGGGACTTGGTCTTGATCGAGGATGGGTGAACAAGCAATCTTGTTTGCACGGTCTTTCTGTGGAGGCTGGAAGGCAACGTCATTGCAGAGGCGTGGGGTCTGAATGATCATAAGATATGCACAGGTTGCGACCTCTTTTATGAGCGAAATGCGGTCTGCAGAGGCCGGGTTGCAATGGAATTGAACTTCGATGCGGCGTTCTCTGCCTGTCAAGTCGCAAAGGGTGCCGCCAGCCAGGCGCTGTACAAGGTATCTGCTCTCTCCGCGGGTCTCGAGCTTGCCAACAGCCTTGTCCTCAGATAGATTTTCTTGGCTATCATGACGCGGTTGGTCTTGAACGGCGCCAAGCATGAAACCGGGAACAGCGGGATCCTCGACAGGAGGGAAGGCAGGGACGCCTTGAGATGGAGGCAGCTGATGGAATTGCTTGACACCTTGGCCGTAGCAGTATCTATAGCTCCACCATCCACTCCAGTAGTAGATGCAGTTGCCTTGCATTCCCTTGAGCAACTGCCAGCCCCTGGTGTTTGCGCGAGCCAGCTCTTTCTCATGGTCCTGCTTGGATAGGGTCTCATTGGGCTGTGATGAGGGCGGTTGGTCGAGCAAACGTGGAATCTGACACAAGTAGTGTTGATCTGCTAGAACGAGTTCCTCGTAGTCGTATTGTGGCTTGTCGGAGTCGAGTCCATTCGTGTCCGGATGGGAAAGATCAGAGTCGGAGTTGGATGTAGAGAGTTCGAGTTTCTCCTGAGCCTGCAGGGTGGAAATGTGGCCTTCTGGAAAGTCGACCGAGAACTGCAAGGCAATCAGTTGCTATATCCAGATTGAGGGCATCTGCGTCTCTGTACCTGGGGGNAAGGCGAGAACATCGTCTTGCACGCTGAAGGAATTTTGAGCAGCGATTGCCACGCGCAGAACGGCGGGCAAGGCCCAAAAGCTCCTCATGTCCAAGTACGCCTTGTCTGGTCGAAAGACAGACAATCGGCAGGTTCGGATTGTTGGTTGATGACGATGTAGTAACAATCAGGGTGGACAGGTGGTCACTGCGCGCCTTCGTGCCCTTTGAGGCTCAGCTCAGCACCTCCGCGCACTCCGACCATCACACATGTCGCTCGACTCATACACGACCCATCTTGAATCCTACGCTCCACTCTGACTGCGTATGCTCACTGATGCACTGTACACTGCGATGCTCAGCAACCTCCCAAGACATGCCCAGACAAGTCATTACCTCACCGCGCCGCATGCTTCTGCCTACATCCTTCTGCTAAGGCCGTATTCCCTTCATAGCTCGAGAAGGATCATGCCAAATCCCTTCACTTTCTTGCATCAAGGTATTTCGCCAACGGCCGCTAACCTCCCAAGAACTCTACGCCGCATGAACAATCCTACCGCTGCTTGATTAATCCTACCAAGCGCCATCCTGCCCAGTATATTGCATCAGATGAGGTAGGTTGTCTATGTGCTGCCTCCTAAATTTGGCTTGTAAGGCTGTCAGTCCGAATGACTCGCCATTCAATATATTTTTTCTTGCACCTCGACATTTCTCATTGATTCCTGCTCTGTTCCTGTCTTGGTTCTGTCTCTACCTGCTGTACTACTATGACCACTTGAGACTCACTCTTTCGATATGGCCGATCCCACTGCAACGCCATACGATACAACCATGTTTCCCCGAGCCTATGTTGACTCGGCTGTACTCGACGACATGACGTCGATGCAGTTCAATCAATGGGCGTACGCACTTCCCGAGTCTCAGACAGGCTGTTACAACCCAGGCTCGCTTCCTATCGCTTTAGCAAACAATGATACTTGTCTTTTAGGATTCTATTGTATGCTTCTAGCAAAACGTTTGAAGCAAACCCTTGCTCACTAACCCAGGTCCAAACTCCAACAATGAACATCCACCACAGATGTGTCCACCAACCTGGCAATGTGCTGTATTACGTGCTAATCAAGGAACATGTCCTTATCCTCAGGGCGCTCTGGAGCCCCTCATTTGTCCTGGAGGTACTTAGCCACGTCTATCTCGTAGACAATCAGAGAAAACACCAGCTAACTATGGCTTGCAAGGTTCCTATTGCCCGGCCGGCGGCAAAACTCGTATCCCATGTGATGCGGGCACATTCTGTCCTCAGGGCAGTTTTGAGCCCATCAAATGTGACACGGGCGCATACTGCCCATGGGCGAGTGCTCACCAGATCCCTCTATTGCCCCTCTACGTCGTTGTCGCCATCGACTTTGTCCTACTCTGTGTGCTGATTGCAGGGCTGGCATATTCCAAATGGCGAAAGCGCAGGAAGCCGAAATATTCCAGCATCGACATGCAAGTTACAGAAGACGATCGAGAGGCACTCCGAGGCTTGAACATGTCACCTCGCTATTCAGTCTCGATAGCCGAGGTGTCGCCTCCCACCACGGTACCAGCCTCACCAGCCTTATTGTCACCTCATACTCGAGCCAGGTCGACCTCAAATGCTTCAGAAACCACCGACGTGGATAACTGTCCTCAAGACTTCGCTATGCAAAAGTTTCTGATCTACCTCTCTCGTGCTATACACACAAAGGAGCTGGGTTTGTCCTTTGATTTTGAGGGCTTGTCGTTCAAAACTCGTCAGAACCTGGAAATTCTGCACAATATTACTGGTTCTATTCCCAGAGGAACCATGACTGGTATCATGGGAGGATCAGGTGCAGGTAAATCAACTCTTGTGAATGCACTGATGCGAGGCAAATCGAGCGCTGGCACTTTAAAGATCAACGGAGTCATCAAAGACATGAAGAAGTACAAANAACTGGTAGGAATGGTCCCGCAAGACGACATAGTGTTTCCAGAACTCACTGTTCGAGAGAACATCCTGCACTCTGCACGAATGAGATTGCCTTCGTCATGGAATGACAGAGCCATCCAGGATTATGTGGACTCGTTGATCGCTTGTCTTTCACTTACACACGTCCAGAATTCCTTGGTCGGCGATGCCAGAAAGCCAGTCATCTCTGGAGGCCAGCGCAAACGGGTCAGTGTAGGAATCGAATTGGCTGCTGCGCCAATGGTGATGTTCCTCGACGAGCCAACAAGCGGGCTAGATGCTACTTCAGCAGCTTCGATAATGCTTCTCTTGAAGGCCATTTCTCGGCTAGGCGTCACTGTCATCGCCATTGTCCACCAACCTCGTGAAGACATCTTTGTGGCTTTCGATCAACTATTGTTGCTCGCTAAAGGCAGTCAAGTTTATGCAGGTGCAACTGAAGATGTGGTGCCCTACTTCGAAGATCTGGGTTACCAGTTCCCTCTGCGAAGCAATCCTGCGGACATCATCATGGATGTGATTACTGGCAACGGCAAGCAATACTCTTCCGAGTCCGAAAAATTTGGTAGCGACACGGATCTTCTCATCAAATTCTGGTACGAAAGGGGCCAATTTGGAAAGACTAACAAAATATTGTCTGTTGCTGTGGGAGCCCCCAGAAATCCAAGGTTGTCGTTAAGTTCTATGCAATCAACTCTAGAGCACGATCAATCGCTACACGAGACCATGAAAACCAGAGGAGCTTCATGGTACGCTCAGGTTTATTATTGTACCAAACGAGCTTTGCTCCAGCAAGTTCGCAATCGCACGAGTCTCTTCTTCGAGATCTTTGTTGCTACGCTTGCAGGGCTTGTCATTGGTCTCTCAGCATATTCTTCCAAAGGATCCCTATTCTCAGGCATATATCACCCGCCGTTCACCCAATTGTCGAGTGCTGTTGATTACAAATCGGCACCTCAACTCGGTCTGCTATCTGCCATGGCCATTGGATTGGCCTCGTCCGCGCCAGGAGTCTGGGTCTTTGGTGAAGAAGTACTCATGTTCCAGCGAGAATCTTCCAGCGGTCACAGCAAGAGCGCATATTATATCGGCAAGGTGTTGAGCACACTCCCACGTATCATTCTCGCTGCTCTCCATTACACAGTCATGATTGGGGTGCTTGCCACCCCTCTGATTGGTTTCCAAGACATGTATGCAGCGAACCTACTCTACTTTTATGCCATCTATGGTTTGAGTAGCGTAGTTTCCATGTTGGTCAAGAGAGAAGATGGCCCGCTTCTTGCCGTTTTGCTTAGTTTGGTCCTTGGTGTACTGNGGNGTGTAGCGCCTCCATTGTCCAAGGTCAAGGAGTGGCATATGGAGTGGTTCTGGAGATTGAGTCCTGGCGTTTGGTTCACCGAAGCCTATTGGACAAAGATGGTGAGCCCAATGGCCTACCTATGGGATGTTGAACTTGCGACACAAACTATCGGGTTTAGTCTAGGAGAGTTCGGGAAAGATTTGGCTCTCATCTTCGTCATTAGTACGATTTACCGGTTGCTGGCGTATGCACTCTTGATACTGTTCAGAAAGAGGCGCAGATGATGTAACATTATATATGATTGCTTGTATAACTAGGGTGTAGAATTCAATGTGAGAACACACAGCTGCATGTGCACGTCTTCGCCGTTGTGGTCTCAGGTCCAAGAATATCTGACATTTCATGCTTGAATATAGGAAGGGGGTGAAATGAGTGTAAAGTTACCGGACAATGCATGTTGTCAGGTCGATGAGCTTGACGACCAGGTCACCAGTCAGTCCCCTAAGCTGCAGCTCAGACAAACAGATAACCTAGCCATCCAAAAGCAGAATACAAGATCTTCAACAAGCCACTCGGCACATGATACCAACGCCAATCTCCAAGAACTGGCAACACCTCTGGCGCCTAGCAGAGAGTGACGGTGAGGTTGGCCAAGATGCTACAAGTGTGAACCACACCTCCATCATAGGCAGTCAAGGGGGCACAGCTAGGATCAGACAGCGCGACACGCCAAGGTTGGCCAGCGAAAGGATCACCGTCGGCATTGATGACGGACCAGTAGAGAAGATTGTCCTGAGGGGAGTCGGTGAAGCCGAGGGTCCACTTGGGCGTTTGAGGAGAGAAGTATGCCGACGTCTTGCTCAGCCCAAAGGCAACGCCGATGCCACTGCGTCCTTGCAGATATGTTCCTTGGATGGGGATGGCATACTGGCTGGGTTGTTGGGTGGCATTGGTGACGGTGATCCAGACAGGGACGGGACAGTTGTTGTTGACCTGCGCAAAGGTTGCCGATGCGGAATTGGCCAGAGCGAGAAGGCTGGCTGTAGCGTAGGCAAGGAAGTGCATGATGGTGGTCGGAAGCAGGCGCCTCGATAGGATGGAGTACGAATAGATTTGATGAGGGATGAACAGAGAGATGTTGGTTCACGAACAACGTATTGTAACTGATGAGAGGCCGATGGATGGGTTGAACAAACAGCTGGACATATGGGCAAGACCGACGCTTTTATGTCTCTAACGCTCCTACCTTGCCTCAACTTAGGAAACCCTGTGTGCGACCTCTTTCATATACGTCAAGGCACAAACAAACTAAACGCTTGTCCGCAGCATTTGCTGCAAGGAGCCGAGTAGTGTAGTAATGGGATCACGAGAATAGGGTCTGGCGCAGGATTTGCACATGTACGCAGTCAAACAGTGTAATTGCCCGAGTGTCGTTTGCACATAAGACGATACTACAGGTCAGTTATGGCATAGCTCACATCCATCAACAGATGCCCAGAGGACTGGAGGATCAAGTGGTCCACCGGTTGATATCTGTAACATGTAGTAGCACAAGAGGGTCAATTTGGAATCTATGACAAGAGGATCATCGCTCTTTCCGAATTCTTTGTGCACCTCTCCGAACCTTAGTGTAGGCCGATCTCATCGCTGGTAGTTCAGAGCTGTCAACAAAGACACAAGCGTCGGCCTTGGACTTGAACACAAGGTTTCCAACTCTATGGCGTCTAAACAGTGGTCAGGTACCACAATGTGACCGGTCTGGGATTTGACTGTCTTGAGTGCAATGCAAGGTAACTCTTGGATGGAATCAAATAGCTGGATAGTTTCGGAAGAAGAGAGGAGTTCCAAATGTGTGTAGTCGAAAGAAAGGCAGGTGTGTTGTACGCGATTAGGGTGGGGCAGAGAAGCTTGGCGGCATGAATAGGCGGGGGACGGTGGGACCTTCCTAATCAGCAAGACGACGAGGGGCAGGTCATGAGCAGGCAGAGACAATGTGAGAGAGATCAAGTTTCCCGGGCGAGATGCCCTTGACAATCCCCAGTATACGCCTAGGTATACACTCTGTTCGTTCCTTGACGATACGTTCCACCTTGCACAACAGCTCCCGAGCTTGTCAGGTCCTCACCCAGCGGAGAAACATGGCAGCTGCTATCACACAAGAAGGCGTCGAGAAGGCCGCAAAGAACCTCAGCGATGGCCATACCAAGGTCAACAACTGGTCAGCCCCTGGAGGTGCCGCTTTCGACTTTCGCTCAGATGTCATGACTCGCCCGACCACTCGTATGCTCGAAGCAATCGCCGCGACAACCCTACAAGACGATGTCTTTATGGAAGACCCAACGTCCAACGACCTGGAATCCTTCATTGCCGACTTGACGGGCAAGGAGGCTGCTCTCNTTGTCTTGTCAGGTACCATGGGTAACCAAGTCGCCTTGCGTACACAGCTCTTGGCCCCGCCTCATGCTGTCCTCACCGACCATCGTTCCCACATTGTTCAATGGGAGGCTGGTGGTGTCGCCAGCATGTGCGGTGCTCTGATCCAGGCCGTCGTACCCGCAAACAACAAACACTTGACTCTAGAAGACATCAAGAAGTATGCTGTAATAAGCAACGATATCCACGCTTGTCCCACAAAAGTCCTCAGTCTGGAGAATACCCTCAACGGCATTGTGACTCCTCTTGAAGAGTTCCAACGCATTAGCGCCTGGGCGAAAGAGAATGGTATCCTGATGCATCTTGATGGTGCCAGACTGTGGGAGGCCGTTGCTTCAGGTGCGGGCTCCCTGAAAGACTACTGTGCTTGTTTCGATTCCATCTCGCTGTGTTTCAGCAAAGGCCTAGGCGCGCCCATTGGCAGTATTCTTGTGGGAGATAAGCAGTTCCGCGAGAGAGCACGCTGGATCAGAAAGAGCATTGGAGGTGGCTTGCGTCAAGCAGGTGTTGTCACTGCCGCTGCTCGTGTCGCTGTCGAAGACACATATCTTGGAGGCCAGTTGGCTGCTAGTCATGACAGAGCACGCCAGATCGCTGCCATGTGGGAAAAGCTGGGTGGTAAGACGTCGAACCCTGTTGAGACCAACATGTGCTGGCTGGATCTTGATGCTGCTGGTATCAGTGTCCCAGACTTCATTGCAGCTGGTGAAAAGGTTGGCTTAAGGCTGGGAGGTGGTCGCCTTGTCGTACACTACCAGATCAACGAAGAGGCTGTGACACGACTGGAAACTCTCATGAAGGCTGTACTCCAAGGCAAGAAGCTTGAGGGCACGGTCGATATTGACCCCAATGACATGAACATCAAGGTCGAATAATTGACAGGTTATGATATACAACTTTCCTCCAAACACACTCTGACTACCACCTTCCCTCTTGCCCGTCCAGTGCTGAGCTTTGCGAAAGCTTCCTTTACCTGATAGAATCCCCATGTGCTGTCGATGACGATTTTGCTACGGTCAAGATCCAATGTCTCTTCTAACCACTCTTTGCGAAGTTCCAGATTCACACAATCGTAGCTCTTCCCTAAACCAATCTTTCCAAGCAACGTTCTGACGACCATCTTGGGGTGCCAAAGATATATCGCTGTGCCACCCATGGTGTCACGACTAGTCTTGTCGCCGACGATGGTGACGTATCTTTTNGCTAGACCTATGCACGAAGTTTCGCCAACACAGTCAATGATGGCTGCTGGACCAAAATCTCGAACAGCTTGTGTCACATCACTCGTCTTGTAGTCAACAACAAATGTTGCGCCCATCGACTTCACGAATTCAGTGTTGCGCGAGGAGCATGTGGTGAGCACTTTCCGCCCTCGCTGACTGGCAATTTGGAGCACATACATGCCTACAGCGGAGCTCCCACCTAGAACAGCCAGACAACCGCTGTGCTCAATAGAAGACTCGATCTTGGCGATTGCTGTGCGTGCTTGATTCGTTAGCAATGGTGTGTTAGTCACATGACAGCAGTCAAGAGTACCTGTTAGCCAGACCAATGGCAACGCAGCAGCCTGTTCCCAACTCATGTCTTTAGGCTTCTTGACCACGATGCTCGATCTTGTGTCCACAGCAATAACATCTTGAATGGTGCCACTCGTAAGCGTGAATGTGATGCCATAAACCNNTATTAAGTATGTCAACATCTTACAGCGTATGCGTTGATGATATGTACAGTAACCCACTTCATCGCCTATATCAAAGCCACTGTGTTTGCCAGCGGCTTCGACAACACCAGAAAAGTCCTCACCGATACCCTTATCAGGAGGTATCCAGGATCTAGGCAGATATCTCCAGACTGGAAGGTTCATCAACTGGACATCCACAGGATTTAGTGCTGCTGCTTTGACTCGGACATGAAGCTCCTTCGACGCTGGTTTCGGGAGAGGTGCCAAAGTCGCCCTGTGAAGAGCGTCTGGATAGCCCTCGTGCGTGAACACCCATGCCTGGATAGACTCGACTGCCGAGGCCATTCCTGTTGTTGCCTGTACCGAGTCTCTGAAAGAAGTGTAAAATGATCTACAAGATCAACGGCATGGACAAGTCGCGGAAGCGGGGAAATTTCCTTCTCGCGTGCTCTCGTTAATCTCTATACACTCCATCTGGAACCTACATTTTCGTGCATGTGCAACTACTGTCTGTCGCGGAATTGCTTGTGACCGGCTGTATACAGATAATGTGTTGTAAGGTGGCAGTGTGAGGGAGCCAAGCAGCGAGCAAAGAATATGAAGTCGTCGAGATTTGTAGACTCTCGCAGATATGCTGGAAACATTTGTAACACAGCCATCCGTATTATGTGGACGTGATCTGAAGTCACACCTCGTATGCACGTATTCGCAAGTTGGTCTTCTTTGAGAGATGTCATCGATCCAACCCCGAGATCCTCGGCACGGTCAACGGTCGCGAACAAGGTTTGGAGGCAAGGGCTACCCCTCGATCAGACCCCTATGACCGACACAAACGGCTGTCCATTGTGGCCTGCATACCGAACTCGAGACTTATATCAGAACCTGGGTATCGTCTTCCAATTTCCTTGTGTCTTTACCTACCTAGCGCTCGGATCATACTTGTTCTCGGAGCGTTTTTCGCCACACCCGAACAACAACCTTTGAAAAGCCACATCAAAACCATGGTCACAAAGAACGACAACCCGGGCTTCTATGATTGTCTGATCATCGGGGCTGGTATATCAGGCATCAATGTAGCATATCGACTGCAAGAGCAGTCTCCCGGACAGTCCTACGCGATCCTCGAGGCTCGAGACTCGCTCGGTGGCACTTGGGATCTCTTCCGTTATCCTGGTATTCGCAGCGATTCTGATATGTACACATTCGGCTTCGAGTTTTATCCATGGAAGGAATACCGCACGATGGCAGATGGAGCATCCATCAAGGAATACTTGACTGATGCTGCAAACACTTTTGGTATTGACAAACACATCCGCTACCACCACAAACTTCTCTCGGCAAACTGGTCCACAGATCAACAGAATTGGACTTTTAAAGTCGAAACACCAGAGGGTCAANAGAACTTTCGCTCTCGCTTCGTTGTATTCTGTACGGGATACTACGATTACAATGAAGCCATGCCCGCTAAAATACCTGGGATTGAAAACTTCCAAGGACAAGTTGTTCACCCACAGTTCTGGCCCAAGGACCTGGATTACACCAACAAAGACGTCGTCATCGTGAGTGAGGGTCTGTGTTTATGCTAGAACTATGCTGATAAACGTTTGCTTCCAGNNGTTGGTAGTGGAGCCACCGCAGTGACCCTTCTCCCTAACATAGCCAAAAAGACAAACAAAGTGATTATGCTACAGCGAAGCCCGACCTATATTGCAGCAGTGCCACAACGGGATAACCTCTCATACTGGCCTGCAAGGTTTTTACCTGTCAGCTGGACATACAAACTCAGGCGTATTCAGTTCTTGATCTTGCCATTCCTCTTCTTCAAGTTCTGCAAAGCCTTCCCGGATCGCGCCAGAAGGCTTTTACAAAAGGGAGCCGCCTCAAAACTTCCAGAAGGCTATCCTATAAAACCCAATTTCGACCCAAGCTATGGACCGTGGGATCAGAGACTTTGCGCTTCGCCAGACGGAGACTTCTATAAAGCCATCAAAGACGGGCAAGCTGAGGTTGTCACGGCTCACATAAAGCAGGTGACAGAAAAGAGTATCCATCTGGAAGGCTCTGATCGTGTCTTGACTCCAGACATCATCGTTACCGCTACCGGCTTGAAGCTTATCATGGCAGGAGGTACCAAGGTGTCGGTTGACAATGAGTCTGTTGATATATCGCAGAAGCATCTCTGGAAAGGTGCCATGATCGAGGATATTCCCAATGCTGCTATTGTCATTGGATACACGAATGCATCCTGGACGCTTGGCTCCGACGCAACGGCGCAGTTCGTCACCCGCCTCATGAACCATATGGAGAATAATGGCTTGTCGCAAGCGGTACCTAGAGTGGACCAGAACTCTGGTCTGGAAGACCGATCAGTCCTGGACCTAAGCTCCACATACATTGTTAAAGCAGAGGGAAATCTTCCTAAAGCTGGCAACAAGGCACCATGGCTTCCGCGCTCTAACTATATGAGGGATCTATGGGAGATGAAGTTTGGTAGTATTACACACGACATGCAATTTTCGAGAATCTCCACGTAGATTTTGGACCTGCATGTGTAATTGCATATCCTCCTTTTGTTGTTTTAGTAAATATGTATAATTATGGCTGATAGATGACTCGAATGAACCAATCACAATCAAGAAGATCTGCTCCGCAACTTCGGGCCGATCGACCCCGTAAAGTCCGCTGCCACTTTCGAACTTCACATTAGACTCGCCGCTTCTGTTTTGTTCATCGAACCTGTGTTCCTTGTTGAAATTTTGATTGTTCCATCTCGAAACTATCTGACTACCCGCATACAATTGTTGGATCATTCAGAAGATCTTGAGTCTCACTGATTACCTAGTCAGGGGAGATCAAAGTGGGGGCGGGGTCCATCCACTTCTTAAGCCGCGCGCAAAGCAACCCCGATTGTGGGCCGAGAAGCCTGAGAGCATAGTCCTAGTCTGCGAGGTATGGTTCTGCGAAGATGCTCGATATGCGATCGAAATTTCACAAAGGTCCGAACTCAAAGATTCAGAACTCTTTGCGTCTTGCTAATAGGCTAGCAGGCCGAACATTATTTACGGCATCAGAGATCTCGTGAGTTTCGGACGGAATCGAACGGTCGTCATGATGGTACGTCTGACAATTGTGATTAGATANCGAAAGAACGACCCTATGAATGTGTGACATGTAAAAGCGCTTCTCGCGGAGGTAGGTAGACAGACACATGCTGTTGAGATGCGACAGCCATGTTGACGCTTCTACACAGTGATGTGCTCTTCCGACACAGCAAATTACACAACCAACAAACACCTGATGATCGTGGAGATGCAGCGAACTCGTTGCTCGGGATTGCTAGAGCTTCACCTTCAAATGGGCCCATGATGCCGATTCAGGAAGAAGGCATGAATCAACATGCCTCATTTAGCCGTCCGGACGGACAAAGTTTCGCTCAACAGCAATCCTACAGTGATGCAAGCATGGCACACTCTCGTCACATGTCTATGCCCGAGATACCTTTGATGCATCCCCAGTATAACATGAGCCCACAACAGCATGGTCTACCTCAACTTACTCCATCGCATACTTATGCTGGAACCGAGTTCACTCCAGTACAGGATTTTCCACCAAGCGTATCAACACCGGCGATGGCGTCCCATACGTACGACCCACAACTGGTATCAATGGACCATGCTCACATGGATGGCTTGATGTCTGGTCCATTTGGTGTGGGAGGCCTACCTGTTAACTCTCCAGGACAGTCTCAAGACATGCTACAATTCTGGCTGGCACAAGCAGATAATGATATGGGATATGGTACTATGACTTTACCGGATATAACCAGCACTCCCTACACAACTGAAAACAAATACGAGTCAGCACATCCACCCTTGCATCGAGCTGCAACATCGGAGACCAGCGACACTGCATCGACAGGAAACATACCAAACGAGCGATTCGCACGAGTTGAAAGTTGTTGGCTAGCCAAAAACAATGGTGCCCATCATCTTGTTCCATCACTCTGGTCCGACATTTCGCGCAGCCCCGGACCAAATTTGTTCTCAGTTGGTGTGCCACAGACCCGAGAGAAGTCAGAAAGCCGCTGGGGAGTAGACGCGGCATTGCGCTCTCGACTAGAGGCTGAATTTGGTGCACAAGTGCTGCACTCTGTGGGTTCAGCAAAGCGACTTGGGAATTTTCCTCCCGCAGAAGTACTGGAGATATGCCTGGACCATTACTTTCGACGTTTCCATCCGATTGCTCCTTTTATTCATGTTCCGTCATTTAACGCCGCCAATACCCCACTTCCTTTACTCTACGCCATGTGTATGCTCGGACTCAGTGCATTGGAATCGAGCAATGGCGGCAACTTCATCTCAAATGCATTTACTGTAAGTGTTTCTACTTTAAGTCAACTTGCTTGAGCTTTGCCGCACGTCAGCATCTTGTTGATCGAGTGTTTTGCTGACATCCTCCAGAACCTGTTGCGAAAAGTACATAATGATCTAGCACTCAATGCGATCGCTCCCTCAGCTCCATGCGCGCGACTAGCCGTTTTCGCAACTGGTTTCTTGACTTTGTGTCTAGCTGCCCTCTCAGNNGGGTAAGATGATCGGATCAGCATTTGATTCGAGTGCTGAACATGCTTGTAGGACAAAGATCGTTTAGCGCAGTCACAAACTCTCTATGCAACCCTGATAGCCGTAAGTGATGAGATGGCAAGCGATAGTGCCCAACTAATTGATCTATAGACAGCACAGAAACAGGGTTTGTTTTGTGTCGATGACATCGATATGGCAGATATGATCACTAGCATCGGCGATGAAAGCACGCGATGGCTAACATGGGCTCGCATCGAAAGCGCCANNAAAGGTGAACAAAAGTTCGCACATCTTGTGTTTCTCTCCACTAATCACAAGTTTGATAGGCTCATCGCATCGTTGTTAACCACCGATTGGTGGTTCTCTGCGAACTCTACTGTCAGCCCCGCGATACGTCCAGAGACACTCCAGATATGCCTTCCCTGCGATGACTTGCTGTTCCGTGCAGATTCTGCGCAGAGGTGGACTCAGCTGCAACACATGGGGAAACGGATATCCATGCCGATGATCAAGCCTAGGACTTTCAATCTCGAAGGAGCGTTGGACTCGGTCATATTACTTGACCCTCCTTTGGATGCTCCTGGTCAGTTCACGCTACTTTCAGCCATTAAGCTATGCGTCTGCGATGCTCAGCACCGGCATTTCCTGCCTACGGACGAATGGGACAGACACGACCATCTTATACCATGGGAAACATATCAAGACGATCTGAGGGCACGATCCCTAGTGCAGACAACACTGGCACTTGCACCTGTGATCACAGGCTCGACGAAGACTGCGGATCTCAACTCTCTTCTCCTATGGCACAACTTATGCTTGACCCTCAACTCCAATATGCAGATATTTGAGCTTGCAGCAGGTCGAGCAGGCGCAGGACCAGCCGGCAAAGCCCTTGCAGACTTGGAAGATTGGGCTCGCACGTCATCCGCGCGACGTGCTTGTATTCACGCTGCACAGTCTTTTAAACTGCTCAGCAACCGCAAAGTCTCGGAAAGCATTACGCTTAACTCGATGTCAGCTCTATTTTGCTCTGCTCTTGTTCTTGGCTTGTATCTTTTTACTGTACCGAGTACCGAAGCTGATAGCGCACGTCTACCCTACGAGTTGATGGATGATGTTGACTGGACTGTTGTCGGAAACGCAGGCATGGTGGAAAGTTCTCCAGGAAACAGCCCAGACATGATGTTTGAGTCTTCTCATGCTTCTAACGTCACTCGTGCCTTTATCGAAGCTGGCGGCCCAGTTTCGATCAATGGCGTTGTTGCTACCAGCGGGTTTCAAACTGCGAGACGTACGTTGTTGGACTTCGCGCATTTGATGGATGGGATAGGAACGTGGAAACCACGGACGTTGTCACGGATTTTGCATATCATGTCTGATGTGCTGGAAGAATCTCTTTGAAAAGTGAATAGTGCTGTAATTATGACATGATTGATGTAATTTAGCAAGACACTATGTGTATGTGCGATTTCTTCTAATTCTTCTTCCACTCTGCCTTGTCCCAGCCTGGATCGTTACCGAATGCTTCTGGGTTCTTGTGGATCCAGTCTGCGACATCCTTGCACTGAGCTATCCAGGCCTCTTCTTTNTTGCTCACGATGTGTTCGAGCACTTCTTCCATGACCTTCAATTTCTCGGCTTCGGTCTGTAGGAAAGGATGGAACAGCAAAGCTAGATATCCACCCTCTGCCACCACCTCATCAATCCTCTTGAATAGGCGATCTTTTAGAACTTGTGGTGATAACGGTTCCTCGGTGTCGCCTTTGCCTTTTCTCAAAGCAGCTGTGGAAGCCATGTAAAAGTATGCATCAATGCTCTCCCATTGAAAGGGAACCATCGCAACACCATCGACTATAGCTGGACGCTCGGCTGCTGGAGAAAGATAGTTCATGCCCTTTTGCTTCATCAAGCCCAGTGTACGATCAGTCACCAACCCTCCCGGAGGTCTGAAGCCCTTGTAATGCACACCAATAGCCTCCGCACCCTCGACACTCTTGTTCAAGTTCCCAACTTCAGTGTCCGCATCAAGATTCTTCCACACCTCATGTTGATAAGCGTGGAATCCGATCTCATGGCCTCGCTTCTGGACATGTTGGATCGTCCCTGTGTAAACAGGGCAGTTCCAGCCTTCAACAAAATAGGTGGCTGGGATGTGGTATTTGTCGAGCAAGTCAAGCATCACGGGTAGCTTTTCGGTTACGGAAAAGTGTGAGCCTACTGGCTTGTCTTTGGGCCAGAGTCCACGGTGCAGATCGGCAGCTTCGCCCATGTTGTCCATTGTCAAGCTGATGCAGGCGCGTTTGCCATTTGGCCAGGGGTATTGTTGTGCGGTACTCATGATGGGTGGTTCAATCAATTTGTGTGGTAGATAGAATTTCCTTCGGAGCTGGTGGGTTCGGCAGGATATCTGGATTTTGCAACGTTTTGACCAGCGGAACATACAGGTCGTACATGCAACGAGAAAGATAACTAGGCGTGACTGTCTGGACGTCGCTGCTGCATAGGAAGGTGGAGAAGTTGTGGTGGTGACGTCTCAGGTAGGAACTGCCGAATGTGGGGCCTTCCTGCTGGTTGCTTGCACGACCCTGATGTGTTGTCTGCTTACTTGCTCATGCCGTCTGTCTATTAAGCAGATACAGATACGCTTCTACCATCTCTCCTGGCTTGAACTTTGGATGCTCTGGAAGAGATTGTAGTGCTCGGGAGCAGACAATCTCAGTGCTGCTCAAGCTCCGCACTTGCATCAACGGCATACAACGCCGTTTCACGCACTCAATGTCGATCATCACAAAACTTCCAGCTGAAGGAGCGTCCTCTCTCGCGTAAGTGCAGAGTCACAAGTATACAGTCCAGTTTTGATCCCTCGACATCCCGCCGATGTGATCGAATCTCGTAATGCACGTTCATGCATGATTATCTGCTCGGCTGCTTCTTCCTCGAAGCGATGCCAAGATTCTGCAAGAGCAATCTATCTAGCATCACAATTGGTGACCCAACCCCTCGGTATGCAGCTCGGTTCGCAACCAGCACCTCGCACTTGGTAGGTTGATAGTCCCTTGCTTGGGACCCCTCTTCATCCCACCTTTTTCCTTCTTCTAAAGAACCACTTGTCCACACCTGGAGAGAGAGAAAATCAAGCAAACATGTCTACTGAAAACCCTCGCGTCAAAGGTGTCCTGCTTGTCGGCAGTGTGCCTGGTACAGACACTGAAGATGTGCTGCGAAGAATGGCTCCAGCTCTCGGAAGCCGTCTCAAGTACATGCCCGATGGCGAGACAGGCCAACGCAACTATTTCATCGGCTGGCAGATGTACAAATTCGGTGCATTCCCAGAGGTGATCAGTCAGTTCGGCCAGAACGGCAAGTTTGAGGATACCNCCGTGCCAGAGGAGAAGATCAAAGAGGCAGCCGAAAAGCTCGAGGGCATGTCGACAGATTACGACACCGCAGCTCTCGAGTCTTATCCAGTCTTCAAAAAACTGAAGGAGGAAGGTGTGATTCCTAAGAACATCAAGTTCCAGGTCTGCTTGCCTTCCCCATTGACCTTTGTGTCACCTTTCATCGTTGGCGACTACAAGACAGCAATCGAACCCGTCTACGAGCGTGCCATTTTCCGAGCTTTGGACAACATCAGCAAGAACATTCCTGAGCAGGAACTGGCTATCCAATGGGATGTACCTCTTGAGTTTGCTTTGCTCGAGGGTGTCTGGGTACAACGTTGGTTCTCTCCTCTCAAGCAAGGCATCTTGGATCGCTGGTTCAAGCTGACTGCAGCCGTCAACCCAGCTATCGACATGGGCTTCCACTTCTGCTACGGTGATATTGGTCACCAGCACTTTACTCAGCCCAAAGACATGGGTTTGATGGTCGACATGGCCAAGGAGCTTTTGGGTCAAGTTAAGAGACGTGTCGATTACATTCATATGCCAGTGCCTAAGGACAGAGATGATGCAGCATACTTTGCTTCTCTGAAGGACCTGCAAGCAGTCAGAGGCGAGACGGACATATATCTTGGTCTTGTCCACGCCGATGATCTGGAGGGCACACAGCGCAGAATCAAAACCGCTTCTGAGGTGCTCGATGGCTTTGGCGTTGCAACCGAGTGTGGATGGGGCAGAACGTCTCCTGAGGAGATTGACTCGATTGTTCACATTCTGAACGCTGTATCAGAGAAACATGCATAGAGTGCCTACTGCATTTCGAATTGGTAGTAGATTTAGCTCACAATTGGATGAAGTAGACAAGATATTGGCATTGTTAGGAGCTTTCATGAAGACATCTCGACGTTATTATGTAACACGGGCAGATTCATTACAGAGCGTCCATTCCTCAATGCCCGTTCGTCTTGCCGTGCATCAACTCCTTAAGCGCAGCATCATCATAGTAAACCTTGCTTCTCTCCTCCATCAACTTCTTGTCCTCCTTAACTCTCTTCAACAACGCCTTGGCCTCAGGATTGTTAGAGAAACGATCAGGCAACGTATCCCAGACCTTCGGGTCCGTTCCACGGGTGTTGATAGTACCGCAACCAACCCTCGCATACTCGGTCCACAAGAAAGTCCTCGAACTCTCAACCATGATAGTCATCTGTCCCTCCAGAATCTTTCTCGGCTCGCTTTCTTGGATGCGCATTTCATCCACATAGGCATCAGAGAACCCACCGTGTGGTGTATGGCCGCCCTCGAAACTGCCACCGCCAGGTTGGAAATAGTCGCTTCTTCCAAGGCCTTCACCGTATAAGCAGGCCAAGAATTCAGAGGCAGAGTTCCTGTGGAAGTATGGTAGGCGGAAGGTGTTGGATGCTACGTCCCATCTTGGGCCGAACCAGAGGAAGTCGGCAAGGGGGGTATTGGGGTCGCGAGACTTGGCGGTCAAGACGGTGTTGACGGAGGGATCGGTGTGGTCGATGCTGGTTGCGTTTTGGGAAGCGAACTTGGTAAGGTCGTANCTGAGGATTGCGTTAGTGACTGTACAACGTCTTTGTTCAAGAGATGTCCTTACCTTGTACGGAACAACATTGCCATGCCATGCGACCAGATCAAATGGACTGTGGTCCTGCTCCAGGCAGTTGTACTTTCCATTGTTCTTATTCACAACTTCCCAATCACCACTCAGCTCGTCATCGATGTGAGCAACAGGGTACAAAAAGTCTCTTGGGTTAGCAAGACCATGGCCACCCAGAGGACCCAGATCGGGCAACTCCCACATGCTGCCCCAAACCTCTGTGGTGTATCCTCTAGCGTTTTGCACTCCAGGTGCCAAAGCGATTCTAAATCTCACACCTCTCTGAATAACGCAGATCTCTCCAGGCTGTAGGAAAATCATTCCAAACTCAGTCTGGATGTCCAGGTTTCCCTGTTGAGCGCAGAAGAGGAAGTCGCCATCTGTGTTGCAGAATGCTCGCTTCTCCATGGATGCATTGATGGCATAGATGTACAGAGCCATGCCTTCTCTCAAGTTGGGATCGCCCGAACCACCCAGAGTGTGTAGACCATCGACAAAATCTATCTTTTCAGAGTCTTCGGGGAGAGGGAAGGGGCCCCATTCTGCTTGTTCGGGTAGAGTTTCGACTTCGGGGTTGAGGGACAGGAAGCAGTTTTGGATGTGTGCTTTAGACTCGATCTTCTTGTAGCCATCTNNGGAAAATGTTAGAGTGAGCTAGGAAGATTGGATCGGAGGTTACGCACTGTGAGCTGCGGCAGGTCGTACGCGGTACATGTAGGTACTGTAGTTGTGGGCACGCGGCGCAGCGAATGCACTGTAGGTAATGCCCTCAGTGTACAGGCCGAAGCGGACTTCCTGCGGATTGTTCTGAGCTACAGGCAAGGTGCCAGGAATGACCTCGGACTGGTGTCTGTTGTTCCAGCCGTGCATGTACGTGTATGGATCATTCTCTCGGGTGGGCTTCTTGCGCTGCAAGTCTGTGTAGTGGAAGACCTTGGTAGGGTCTGTGGCGGCCTTGCGTTCCTTCAGCGGTGCTGGCATGGTCATGAGCCTGAGTAAGTCTGCAGTACTGAGTGTCCAGGAGTCGTATCGAGTTCAGAACCAGACGAGTGCTTGAGGGCGATAGTTATGTGTTCCACATCTTGAAGCGGCAGTTGCATCGGTTGCAACCACTTGCACTACTCTGTGGGGATGCTCAGATCATGGCGGCATTGGATCGTGGGGCTTCATGTTTAGACATTGCGACCTTGACCGTCTTGCAACATTGATGGTGATGCTGACCCCGTGTTACGGCTCTGTGGGGCCATGACCCCTCTCGTAACATCAAGTGGGGCACTGTCACCGACCGACAACATTGATCCGAGTCTCTCGCGAACGTGCTTGCAGAAAACTGAAACCATCTTGCTGACTTTGTACAATGACTCTGTATACAGACCGGGTATCCACACCTGACTTGTCCTCCATGCCCTTCTCGACAGAAGCAATCCTACTCCCAATTCCTTCAACGCCATGCATCATAACCAATCCTCGCCTGTGAAGGCCCATCCTCCAACCAGAACCTACGCTATGCAATTAGATGAATGAAATGTGCCATCTGAATACACCATAGAGGCCATCATCTCACATGACGGTGCACTCTCTGTCCGGCTTCTCCGTCTTTCGCTTTCGATGAAAGTGTCCTTCTTTGTCACCTCGCTCTTTCCTGACCTTGCTCCTACCAGTACGCTCCTTCTCTGCCTTCTCGACCATCTTGGCATCGAGGTTTTTGAGGTTTCGACAGACGCTTCGCTACCACTGACTGTCGGTGGCCCTTCAATGTCTTTACTATTCTCCACATCCTCGTCCTGTTCGGCAGCTGATGCGAGATTCGTGAGGTCTGTTCGGCTTACACGACTAGTGAGTTTGCTCATGTTCAGACTGAACCGCGATCCACCATCTGTAGAGCCCGGCCGTGACTTTGTCTTCTTAGTGCTGACCTTGCTGCCTCTCCTAGAAGGAATACCGAGGAAACTGCTTCGTGACTCGTCGATCGGTGTTGATGGTATCGAAGTCGTAGCTTGGCTACCAGCGGCGCTAAGATCATCGGCCATGCTACTACGTCGTGCATCTAGACTGGTCCTTCCACGCATGTCAAGACTGGTTCTGTTAGAAGCCGCCGTCCAGTCCACCGTCTCGGTACCTGATAGCCCGTTAGGCGATGTTGGTGAAGAAGACTCGACCAGAACCATATCATTCTCGTCGCTACCAATCTTCTTCAGCTTCTCAGGCGAATAGTCAAGCGAATCTGAGGGATGACGTGACATAGCCTCATCATAAGTTGGGGGTGCATCAGGAACAAGCTCTTCGTCGATAGGTTGGACCTGATAGAACAGGAGATACGGGCACTCCTCCTTCAGCTTTTGGTTGATGTCGACGTAGGTAACGCGTTCTCTGGCGAGGTCATCAAACAACATCCAGGGATCTTCTTCTTCACTACTCTCCGCAGTATCTGGTCGATCGGAGCGTCCGTCGACGCTTGGAGCATTGGCTGCACGTCCTCGAACCAGGGAAACGTAATGACCCGAGTTGACTGACACACCACGATGGCAAACAACAGATTGGAGAACAAGCTTAAAGTTGCCAACGAGCGGGCTATGATCCTCCATCTCATCGTCCGATACAAAGCTCGGTACAGCAATCTCCAGAGGTATGTCGATGAAATTGTCCAAACGGCTTGCAACACCAGTATTGGAGTATTGGTATCGTTTGAGAGCGATTCCCAGCACCGGACGCTTGCGTGAGAAGTGTGCAGCAACCTGGGCGTCACTGGTGGGAACGATGTTCTCTGTATACCAAGGAAGTAACTTGAAGAATTGCCAAGCGGGCATCAAAACCTCGGTACGGGTTGAATTTTTGCGCGGTCTTGCAGGAGTATTCGCCGCATCGTCGGATCCATTCTTATCATCCGACTTTGATTCTGCCACTCTTCGCTGACTGAAGATGCTATCGGCACGCTTTCTGTTCATTCCGGGTCTGATCTTATCAAGAGGAGACTTGATTGGTGTGCTAGGCGTAGAAGAGGGCGACTTGATTGGTGTGCTGGGATCTGGCTTAGGAGTTGCTGCCTGATCGAAGTATTCGACCGTCTCGACGTGCATGGCTCCACCTTTNTCACACGAGTTTGTCCGTCGCAGTACTTCGTTTGACCTCACGGATTGGAGCGTATTGCGTCTATCGAGATGGCGTTTAACCTCGATTCGATTGTTGAAGTAGTTTTCCAGACAGTCTTCAAGTGTGACGACGCTGCTTCCCTCGGGCGGTTCTGTGACAACAGCAACCTCAAGCAGGCGTTCGTTGACGAACTTGTGGTCGTCAGCTGGATCTTCCTTGCCTGTATGGAACAGGTCCATTTTGAGGGTGAGCAACGGGAGCTCTAGCTGGCCGGTGATAAAGGTGAAAGCCTCCGAAGTGTCTTGCTGGCACAGCTCAGCCGCTGATTCCCAACCACATTCGGCAAGCGAGTCCTGCAAGTATTTTGTCNNTAGGCAACAGGTTAGTGATCGCGAGACTGCCACTTTTCGACACTGGGTACGTACGATGTCCCTAGTGATAAGTCTGCCGGAGCGCAACATGTTGACCCATAGGCGCAGCAGACCGGCCAGTTTCTTGCGTGGTAGGTCGTCGAACGAATTGTACAGCATAGCCTCGAAGCTGTCGAGACGTGCGAACATGGCAAAGAGGAGAGCATCGAGGTAGCAGGTCACACCATTGCGGTTCTCTGCTCCAAGCAACTTGGTCGAGGGGTCGAACGTCTTGACCAGGCCTTCATATGTGTCTTCGAAGAGGAGCAGCAGACGCATGGCTTCGTCGCCATTGCCCGCTGAGTTGGTAGCCTGTAAGGCATAGCTGACGTTCGCCTCGGTAAAGGTTGTGATTCCGTATTTCTGCAGTCGCGCGAGGATGGCCTTGATCTGAGAACGCGTTCAGTCTCAGCAAGGGTATACGGGATCGGCGAGTAGACAGGGAAAGCTCACCCTCTTTTCATCCTCTTTCTCGAGCTTCTTCTTTTCTTCGGGTACGAACAGGCCACCGAAGGCGCCGGCGTCGGGGAGGTTCTGCAGAACGAAGAGAAGCGGTGTTAGCATGAGTCGCAATAATGGCAGAGCAATGGCGAAGGGCATCAATACTTTTGATCGGCGGTCCCGTCTGCCCAAGAAACGCTGGACGCTGCTGCTCATGATGAGGTCGGCAGGAGCAGGTTCGGGTTCAGGCTCTTTGTCGGACTGTTGCGACCATCAAGTGGTTCGAGGACGAGAGAGATGGTGAAACGGGCGGCGGGGTAGAATATCTGCAGGGCTTCCCTGTGGAGGAAATATTGTTGCGCCTGGTATTTCGCGGGGAAGGTTGAACCAAGTCAGAAGGAAGAAACGGCTAAATTATCGAGTAGGGTCCAGACGTTCGATAAGGTTTGTTGAATCTGTATCACTGCGGCTCCGTCGACACTGGCTGTCGGAGTGCAGTTCAAGTTGAGTGAGGGCGAGAGAGACGAAAGACAGCAGGTTAAGGAGCGGGAGAGACGTGTATTCCTTTGCGACTCGGCGCCCTCTAGCCTCTAGGCAGTGACGCTGAGCGGGGTTGGGAAACGAACCAGGGGGCCACCTGCCATGAATGAGCCGCGCCCTACTCCGTAACCCGTCCGATGCGAAGGATGACTGACCCTGGCCTTCTTGTACCATGTCGATCTCGCTTGTAGAAGGCGTGTCAAAGGCCCGAATGCCTGAAGTCAAGCTCGACTCTCAAAGATAACGAGCTTTTGAGAAGAAGGAATTAACAACACATGGTCGCGATTACTGGCCATCACAAAGTAAATCTTGTATAGATGCGAAGGCTATTTACAGTCATCCTCGTTCAGCAAGTCCACTACCATCAGATTTCGGGTTGCCTGATCTCAACCCTATGCGAGCAATGAGGAATCATCTTTGCACGCCAACTGCTGAACAGAACTATCGAGTCCTGATTATTTTTCTAGAACTCAAAATGCTGTCTCATATCCTCGAGGTTCATCCCCGGGCCGACAAGCTCTTGCAGGTCTCTACGTTCCATCTGAGCAAACACCCTCCTTAGAGTGTCATAAAGATTTGTGCTTTGGTTTTGGGTGATCATGGCTTCCAGTTTGGCATCCGTCATGTTGTTATCGCCTACCACCTGTCTTGCCTTCTCCAACCCCTCTTTCTCTGTGATACGGTGCATCGCCAAGGCACCGAGAAGATGCTGCGCAGCTTCCTCGTAACAGCCAATGTTTATGCATGATACACCTAGATTGTAGCGTGCTCTGACAAAGTTTGGTCGCATCTCCAGTGCACGAGAATAGGCATCAATGGCCTCTTCCGACCTGCCAGAGTTTGCGAGAGTGGCGCCGAGACGGTTCCAAAGAAGATGCAACTCTTCCTGTCTGTTTGTGCTGCCTTCTTCAGTTGAGGCTAGGGCAGCGCCGAAGCAGTCAACAGCCTTGTCGTACTCTTCTGCCCCGTAGAAGAGAACGCCCAAGCCGACCTGGACGTCAGGATCCATCTGCTCGCCGTGTGGAGATAGTTGTGCAGCTTGTATGAACAAGTCTGTCACCTTTTCGTGTAGGGCATGACGGTCGGTAAAGCCGATTTCGTCTTCTTGTGAGGAGAGAGGGCCGTTGATAAGGGACGGGTACTTGGTAGCGACCCAGCGTTCAAGAGTTCTGTAGGCAGTGCTATCGTAGCCTTCGTTTGTGTATGATACAGCCAATCCCATCAGAGCTTCTAGGTTGTTGGGATCGAGTTTTAGAGCGTGCTCGAGAGCGCGAATAGCTGGCGATTCCTTTTCGTTTTGTGCTTGAGCTTGGCCGAGAGCTGTCCAAGCACCCATGTGGTCTGCATCTTTCTGTACGGCGGCCTCGAAGGCCAGGGCGGCGAGGGAGAGGTTTCCGCCTTCGCGCATGATTTTGATGCCCTCATCGTAAGGGTTGGCTACTTCGGCGAAGGGATTGTCATCCTCGAACATGTAGTCGCCTAGCGAAGGATCGCGATGTGTGTTGAGGCCGTCAAAGCCGTCCCACTGGTCGAAGCGGTCGTTTGCGTCGCCGAAGGTGTCTTGTGTGACAAAGTCTCTGTTTTGGGACGTCTCAGCTTGGATGCCCTGCCATACCGACTCGAAGTCGCCAAACAGCGTTTCANNCTCCTGATCAACTGACCTGTCCATGGCGTTGAGCTCTGCCTCGATGGCAGCATTCGCCTCTGCATCTAGTTGAGCATCCTGCTGTTCTTGTGGAGCGTCCAACTCGGCGAACTGAGCTTCCCAGTCCTTGTCGTCCAGCTCGACCATGCGTTCCTTGCCCTTGGATTGTTGTTGCTGATCTTGTGGGGTTTGCATGCCGTTCATGCCAATACCGCTCATTCCCATACCACCCATGCCCATTCGCATGCCCATACCATTACCATACATGCCACCATACTGCATGGGTGACTGATATCGTGCCATGGGTGTCTGTTGGACATTGCTGAGGGGACTAGCAGTCCTCGCGGCTGACGTCTGCTGGAAGCGAGCGAATTCTTGAGGGTTGAAGGCTCCGTTGTTCTGGTGGGCGAACGCAGGGCCAGCCTGGTCAGACATTTGGGGTTCGAACTCGGCAGCCCAATGGGTAGGTGCGGGGGAAGCTGCCTGGTCGAGCTCGCGACGCATCTGATCCATGGCAAAAGGTGAGTCCTGGAAGGTAGGACCAAGGTGTGCGGGTTGTTGCATGAAATCATCCATCATNCTGAGTGTCTCGTCAGCACGATGCTACAGAGACAAGAGGCCTCGTGTGCTTACAGCATCTTGCGGGGCTCCCATCTGACTTCGCATGCTCTCCATACCTCCGGGCCCTCTGCCCACGAGGCGGTCTCTTTGTAATGACTTGTCATCCTGTACGTGCTTGGTGAACTGGCTCAGTGGGTTGCCCGCTGTCGAGCATTCTGCCCCGCCGAGGAATGACATGGTGTGGTGCGTGTAAATGTGTCTGGCTGCTCGCGATGCGGTCCTGTGGATCGAATGGCAGTTGTCGAAGAAGTCGTACAGTGAGGGCAAGGAACAAGGACGAAGAGGAATAGGTTGATTGCTCAGCAACGTGACAACAATTCAAGGACCATCATATCTACAATGCCACTCGGCAAACTGGCCGAGGGCGGCGAAGGCTGTGGGGAAGACGGGCTTGGCGGGGTTCTCAGATGCCGAGGTCGATGAGCGCGGTGCTTCCATCTTCACATGACTGGAAAGTCGGGTACGCAAGGCCGAGTAGAGTATGGAGAATGTACGAAGCATAGAATAATACAATATATGTCCATCAACCCGTCAACACCTCATCAACGCCATGGCTATAGTACAGTACTTTTGAAGCTTCCACTCTAGTCCTCTCTGCTCTCTCTTCTGGGCGCAGAGTTGGCCGAGCGGCTGAAGTCGACACGCAACTGTCTACCGAAGATCTCCTTGTTCTCGAGGATTTCCTTGGCCGCTTGTGCGCTGGGAATATCAATGAAGTCGGCGTGGCAGAAGCCTCTTGGCTGACCTGAGCGACGGTCGACAGCGACTCTGACGTCCAAGATGTTGGTGATGTTGCGGAACAGGTCGTTGAGGTCTTTGTCGGTCATCTGGAACGACATGTTTCCGATGAAGAGAGTCTTGCTAGGCTTGTTGGCCTGGACCTTCGATGACTTGTTCATAGGGTTGTGGGGGTCGCGGCGGAGGTGGAACTGCACTGCCATGTTGCGGCCGGCCAGAGACTTCTGGTTCATCTCCTTCTGTGCCTTCTCTGCATCCTGGAGAGTCTTGAACTCGACGAATCCGAANTCTGCCCGTTGACGTTAGTCTTGGTCGCCTCAATCCGGCCTTCTCGTGACATACCCTCTGCTCAGGCCGCGAGCATCCTCGGCCACGCGAGCATTGACAATTTCACCATAGCTGGCGAACTCGCGCTCAAGATCCTGGCTCTTGACTTCGAAGAAGAGGTTGCCGATGTAGAGAATTCTGCTGGGCTTGGGATCACGGTGTGTTCCGGCGGCGGCACCACGAGCACTGTTGCCGAGCAGGGACACGGCTGCATCGGTGACATTTGATGCAGCATCCTGAACCTTCTCCTTGACCTGCTCAACGACTGAGGGTTGCTCAGAAGCGTCGGCTGCTGCGGGGACAGACTTCTCCACCACATTGGGCTCCTGCTCTGCCTGTGCTTCAGATGTGATAGCCTCTTCCTTCATGGCCTGCTCAGTCTCGGTGGGCTCAGTGGGGACAGTCTCGCCAGTGGTCTTCTCCTGAGCGGGCGATGCTTCCTCGCTGGCGAATCGCCTTTGGAAGACAGGCACCTGCCATTTTTGTGATTGACGGAGTCCAGTGGGTGTCTTGGTGACAATTGTGCGAGCCTTGAGGGGCGAGGAGACGAAGCTGCGGGCAGCGGCGCGACGGAGAACTGTTGGGAACCTGCAATCGTCAGACGTGCGCCATGATTGTATCTGCCTGCCGACTGCTCACATGTTTACGGAATATAGATTGCGTTGTCCAAAAGAAAAATTGCACGGAAGTGTCTTTGGAATTGGCGCGGCGAGAAACACTTGGATGCGCTCGAGCTTGGACCTCGAGATTTTCCAAGACGTCTCGACTTGGAGCCGCAACTTTTAGTCTCGTGAATGCTGAATCGTACGCACTGTCGTTCAGCTCCTTGTCTCTGATATTGGTCACCGAAGTGCATGAATGGGACACAAGACTGGCTTCATACAAATCGAGCAGTATCAATTTGGACTTTCGATGTGTGACATTCTCGTCTAACGCAAGCAAAAGGATACGCGCAACTCCAGCATTCGCAGCGAGGCTCAAAGCTAAACATGATCTTCACATAACTTCATGGTTTGTGGCGATAACCAGCATGTTCATCTGATTACTTACTGCCAACGATATTATGGGCTCTTCTGAACACTACATGTAGTATATTCTCTGACAATACTTGGTTGCTCACGTTTGCAATGCCCAACACTGACAAGACAGGGTCGCACAAGCAACACGTGATCTTAGTCAAGCTACAGTGCGGACGTTAAATGGCATGGAATAAGTGGAATATTGGAATATTCCACTAATTTAAGGTAGAATATTCCACCTAGTTAGCATGGAATAGAATCGTTAATTTAAGTGGAATATTCTACTATTCCACCACTTAGTATAGCTAGTGTTACTATAGTTAATAATAGTAAGCCTTAGCTTAGAGTGTGCTACGCTTAGGCATAGTAGTCGCGTTTAAAAACTTGCTATAACGCCTTTTCCGATTAGTAACCTATTTAAGCTCTTTAATTAGCTAGATCTTATCTCGGAGATTAGATCGCGAGCTCCGACTAGCTAATTCTTCATTAGCTTACGCGAAGCCTCGCGCGTCCTTTTCGACGCGTCTTAACTACTCCCTCTTAATTTATTAACCATCCTATCCTCTACCTTCTTACTTAATATTAGAGCCTAGCTCTTTATCATCTTTCTATCTTTATAAACACATAATCTACCTTTAATTATAATCCTTATATTATGTATTTACTAGCTAATTAAGAGTATAAGTTATAAGAGCTATAAAGCTAACTAAACTCTCGATTATCTTAGAGCTAGCCGCTATACGCCTCTAAATAGAGTACCCTCTTTAAATTCGCCTCTAATACTTTAAGGCCTAGACTCTTCGCTCCTTAGAGTTAATTAGATAGTATCTTTATTAAAGGTAATAACTCTAAGACTAACGATAGCGCCTCTAATGTCGACTAGCTATTATTTCCTCCTTTAAAGCGACGACGACTAACGCTAATAACCGCTAGTAACTACATTAATAACTCTAAATGTATGTTAATATAGCGCTCTCGAAAACTAGCTCCTACCTATAGCGATTCTAAAGAGCTCTAGTCTTATACTAGAGCTCGTCGTCCTAGAGAGCGCGAGCGTAAGCGTAAGAAGAAGATCTAGTACTACTTCTATAGTAATAGAGACTATCCTCGTAACTATAACACTACTAACTATAATAATATTAGATTATACCTTAAGAAGAGATATAGCTAGAGATAGGTAACTAGTACACTTTTAAAGATGCTAGTAGTAGTAATACCCTCTTAGACATTATATACTATTACCGATATCGACAAAACTCGCTTAAATCGACGTCTTATCGATTATATTACCTTAAGTAACATCCCCTTCCGTACTACTAGTAATCCTCTACTCTATACGCTACTTAATAAGGTGCTTCCTAGCGCCTTAAAGCTCTTAATTAAGAGTTATTCTACTATCGCTAAACACGTTAAGAAGGAGCACGACTTCTATTAAGAGTAGCTTAAGGCACTACTTATAACATCTCGATTATTAATCCACTTTACCTACGATGCTTAGATAGCTAATTATAGTAGCTATAAGTTACTTAGTATTATAGCTCGATTTATCGACTTAGACGGTAAGTTAAGTAAGGTACTACTAGCTCTCTATAAGCTATTAGCTAGCTATGCTAGTGCTTAATGTGCTCCTCTATTCTTTAATACTATTATTACCTATAGCATCGAGTAGAAGATCGGATATATTACCTCTAATAATGCTACTTATAACGATACTATAATGAGCTACCTTACTACTCTATTTAGCGAGCGTCTATCTATCGATTAGGACCCTATATAACATCGAACTCGCTACTTTAGACACTAGATTAATCTTACTAGTTAAGCGCTTATATTAGCGAGCTTAATAGACACTATAGCTACTATAATTAATTAGAGTTAAGATCCCTTAAAAGCTATCTTAACACTCGCTTAAGGCACTAGCCTTACTAATTATAAAGCTCTCGACTACCTCTATTAGTTTTTCGAGTGGATTATAAGGTTAGCTCGCCGTCGTCGTAAGTTTAAGGTAGCTACTAGTGTATCTCTTATGCTTAATAATACTATAAGGTAGAATAGCTAGCTAGCTATAATTAAGCGAGGGATTTAGTCTCGAGCAACTATACGTGCTATTTAGTCGGCTAACGAGCATATAGAGCACACTACTCTTTAGCGGCGCTACTAGTAGTTCCTTAAAGCGCTTATTAACTTTATAGAACCATTATAGGAGGTAATAAAGCTATATAAAGGCGATAACGCAACTCTTAATTAAGTGCTTATATTAATGGACTTCTTACGTAAGCACTATAAAAAGTACATATAATAAGATGCTTCTACCGACTAAGCCCTTATTACCGTAATCCGAACTAGCTAATTTGCACTTAATAAGTAGTAAGCTATTAATAACTATACTCCTACCTATATAGTAGCGCTCCTCCTCTATCTAACTTATCGCGAGAACTATATTAAATAACACTAGCCTCCGTTATAGCGAACACTAGCTATTACTACTATACGCGCTTTATAGACTACTAAATATAAGAATAAGACTAAGCCTATTATAATAGCACCATCATTAAATAAAGAGGAGTCGAATTAGCTAGCTAAGTAGTAGGCTTCTATACGGTTTATAAACTTAGTTACTATACCTAAGGAGTTTGTCTAGTTTACTAAGAGTCCTCTAGTACTCGTTAATGATGCTATATAGTGGTAGCTTAAGCTAACGTAGTAATATAACTATCTAAACCTCTCTTAGATAGCTATTAATATCCTCTTAATTAATCTAATGTCTACTAAGTTAGAGAGGGTATTTAGTAGCTATAGAAGGACACTGTCGTAGGACTAAGTAAGCCTCTCTACTAATAATCTTAGCTATATTAAGTGCCTTAAGAGCTAGTAGAAGAACCTTTGTTTTAATAAGGTTAACCTACTAATTACTACTAACGAAGGACCGGAAGATTAAGTAGAAGAGCTAGAGTATGACGTTAAAGGATAGGGTGACCTAGAAGAAGGACAGGGTGACTGCGACGACGACGACGGAGTTGGAATTGGCATTATTCCACTAGATAATTGACATAGAATGGAATATTAGCTAGAAGTAGTGGCATGGCATGGCATGGAGCCGAAATTCCACCGATTCCATGTAACGTCCGCTCTGTCAAGCTGAAACGACTTTTCTCATCAGCCCACGTCAAGCCGACCATTTGTTTTGCTCGATCTTCGACTTCCTACATCAATTGCTCCGCATACAACATTGCATGATGCAAGCAGTCATGCTCCAGCGAGTCGCATAATTACACGCCGGAAACCACTAGTCACCATGCTTCTCTATGCAAGCTTACCAATCGCTTGACGCACCGCTCATCATTCATTTCTCAACGAGCATCAAAGCTGTAAAGACCGACCTCGCATGAAATGGCAATCAGCACCGAGCCAACCATTCTGGTCCTGCACAGCCATCGACGCAACCCCCATGCACGTCTACCAACCCTCCGGCCAGCCCGCGAAACATCTGCGTACCCGCCGTGTTTTGTCGGCTTTGCCGAACTCTGAGACGCGGCAGTGAAATGAACGATCGTGAATGCCACGTGAGATCTGTCTTTATGCGTCATAGTACCTTGACCTTTACGATGCCTCGTTCGGAAAAGGCTTGACGGATATGCTGTCTATACAGCCGGCAGCTCGAAGCGCCTTCGAGAAGAGTTCCAACTTTCAAGCCATGAATACGGCGGAAGGCTCTCATGTTATCAGCCCTTAATTCCGCGCATGTACCCTCCTGGAGGTATATCGACCATGTCGGGATTTTGTTTCCGTCATAGGAATAAAACATCAGGCATCCACGCTAGGTCGCTGGAAGACACCAAGGTACGCTTCCGCACTGCATATACCCTGATATGATTCAGTAATCCAATGGGCGTGTTCACCTGCACTTGTGGGTTATGTACCATTGGGCAAGTGAGAGCCGCCAGCCGTGAAATACAACGTCTCGCTTGTTGCATCTCATACACATTCATGCATTCGGGTGTCGAGCTGATTGGGTTCCTCTCTTTTCTATGCTCACGTGTACCTTTATACTGTGCCTGTGCAGTGCACATGGCGACCGGTGAGATAATGGTTGTCTCGTCATGGGTTACATCGCGCTTGTGGGAAGCAAGCTGAGCTGAGCTCGCGGGATAGAAGCGCTTCAATACGGTTAAGCGGCAGGGGCAGGCACGCTGTATGGTGCTCGAGCCGAAGCAACATTGACAATGACCCATGGTACGAGATGGGCGTACACCCGGATAAGTTGCTGATACATGCGGCCAAGCGCTTGTGAAAACGGATCCCACCGTCGTACTCATTGAAGCGACAAACCGTTCTCAGATCCGTGGGTTGACATGTGTAGTTTCAAAGCGTGAGTCGCTCGTCAGGCGTAATGGTTGTCTGGCACCGAGGAAGTTTGAAAGTCGAAGCGGAATATGGTTCGACAGTCAATTAAACATGTATTGCTCGACTAGCTCATCTAACACTGGTAGTCGTTGAACTTCAGCAGTTCCAGCCACTCTCTGCGCGTGCTGCTCACTATCATAGCAGGCTTCGGCACATGGGAGACGGGCCCCTCTTTGTGTTTGTATGTTTAAGCCATAGACTTCTCGTAGTGAATTATAATGTGAAAACAATGGCACGTGAAGGTTGAGATTGATGGTTTCGGTTTGGTTCGGCTGGCGTTGCTGTGGAGATCAGTCCGGCCTTCCAAGGTTCGTCATCATTTATTCACTCTCACTCCCATGTTACACGATCTACGCACATAGTTGCAGCTCGATTCTAGCAAAAACCACAGGAGTACAAAGTTCATTATTCAAGGAGTTATCATGGCCTCGATGTTCAAGAAGGTACCCAAGACTGATTTGACAACAACATCCCCAGCCACCAACAACAGCAACAGAGGAGGCGCTGGAGGTCGACGCAGCCTGTTCACGCGCCGACCTGGTCGGCAGAAGCTGACGGGGTTGTTTGCAGATGGGATCTGGTATTGTGATTGTGAGCCTCGTCTCCCTGCCGAACACTTCCAGGTAAAGAAAGAAAGTGCGAACAAAGGTTGTTCACCCAGCACTCTCATGTGTAGTCTTAATTGCACAACTGACTTCTCTAAAGGCAGATGGTTCTACACTTGCCAGAATGGAGAGGGGCGAAGGTGTGGCTTCTTCATGTGGAATGAGGACGCCCATCCCCGAGAAGCAGCGGCTCTTCTGAACAATTCCAGGACCGAAACCAAGAACCCACCGGATAAGCCCTTATCCCCGGTACACCCCTCGTCCCAGACAATGCAGTCATCTTCGAATACCGCATTAACTCTAAGCCAGCTCAACACGGCATCCAAACGACCGTTCTCAGACACTGCCCTTGACCATGCTGATACTGATCATGATTCCTTCCCCTGGTCTCTATCAGGCCAAGAAGAGACCGAGTTGCTTGCTGCACCAGAAACTCCACGCAAGGCAGTCAAGTTCGACGGCCTTGCCACGCCAGCGACTAGTGCGCACAGGAAATTGCCATGGCTGGAACAATCTGCCCAGTCGCCTTCCACAATCTCTGCGAAAGCAACTCCCTCCAAGCCCTCTACTCTGCTGCAGCATCCTACGTCGTCAAAGTCGGTCGTTGCACGGCACAGTGCCTTAACACCGCAGGTCACTCCCAGTCCCGCACGCTTCCACGATCCGTCAGCAGATACATCGTCGTTCCGATCCACGCTCAATCAAGATGTCTTCGCCATTCTGAGCGACTCGAACGTTACACTGCCAGCTAACCTGACAGAAAAACTTGGCGAAGTCTTGAAACGTCACGAGCTACGCACTCAGGNNGGGGTCATCAAGGGCAGAGAGATCACCCGTCTTGCTCTCAAGGCACGCGATGCCAAGATTGTTGAGCTCCAAGCCACTATCGCAAGCCTTGAAGCAGAAAAAGATGTTGATCATGCACGTATAACAAGACTAGAATGGGAGAAAGACATCTCGGCAAAGAACCAGAACTTTGACCCAGACTTGTAACCAAGCATCGGTTCTGTCGGGTAGGGCTGCAGGGGGTGGCGTTTACCTTATACACAGATCAATCGACCGTCCCTTCTTGCTTGTAATACGTGTCTTCCCGACCCTTTGTCTTGTCCTTACATTCACTCGTAATGATATATGCTAAACAATAACTATAACAGGACTCCATTGTATGCGGATTGCCACACCTACATATGTCACTATGGGCTCTTCAAACAACATTCGATCGGTAGAGACACCGATACCTTGACTGCATAGCTTCTGCGATAGCTTCCACGGTCCTGGGCTCGGGACAACATCATTACCAGATCCCCGCGTGAGCAAGCAGGGAAATACGCAGTCTCAAACGCCGACAGATGGGGAGCATTCTACGCATGAGATCAGCTGGCGCATAGTTGAACAAATCAACATCCACAGAAGCAGCCACTCGGATGATCGCTGCATGGCGAAGTCTCGAGTCATCATTCGGCCGGGGAACAGGAAATTGGCCACGATACTTTCCTGACTCCTCTTCCTTTATGCTGTACGACGCTGAGATTCAAACGTTGCCGCTTCTCGCGATTTTTACGCAGCGACCCGATATCACCGTTCCTGCCAAGATCAGCCGCCAGCTTTTCTGTTTTCTCGACACCATCTTGGAGGGTAGCGCCTGCCGGTCACTCCCCGAAGCCAGGTCCGGCTAAAACATGTGCTGGCACTCCGACACTGTCCAGAACGTGGTTTCTTAGCAGCCCCGCGAGGGTAGCGACTACAGGCCATCAACCTCGTGGTATAAATCTGGCCACTTGCCGTCCTGTTTCCACTTACCCCGTCCAATATACTTTGGATGTCTGTATTATTGATTTGTCTCTTTCGATCTCTCGTCGGTCTTCGATTGATTCAAGGCCAGTATGAGTCAGGCTCGTTCAAACCTTGGCTACTACAACACCTTTAATGGTGGTGGTATGGTCTACAACGAATCTATGAGCAACAACATTCCACAAAATGGACAGGCCGTATATACGCAACCTTGGTCTCAGATGCCCATTGGTGTGACGATTCCCCTTACTGGATCGCAGTGGTCTGGACAATACTACCGACGTCACGAGGGATGGTACGAGCCCGACATGCTTTCTTCAAGCGATCTGACCTCGGAGACAAATGGCTTTGACCACAGCGCTACCCCAAGTCTACATCGATCGGACTCTGGCGACTTTTCCGAAGTTTGGGATCCAGAACCTCCTATGGCTTNNTTTTCGCCCTTCCAGCCTCACACGTCCAGCGGATTGCTCAGCAACATCGGAGGTGCTTTTATGCCTCCTCAGCTTCCTACATGTGCTACCAGCAACCCAGACGAGGCTATACCACAGTCTGACTTCATACTCGGCGACTTGGAATTAAACGACACTATATCATCGCCTCCAGACTCTGATGCAGTTTCTCATACGGCCATGCACCGTTCGCCTCTCCCAGATGCCGAGACTTCTCTTGCTCAGCCGTGTCACACACAGCCCCATGATCAATCCGTAGCAGGCAGGCCAAGAAAGGCGCGACAAGCCAAAGAGACCGACACGCGCCAATCAAAAAGACCCGCTCGGACGAAAAGTACCAGGACACGTCTCTTTTGCGAAGCCTGTCGCGACAGCAAGGACTACTCTCGAGGTTTCCGTGGAGAGCATGAACTTGCGCGCCACTATGCGCAGAAACATACCAGGCACAAGAAAGTATGGAAGTGCTTTGACCTGAGCCCGGAACGCTTGATGCGCAACTGTGAGCGATGCAAGACTGGTCATCAATACGGCACTAGTTACGGTGGCGCTGAACATTTCCGAAGGAAGCATACCGCAATCTTCGGAAAAGACATGATGGAGTTGCTGCGAGGAAAGAACCAACGTTGGGCTCTGAGCAGCAACCGTTTGATAGAAGAGGGATGGCTTCGTCAAGTGTTCGTTCCTGGCGATGGTGAGCCAGTACTTCATCAAGAAGAGCAGGCTGCGACTGCCAGTCATCCGGCCATGCCCTTCACAGGAGATACACAAGAATTCACCCCGAATAGTGGAATGCAAAGGGCTCATCTGCAACAGCCCTATGATCAGCAGCATATGCCAATGCATGATGCTAATTTGGCTTGGGCCCAGCACCAATATACGCTTCAGCCTTATCCTCAGCTGCATCATGGACGGCAACAACAACATCACCATCAGCAGCACCAACAGCAATGGCATGCAGGCATGCATTGAGTGTGTTGCTTCGAGCGAAACAAGACCTTTCATTTGTACTAGACACGAAGGTCGATGTGCCTCCGAAAGCTTTGGCTTTCGGAATCTTTCTCTTCTCATGCATGGGACGGACTGCGATGATACCCCTTTGCTCCTACTGAATCTGTTTCTCGTGTGTTACCCCCCTTTGCTTTTCATACGTCTGATGGTGTGCGCATACTCTGTCCGAGTGTTTTCCCTTCTTAGATTCTTTCACCTCTATTCAGAGTGCTGTCTTCATTCTCAATAGACATCAAGATCGAGATATGAACCCATTCATGCCATCCAAAGACCTCCTAAGACATTCATGTCTGGCGCACGTAAACAATCCCGAACAGTGGGAATTCCACATCTTCGAGACTCAGCATGCATGTTCCGCAGCAGAAGAGGCCTCCGCACCATCCCCGACCAATGATATCGAACTGAGTCTCTTCCGCGTGAGTATGAAAGTCTGCACACACCCGCAAGACCGGGCATGCACCCGCCAGATGACGGAACCACAGTAACACCAACAAAGGTTACTTTGCGTGTGTGAAACCTGTGTATACAACCCAAGCAAGCCCTCTACTATTCTCCCTTCTCAATTTTCTGCAACTTTATGCAGAGCTGACGACCTTGTTCTGCCTTCTATGCTTTGAGCACGGGCAGTTATCCCGAACCATGGGAGAGTTGCCGATGCTTCCCCCCGCTTGTCATTTCCTTTTCTTGTCTTTGCTTATTGTTTGGATCCGTGGATCTGGGTCTGAAGCTCGGCATATTTAGATTGGAATGTGATTGCCTGGTTTCTGGAAGATGTGGGAGGTGTAGATCGGAGTGAACGGTGCAGTGAGGATCGCGGACAGCTGGACGGAGATCATGAGGAGTGGAATCATTCAAGCGAGAGATTGACGATTTCGGCAAGTATTAGACGGCGTTCAAGAGGGAAGGTAATCTACGAGATGTTTGAAGTTGCCGAGGTAAGTGCTCTGTATCACTCGCATTTGATGGAAGGAGCTTGGGGATTGTGCTTTCCCCGTTTGTCACTTACAAGCGCACCCGGGCTTCTTGTCACCAAACTGTCGTGTCTCTCCGGACCTAGGTCTTTCTGTGGTGTTGAGTTCTCTTGTTCGTGCTTGTTTTCATCGTTATTAAGCTAATTCAGCACCTCAAAAGCTAGCAGTCCTCATTCCCCTTTCCGCTTCCATGCCACGCAGCCAGTTCGCCTCACGCAAAGTCCGATCGGCTCTATCATGCTCCTGTACCATCGCCTCATACTCCAGAACGTCCTCCTAGAAATTCATCATCTCCTCGTCCTCCTCGTCAATATCCCATTCAGCATCAGCCATATAATCGTCATCAGCACCATAGGTCTCCTCATCAACATAACCGCTGAACTCTTCTTCCTGATCTTCCGTATGAGGTTCCTCATCGCTGCTGTGATCTTCAAGAATACCATCATCTTTCTCCATATCCATCATCGTGCCTCCCTCGCCATAATCTTCCACCTTCGCATAAGTCGCGCGTTCGTCTTTAGTGGCGAAGCGAGGAATTGCGTTGCGAACCAACAGGCGAGTACCCTTCTTGATGCACAAATCAGCGTCATCGTCATCAAACTGTCTGACAAATATAGGCAAGCAGGCGATCTGACCGCCACCTAAGTCGACAAGCTCGACATTCGCTTCTTCAGGGTGAGGTGCCAAAGGAACAAGATCACACAAAGGATGCAGACGACCAAATAAGGTACTCTGATCCTTTTGGGCATCNTTNTTGTCCGAGTATGGGTACGTCTGCTCGTGGTAACCGTCCTCATCGTAAGTCTTAGTCCAGACAATCTGGTTGTCGATGATCATATGACGCCGAATGAGGCTGATGATAGTGTTGATCACAGCACCATCGGAATAATTGGGGTTGATGACTGACTTAAGAGAATCTCCACGGCCATCCATAGCCTGGTACATTTGATATGGCCGCATGACGTTGTTATGGAAAGACCATGGAACCACTGGCCCATCTTTCAGAGACGAATGACGAGGTGATGCCATGAACATCTGGATGATAGGCAAATCCAGGGGGTCAGTCGATGTGGCATACGCCCACCCAAGCACACGAACCAGGAGTAAGAGAACAAGCTTTTGAGTTTCAACGCTTGGAAGTCCAGAAGCCTCTACCTGAATGATCGATTTTCGCAGATAATCTTCGATGTGGGACCCACAGATGCTATCATGGTATGTTGCTTTTGCCAAGTCGTAGCAATCAACCGAGCAGAAAGAGAAGTTCTCGCGCTGCTTCTCTATACCATAGCGGCAAATTTGGACATCAGACGTCTCGAAGATACCAGGTCTTGATACTGTTCTGCCTCGAAGTGGAGTGTCGGGAGTTACGGTTGCCGAAGATGCGTCATTCGCACCGCTTGACGATTCAGAACTCCAATCGTCATCGTCGTGCTCTTGCTCCGCCCCTTGGCTTGTGTGTTCGTTTTTGGCCTTGCTGGTGGGTCCTGAGATTGGTTGGTTCTCTCCTGTCGGACTGTCGACTGCAAACGTGCGGCGATGACTGGCAGAAGAACGTCTAGCACGAGCTTTCTTTCTCGCCGCTCTCGCATTCCCCTTCTCGGTCTCCTCAGCTTCTGCCTGCTTCAGCTCTTCCGAGAGAACACGAAGAACGAATGGTGACAACATCTGTAAGTCTGTGCCACAAGCATCACAGACGGTTGCAAGTTCTGATTGATCTGGAGTGTTTGCTGTAGAGACAAGAAACGGAAGACTCTCAGTGAAGAGCACCATCCCCTTGAAGACATCTTGAGCAGCCACCAGAGATGCAGGCATGCCAAACTTGTACTCGTACTGGACGATCGAGTTGGAGTCCACCGTCAATATGCAGTTGTTGAGGATGTTGTAATTGATGGATCGTTCAGCAAAGCCATACTGGATGCTGCTCAAGGAGCAGAAACCTGTTTGCGTCAATAGTAAATCTGCTTTCGACACTTTGCCTTCGATGACATCGAGAAGTAACTTGTCTTGTACGTGTTTGGCGAGCGCCTCAAGTTCCCAGCGGACAAAAGGCTGGAAAGATCTTTTGGCTCCACCAGAAGCATTCTCCAAAAGGACATCGCCTAAGAGATGTAGTGCAGTGTAAGACGGGCCACGTCCACATCTGGAAAGAGCATCCACTAATCGAAATAGGGCCTTGTGTTTCNNCAAATCATACAGAGGTGGGGTTGATGTCTTCTTTTCGGCTCCTTTCTCTTCAAAATCTTCCTCGACAAGCGTCATTTTTGCTAGCTTGAAGTTCTGGTGCTTACGATCAAACATCGTTGACGGTGCTGTGCACCATTTCTCTTTACGAGACAACGCATCGGCACAATCGTCNTACAAAAATTAGTTTGTTGCTTCCGCAAAGCGTTGTCTGATGTCAAAACCATTTGCATCTTGCTCTGACGTACCAGTGTATGTGTTGATGTGGGCGTCAATTCTTCGAATGTGATCGTTTACCTCGCCTTTGTTCTGGACAGCATCGACGATAGATTGAGCCATCATGTACACCCTGAGGGCATCGTTGACAGCAAGATGTGGCTGGTTCGTGGCGATATAGCACAAGGCGCGATTGAGATAATAGGCTGGATGACACCTTTCGTCGAGCAATCTGTCGAACAACTTCAACGCAGCCAAGTAGTCTCCTTTGTGCACAAGTTTGTTGGCGTTCATGATTGCATGCTCGGGCTTGAGCTGCTTGGGACGAAGCTCTAGTCTTGGTGATGAATGGATTGATGTGTTCATGACTGTGAGTTTTGAGACGCGAGTTAAAGAATAGAAAACGTTGTAAGCAGGAAAGTGTTGTTGATGTGTGACGGGTTGGTATGCGCCTGCTCTCGGAATCTCATCGAGTGAAGATCGAAGCTCAGCTCTTGTGACGCTCTTGCTTTGTTGACTTTCACTCTCATCAGTGTGCTTCTTCCTTTGCGGCCATAGTCTTTCACAACCTCGTTTCAACACATTCACTCACCATCCTCCCACAACCATCCATCAGAGGAATTAGGACCCTCGAGGCCATGGTCGCGGCCACGCCGGTCTCATTTGACAGCGACACAACCGAGAGTCCGAGAAAGACTCTCAAGGCATATAGTCACTGCCGTTTTTGTATCATTGACGAGCGGCACACAGCCGAGAGTCCAGAAAGGACCCTCAATGCTGTGGTCGCTGTCAAGTCTTTCAAGGCGAATCTGAAGAAGCACGAGAAGCTCTCTTAGCCTTTTTGTTCGCATGTGCGACCCTCTTCGTCACCTTGGTCATCTGACGATGGGAGATCTTTGGTGCCTTCTTCTTGCAAGTGCGACTCTCATGTTGGCTAATCTCATCTTTGATCGTCTTGTCAAGATGATCTGCAAGCAATCGTTGCAATGCGTCCAAGCCCCGGGCATCGTTGGTGGACGAACTTACCGTCAGCATAGCGGGCGATGTGCTTTGACTTGTACCGACCAAACCGGAGTCCGTCAACCAGGACCGGACATACCAACCTAACATCACCCGGACTGTCTTGGGTTGCGAAGTAGATGATGAAGTCCTTACCAGCATAACTCTTACGCTGGTGCACGAACGCCACTAGTCTGTCCCAAACGGAGGTAAAGGCGCTGATTCTCATAATCAGCAGAGCCCCATTGAGTTTCAAAATCATCTGACCTTGCCGCCCCAGCTACTCCTCTCAAAGTTGAGCGTGACACGTTTTGGTGGCTTTGATAAGTTGTCTGTCAGATCAAAAACCTCATCGTGACCGATCTTGACGCTGCTCTCACCCTTCGAGACCCGGTCGAATACCAGTGAGACGATGGGCACAGATAGTCTTGTCGAAACAAAGAGCATGGAAACCAATAGCCATCTGATGTCTCCACCGTGTCCAGTGAACTCGAGGATGAAGCGCTCGAGGACCCTTCTTGGAGTTCTGGGCTCCCCTATGGTCTGATCAAGCCATGACATTGAATTGCGTCCTCCTTCATCAAAATTCACCCGGCACAGAAAAACCTTTGCAAGTTCGTTTGCTATGGGCCTTTGGCTAACGTATTGACGGACTGTGTTGTCTTCCAAGAACGTAAGTCTAGTCAGCTCATTGCGACTACCCCGAGAAATTGCGAGTCTCAACTTCTGAAACATGATCCGGTGATGATGTTTCTCTGCCCTACCAAACATGTTATGTTCGCATGCTGACGTTGATTCAAGGAACGCACAAGCTACCCAAGCCGTCACAAACCATGTCTGTAAGCTAATACGAAGAGCTGTCTAGTACGCATGCGCATACCAGGTCGGGTCTAGCCGCCCAAGTTCAGCCTGACGTGGCAGGAAGTCAACATAAAGTTGCTATGAAGGTTCACACTGAGAAACACAGTCGAGGTTCACGCGAGAGACACGGGACCCTTGGCGATGCCGGCGCGTGAGATCACGTGCTGGCGACGGAACAAAGATATCCCGGTGAGCACTTGACCGAAGTCATCCGCCCATGTAAACGTCCAACGTCCCTTTCTGATCTACCGTCAAGCGTTGTGGGAGAGGCTCTACGAAGTGTCGCTATGTCCACTCAGGAACAGTGAGAAACGACATTGTGTATAGACTCAACGACAATAACACTACCATTTTCTTGGGGAAGATTTTGAACCTGTTTGCTATCGACCTTTCCATTGTCATTGATCTATACAGCTAGATCTTGGGGAGGATGTGCAACGGTCTCCTATTGCACACACCAATCTCGATCCCCATCGCGACCACTCATCCGATGGAGCCTTTTTCTGGTGACACCTTTTGCATCATGATGATATAAGTGGTTCCTGCTGTCTATGGTAAACCTCAAACATAGCTATACGAGGAGGATCCAAGACACAACTATCCTATAGAGTACCTTGGACCCAGATTCTGGAAAGCGCCAGTTGGAACGTTTTCTCGGCATGCAGATTCGGATTGAATCTGATTTCTCGAACGGATCTATCTCCAACTATCCACAATGCTCCACCACCTTATGGACTGACCGACATCCTACCCCACAACCCCCCTTGACGACTCAAAATGGACAGCAAAGATCCCTGACATGGTCACTTCTCAACTTATGGAGTGTGTCCCGTACGCAGGGTTATTGCACCAATACCATCAATAGCTCGATCAGAATCCAGAGGTTAGAGAGCCAAGAAGAATCTATCAAAGAACGTTGGTGGCCGGTCTGCCTAAAACTTCGCTATCAGGACCATCCTTCAACCACGCGGAGCAATTCAGATCCATAACGGAATTGCCGGGTCATGTCAGCACGCCTTCTTGGTCACTGTCTCGTGCAATCAACGCATTATGCGATCCACACGTGCTTCGCATCGATGATTTGAACAGAGTAACGGCCGCAAGCAGTAGGCATCCTCCGACATATTCGACTTGCCTAATCCGGTTTGCCAAGATACAGATCAAGCTCGCCATAGTTTGGATCAAAAAGAAGCATGACACGCGATACCAAACACGACAGGCGGCCTATTCACTCCAATGCGATTCAGCACTTCTACCTGGATGGTGCCACAGGGTCAAAAGCAAGCGCCACCACACCGTCTGATAGTATTACCGTTAGCAATCCAAGCCTATGGTTAACCTTGTCCGGCAGATCATCGTCCGGACTATCTCGCGTTGAAGCATGTGGTTGTATTCCTAAGCGCAATACTTCATGGCATGTCTCCGATGTGGGGTGGTTTGAGATGGCATGCAAGATCACGTCGATGGCTATGAAAACCATGTCATACCCGCGGTAGACCGACAGCGGGTGCAACCTCTCGCGGTCAGTAGCTCCTCACATCTTTTTTTCTGGCCCTCTTTGTCTTTAGGAAGTATATTGAGGTCGTCTCCCTATGGTAAGGCATATGATATGTTACAGAGCAGCATGGAGTGCAACTGTCTTTTGACAAGCTTCAAATCGCCCAACGATCCTGATTGACAAGTCTATCATGAAGTGTCCTCGAGAAACCGGGCTCGATGATCGAGGTCGTGTCCATCCGAGCTCCACCGTCGCCAAGTCTATGCTGTATCTCCTGATATCGAGGTAAAGTCCAGTGAAGATCTCACAACGGATACTGGGTCGGGTACCTGCAAGTCTCATCCTTCAATTGATCGTCCTCTTGGCTATACCGTTATGATGTTTGCATTTTCTTGTTCTGGAATCATGCATCAACCAGCAGCATACATATATCCTCAAGCATACGCCTGCCATCGTCCCACCAAACATCAATGATAGAGAGATTCATCTCGCCTTGTATTTCTCTTTTCAGTGCATCGACATTCCTAATGCGGTTCTTGACCGTAAGCTCGTTGACTGCTTTAGCGGCGACTACCATCGCCGCCCCTGCAGGTCCATACGAGCCATCAGTCGAGGATCATGAACAGAACCACCTCGAAAAACGCGCCCTGATTGGTGGCAATTCTGGAACAACCCTTTTGGGTGGTCTTGAATTGGGCGTTGCGCAGAGCTCAGCTCTCCTGTCTGTTGGACTTCCAGGGGGCTCGAGTGTATCGACCTCAATCTCGACTAGCCGTGCATCGTCTATTGCGGCGACCTCTGCCAGCAGTGTATCGTCTGCTGCGATTTTCACTAGTCGCTCATCTTCTGCTACGCAGCCCCTAGCTTCGGCCAGTGTGTCAGCCGGCCTGTCGGTCAGCATCGCACCCACCGGTCTGTCCTCTGTCGCCTCCGTTGTCAGCGCCCATACATCCAGTGCGGTATCTGTGGTTTCCTCCATTCTCGCAAACCCAGTAGCAACAAGCGACACCCAGGCAGTTTCTTCCGTGAACTCGGTCTTGTCTCAGGCAACTGCATTGCCTACCAGCCTTGGTGCTCAACTCTCTACTGCCCTCAATGGCGTCACGGGCCCTAGCTCGAATATCGCTGCTATCCAATCACTGCTTACTGCTTCGTCGATTCGTACGGATACGACTGCAGTAGCTTCTTTGGCATCCCACGTATCGATCATTGCTGCTGATCCGAGTCAAACGGCTCAGTCATCTTTGTCATCTCTCGCTTCCGTTCTGTCCGACGCAGCTGTCATTCCTGGCAATGTCGCTTCGATGGTTTCCTCAATGGCTTCTTCCATGACTTCGGGAACTGCGAGTCTTTCGGGTCATGCAAACTCCATCGTTTCTTCGTTTGCAGCAGCTGCATCAACCACTTCATCCTCTGTGGCTTCTGTGACCGCAACATGCTCAGACCTCGTTTGCTTGAGCGCCCAGGTTGGCGGTCTAGGACTGGGTGTCGGAGCCCTGCCGTCGTCGAGTGGCGGTCTTGCAAGCCTGTCTCTTGGTCTCGGTGGTAATCAGGCATCTAGCACACTGTCTGCACCGATTGTTATATCGACAGGTGGAACTCAGACCACTTGTACTGATCTGGTATGTGTGAACGTTGCGGCCACAGGGCTATTGAGTGCGAGTCTCGGTGTGATCCCGACTGCCTCCATCACTCCATCTGCCACTACCTTGGCCACACCTGTGACCATCTCTGGCAGCAATGGAGGCCCTACCTCAACCTGTACTGATGTAGTTTGCCTTTCGGCAGCGGCTTCAAACATCCTCTCTGTTTCTGTCGGACTCATACCTAGCTCCGTACTTGGTGGAAACGCCCTAAGCACTCTTTCTCTTGGTGCAAGTGCCACACCCACAGTGTTCAGCCTTTCCCTTGGTGGTGTAACTAGCGCACCCACCGCAACTAGCCTTTCAGAACATGTCACCGTGGTTGCTACTGACGGTAGTACGACTACTGTGTGCACGGACGTGAT